TTTTGCGGAAGATCACAGGTAGTACAACAGACGTTTTGACGTTTTGGCGTTTACTTTGGCGTTGGATGCGGATGCTGCGGAAATGAGGCAGGGATGGGGGGAGTCGATGAGAGTTGATGGAAGACTATGGGGAGTTGATTTGAAGTTGGTTGAAGTTGATTTGGAGTCAGTGTTATCTCGTCTTCATATCTGCCTTCATACCTGTCTCCATACCTGTCTCCATACCTGTCTCCATACCTGGCTCCACACCTTTTTTCGTTATCCCCAATAGCCTTCTTCTACTTGTAGATACCCAGTCCCCAATCACCCCAATCATCCTAATCGCCCCAAAAGATATGTCAAATCTCCCTCACCGCCGTCAAACGTCAAAAGATCGCACCAATGGCGGCGGATTTACCTGCCTTCCTTCCAGTAGGCCGAAATGGGAGCCTAGAGCAACATTGACAGTCGGTGAGTGCTCCGTAAAAGCACCGGAAAGTACGGAAAAGCAGCATCGGGCTTTATCCATGCGTATTGCTGTACCGAGTGTGCTCCCTTGTATCGCTGTGTGAGTATGTACTTGTACACACACACCAGTAGCCACTATCATGGCCCATAATCTGTACGAGAATGGTCAACCAGCTCTTAATCAGACCCAGATTCCCATTTACCGTCTGTTTTAGTTATTCCTCCTGACCGGACAGGTGGACATCCGGGTTGGTGGACTGCGTGTGTAAAGGGTGGGTAGAGGATTACAAACGTCAAGCGGTTGGGCAGGCAACATACATGGTCGATCACTTCATGTCATACAACCGACAATTTGGTCACGTGACACCGCTAAACTCCTCACTTCATCTTCATACTGTGTTATGACTGTGAAGAGAGCAACTTGTAGAGGTAGCTTGATATGAGTGAGCGAGTACAAACCGAGTATCTGGGTCACGTGTCATGGTAATTACGTGTCATGGTAATTACGTGTCATGGTCACTACTTACCATTCTCGTCATGTGTCTTTCTTGTCATTCTCGCCATTAGTCACCATTAATCACCATTGAACTCCGATCGACGGTCACACGACAACACTCGGGCACACTCTGACAATCCTGACACAGCCTCGATGCATGGAACCTGCCATCTGACACAGATGCAACTCCTGGCAACTGATTCTGACTCAGACTCGGACTGTTGGAAGATCGGTTGGTGTCGTGTGAGATTGGAGGGAGGGAGAGGGAGGCCAAGACAGATAGAGCCCGGCCTAGAATTCGAACTGGAGGGTTTGAGACGACGAAAATCACATGATTGGATTCCCCGACGCGAGATTTTCCATCTACTACTGTCCGTTTGCCAAATAGACCCGTTTTCATCAACTTGGTGTTGTCTCTCCTCCACTCCATTTTTTCGCCAAGAAAAAATGACAAGAAAAATTTCAAAAAAAAACTTGAAAAAAAAAAAAGACAGTTTCAGAAAAACTTGTCTATACACGTGCCTCCAGCCATCGGCTGAAATGATGACACCATTTGGGTTTCCACGCCCATTCTGAGACACCAATGTCGACGGGGGAGGGAGGCAGGGTTAAGAGGTCACGTGATGCGGGAATCTTCGTCTGGCTCTTTTTTTTTTCCGCCGATCAAAAAAAAAAAAAAAAAAAACCCTGAAGAAGATGACGAAAAAGACAACGAAAAAGAGGTCGAAAAAAAAAATTGGCAAAAAAGGTCGAAAAAGACGAAGCTGAAGACGAAGCCAAAGACGAAGCCTCAAGCGATCACGTTACTCCTACCTAATTCTAGAATGAAGTTTGTCGGCAATTGAGACCGATTTCCCAACTTTGCCAAATTTCCAGTTTTGCAAGTATTTTTCCAATATTCCAATTTTTACCTCCTTTTAAAATCCACCTGAAAATGTCGACAAAATCTCGCCCAAAATCACCTCAATCGCTCAATCCCTCCATCCGCCTCCAATAGCTTCCAAATCCGCACGTGCTCTTGGCAGAGGACCTCTTGGCGGTTGGCACGGCAAAACCAAACTCTATTCTTATTTCCGAACTCAATTTACCACGTGGATTGCCAAGGTTTTTCGCTGAAACTAGATAACCAAAATGTTTAAATGTAAAACTTTATGTTTCGGAGCCCAGATACGTGTCTTGGCAGACCTCTGGGGCGGAATACAACGTTTTTCGAGGTGTCGACGATTGAGAAAATCTTTTTCGACGGGCGCAAGACGGGATTTGAGCGTGGATGGGCGAAAACCGTCGAGAAATGCGGGATTCTGCGCCCTCGAAAATAACATCAAACTACACCTAATCGGCCAACTGTGTTTGGACTTGCATCGCAAATACGACGTTTTAAATTGAGCTCAAACTGGGAGGCGGAGTAAGTGGAAAGAAATAAATATAAAAATAATTCAAAATAATTCGAAAATAAAAAATAAAATAAAATAAAAAGTGGGAAATGGAACGTTATGGCGGGAAATGGGAAGTAGAAAATACCAAAAAGGTCAGCGAAAAATTGCTACTCTGATCATACCTTCAAATCCCACCTACTACCCCTATAGCCCAAACTGTCGGCGTATGACTCGATAAAACTAATTTATAATTTATGATTGATTTTATTTGATTTTACCTCTGCTGGAAAAAGAATGAATAATAAGTGTAACGCCGCATGTGTTTCTAGAAATGGCCCCAACTTGACGGATATTGATGCGATCTGAAATCGGATTGATGGATATTGTTCGCAGCAATAAGGAGAGGATTCTGATACATTTTTTAGCAGTAGAAAAATATATATTTCCTGTTTTAACTGTGTTATTTTCCGTTCGTTCATCTCTTCGAGATTGCCATAACTTGATGATAGACTTTGAGAGGAGAAAAAGTAGGGAAAAAAAGGGAAATAAAAAATTAAAATTACGCCTGCCTAGAAACGAAGGACATAAATTAGCCACATTTAGTTACAACAGTCTGAGGTGTATTACGGGTATGTACAACGGTCGACTTTGGGATGCTTTTGACTTTTGGGGGAGGGGGGGAGAGCATACCACGTGGGGTGGGTGTAATGGGACCAAGGAGGGGTATTATGTGATGATAGAGGATATGAAGGGGGATATTTTAGTCACGTGAATGTCATGGGAGCTTTTAATTACGTCTCATGTGTTTAGATGTCGAGTTGGATGGGCTTGTAACTCGAGTTGGGGTGGTTCTTGGATGGGGGCAAGAAATGATTATAAAAGAATGTCTATAGGGAGAGATTGATAAATTTTTTCTTACAAAGTTCCTTCTATTACATCTATGAGTCCATCATTCAACTTTTAGACCATCAGGGTCTCTTTTTGAACAATTTCTGGAGCTTCTAATTTTTCTCACTTTTTCAACGGGTTTCATATTGGGCTCAAAAATGGGCCAATTGCCATGAGGGAAGATCCAGGAAGGGTTTTCTCGCAATTCATTTCATCTTCACAAGTTCCCTGGTGTCCATCAGGTCCCGAACATGTATTATATGATGTTTTGGTGTTTTGGTGTTCACTCTGTTCAGAAGCCCCAAATTCTGCCAATAATACGTCGAGAAGCGGCCATCTGTTTGCTGCTGATGCATCAGTCCCACTAGAGTGCAACTGCAGGCTTCCAACGGCCCCAGCCCTTAAGTTCGGGTATTTCTGCCCCATCCAGGATTAGTCAGAGGCGGCGTGCTAGTGCGATAATGGCACCACCGGGACAAACGATAGACATAGTGTTCGGTGCAGCGCGGTTGGTAGAGCCAGCTGCCAAGCTCGAAGATCCGCTGCTAGTGAGAGTCGCGGAAGGGTGAGTCCGAATGGGCAAGAAGTGAGTCCCAGAGTACGGGGAAGTCGTCATGGCTACCTGTTTGGAAACGTCCAGATCGCCCAGATCTCGTTCAATTGTCGTAAAAACTGGACCAAAATGTCGCTCCAAGCCCGCAGATTCTCCTTCTGCCGCTCTCATCCCGCCATCTTTCCCACAGCGACAGTTGTGGACTGAGACTGAACACTAAAGAGTGAAAATAAAATAAAAAGTGAATTTGTGAAAAATGAAAAATGAAAAATGAAAAATAGAAGCGAAGAAGCGAACCAAAAGGCGAGCGAACGGCTTTGTCCAGTGGTCAATTTTCAAGTCAATTTTTGGCTAAAAAAAAGACCAAATTGCAGCCATCCAAACTGGTCACTACTCGACCAATATGGCCGATATTTCAATCCACATCGAACCAGTAAATCAGAATGAACCACCAGATCAATGAAGAACAACAAAATCAAACGAAAAACTCCCTCGGGCCCGCATGCTCCCGCCAAATCGACAAAATCTCTTCTCCCATAGGCGACATTGACCCCATGCAATATCGGTGACATTTGTAAATAAGATCTGAACTTTAAATTATCATACTTTGGTGGTGTATGGTGCGTGGTCCACGTGGGGTAGGGGAATAAAAAAATTGGAACAAATTGGGAAATATATAAAAATTGAAAAATAAATGGAAAATAAAAAAAACGTGGATCTTTCGATGAATAAAAATCAGGCTAATCCCAGACAAAGATCGGGAGTCTTTCTCCCTGAGCCAACGTCATCCTGACTAATGAAAACATCAAATAAAATAAATCTGACACCTAAACTAACCAACTTTATTTGGGCCAATGAGACGGCTGAAAGTCCGCACGTTGTGGGGGGAAATGGACAAAGTTTATTTTAAACGTGAAAAGTTGGGGGGAAAAAACAAAAAAATACGAAAATGTAGCCCTGATCGGTCACAGCCCAATTATCCCCTCGAAAAAAATCCCCTCCAAATCCCCATTTTTCTACCGCCATTTTCGTCCATACTTTTCGATAACCCTAAAAAAGGTCATCTATCAGTCTAAATCTTGTATTAACCTCGAAGACTAACCGTAACTTAGACTAATGCTAACGTTAAAATACAACTCTAAATATTAACCGACATCAAACCCCGAAAAGAATATATAATCGTGAGGCCATCCTGAGGATTTTGTCTCCATCGAATTCGACCACCACAAACTCCTCTACAATGGCCGCTCTTCACCAATTCGACTACATCTTCGCGCTGGCGATGATCTTCGCGTTCCTGGACGCGTGGAACATTGGAGCCAACGATGTCGCCAACTCCTTTGCCACCTCGGTCTCTTCGCGAGCCCTCAAGTACTGGCAGGCCATGATTCTCGCCGCTATCTGCGAGTTCCTCGGTGCCGTTCTGGCCGGTGCCCGAGTCACCGATACCATTCGAAACAAGATCATTGACGTTGACCCCTTCACTGAGACCCCCGCCGGCCTCATGCTGCTCATGATGTGCGCTCTTGTCGGCTCCTCTGTCTGGCTCACCATCGCTACCCGGCTCGGTATCCCCGTTTCCACCACACACTCCATCGTCGGCGCCGTCATCGGAGCCGCCATCGCCACCAACGGAGGTGGAGGAGTCCACTGGGGCTGGGAGGGATTCTCCAAGATTGTCGCCTCGTGGTTCATTGCCCCCGCCATTGCCGGAGGCTTTGCTGCCCTCATCTACCTCGTTACCAAGTACGTTGTTCTGGAGCGAAAGAACGCCCTGCGAAATGCCCTGTGGATGGGCTACATCTACGTCGGCATCACCTTTGGCGTGCTCACCATGCTGATTGTGTGGAAGGGAGCCCCCAACCTGAAGCTCGACAAGCTGTCCACCGGTGCCACCGTCGGCTCCATCATCGGTGTCGGAGCCGTCGCCGCCCTGCTCTACGGAATCTTCCTCCAGCCCTTCTTCTACCGAAAGCTCGTCAAGGAGGACCACACCCTGCGAGCCTGGGACATCTTCTACGGTCCCATGCTCTACTACCGAGGAGAGGTGCCCCCCATGCCCGAGGGAATGAACCGACACGACTATGTGGTCGACTACTACAAGTTTGTCCGAACCAAGGAGGAGTACCTGGAGTACTACGGCCATCTCAACGGCTACGAGGGCGATGACCTCACCGAGGACGAGGAGCAGCAGATTCTGGTGGTCTCCTCCAACCCCGAGAAGCACAACGGTATCGAGTCTGTCGAGTCCGAGGAGGACGAGCGAACCAACGCCTCCCGAGCTGCCGCCCTCGAGTCCGTCGACAAGTCCTGGAAGGTCCTGGCCCGAAACCCCAAGAACTGGCCCAAGCTCTTCTGGAAGGCCATTTCGCACGGCTGGACCGTCGATGTCATTGCCGCCCAGAAGACCTCCGGCCACGCTCTGTCCGGCGATCTCCGAAAGATGTTCTCCAAGGCCAAGAAGTACGACAACAAGGTCGAGGCTCTGTACTCCTTCCTCCAGTGTGTCACCGCTTGCACTGCCTCTTTTGCCCACGGTTCTAACGATATCTCCAACGCTGTCGGTCCCCTGACCACCATCTACCAGATCTGGTCCACCAACCAGACCGGAAAGAAGGCCGATGTGCCCGTGTGGATCCTGGTCTACGCTTCTTGCGCCCTTGTCATTGGTCTGTGGACTTACGGATACAACCTCATGTCCAACCTTGGTAACAAGATGACCATGCAGTCCCCCTCTCGAGGTTTCTCCATGGAGTTTGGCGCCGCCGTCACCACCATCATGGCCACCCGTCTCAACCTGCCCATCTCCACCACCCAGTGCATTGTCGGTGCCATTGTCGCCGTCGGTCTGTGTAACGGAACCATCAAGGCCGTCAACTGGCGAATGGTTGCCTGGTGTTACTTTGGATGGATTTTCACCGTCCCTTTTGCTGGTCTCATTGCCGGAATCCTCATGGGTATCATTTCCAACGCCCCCAAGCTTGGTGAGGTTTACCAATTGTCTTAGGTACTTACCGAGTTTTAGTAGAAAATCAGTTAATATATTTGTTGTTTAAGATGCCAGAATCGAGATAACTCTCGAGGATGATGTAGCTGCCCTAATGGCGTAGGAGCACCACTGAGGACTAAGACTCGGGAGTATAGTAAGTCCACGTGGATGCCCATTGAGGTGAAATTGCCAGATTGACGCAGAATTATGACGTGAGCATTGACAGGTTGGAGGAACAACATGAGACTTGGTGTCTTTTATATATATATAGAACATTAATCCCAAAAATCAGAAACCTATGGCGGTAACTTTTCAACAACTTTTTGCCAAAACATATAATACTTTACGAAACAGGGAACAAAATATCTCCAGACATCTCTGAATGACACTGCTTGTACAAGTAGCACAATTGCAACATAAATCCAGTGCATTAATACATACATCTCAGAATCTTCAGGATCGGTCGTACTCATCCTCATTCCCATGCGGCCTCAATGTCCTGGAAGACCTACCATTAGCGCATTGTCAACCTCGGTGTTGGTGAGGGCAGTATCTGTTGAATGGAGATCATAAGTATGATTGATTCAATACAGTCAATGTAACGACTTACAACTCACTTCGAGGGACACGTTCCGATAGTAGCACACACACTTCTGACGACCAAGCTGGTTCTCTCATGACTGTGAGGAATTGGCCAGGTAACCAACAGTATCAACTGTTTGCGAGGACATCTTTCATTGATTTTGTCGCCGTTAAACACTCCATACATCAGCTCCTGGCTTTATGGCAAATCCAAGAGCTCCTCATCCCGATATGCCATTCGTATCATTCGGCATACATCAGAAATGACTCCCTTGTGAAACAATATTGGTGGAGAAAGTGGGCATTTTCATTATGTCAATGGAACTCTTGAAACGAGTTGATTCCAATGGTTTACTTTGTGGAGATCTCACTTGATCCACTTGACCCACTGACCCACTTGACCCACACTCTACTACAATACTGATACAAAACTGATACCATACAACAATCACACACCATGAGCCATCTGAAAAGTCCACTTTTCCGCCCTTTTCCGCCCTTGTTCGGGATCCTTGTTCCCACTCCTTGTTTCGTTGCTTTGCTTCCATGTCGCCCAGTTGACCGAGACCTGGAGCAGATGCCCCTTTGGAGGTCCTGGAGCAAGTACAACGTCACACGGCGCAACGTTGCAATGGCACTAGTCGATGAGATGCCGTAGATGCGGCAATACTAAGGGTGTTGTGTACTTGTGGTGTTGCGGACTTGTGGTTATGGAATCGTAGCCCTCAATAACCCCATGAGAGGAGATACTGCCAAATGAACGGTACCAGTGTATTCGGGAGATCAACGTGATCGTCTTGGTACCAATCAGGAGGATTTGGTGGGGTTATGAATGGACGATGTGGACAAATTGGGGTTACAACAACAACAACAACAACAACGTCAATTTGCCGGCTTGGTCCGTCCTATCAAATCAACGACAAACCAGCCCTTTTGTCCTTGTCTGTTCTTCTGTCCTTGTCCTCCTCTCGTGCTAGCGTCGGTCTAGTGGATTGGTGACCAGGTGGGGAAATCTAACAAGCTGTCGAAAGGGTTGACATTGTTCAATCGACTGACTTCTGAGCAAGGTCGAACAGTATGTACTGTAGTTGGAGACCCACAGACGCACTTGTTGGTCTGCCAAACTCCAACCGTCCACAAGTTGAGTCCCATTCCGGTTCAAACAGCTATACAAACATATTCCCACCCTCCTGGAGTAGTATATACGACTCTTTGTCCATCTATACCCCGACAAGACATGTTATCGGTTCCCCGAAGACTCCAATGATTGCACAACTTATCACCCCTCCAGTGCGACGAGAACGGGGTGGCTTTGCATGTAGTCAATGACCAGGTTTCCAGACTCTCAAACCACGGTCTGGGCTGGCTGCCGACTTTGTAGTTGAGACATGCAACAAAGGTGTTGCTGATGTAAACGGGTCACCATGGACTCAGATCGACCCACCAGTAGAGTGTCATGGAATTTTATCACGTGTCTCGGCCGTGTGACTTGCGCTGTCATGGATCAGATTGTGAGTACTGTATGTATTGCACTGTAGCTACAAGTACGAGTTCGTACTTGTAGTTCGTACTTGTAGTATCGTGCTATCCAGATACCACGGAGACGATGCTCGACCCGGTTTGTCCGAGAACAGATTTCAGCGATATCAACGGTCAAGGAGCTGGCCGAGGTCTCTATCACAGGGATGATGCCTGTGATGAGCTCTGCAGTGCGACATGAGCAGGCAGCTTACCTGAGGCCATAAGTGGACAGTCAAGTTTCGATAGCAGTGGAGAACACCGGCAAGTCGCAAATCCGAAATGCCTCAAACCGCGCAACCACTTATTCAAACCGCGCATTCAAGCTCCAAACCACGCAATTCTCAAACCAAATCTCCGCCAAGTTTCCACCAACTCTCCGCCAACTCTCCGCCAACTCTCCGCCAACTCTCCACCAACCTCCCTCGGCATTCCAACTCGGGCTAACTTTGGCAAAATAGGACTTAAGCTGGTCGTTTATTTGCGGCTCTAAAGGCGAGGGGGCCGCTAGTCTCCGAGCTTGTCAGCGTATCTGAACCAAACTTGTATCAATACTCGAACTCTGCCACGAGCTCTAACTCTGTCGTGAGCTCTAACTCTGCCTCTGTTCGAACTCTCCACTAGCTCCAAACTATCGGAGCCGTCTGGGCTTTATTGTGGTGTTTAATTGTGTGTTTAATGTGGTGAGTGGTGAGTGGTGAGTGGTGAGTGGTGAGTGGTGAGTGGTGAGTGGTGAGTGGTGAGTGGTGAGTGGTGGAGCTGTGGAAGGGAGACCGGAGAGACATTAACAGTGGCTGACGGACACAGACACAGAAGAGACCAACTAAGGCACTGCCGACTCCCTCACAGACTCCACTCCAACCCCCCCCCCTTGTCGCATCTCACTAAAGCGGCGATAAAGCCATCTGACACCGAATCAATGCACAGGTCGACTGACGTTCCTGCGGGGTTGGGCTCGCAGTGATTAATTGAGCTGACGTTGCGCTGACGTTGTGCTCTGACTGATGGACAACGTCATCATCTAATTGGTCTGTCTGAGACATCCGTATTCAGCTGAGTCCACCAGACTGCGAGGTGTTCACGGTGCTCACGTAATCAGACGATATTTGGGCAACCACCGCGACAACCGCAAACGTTCATGTGCTACACAGACAAACCTCGCGGTTGGAACCTCTGTCTCTTGGTCAGAGCCAACCGAGAAAGTATAGCACTCGTAAGATAGACGACGATCAAAAGACGATCAAAAGACAACCAAAAGACAACCAAAAGACAATCAAGACAGTTAAAAGACACCCCAAACACCCCCAAAGAACTGACAGCCACGCACAGATCCACTTCACCCTTTGGACTTGGTCTCGGGTCTTTGTCTCATTGTCGTTGATAGTGGATCTACGTTGAGGGCGGCATTGGGCGACTATCTGTGGTGTACTGCACAAGTACTGCATCAATTCTGGTACTCGTACTTGATTGGTACACCATCTCAAACCATGTCATAATATGTGTCGACGACATACCTCATACTCTGAGACTGACCCTTCACAATCGACATGGTGCTGGCCCTGCTGTCTTGCCATCCACACGCCAACCGCTAGTCATGGTAGCACAGCTACTGGGTTCGTGTGGCTAAGTCAGAACACGGACTGGGCAAACTATCACAGACGGACCGGGCTACTATCCCCTCTCCCTGCGACATCACACTATGCCAAGGCGAGCTGCTGGTTGACGAGTGCATTGCAGTAGCGTGACCTTGTTGACGTTGACGTTGACGTTGACAGCTGAATTTTATTGTCGCGCACGAGACCTAGTCGTGTGAGAGAAAAAAAATCCGATCAAACACCGACCTTGGGCCAAACACCGATCTTGGCGTTGTTGCGCAGAGAAAGAAACATTCTCACTGAAATTAGCGTCATATCGTTATCATTCCTTGTGTTGATGTATGAGAGGAGTGGTTGAATCCATCTACGAGACTCGCTTCGGAGGTTTGATGCTGGTGAGATGTTCACGGTCTCTTTTCCATCTGGGTTATTCATGGTCCCCATCATCTGGAGCTCGTTGTCGCCTTTTCGACGCCGATGTTGTCGCAACTGGGCATTTATCAGTACCTCTCAATTCTGTGCTTTCGGACTATAAACCCAGGTTATGATAAATGCCATAGTTCGAGATAGCTCCTTGGCGGGTCTGGACTAACCAAAACGGCATTCCAGTTCTGGATAGTCTGCCAAGACGTATCCACCGACGATACCATCGAGGGCATTGCCGAGGATATTACAGTAATATCGGGTGGAGCACGCTAATTCGACAGAAGTGGGTGATCGGAGAGGCTACGATCCAGGCTTGGTCTGACAGCTGTTGAGCGACTGCTGGTGCTCGTACATTGCCGGAATCGAGGACGTGATTGGGCTGGGCACTAAGCAGACATGGAAAAGGTGTCAATGAAGACACTTCTGTCATAACTAAGATCTTTTTCATACACCGCGACCGAGAGCTGGATCTGTCCTTCGAGCACTCGACTACGTGAACATGCACTCATCCACTGGCCAGCAGCAGCTCCCATTTACCGTCTGCGAGACAATCGTCTACAATATTTGGAGATTGTCCTGGGGACTGGTAGACCTGGAAGCAGATGGTACTTAACTGGGAGCCACTTTCCGTTGTGTGTTTCATTCCACACTGCCTACATATCCACAGTTCCTGCTCTATCCTACATCTCCAACTGTGTTTCATTATTCCCTGAGACCTGGTTGTAGAGGAGAATTGGAATCGGATCAACCCCTTTGCAAGAGACGGGTCGTACGCGATTCTCCTGAAGTCTAGCAAGATCAAGTCCATTGGATCCCAACCCTTCGGCCCATATGGTCCCCGTGGTCAATCAGGTGAAGCTCATCACCGCCGCCAGAGGATCTGATGAATGCACATATATCTTCTACAAACGAGATGAACTACGCTTTTACTTTACTGTCGCGCATTACCCGTCTCTGGTGGCCATGATACAAGTTCTTGTCAGACCAGTCTTCACGTCTATCCAGTAATTCTGCACCCCTGGTACGAAAAGATCACTTACTCTTCTCAACTACTCGTATCCAGCTAGCACACCATATCTACGAGGGCTGAGTAAAATTATAGTATGTACTGTTCTCATACTTTACTCATGGAATTGTTCAACATATCTAGTGGTCAAAAGATTCACAGGTTGGCCCATCGGACGCCATAAGGAAGCCAGGGCTTGTAAATGTTGTACCAGCGAATGTTGTCGCCGGAGCCGTAGGACTGCCAAATGCCTGGAACCCCGTTGACCTCGGTGCATCCCCAGGGTTCCCGATCGCCGGTGCACACTTGTTCATTGTCTCGTTTGTTGAGGGAGTCGACAGGAGCAGCCGCTGCCAGACAGGCAAGGAGAGAGACGGTGATGGTAGAGAGTTTCATGGTGAATTGGTAACTGTTAGTTGGTAATGGTGAGTTGATAAATCTGCTGCTGAATCTGCTGCTGGACTGATGATGATTCGGCACTTCCCCTGAACTACTTATACCCCGAATGAGACTCGGGTCTGAACCTCATCCCGGACTTGAGAGGTTCATGGGGCTCTGCGACCGCTTCATCAGGTCATTCAATTGGTTTGAGGACCCCGAAGTTTCCCAAACAGGCACTTTTTGATTCACCATTGTCTCCCAATGGTATCCACATCGGGTAATATCTCACCATGAGGTAGAAACGGGCACCCTGTAGAGGACCAGGGCAATTGACATTGTATCTCGCAAGTAGAGCGTTTCGCCGACAGATATTCCGACTAATTGCCCCAATTTCTTGCTGGAGAAACAACTAAATCAACTAGTGGACTTTCTGGTGGGTTTTCTTCAAGAAATTGTGTCACATTACGTCCCATGAAACGTCCTTTGGGTAGTACAAGTTCATTGGCGTCGTTCTTGGGAACTTCCAGTCCGCAAGAATATGAGATTTAACACTCAAATGAGCCTCTCATCATTCCATGAGGCTCAAACAGGTCTTTCATAACTCATGCACAAAACAGGTACTTGTACTTTTCAACAGGCACTTTTTAATAGGCACTTGTACGGTATCTGGAATAGGAAAATCTCAAGAAAGACAATCAATGAGGCTGATGACTCTAGATAGAATCGACCCACGTAGTAATGGGGCGTTATAGTCACGTGACGTCCGCTTTATAACCACGTGACCTGAGCACATTCATTTTTTTCACACAAACATTGTGTTAATCCTCGTTGCTCCTCTCCCTGTGCGACAATCAATCCAACTTCACCGGAAATCACTCTACGGTTCAGAATTTTGATTCATATGAATCTTACGCTCACTTATCTTCCCCGTAATATCCATTTACCCCCCAATGGCACCCCGTTATTGACCAAATCGTCGCGGGTTTTGGATCACATTTTCCCCGATTTATACTCCCAACGCCGCTTTAAACTTGTAATCCCGCCTGGTTGGCTCAGTTGGTTAGAGCGTTAGTCTCATAATCTGAAGATCACCAGTTCGACCCTGGTACCGGGCAGATTATTTTTTCCGCCCCAGAAACAACAAGCGTGATTTTTTTGCTCAGAGTCGACACAATCGTAGGTGGTAAAAATGACTGTATTTTTCCCCTTCTCGGCCCCCCACAATATAGCCCTCATTTCGGCCCCCGCTTTCCCCCGAGAATACCTCCAGGGTTAGGGATTCCCAATGGAGGTGAAAACTTTGGTGCGATATGTGGGATCATTCAGGCCCGGCTGAGATCTGCTGGAAAAGACAACCTACCTCGACAGCTGCGGTTTGCCTACGGCTGGAGAATTCGCACGAGCTTTTTACGGACCATGCTTAGGGTGAAGAAAGGAAGGGCAACGTACCTTCCGAAGCTGGGGTACAAGCCTCCGCTGCCTGACGACGATCCGTTATGGAGCGGAGGTGACACCCGGAGCTCCCTGAGCCTCTACGACCATCTCGACTGTCCGAGCAGTCTGTGGCAGGATGACCACAAGCGGTTTGTGGCGTATAAGGGCCAGTGGTCGTTTTTGGATGGAGGGCGGACTCGCAAGGCTGGCAACGATGTGCGGTATGGACGAGAGACGGTGAACCGGCTGAAAAGTGCCGCTATGAACCAGGAGGGGCTTTCTGCGGGCCAGCAGCGGCGCAAAATGGTGAATCTCATGGCGCTGGGCGTGCGTTTGGCTGCCCGCAAGGCCATGCCCATCAAGTATGTGGACTGTGCTCCCCAGACGGAAGACTCGCTCAATGCAGATCACGCGCTGCTGGGCCAGGCGTTTGGAGCCATCGAAAGCGCATTGCACGTGGACATGAACGGCGACATGCTTGGGGCGCCTCCCCAGGACTGCAAGTATCTCATGACGCGGCGGATCTGGCGGATTCTGGGCAAGACTACCCTGGCCCCAGCACTCATGGGCTACATCGTGAGCTCGCTCAGAAACACAAAGGCGCACCCGCAACTGGTGATTGATCTCTACAGCATTTTCGCCCAGACCCAGTACGTCTACGACCTGCCGATTGGCAACGCATGGGGCTACCAGCTGAACCTGGACCGATTTTTCCGCTACGCCTCGCACCACGTGTGTCCGTCGCCCAAGCCCTCGGACCAGGAGCTGGCGCACCTGTGCTCGCTCTTTTCCAAATACAACCACGAGACGGGTCTGCCTCCAAACGTGCCGTTTTCGAGCCGGATCGAAAACCAACTGCCTCCAAACTGGCTCCATGTGTTTCTGCAGATCCTCAGAGACAGACAGTACCCCTGCGACGGCCGAACCTTCTCCAAACTCGCTCTACAAGTGTCAAAGGTGTCGCCCTCGGCACGCCAGGACCTCGTCGACTACCATCTGCAGCAATCGCAACGCTGGTGGTACCAGGACGAAAGCATCTTCTCGCTCATGTATCTAATGTGCAACCGAGGCGATGCCGAGGCGTCCATCGAGGTCATGAACTCGTCCAAGTTTGCCGACCGGTTGCTGGATGAGAAAACGCGCATGGGCGCCTTCCGCATGCTGCTCTACCGCGCAGTCAAGTTTGAAGGCATGCGAGACGGAGTGTCCGTGTTCCAAACAATGAAGGAAAAGGGCTGTGCTCCGGACCTGCAATGCTACGGGCTGTTGATCCACGGCTACAAGGAGCGTGGCTACTACGAGGAGGCCATCACCCACACCATGGACGTGGCGGCCCAAAGCTACATCCCCACCGAGATTGCCACAGACTACTTTGAGGCGGTGGCCAAGAGCAAGGACCTCAAGGAGACGCTGGCGGTCTACTGTCAGCTGTACACGCCGCATTCGCTCATGGAGCTGGGCATCTTTGCCTTTGTTCTGCGGGGCAGCGCCCACAACTCCATTCCGCTGGACGTTGCGCTGGGCGAGCTGCCGCAACTGGAGCCCCGAAAGGCCGGGTTCCGCGTCTACAAGTCCGACGTGGCCTCGTTGCATATCCTTTACCGCGCAATACTGGACCAGGCCGACCAGGTGGAGCTGGTGCGCGATCTGTACGAAAAGTACCGAGACCATGTAGCGGTTCAGCTGAGTAAGGGAGACCGGATGCCGGCGCGGTGGAAGTGGCTGCTCAGCGACATGGGGTTTGCGCTCATGTCTTCCTTCGTCTCGTCGGTTCTGCGCTGCACCGGCGACATTTCGCAATGTCTGTGGCTTGTCAGAGACTTTGTCGACGTGGCCAAGGTGAACATGTTTGCCCCCGAGGTGTTCAACACGCTGGTGACGGCGTCGTGTTACAGCGGGCGGTTCGATCTGGCCGAAGAGGCACTCCGACTGGCCATGACCATCAACACGCCCACCAACAAGGTGGTTTTCATCCCTCTGGACGCCCACATTCGCGCCGGACGGCTGGAAAAGGCCCGCGTCTTCTGGAACATTGCCGTCGACAACAACGACGTCTACTCGTACCTGGAGCACGTGGCGCTACTGCTGCCGATAGCCGACGAGCATGGCTGGAATGTGCCCCAAAAGCTGCGCGTCGCCGTGGACAAGTTCCTCGACGCCCAGGAGGCCAAAAAGGAGGCCAAGGCCGCCGGATACGCCAAAGACGACACAGCAGAGCTCGAGCTGCTACAGACGGAATCCAACGACGAAATCGCATCCCACGTCGGACTGGACCGGGACCCGGAGACGGAGACGGAGACGGACAACCAACCGATCCGCTCGGCCAGATAGCACCGACATTTTTCTGTATATATGCATGTGATAGGAAGGAGGAAAAAGGAATAGTATGACGACAATACATTATGATTATTACCAAGATGTGTACTTCTCGGGTTAGGCCCGTGTGGTGTGTACCCGTATGGTCGTGCAAGACCATTCATATAATACATTAATACTGTTACAAAGGGCTTTTGAAGGATCAGTCATGGGCAATCCAACCCAGTCTCCATCTATCCAACCCAGTCTCCACCCACCTCACAGATTCTTGGTGCCGACAATGGGATCAATCTCGTACACCAAGGCAACATCTGTACTGGTGGTTCCACTCCAGCCTCGGTCTCCACTGGAGGTGACCATGTATCGACAACTAGGATCGACCTTGATGGACGACAGAATACCGCCCTGATGTCCCGGCACAATCCAGAACGGCACAGCCTGCTGCTTGGAGCTCTGCACGTCGTACAGCCGAACATTGTCGTGAGAGCCGCACAACACGTGTCGGTTATTGGGCATGGCAGCCACGGTGCTCACGGCACCTGACACGGACGGGAACTTGAACACCTTAGATGGCTCGTGCACATTGCCTCGCAGCGAAAACTCCTCCACCGTGCTGTTTCGTCGACCAACGTAGATGCGGTCTCCGTCGGTCGACCAGCATGCACTCATACACCACGGCGGGGTGCCTTGAGGCACCGCAATTCGTGTGATTCGCTGCTGCTGCCGTCTATCCCAAATGTCTACTGTTCCATCAATGGCCGACGTGAGAAATATGGACTCCGAGGTAGTGTTGCGGGTCGGCTCTTCGCTGCCATCACCATCACCTGGCTTGACACTTTCGCTGGCCTCCTTATCTGCTGCCACGTCCACCTCCTCCTTTTTCACCTCGGACTCGCCCTCCTCCTCCTCGTCCGACCCGAACAACGACCCCATGCTTTTGTCGTCGTCTTCCTCCTCGTCTCCCTCGAGAATCTCTTTGCCCCGGGCCGTTCTGTCACTATCCAGCCCCTCTAGACCCAGATTTCGAGACACTATTGCGCCTCCGACTGGCTGATACTGCACGGTGCTGACCTGGCCAGAAATGCCGTCAAACGTCCGAACCACATTGCCCGTGTCCAAATCCCACTCGTTGACGGTCTTGTCCCACGATCCAGACAAGAGTCTGTTCTCCCACTGGTTGAGAACCAGCACCGATACCGTAGACGTATGTTTCTCGAGGTACGCCTGGATCTGGCCCTCGTTGTGTCGTACGCTCATCAGCGTGATTCCTCCACTCTGCAAACCCGAAAGCAGCCACAGACACCGCGAATGCGCCGCCAGCGAGTACACGCACGACAGCTTGGGCTCGTAGAGCCCATCCTTAGGCTTGATGTCTGTTTCATAAACGGGCTGTTCGTTTTCCCAGTACGACGTCAGAACGCCAGCCTTGGTCACACAGTCCACAAACGGATGCCGTTGGGCTACCGTCAGGGGCAGCTTGCCGTTGACGGACGCAAAAAAATCGTACTTGCGCACAAAGCCGTCCTGGCCACCGGTAAACATCCACTTTAGCTCCCACGACAGATCTATCGCATGCACGGGACAGCTGTGGATCGCCGCCACGTATGGCACAATGTCGTAGCCCTCGCACGAGTCTGTGTTGGTACAGAGCGGAATGTTTCTGCGGCCGGTGTACTTGAGCACATGTTCGGGAATGTCGCTGGAGCCACTGTCATCAAAGACAATGTGCGATCCGTTCGACGTCGACGCCGCCATGTGGCCGTTTGACTTGGACCTCGTCACCACCTCCTCGTCCTCCTCTTCCTCGACCTCTTCGTCTTCTGCCTCCTCGTCTCCATCGCCCATCACCACATCCTCCGTGTCGTCCATCTCCATGTTGTTTTCCAGCGCGTCTTCAAACAAATCGTCCTCGTTCTCATGCTGCTGGTCGTCCTCCTCCTCGTCCTCCTCCTCCAGCTGGTTCAGCGCCTTGTCGTCGAGAAAGTCGTCTTTGGACATTTGCGTGTCGTGCAAACTGGCAGTGTCCTGGAAGTATCGTACTTAGCTCCGCATGTTGCACCGCCAAAGTTAAACGGGAGTGCACAGCGGGACAGAGGGGGACACGAGGGGGCATTTATATTCACAATGGGGCCACAGAGAGTGACACAAACACAAAGGTGAGAGTATTGTCATTTCTTCAGTAATTTCATCAGTCTTACGAAAAAGGAACTACTTTTAAAACGAGCATGAGAACGGCAGTATGTATCGAAACCCACTTAACTAAGATCTAATATTAGTCAACTAAACTAGAGAACCATTAGTTAAAAGAGAAGGAAAGGTGAGTGTAAAAATTAATATAAAAAATATATATAAAAAATAAAAAAAGAATAAAAAAGAACTGAGTAAGTACGAGTAGAAGAACAAGTACAAAATGTCAGTACTCGTACAAATAATTCAGTACTTGAGATCTATTCTATCCATCTATGAAAATTATCGGGTTCGAAAACCACCTGGTTTCATATTCCTGACAGCTGGGTATACAACTCAGTTACCAAGTATTGTAAGTACTGTAGGTAGTACACACTCCATTCAACCCACATTCTCCTCCAGTTCAAGCACTTTGGTTCTTCTGCCGTGCACTGATGACTTAAAGACCCTCTTTTCGTCGTTTAGATGCAACTTTTCGACGTTTTCGACTTTCTCCTAGTCCAGTCTTGACTGTAGACGCTCCTCGCTCCTCGCTCCTCGTTCCTAATCAAACAAAAACAACCGTTCAGACACCTCTTTCACCACCAGATCCATGCCTGCGTCCAAATTGTACCCCGTGTACGCACTGCAGCCCATTATGGTGGTGTTGTGGCCCTCGGGGATCTGGTCGAGGTCCAGATGGCCGCTGATGCGTTCAACGGTCTTGTCCCGCTGATCTGGGTCCACCAGATCCAGCTTGTTGATCCAGATGAGCACTCCGGCTCCAACCAGTCGGTCCTCGTTGAGAATCGCTTGCAGCTCTTTGCGGCAATCGTGGAGTCGGTCGGTGGCACTGGCGTCTACCACCCAGATCATGAAGTCCGTCTTCTCAAAGTAGTTTCTCCAGAAAGGTCGCAGAGTCTTTTGGCCGCCAATGTCCCAGATGTTGAGCTTGTACTGGCCCCTTGTCACCGTGCGGATGTTGAAGCCCAGCGTCGGAGACACCTCGTTCACGTCCTCGTTGAGAATCTTCTTGACTATCGTCGTCTTGCCCGAGTTGTCCAGACCACTGTGTTAGTACTGTTCCCTCTCACACCCAGACACGTCGCTTCCTCTCACTCACAGCATGAGCACACGGATCTCCTTATCCTTGAGCTTTTGTTTCTTGATGATCGTGAGTAGCCCCATTTGTCATGTCGCCAGGAAGAGGAGTTGTGGTGGAGCACATGACAACTGCACAGGAGAGGTTGGTGACAAGTGAAGAGATCAAATTGGGCGATTGAGTCGAAGGACTATGGTTGGAGTGTTAGATGCGCCAAAGGAGGGTGGTAAAGCGATGAGTAGAAAGAAGAAGAAAAAAGAGGGGGAAAAAAAAAACAGGGGAAACACACCCCTTGCCGCGACGCACTTGCCGCACTCCCACTCTCTCTAAGTAGAACATCAACATAACAAGTCAAAGTAACACATAACAGCACATGAACGCCATCTAAACCACCCGTTCCTGGTACCAAAATGATCCTCTGTATCTGAGGAATCCATTTCTTTTATTCTTTAGTCGCCTGTGAGAATAATGGGCAAGTTACAGTCGAATCTATATTACGCTTACAAAGTACTGGATGAACCGCAGAGTGTGTGAACATGTATCACAATATCTCTTCTGTCTACCAAATTCGCCAATCTCCTTTCCCCAATCGACAAAACCTCAATATCAGCCAACCTCAATATCCAACTCACCCCGCTATATAATGTATCATATTAAGGTTTATGCATACTGCACCAAGCATGCATACGCGGTCTCAATATATACCTCATCTCATATATAATTACGGCATATCGACCCAGCTATGACGGGATGGATATATTTGCACCAGGCGTTGCGGCTGCTTACGCCGTATCCGCAGGCCGTTCTCAACAACAAACGGTCGTCGGTGGCTGGCTTTTCGCTCGACTACGGACTCTGGGCGTTCGTGGGGGCGGTGTGTCATTTCGTCTTCACCCTCACATACATCAACAGCGATCTGGTCCATCGGCAGTTTGTGCAGAGATACCCGTTAGCGTTTGATATGCCCAGCGCGTCCGGGGTGATTGCCCTAATTGACTTGAACGAGTCATTGGTGTGGGGCGTGTGTGCTGTGCAGGCGTGGTATTCATACAGACACACCCAGACCAATGCGCAGTCGTGGTCTCTGGAATGCAAGGTGATTATGGGTCTTTTTTTCGGCGTGCTTGTGTTCCTGCTGATGGCGGTCAAGTCCCATCCCTTTGCAAAGGTGCCCTCGCCTCCTGGAGTCGGCTATCTGGGTATCAAGTTCATTGACGTGGTGGACTGGCTTGGAATCATCGGAGACTTCAGCGTCTACGCCCGTTACGTGCCGCAGGTGTCGTGCAACTGGACGGTGCAGAGCTGTGTGGGCTCGTCGTTTTTGCTCATTGTGCTGGATCTGGCGGGCGCGTTTTTCGGGATTCTCGACGTTCTGGGCGCCAAAAAGGCCAAGCCCACCAAGGAGAGAAACCGAAACAAAGTCGTGCGGGCCGTGCGTCCCTCGGGTCTCTTTTGGGCATGCTGGTTCCGCTTTTTCTGGGATCTCGTTCTGCTCTACCAGCAGGTGAAATACAAGGGATGTCGTCCTCTGGTCAAGAGGAAGTACGTGAAGCCCGTGGACGTGGAAGTGATGGGAGAAGAAGACGACAGCGATGAGGGCCATCGACTGTTGCGTTCGGGCGAGGTGGAACTGAGAGACATGGCGTGACCGTGAGGATAGAAAATCGTGATACACTGCATTTACATATTTAATGATTATGACATGAGAGGGTAGAGAGAGTGGACACTGCAAATCTCAAAGAGCACTGTAGTCGTTGTATTCGGACCCACGCCAGACACACTTGTCAACTAAACATTCAAGTAAAGTATCAGCTTGAAATCACATAACTGTGTCGAATGGGCGAGTTTGTAACAGAAATATCATGTCAATAGTATATATCGGAGACTGTGTGACACTGCTCTACAGTTTTATACGCTTTTTTCTCTACGAAAGCAACTGGAGCACCAGACAGAAACCCATCACAACTTCTTCTTTCAACTAAAAGTCAACTAAAAAAGACCATGCTATATGTCTCGGTTGCGGGCTTCCAGACACCATGAGAGAGATACAAGTGTCAAGAGCGAAGAATCTGAGACAGCTGTTTCGGTTGTGTCTTCTCACGTGATCTTACATTGCTTACTAATCCAGTACCAATAATAACCACTCTGTTGGCTGTGTATACTAAATCATGTCAATATATCCGAGTATATATAGAGAGGAGGTGTCTACTGAAACAAGTAATGATAGTAGAGATATTCAAAAGACAGAATTAATACATACGTAGACCCCAGGATAACCAAAAACCGTGCTCTTCATCAACATATTAACAATTCTAAAAGTGCATACAAGAATGAACACAACCTGGAATCGAACCCACGGGACCCGACACCACTCTCCAGACTACTGCATGGGTTGAAGAAAGGATGGGGATTGAAGAATGAGGTGATTATTGGTGTTGTTCGACCGACTTATGTGTAAACGAGGACAAGATTCCTTCCTACAACCACTTATATCGCTCCTAACTCCGATTCGGCTCCGACAGTATACTCTTGTCTCACGGTTGTTGCAGTTTCTCCCGTTTAGGTTGACTCTCTGTTAACCCGTACCCTGAAAAATCTATCTCCAGTTGACGCATCACCATACGAGCCCTCACTGACCGTATAACAGCACACACAACCATGCTGTGGAAGAAGATGTTTGGCAAAAGCGTGGCGCCGGCCTCCCGGCTGGTTGCCCTGCGGCCGTTCCACTCTACCGCCGCGCGATCCAACGACTGGTTCGGCAGCATGACAGAAAACAAGGAGTCCATCAAGCAGGATCTGGACAAGGCGACGGCAAACAAGAGATCCAAGGAGGTCGAGCAGAACGCCGACGAGACCAAGGGCAAGCTGCCATCGTTCAAAAACGACACCAAGCTGCAGGAGTACATTGCCGAGCAAAAGGGCGAGGCGGAGGTGGGTATTGCAAAGTACGGCACCGCCCTCAAGCAGCGGCTGTGGGACGCCTACCAGAGCCAGCACAAGGGCTACGACAAGACCAAAAAGGTGTCTGTCGACGGCCGGGAGTACCAGATGGTGCTGTCGCCCAACGAGATCAAGGCGTTCGAGCCCTCTGTCTACTGCAAGTCGTACCGAATCGACGGCACCTGGAAGAAGGCCCAGCTGCTGCTGCGAATGCTGCGTAAGATGAACGTGCGTGAGGCCATCACTCAGTGCCAGTTTTCTGCCAAGCGAATGGGCCGACCCGTTGCTGAGCTGCTCCAGCGAGGAGTCAGCGCCGCCAAGGACATGAACATTGACCCCGAGACTCTGTACATTGACGAGATCTGGGTCGGCTCGGACCCCCGAAAGTTCCGGTTCGTGGACCCGAAGGGCCGAGGACGAGCCGGCATGAAACACGCCGAGTACATCCACATCCGGGCTATTCTGCGAACCCCCGTGACCCAGCAGCGAGAGGCCCGTGACAAGGAGTACAAGCGCCTGGCCAAGAAGCCCGTGTTCCAGCACGAGACCCGAAAGGTGGGAGATGGGTACCTCAAGTCTGACTACCGATGGTAATGTATATAGCTAGGGCGAGTGACGAGCATAGCGCGTTGCTCGAACGAAATGAACAAAATGAGTAACCGATGAGCGAATAGCGTGCGAAACGAGTTGTTAGTTCTTAACGAGTAAGCCACCGAAGAATGAGTAACAGAAGTAGCAGCAACGGGGTAGCAGCTGGAACATATCAGGTGACGAGATCGCTTCCATGAAACAGGTGAAGATGATCTAAGAGCTCAGAGGAACGAGTACTGTATGTACCAGTTGATATGTAAATGACGAAGGGCTGTGCTTAGACAGTAGAATACACTAATCATCTGTCGAACATAATCTCGGAGAAGAGGTGTTGGTCATACGTCTGCACTTGCACCTACTTGTCAGGACATTTATATGAATGGAACAGTGTGATCTGGAGTTCTGACTATTAACATCTAGAAGTACGAGTATATATGTACTGTTCCAAGATACACCTTCCGAACGACTCCAACTTGTCGGGTGGTCGTTGGTACTCCATCATGAAGTGTTGCGGCAGGTTGGGCTACAGTCCAATTGTACCGACCATCTTCCTCCAAGTGCCGTCCCTCGGTCTGTGCAACTTATAAGTCTAATGAATTCATGCTATTTACTCGTCATCGAAGCCAGTGAGCTGCTCTCGAGCACGCTGGGGGACTCGGTTAGTATAGTAAAAATGGGGTGCAGTGGAGGCTGACGGTATGAGCCGATGACCGCAGGGCCTGCGACTCAGACCGTAGAAGCTCAGTAGTCTGGTCAGTTGATCTAGTCGACTGCAGTCTGATTCGGTTGATTGAGGTAGTCATGGTGGCTTGGGATCAGCTCGTCCAGTTACCAGACAGACAATCACAGACAATCACAGACAATCACAGACAATCACAGACAATCACAGACAATCACAGACAATCACAGACAATCACAGACAATCACAGACTATCACAGACCATCAGACAGACTGGCAGTTTTGTCAACCACCGACGTCCATTGCAACGCAACAACTCTTAATAATACTCACGAGGATATGATTGGGGAAGGGGGCTGTGATCGGGGTAAAGGTACTTTCTTCGTAGAGGAGTCAGTGTGAGCGCGGCGACAGGGCCGGCGATTCCAATGGCGAAGGCGAAGAAGAGATGGGGTCGGTTATGAGCAGACCATCGAAGGTACTGGGTTGTGTTAGTGGGGCTCAGACGGAGTCAGTCTCTACATAGTCTGCAGACATCTCGGTGACGTGGCACAAACGAAAGACCCGAGAGTGAATCAGCTGTTCATTCCATTCATATGGTCGTTCCATTCATACGGTCATTCGTTCCACCCACCACGTCTCTTTGGTGTTGGGGTCACCTTGTGTCGATTGACATAGCCATTTCTGGGTGTGTTTACGGCCAGGCCGCGGCGTTTTGTGCTCTCGAAACCCGCTGCGCGATACTCACTCGAAAGGGGCCGTTCCAGAAGCCGGGGTTAGCGTTGATCATTGTCGAGTGTCCGTTTGTGTCTCGTTTCCCTGATATTGGATTTTGGGCGACAAATGCACAGTGGTGGTTTTGGCTTTTAGTTACCCTCGTCGTGATTGGCCCGTGGGCTGGATCTGCTTAGTAAGCTGGGAGGAAAAATTCAGGTGAATTTACGGGAATTGAATGGTTAAATAGGAGGAATAAATGGGGAAATACGAAGCGAATTAATGAGCAGGGAGACAGAGAAAAGTCCTCAATAAAAATAAAAAACAAGAAAAATAGTAAAATAAGATAAAACAAATAAAAATATAAATATAAACAAATAAATAAAATAAACACCTACCAAACTCCCTACCGCCTCAACATCACATGACGTCCAAGTCACATGTCCACATGTGGGGTAAGTTTCAAGATGAGCACAACTTGTAGCCCGAAAAGTAGACGATTTGTACAAGTAGATATATCCCGAAAACATCTAATCATTCTCTAACTGATTAGTAAACATAGACACCAACAACTACCCTACAGGCACCCACCGTACACAACGAGTTCCCTCTTCTCATATATCGTACATTGTATATACAATCACACTGTAATTACGAGTCTAAGATGCAACAGTCAGTTCAGTGTGGTCCTCGTCCCCTTGTGCGCCACAAAAGAGTCTGAAGCTGGTCCAACTTCCCCTCCCCGGCCCGATTGACTCTCACGTGACCTCTTTTTCTGCTTTATGCTCCTCTTTTCCAACACTTGCACGTGTCGGTCCTGTCTTAGTTGCACTGTGTGGTCTCTCTCTGTGCCTGTTTGACTCTGGCTGATAAGCTAAGCTGCATAGTGTCCACGGTCGCATCTCTCAAGCCGGTCTAAGAACTTTGTCAACTGCACCAACACATTCGAAAACAGTACAAGAAGGACTGGACGACAGCAACGGACTTCTCTCAGCAACTCTTCTCGGCGCGCCTATGGAATACATCAAGATTTCCAAGGTCTCTGACGTGGCGCTTTTCCGCAGAGGCAAGTCCTCCCGGGGGACTTTGCACCTCACCACCCACCACATGATCTTCCAGCTAGAAGGCTCCAATCCGCACGAGCAGGCCGATCGGGTGGCCGGCGGGGTCTCGACGGCGTCCGATGACGTGGCAGCTCTGGACCTGAACAAGGCCGGCGAAAACGGACACAGACAAGACACAAATGGCGACACAGATGGCGACACAAATGGCGATACAAATGGCGACACAAAAGGCAACACTAGCAACAACAACAGAAACGATAGTAATGGGAATGGCGGACACAAAGCCGACAGCGGGAGAGGTGGAAACAGCGACAAAAATGATAGCAAGAATGATAGCAAGAATGACAGCAAGAATGACAGCAAGACAGTCAGCAACATTCCAGTTACACCCTCGGAAATCTGGATCTCGTATCCAATCATCTCGTCTGTGGAAAAAAAGAACGGCGTGATCCGAATCCGCTGCAGAGACTTCACCTACCTGGCTCTGCACTTCCATAACGAGCCTGAGGCCAAGGACGTGTTCGACAGCATCCAGAAGCTGTGCTGCCTGCCATCGGTCGAGCGGCTCTATGCATTCTACTACAAGCCCGGCAAGTCCGAGCGACGCTTCAACGGCTGGGCGGCCTTCAACCCCCAACAGGAGTTTGGCCGCCAGGGCGCCTTTGCCAAAAACAAGTGGCGAATGACCTCGCTCAACGAAAACTACGCCCTGTGCGCCACCTACCCGCAGCAGCTCTCGGTACCCGCCTCGGTGTCCGACAATGTGCTCAACTACGCTGCTCGGTTCAGGTCAAAAAACAGACTTCCAGTCTTGTCCTTCCACAACAGCTTCAACGGATGCACCATTGCACGGTGCTCGCAGCCGCTTGTGGGTCTCAAGAAGAACCGATCGCCTCAGGATGAGAAGGTGGTGGCGGAGATTTTCGGAACCACCGTCAATTCCGAGTACGAGACGCCGCGAGACAATCTCATCGTGGACGCCCGGCCCGTGGCCAACGCCGTGGCCCAGCAAGCGCTCGGAGCAGGGTCCGAGAACACAGACAACTACGCCCGCGGCTCATGCACAAAGCACTACCTAGGTATTGACAACATTCACGTGATGCGCGATTCGCTTAACAAGGTCACCGATGTGCTCAAGGACGGTGACTACAGCGAACTGGACTACGCTTCGAAAAAGGACGCACTTCAAAAGTCTGGATGGCTCAAGTACACAACCATTATTCTAGAGGGCGCTGTGCTCATGGCCAAGGCTCTGCACCTCGAGTTCAAGCATGTGCTGCTGCACTGTTCCGATGGCTGGGATCGAACTGCCCAGCTGTCGTGCCTGGCCCAGATAATGGTCGATCCCTACTTCCGTACGCTCAACGGCTTCATGGTGCTGGTAGAGAAGGAGTGGTTGGCGTTTGGACACCAGTTCAACGAGCGGTCGGGCCATTTGAACGGTCCACGGTCGTTTGTGGATCTTACAACAACCCAAAAGCCCGCGTCGCAGTCAAACGCCTTCTCAGACTTTATGTCTGCGGCTCGGGCGGCGACCCAGGCAGCCACGCATGCCGCCACGTCTTCCAACCACCTCAAGAATACCTCTCCGGTGTTCCACCAATTTTTGGACTGTGTCTACCAGCTGGTGAGACAGTTCCCCGACCGGTTTGAATACTCTGAGCGGTTCCTGCGTCGGTTGTACTACCATTTGCACTCTGGTCAGTACGGTACATTTCTGTACGACAACGAGAAGGAGCGAGTGCAGAATCGAGTGTTTGAACGCACCACGTCAGTTTGGAACTACTTTTTGGCCCGCCGATCGCAGTTCATCAACCCGAATTACGATGGAGAGGCTGAGATGAAACTGTCTGCTACATTGGACGCATTGATTCTGCCAGACGTGGAAAACGTGACCTGGTGGTTCCAGCTGTTCGGAATTGAGGAGACAGATGTGGTTATTGAGGCTAGCGAGACGGCCGCCACCCCCGTGCTAACTGCCAAAGCTGCCACGGAAGGTGTGCCTGCGATGGAAACGCACGCGACAGAGGGTGAGGCTGTGGTTACGAAAGCGAAGGCTGAAGTGCCAGCTCCCGCAGTAGATGCTGTGGGGAGAACCGTGGGGGGTAAATCTGCGGCTGAGGGTTCAGTGAGTCACGTGGAGAGTCATGCAGCTGGCGAGGGAAGCTCCGAGGGAAGTGGTGCGGCTGGTTCGGATGCGAGTCCCACCACAACCACGGGGTCTTCTCCGTCCGAGGAGGAGCCTGTGGAGCAGGGAAATCCGCTGGGAGACGTGACGCCGCGTACCAAGATTCTGGAGAAGAAGCGGGTCCATATCCAACCGCTGTCTAACACGTCGGTGGAGTACGCCTCGTTTGAGTAGTCTATGGTTTTTACGGTAGACATTGATTGCCATGATGTAATGATGTAACGATAACGATTATGATGTATGATCGGGGTGGGTGGATGTTAGTTTGGTGGGGTTGATATTGATACGAGATAGGCGTGTGATAGCTACTTGTACTTGAGATAGAACAAGTTGGGTGATTGGTCGATATGAGTTGATCAGGCTGTTGATAGGTTATCGGCATCTTGCGATGGGGTTGGCGATCGGCATCTCACGATAGAGTCTCTTATCCGCTATCGGTGCTAAAAGTGCATACCATGACTGAGTTGGAGACGGTCTGATAATGCACAAATAGCCGTGGGTAGCCGGTGTGGGATGTTTATGGGGTGATGGCGTGTCTCATATCGCTCGGTTGGAATGGCCTTATGATCATGAAGAGGATCGGAATGAGCAATGAGACATGGAGTGGTGGGATGGGGTTGTCAAAGGGTTCGATTCCGGCAGAAAAATCACCGTCGAAATCCGAGCTCGAGTAAGAGATAGTAGATCTGGATGAGCAGAGGAATGATAGGGTAGGAGATGATAGGGTAGGAGATGATATGGTAGGGAGATGATAGGGTAGGGAGAGGTGTAAGGCAGATCAGAGATACCAGGCGGATCAGAGTGATCAGACGGATCAGACAATACCAAAAGCCTGGTGTCAGATGATTATTGATACTGTTGATACTGTTGATACTGTTGATACTGTTGATATGGGTACTTGTATTACTCTACAGATGGGCTCTGAAGTGACTGATATTGAACTTCCTCTTCCAGAAAATGAAGTGGTGATCGGTTCTAGATCACGTGTTTACCAGTAACGTGTTTCCCTGGTCACGTGTCTGTTTGTCAGTGTCTCTACAGATGACGTTTAGATCATATCAGCTCAATCTCCCTATCATATCCTATCTTTCCTATCACAGCTCACGCCCTATCTTTGATCCACTTTCTGATCCTATCTCTCGCCGGCCTCCTTTCAGCCAATCAAGCCGTGTATCTAATCTCCACAAGCTGCGTGTTTTCCCCGTGTCTATCACCGGGGTCACAGTGGGCAATCTCCACCGTTAGGTTCGATGGGCGACGATCTTCCTGTGGGAGGTTGAGGGTCTAAAGCAGTGACCATTTTGGTAGATATGGAGGAAAATGCGGGGAAAAACGGGGAGGAGGGCCATTTAACAGCCGGTTTATTCATATTTTTCAAGTCCCCACCACCGCTACTGCCCACTACACGTTTCTATGGTCTATGACCACATCTGTCCTTATCGTTATCGACGCACGGCTCTGCACAGCCCTGCGATAAGAGCGGTTTTCAATTACTGTAGGTGTAATAACAAGAGAGCAGAGTGGAGGCGACATATATAAATATGTAACAGCAAGATGTATAGAATGTTACGTAGTGACAACAGCGACGGTAGCGACTGGTGATAGAGAGATGGCGGAAGGTGATAGGCTGGATAAGAGCAGGCATGGTGAGACACGATCGAGACAGTGTTGGAGAAGGCGATAACAATATCAGAAAGGAAGTGCCGGTCTGTACATCTGAGGAAGGGGAGAGTTGGTCTTGATTCGGTCCAGAAGTCACCTACTTGTAGTATTCACCAAGAGCGACATAGATGTAGTACAACACTCCAAGAGGATGATACCAGCGACAATGGGTGAAACTCTTAATCAAAAAAGTTGATTCTTCTGGTCTCCTTCTATCAAAGTGTTTCTGGAGCCACTTGGAGGCTCTTATGAGAGGCTGAGCTCAAGTCTTCCAACTTGTCTTATACCACAGTGACGGAGCACAAGTAGTTGGAACATGTTCAATTCAAGTACAATCAGTTGAAGCAGTCAGTCAGGACAAGCTGGGTTGTAGATAGCTCTCTTGTAGCAGTAGTGGTTGAAGTATCGACAACCGGGAGATGTGCTCCAACGATGAACTAGATCGCAGTATGAACACTTGCAGAACAACTACAGCCATACCAGCGTGAAAGACAATACAACGAGATCCGTACGACGGCGCTGTACTGGTACTACCTACTCTTGTATTCAACTACGGACACAGTCCTAATACACAACACGTTCACGTACATACCTCACTTTTACGCACAGAGCCCTGTACTATCCACTACCGGTAGGCCTACTTGGTCTTCTTGGACTCCTTGGACTCCTTCTTGTCCTTCTTTTCCTTCTTTTCCTCGTCGTCAAACTTCTTTTTGAGCTTGGCGTCCTCTCGCTCGGCCCACCACTGGCCCACCTGGAGCCCCAGCACGCCGAGAAGCACAAAGACAATCATGACCTGGGAGGCGGCAATGACGTTGATTCCCGTGTGTTCGTCCACGTCGCCCCAGTTGCCGTCCACGGCCGACGCCAGGCCCCGTCGGATGTTGGTCAGGTAGATGGTGACGCCAACCATGTACAGAAACAGCGAGCCGCCGTCAAACAGCTTGTTGGACTCGCTGGGCTTGTACAGCTTGATGAAGAAGCCAATCAGCCCCAGTCCGATCACCGTGTGGTGGATGTGGTACACAAACATGGGGCAGTCGTACCACGCCTTGTAGTGGTCCAGAGAGGCGGTGTATCGAGACTCCGGCGGAGCGGCCGTCCACAGAGTGAAGAAATCATAGGGCCAGTTGGAGTACAGAACGCCCAGAGAGAAGGACGTGGCGCACAGAATCAGCGCGGACGAAATGGAGGATGCAGATGTCGGCATGGTGGCGATAAATGTGTCTGGTCAGAGGTGCAAACACGTCTGTAGTGATGGTGTCAGCGTTTGTTAAACTTGACTGAACCTTATGACAGGAAGATTAGAGGGGGGGGTAATGGGGGGGGGGGTGAACTGGGACACCGAATATGGGAAGTAGAATGGTGGACAAAGGGCTATAAAAATCCAGACCTCAAATTACCTAAGCGGGTCATTTTTTCGGTCATTTTTTCGTGATTTTTTGCGATTTTTAGCCTCCATTCGGGGCCCCTTCAATATCACTCGTTTTCACAACTGTCTCAGGCCTGTCTCAGGTCCCTCCCAACTTATGGCAGGGCTGGACAACTCAACAACATTCTGGGGTTAGATCTGTGTCTGGGGGTTGGGGGAGGTTAATTTTTTTGCTAACGGCGCTTGTGGGGCTATACTTGATTACGTAACCGAGTTTTGGGCTTACTTTTGCCATCATCCCGGGGCCGTCTTGATGCGAGTTGATGCGAGTTGTCGCGAGTTGTTCCTATCTTCGGAGAGTTGCACACGGCCTCAAGGGGAGTTGCAAACGGCGTCATGTGGGTGTCATGGTGATGGTGGACGATAAAGGCAATAGAATGGTTATATTGGTGATTTGTGTCTAATTTAATCATTTCTAGCGTCCTCTAGCGTCCTCTAGCGTCCTCCAGCGTCTTCCAGCGCCCTACAAAGTCCCCCTTTCTTCCTCATTTTCAACAAAACTCCCAACTAATTCCCGTGAATTGTAATACACAGACGATGCAGTTGGCGGAGGCTATTTGGTAATGATCGAGTGAGAGAGTGCGAGTGAGAATGCGAGTACCTGTACTGGTAGCTCCGCTCCACCTGAGGGGTTTTTAATATTGTTTTTTTATGTGTTTTCGTTTTTATTTTTATTTTTATTTTTATTTTTATTTTTATTTTTATTTTTATTATATTTATATTTTTGTAAGATCGCACAATTTAGACTAGGGTGACTTTCCTTACAATTTTACTTTACTTTACTTACCTTGTCTTAGATCTCGAATACCCATTTTACCATACAAACCTGACGGTTTTTATTTATTTATTTATTTTATTATTATTTTTGAGCACTTTCTGGATCAATACAGCCCAAAAACAACCAAAATTTCCCAATACAGCCAAACACAAGCTCACCATTACCGCACATCTCTAAATCGCACATTACATAAGCGTCCAAACCTCCCAATAAAGACTCAACACGTGACAGGGTTTAGCCCTAACTGGCAAAACAAGGTTCAGAATTTTCACGACTCACCTCCCAGCAGGCAAAATATCCCATTCTGCGCGAATCCATCCACACACACAACAGCAATGTCCTCCACTGTCACCATTTCCAAGAAGCGAAAGATCGTCGCCGACGGTGTTTTCTACGCCGAGCTCAACGAGTTCTTCACCCGAGAGCTCGCCGAGGAGGGATACTCCGGCGTCGAGGTCCGACTCACCCCCACCAAGACTGAGATTGTTGTCCGAGCCACCCACACCAACAAGGTCCTTGGTGAGAACGGCCGACGAATCCGAGAGCTCATGTCTCTGGTCCAGAAGCGATTCCGACTCCCCGAGGGATCCGTCACCATCTACGCTGAGCGAGTCCAGGAGCGAGGTCTGTCTGCCGTTGCCCAGTGCGAGTCCGTCAAGTACAAGCTGCTCAACGGTCTGGCCATCCGACGAGCCGCTTACGGTGTTGTCCGATACGTCATGGACGCCGGCGCCAAGGGTGTTGAGGTTGTTGTTTCCGGAAAGCTGCGAGCTGCCCGAGCCAAGTCCATGAAGTTTGCCGACGGTTTCATGATCCACTCCGGTCAGCCCGTCAACGACTTCATTGACACTGCCACCCGACACGTTCTGCTGCGACAGGGTGTGCTCGGTGTCAAGGTCAAGATCATGCGAGACCCCGCCACCTCCAAGAAGCCCGGTGTGCCCAAGTCTCTGCCCGATGCCGTCACCATCTTCGAGCCCAAGGAGGATGCTGTTGTTGCCGAGCCCATGGTCAAGTCTTACGTTGTCAAGACTGAGGTTGCTGCTCCCGCTGCTGCCGAGCCCGTTGAGGCTTAAGTCTGATTAGGCAAATAGTCAAAATAAAATTATTCGTTAATCCGCCATGATGGATTGTAGTGAGTCTGTACTATAGAAGTACAAGTACAGAATGCGAGACAGCGCGCCCACTGTCGCGATTGTCACGTCGGACCAACAGCGACGTCAGACATGTCTTAATTAGCCCGGTGCGTCCTTTGAGAACCACATGTTGAGCGGTAGAAGACAGCAGCGGTCTGGAAACGATACCTAGATGATGCCCTAGATGATGCCCTAGATGATGCCCTAGATGATACCGTCAAGCTGTGGAAACGACAAAGTCGGTTATAATGAGGTCTTTCCAGTGACCAATGACAAATTTCTGACCCGCTGATTCGTTCACTGTTGCTGTACGCAGGGTGGGCTGTTGTATGTATGTCATACTGTAGGCACTGTGCGATGTTTCAGATTTAGTTGACATTTAGTTGACAAGGAAAGTCCGCTGGGGGTCCATTTCTCGGGCTCCAGACATTCCACAGCGTTTTATAGTATGTCATTCAACGGAGAAGATGTCGTTCAATAACAAATATGTACTGATCTTCTACTCGCATAATACTATTATCCAGGAGCCATCGACATTTCAATATATTTTTCCAAGTGTTGTTTGTTGGATATTACTTAAGAGCCCGAACTGGGAAAATAATAGATGATAAATCCAACTGTAGACACACCAGGACAATTGACGGTGCAATTTGCTGCTGTAATCAACTCGTTTGGCACGTCTGAAGCCTGTCAACTTGCGATATATGGCACTTCACGAGGCCATCTCAGCCGTCCTACAATACAACTTGACGACCCACAGATCCGCTGTTTGAAGTACTCTTCTGATTCCTGCAATACCCAGATCCACTAAACTGACCATAAGGGATTCCAATAGTCTCTCAGATTTCCGATATTTCCATTTTGGCCGACTTTACATTGTTCTCATGCCCACAGATCTGTATAGTCTGCCGGATGATTCAGAATGGACAGGGGCGTATCCTTTCTGGGACAAGTGCAATCGTTCACTTGACGAGATTCAGAGATTCAGAGATTCAGAGATTCAGAGACTCCAACCACTCCAATCGCCCCAATTGAAAGCTCATCCCGAGGGTCTGAAAGCAGAATGTCGTAGTAAAAGAGTACAGTTGAAGAGTACAGTATGTAGAAGAGACAGTAGAAGAGACAGTAGAAGAGTACAATAGGAAGTACAACGCGGGTCCTGATCGTGACTACAGTCAGACCGGATCTCAATAGGTACTGTAGTTGGATAGGGAACGGCTGGAGTAGTTGGACTATGTTTGCAACGGAGACTGTCTGAATGGAGTGTTGGTTAGATAGAGTGGGAGGTGGAATGATATGACATCTACAGTATGTAGTAGCTACAGTACACGGTATCTGCCGTCTAGGATATCCTCTAGGCTTCGAATCTCACACAGCATCTAATCTAGTCCACGTTTACTCGACTGCGACAACAGGAATTGACAGAATCAGAATGACACTAGAGAGTAATATTGAAAGGATGAATAGATGGATGGTACTTCTTACAGAGACTTATGCTCCCCTCCCCCCCACCCCCACGGTCAGCTTCATAAAAGAGATGAGAAACACAACAAGTGAAGCCAGGCTGTCCCAGTCAGTCATGGATCTCATGAACCTCACTCCTTACTGCTCTGAACCATCACCAATGCGCCAATCACCCCAGCTGACCACTTGGGGATCGTCATTACCATGTGGGCACTCCTGGAGGATCTACCACATACACCACCACCACGGACGTTAGCTCTAGCGAGCCTGTGAATCCCACAACCTCTGTACCCAGATGGAGCTCTCCCTATGACTACGCCCGGAACTACTCCCCTGACCACCACCGATTCAACGGAAACCCTTCCAAGACCACAGTTACCACAGATTACTGTCCTCCTACTGTGACTGTGAGGAAGAGTACACCACCATCTCCGTCATTCTCGCTACCCATGTACCTCCAACCCTTTGTTCGTCCACACTGTCACCATCTCTTCCAAGACCTCACTCTAATCGGCCCCGGAGACACCCTTCAGCCTCAGAAGTCGACTCCTATGCCCGACCCTGAGCTGCCTACACCACCCCTGACGTTCCTGAGCCCAACCCACTCTCCCGAGATTGACCTGAGGCCATAGACTCCAGATTACTGCGATAGGTCCATTGTGGCAACAGCAACGACATTGTCACTTCCACTTCTTGATTCGCTCTTGAACTGCTCCAACTGGCTCTTTCTGTCCATGTTTATTTATTTATTTTATATTTCATTATTTATTATTTATTAAATATTTATTAAATCTTATTTAATTTATTTAACTACACTCAAATGTCCCACAGCGCCAGTGGTGATGTCCTGCCACCTAAATAGCATCTCACACAAACATAGCTTCTTACCCACAGAGTGTCACAGTGCACTCCACAAGCACCCATCTTCTTCGCTACAAGTGTCAGTTGCTTCACAGATACCAAAGCTGAACTGCCAGATTCGACGAACGATACCCGATCCAGACACGATCCAGATACGACCCAGACACGATATCAGATCTCATCATTGTCTTGACACAGACTCAGAGACACCTACGAGACGACACAGACACGAAGACGACAGATAGATACCACAGGTGGAGACCATAGGTGGAGAGCAAGGCAGATATCTCGACGACACAAACGGATACCTTTAGTAAATATCTCACTAATCGATACTACCAGACCTTATCTCCACATACCAACTACCGGCGACACCCAACTGCTCTGGCGGTTGACATGATCGGGTTCTGTGACCCTGCCCCAGAAGACTCGTACTCCACCGAGTCGTCGTCATCGTCCACCAGTTCCGAAACCTTTGCTGACTTTGTGCAGCACCTTCTCATCCCTCCGGATATCCGTCGAGACGACTCCAACCTATTCTCCAATCTCGAGTTTACAGAAGAAGAGCTCCACCGCATTCTCATGCTCAACATTGAGCGCGTGGAGAGCCAAGCTCTGGAGGCAACTCCGTATGCAACCAAGGGCATCCCCTGGAGCACATTCAAGCCCCGGCAGGAGAAAAACATGACCTTTGCTTCCAAGGTCGGCCGGTGGCTCAAGTCGCTGCCCATGCATCCTCGCATCCTCATGAGTCCTCAGGTCTACTTCCCCCAGAAGGTGAAGCGCAATCACTTCCAGCAGGAGCTGCACGAACAGCTGTTCGAGGTGTGTTCGGTCGAGGACTCGGATGACGATGGCAGCAGCCAATGCGACGACATCAAGGATATGGGCTACGAGCAGGAAAACCCAAAGTACGGCTACTGGAACGACATCAACATGAGTCCGTTCCCTGTATCCTGGATCCCCCCTTCAGCTCTGTCTTCTCCACACGTCCAGCTGTGCATCGACCAAATGGAGCCCATGGAAAATATTGGCATGTGCAAGATCATGCTATCGACTTCCGAGTTGCTCATGCTGCGCAATGAGTCTGCGCCTGGTGCATGTGTGGGGTCTTCCTACCCTCTGTATCCTCATGCTACAGATTTTGTCGAGGACGAGATGTACGATCTCAAGTCAAGAATATACACATACAATGTGCTGTATCACGCGCGTCTGGAGAGCATGATTGGGGAGCCAGTTCGTTCTCCAGCCACAGAGCCCCCATTGCGTTCGGACACGGAGTTTCATATTCGCAACATGAGTTTGGCGGACGTGGGTCTTGTCGCCTCGGCTCCCGCGTCTCTTGTTGTCTCCAACTACCTCCCCTACGTCTGCAGGGGTTTACCGAGGGAAAACGAGATATGGGGGAGGCGTAGTTCTTCGTCCGTGCATTCCAGAGATTTATCTGTGTCCACTTCTGAACTGAGTGACATCACAAACATTGCCGACATTGCCAGCATTGCCAACCGACCTACGTCGTCGAAACTGCCGTGTCCCATTGGCTTGGGCTCTCCATTTCGGTCCTCTCGGTCCAGACACCATTTCCGCCGCCCGTTTGCTGGCTACGCTTCTCGCCGGGCTCGAACAGGGTTTGGTGATGTAGACGGTCCTGGCCCCAAGAAGGTCAGGGTGGACGAGGATTTGGGACAGTGTGGGGAGGTGGAGCTTCTACGCGGCCCCGAGAGTGCTGGTTCGTCTACGTTCATGCTTCCCCATTGAGCTGAGGTGTACAAGTAGCTTTTTTTTGCTGCAATCGAGAACACTTGATGATGGTGGATGTGACGTTACAAGATCGAAAGATAGGGGCATTAAGCGGAGAGGACAGTGTGTAGACACCGGGGTATATGTGGCTGAGCTATGAAATCCGTTGTGTGTTCAAATTTCTTGTCGCTATTACAAGGCCAGCGCGTACTCTATTAGTATGTACTCCTTGTTATCATAGAACAAAAAACAAACAAAAAAAAACCGTGTCTCTATACCACGTATTCGAGGTATAACCCGGCTATATATCTGCTACCGGAGGTTTAATATCTGGTGTTCCAAATTATGGGGTTTTAGACCTCTTTACGGGGCTAATGCACTTGTGGTTTGCCGATCTGCTCCGGTAAAAGATTCTGGGCTGAGCTACTGTACGAGTACGAGTAAGAGTACTTTTACAAGGGGGGTTTGTACTCGCACGAGTATGCCGCTAATAGCTTGAGTGGTAGGGTTGGCGGGTTCTTCGGAAGCTCGCAAAAGTTGACGAAGTCGGGCCGACCAGGGGCTTCTGTGATCACATTCATGAGTCCCTTTCTGCGTACACGTGACTGCGTGGAGAGCTTGAGGTGTTTGACAGAGTTGGTCTCTTTCAGTTTACCTTCAGGGCAGAGATCACCGAGCGCAACCTACTTGTACCATATGAGATGCTTGTACCGGTACAATACAAGTAGAGCTGTTTCAGTTTGGAGTGCTCGGGGGGGGAGGGTCACGTGATTTCGGAATGAGCCCGGAAGGGCGTCTATATGAAGCGGTCTAGGTGCGAGTGCTGGGAGACAAGTATTCGCGCTTGTTCCGTACGAGTACAAGTACTTGGAAGGTGGTACTTACGTAGTATACTTCAGTATTCGTAGGTAGACTGTTTCTTGCGTCAGCTGTTGGTTGTTGGGACGGGAAACCCGTTTGGTGTGTGCTCGTATGTCCAGGTACGGTATAACAGCATATATATATATGTCATTAATGCAAGTCCAGCACCGGTACGAGGTTCGAGTGGGAGTGCGGGTACAGTTGTATCGGCGGCTTGTATTGGTGGCTTGTTTGCTATTCTTCCGGAGTCAACTTTAGGGCGGTTGTCTAAAAGGTCCGATACTACTGAACAGTCCTACGAGTACCACACCATTGTGCTACCAGTAGACGACATGAGTTCCAGATGTGGGATGCCCGGCTCCGAGAGGCGGCTGCAGCTTCCAGAAGACGGGTAGATCGGTTCCAGCTGAGGACTGGCGACGACAGTGAACGGGCTGCTCTTTTTCTTTTTCCAAGGTTTTAGTTGCTTGTTTGACTCTTTGCATGAGCAGAACCGATCGGGCGCAGTTGGGATGCAATGCACCTTTAGCGAGATGAGCTTTGGCTCTACGTTGGGCGATGGTTGATGGAGATGGAGATGGCGATGGGGTGAGCGGATTGTGTGATGGGATTCTAGGGTTTTGGTGGCTTTCTTATTTATTTATTTTCTCTGTTTTTTTTTTCTCTGTTTTTTTTTCTCTGTTTTTTTTTCTTCTCTGGTTTTCTTGTTTTCTTGTTTTCGTCGTTTTTTGTTGCTTGTTTTCTGGTTGTTTTGGATGGCTTTTTTGTAGGTTTTCGGGCAGGTTTCGGGTAGGTTTTTGGGTAGGTTTTCGGATGGCTCTTTCGGCGTTAGTAAGCACACCAGGTTGTAGCGGTTCGTGTCGAGTGATTGCAATCCAGATCTCGTTCAGATCGGTTCAAGAGTTGGCGTTCAGCTGTTCAATACCACGCGAAGAACGACGTCACGAATGCCCAAGGTGCAGCTTTCTTGGACTGGACTCGATCCAAGTCTCTCCAAGGGACTATGTTGTCCGTCGTTTCGATCGGCGGCTGCGATGAACGAGAGAACAAGGGCAAAGAACGAACGGAAGAACTGAGACAAACCATTTCTCAGCAACCAGTGCGCTTAAAACAATGGTGTCGAAACTTAGGAGAGGTTGTGTATTTCGTAGTGTAGGGGATAGAGCATTGTTCGGGTTGTCTCTATGTATGTATGTATGGTCTGTAGCACCCACCAGTCCACTCATCCTCCATCAACACATTCCACCTCAGTCACCCCCTCCACCAGTCAACCCATCCTTCACCTCCCCCAACCCAATGTCGCCACTCGCGTAGCCTTGCCTACCTCACTTCACCTCGTATCACCTCTCTCGCTCTCTTCGTCTCATTCTACCAAGGCTAATTCGCCTTAGGCGCGCCTGAGAGACGTATTCGAACCTATCCCCATTAACATTTAGTGTTTTTTCCTTTTCTTTCGCCCCTACACTACACACGCCATTGTGCCTAAGGTTTGGCCAAACCCCGTGACAAAAGAGAGACACATTGTGTTTCTACCTTGCACTACCTTTTACTTGTACATCCATCCATCCATCGGCTGCTCTCATAAGCAACTCTTCTTCCGCAACGTGCCTGCTCTTCCATCTCGAACCTCGAGCGCAAACACACGACGAGAAGAAGCCCTAATTCGCCAAGCAACAACGAGCAAGTCACCATATTGACCACGCAGCAAGAAAAGAAACGACTCAAACCGCTCATCTCTTCGTCGACCAACGACATGTCGCCAAATGTGCCGCAGCTTCCGTCTGAACAGGTGTCGACCAACCTCCCGCTAGACTCGCCCAATGGCGTAGACGGCCGAGACTCGGGGTTCTCGTCCGGAGTGTCGTCCGGCAAAGACCCCAGCACCAGCTCGGGCACCAACTCGGGCTCCAACTGCGAAACGTCATCGGGCTCGGGCTCGGGCTCCAACTCCGCCAACGAGGGCTCGGCCAATGAGGGCTCCAAACCCGAAACCAAGTCTGCGCTCAGAACTAAGAAGGACGCCGCCACCGCCCAGACCTCCGCCAAACGCTCCCTCTCAGACACGCTCCCCAAGCAGGTGGAGACGGTGGCGCCTCGATCGAGCTCCAACTCAAAGTACCGCAAGCTTGACGAAATGTTCTCCAACGAAGAGGCAAAGTGGAACGGCGAGACTCCTCCCGTTTCTCTGTCCAACACCCCCTCCGACAAGTTCCTCTCGCCTCCTGCAAGCGAAATGACCACCAACGCTACCTCGTCCAGAGACACCCGACGACGATACCGGTCAAAGTCGCCGCAGAGACCCAAGGAGGACTTGCGACGAGACGACCACACCAACCGCCAGTCGTCCCGAGAGGAACCCTCTGCCCAGCGTCGCCACAGCAACCACAACCGCAATTCCTACTACCCCGGCTACTCAAGGGATGCACGAGACCGTGACTCCCGAGACCGAGACCGAGACCGTGACCGTGACCGTGACTCCAGGGACCAAAGAGACCGAGACAACTTCGAATGGAAACAGTTTCGAGACCGTGACCGTGACCGTGACCGTGACTACCGCAACACAAACGGGTGGGAGCGCTACAGACCTGACTGGGTACAGGAATGGGACACATACCGCAACCGGGACAGCGAGAGAGCGCGGGCCCGGTACCGTCGATGGGAGACGGAGCATGAGCGCAACTACGAGCGCCGAGGCCCCATCTCCAAGAACCACGAGCTGTCTGCCGAAGACAGAGACAAGCGAACTGTTTACGTTCAGCAGGTGGCCCCCCACGTGCAGTCGACCGAGCTGTTTGACTTCTTTGCAGAAGCCGGCCCCGTGCATGACGTGTCGCTCGTCAAGGACCGCAGCAGTAGATGCCGGGGTGTTGCATTTGTGGAGTTTGAGGACGTGGAGTCTGTCTCCCGCGCCATCGGACTCACAGGCCGGTCTCTTCATGGCCAGGCTCTTCTTATTCGGTGCACTGACAGTGCTCGAAACCGAGAGGAGCAGCAGTCCGAGGCATCTTTCAACAGCTCTGGTGCAGGCAGTACCCATGCCGTGGCCAATGTGAACGCATCCACATCTGCCATTGACAGTGTTCGGTTCCACCGTCTCTATGTCGGCAATATTTATTTTGGTGTCACAGAGGGCGAAATCATTCAGATCTTCGAGGCCTTTGGACCCATCGAGTTTGCCGACCTCCAAAAGGAGAAGACGGGTAAGTCCAAGGGCTACTGCTTCATCCAGTACGTCAATCCTGATGATGCCAAGACTGCTCTTGAGAAGATGAACGGCTTTGAGCTTGCTGGTCGCAAGCTCAGAGTCGGTCTCGGGCTGGGAGAACGTGGGGCCACCAAGGCCCGCAAGATCCTCACCGAGATTGGTCTTCTGGCTGCAGACGGTGTGTCTCGCTCTGCAGACCAGGTCGCCACCCAGATTGCAGTCGACCGTCAGAACCAGAAGCTCAAGCTCAAGGACCAGCGTAACCAGCAGCGCGAACTCGAACAACGTGAAATCGAGTTGCGAGGCACCTCACACGTCAAATCTGAACTCGATGGCCACAAGCAGTACCAGGGGTCTGTGGAGTTCACCTCCAAGTGTGCCCTTCTACGAAACATGTTCAACTACAGCGAGTGAGTATCACAGAGACACAACAGGTTACTAGAAGCATTACTAACAATAGGGAGACCGGAAACTGGGTTGAAGAGCTCAAAGAAGATGTCCGCCTCGAGTGTGAGGAAAAGTTTGGCCCTGTAGAGTCCATCTCGTTGGAAGTGGAAAAGGGAGAGATCCTGCTCCGGTTCCACAATGAGATTGACTGTGTCAAGGCGGTCAACAACCTGCACCAGCGATATTTCGGAGGCCGTGTCATCAACGCCTCTCATATTTCAGAGCAAGATTTTGAAATGAAGTGAGTATCGCGTCCACACTAGATGACGACGATCTCCAGCAGCTAACCCCCAGACCCTCCATTCCACAGTCACCCGCCACAGATCGGGAGGAAGTTGCTGCTCCTTAGTCCTTTCACCACCCCCAACAATAATGGTTTTTTTTCCAGCTTTTGTTCCCAGTCGTGTGCTCCTTTCTTTCTGCCTTCATCATGTTGCATCCACACATACCCCCATGATGAACAGAAGTTAATCTGGAGACCGCCCATCACCAAAAACAAAAGCATCTCATCCAAAAATGTCCTCGACATGGGTCCGTTGTACCCACTTATTTATTGAGGCGCATGTGCCGTTCCTGTTCATATTGTGATCCTGTTCCTTTTTATTTTGCTGCCTTTTTTTTATCCATAGTCCTTTAGGACACCCCCGCAGCCCCATTTTACCGGCGTATGTGCCGAATTGCGTTATTTTTCTTGATCGCTTGCTATTCTTTTCCTTTTCCTCAAGAATACAATTGATGATATCGCTACCATGACTCGGCCCACATGAACGGCGCCCGACTACGAACTCGTCCCCGAGTATCTCGGGCGACGAGGCATTGGATGACGAGATACGTTGCATCTTACAATCCCCATGAACACACTACACGCAAGGGACGCATCAAGTGGTTTTGTTAAGTGGGAGGTTCTGGTCCATTGGTTTTGCAACTCTCGTCCTCTTGCCTCATGTTGTATTTTCTTGCTCACCCCACGAACGATATTCGATCTTCACCAGTCGCCTTTGGCCGCTGCATGACGCCCCATGCGTCGTTTTTTTGGCTCTACGCCGAGGCTTGACCGATGATGACTTCATATCTGTGGCGAGCCCGTAGATTCAGTTGTAGTACCTCTTGAATCACTCGATTCATTCGATCCGCACATCGATTGCAATCTAGTTTTTCTTTTCTTTTCTTTTCTCGCTCTCTCTCTCTCTCTCTCTCTCTCTCTCTCTCTCTCTCTCTCTCTCTCTCTCTCTCTCTCTCTCACAGGGCTCAGGTTCCCTCCTTCCGACGTTGCTCTTCTATGCTTGTCTGTCTCAGTTGATATGCTGTTTCTCTTGTGTAGTAGCTATCTCCTCTTTCTTCTGAACATTTTGACACATGCCACCTCAGCCCTCTTTGCCGTTTGGCTTCTTTTTTACGCCAGCCTGCGTTACACTAACATACTAACCCGAACAGACAGGATTTCACGTTGTGACTGCTTACTACTAAGCGCTTCCCCACTGCTAACTATTTCGTCTTTTTTTCTTTTTTTTCTTTTTTTCACTTCGACTCATACTCATACCACTTGTGATCGCTTTTTTCATCTTTCTTCTTCTTCTTCTTCTTCTTCTTTTTCTTCTTCTTCTTCAGAGGCTCGCCTAACCAAGCCAAGTCGCCCTGTTATACCCCTCTTCTCAAGTCTATCTATTTCCATTGCATTCCCCAGCATCTCATTGCTATCGGTTGTTGTCTCCGTAGACCGTGTGACGTGTCTGTACCTCTTCCCTCCAGCTCTGGAGACGTGGTTTCCAGTCCGTGGGTCTTCATCCATTTTGGAAGGCTGCGGTTGGAGTCACTTTCAAGAGCCCCTCGGAGTCTATCAACTGAAGAAGCCCATTTCCGTGAGTTCTTCTCTGCTAGCCTTCATTCGCTCCATCTGGTCTTCCTCCTTGTCCTCCAGAGATTGGTTCCAACAGGTCCATGTCTTTATCATTGAGCCTGTTTCAATCTCTGTTTTGTCCTATTTGTGTTATTCGTCTTATTTGTCTCTGTGGTTCCTTACTGCTCTTCCTCCGCTCTTTTTGATCTTTTGATCTTTTGATCTTTTGATCCCGTTCTTGCCGACCTCTCAAGCCGACAACTAGTCTTGCTCCAGTGGTCTCTGGACAAGTGTAGCTGCAACCGTATGAGGTGTAGAGTTGTTTGTAGTGTTTTCTGCGTTTGCTTTTGGTCATCTTATCAATTGTTTTTTCTCTTGTCTCATCTTCTTTTGTCTCGTCTTCTCTTGTCTCGTCTTCTCTTGTCTCGTCTTCTCTTGTCTCGTCTTCTCTTGTCTCTTTCTCTTGTCTCGTCTTGTCTCTTGTCTCTTGTCTCTTTCTCTTGTCTCTTTCTCTTGTCTTCCCTCCGCCTTCGGGATCCTTCAGCCCTCTACTAACTGTCTGTCTTTTTCTCTTTACTGAATGCAATTATGGTCTCATTGCGGCACTGTAGCCGTAGAATGGAGAAGGCCTTTCAAGGCTCGTGGTATACAATATGACCGCTTGTAGACCGAGGCACTATGAGCTCGTACAGAGCTGCCGGCAAAATTGCATGATTTCGTCTGAAGAGGGTTGGTTCATTGATGCCACTGTTGTCATTATTCGACTCCAACAGTCGGTATTCTCGGACAATCTCCCTATGACCATCTATGAACCCACCGCTTGTATCTACTGTAAGATTGGTGGGCTAAACCTCAAGCTCCATTCACACCGTTCCCCGTATGGTGGTGCGTATTCCTCACTCCGCCTCTATATAGAGAGCCAGTCTTAGCTCCTTAGATGCTCCTTAGATGCTCCTTGGATGCTCCTTGGTTGTTCACAACTCCTGTATCTACCATAAGTCCATGGCCAGTCGCCGAGGTTCATATATAGATCGACCCCTTGTACCCGCCTCCCGGCATGACTCCAACAATCGACCCCTTGTAGTCTTTTATGGCATCAGAGCGTCTCTTGAAATAGACACCAGCAAAGCTCATAACTCTCCAACTGCAGAAGAAACGTCCACTGACATACTGCGAGATTCAACGTAGTCAGCTTTCTAGAAATGGACTGCTCTCCTTGGTCGCCATCAGCGGAGTCGTCTCTACTTCTACTATAGTCCTACCCACTCCCCCATTCCCGTCATCTGGGACTTGGACTGACTACTTGTGTAGACTCTCCTTCAAGTGTCTTTCCTGACCATCTGGTTTGACTAGCCGCGTCTATGACAACCTGTGTATTTGTAGATTGTCTGTGTTCAACCACATTCCATCTCCATAACAGCAGTATCATGGCTACTCGTAGATGGCTGCCTTCCAGAGAAGGTCGTAGTCGAGTTCCAGTAGTGTTTGGTACGGATCCACGTTGAAGATGTCAGTGCTCTCCTGGTGGATCCTCAGGGAGTGGTCTTGAGTCAACGGACTTGTCGGAGTCAACGGACTTGAGTACGAGCTGACAGGTTATGTTGAAGAAAAGGAGTTGATAGACACTTGCTAACACGATTGACGAGAGGAAATTGAACGGTTGGCCAACTGCTGATGATACAATTGCCTCTGTAGATACTGATTCAAGTCGGTGTAGATGGTAGTAGTTATACACCAGCTTTGGCGAAGACACGGACTCCATCGAGAGCCTCAGAGCCCAAGAGAGGTCCGTGAGGTTTCTCGAGGCTCATTGACCACTTGAAACGGCTATGCAGCTTCATTCAAAGAGATCATTCGAAGAGATATGTTATGTCACTCGGGGAGCTGGGTACAGTATTGATCACGTGCTCAGCAACATCTCTCGGTGGCTGTTCATATTGAAGTGACTGAAGTCGATTGTCGAAAGTGACTTGGTGAGATGCAAGAAATGGTGATTTGGTGGTCAGGCTGTTAGATGTGTAATTCTTGAGGTAAACATGAACTCGTAACGTGTATGTCTCGCCGTCTAGACGGTAGTTGATGTCAGTCTAGCAGAATGTTAGAACTTCGCCATGTACATACGGCCAGAATGATCGTTTGAGCTCTCCATTTGCCTACTGACCAATGTAGTTCAGAGTCCATCCATCTTCTGTTCTCAGGTCTGAGTATGATCAACAATGTGGTAGTACCTGTCCACTACAAGAAGGCACTCGTTGTCTCGAAGGTATAAGCATAGACCATGAGAGTACTGAATGAGTCAACATCTCCATACTGTTGTCTCATCTCCAGGCTCATCTCCAGGCTCATCTCCAGAATGTCTCATGACGTCCATGTCAGCGCCTACTATTCCATTTCACCAGTCATGAACGTCGACGGTCATGGTCATATCTATGGTTGGTTCGGCGATCCAGAGTAGCGGTAAGATGGGTAATACTTCCCGAGAGAGAAACCAGTGTGTGTGGAAAGAAGAGGTTTTCAACGATACGGGTAACTAATTTCCGGTCAGGGCTCAAATCCTCAGTGTTGCGGAGTCTGAGAGTCGGAAATTTGATACAAGACTTGCACCTTCCGCGGACAGACCAGATACAGCACTGTTGAAAGACATTGAGGAGGCTACGATCAAGACTAGGCTACGATGAAGAGCTTGTTATCGCAATGGTAGGTCGCCCTTGCACACATAGTTGATACTGTGCTCATCAATACCGACATGATGGATAGGTCTTCTGATGCAGACTCGCAGGGCTGGGACCGCGTGGGAACGAGGATGAGTGCGACCGATCTTGAAGATACTTCGGTCCATTGTGAGTGCGCTGGAATTATGATGTGATTGTGGTACAAGTACAAGTAGTGTGCCATTCAGAGAGGTTTGGAGACATTTTGTATCAGCATTTCAGACCATTAGCCTTCATTTTGTTTTATAAATTAATTTTTTTGTTAAATAATTATAATTATTTATTATATAATTATTATTTTGCTTATTTACAGGCTGTCCATGTGCATGGTTTCAAGTCTGTACATACAGTAGTATTCGGGATGGATTATTGTCACTTGCGAGTGATCCCAACCGATCTGTGAATCAAACGACAGCTTGTTGATTTTCATGTCATTTTTCCCTGTTTTTTCATATTTTTTTCAAGTAATGTATGTACAGACTATTAGACCATTCAACCCCACCTATCCTATGAACAATATATAGGAATATAAAATTAGGAATAAATCATATTAACAATTGATGAGAAGCACTCTGTCAAGATTATCCGTGCAATTGATTTCCTTTTTCACTTCTCCCTGTTGTACTATATGTTCTACTTGTAGTTGCCAAGTGGTTTTTCGTGTATCCAATGTTATTGAAAAGTTACTGACGAACCGATGCACTTGTCATCGATTGCTCGACATGTGGTAACTTCGGAGCTACAGTACGAGTACGATTACGAATGGTTGTACCTGCACTCCTGCTCGTACCTCGTACCTCGCACTCGCACTCGCACTCACATCGTGTCGCATCGCATCGTATCACACCTCTACAATCATTCCGCAATCATACAACCTTTTTAACTATTTTTGCTGCTTATCGAGAAGTAGCCTGGACCTTGGGAGCAGAGCCCTTAGCACCGAGCTTGGAGACCTTGGGGCCTCCGGCGGCAACGTGGGCAGCCTTGGCGGCCTTTCGTCGCTCGGCCTCCTTCTCCTTTCGCTCCTTAGCAGCCTCGGCGTGCTTGGCTCGGGTGGCGTTTCGGGTCTCGGGTCGGGCGTTTCGCTTCTCCTTGATCACATCGAGAGAGGCACCGACGATACCTCGCACGGCCTTGACGGACTTTCGGGATCGCTTCTTGGAAACCTCCTCAGTGATTCCCTTCTTGTGCTTTCGTCGGTAAAGAACGGTCCAGGCGATTCGTCGGGGGTTCTTTCGCTGCTTGAACAGAGAAGCGGTCTTGGAGGAGTAGAATCGGAAGATCTTGGAGTCGCCTCGGACGAAGAGGGTACCTCGGCCGGGGTAGATCTTGTTGCCAGAAAAGGAGTCGAGTTCGATTTTCATCTGCGTTAGTATAATCGTAGGAGGTGAGAACCTGAAGAGAGAACCGACGACATCAGAGTAACACGGAAGTGTCCACCAAAGTGATCACCGAACATACAGAGACAAGTCGAAAATTGCGCAATGCTCCAAATGGAACCACCACATCTCCGCCATGTCGTCCATCATCTTGCTTATGTTGAGACCACAATCTCCATGCCAACACTCCCTGTCGCGACCACACTCCCTGTCGTGACCACAATCCCCATGTCACCGTCGAAATTCATCGGTCCACTTGCGCGCACGGATTTCCTCCAAAAACTCACCTTGAATTCTCCTGTTGTCGGTAGTCTGTAACAAGAGAAACAGGTATTCTAATTTTGCAAAGGTTGTCATGGTTGGGAGTGAGTTGGTTTGTGTAGTCACGTGAATAAAGTCTATTTGTGACTGTCTTTTGCGACATTACTGGAACCAACAAGAATTCGTTGCAGAAGAGATATGCAGAAAATGGTCACGGGAGTTGGTTCGGGGCCCTCAAAAACGTCTCTGTTCACAAATTCAGCCCTTTTTCCCCAGTCAATCGCGTTCTGGAAGCTCTTGTTTGCAGACCACAAATTACCCCTCTACTTCGGGTCATTTCCCGATTTGGATTTTCAACTCTAGTCCCAAAGATGCACCGTACAGATTATAAAATTCTAACAACCACTTCTTTTTTTCCCACAAACACTTCCGGAGTGCATATTACAACAAAGCGCAGAGATGGTAAGTTATCCAGCAAACAGATCCAAGATCTTGAGCTGAGATGGGAGTGCTAGTGAATGATTTTCGGTGACGTTGCGTTTGTCCGTCATGACGGTGATCGCAACATCGACCTGTAACTCTTCACCATGCAACCACCGTGTCTACAAGACTCATTCTAACCCAGGCCCCCAAGTCTAAGAAGTCCGGCGACAACGTCAACGCCAAGCTCGGTCTTGCTATCAAGTCCGGAAAGTACACCCTCGGTTACAAGTCCACCATCAAGGCTCTCCGACAGGGCAAGGCCAAGCTTGTCATCATTGCTGGCAACACCCCTGCTCTGCGAAAGTCCGAGATTGAGTACTACGCCATGCTCGCCAAGTGCACCGTCCACCACTTCCAGGGCGGCAACAACGAGCTCGGTACCTCTTGTGGTCGACTCTTCCGAGTTGGCGCCGTCACCATCATGGATGCCGGTGACTCCGACATTCTGACTGCTGAGCTTTCTTAAGCAGTTTGAAGACCCCCAAAATAAAAATTAATGTACTTTAGTGCCGTTATTTATTACTTTTTGATTGTATGGTGTGTTCGTATGGGTGCAAGTGAGTTTGTATTTTTCAGAATTAAAACTGATTTTTTTATATTTTTTTATATTTTTTATATTTTAATTTTAATTTTAATTATATATTTTTCCAAGTTCAACTAAAAATCAACAAACTGTGGTCTAAACTCCACATGAAATCACCAATATATAAGGAAAAGGAAGTCCTATATATTTCCTAAATCCACATCAATCTCGTATTCTCAGACACCCCGACAGACATCCAGACAGAACCCCAGAGCATACCCTCCCCCTCATCTGCATCCTAACTAAAAGTCAAGTGAGAACAGAAAAAATCTCGCAACAGGACCGTCTAAGAGATGACGTGAGGTTTGAGAGATATTAGGGGAAATTCAACCGATTGGTTGATCTGATTTATGAAGTCTCCATGTCTGAGACTCGATCTTCCTGTTCATTGTGGTCTGTTCTGTATCTCCAGTGTCTAAAATTCCATTGAGTCTGTGGGCTCTTCTAGGAAGACTTGCCGGGAAAGTGTCGACAATTTGATTGGCGTTTATTTGGTCACGTGACCGCAAATTCCCCCAAAATGAATAATCAATTGCTACGCTTGAAATGAACACTTGTCCAAACCGCCTGACGTAACCATGGCATCTCCTTCATTTCTTAGTCACGTTCAATTGGAATCACAGGAGTATGACTCAGGGAGAAGACATTAAGCGGGATTATTAAAGGTACCTGAGATTGCAATTGGGGTCCATACGAGCCGACCTAGTGCCACAACACAAGTGGAGATGAACTGATGCTTCTTTGGCTGACTCAGACAATGGACTCAGTGCATGTCCGTTTATAAACGAGCGGTTAGAGCTCCTTGTGGGTTTATTACGTCATTCACGTGACTCGATCGTTTCAGATCAAGACCTGAGCTTCTCCTGCCTCCTCTGAACATGGAAGACAGATGCATTGCTGAAGAAGAAGCGAGAAGAAGCGAGTCCATTCGTCAGCAGATCCACTTGTCGCCAACTCATCTGTCATTGTCTCAGTTGAGTCGGTCTGATCTCTGGAGTTAACGGCCTGATCCAGAGCCAGAACCAGAACCAGCTGTGCAAGCGAAATGTACTTGAAAAGAGGACTCGCACGTTGACAGAAACAGACTGAATTGATAATTGAGAGATGAACCAAGGAACGAACCTGGAAATGACCTTAGACTCTGGAGATTCTGGTGATCAATTGAATCAGCCCCGAAATCTGACACTAATGGTATACCTTTGTGTATATCTTGTCTGGCGATTCTGATCTGGAATTATCCCGTCAGTTGTGTCTAACTGGGGCGTCTAGAGAAGGGCATTCTTGTGACTTGTGGATATAATGACGGCAGTGGATTCAGAAAGGCGCTCTGAATTTGGGTGTATTGTTTTTCCATACCTTGTTGTGGAGAGTTGTTTTTATATTTATTTATTTATTTATTTATTTATTTTTGCCTCTTCGTTTGTCCTTTTTTTATTAATATCTTCTATTCTTTTTTTAAGCTTTTTAATCTTTTTAATTTTTTCAATCTTTTTATTATTTTTCAATTCTTTTTATTATTTTTCAATTCTTTTATTCTTCTTATTATATAACTTTTTAAGTCAATATTTCCCAAACCATAGACGCAACCACACCATTGAAATCAGAGAAAAGTCCTGATTATCTTGATATCAATATTGCCACCGCCTTTCCCATTAAATTTCCAACAGTGAGCAATTCAATGCTACCTACTTGATTAATTACGAACCACTTTCTTTTTTCTTTTTCTTTCTCTTTTTCTTTCTCTTTTTCTTTCTCTTTTTCTTTTTCTTTTCTTGTTCTTTTTTTCAGTCCTCTGAATAGTTCCGAAAGACATTAAGTTGTTAGAAAGGACAGGAACAAACCTGTGGACTAGCAGAGAGGATCGATCATCCGGTTATAGAATGTTTTGTTGTACCGAAACTATGGCTATGTCCAGACTGGACTCTGCTTGTCTCCATATATTTCCACGCCAAGAGATGGGCTCAGGGCATGGCGATTCTTCATGTTTCTGTCTACAGTGGCCAAGTTGAGAAGGTCTCGATGACAGTGGGTTGTTGTTTCCTGGCCGGAGATTGGATGGCTCTGAGCAAATGGTGGTGTGAGATACTGGCGACTGTAGACTAGCAGGTCATTTTCACCCCATTTTTTTCATTTTCCCTTCTAATCTGTTCTCCTACTCTCTCGCCCTCCCGTCAGTCTCACACTCTGGCTCCACTCTCCAATATCCAATCTCAGTCCTATTTTTATCTGAAACGGAGGCGGAGTGGTGCAACAGTGGGTCCAGGCTCCAGAGTATCTTCTGTACTACTGAGCAGACTACTACAAGTACAGTAGTCGCAGTCAGCCATACCCACTGGGCTAGTGCGAGTGGGCTGGTACTAAACTAGTGTCTCGGAGACGTCGCAATAAAAGCGATGAGAGATAAAAGATAAAAGAGTTGATAGTTTGGACTAGCAGGATCGGTTGATCGACTAGTCCTGCTAGTCAACTCCTCCTAATCCTCCTAATCCTCCTAGTCCTCCTACTCATACCACTTCTCCAAAAGGCCAAATGATATATATCGACGCCAATACGCCAATACGCCAATACGCCAATACGCCAATAAAGACCCTAATGTAAATGACTGACACCCGTCACATGGTCGACCGCGGCACAAACGTCACCATCAGACGCCACCGTCAGACACCACCGTCAGACACCACCGTCAGACACCACCATCAGACACTACTCTCAGACACCAACGTCAGATGTCACCGTCAGATGTCACTGTCACATGTCATAGCAGACATACGTCACCGTGACATTGTTCATTGACACCCGATTTTCGCTTTTATTGTCTTGTGAAACACAATAACGGCTAACATTCCGACGGGCCCAAAAACAGCCATGACATGACAAGATGTATGCACAGTAGCCAAGAGATGGTCATTCTTCGCTCACGTCCAATGACAAACCCCGATGCGAGCTGTTAGTGCCAGGCAGCCTAGATGTACAGTACGACTGTACCTCTTTCGGAAGACGTTGTTTGGAGGACGACTCGCAGATTGTCATTGGTCGTCTGGCGGTCTATCTGACATCTACCCCATCTACCCGCATGACTGTACGGGCTTGACGTTGTTCTCATTCCAAACTCCATCCCTCAGACTGGATGCAACCTCAGACCCTGTCTCATTCTTGGTCCACTCCCCTTCTTCGTCACTAGCCCACACTACTTGTAGATCTTACAGTGTATGGGGTGCAGATGTGCCTGGACAAGCGCCGTGCCAATAGAATCGGTCGCCCCGACAGCTGTCAAATAGTGTGACAAATAGCAATCAACGACAAACAACGAGCACACACAATACCCCTGTAAAGGTGCTTTAGTGGCTTGGCGGGTGTCTAGTCATAGCGTTTCCAAAACCGGCCCGCCCAAATCGTCCAACACTTTCTTTACGGCGTTGTTTGGAGTTTCGGAGCACTTGACAGCTGATCAAGCACAGGCAGCGGACCAATGTAGTATCATTGACCGCGTATACGGTCTGTCAAAAGTGACCAGGACTGGGACTGTGTTGCATCGAGATCCATGAGGGACATGAAAGGTGTGAGTTTTTTGCTGAGATTGCTACAAGTCGTGTACCGGTAGTGCTACTTGTAGTAATCTCTTTCTGTTGTCGGTCAATTAAATTGCAGCAATAATCCAAATTAATCGAACTAATTGAGTTAACCCAATTAATTTAATCAAATTAATCAAATTAATCGAATTCATCCAATCAACCAAATTCATCCGATAGTCAATGATCCAAACACCTGCAACCACACCAGACAGCCAGCCAGTGTCTCGGTCCGGAAGTCGGCTTCCGAAGAACACTCTAGGAGAAGTCAGTCTCTGTTGTCTCTGTTTTTTTTCCTCCGGCATCTCCACCTGCTGGACAAGAATGCTGGTCATTGCATGCGTGATGCTCACCTTTCACCATGGATGTTAATCCGAAAGAAACTCCGTCAACCTTCGTGTTGTCATCGCTACATTGTAGGTATAAATTGCGAGCAAACAAATGTCTCACTGTGGATCATCACTGTCTTAGCTGCGCAGCAAAGTTAGGTTGTCGGAACAGCTTCTTTCCAGTCGTATCACAACAGCCCCTTGGAAGATGAAGGCTGTTTGTATATTGCTTGTTTTCAGCAGGGGAACGACTTAGTAAGCCGAAACATTGGCACGAAATGGCCATTTCAAGATGTACCAGAGACTCTTGGTGGACTGATGGGCAGGATAAGTCCAGGTACCGCAGAAGCTCTTGATGGACAGGAGAGGCCCAAACACCGCACCTGGATGGACCATGTCGCTCACTTTGTCAGCGATGACATTATGGCGCTTCCTGCCGTTAAACTCCACACAGCCATGATATACTTGCCCAGCACAGTTCGGAAGCAGCATGTAACGGTCTCAGTTCATGGGGTAGGGTTGGTTTATAGAACATGGTTCAGGAAGGAGGTTGTCGTCACAGACGTGGTGTGTGAAGATGTGGATGGCTTGTGTGCTTGTGCAAAGAAAGGGCTTGTTAACGGAAGCTCCCTGGTCCTAGGGCGGGGAGACAAACTCTTGGCTTCGTTTGCCGTTTTACTCACCAAGGAACAGCACAGATGTCCAGATCAGAGTCAGAGCTCGGCGTGTGAGCTCTGGACTCGGCGTTTGAGGTCTCGACACGGCGTTTGAGCGCTGGAGCTGGAAATCTGCACCATTCTTGGACACCTTTGACCTCTGTGCCCGGAAGTCCATCCATGCCTAATCGAAAGTAGCTCTGCATTTTCAGGTCGTTTCTTCTTCTGCTCTTTGTCCATTGTCAGACTTCGGAGTCGCTCTTCCGAAGGCATTTTTGTGCGGCGCAGGTTCCATACATGTGAGCTGTAGCAATCTAGGCGAGACAATGGGCCGAATCAGGACAACAATGGGTGAAGATCATGCGTGAACATTATTCTGGCCAATCAGTAGTCACCAGTTAATGCTCCAGCCACCGCCACAGGCAAGCATAGCTGCACGTCAGCAGAGACGACCACAGGCAGAAATATGAAAAAAGAAATGCGAAAAAGAAACCACAGCATCTGTTGAGCAGGTGAGGCCATGTGCAGGTGCTTATTTTGGCGGTGGGGCAAAAAGCCACCAGTAACAAATAAGTCCAAGTAGATGTCGAGTAGTGAAGTCAATTCGGTTGACAAAAGCCAATATGCCAAGTGAAGTCAAGTAAATGCAAGACGACAGGTGACAACAGACAACCGACAGTTGCTGTAGTCCGCGCGAATGTATGGTCGTACGACAACCCATACAAGTGCCGTACATCTGTGCAAGGTACATGACCCTCGTCACACCACCATCGTCTAATCCTTCCCACAGACATTCACATATGCGGTGTGTGACCTGGAGGTCTGTTTGGTGACGTCATTTCAAAGCCCGAAGGAAGGCATTCACGGCCGTCTCCAGAAGAAACGTGGACTCCAGCCCAGGGTTCAAGACAGGCGGCTTGCGGCGGCAAGTGCAGCCGGCGGCCCTGCGGATCTCGTTTCTGTCTTTGTCGAGTCACGCGGCTTGCTTTTTGCTCCAACCTCCAGACTGCAACGGCAAGCTGCAAACGGCAACCAGCAAATCCAAACTCCAACTTCAAACTCCAAACTCCAAACGCATTGGTTTCTCGTCTGCCGCTCATCGCTCCGACTGTTAAGCTTAACGACTCTTGTGATGCAACTTGGTCGGCGCCATGGACGTGGGTACAGCGGGCCGGAGATTGTCCGTAGACAAAGGCTGGCGGTGAAGTCGGTGAACCGGCTGTGGGTTGAGTGGTGAGTTGGGGGGAGGAGTTGGGGCAGCTCTTCGGGCCTTTTTCGGTGATGAGGGAGTGCCACCGGAGACTGCAATCGACACAGACAGAGGCTGAGCCCGGGACGTTGGAAACAACGATTCACACACAATCCGCCGAAACAATCCGCAAACAGAACCCGATTCTGACAGAAATCAATGGACCTGGCTTCTCCGAGACTTTTCTAGCGACATCTCCATTCCCCCATGATCTGGTTTTGTGTCTCTTGCTTTTGTCTCTTGCTTTTGTCTCTTGCTTTTGTCTCTTGCTTTTGTCTCTTGCTGTTGTCTTCTGTTTGTCTTCTGTCTGTCACTTGATTCTGTCTGTCTCTTGATTCCGTTGTCCAAATTAGATTTGCACTCTCCGACGTCCTGTGGCCCTCCGGATCCCGTTTTCCGTATCCAAAAAAGCGAAATGCACAAGCGCTGTCGACGAATGCGGACTCTTTTACGACAAGACTCTTTTACGACAAGTTGTTGCTCCTAGAAACAAGGCGTGTACAGTACGTGGTCGCCAGCACGCGTGCGCCCGACAAGAGCCCTCTGACGCATGGACTGATGATAGACTGCTTTTTTGGTGGTCTCGTATTGTCCCTGCCTAACGCATGGTTGCGATCACTTGAGCTATAGTCACAGGCTTTGGAGACCGCGGTGAGGGAGGGCTTTGTGGTGAGTGCTGAGGTGTGAGACACGACTTGGGTGCGATGGTATGGGTGCGATGAAGTGAGTTGATTCAAACGTACTTTTGGAGGGAGTTGTTTTCTTGTTTCTTTTTTGGTGGTTTTTGGGGTGTTTTTGGGAGTTTTTGGGAGTTTTTGGGTGTTTTGGGGTGTTTTTGGGTGTTTTTGGTTTTATTTTTTGGGTGTTTTTTGGGTGTTTTTTTGGGTGTTTTGGGGTGTTTTGGGGGGTTTTGGGGTGTTTTTGGGGGGGTTTTGGGGGTGTTTTGGGGGTGTTTTTTGTTTTATTCTTTGGGTGGTTGTTTGCACTCCTCCTTGCAGCGTCCTCACGAAAATCAATTCTTTGGACGCTATAAATACGCCATCAAGTCAAGACTGCTTCCAACTGATTCACACCTCCCGGATTTATCCATCGGTATTGTCAGATTAACAATCGGGTGACCATTGCTCCTACCGTGAGTCCTACACTACAAGGCTACTTGTAGATCCAGGCCTACTTGTAGATCGCAGTGCTTGCTTTTCTCTCGTGGCCTGCATACCGCGGTTCGATCCTGACAAAACACCTTCGTGGTCAAACTACGGTTGCGAAATGACATAATCGGCGCTCTACGCACCCTTCCGGTGATCCCCGCGGACAATTTTGCACACTACATCCCTTCTGTGTGCTATCTTTCCCCCGTTTCTCCCCACTTTCCACCATCTCCACTTCTGTTACACACCATATTTAGATAGCGGATATGATATGGGATTCTACTCAAAACATCACAATCCAGAACATCGTGATTTCGCACAAAGAGACCAAAAACCAACACGCCCACCAAATCCACCGCCCCGCGCAAAATGCACTCTTCAGAATTCCTCCCACTCCTCCTGTCTCCTCCACAATAGCCATGTCTGACTAAGCAACTACAACCCTATTTGCCACTGCAACCTACATATTGTATCTACAAGTACGAGTACATTCCACAAGTACATCACCACCATACAACAGACCCAACTACGAGCACGAGTACTCGCTCTCTGACCAAAACAGCCCAATTACATAAACACAAACACCACCAAGGTTCCCTCCTCCGACTATGAAAGAACTCACCTCCACAGACGAGTACTTCAAGGCCATCCACCCCGCCACGGTGTCGGTGGTGGACTTCTACGCCGACTGGTGCGGGCCATGCAAGGCGGTGGCGCCGGGCTACGCCAAGCTGGCCGAGCAATACAAAAACCAGGCGTCGTTCTACAAGGTCAACGTGGACAACAACCAGGGCGCATCGTCGCACGCCGGAGTGTCTGCCATGCCCACGTTTGGGGTGTTCAAGAGCGGCAAGCTTCTGGAGACGGTGCGGGGCGCCGATCTAGGGGCCGTGGAGCGACTGATCAAGAAACACGGCGCTGCGGCCAAACCCGTCTACGTGACCCAGGGCCATGTGCTGGGCCAGAAACCCATGTCCGCCCAGGCCACGTCGTCGATTCGACACGTGATCCAGGCCATTCTCGCCTACTTTGTCTCACTGTTTTCGCTGCTGCCCCTGGAGAGCGCCACGAGCTTTGTCGAGGCTGCGCAGGCCCGACAGAAGGGTCGCGAGATGCAGCGCCAGCGGGCTCCTCCCCGGGGGTTCGATGGCTCGGATCGTTTCTCTTTCAACAAGAAGGAGAGTCCGGCAAGCACCTGCAGTAGTTAGCCGATACTGATGTTAACGAATGCAATCTGAGTAACACGGAGACTGACAGAAGTGCGGTACAAAAAAGTACAACTCTGCTACAAGTAGTTGTCAGCAACCCACCTCGGTAACGGTCAACTCTTTGCCAACTCCGAACCGGTCAACCCGTCCGACCGACCCAACCGGTGTATCCAACCCCGGTCAACCGCCCGATCTACCCAACCCCTATAATCTAACGTGTTCTTATTCAGTGTAGCTCGTGCCCGATAGCACCGACGTCACGATCGTGGCTGTGCGCAGGTGCATGACTGCGTGAAGACCACGACGTTTCGGACTTGTTCTGTATGTATACGACTGCACCCTGTCTGTCACCTCGCGTACGCTATCACTGCTCGAAACAAGCAGACGACTTGGCACTCACAGCAGATCCATGTCATCGGATCGCCGACGGATCAAGTTGGCAGATTGATCTATCTTCAATTTATCCGTTCGATCTAGGCGTTAATCCTCGACCCAGTCCTCGACCAAGTCGCATCGCCGTATCTACAGTGTGGCTATCACCAGTTATAGCCGCCGGGCTTATCTTGAGCCTGCGCAAACTCTCAGTAACTGCGGCAACTCTGCGCTATGGTGTCTCTTGTCAGCCTTTCAGCGTTCACAGTTTGGGCGAAGTTTCGGTTGAATTGGAGTCTACAAGCGAGGTTTGAACCATCGACCACCAGTCCAAGATAAGCAGTGCGATCATCTAACCCTGGAGCGGGCTATCTCCGTGACAAAAGGACTATCACTAATGGACAAAAGGACTATCACTATGGACAAAAAGACCCCTTGACTCCAGAACGAGCACTGAGAACAACAGCTGACGCGGACGATCGGCGACCTGGTTACTGCATCATTGTTGAAGGACCAATCAAACCAATCAAACCAATCTGATCAACCCGATTTTTGTATTCAACACTCGCTTATTTAGCCGAGAAAATACGAGCAAAAATTCATGACCATGACCACAACGACAAGAAAACGTGAGTAATTACATACGACGACCGACGTCGACAACCGAGACCGGCGACCGACGACCGAGACGGACGACCGACGTTCACAACTCATAAACGCACCTCGCAACTCTCACAACTCTCACAACTCTCACAACCCTCACCCAAACTTTCTACCTATAGTTGCGACTGGACGCTGATTGGAGGATGGAAAAGGGACCCCAAAATCACCCCAAAAAAGAGCTATCGAAAAACGGAAAACACCAAACGATAGCCCCAACAGATACAAGTCCAAAAATACCAATCACATGACCAAAACTCTTCCTGAAAGCCTTACCAACCACCTCCCCCAAACTCCCCTCCTCACTCAAATATAAACTTCTCCCCCTCAGTTGAAACACTATACCAATTATATACGGGGTTTCCTCTTTTTGTCGGTGGTACTTGTACATACATGTACACGTATACACGTATCCGAGCGTTATGAGGCTGTATGCGGGGTACTAATGTCAGCTACATTGCATCTACAAGTAGACACTTCTTGGCACCGCCCAACCCCCCGATCGAGGCAGGGGTTGGTTGATTTTTTTGGTTGTATTTTGTGTTTATTTGTGTATATATATTATATATTTAAATTGCAAATGAAACGAGGAATATCCGCATCGAACCATTTATAAATAAATGTGGGGCAGAGGGGTATACACGTAGGAGTCAATCCCAGTCAGTCACAGTCGATCGGGCAGTGTTCAAACGCGGTTCTGTCAGTTTTTTTTTTCTTCTTTTTTTTTCTCTCATTTTTTCTCATTTTTTCCATTTTTTCTCTTTTAGTTTCACTTTCTCCTCAAGTCGCGCGTACACATCCCAGCCGACCCTGCGCAATAAGCTCGGCGCTTGTCGCGGATAGGACGCATGCCAAGACCAGTGCCAAGACCGCCAAGCCGTCGGATGAACGACCCGAGCGCTGCCCGCCAAGAGACCCAATCACACAGGACAAACCTTGAGCTTGCATAAATCAGGCGTGCTTCATGCATGCTGCGGCCCGACTGGGGCTTGACGGTTTAGGGAACAAGGAACTTTGGGCTGTCTTTGTAAAACCGTGCCAAGTCTTGGCGTGCGCCCTCTCGGAGGGTTCCTGAACCGTTGGAGAGGGCCGCGTTGTCTCTTTTTGCCACTTGTTTTTGTGTTGGCTTCAATTTTCGGGTGTTCTTGTGTCTATTTTTTGTGTCTGTTTTGTCCTCAAATGTGTTGACGTGTCCCATGTTGGAGATTTGTCCGTCACGCAACATTTTCAAATTAGGTTTTAACAAAGCCAAAATTAGACTATACATATGCAATGCAGTGACATAAGCTTTTGTTGTCAAGTCTCCTGAACTCAACAATTTCGCAAAGTCAAGTTGCTACCGGAGGAGTCATGAAAAATGTTGTGCATGTGATGTTGAGATGGAAGATTTTGGTAGATGTTGCTAATAGTCATATTTCGGTATTATAGATGTGACGACGTCGCCACTCCACCTCCACCTGAATCTGCGACACTATTATTAGCCCCATGGAGTCTAAGATTGGATTTTGCGAGGCTTTTTGGGTGGCTTTTAAGTCGCTTTTAGGAGGCTTTTTCGTCGTCTTTTCGTCGATTTTCGTCGATTTAGGCCTGGTTCTGGACCATGATGGAAGAGAGAGGCGCAAGCAACGACGGGTTTAAGCAGTCGAGGTGACTGTGGTTCAAAAGTGATTAATAATCTGATTGTGGGGGTCTGAGTCTGAGTAGGACTCGAGTATGTACTTGTAGGTGACTTTTCGAACAGGCAACTTTTGGGGACGGAAAAGACGACGACCGACAAGAAATCACCGGATCTATCCTGACGAAAGTCTCTCCTTCTCCTGTGTCATTCTCCCGCCCCAGATTGCTCGGTTGTTCGCCGACCGCTAGCGCGCAACTTGGCAAACCCAATCCGTCGGAGTTCGAGGGCCCTGAAACCGGCTGGAAGGGCGCAGGCGATACGAGGAGTTGGTGTTTGTATGTTTGTATGTCGGGAGTTACAACGCCCTGAGTGAGTCAGTAAGTGTTGAGTAAGTACTAAGTAAGTGATAAGTAAGTGATCAGTAAGTTATAAGTAAGTGATAAGTAAGTACCAACTAACTTGCCTCAAGAGATACCCCGCTTCCCCAGTTGACTGCCAAAAATATCTACGGAAACTCCAAAGTCGAGTAAATCACCAATACACCGCATCATCTATCTCTAGCGTCATTCGAGTAACTAGCAGACACGTTGCATCACCTTAGCGTATGGCTGTGTAGATACGAGTTTCACCAAAATAAAAAAGTAAAAAAAAAAAAAACCAAACCAAAAAGAAAAACACCAAAAAATGCCAAAAAAGAGCCCAAAAAGCCCAAAAAGCCCAAAAAGCCCAAAAAGCCCAAAAAAGTGTTCGACGATGGATTCCACCAGCTAAACGTCCACAATATCGCCTGGACCGGGCCAAAGTACGTGGAAAAGTCCAGCTATCATTGTTGTTTACAAGTTTTGTCTATTTGTAAGAGTACAACGACGACTCCAAAACGACATCTGAGTGTGCTGAAGACATACAAAGTTGATAATCCATCTTTTACTACATCCCTGAAGACCCTGAAGTCCCCATTCTACCCCAATATTTTGCCAATGTTGCCAATTTCGCATGTCGCCAATACTGCCCCGTTCTACCTTCTACCCCATCTGTCCAAAGACCGGTCTAGCCCATTGTTAACAAGATTCATAGCTCCATTTGTGCTCACGAGACCTTTAGTTTGTCTTCTCCTAGTGTCAGCTCACCGGTGTACTTTGGCGGTCTTTGGCACCGTCTTTGGATGGTGTATAGTCTACATACTACGCTACAGGCCGTCGGATTGATCAAGTCAAATCCCGTCGGTTGAGAGGGCGTCGAAAGGTCTAGATTTGGATCAGGTGGTTTTAACATGTAGAATATTCGACGATCTTTGATTTCTGACGTCTGACATGACAGTACGTGCACACCGGGCTCAGCAGAGTCGCGAGAAGAGACTGTCAGATGGTTGCTGGCGGTTGCTGAACTGTCTACAGGGCGCTTATCGGGTTTAAGGAGCTCTACGGCGACTCTCGCGTGTTTTATACATTCATTTAAAATCAATTATATATATCATCAATTCGGTTAATTCGGTCAACTCGAATAATCAGATAAAACAGATCAAATGAATACAATAAAATGCAATAAAATGCAATAAAATGCAATAAAAACTTTCCAGAACAAACGAATAAAAAAACGAGTTCCCCACCGACCCTCGCCCCTCCAATAGCAACCACTCTGCTGGTCGCCAGATCAACAATCAAACCCCGAAACCCCGACAGAGTCCCAAATGACCGACGTCCTGCAAACATACATGTAGCATAGATGCATATTCTATGCAAAGCAAGGGTGCAAGAGCGTGCAGCTAACACGCACCAATACACACATAAAGGCAGTGCAACTTTAGCCGAACGACCAAAAGCTAGAGCCCCAACCAAGTTCAACCTGGTCCCCGATTACGTGTCTCACCTGGCAACTGCGGCAGGAATACACGAGATAAAAATAGTCGGGGCAAGATGCCCTGGAAATCGACCATGTACCAGGTGAGTGGTGGCCATCTCGTCAGTCTTTTTCTCTCCATTTTTGTCCTATCTCTCTTCTCCTTTTGACGTGGTTTTACACCTATTTCTGGACCCAATTTCCCGCTAAAAACACGACCTGCGAAATGAAACCGAATGTAAAGCACGTCAGGAGTGTCATCGTACTCGTACAAATGGACACAAATGTATTGTTCCTGTCGCCAGGCCTGTCGGTGTGTATGTTTGAGATTCCTTGTGGCAAGGGGAGAACAGTGCCCATTGTTTGGTGACACGATGTATACGCTTTTTTGTTTTTGCCTTTGTCTGTGTCGGTAATTTTTCATTTAATTTTCTTTGTTCTCTATTCTGTTTTTCTTTATTTTTCGTTTCGTTTTCTTTGTTTCGTCTTTGTCTCGTTTCATTTGATGTCTCTTTGTCTCTCTCCTTGTCTCCCTGGACTTTGTCCAAATTGCTCATTTCGCCACACTTAGACTTTGCAGACAAAGGCCCCATTCACCAATCGTTGTACCGCTGGTCTGCATCTCGACAACCTTGTCCCAGGCCATCCTCGAATCGACGATGTATATATTCCTGGCGTCCCCATGGCGAGATCCCCATCACAATATAGTCGCAATCAGAACAGCAGACAGAGCTGAGAAGACAGAGCTGAGCAGACCGAACTGAGCAGACACAAACTCCTCCCAGTCACAAACACAAACACAAACACCCCCAAGACACAAACACCCCAAGACACAAACACCCCCAAGACACAAACACAAACTCCCCAGGACACAAACATGCCCCTCAAGTCGAAATCCAAGCTCGTGGGAATCCCCACCGCGGATGGCAAGTTCCGCTGCATCTGGTGCCCCAAGACGTATTGCAAGTCCAAGCACGCCCGACGCCACATGCTGCTCCACACCGGCGAGCGGCCCTACAACTGCCCCCACTGCACCATGAACTTCACGCGGGCCGACATTCAAAAGCGCCACGTGATCAAGTGCGCCCAGAAGCAGGAGGACTCCAAGGCCGACGACCTGGCCAAGGCTGACGTTGAGTGTGTTGTGGACAACGTCTCTGTCGTTGAGCATGTGGACAACGTTTCTGTCGTGGAGCCTGTCGTGGAGCCCATCGTCGGGCAGCCGCAGCCGCAGCAACAGTCCGTCGAGTACACCGCCCAGCCCGACTTTTTCGACGAGCCCCAGTTCCCTTACTATTTTTTCGAGCAGGATCCTCTCCAGGAACAGCACCAGCACCAGCAGCACCAGCAGCACCAGCACCAGAACCAGCACCAGAACCAGCACCAGAACCAGCACCAGAACCAGCATCAGCAGCACCAGCACCAGCACCAGGAGCAGCATCATCAGAACATGGCCCAAGAGCCCCCCCTCACTCCCCTTACCCCCCTCATGGAGCCCATCCAGAACAACATGCACCACATGGAGATGATGCCCATGGCCGAGCATGTGGCTTCGGCGCCGTCCAAGTTCCCTCTGTTGCAACAGCACCCCACGCTGTACGCCCACGACGACCACGTGAACCTGTCGAATCTCATCGACTCGCTGTCGCAGTCCGCGCTGCCTCTTCACTACCAACTTTTGCATTCCGATAGTGACTCCATTGAGAGCATTAGCGAGACCAGTGCGTCTGACGAGGGCGAGTTTTTCGAGCCGCTCAACTGGTCGCTCGAGGGTCTCATGTAGACGGAAATACCACCGTCTCCAAAGGACCCGTACTTCCCAGCGACTCTGGCCATCTTTGCATTCTATAGATTATTTATTTGCATTTACTTATGAACTAAGGTTGAGAGTATCACGTAGGTGCTGTAAAGACCAGATTCCACTTACCTACTGCTGCTGCTCCAGGTCAACATCAGCTGATTCTGCTGTCTCTGAATCACTACAAGTAGCTTCAACTCAGATTGAGGAGACGATGGTGAGTCTAGTGAACTTTGTCAGCAGTAATTGGTGACTAATGTGAGTCTGGAGATAGCGGCAGATTGGTGTTTGGATCAGCCCATTGTGAAACGCCGGGGTCTCCAACTGGTAGCTCCACCTGAAGTATCCTGAAGATGTTCGTAGTGGTCGTACCATAGTGAAAACGTGTTGCTTCTGACCAGACAAATCAGTACCAAGTCACACATTCTGTCTAAACATGAATGATTGGTATACACCAATGAGTAATCCAGATCCAGTCTGATGAGTGATTAGGTCAGCATCAGGTCAGGATTAGGAGCGTCAACTGTCATCAGCGATATGAGTGAAGCGCAAGCGTGAGTACCGGAGGTCAGAATATCTTGCGCACCTTTTTTCCAGCCCTGGGTCCCACTCACATGTCCTCGTCGTTCTCATTCTCGCACTCACTCACCCACTCACTCACTCACTCACTCACTCACCCTCTCACTCACTCACCCTCTCACTCACGTGACCCTGTCTCACTCTCTCACGTGACCTCACCACCGCCTCTAGAACCACCTCGCGTTTCAAATCGAATCGAGGGTCTACTGAATGAATCCATTCAGGGGGTGTTTCAGAATATGCAGGCTTGTGTTTGTGAAATGTGATGTCAATGTGGTTGTGTGGAATGCGAAAAAGGGGAGAGAGAGACACTCGGGCTGTCTGTTGCTGTTCACGTGACGCCCACGTCCAACCCACGCTATCCACGCTCTCCTGACAGGCGTCTTGTCGTCTGCGACTGGCCAAGAAAACAACTGGATAATATCTCCTCGAGTCGCGTATCTGAACGGCTATAACCCTAACCCACACACATCCCAAAATAACCTTTTGGGAGACTGTCCGGGCAAAAGTTTATTTTTTTTTTAAAATGTGGGTAGGAGAGTTGGGGCTCATATTTTGGACTCGACTTTTTTTTGGACCCAGCTTTTGTCAGTTCCAAATCCGCCGTCAGCACCTTTTTTGCGAGTCTTTTGAAACCAGCGCCGGCCATTGTTGCATCTGTCGACGTCGATTTGCCGATTCTCTCTCAATCCCGTGTGTCTCTCTCAACCCCGCGCGACGCCAACGTACCAGTGAAAGTGCATACGTACCAAATCCCATACGTAGCGTATCGTACGCAGCACCCAACCAGCACCAACCAGCACCTCTTTGAGACCGGTTCAAAACGTGTTTTTCCAGTAGCGTGACACTCCGCCAACACGTGACCCGCCCCTCAGCTTCACGTGACCACCCGCCGCTTTCGTCCAGACGCACCTCGGCCACACCATCTGCATCTCCACAGCACAGCTTGCCACACGACAAGTACATATAAGGCGACCTGGTGTTTGTAACGACCACAAAACCACCGGTAGAGCGACGTCAGCGTGTTACGCAGTGATTGTGACAGTGATTAGACATTGACAAGACGCCAGTGATCAGACAGTGATCAGACAGTGATCAGACAGTGATCAGACAGTGAACAGACATAGTGAGTATGACCCGAGTGAAGTTGTGGGCTGAGGGGATGACGTGGGATAAGGTGAGGCGGAGATGGGGGATGACGTGAGAAGAGACATGAGAAAAGAGGAGTCGAGGATGACATGGATGAGGTGTTGAGGTGGAATACTGAAAGGTCTGAGGTGACGCAGGTGCTAAAGATGAACGCCGTGGATTGTGGTTATGGATGGTCACCAAAATGTGGTGTACTTCTTCGGTCTGCGCATTCCACCTCCACCTCCAGCGACCGGTGATATGTGAAAATGTGTACTTGTACTAACCCAGCAGACATCCGAATCGACAATATTGATTCGACCAAACATACGACACACTCAACAAGTCAAAAGATAGCAAAAGTGAGTATGACAGGAGACGTGGTTGGAGCAAACACAGATGAGAGCAGACATCCCATGGAGTCTGTTGACGGTCCAGGTTGCGCAGAGACGTCCAAATTGCCAGATTGACAGTGACCATGACTCAACCACGTTCTGAGCATCTTGCCCGCGGGGCATGGTGGGAAGTCTCGCAAAGCCTCACAATGCGGCGCCCCATCTCTGCAGACAAGACTCGAAAGAAAGACTCGTGGCGTATCTCATCTGACGAGTCTTACCTAGACGCTCTAGCAAGCCTACAGTCACCTGGTGCCCAGTGATACGCTGCTCCGTCTTACGACATTGCCCCAGCTTCAGTAATATCCCTACTAACCCAGTGAGCAAACCAAAACCCTCCGAGGTCCGAACCCTGGCGTTCAACGTGTCCGACCACTACCAGATCCTGGACATGGTCGGAGAAGGCGCATATGGCATTGTGTGTTCCGCGTTGCACACGCCCTCCGGCCAGAAAGTGGCAATCAAAAAGATCACGCCGTTTGGCCGGTCCATGTTCTGTCTCCGGACTCTACGAGAGATCAAGCTGCTGCGCCACTTCAGCCACGAAAACATCATTGGCATTCTGGACGTGCAAAAGCCCGCGTCCTTCGAGTCCTTTAACGAGGTCTACCTCATTCAGGAGCTCATGGACACAGATCTGCATCGGGTGATCCGAACCCAGGAGCTGTCCGACGACCACTGCCAGTACTTTGTGTACCAGACGCTGCGAGCCATCAAGGCACTGCACTCGGCAAACGTGTTGCATCGGGACCTCAAGCCCAGCAACCTGCTCCTAAACGCGTCGTGTGACCTCAAGATTTGCGACTTTGGCCTGGCCCGATCGGCAGCGTCCACCGAAGACAACTTTGGCTTCATGACCGAGTACGTGGCGACCCGGTGGTACAGAGCGCCCGAAATCATGCTCACGTTCAAGGAGTACACAAAGGCCATTGACATGTGGTCGATTGGGTGCATTTTGGCAGAGATGCTGGGCGGCCGGCCTCTGTTCCCTGGCAGAGACTACCACTCGCAACTGACCATGATTCTGGACGTTCTGGGCACACCCACCATGGAAGACTACTACTCGGTCAAGTCGCGGCGTGCACGGGAGTACATCCGGTCGCTGCCGTTCAAGAAGAAGCTGCCGTTTTCGCAGCTGTTCCCCAAGGCGAATCCTCTGGCAATTGATCTGCTTGAGAAGCTGCTGACGTTCAACCCGGCCAAGCGAATCACCGTGGAGGAGGCTCTGGTGCACCCGTATCTGGAGCAGTACCATGATGCCGACGATGAGCCTACCGCCGAACCCATTCCCGACGAGTTTTTCGACTTTGACCGGAATAAGGATGAGCTGAGTGTGGAGCAGCTCAAGACACTGATTTACAACGAGATCATGTACTGGAAGAGGCCGTAACGAGACCCAAGCAAAAGAGGGTCTCTTGTCTTCTTCTCTTGTAGCCTACGAGTTGGTTCATGACGATACCAACTCTATGTACTGCAATATATTTATGTTGATGAGTGGTAAGAAGGAAGGTGAATGGACTACCAGGTAGGAAAAGATGAGAAACAGACGACAACAAGTACGTACAACTCGCGGCTCGGAAAAACTAGTTGAAACATCTTCCGAAGCGCAGTTGCGAAGCGCACACAAACGCACACAAACGAACAGGAGGTCTTTGATGCATCGCTAAGCACAAGCACGTACCGGCGGCTCTTGTTGCAGTCGGTTGCTCGTTTGGTCTCTTGGTCTCTGCACGTCACCCACCCACGGAGATAGCCATAACGCCGAGGCGTGTGTGAGTGTGTGAGTACGTGCGTGAACGCTTGTCTCCTTGCATGGTGATTCTTTCCAGAATTCGCTTGTATCTTTTCTTCTGCCCACCTTTGTCGTGTTGGAGCCCACCCTATGCATCATGTTGCCAGGGAGTTCATCTAGGGTATCGGTACGCGGCTCCAAAGGAAGGTATACGAGGAGGGACCCTTCAAATACGATACGAGTGTTTGTACGAGTGTTTGTACGAGTGTGTGCTATTCGCGTTGCCGACTTTGTGTTTTTGGTTCTCGAATCGCCTTCATGGAGTGGGCGAGTGGGCGAGTGCGTAGTCGGCTTGTCGACAGAGTCTTGATTGTACAGTATATGGATGGAGATGAGATGGAGATGAGACGAGATGAGAGGACATGAGAGGAGATGAAGATAAAGTTGAAAAAGCCATGGTGCTACTTGTAGTGGAGGTCCTAGTCTCAGCCTTACTCGGTCTAAGCTAGTCTCAGATCGTCTCAACTAGCCTCAGTATCGTAGTTTGTATCTCAGCCTCCCTTCTCCCCGTCAAGCCCACGTGGTCTAGTTTGCTCGTACCGACTCTTTCATTCTCTCTTTGTCCCCGTTTCGTTCTCTCCACCCATTTTCCACTGTTTTTCACCCGTCTTCTACAGCCCCGACGCGGTCCTGTCTTTTTCTTTTCGCAAAATGCGCGCTGCAACCGGCGCAGCAGCCGGCAGCAATAACGGCCGTCGATCAACGGCGCCTACAATCAACGGCGCCAACAAACGATATATGTCCGCCCGCAGACGTATTCACCGCGTCAATCTACGCCCGCTCGTCACCCCGTATTCTCAACAGCTCTTTTGAGTTCAACTAATGACTCATAAGACTTGGGGAAAGATTGGAAATGAGCCAACTCGACAAGTCCACGCAACTGGTGTCTCTGAAAAATCCCCGGAACGGTGGTTTTCCCCGACATATATCCACTCTCGACCCTCATTAGACAACCTCGCTTATACGCCAAGTCGCCAATCACCGTCGTTAAGAATGTATCACTGCAGTGTCATGCCGAAATGCCAAGCCACGCCGGTACGTGGACGTGCAGCAAACGGGCCTAAAAGGACCGCGCATGTGCATGCATATAAACGGTGCATATACGTATATGCATGAGCTCGGTGATTGCTCTTGATGCTGAACGAGTGTGAAATAATAAAATGAGAAATGAAAAATTGAAATGCAACATGAGAAATGAACCTACAGGTAATCGAACAACCCGCCTCGGTAGTCACGAACCCCCCCAACCGTTCTGAGGCTCATTAAACACTTCCGAGAAAGCCAATAGTGGCAAAACTATACCCCTCGCCACCCGTCAAAGAATTTTTTTTTTTAAAAAAGATTGCAGCACCCAGGATTCTCGTATGGTCTCCCACTACAATACTAACTAGGCTCTCTGGTGCTTGACTATGGCTGATCGGACGGGAAGCCGTATTTTCACCAGGATATGGCCGCAACCATAATTAGAAAACCGTTGAACCTAGTAATAAGGCCAGTCAAGTCACGTGAGGGAATCATTACGATAAAAAATATAATCGTGAGAATTAAAAAAAGGGTAGCAAAACAGTAACGAAAATGCCCAAAAAGACCCAAAAAGATTTTGCCTCACTCACCATAGACAAAGAGGTAATAAATCAATATCAATGAATATACCAAGCCGTTATTGGACCACCCGTTGTGTTTATGCTTACTAATGCTCAAATAGCGAAGGACCAGATCACCGGTTAGAAAAGTTCCGAGCGGAACTTTGGTCCCTGCCATTTATATAAGCGGGTACTCGGCATTGTCGGTAAAATTTACGGGTCTGTCATTTATACATACATACGAATCCCCAACATGATCTTCTCAGTCGCGTTAACTATATCACTCTTCCTTGGCTCTGGTCAGCGAGATGTTAATACCCTGGGCGCTACACATGGTCAGAGAATGTCTGACCTTGACAGCAGCATCCGACGGCTGGATACTAATGTCACTATACTCCTGAAGCAGTCTAGTGATGACATATCCCATCTCTGTGAGGGCAAACTGCTGACCAAGACAGATCCGGGGTCCTCCATTGAACGGCAGAAACTCCCAGCCCTTTCCTAGAGCTCCCCCGGATGTGGTTTCCCATCTTTCAGGCCGGAACTCCTCAGCATCTTCTCCCCAGTACTCCTTGTCTCTGTGGGTCCAGAAAATGGCGTAGTTGATCTTCTGACCCTTGGCAACAAAGATGGGCTTGTCTCCTTGAGGACCTCCTCCTCGAGGAAGAGTGGTGTCTCTAACCGCGACCCGCAGATTGACAGGAACCACAGGGTGCAATCTGAGACCTTCATTGAGCACCTGGCGCAAATAATCGCACTTCTTGAGACTCTCGAAAGAGATGGACTCACAGGAAGTGCCAAAGTCGTTCAAAATTGCTTCTCTCAGCTTGTGGAAGATATCCGGCTTCTTGGCAAGCTCCATGAAGATCCACGACAAAGTGGATGCCGTAGTATCTCGTCCAGCAATCAGAATGTTCAGCACCTGGTCCCGCAAAGTGATCTTGTTTGTGGTTTCTCGAGCCAGCTCATACAAAAAGATGTACTTGTCGGGATTGGTATAGATTTCGGACTTTTCTTTTCGAGCGAGAAGAGCCTTGTCGACGTACCGATCAACATAGTCGTGGATATGCTGGTTGGTATTATTGAAGTCTCTTCTCCAGAACAGGCTTCCCACGACCCAAAAGGCTTCCTGACAGATGATTCGCAGCGACCCGAGTCTCTGTGCTCGGTCAAACGCCACCTGGAAGGTGGTTCCTGTTCGGGGCATTTCCGGATGCAGGATTTCTTGCAGATTGCCCACAGCTTCCCCCAGGAGGAAATCTGTCGCCGTGTCCATAGCCAGGGAGAAGAAGAGCCGCTGAATGTCGAAATAGGCACCCTGGTTTCTGTCAATGCAACTCATCATTTCCTGCACATGAGTTTCGACAGATTCGAGCCGAGAAATCTGCTCTCGCGAAAACTGGGGCCGCAAAAGAGCGCGGGAATGCGACCACGACGACCCGTCAAGAGTGAAGATTCCGTAGCCCAGCGACGGAGCCAGGGCCTCCTTTCGAAGACCCAGCGAAAAGTCCTTGAACTGGGTCGCCAGCATGGCTTTGATGTTATCGGGGTCGTAGGTCAAAATGGTGTTGGAGGGGAAAGCGTAGTACTTGAGGGTCTTTCCGTACGTGGCGAACACCTCCCGCCACCCAACCGGCCCAATGTCGTTGTTGAACACGGTCAACATGTGCCGGAGACCCTTCCAGCCCAGTAAGCCATTGTACGCGACCGGCATGTCTGAGGTCTCAAACTTGGCTTTTCGTCGGTAGTAGTCGAGCTTGACAAACGCCACGTACACGGCCACAAAAACGACCGCTCCAATGAGCGTTTCGATGATAATCATTTTCGTCCAGTATTGTAAAATACGAGCAGAGTAGTGTACTGTAATGTTGCTGTGATCAGGTGTGTTCGTGCCACTTCAGGAGTCCTTACAGTATATATATATAAACTTCAGTTGTGTGGGGAAATGGTGCATATATGACAGATGCAGCTGTATGCAGACGCATGCATGCAAGTTAAACGCATTAAGGTGGCGGGCTATCGTAATATGGCGTCGTACGGCTAAGGGTCCGAGAAACAGACGGAGGACATTTCGCAGGGCTTTGATTGGAGGAAGAGAGTGGTTCATTTTGGGAGAGTTCATTTAGATTCATTTGATGGGTTCTATCCCCACAAACATTGGTTTTTCTCCTGCCCCACAAAATGCATGGTCACTTGTGGGCATCTGTCTCACACATTCCCCCTCTTACAAGGCCCCGAGGAGTCTGTCTCAGCCACGACAGTAAGACAATATAACGGTGTTTGGAGGCAATGTTTGTGGGTGGTGACCGATTCATCGTCTCCGTCATCTACTGTGCTGCACCAGTACAATACATTTACTCGTACTTGTATTACATACCTATAGACACACCACAGGACTGGTTGGCATTAGTTGGCGACGTAGCTCCAAACCAGTACAGTAAAGATACAAGTAACATAATTCACGTACAGACGGATGCGGAGACGGATATGATGACCTTTTGTTGACCGAGGCCAATCTTTTGCCGAGGCCACTTCTGGTCCCTTGCATAATACTGATACGTGGGGTCGTGCTCCCTTCATGTTCGAAAAGCAGCTGCATGTCCACGTACCGGCTCTTGTATCGTACTAAAACCGGCTCTTGTTCAGATTTTTTGTTTCTTAGTAGCGGGCTCATCTCCATTGACTCCATTGCCGTTCTCACTCTTGTCACTCTTGGTCAAGGGAAACTCCCCCTCTTCCCACTTGTACTGTCCGGCAGGGTGGTCGGGGAAGATCTTGGCCCGTCCAAAGAGATTCTCCCGGAGCGTCCCTCCAGGCACGTCGTAGTCGGCCCAGAACCGGTCTCGCCGCTGCAGCTCGGGAATCACCCACTTGGCAATGTCTCTGTAGGTGCCCGGTACAATGGCGTGCACGAGATTGAAGCCATCCACATCACCGTCTTCCACCCAGCTCTCCAGCCGGTCACACACCGTCTTAGGGTCGCCAACAATCACGTCTCCTCGTCCTCCAAACGCAAACTCCTCAGCCACCCTCCATTTGTTCCACAACACGTCGGGCCCGACTCGGGAGGTGTTTGCCCAGGCTGAAACAGCTCCAGCAAGCACCTTGTTGTCGGAGACGTGGCGCAGATCCTGCTCGTCGTCGTAAACAGACACGTCAAGCCCAAACCAGCCGCCAAACAGCACCAGGGCTCCCTCCAGATCCACATATTGCTTGAGCTCCTCATACTTGGCCTCGGCCTTCTCCTGGGTCTCGTCGACGCAGATGAAAACAAGAGCAAATAGCTTGACCGACTCGGGAGCCCGCCCGAACTCGGCCGCCAGACGTCGCATCTCGTCAGCGGTCTTACGGGTTGCTTGCGGCGAGTTGCCAGTGATAAAAATGCCCTCGGCGTGTTTGGCGGCGAACTTGCGTCCGGCAGAAGACATGCCGGCCTGAAAAATGACCGGAGTGCGTTGCTTGGATGGCTCGACAATATGAGGACCGGGAACTGATGGGAAATACTTGCCCTTATGGTCAATGTACTTGACGAGGTTGGGGTCGGTATAGGTGTTGGTTTGCTTGTCCAACTTGACCGCGTCGTCTCTCCACGAGGCCTCCCACAGCTTGTACACCACGTCCATGTACTCTTCGGCCACAGCGTACCGCTCATCGTGGGGCAGTTGGGTGTCTAGACCGTGGTTCTGTGCTCCGCTTTCGAGATACGAAGTGACGACATTCCAGCCCAGCCGGCCGTCGGAGAGATGGTCCACGGTAGAGTATCGACGGGCGAGGCCGTAGGGGTGGTCATAGGTGGTGGAGGAGGTGATTGCAAAACCAATCGACTTGGTCACAGCCGCCATGGCAGGAACCAGATATAGAGGATCGTTATCGGGGAACTGGGAGGCCGAACGAACCGCTGTCTCCATGTTGCCCTGATACACGTCATAGACGCCGGCGACATCGGCCAGAAAGACGGCGTGGAACTTGGCGGCCTCCAGCTCTTGGATGAGGTCGGTCCAGTAGCTCAGAGTGTTGATCTTTGAGGCTGAGCTCTCGGGATGACGCCACAGCCCCGGCGCAAGATGGTTGGGGGTGTTTTGCATGAAGGCATTGAGAATGATTCGTCGCTTGGAGCTCGAGTTGGCGGGGGCTCGGGACTCGGAAGAGCCCTGGATGTAGGACGCGATTTCCATTGCTGTTTGGAAGCTGTGGCAGTGAAAGTGGCGATGCGGTGGCCAAGTCGGGGGCGCGGATTTATATTATCCCTCCATCCGTCACCGCCCACCCAGAGCTCAAGCCACACCTTGGGGGGAAGATTGTGTTATCAAGCCACTAGGCTGGTGATTGGTGTGGTCCGTTGAAGGTGATGAGCGCTCGGACCATTTTGGCGAAATAGTGAGTGATATGATCACGTGCCGTGAACAATTGACCATGCCATGTTTTTTTTCTTCTACACAATCGTACTTATTCTATGAGTTGATGACGAACATCGCCAGTTTCTCTCAGCCTTCAAGCCACATCCACCAGGAGCCACGGAGACAAGCTACCGACAGTTCGATTCCGGTGGGGAGAGTTATATCGGATAATTAAATGGGGGTCTCCATCTCGACGAAAAGAGCAGGTATCGAGAACCGGAAAAGTGGAGTATCTTCGGGCTGACGCAATTAGTCTGATTGGGTGTATTCTATGTCAAAAAAGAAGACATCCATCAACTTATGGCCCCAAAACACGCATGAACGAAAATAACCGTCTCACACCAACGACTCACATCAACGACTCACATCGACGGCTCACACCAACAACGCCCGAAGACACACGACGCTGACACACGACGCTGACACTTGACCTTCCCTTCGGCTCCAAAAACAACGCAACACGTCTTCTTCCTCCAGTGGAAATGTGTTTACTTTTGTTGGAATGCAAGTAGAGAGATACGCGTGACCACTGTGCCTGGGTTTACAGCCAGTATAGTTTTGGAAGCAGGGGGTGAGGCCGAGGCCCCGGAAAAATAACCACCGCAGACAAACGCAAAACCCAGCCGCTAAAGGATTAAGTATTGCACTTGTATCGGACCGCTATAGACAGGTTATATCTGTTGTAGGGAGGTCAGCAATATGACACAGCTCCACATTGACAAGCACCAAATATGCAGCTGTAGATAATATGCACGTCTGCATGCATGTGCATACATGGCATACATGTGCATAATAGGGTAAATTGTATCAGCACGCACATGTGGGAATTTTCCAGCGTGGATTAATTATAGATACTGTTCGACGCGTTCGAATCAGGCTATTTAACCACCCGCCAGCCGTTGAAAGGCTTGTAATGTTTATGTGGCTCTGAGGAGAAAGCGAATGGTGAGGGTGTCTGGACTCTTGAGGTTTCGATTTATGTGGTCCTGGCTGTCTCACCTCCAAATAATACTGCGGGGATTTCACATGTCCACAGTCCCGAAGACGTTGACATGGCATGGACAGGTAGGGTGCCACAAAAAGTCGAGCCGGGCGACCGTTGGATCGGCCACAAAGACAGCGTCCGTCGGAGCGAGCGGCCACAAAGACAGCGCCCGTCTGGTTTTGTTTTTGCGGTCGGTTCGGAGTTATTTTTCCTGGGAAAGAGCGCATTTTTGAAGGTTGCACTGCCTTGCCATAACTATCCTTCAAGGGGTGTCTATGTGTATGTGTATGTGACATAATACCGCTGTTCCAGGTGGCGAATTTGAGCGTTGGCGTCGACTGATTGACTGTCTCATTTCGCCGCTGGGTGCTTCAAGCACACCGTTATCAAGACAGCAGTAGGTATGAGTACGAGTATCGTACATAGTCACTTGGAACTACCTGTAGCGCAAGTAGAAGCTAAGTTGCGAGTACTTTCTGGTTCTACTTGTAGGAATGGTAGACAGAGTATTTGTGCTCGAGCTCGTACTTGTATGGACCGTAGTCGTTTGTCTCGAGTCCGTAGTCGTCGTCGATTGAACCGAACTACCCCTGTCTCCTTCACATGTTCGATCGATCCACAGTGCCAGACATAGCGTGCTTGTTCGTATTGACCCCGCACACGACCGTGAACCGTCTAGTGGCCCGCAAAGTGTTGTTATTGCTCCAGACTGGGCATAAGTGCCACCTAAGCTCGTTCTGCGCGGTTGCTGGTGAGACCAAGAGGCAAAAGAAATGCTCGACGCGGTCACGCGCCGCGAAAAACGGATAAATCGCCGCCAACACGCTCCACGCGTCGCCAGAAAGCCGGAAAAAGCCCTCCAACTAACTTCCTCCGCTTCTCCAGTAACGTTGAGGAGTGCAGTTGGCAGGGGTTGGCCGAGGTGAACCAAGTCAAAAGAAAAACGAAAAAAAGTATGCATCAGAGGTTAATCGGAGATAGTAGCGGAGATGCTGAAGTAGCCAGAATGAGAGGGAAATGGGAAGGAATGGGAGGGAATGAGAGGGAATAAGAGGGAATAAGAGGGAATGAGAGGGAAAAGAGGATCTATATGTATAGCGAGGCCACGTGACCTTCCAAGTGGCCCCAAAAAAACGCATTCGCGCTCGCTCGTGCTCGCTCCTTTGCACACAAGCTCAAGCGCATTAGGTTAATCTTAGAACCCTGCTGCTCTTAACAGTGAGAGATACAAGGGGAAATCGTTGTTATAAATATGTGCTGAGGACCGGACTCCTTCTTCTAACTGATATCTCACCCACCCACATCACACACAACACACACCATGCCATCAGTATCCTCCACCGCCTCCTCCAGACAGTCCAACGAAGGCCGATTCGACACCCTGACCCCCGACCAGCAGGAACGGCTCAAGCAAATGTGGTCGGTTCTGCTGGCGGCCATGGAGATCGCGGAGCCCCAGGCGCCCGCCGCGTCGCCCACGTTCGATCCCAAGCCGCTGGTCCCCAAGCTGCTGGGCGACATGACCTCCAAGGAGATCCGTCTGGTTCTGTGGAACCTGTCGCGCACCATGACCATTGACAACATGCTGCTGCGGTTTCTGCGGGCCCGCCAGTTCGACGTGGCCAAGTCGGTCGAGATGCTGGGAAGGACTCTGCACTGGCGACTCAAGGAGTCCGGATTGGACGAGCTGCAGTTCCGAGGCGAGATCGGAGCTCTCAAGTCCAACGACGTGGAGTTCATGACCCAGCTGCGATCCAAGAAGGCATACATCCACGGCCGAGACAAGTGTGGACGGCCCGTGGTGCGAATCACGCCCCGTCTGCACTCCAAGGACAAGCAGAGCCCCCAGTGCATCGAAAAGTTCACCCTGCACCTGTTTGAAAGCACGTTGCTCATGTTGGACGAAAAGGTCGACACCATTGTCTTCCTCTTCGACATGACCGGCTTCTCGCTCTTCAACATGGACTACGCATACGTCAAGTACGTGCTCAAGTGCTTCGAGGCCTACTACCCTGAGTCACTCGGCCTTGTGCTCATCCACAACTCGCCCTGGGTCTTCTCCGGCGTGTGGAACATCATCAAGGGCTGGATCGACCCCAACGTGGCCCAGAAAATCAAGTTCACCAAGAACGTCAAGGCCCTGCAGGAGTACATTGACATTGAGCAAATCCCCGCCGATATCGGAGGCAAGGACACCTTCAAGTACGAGTACCCCGAGCCCCGCAACTCCGAGGGCGACAAGCTGCAGGACCACGCGGGCCGAGAACAGGCTCTCAACGAGCGGTCGGCCCTGTGTCAGCAGCTGGAACAGAACACAATCGAGTGGGTGCAATGCTCGGCAGGCTCGGAAAAGCAGGTGCTCGACACCCGACGGGACCTCACAAACAAGCTCAAGGTCCAGTACTGGAACCTGGATTGCTACGTCCGAGCGCCCTGCGTGTGTGATCGACTTGGACAGATCCATCCTGTCATGGCTTAAGGCGGCAATTCCGGCCAGACGACTAAAGGGGTACCCTGTTGCAGGGCTCCGTATTAAATTATATGAATTAGACATTAGAGAGTGATGTGAGTGACAAGTGTAGATGTACTGTTCGAAAACTACAAGTACTTGTATTTATACAGTGACTTTTCTGGTCCCATGGAGGACATGTCCAAATCATTATCATATCATTATCATAAATCATTACATCAGCTTACGCTACCGTCACACGTAATTCACCTTCTCCATAGCTCCCCTTCCGTAGAAATCAGACACCACCTTGAACTTGTTCTCAGCAGAGTCGAGAGCAGCGGTCAACAAATCTCCTCGCTCTCCAACATCAGTCTGGGCCCGTCTGATGGCCTTCAGCGCATCCAGATCGTTGCCACACACCGGACAGTCGGGATTCTCGCCGTCCACCGCATTGAGACACCGCTGATGGAACGAGTGCTTGCACAGAAAGTGCACCGAGGGATGATCCAAAGTCATCTTGCATGTGTTGCAGGAGGTGGCCTGGATGACGGAAATCTCTTCTCTGAGCTTGTCGACAGAAGACTTCTTAGCAGCCGTTTCCTTTTGGTACGAGTCAGACAGCAGCTTGTTGTTGTTAATGGATGTCTTCTCTCCCTCAATAACCTCAAGTAGGTAGTCCTTGACGAGTCCCACAGTCGCCACAGAAGAATGGGACAAGGCCTGAATGACCTGCAGAGGAGACATGAGCCGATCCTGCCGAATCTTTGCCAAAGTAGCCACAAACTCGTCCTTAGTTTCGTCCAAAACTTGCTGAGACGAAACAAAATAGTTGAGAGCAATGGGATACAGCTCGGGCTCAGTGGGCCCATAGGTATGCAGAGCCTGGACAACATCCTCGGTCTTCCCACTTGCAATACACGATCGCAACAGATCGGTTTTGAAGCCACTGGAGGCTTCCTTGTTGTAGGTATTGGCCATGACATAGCCCTCCTTGAAAGATGACAGGTGAGAAAGAAGAAGCATCGTGTTGGGGTCAATGTAATGCTGGTACTCGGCTCCGATCTCTCGAGCCTTGTTTTCCCACTCTTCGTCCTTGTGCTGCTCGTACAAGTTCAAGTACATTTCAAACAAGGTGCAGACAATTTCCTTCTTGTCCTTTTCCGAGCCAAGACGGTCGTACTCGGCCAGATACGCCTCCAGAAAGATGATGAACTCGTAGGGATGCGAAACAAAGGCAGGGAAGATGAGATTGGGACGAGGAGGAATGTACTGAGGTCGAGACTCGTCGTCGTCGTCCGAAACAGTCACCTGCTCCTTCTCAGAGACGCCCATGTACGACACAAAAGCCCGGTACGACTGTAGAACAGGAGCGGTGAGTCGAGAGCTCATGCCTTCCTCCTCCTCCTCGGCAGTCGTGGCAGCAGTATCATGGGACGAAATGTCGTATGACTTAGGTCGATACTGGCCCGTGAAGAGCTTGATGAGAAGAGCTGTAGTCTCGTTGGGGAACACGTCCAACAATGTCTTTCCATAATCAATAGCAACTCGAATTGCGTCTTCGGGACTCAAGGACTCAGCATACCGAAGAGCACCCTTGTAGTCCTGCAGCTCAATCTTGATCTGGACAGCAAGATAGTGTTCTCCATGAAGAGCAGCAAGGTAGGCTGCCTGGGCGTGGTATCCGCTCTGTCGGAAGATTCTAATGGCCATTTCGGGATCATAAGACTTGGAGTTGGCCGTGGTCTCGATGAACCGCTCAATTGAAGCCGTATCCTTCTGCTTGGCGTACGTGTTGAGCAGCAGACCCGTGTGTTGAGGAGAAGCAAGTCCTCGGTCATAGATTTCCTCCAGGTATCGCGTTAGTTGAGCCACGAGTTGCGAGTCGGAGAACTTGAGAATCACCCGTGATGTGGCAGTATCGTCGAGGCCCAGACACGCGACATACTCATCCATAGAGCCAGCATACTCGCCCTTGTCATACAGGTACTGTGCATACCGCTGATGGATTGCGAGCAGCTCGGATTTGGGAACATTGTGCTTGACGGCAAAGTCCACCGCCATGGAGTAGAGGTTTCGGGCCATCAGAACCTCAATCTGGTCCGAAATGCGCTTCTCCTCGATTCGGTAGAGCATTCCAGAGGTGTCTAGCACATGCAGCTGGCCCCATTGGGTGAACATTGTTCTGGAAGCGGATGAAAGTGCTCCGCTGAACGCAATGTACTTGTACTCGGGGTTGACCACCAGAATTCGGTTTACCGAGTTCTCCAACGTGGCCACGGCGAGATACGCTCCGTGCTTGTAGACCTGTTTTTTGGCCACATCAAAGTCCAGCTTGGGGCCCTTGCCATGGATTGAGTAGTATTGCAATCCCGAAGTTCGAGCCACCACGAGATCGCTTCCTCGGCCATCGTTTTCAAGCACCGAACAGCCCACGTCTGCTCCTGCAGCCGAATCCAGCACCTTTTCGGCCCGTCCCGGATTCTTTCCTGACGTTGGAACAGTCAGGATTTGACTGACGGTCGTCACGTAGACCAACGAGTCGTTTTCGGTCATGTGCAGCCCCGTGACCGGCCCACTGCTATCGTAGACCAGACGCTGCTTGTGTCCGCGATCTCGAATCATGTCTCCTCTGACCATGATGACCGCTCCGTTGCCGAACCCCAGCGCAATTGTGCCAAAGTCCGCTGAAATTGCCATGGCTGTTAGTGGCTGCGTGTTGCCGCCGTTGCTGACAGGCACCACCGCATGGCTTTTTTGCGTATTGTCGGGCCCCAGTTTCCACAACTTGAGAGTCGTAGGTTGGCCCAGCAGCTCGCCGACGGTCAGTAGCAGCCCCGTGCCATCCAGATACTTGATCCGGGAAACCGTCCAGCCCTTGTCGTAGGCCTCAAAGTGTCGTTGGACTTGGAGATCCTTGTCAAAGGCCTTGATGGTGGTTCCAGACGCATAGAAGACCAGATCCACGCCCGGAGCAATCGCCGTGAGCCGCGAATCCGAGTACAGAGCCTCATCCGTGCCCGAATACGGGTCTCTTATTGGCGTGAAGTCAAAGAAGGAAAATTGGCGCCACTGTGTCAGTTCGTTGGTTGGAGATGAGTAGTTGGTGACCGAGTAGAAAAGAAAAAAGCGCAAGACGACGGAAACCGAGCTCTTATATATAGATGATGTTTGCGTCACTCCTGACCGGTCGACCCAGCTCTCCACGCGATACTCACAGCCGACATGGACATTTTGTGTTGGTTGTCGTGCGTCTGATATCGCCAGATTGGCCTTACGCACATTATATCGCACGGGGTGCATGCAGGAGGTCATAACCTGTGGGCGGGTCGGTGGGAATGTAGTCCATTGATTGAATGGTTTCTGGGAAAAGTTATTAATGATGGGATATGTTTAAGACCGAGAAATTGTTGTCCAGATGTGGTTTTTTCATTTTTTTCCCCCTACTTTTTTTTTTTTTTCTGCTTCTAGGTTGGTGCGCTGGGGGATTGTTAAATCTTCAACTAAGTTAGTTGGCGTTGGTTGAAAAACCAGATGCCGTCTAGCTCACCCAGTTTTGAAGATATGGGCTAGATTTTTGCTGCGAAGACATATAAAAAGCACCCATGATCTAAAAAAAGAAGCCGCGAATCCATCATAATACCCTCACAAGGAAATATGAGGACGCTTACGGACTCCAACGCGCAAGTTGAAAAACCTTAATTTGAAAATACTCCATCACCACATCCGACGTAGGGAAAAACCGGATTAGTTGTTAAAACTTGTACGTTGAGTATTTACCTATCAATATTGGTATCAAGAGAATACCCGTCATCTCCTTGTTAATTATATACAACGTTCATCTCTGTAGGACCACTTTTGGGAGTTATACCGAATTTTACGCTCGATATTGTTTCTAAAGCTTCTCCACAATCGCGTCAGTACGCTGCTGCGAATATTTCTACCATCTACGTGGTACTTGCTGCGGTTTATCTGCTCTCCACTCGCCACATTGGGTTCTCGTTTAACCTCCAACTCTAAAAATATTTTGCCTCCATGCATAAAGATCTATGGTGGGCTTCTTCAACCTCTTTGCAACATCTACACAACCACAAGTCGATTCTACAGGATGGGAAAAGCCGCCAAGACCCGAAAGTTTGCCGCGACCAAGCGGATGATCAAGGCCACGGACCCGCGACTCAAGAAGAACAAGGAGGACATTGAAGCGCAGGCAGCAAAGAAGAACAAGGAGGAGGAGCTGGTTCGAGAGGTGCCTCGAGTGTCGTCGGCGCTCTTCTTCCAATACAACGAGGCCATCAAGCCGCCCTACCAGGTGCTTATTGATACGAATTTCATAAACTTCAGCATCCAGAAAAAGCTGGACATTCACAGAGCCATGATGGACTGTCTGTACGCCAAAGCCAACCCCATTGTCACTGACTGCGTCATGGCGGAGTTGGAGAAGCTGGGGCCCAAGTACAGAATTGCGCTCAAGCTGGCCCGAGACCCCCGAATCAAACGGCTCACGTGCACCCACAAGGGCACCTATGCCGATGATTGTCTGGTGAACCGAGTGCTGCAGCACAAGTGCTACATTGTTGCCACCAACGATCAGGATCTCAAGCGACGGCTCCGAAAGGTGCCCGGTATTCCGCTCATGGGCGTGGGAAACAAGGGATATGTCATTGAGCGTCTTCCCGATGTTTTCTAACCTAGTGTAAGCACATGTTCTTACAGATATATTGTTATTTATTGCATGATCATATGGTAGCCGTGGACAAAGGTTAGAGGAGATGTCAAAGGTGAGAGTGGACACCTTTTCTGGGTCTTGGATCTTGTAGGTACATAAGTCACCTACAGAGAGTTGTAGGCCCGACTTTACAGTACTTAATGTGTATTCATGACGTATACAATCAGTTCAAGTTGTTCTGGGATTTGATACCAATGTTCCAGATGTTCAACGAGTCCTTTTGAGCCCTCTTCTCAAAAGTTTGGAGCATCGTAAGATACCCGTAGAATGTACATACATGCCGTGTACTCCACACCAAGGGAATGTAGGTAAAACGTGAGAGATTGTTGATGTAGGACCTCAAAGAGTACACCAAACTGTTCAGAACGACAAGAAGAAGTCTCATTTCCAGTTCATCATGTTTTTTTCCGCGTCCTCTGCACTACTTTCCCCCTGCTTCTCTGTATACTCATTATGGGGTTCTAAGAAGATAGATGAAGCATGATAACTGGTTGATTATGGCACTTTTGAGTAGTGGATATACTCCTAGCAATTGGAGATAGATACTCTGACCTTTCGATTGATCCTAATCTCGGTATCAAGTCTTATCGAAATGTTCCACAGATGTTCAGTTGCCTTGTCCAAATAATACCGCTTGAGAACGTGATAAAGTGCAATAATGAGAGTAATTCATTATATTGATTAGCTCCAAAAGACGAGGAGAATACATTGAACATCCCAAACTTTTCCTGGTCACGTGACCCAGGCCATTCGGTCCAACACATGGTGAGTTCTTTGCAGTGCAGAGAGCAGATCCAATACTGTACACCCACTCAACTCGATCAATTGAACCTTGTTTGACGGTGTGGAAATTTCGATTTGATCACGTGACTATCACGTGACCAAACTCCTACATACTAGCTACCGATCTAGTCCACTTCCTCCCCCGAGATGTCCACACACACCTTTTCATACTTTCGTACTTAACCTAACCTAACTAGATGCTTAGAGTTCAAGTATACGTCGGGGATGCCCCTGCCACCCTCCCCCCTGTAGCTAACTCATCACGGTTCGACTTGTACTCGTACTTGTTCTTCACACAACACACAATGAGTCTCCTTCCGAAACGATGGCTGCGGCTCGCGCTGCAACTGACACTAGCCATTGGCTGTGTGTTGTTTGTGGCCGAGTACTTTGGCATGAGCCGGGTCGCGCAACAGTCCACGGGGGCCGCGCGGGCTCTGCTCTACAGGTACCACGAGGGCCAGGTGATCACCGAGGTGTCTGTGATGCGGTGCCTGCGGGTGTCGACGTGTTCTTTTCCCGAGGGCTGGGAGGTGATCAACAAGGACCTTCATCTGGGCGACTCGTGGAAATACAAATCGTTTCTCATGGTGCAGAAGAAGGCCCAGAAGGACCTGCAGAAGGGAGACCAGACCGTTCTGGACATTGCCTTCAGCGACGGCGACGGCAAGGTGCCTCAGCGGGTGCTGGATCTGCTCGATCTGCCCCCTGGAACAGAGAGATTGCTGCAACTCAAGGCCACGGGCTGGCAGTACCTCCAGGACAACATGTGGGCCCAATTCGGCGTCTTCAGTCAGAAATCCATCACCGGCCTGACCGTTCTGTACGGCCCTGATGCGGTGGACCCTCGTCCTGGATGGACGCTTTCAGACGAGTACATTTTGGACTCAAAGCAAAAGGGTACACATAAGGATCTACGTCCCCGGCTTTCGTTCCAGCGAGAAACGTCCGGGAGCGTCAAGAAGCCGAGTCTGCGGGTCCACGGCTCCAAGTTCAAAATCATGCAACTGGCAGACTTGCACTACTCCACCGGCTTTGGCAAGTGTCTGCAACACGTGGCCGCTGATACCGATCCCGAGGGCGCTTGCCAGGCGGATCCTCTGTCTCTACAGCACATTGAGGCGTTTTTGGACCGCGAAAACCCGGATATGGTAGTTCTGACAGGTGATCAAATCTATGGAAGTGCAGCTCCAGACGCAGAAACTGCTCTTCTTAAGGTTTTGGCGCCTCTGATCCGCCGCAAGGTACCGTGGGCGGCTGTGTTTGGTAACCATGACCACGAGGAGACTAACATGAACCGTGCCCAGCAGATGGCGTTGATGGAGTCCCTTCCTTACTCTCTATCTCAAGCTGGCCCGGAGGATGTGGACGGAGTAGGCAATTACTGGCTTCAGGTTCTGGCTCCCAAGTCTGACAACCCCGCGGTGACACTCTACTTCCTCGACACCCATGCCAAACACCCCAACCAGAAACTGTTTCCAGGCTACGATTGGGTGCGAGAGTCGCAATTGGAGTGGCTAGAAAAGGAACACAAGCAGCTGCAGCCTCTGCAGAACAAGTACACCCACATCCACCTGTCAATGGCCTTCTTTCATATTCCTACTACTGAATACAGAAACGCCCGTGGCAAGAAGATGATTGGACAATGGAAAGAAGGAGCTGCCGCGCCCAAACACAACTCGGGAGTGCGCAAGCTGCTCGAAGAGATTGGAGTGTCCGTCATCTCTGTGGGTCACGATCATGTCAATGACTTTTGTATGTGGGATGATGTCACTGCTCACAAGGACGACATTCCGCCCATGTGGCTTTGTTACGGAGGAGGACTAGGAGAGGGAGGATACGGAGGCTATGGTGGTTACGTGCGACGAATGCGGGTGTTTGAGATTGATACTGAGGCGAATTCCATCACCAGCTGGAAGAGAAAGGTATCTGATTACGATGAGACTTTTGATAGGCAGGTTCTTGTCAGGAACGGAGCTCCGTTCTTGGAAAAACGAACCTAACAAGCTGCTTCACCAGCTCGTTATTGAGGAATCATGTGGATCAACTGACGCTGCGAACGTGCTTGCAGTAATCTCTCCTCCACTTACTTTTACAGTCATGTCTGGCCCCCAACACACTGCTTACAACTTGTTATCTAGCAGGATATTTATATAAACCGAATTTGAGAACATCAAATGTTCAAGTGCTTGTATCATAATTAAAAAAAAAAAAAAAAGGGTATTTGATTTGATTTTATTGATTATTTTACAAAAACCACAATCTGGTAGATGTAAAATAATCCATAAAATACCCAACAAAATGTTCAAGTAATTCCCAACAAACATAAACAATTGATCCCACATGTCCTCGTTCGTTAATATTAAAAACCTTATTTTGACATTCCCTCCCCACGTGACATTTTAGCCCTTGTCCAAATTACCCGTTTGGGACCAAAAACTTTTTCTTGAACCTTAATACGATTAAGGTGTGTCACGTGATTAGGTCTAACGGGAAATACTTTGTTAGAAATCCACGCAATTGAGTGATTGTGGCGGCGTAGGATAATATTGAGGCCATTTTTGAGGGCCATGGTTTTCCCGGGGGGGTGTTATTTTTGCCGTATTCGGAATATTGACGAGTTTGGGACGCGCGGGCAGTTTGGGAGCAACTTCCGGGTAACTGGAATGGGTACGAGATATGGGGGGTTTGAGGAGATCAAAATGGAGCTATGGAGCCAGGGAGCAATACTCTAACATTAGTTTTGTATGGTATCATACAAGTTTATGTCCGAAATGCGGTTGTCAATTCAGCCTGGACCAATTTAGGGTTACCCTACCTGCATGAGACGCATAGAGGTGGGATTAAGAGGTGGGTATGGTCCATTCGAGAGTGTGTGATCATTTTTTTTTTTTGATCACGACCATTTTCTAGTGACCGAGGTCACCGTCTGCGCCTTTTCGAGCGACACACCACCCCCCGGAGCTTCCGCGGACCCCACATGTTCAATCAGATTCCGTCGACTCCTAGTCCTTTTGTGGTTCCTCCGTCTTCCTACTCCGCCGCCAACATCAACATCAACACCATGGAGGCGCCTCATTATTTGCAGGGGGCTTCTGAGGACGTGAAGCAGAAGCATGCGTACATTTCTTCTGTGCTTTCGCGGGGCAAAATGACGGTTCCCATGCTCAAGAGCGTTCTTAAGAGCCTCAACCTGGGCACGACCGGACTCAAGCAAGTGCTCAAGGAGCGGCTCATGTACTACGTGACTCAAGTGACGACTACAGACATGTTCTCGCATCGGATAACGACCATGTACGATCTGATCAAGAGCGAACTGAATGGAACCGCCAGCCCCGTGGCAGCCTCGACTAATCGAGGTCCTTACAATACGGTCTTCTACAGCCCACCGCAAGCGCAAACGGTGGCTGCCAAGGTGAAGACCATGCCGCCGCAGTCGGACCTCGTGGTCAGCTTACCGCCGCCACTCAGCTTTTCCAATACGCCATTCTACAAGATCAAAGAGGCGTTACTACCCGGAATGATCTTGTCCAAATCAGCCGAACAGAGAGTCACACGCATGGAGTTCAAGCTGCCCGAGTACTACATCCGCGCCGTCGAGGAGGAAGCCGAGCAACGCAAACAAGGCACGATCTATCCGAAATACGGCGTTCGGCTTTTTGGGCAGATTCTGCAACCGGAGTGCACCTCCAAAACAGCCTCGTGCGAGTTTCCCATCGCTCTGCAGCTCAAGGTCAACGATAAGGCCGTGGAGGCCAACACACGGGGTATGAAGAACAAGCGAGGCACTACGGTGCCGCCTGACGTGACTGACCTGATAAAACCGCAAAAAGCAACCCAGAGATTGGAGACTTATTATTCGCATTGTGCCGAAATCAGATACGGAATTTGGGCCTATGTTGTGGAGGCACAGTCCATGACGCAGGTGCTCAACGACATCAAGACCAGACACATTCTTCGGGATAAACCGCTGGAGATTATTAGGTCGTTCTACAGCGATGAAGACGTGGTGGTGGACAATTACCCCCTGAAGCTCAAATGTCCGATCTCCTTCTCTCGAATGGAAGTGCCTGTTCGATCTGTGTTCTGCAAACACGTGCAGTGCTTTGACGGCCGGTCGTTCTTGCAAATGCAGCATCAGGCCGCCCAGTGGCGATGCCCCGTTTGTGACGACCCCATGTCGTACGCGTCTCTAGCCGTGGATGACTTTATGAGCGAGATTCTGGCCCATGCGCCGGAAGGGGCTGATAGTGTGTCTCTCTTAAAAGATGGCTCGTACGAGATTCCTCAGGACGATAGTGATGGGGAAGCCAGTAGTCCTGAACCTGACTGGTTGAAGAAGCGGCATCCTGATCCTCCGTTGGTTGTGTCCTTGGACTCTGACGATGACGACGATGGAAACAACAACAGCAGCAACGCAAATGACTCTACTGCCGCCCCTGCGACTGCCTCTCCTACACCGTCTAGACCTCAGACCAACGGTACTCATTCCAACGGAAGTGCACGATCCAGTCTTGGAGACACATCTCGCAGCACAGCTGCCACGTCAGTCACGTCAGCCACACACGCGCCTTTAGAGCTCCCACCACCTGAACAATACCAGCATCCTCTTCCTGTGCTTCCTGCTACAGCCAATCAGGCTTCACCCGAGCAACCCCAACAATCTCCCTCCTCACGGCCCGAACGGTCTGGAAGCACGCATTCTACATCTTCCATTCCCGAGCCCAAACGCCGACGAACGTCGCTCGACTTTGCCCTGCCTCCCTGGACCGGCGGCATACTGGGTGACGCGTCCGCTTACCCGGACGTGATCACCATGGTGGACGATTCCAGCTCCGATAGCACGTCGCCACCGCGGAATCTGCCCACGCTGCCGAAAACGTACTCACACAACGACCTAGGTCTGCCGTCGTGGGAGTCGGGCATCTTTTCGTCTAAAAATACTAACAAGCTCACTTCAGCCAGCCCCGACACTGCGGCCACTTCTGTGAGTCCCAACGCCAATGGCAATGGCACTCCTCTGGGCCGAAGTAATGCCGTCAGACGCGGCCCTCGACCCCAAAAGACCGTCGTAGAGGTCGTTGATCTTACTTTGTCGGATTAACTGAAGAACGAGCCAGTACATACATCGCGCCGACACAGATTACATTGTCGGCATGCTTCTAGCACTAGTGTAATATATCTATACTAACTGGGGTGTTTCCCCTATGAATGAGACCGGAGTGGAGAGTTGTAGATAGATGGGAGTACCAGTGGGTCGAAGCAAAGCTGATGAGGAAACGGGTCCGTTTGGTGAGGACTATCTCAGAAAGAATTCTGTACAGTATGTACTCGTACTATTGGTCCGGGCGATTCCAGCTGGTCAATCTTCGGTGCTGCTCCTATCTTTTACTGGTGGTTGTCCAGTCCAGCGTGATCATAACAACTATGACAAGATGAACTATGGCGTCGCGAAAAAGGACCTTTCTGTGTGCAACCCTGTGCCGGATCCATTAAACAGCCGACTTCCGGTCACGTAGAGACACGCATGTCTCGAGCCTGTACGAGTACACTGCACTGATACAATCCTCGTTGTCAACGATGGGCTGATCCACCTTGAGCAGATCAGTGGGGTTTGGGGTTTTCGTGAGTGGCGATCATCATCGTGAAGATGACAAGACTGCTCCAACAGAGCGAAACAGCCAAATAGAGCACCAGAACCATGCATTTTCGACCTGGGTATAAACGGCAATCTCGTCTGTTCAGCAATTGGTCTGTACAGCAACTTCAAGCTGCTGAGGTTGCTTCCAGTATACTCCGTCGCCCCGCATTGGACTGAGTCCTACATGTCTTAGTCACGTTCGCGGTCTCTAGCTCCGATGAAGGGGCGCGTCTAAGACCGAACTGAGGTATGTCCATGTAAGATGTGCTTAGACTGACAAGTGACCCATAGATGTCGGGCAAAGTCGTCTATACGACTGCGAAGTGACCACTTGTTCTTGTTGCTCATGCACATGGACTCACGTCTCCTTACAAATAGAATTAACAGTTCTTTTTCTCCAGGCTGCATGACAAGGTTGTTCGTCATGGAGCAGGAAGTGGACGTCAGGAGGTGGTTGGGCAGGTGAGTCTGGGTGGGACTGCAGTAACGTGAAAAAGACGGGCCGAATGGATCCGTTTGAGTCGATCCTAGACCCTCTGAGTAACTTTTGCTGTAATGAAGGAGTCGGTGCTCCTGTAGTAAGAGTAGCCTCTAACCTCGGAATGTAAAGGGATAGAAACAAAGACCGAAACAGAACCGAAACAGACCCAAAACAGACGGTGAGAGTAATCTTGTTTGCGGGGGGACGATGTGTTTGTGTCTGTGTCTGTGTCTGTGTCTGTGTCTGTGTCTGTGTCTGTGTCTGTGTCTGTGTCTGTGTCTGTGTCTGTGTCTGTGTCTGTCGGTCGGTCATCTGTCTGTGTCTGTCTGTCGGACATATGTCTGGTCTTTCGATCCGTCTGTCGGTTGATCTTCCATGTGGGGCTCACCTCGCGAAACAGCTTCTTGCCTCGAACCTCAGACACGGTCTTAGCGTCGTACTCACATCACTCGCGGCTTTGTAGCTCGTGCGGTCAGATGGTGTTACAGTTCAAGACCAATGTTAACCTTGAGCAACGAGACTGTCTCAGGCTGACACGGCTTTGTCCCCCGGTTGAGTTAAGAGGTGTTGATCTTGGTGATCAAAACAGAAGATAAAGTGGGTTGGTCTAATAATTGTTGGTAATATATAATTATTAAATAAATTAAATTAAATAGCATATATATATAAAACACATAATCTACTCCCAGCTCAATCAGAAACAATCATTAGTCATTAAATAATATATATAATCAGCCACTGATTAAACAGTCTCGGTGTACTGAGGATGAGGGTCCTCCTCGTGAGAAGGCTCCTCAGCAAGCTCGTCCATGGGCTTCTCGTCCAGATCCTTCTCGGCGTATCGAGAAGGCATGTGGTCGGGCACCCAGGAGGCGGTTCGCCACGCAGGCACCTTGGCGTCCCACATCATGTCAATCTCCTCCAGAGTCTTACCCTTGGTCTCGGGGAAGAGCAGGAAGACGTGGATGCACATGACGACACAGAAGACACCGAAGATGATGTACGTCTTCCAGTTGATGTTCTTGAAGGCGGTAGGCACAAACATGGCCAGAGCAAAGTTGAAAGCCCAGTTGGCTCCAGCGGTGATGGAGTTGGCCATAGCTCGCTGCTTGTTGGGGAAGATTTCCGAACAGTAGAGCCAGATACCGGGACCCCAGGTGGGCGCAAACGAGGCCACAAACAGATAGCAGCAGGCAATGATGGCCTTTCGCGCAGTCTTGTGGTTGTCGTCGATGAAGATGGTGGTGTAGGGGTCGGCAGCAATGTTCTTTTCGGGGTTGGCAGGCAGACCTCCGGGCATCTGGGTACCGTAAGCACCGAGCATTCCTCCGACGGCAAACAGCCAGGTCATCATGAAGAGACATCCGACAATGAGCAGAGGTCGTCGTCCAATCTTATCAATGAAGAGCAGGGCAGGAATGGTCATGACCACGTTGATAATGTACTGGATAGAGGAGGAGACAAGAACAGAAGACTTTCCGGAGTAGCCGGCCATCTTGAAGATGATGACCACGTAGTACATCATGACGTTCATTCCGGTGAGCTGCTGCCAGATCTGGGCCCAGATACCCACCATGGTTCGGTTGATGGAGTCCTTTCGGAACAGATCCCACACCATGACGGTCTTGGACTCGTGGTCGATTCGCACCACTTCTCGCAAGTCTTCAATCTCCATAAGAATGTCCTCCTCGGTACCGTAGTTGCCGTTGACAGATCGGATGATCTGGATGGCCTCTTCCCAACGGTCCTTGGATGCCAGCCATCGAGGCGACTCGTCCAGGAACATCATTCCAAACGCCAGCATGGCTCCGGGAATCATCTGGATACCCCAGGCCAGACGGAAAGAAGCAGGGCCCTTGATGTACGAGCAACCAAAGGAGATGTAGAACATGATCAGAATACCCCAGGTGACGGCCCACTGGAAACAGCCGACCAGCCGACCTCGAATCTTCTTGGGGGACAGCTCGGAAATGAAGACAGGAATCTGAGAAGAACCAATACCAATACCAATACCGGAGATGACACGGCCGGCAATCAGCTGGCCCATGTTCTGGGCTGAGCACTGAATGGCCGCGCCGACTATCCACCAGGCAGCAGCAATCTGGATAGTGGGCTTTCGGCCGATTCGGTCAGAAATGAAACCGGCAAACGAACACGACAGCATGGAGCCGCCGGCCATGGAGGCTGTGATACCTCCCTGCTGGATGGAGGTGGGGTGACCAAAGTACTGCATGTACTGGTCTTCGCCGACAAAGGCGGAAACCGACGAGATATCGAAACCAAAGAGCATACCGCCCATGGTGGCTACCGCCGCCGTAAGGTAGGGGTTGTGGACCTTGTACATTGTGAGTTGAGAGGTGTACAAGAAGTTGGTGGAGAACAAAGTGGAAAGAGAATCTGGGGAATCTGGGGACGCGTTATTTATAAGTGTTTGGTGCTACTCCGATCCGTGTTTGGAACAAGAGACTGCTGCTCGTTGGCCTTGCACTTTTCGTTTTCAAACAGACTCCAACTCTGCAACTCTCGCCGCAACTAAACTCTGAGCGGCAGCTGAGTTTCCGGAGCCTGTCAAGAGCCCATCGACTCCAGCGCGCGTCTTTGTGTTGCGATGAGCTTGGCGGTGGGCCGGTGTAACGGCCCAGGTCTTGTGCCTTGTGTCAGGGTCTTGTATTGTGTGTCAGGGACATGTTTGTCCTGCGAGTCCCAACTCCACCAGAGAGTTGACGAGATGGTTCGAGGAGTGGCGGGGCAGAGGAAGTTTACATTGGTCAAGCATGCGAATCCAAAAGAGGGCTTCACAGCTCCAAACCTTGGGGCCTAGAGGGCTTGTGCCGTGCTATAACCATGTGAGCTCTGGATGTGGAAGGAGTAGTGGTAAGACATGTGGGCCGAGGTAAGTGGAGGGGGGCACACTGTTGTGGTATGAGTTGATGACGGCTTTCTTGGTGCGACGGTCAAGTCCCCGTCATCATTTGCCATACTATAGACGCTATAGGCCGTCTTCTATGACGTGCAACTAAGCGCGTCATGTTCCCCAACATACGCATATGAGAGCGTTTTGTGCAAGCGCACGCATGGAAAATGTGGGGCGGATCTGGAGTGTGAAAGTCGGCTATTGTTCCGACCCCGGCCCAGAGTCGTCGCCGGCTTCGAATCGAGCCCGTTTGAGAAAGACAAAGCCTCGCCATGATGTCACCAAAGAAGCACTGAAGCACATGGTTTGTCAACCCTCACCCAAACTACCGGACGAGACCCTTGAGAAGCCAGCTATCTGACCGTCATCTGACAAGACCGCTTCGGTCCACTGATTTCATTTGCCACTATTCTCCGTCTGCCCCTTCCGACTTGCTTTGTTTGCGTCTAGACACATACAGGTGCAGTAGCAATGACAATGACCCCAGTCAGCGCTGTACCTCAAGGTTAGGCTTCAAACTAGCAGTACAAAATTTCTCCGGGGAAAAAATTTGATTCTATTCTTAATCGGTGCGGACGGGGAGACGAAACCATGTGGGCAAAAGAGTGCAACTTCCCCGCACAAATGACCCCACAAAACCGGCTGCGTTGGAAGCCTCCGTCTCATACGGTTGCTATACGGCGTGCGACCGAACCCTGGGCCCGGTAGAGTCTCCAACCGCTTCCCCGCGTCATTAGTCACACCCTTTAGTCGCTCTTCCTAACACTCATGTACCTTGCCCGCAGTCCGAGTCTCTCCGACGAGTTAATCCGTCGGAAAAACGCGGCTGTCATGCGGCTTGGTCTGCATCTTGAGGTGCTAAATCGAGGTGCCAGGGGGAGGGGAATTTTCCGTTTTTCGGCCGAAATCAAATGATCCGGGACCCAGCTTTCGATTAACCAACTCCCGGCCGAGCCCCACCGCTTGCTGGTCCCACTACGTGCTGCCCAAAACCATGGTCTGATGTGACCAGACGCACCACAACCTACGTTAGGAATGTACGTGAAGAGACGCTAAGACCATGAATAATGAAAAGCAAAAAGCCAACAACCGAAATGAAATGAAAATTTTGCTCGCGTGAGTGCAGATTGACGACTCTGGTGTGTTTGTGTAGACCAGTACAGTAGTTGGGGAGACCCACTCGTGCTACAATGAGCATAGCTAACAGAGCTATGAGCCATACAAGTTGTAGCATGAGTGAGTCTCTACTCTCAGTACAGTACAAACGCCCGAAATAGCTCCTGTCTCACATCGTCTACTAATACTGGCCACATCTGCAAAGTCCGCAGCCCCGCATGTTACTTCTGGATCACTAAACTATCCCCCCGGATCATTGTAGCGGCTGGATCCACCCAACGTTGAGAGTCCACATGGAGCTTACATTTACACTAGAGTTATAGTCCGTAGCCGTTTATCGGGCGAGAGATAGCCGGTCCAGACGGCATGGGCGCTAGTTGGTCCAGTCTACGACTTGCCAGACGGCTTATTAATGCAGCAGGATAAACCCTCATCCCGTCTCCCCACAACTATATCCCTCAAAATGCCCTGCCTGAAAACCCCACAGTTTCTCGCTCCACGGAGGTTTTTTGTCACCAGGGGTGGACTGCAATGGGCCGAGTCTGGCTCTGCCGTACAGCTTGAGAAATCTTGTCCTTTGTAGACTCCGTAACTGTGCAAAAGTACGAACAGCCGCCTATGATGCAAACACGCATATGGCGGAGGTCGGACCAAGACGATGGAGGTCGGAAGATGATGGAGGTCGGATTAAGACGAAATAATGATTGGAGCTGTTCAACCGAACATGGCCCGAACTATAGCTATTGTTCTGAGTTATTACTGTTGCTACTACAGTACCGGCCATAAGAGCAAAGTTATGAGCTATGGCCGAAGAGACTAGCTCGTAGTACTCTACGAAGTATAGTGGTAGTTCTGCAAGGGTTTACGACCCCGCTATTTCCAGAATTACAAAGAAGTGAGACAGACATGGAGTTATTCGAGCTTGCCGGACCGACAGACCAGATCGTTCTTTTGGAGTCCTACGTAGAAGGGCTATAGATCGTATAGGACATGTCTGGATACACTCGAGAACAGCAATAGAAGAAATATAACAAGTCACAACTGCATCAACAAGTCTGAACACTCGTCGAACTGCTGAAATCGTTTCATCTCGGAAAAACAATGTTCCGGACAAGTCTGAGACACGCCGCTAACTACAATTAGCTACCCGCCCCTTGTAGTCCAGACTCTCGGATATGTCTGTCGCAAACTACAAGTATGTACTACTTGTAGTACAGTACGTACAATTGTTGAGTGAAACATGTCACGGCTCTAGGTCGGTATTCAGTATGGTGGAGTTAGACGCTCCAAAACTAACGTACCTGTGTAAGTCTTCTAACGACTTGTCCCCGTAAATCAATTCTTATGCATTACTTGTATTCGTATTTGTACCCTCCTGAATTCCACTTCTCATCCAAAACAATCAACTGGATGATTGCTGGATGGTCCACCCTGTATGGTGGCTTAAGAGTATATATCTCTCTATCTTCGCTTGGGCTTGGCCTTAACCTCCTCGGCCTTTGTCTGGTGGAACCGCACCGTGTGGGGGATGTCCTTGTTGTTATATGAGTGGCCCTTGCTCCAGTCGTACGACTGTGCGTACGCGAATATAGAGCCGTCGCGGTTGAAGGCTGTGGCGGGAATGGTGCATCCTAGTTGTGGGTAGCCCTTGAGTCTGTGGCGGGAGTCCTTGTCCCAGAAGGTGAGCGATCCATCTGCACCGGCCGTGCAGAAAGTACCCTCCTGAGGATGGAACGAGATGGCGTTGACGGCGTAGATGTCGACCTCGTTCTTTGACGGGTTGGGGGTCTGTCGGTGGCACTTGAACGAGAAGTTCTTGTTCTTAGCCTGTGTGTCGTCCACGTACTGAATGCCGCATCGGCCCTCGATAGAGCCCACGGCAAAGCCGTCGCCGGCGGGCCAGCAGGAGACCACACGGGTCTGGAACTTGAGAGACGACTGCAGCGTCTTGGCCACGGCTCCGGGGTTGCTGAGGTTGATGGCCAGAATGTGTCGCTCAGCGGTCGCCACAACAAGCAGCTGCTTGGACGTGTCCATGGAGTACGCCCGCTCGGGCAGCGCAATGGTGGACACGGGGTTGGGAGTTCGCAGGTCCCAGTAGTGCAGCTTCTTGTCCCATCCTGCGGATGCCAGAATAGGTGTGTCTGAAGGTCCAGCGGCGACGAATCGCACGCATCGGACGGACGACTCGTGCTGGCCGACCTGCTGCGCCTGTTGCGATTGCATGTCAAACACCCTCACGGCGTTATCACAGCCTCCAGACGCCACCTTGGTTCCGTCCAAAGACCAGTGGGTGGACAGCACTGGCGCCTGGTGGTCGTAGAGAGCCACTCCCCTTGACTGGCCCTGCGGAGACACCTCGTAGATGCGCACCTTTTTGTCCCACGACGCCACCGACAGAAACTCGGCCTGTGGAGAGAAGCAAATGTCGGACACAGAGTCTTCCGGCGGATTGGCTAGAGTGGGGTCATTGGCCATATCCTGGACCGTGCCGGCCGAGGACGTTTGGGTCAGGCCGCCGAAACCCGAAGTAGTTCTTGCGCTTCCAAACACGCTAGACATGGCTCAGTAGTGATGTTCAGCGTCAGCGATTTTTTTTGGCACACTGATGATGATGCACAAAAACATAAACTTTGTGAAAGGTTATGACTAGTGGGGGTGGGAGGGTGTATGGAAAATATATCTAAATATATAATAAAAAAAGAGGCTGGTGGCGGAAAATAGAAATTATACATTTTGAAACTAGTGTCATCGGGTGGAATTTATATATATATATATATATATATTTGTATTTATATTGAAGCTGACAGATGGACGTTGCTCACTGTTTAGATTGTAGAGTATTTTGGGGCATATTGGGGCACTCTATTTTGAGGCTGATATATTGAAGGTAAATTGGAATTTTATTATCTGATATATATATATTTTTTGAGGAAATTGGGAAATCGGGAAATTGAAAAATTGGAAAATTGAAAAATTGGAAGATTGAAAAAAATTGCGAAAAAAAAATAAACCGACACAATCAATGACTAAAAATGTTTGCTCAAGTAGAGTAAGAATACAAGGTAAGGTAAGGTAATGTTTCACCCAGGAAACACCCCCGGATCATGTCTGAGTGGGCTCCGACTAGCTACAAGTGACTAAGAACTACAAGTTACCTAACCACCCATATGAACGCGATTCATCATCAGATTGCTGTACAACTACTACTGCTGTCTTGACGGCATCGATACAAATATATCCCCGTGTACTATCTCAGTCAGATGTCTTGTTGCTCAGCAACCTATAGTGTTATGTCTGAGACTGTACCGAAATGGCATGCTGCTGAGACAGACCCATGTTTGAGAGCAGGAACGAGGAAATACACGTGAAACAGTTGGAGTTTGTGTAACTGAGGACATTTCTGATTCATTTTCAAAGTCTCCAGGTCGATAGCGCACCTACAACCCATTCGGTATTAACTCATCTAGCCCTGTAACGTTGTCGATCATTGTTTATCTTTGTTTTTTTGGGAGGATCAACCCATTTTCCACCGTCAGTTGCTCTACAATATATTGGTGCGAGTACTTGTACGGGAGGTGACATTCCAAGCCATAAGATACAATTAATTAGTGATAGTGTACAAGATAGTACGAAAAAGAAGCGGGTGCAAAACTAGTTGTTGTTGAGACCCACACCCAGACCCACACCCAAAGAAATACCCAGGATACAGATGACGATGAGCAGACACCACCACTTTTTCTTTCGCAGGGCTCGGGCCTTGATGACGGCCTTGTTGGTGTGTCCCAGACCCTGCTCGATGTCTGTCTGCACGGCCTGTGTCTGGTTGTCGATATGCTGCACGGGGGCCTCCTGCTCGGCCACCAGAATCTCCATGTCGTGGAAGAGCTGGGCCAGCTCGGCCATGGTCTGCTCGATCTTCTGGATCTCCCGGTGTCGGTTCTGCACCTCGGACAGCGCCGTCTGGGCCTCTCCTCGTCGGTTGGAGGTCATGAGGGCCTGTGAGAAGATCTGCTCGCCCTGGGCATCGTCAATGGCGGCCTTGACCTGGGCGTCGGTCGCCTCGGGCTGCACAATACGGTACTGTCGCTCGGCCTGCTCCCGGTACTTTTGTCGGTAGGTGGCCTCCACGGTCTGGTATCGCTGGATGGAGCTCATGAACTGACGCTTGAGGTTTTCGGCCTGGGTCTTTTTGGTGGAGTCGCCGGACGAGTACTTTTGCAGGTTCTTGATGCGGTCCTTGAGCGACTGTGACAGAGACATGGACTCGTTGGACAGGCTCTGGATCTGGTCCTGCGTGTACGAGCCCTGCTCCTCGGAAATCTCGTTGAGAGATCTCTTGTGCAGCGTCTCGATGGTGTCGATGTTTTCGTCGTACTGCAGCAGCGACTTTTTGATGTCGTCCACCTCCTCGAAGAAGGCGCCCATGTCGTTACCGCCCTTGTAGGGCTTTCGAGCCGACGACGAGCCTCCGCCGGCCGCAGCCACCATGGAGGGCTTGGTAGCCGGAGCAGACTGGGCAGCAGGAGGGGCGGCGCTGTAGTCGGTGGTCTGGGGCGCAACTCCGTAGGTGGAGTCTCGCTCGTAGTGGGAACTCTCGACGGGATGGGCGGGCTCGTTCAGGGCCCGGTTACCTCGGCCCTGGGTGCCAGCAACGTTGGTGGAGCTGGGGCCGTCCAGCACGGAGTCTCGCGACTCGCCATAAGGGTTGGCGCCCACCGCCTCGAGCTCGTACGAGTTGGCAGCGTCGGGCTGCTCGTAGGGGTTGTGGGGCGCGTGGCCCTCGCCTCCGTAGGGGTCCCCGTAGGGGTTTTGGGCGTCTCCGTAATTGTAGTTGGACATGAGGAGGTGAATGAGTCTTGCACCTCACAGAACGTCTATACCCTTTGTCAAACTCTACATCATGTGCGAATCCGTACAGTGCAGAAGTAGGTACCGCACTTGAGGGGTTTATCGTGGCGCGCTACCGCGACATACAGACCTCTATCGGGCGGTTTCGGGCCCGCGGCGCAAAGTCCGAGCGCCCTCCGCTGTGCTCTGCTCGAGCACACCATCTCCTAAGACCTTCTCGGCTGTAGGACAAAACCTCTTGTTGACATTGGTCTTTTAGCTCCGATATAGCCTTGCCCGAGTTAGGGGAGACTGCGCCCAACTGGGACCATTTGGGCCAACTCTGTCCAATATAGGCGCAACGACTCATTCCCAAGAGGGAGATGCGCTACTTTGGAATATGCGGACTTAAGGCGGTTTATGTTTGCGGGAGGAGGGCGAGTCCGATTTGACCGGTCGAAACCAAGGCTTTTTGGGGGGCTTCTTTCCCTTGTGTGGAGCTGTCAAATAATTATGCCAAGCAGTTAAGCGGCCGTTGGGCCCGTCAAAAGCCCGGTGCCTGGAAGCCTAAACTACTCCAGACAGATAATACCGATTAATTGTCAAATTAGTGAGAGAATTAATGAGAGAATAACAAGCAAGAAATACGGCGATATACAACAGGCAGATAAGAGTCCCCCACCTCATCTGGGGGTAGTGCACGCTATTGTCACAAGCGGGGCACTAACGTGACGAGGGGTTGAGTATATATATATATATATATATATTTATAGAATATAATATCAGCTGGAAGGACCAAATCAGGTTGATTGTCGTCATTCATTCCTCGATTACCTTCCCGGAATGTTGTCGATAGAATGTGGGTGCATGGTATGTCCGGTGTACGAGTCAGTACTTGTACGAGTACATACGCTGTTCATACTGGCACTTTTGGAAATGTGTGAGTAGTCTTATTGGACCAGATGATGTGGTACGGGTACACGATTTGTAATTACACACCAGGAGTTTGTACGATATTTCGAAAGATCCGGATTGACAGGGCTCTACGTATTGTGCATTCTGCTTTCTCTCCCCCTGAACACCGTATCCGAACACAGTTGTGTTTCACCAGAATATGTGATTAAACACTCATCCCGAACGAACTATGAGTGTATAGAGACTGGTACGTTGCACATAGTGTACTTGTCACTGAGTGTATGGAGAAATGTTCGAAATTAAGTAAATTTTGTAAAAGCCGGTTACCGTGTTTTCTCAAAAACCTGTTTATTTTAATTATTAATTATTAATTTTTATTAATTTTTATAATCGGATATTGGTTGGAAAATTCGGTTTTCGTCCAAGGTGCGGCTATTTATTTTATCCAAGTAATAGTGTGTATGTTAGTGGAAACAGATGGAACAAGTGGGGGTGAAGTGGTGACACAAACGGGGTCCTGTAGATATATAAAAGGGGTCGGATCCAAGAATATTCGAGTCGAATAATAAAAATAAAACAACCTGAATCAGTTGCAAGCAACAGACAGCAACATCCACGTTCTCCAACCGGCACAACTGGGTTTGTCTCCTCTCTCTGGTCCTCCGCTCGAATAAGATTTTAATGCATGACCGCACACATTTGGGTGTGTTGATTCTTCGCTCTCAACTGCGCACAAGACTCATACACTCGCCATGACCACCATAGAACGCCCCTGCGACTACTATCCCTTCTGTCACCAGTTCGAGCAGGTAGACCGGGCCATCGAAAACCTGGTCAAGAGCGGCCAGCTGTACAACCAGCACAGCAACAACCACAACCACAACAACCACAGCTATGGACGCTACCAGCAGACCAACCCCCAGTCCAAGTACAGAAAGAGCCCCCAGACCCAGTACTACTACGACAAGGGAGTGGCTTCGCACCAGCAGCAGCAGCAGTACGTTCCTCAGCAACCCCAGCAGCACAGAAAGAACTACTACTACAGCCCCCAGCTGGGCAGCCAGGTCCCGCCCAACAACGTCCCTCACGTGAGCCTGACCAACTCGGCGGCCCCCATTCCAGTCGCACAGCCGCCGCAGTCGATCCAGATCCCTTCCCACTCCCACCCTGCGCCTCAGGCCTACCGATCGCAGTCGTACAGCTTCCAGGGCCATTCTCGGCTCGGATCGGTGGGATCTGTGGGCTCCATGACGTCGCCGGCTCTCGTGGCCACCTCGTCAATGACACCCGTGCTGCAGCCGACCCCGGGACCATTCACTAAGACCCAGCGACCCCGCGGAGACAGAGATGTGAACGACTTTGACGAGGTGGACTCGGCCATCAAGGGACTCGGAGACATGTCGCTGGAGCTGGACGAGATAGACGACAGGGAGGACTTTGGCAGCAAGTCGTTCGACAAGAAACCGTTCGAGTCCTCGGCCACCTCCTCGCCCATCTCCTTCACCTTTGACCCTTTTGCCGGGCTCGGAATCGGCAGCAGCAGCAAAAACGACACCACCAGCTGCAACAATGCCAACACCCCCACCGCCACTACCACTACCACTACAGACAACAACGACAAGGAGAAAAAGTCGCCCCCGTCCGTGTTTGCGCCCATCGGAACCAAGCCGGACACCCTTGCATCTTCCCAGCGACCGTGGCCCAAGAAGAGTTCTCTTGGAATGTCGACCACCACGGTCTGGGGCTAACAACCCATTAAGGATACGGAACATTTTATTATTAAACGGAACGGAAAACGGATCGGATCGGTTATGTACATTTGGAGTAATGCATTTGATGAGAAAGAAGACGAAAAAGCGAGAAAATAGCTCTACTTGTAATTTCACTGAGATTCGGCATATGATCACCCCCGGTATTTTCAAACCTTATTTTAAACCGTTTATATATCGTTTGATTAAGGTTTTGATTGTAGATTAGCAGATTGATGATGGACTGATGTACGATAGTGATTAGGTGGACGTATTTTTTGGGGTGGTAGAAGCTGACTAATCATCGTGGTATTGTTCTTGTTTGTTGTAGTTAGTTTGATCAGGTAATCTCGAGATATGTATCGGCGTTATAAGTGCATAATCGTGTATTTAAGTGTGTGGATACTTTTATGTAGCTGTCAATATCAAGAACTGGATCAGGGAGAAGATGAGAGAGGGAAGAAAAGGATAAAATGTGTAGTATTTTTCTAGGTCATCTAATTGATCAAGTTTTTGTTCTCTAATGTCCCGTATTGCTTCAGATACAACCCTGACAAGTTGCGGGGATAGACTGAGTGAGAGATTTCGGGGTAAAACTTGAATACAAAGAGATGAGTTGGTTGTGAGAGGGTAAACATGTTGTTTTAGTTGTATATTTCGTAAACAGAAGTCCAGTTGTTGTCTGGGCTGTTATTTTACCCACTTTGAGAACTGCAGACAAGTAGCTGTCTCGGATGAGGAGTTTGAGATACTCACTGGGAAGACATATTGTAGGGTATTGAATGTGATTATATCTTTCAGTTGATGTGAAGGTGTTAATGAGCAAACCTTTCAAGTCACTCTCGTTTCCGTACAAGTTTTTTTCTTCTGTTTTTATGACCACTTACATCTAGAAGGGGGATCTATAGGAACTGAAGAAGAGAGTAGCTACGAATGTGGACTCTTTTGAGAAGCTGTCCCGTGAAGGTTTCTATTTGGTTTATAGCAGCTATTAGCTCTATGAGTGCGGACTTTTGTTGAAACGATGAGGTGTGGTATCTCTGATAACTGTTCAGTGGTGGTGCCATAGCAAGCAGCTGTCAGTGTTGATCTAAGACTAATGAGCGATTGAAATTTGAACTGAAGATATACCAGTTGTTGTCAGACTCCAACACACTCTTGGATCAGGTCCGATCTATACTAAACGGAGGAGTACAGGTACAAGTATTCGCACATCAACCGATCATAGGCCTATGCTGTTCTCCTCAGCCTGCGCTACAATCCAATCTCTTCCGGGTTCCTGCTTATTGATATTTACATTCTTACTATATACAAACTAATAACCTCGCTGCTTGGCCCGTCGGATCTGGTAGAAGATGGCGTTCACACCGGCGTCGAACTTTCGCTGGGACCGCTCGGTCTTAATTCGCCAGGCCTTCTTACAGGGCCGCTCGTAGTGCTTCTGTCGGAACCAGTGGGGCTTGACATGCGACGAGGTAGCGCCCGCCAGACGCTTCATGGCAGTCTGGACGCCTCCCTCCTTGACATCGACGCACGATCGCTGTGCCATACCAGTGTGGGGAATGGACTGGAACTGGGTGTGAAGTCGATCTCGCATGTTGTGGGGGTTCATCAGACCCTGCAGACGCTTGGAGTCATTGGACAGAGCGCCCAGTCGGTTTAGCAGGTCTCGCGAAGAGTTTTTCTGCTGGGCGCCGGTCTCGGGCTTTTTGGTCTCATCGTTGAGAGCCTGGGAGACGAGCGAGTCGAAGGAGTCGCCGAGCGTGGGCTTGGACATGACTCGTCGAGCCACGCTGAAATGTCTCACGGCGATTCGGCTCATTTTGTGTGATGTTTGAGTATTGATTCGATGGTGATCTCGCGTGGAGGTGTACCAGCTAAGTTTTTACAAGCTGAGTAAGCATAGTTTATTTAGGGTTTGAAGGAGTGGTTTGTACTTATATCTGGGAACGGCTCTGAAGGTCAGTCTGTACGGCTTTATTAATATGAAAAATTACTTTCGAGATGTTCTTTTCCACTTTCTGATGTTCTGATTTTCTGATTTCCTGATTTTCTGATTTTCTGATTTTCTGATTTTCTGATTTTCTGATTTTCTTATTTTACGTATTTTTGTTCGATTTTCCAATAGAATTCAGCCGATAATATGCGTATATTCATTTCTCCCAAGGGTCGTGATAAAGGGCTTGTGCGACCGTTGGTCCACCTAACCAAAATATATATGCTAGTATTTTATCATTATTATTGGTGGATAATTAAGTAATAATAAAAAAAATAAAAAAATAAAAAAATGAAAGTGAAAAAAAAAAAAAAAAAAAGCCAGATCCACTAATTATTGGCTAATTATTGGCAGCTTGGTACTCTTCCAGAACCTGACTTGCAGGACACCTTGACATAAGAGAGTCTCTGGCTGTATTCGTACCTGACCTTTAGCCAGGTTTGGACTGAAATAATTGGAGAGTAATTACTTTTGTTACAGGGCGCCATTTGAAACGGAAAATCCAACCAAATAAAGTGTTTCGGCCTTCAGACCTTACAGCCAACCCTCATGTCGCCTCAGTTGTCTGAGGATTTGTTCGTGTCCACAGTCAGGGCGGAGGTACGGATAGTGCACAGGAAGTACAAGTAGTAGGTTTGTAGCTATACTGGTGATATCCGACTATTGTCCACATGGTCACATGTCTATCTCTTGCAGAGCGTTAATCTATTACTCATCTCCCCACAAACGCTCAGGTCACGGCTTCGTCCCCATGTCTCATAGGTATCCCTGTTGATCAAGAGTAGCCCGTCCAGATGCGGACTATTATAGCGCTTCATTTATTGAGGGGCACAATAGGGGGTTCATGTTTGACTTGAACGGGAGTCGGGCAAACTGGTCGATCCAAACAAACAAACGAGAGCTGTCGACCCGCGATACTCGCTCACTGCACAATACGACTCCATCATCCCTCAGTTGCTTTGCGCACATACTACCCGGAACCACGGCTTCTGACTCGCAGCAGGGCCAGGGGGGATTGGTTATTAGCTTCTCGGTAAGCAGATGGTAAGCACAAGGAGTGGAGGTTATATAGATGGGGTTTGTCTGAGTCATGGGATGGGCGGATGTGGAACACGAGCAAGTCTATGAGCAATGTGTTTGCAACCGCTGCGACCTTGCCAGCCGACAATGTGACCTCATGACCAGTTGGAGGAGACGCTGGGCCGGCTCTGATTGAGTGTCTGCTGTTGCCTGGCGCTAAAAGCCGCAACAAGGCTTGTACTAAATTCTATGTACTTACAAGGCTAAAACACAGTGTATGATTCTCCAAACAAACATGCAATTGACAGTACTGCATCAACAGCGGGTTGTCCACCACAGCGACCGTACATTATCTCCGTTTGTTCGGACCTACAGTGGGTGTAACGTCGGACACTCCAGACGTTGCACACACTATCCAGAGACGTTGCACACACTGCCGCCTCCAGGCTCTTTGTCGGCTTTCGACCGTCTTGCGACCGTCTTTCGATCGGCTTTCGGCCATTCTCGGCAGTCCTGGGTCCTCCCTGGTGCCGCTTACCCTCCATCACAGTCAGCCCCATCTTCCGTCATCTTTGCACCCTCCTCGACCACACCTTGTTGCTCTTTGCTTTTCTCGGAAGAGCTCAAACCACTTTAGCTGGAGGTGCTGCTATCGTGCGCGTGCAAACCCAAAAAGTCGGTCTAAAATGAATTCCTAGCGGCGCTGGAGGAGCTATTTGCGGGCGGGGCGGTGGCCATGGGTTCTGGCAGCTTGGGCGAGCTGAAACGGACCACGTCGAGCATTCCGACGATCCGGTCACTCCCCGGTCCCCACTCGACACGGACGATAAATATCTAAACGCCCTCAATTCTACCAGCCGCACATCAGTCTTTTAGATTAGGAGAGCCGCAACTGACAAGCTCTTTTGGGACACTAGGTTCGATGACTTGACAGATGACAACGGCCATGGTGGAGCGGCAACATGACAGGCGTGGCATGTAAGGGCTGAAATGGGGACTAAAGACCCATCTCGGGACTCTAAAACACTCACTTTTTGCACTCCCGACCCGGAAGCCCCGAAATCACCCGCATTTACACTCCCTCCAAAATCCTCTAGAACCCTAACTTAGCTTAGTCTCTCGAAAATAACGCAAATTGCTTTAGAAACGCCCCGGGCCCAAACAAAGACACATATAAAGCCGGTGAGTATATATCTATGGTGGTTTTTCCAACGTCCAGACCCCCTACAGCCAGTGTGTCCTCGTGCGATCAACCTGACACCTCTCTTCACCTCCTTTTCACCTCCAAAACAACACTCTTCGTCTAACCTGCCAACATGTCCAACCCCTACGATCTTATCTCCAAGCAGGACATTGTTCCCATGTCCCAGGACAAACCCAACCGATGGTGGTACAGCTACTCGGTGCACTCTTCCCACGCCCTCATGACCGACGTTGAGAAGCGACTGTTCAACGTGGTGGTGCTTGCATTCGCCATCATGATGGCTCTGGCCGTGGTTGCCTACATTCCCAAAAACACTGCATTTGTGGTTCGGCGGCTGGCCTACCTGCTCACCGGAAACGAGACCCAGCACATCTCCAACCTGTGGAAGGATATGCTTAAGATGTAACTGTCGCTGCGTCTTGACTCACTAATTGCTTCACCTATTTATTGCCCTGGCATCACATTAATACATTGCATAATCATGAGAATGCGTATTCAGCATCTATCGTAGTTGGCACGAGTACTGTATGTACTGATACTCCTACTGTAGTCAACCACTAGCGTACCTCTAAACGCTCGGGCGTCTCGAAACGTTCATTAATTCTAGATTCACTGTTCAATTACCGACAAACTGTATGTACTCTACAATACACTGGAGCTTCATCTTCAGTTTGGTACATCATAGCATCATAAACATAGGAGCCGTGTGAATGCATACTATAGCTTACAGTCCATCGAATAGCCCCCCCCCCCCCCCCCCCCCCTCTCTCTCTCACCCTCATTGCTACCCTGAACCACCTATACCTCCTCTCTCTGGACCTGCATCAGTCTGGTGAGACCCATGACGATCTTCGGAAGTGGCATGACCTGCAAAAAAGCAAAAGCCGGTCGTTGGACACCCACCAGAGCTTCACATTAAACCATAGCGAAATAAAAAGCATATGGGCAGCAACGAAGGGCACATTTGAGGTTGCTAAAAAGGCGAAAGGAAAAAGGGAAAAAGGAAGAAGAAGAAGAAAAAAACTTGTTTTTTCTGGCATGTTCATATTCTCTTCCCTAGTCGAAAACACCGGCTGTTGTTTGGTTGGTTTGGTTTGGTTTGATTTGGTCCATCTATACATTCCTCCAATATACGTGCTCCCTGAATAGGCAAGGGAATGTGCACCATAAAACTTTTTGGGCCATAAAAGATCCTAAATGATTTTCAACTTTAAGAGGTGGATAACATCCAAACATGTTACTACAATACATACTGTACTTGTACTTGTACCGGCCTTGGTCCACCGGAACGCACTCCGCTTAACGCCGCTTGGCGTCCCTGCCTGTCTCTGCATCAAAACATCAGGTAGCAGCACATGTCTGTGCGGGTACTTGTACGTCCATACAGACAACCACAGCGGCTTTTCAGCGTCTATGCACTCACACCTAATGCCTTTTCAACCTTCTTCAACTTACGAGCTCCACAGTAAATGTTGTACCACGTCTGTTTTGCCGGCAAACTGGGTGTGGGCTTGGGGGAGAATTTTCATGGACGAAAACAGGGTCGTATTGGGGATATTGGTGGCTGTCGGTGTGGTCAGTTAAGGGATCTGGTGGTGTGTGATGTTTATTTTGGCTGTTTATAGCGACAGTTTGGACTGTATATATAGAATAAGTATGGTAGGTATAAGATAGACTGGTGGCCTCGAAAATGAACGAACGCACAAGATGAAATAAAATAAAATACAAGTACTTGTACAAGTACAAGCACGTACTTACCAAGTACCACCGACCACCCAAATGAACACCCCATAGTCACATAAATTTCTCCTGTTCAGCTTTTAGTTGTCCACTCGCCTCCTGCATACCATCTCCCCTTACTCCACGAACATCACCAAGTACGTACTGGTACACTGAAACTTCCAATGTGGTGGGGAGAAACGGCACTGGTGAGACTCCCGCCTTTTGCCTTTGTCGGCGTGACAAAGAGCTGACACTAGTCGAGGGTTATGTCATGTTGACCTTGACCTTTGACCTGGTCTTTGTTTGACCTTGCTTGATCTTGACGTTCAGACCTCTTCGATATGGCTTAGTAATGATGACCACAGGTAGCAAAGTCGAGCAAAATGCCAGTAACGGCGATAAGTGAGAGCAAAAGTGCCATTACTCGTGTAATATGCTGACTAAGACCATATCGCCCCAACCGGTCCTAAGTGATACCCAACGATATCAGGCCTGCGCATCCTACATGTAAGATAATGGCGATTATATTGTAGATCAACCTGTTGAGACGCAGCACGCCGCTCACGCCGCTCACGCTAGCGTATTGAAAGAACCGCCAACTTTACGTAATTGGTTTTTCTGCCAAATAGCATTTTCTTGCTTCCTCTTCATCATCATTGCTACTGTACCACTTGTTCCAAGGTCCTACCCGCACAACTATCATCATCTTGATTGCTGCTCCGAGTAATGCATAGACCTCAGGCACCATCAGTTCACTTGTATAATAATGGTCATATGGTGCCATTCATCAAAGCGTAATGGAAGTATATCAGCATCGATAATGAACTGAGGCCGAATACCGAGGTGTAATAACCACAGTTCTTCTCCAGAAGTTCCACATTTTTTATTTTAATATGAACAGCATCGTCATTAAACTATATACTGGAGCTCTACTCTCGTGTTGTTCCTTGGTTGACTATCTAGTTAGAAGTATGTACGTATTTAGTTTGAGGTCAAGAGTCCAACCACAGCATGTACGTACTCCTACAAGTTGCAGTACAATCTGTAAACTAAATCCAACAACAATCAATACCGAACAACAACAACAACAACAATCGTACGTCTTCTCCCCTCCATCTCATCTCCTTTTTCACCCTTAATTGCGCTAATCATGCACTTGGATCCCGTCTAGACAGCGTTGGGGTCAGAACGCATTGTTGACAGGTTGCTCACAGAGCTGTATAATGGACAAAATGGGACCAGTTTTCACTCCAGATCAGCTCACATTACACAATAAACCCCCCTTTGCGCCGCCCAGCTACCACAAAAAGGTCCGTTTGCTCGTCTCAACAAAAACCCCACCATTGATTGGGTTCCAACAAGGGCAACTATTGTGATGGGACCTCGGCACGCATGCACACTTAGTTGCCGCATTGGTAACACCCCTAACCCTAAAACTAACGCCATATACACCGCTCGAGGTGTCGTCATCTCCACACAACACCCACATTACCACCATGCCTTCCGCCGAATTCACCGCCGCTGTGAGTAGCAGGCGCCATTGAGCGATCGACCAAGTCGCACAGACACAAAGGTGCAATTGCTCCAAAAACCAAGTTACTAACTCAGGCCGACTCTGTGCAGAAGCTTCCCAAGACTCCTTCCGACGACGAGCTTCTTGAGGTGAGTATTGAGAGAAAGATGAGAGCATACCCGGAGGGTCTGTTCGTGTCTCATTAACAAGGGCACATGTATTGATTGAATTGACGACACATGTTCGCATCAGAACCAGGGTGCCACGGGCTATCCAGGGTGCAACACAGCCCATATCGATCATCAGTCCGGCCCGTTTTCCCCTACTAACACAGCTCTACGGACTGTACAAGCAGGCCACCGTCGGCGACAACAACACCGACCGACCCGGCGCCTTCAACTTCAAGGCCAAGTACAAGTGGGACGCCTGGGACAAGCTCAAGGGCAAGTCTCAGGAGGAGGCTGAGCAGGAGTACATTGCTCTTGTCCAGACCCTTTCCGACAAGTACAACTAAGCGAGATTATGAGTTGCAAGTAAGTAGTTGATCCAGTATTAATTGATCTCTGATTTGACCGAGGATGAGGGGATGCCACATACAAATATTTCTGCCAGTTCATCATTCTTAGCATAGTAGAATATGTAGCGCTAGTACATATATAGTGAGTATGCACAGCCATGGTGGCAAATGGACCAGATAAGACGGCATGTAACAGTGATGAATAATCGAATATGAGACAATCTGCTTAGACAATCGGTCGGTGTACAAAACAGTTAACAACAAACACATCCTGCTCACCCTGGAGATTCTCTTTTTCCCTTACTTTTCGTGTCTGACCGATTTGATCTGATCTACTCTAACTTAGTATCAGTGGAGTGCGTCACCATCACCACACCAACCTACGCGTGCCACACGACACTCGACTCCCCGAAATGCAGTGCCGCAAATGCTGCTTTGCATGCGAAAAATGGTGCTTCATAGGCGCCAAGGCGTTCCTGCCGCTCGTCGTCAATTTCCTCATCATCTGGGCCTGCTGGGTCCACGCATGGCTGGTGTGCTGGGAACCGCAGTTGTTTGAGTCCGACACCACCTTCTGGCGCGTCTACGGCGTGGCGGGCGTGGCTATCGGCATCATGTGCAACGTGCTCTATCTCAAAGTATGCAAGGTGGGCCCCGGAAGCCCCACCGACATCGACAACTTCTCGGTGCCACTGGTTGAGTACCAGAACGCATGCAGCGCCGAAGGCCAACATCTCACGCCTCCTCGAGAGATGGCTAACTCCGTGTGTGCCAAGGAGAATGGAGGTCTACGGTTCTGCACCAAATGCATCGGCTGGAAACCGGACCGATCACACCACTGCTCAAACTACAAGCGATGCGTGCTCAAGTTTGACCACTACTGCCCCTGGTTTGCCACGGCCATCGGGTTCCACAACCACAAGTACTTTGTGCTGTTTCTGTGGTACGTGACCATTCTGTGTTTCTTCTGTCTCGGCTCTACGGGCTTTGTCTTCTACAACCACATTCTGGAGATTGGTGCCATGCGCGGCCCGGACGGAAACACAGACTACGTGGGCGCAATATCCGTCAACGTCATGATCCTCATGGTCCTGGCACTGGTGTTTGCCATCGCGGTCGGCACGTTTGCCACCTTCTCGCTCTACCTCGTGTTCAACAACCAGAGCACGGTCGAGTTTCTGGAAAGCACCCAGTACCGGTCTGCCGTGCCCACTGCCGCATACAGATACACGTTTGCGCCTACGTCCAAGACGGTCGGAAACGTGTTTGACGTGGGCTGGAAACGCAACTTCCAGCTCGTCATGGGCGACAAGTGGTGGATGTGGCTGCTGCCTATCCAGCCCAGTGAAGCGGCCCGGGGCAACGGTACCCAGTTCCCCCTTAATAAACAGGTGCTGCAAAAGATCAGAGAGGCCGCGGCTAAGGAAGTCCAAATCAGAGACCAGAACCAGGCCTACATCAAGCAGCAGCGTCAGCAACAGCAAAAACGCACACAGTACGACCTTCCTCAACATCTCCAGCCTCCTCCTCAGGAGCACTATGAGTATGACGACGAGGCCCAAGACTCTGGAGACGACATTCCATTGATCAACATGGTCAATAAGAACAACACGAAATGAGAATAAGAGGTAGCCGACGAATGAATCGGGGGCCGACAAATTCTTGGAAGCTATCTCTCCCCTCCAGCATATAGACATTGCATTTAACCTGATATATTATACCCCATTCAGACAAAGATGCATATTCAGGCAGATCTTGGACAGTATACAGATACTATGCGGGTAAATTACTGTACCCTTTAATACCATACAAGTACGTAGATGTACCACTCAATTGTGTACATACAGCTACAGTATGTACTCGTTCTTGTACTATCACTTGAACATATTCTCGATTACATTACTCTACTCAGCTCGCTGCTTGATAGCATTAGACCCTCGGGCCTTGATGGCAATCACACAAGCGGCGGTGAAGAGAAAAACAAAAAAGCAGCTGGCGTTGTGCTTCTCCCGCTGGTACACGGCCTGGGTACGGTCCCGCAGGTTATCATAGATTTCAATGGCCTTCTTTTTGGAGCCATGTAGTCAGAGCTCATCCTTGTCGGACTTTCCCTTCTTCTTGACGTCCTCCTTGGGCTCCTTGGCGTCCTCCTTGGCAGGCTCAGCCTCCTTGGTCTCGGACTTCTCCACGGGGATCTCTCCGGCGTCAGCAATGGTGATGTCGACCTTGGGGTTGGATCGAGCGCCGGTGGGGGCGTTCTCAATGGCGTCGACAATGTCCTGGCCCTCGAGAACCTCGCCAAAGACAACGTGCTTGCCGTCGAGCCAGCTGGTAACCACGGTGGTGATGAAGAACTGGGAGCCGTTGGTGTCTCGGCCGGCGTTGGCCATGGACAGCTTGTAAGGCTTGGTGTGCTTGAGCTGGAAGTTCTCGTCGGGGAACTTTCGGCCGTAGATGGACTCGCCTCCAGTGCCGTCTCCTCGGGTGAAGTCTCCGCCCTGGATCATGAAGTTCTTGATGACTCGGTGGAACTTGGAGCCCTTGTAGCCCTTGCCGGTCTCGCCGGTGCACAGAGCTCGGAAGTTCTCCACGGTCTTGGGGACCACGTCTCCGTACAGACCCATGACGATCTTTCCGAGCGATTCCTCGCCCTGCTTGATGTCAAAGTAGACCTTGTGGGTGATTTCGGCGTCGGGCTCGGCCTGTGCAGGCTGGACAAAGAAGGCCAGAAGAGCCACGAGCAGAACTCCAATGGTGGCAAACAGTTTCATGGTGGATAGTATCGTGTGCTGTTGTGCTGTGTGGTGGCAGTAACAGGGAAGGAGGCGTGCTTAAGTAGTCGTACTGTTGGGACCGTGTTGGTGCTACGTGGAAGAGCATAATGTTAAACAGGACCAATATATGTCACGTTGGAACTGGTGGGCGCAGGGAGATGGGCGCGAGGGGGAGGTCGCGGGGACATCACGAGCGCGCTCAATTGGTGCAATTGGCCTCGTTGACCTAGTCATAACCAGTTGGTGACTGTATTATTCATGTATCCACGTTCTTGGGTGGGATTGCAGTGTATGTGGGGAGCCAAGCACGTCATAACATATGCCTGGGGACTGATTTTTGGAAAGAGGTGACAACATATCCCTCAGATGGTACACAACTACTCCCTTTTGGCATCTTTCTCTTTTTTAAAAGACCTCAACTGCGACTTTTATAAGAGTTATGTCAGGTCCCTGATTCACCAGCACCTCCCCACTACCCACCACTCATAACCTGAACCTAATAATGCACGATCCAACATGCAACTCTATCAGAAGGACAGAAAGATTCACACTCATAACCGTCTACCAGAAAGACACACAAAAAAACACACACAGACACACACATGGAATCGGGTGATCTTCCAAACGCAGCCACACCGCGAGACGTGCGTCTGCTGCATCTGATTCTGGCCTCCATGGGCGTCACCTCGTACCAGGAACGGGTGCCTCTTCAACTCATGGACTTTGCCTACAGATATACACAAGGCGTGTTGCACGATGCACTGCTGTACTCGGACCATGCTGCGGCCGCCAACAACTCTCACAACGACAAGACGGGCCCTGTTTCCGGCGGATCTGGCGGAAATGCCAACGCAGCAGCAGCAGCAGTTTCCACGTCGGCTCTGTCAGTGGAAGACGTGCGACTGGCTATTGCTGCTCGAGTCAACTACCAGTTCAAGCCAGCACCACCCAAAGAACTGCTTCTGGAGATGGCACAGGAACGTAACCGACGAGCTCTGCCACAGGTACAGCCTGGCTACGGCTTGAGACTGCCCCCGGAGAAGTACTGTCTCACTGCCAAGGAGTGGGATTTGGACGAGGAGGAAGAAGAGACTGTTGAGGGAGCTGAAGAGACCAATAACAACAGCAGCAATGAGGATAAGGAAATGAAGGATGCGGTCTAATTAGGTGTATTTTTATTGATTATTGAACTCCGCCGGAGTAAAGGTTGGAATTTCATGGATATTTGACGAGAGGTGTTCGTAGTGCTTCAAGGGAGAGCAAGAGATGCATCAGAAACCATTGAAAGACTGATTCCGAGACACAAACTACACTGCTGTACACATAAATGCATTCCACAGCCGTACGCTTCATTGTACAACATGATACCACGAGTACAATTAGTTACTTGTACTGAAAAAGCTATACAAGACCATTCGCTACGCTCCAATTCTTGAGGTCAACAACAACAATATAAATACACTATGCTAGTCTCGCCGTTGGTTACGACTGAATCTCGGAAAAGTTCTGCACCAGTTTTCCCACCGGCTTGACGTTGGACTCCTTGGCAACCAGCTCCACAAACTTGCCGACATGCTTGGAAACCACCTGTTTGTCCTTTTCGCTCAGGTTGGCCTTGCTCACGTGAGAAGCATCGCTAGCAAGCACCACAATGCCTGTTTCGGGGTCCAGCTGGCGCTTGAAGTCGGAGGCACTTCGTTTTTGGGTGATGCCGTTCGGGGATTCGACCTGGGCCACCGCGCCGACGTCGATGAGATTCGAGCCGGTGCTCGTCACAATCTGATGCAGGTTAGACATGCGTTTCTGGCGGTCCGAAGGGTCCACTGCATTATCGTCTGTGGTGTCGATTGTGTTGTTTCCAAGAAGAGGTTCATTTTCGGAGATCTGGGTTAGTAATCTGCATAGAGAGAGTGTGTGGGGAAAAGATGCCGGCAATCAAATGAATACTCACACCAGGAGGGTCTTCCTCAACGGGCCCTCTTAAGCAAGACAGCAAGACACCCATTTGCTGTGTGTTGTTAGTAAGATGGTGATGGAGATATGAAAGTGTGGAGATGCATGTTTGAACTTAGATGAATATCATAACAAGAAAGGAGAGTAGTTACTGGGATGTAATGGATATGTCGGGAAGGTGATGAATATGAAATATACCATGAAATTACTGGAGAAATTGATTTTGATACTCATTTTTGTAATTTATTGCATATTTACCAACTTAAACACTTTTGTTAATAATTACTTAACCCCCCAAGTAATACATCAAAGCCCATGTACTCCCAACCCTAACCCCCAAACAAGGTTCTGGCCAACCAAACGAAGGGTAAAATCTCAAGCTCTGTAGTAATAGCGTCAAGATCACGGTTCAGCTCGGAGGCTCAGAACACAACCCCAAAAATGCGATACACACAGCTGCTGCGAAACGTCTCCAAGGGAGTCCAGAAGAGTGGCCAGAGCGTCCTCGTTCAGATGCGAGAGGGAAGTGAGTATCTATGTGGTTTTTAAACCTGACTGTGCACTACACAACTACGTCTGATGTCACCACGACAGGAGACGAATGTCTTGTCTATGCCACTAACAAAGCTCCTATCGGTCTGACCGGTATCTACCAGCATCCCAACCCCCGACCGGCACTGATTGCCCTGTACGAGGCCACCCTCAAGGAGCTGCAAGACAAGCACCCCAAGGACTCTGTCTACCGACAGTCCATCGAGAACCTGACTGCTCACCGAAAGCAGATTGTGGAGGACAACGAGGTCAGTGAGGTGATCGAGAACAAGATCGGAGCCGGTCTCATTGAGGAGGTGGTCATCCAGGCCCACGAGGAGCTCGAGCTCGCCAAGAAGATGAGCGAGTGGAAGCCCTGGGAGGAGCTGGAGGAGAAGCCTTTGGAGGACCAGTGGGTTTACTTCAACAAGAAGGGTGTTGAATAAGGGTATAGCATAAAGATGTGGATATTGACGATCATGAGCGTGGTTAATGACCCGTGAGCGAACCAATGGCTTGTGAATGGTCCAATGAGTGAGCCACCGCAGTCGGACAAGCCATTTGCTCGGTCTCATGGCCTCATGAGAACGTAGACAAGTCATTGTTGGACAATGGTTTACAAAATGTGGGCGTAGAAATAGAACGGCTCTTTGATTAGCTACTTGTAGTCTACAGTATTTATGGAGAATCTCGTCATGTACAGTATGTACATACTTGTACGATAGAAGTGACAGATGACAGAGGTATACTTTTTTGAAGTTGTTTATTACCGTGCTAGATGGCGCCGTAGAGCGGTGATATTGATTCAATGAGCAGTCTACAAGTGTACCAGTACGAGTACCAGCACAAGAACGGGCGGTTCCACCAGTTACTGTAGCTAGAAGTACCAGTACAAGTAGCTAGTTAAAGTGTATCGACACTTCTCCATTATGATACTAACATGTTGATTTATCTTTCACAGTACTGCCATAGAGAACACGGAATCGTTTGTATTTATCTAAAGATCTACAAGTAGGTCGATAGTCCTGAAGTGTGTCCTAACAAGAAAGCGAAACCAACCATTGTACTACTGGTAGATACTTACAACACTACATCACAGAGTCTGACTGGCATCTTACTATAATTCATGACGCAATTAATATACTATATACCCTCTTCAGTTAACAGCACTTGGAGGCGGAGTTTTCCTCGCCCTCGGCGATGTTGATGCCGCCCGACCCAGACTCGTTGCCCTTGGTCTTGGCCACAGTGTCCCTGATTCGAGTGGCAACCGAGTAGAAACACTCCTCGACGTTAATGTTGGTCTTGGATGAGGCCTCCAAGAAGGGAATGCCAAACTTATCTGCCAAGGCCTGGCCCTGTTCTGTGGAAACGACTCGCTTCTCATCGAGGTCGCACTTGTTGCCGACCAGAATGAGCTCGACGCCCTCGTTGGCGTAGCTCTGCACGTTCTGGTACCAGTTTTCAATGTTGTTGAAGGACTTTTCGTCCGTCACGTCGTACACCAGCAGAATGCCCATGGCGCCCCGGTAGTAGGCGGTGGTGATGGTTCGGAACCGCTCCTGGCCGGCCGTGTCCCACACTTGCAGCTTGACCCGCTGATTGCCAATGTCAATCGTTCGGATTTTGAAGTCGATACCAATGGTGGTGATGAAGGAGGGGGTGAACTGGTCCTCGCAGAACCGCAGCAGCAGACACGACTTGCCCACGCCGGAGTCGCCTATCAGCAGCAGCTTGATCAGCAGGTCGTATGTTCTCTGGGAGTGCGACATGGTATCTAGACAATCACGAAGGTGTGTTGTTGGTGTGTGTTCAAAAGATGATGGTGGACTTCTCTCGTGGTGCGCAGGGAGATAGTCCTGTGATTGTGAACTCTATTAGCAGGGGCTGGTGGCATGCTACCGGACATGACGGAGGGAGACGATAGTGGAGGAGCTAGCCGCCAAACTGATTAATAGACTTGATATATAGTTGACTCACCGCTGGAAATGCCCCATTCTCACCACCCGCGCCCCTCCGCCGACCCTCTACGCCCTCTATCGCCGCATCTACTCCTCTAGAACAACCTCCCTGTTAACACCGCACACTCAACTTGTCTTGTCCCAACTGGGCCACCATGCACACTTTTGCTACGTCACGGGTCGTCTCGGTGGCAAGATCCTAAGTTAGTGTGCTGCTCTTAGTTTTCGGTCTTAGTGGAATGAATACGGCTTGGGCAACGATATACGGACCAGGCTGACTCATTGTGCACCCCCCAGTGTACGTTACTAAGAGACCGCCCTCTTATATTACTAATATTATCACCCCTGCGTCATCCGCACGACCACTATACTGTCTGAACTAGGATACTTGCACACTGCTGTACGATACGGACTTACTGGAGATATCTCCATTGTCAGGTCATTGTCTGCTCGTAAAGTAATTATTCGGTCCGGAAATAAGTTGGCGTTAATAGAGTTAGTAAGCCAAAGTAACACAGATTATGACTTTGTTTAAAATTTTGTGATATCGCACGAAACTTGTACCTTGTATATTACGACTCCAACGATCTACAACCGCCGGCCTTCTCTGTATAGTAGCTACGAGTACTGTTTTCGTACTTGCATTCACTCGTAGTCAATAAACTTTGCACGTTGCGGGCAAAATCAAACCCCGATCTGCTTTGCCGCCTCATAACGCCACACTAGCCACTTCCGGGTAACACATTGAAACTCTATCGCATGCAGAGGAAAGCTCATAATTACAGGTGCAACTCATCATTGCCCTGATCTTCACGCATCTCAACACCATACAATGCTTCGAACATTGACCCGTTTACGACTGCAACCGCTGCAATCCGCAGCCATCGCCCGACCTCTTACACAGCCTCTTCTGCAGAAGCGATGGAACTCCACACAGCCTCCCAAGGATAACGAGCAACAAGCGGCTCCTGCTTCTTCGGAAGGAGACAAGCCCAAGCGAAAGCCTCTGTCCCGAATCTCCGTCTCCAAGGGTGCTTCTCCCGGAGAGATGCACCGACGACAATACAAGGGCATTTTCGACTTCAAGGTCTTTGCTCTGTTCGTGGCCTCTGGAGTGGGTATCTACTGGTTCTTCCAGAGCGAAAAGGCCAAGGTGACCCAGCGACGAGAGGCTGAGGCCAACCGAGGCTACGGCAAGCCCCTTGTGGGCGGCCCCTTTGTGCTTCAGGATCACAAGGGCGGTATTTTCAGCAGTGAGGACCTTAAGGGCAAGTTTTCGCTTCTGTACTTTGGATTCTCAATGTGTCCCGATATCTGTCCCGATGAGCTCGATAAGATGGCCATTATGATCGACGAGGTCAACAAGAGCAACCCCGGCCAGCTGCAGCCTCTGTTTATCACCTGTGATCCCGCCCGAGACTCTCCTGAGGTTCTAGAGGAGTACCTGTCCGAGTTCCATCCTCAGATTCTGGGTCTTACTGGTACCTATGACGAGATCAAGCAGACCTGCAAGGCCTACCGAGTCTACTTTTCCACTCCTCCTAACGTCAAGCCTGGTCAGGACTACCTCGTTGACCACTCCATCTTCTTTTACCTCATGGATCCCGAGGGACAGTTCCTGGACGTGCTGGGACGAAACCTGACTGCTGAGGAGGCCGTGGCCAAGATCCGAGAGGACATTAAGACCTGGGAGCCCAAGGCTGTCCGAGACCGAAAGAGCAAGGGCTGGTTTGGTTCCTTCTTTTACTAGACTAGTGTGTACATAGCTGAGCTAGCAGCAATATATTCTCCTGCAGCAAGAGATCATGAGCGAAATGATTTTCTTACTTGTAAGGTCGGTAGATAGGCAAATGGCCTCTGGTAATGCACATGACTTGCAAAGTGATTGGCAACGTCTCTAATGGACGAATGGCCCTGTCAGCTCTAATACTATCAAGGACTGGTACGCTTGTAGGTGACGAGGATGATAATTGATACTTCAATGAAGATAATGAGTGAACCTGATACAATGGTTATCATTGTGCTTCCCAGTATGCATATAGCAGAAATACTGTAGGTACAGTAGGGGTATGAGTGTACCTCTTACGAACGTATTTGTACGCTAGCTAGAACCCAACTTTTGCGCCCCGATAGCTTCCAGGTCCCCAGAGAGCTCCAAGTACCGAATGCTGTACCTTCTATAGTTACGAAGTAGCTCTCAGGTCCGTCATTTAAGATGCTTCTTCAATATAAGGTGGTCCCTCACTTTGCTACAATACTTGTACTGTAGGCACACAAATGAGGAGAACAACAACAGTACAGATATTGTCACTGCTCCTATCTTCTTTCGCAACAGCATGGAGCTCACCTTCGCCTGGAGATATCATTTTGGGGATGGACCAAGTGTCCTTGTTTTCCGACGATCAAGACGACTCCCATCCTTTCTACAAGATCCTACCTCATGCCATGACAGCCGACATCTTTGCTTCGATTTCACAGGAGCTGTCTCAGGACTGTCGCACTCTGGATCTGGCCGGCCGCAAGGTCGACATTCCCGTCAACACGACCCTTCTGTTCGTCTTCAACAGCACCCAGTATCTTTCGACAGGGTGTGATGACGGAGATATGTCGCAGTTCATGCAGACCTCTGTGCCGTTTGGACTCCCTCAGTACCATGCTCTAGTCGACTACTTCCTCCTGGTACCTGCCAACTACACCAAACCGTTCGCCTTCTCTCCAGATCTCGTCATCAAAGAGATCAACGCTCGCAAGTGCAGACTCCCGCTGTTTTTGGACATGATAGGCACTTCAGACCCACTGCTGGCGCTAATATTCAAGTCTGTGCACAAACCAGCTCCAGAGACCTCTGAGCCTGTTTCGCCTCGTCACTCAGGAGCTGCTCAGCAGTGCAAACAGCGACTGAAAGAGGTGTGTAACAGTCCCGACACGTCTGGCATAGCCCGAGCTGCTCTGGTGCAATCAGCCCCCTTCTTTGACGAGTTTGCGCATCTGTGGGTCGGTGCTCTGGGGCTCGAAAGTCTGTACAGCTCCGTCTTCTGCCAAGTGAACGAGGTGGTCACCGAGCAAAGCTTTTGTCTACAGATCACGACTTCTGAGAGCAGAGTGAGTGTGATTGATCCTGTCACTCATGGCAGGCTGGGAAGTGGCGATGAGGTGAATCCCAATGGTCATGGTGTACGCATTGCGAAGAGAGATCAGTTGAAAGGCACCGTTCGAATTGCTACCAAGAGTCATGGCAAGTTGCACACTGTGCGCCAAAACAACATCATGGTGTCTCAGTGGAACGAGGAGCCGCAGACCGAGAAGAAGAACTCCACTCACGCCCTCCACTCGCATCTGGAGATATCTCCGTGGCAGCAGGATTCTGACACCGATGACAAGACCATTACCTGGTCAGCCGTATTTGACGGTCGGGTTCTCATGTGAGCCATGTGGATGACGCCATCCTGCATGCTGCACGCAGCACACGACTGATCGGCAGTGCCATAGTTGGGGGCGACAATGATAAGGGGTCCGTTCGCGATGGAGCAAGATAACCATAGGTGGTGTTAGGATCGCATTAGCGGCTGTCGTTAGTTGTGGAATGGAACATGTAACGTGAATGGATGTAGCTAACAGACACTGGCGCTTTGTAGCACTCGTACTGTCCAATTATGCCCGTCAACTGACGTCACTGTCCTGTCACCCATCTGTACTGTACGATACTCACATTCTACGCGCGCTGTAGTGTATCGTTGTTTAGCTCTTTTCTTGCTTGTCTCTTGCTTGTCACTTGTTGTTGACGCTAGACTTTTGAGTTTGGGGCCAAAGGTTCCTTTATTTTCTCCCAGTCGACACTCGACTCCAGGCTGTTTCGCACCCGTCAATACAGTTCGGTGGCACGCGCAAAAAAAAAGAGTGTCAAACGTTGGGGGCGAGGAGAGCGAGTTGGGAGGACTCTGAGGTTAGGTAGATATGGGCGAGGGGAATGAGGGGGTATATATAGAAAGCTGGCGTTTCGGGCGCCACGTAGACGGCGTAACGGGGGACAAACGGACGTGGAAACGCGACCCGAGTGGTGTAGTTCGGAGAGTGCAGTTCCAAGGGCCCGTTTGTGGCGTGGTTGGCACCCCTAAGACACCATTCCGGGCTCGCGTCTACCGCTTGTCCGACTCCTATCACTGTGCGGCTGCCCAGATAGACTCTTCGGTAGAGGTCCGAACCGTGCACACTCGCCAAACAAAAAGAAGACACTTTACATTTACGTATACACACACACACGCACACACTACACACTTTGGTTAGTTTTGCAAGGGGAAAAAAAGGAGATTTCTCACGCCCCAGCTTCTAAACAGACGACAAGAACCAAAAAACCGACACCGATACAAACATGCCAGCACAGCCCGCCGATTTGCGACGAAAGCTCGTCATTGTGGGAGACGGAGCCTGCGGAAAAACCTGTCTGCTCATTGTCTTTGCCAAGGGCACCTTCCCCGAGGTCTACGTGCCCACTGTGTTCGACAACTACGTGACCGACGTGGAGATTGACGGCCGACGAGTGGAGCTGGCCCTGTGGGATACCGCCGGCCAGGAAGACTACGACCGACTGCGACCCCTGTCGTACCCCGATTCCAACGTGATCATCATCTGCTTTGCCATCGACTCGCCCGACTCGCTGGACAACGTGCAGGAGAAGTGGATTTCCGAGGTGCTGCACTTTTGCCAGGGCGTGCCCATTCTGCTGGTCGGTTGCAAGGTGGACCTGCGAAACGACCCCAAGACCATCGAGGAGCTCAGAAGAACGTCCCAGCGACCGGTCACCACCGAGGAGGGAAACGCCGTGGCCCAGAAGATTGGCGCACTCAAGTACCTCGAGTGCTCTGCCCGAACCCACGACGGAGTGCGGGAGATCTTTGAGCACGCTACCCGAGCCGCTCTCATTGGCCCCAAGGGACGAGAGCCCACTTCAGGCAAGAAGAAGAAGAAGTGCGTGATCCTCTAAGCGCGCGCGGAAAAAGAAGATCGACTCGTACTGTGGGCACCGTTATACGCCACGAGCACGCGCCTACACGCCACGAGAACGCCCCTTACAAACTAGTTTTTATAACAATGGATGGTCATATTGAGTAATACTTCTGGTGGATGACTATCATAGCTGTAGTTCGCTTCACTGAATGGGCTGACTGAATCTAAATATACACGGTATCATACGTACGAACACACGTTAATATGGGTACGATACTGTACACTCTTACAATTCTCGTAGAAGGGGGTTTTGGACGCCACATAGTGACAAGAAATGACGACCGAAAAAGAGCACCTACAATAGTACGATACCTGTACATACTGTACATGTACAAGTACCGGCTTGGTGAAATTTGGCACGTGCATGAACCAAACACAGCCCCTTTTCTATGACTGAAACACATCCTATCCATTAATACGTACAAGTACCGGTACTTGCACACGTACTTGCATTCATACAACAATTAGTTATATTGTGCTCATACTCAGGGCAGTAAAAAATACACTCGCCATGTTTACATATTAATGCACTTTACGCTCGCGTAATATCTCCTGGCCGAAGTTTCTTCTGAACGAGCATGTACTTGTATGTATATTTACCAGACTCAATACTGGCGATAGTACGAGAAGAACACCAACGACATTGCTCGTCAATCAATAGACGTCTATTAGTCATCAATATGAAGAACAAAGTCACTAAATCGCAGACACAACAGGTTCTACAAGCTACAGTGTCAGGTACGAGTACGATACCTCTCACTCCAACAACGAGACAATAGGCTAACTCCGATGAATGAAATGCACTTGATATAGGACCCGATTAGTCAGCATGGCATGCGAAATGCCGGGATATTTTTTCATGAGTAAGCCAGGTCGGTCACCTGATCATAATTGCCCAATTTCCGTCCCAATCACCTCCAATACCCCCGTTCAAACCGCTGTCTGATTCTCGCCCACATGCAGCACACTACTATGTCGGCCGGGTAACGAAAAATTAGGAGTCATTCTAGCTCGAGTGCATCAAGCACCACAGATCAGGTATCAGCTACCCTCGATTTTGAAACCCAGCCGCGACAACCATGCCTACCATCTCCGTGGACAAAGAGGACCTGTACAAGGCCATTGGAAAGACCTACACGACCGAAGAGTTCGACGAGCTCTGTTTCGAGTTTGGAATCGAGCTGGACGAGGACACCACCAACGACTGCGTTGGAGATGAGCGTCCCCAGCTCAAGATTGAGATCCCCGCCAACCGATACGACATGCTGTGCATCGAGGGTATTGCGCAGGCTCTCAATGTGTTCCTTGGCCGGGCCGAGGTGCCCGAGATCAAGCTTACTAAGCCCTCCAAGATGCTTGAGCTCACCATTCACCCCGAGACCGCGGAGGTTCGACCCTACGCTGCTGCCGCCATTCTGCGAAACGTGACCCTCGACCAGCGAAAGTACGAGTCCTTCATTTCTCTGCAGGAGAAGCTGCACTCCAACATTTGTCGAGGACGACAGCTGGTGGCCATTGGTACCCACGACTTTGACAAGATGGTCCAGGATGGCCCCTACGCTTACAAGGCCTTCAAGCCCAACGACCCCAAGATGTCCTTCGTGCCTCTCAACCAGACCAAGGAGCTCACCGGAGAGGGAGTCATGGAGTTCTATGAGAAGGACAAGAACCTCGGAAAGTTCCTCTACATTATCAAGGACGCCCCCGTCTACCCTTACATTGTCATGGGCGACGACAACACTGTCTGCTCTCTGCCCCCCATCATCAACTCCGACAAGACCAAGGTTTCTCCCGACACCAAGAACATTTTCATTGAGGTGACTGGAACCGATAAGACCCGTCTGGAGATTGTTCTGTCTCAGATTGTCGCTGCTTTCTCCGAGTACTGCGCCGAGCCCTTCACCGTCGAACCTCTCAAGGTTGTCTCCGAGCACAATGGTGAGACTCGAATCACCCCTGAGATGACACCTCGAGTCATGCAGGCCGAGATTCCCTACATCAAGTCGTGCTTGGGTCTGGATCTGTCTGCCGACGACATTATCAAGCTGCTGGCAAAGATGTCGCTTCAGGCTTCCAAGACTTCCAACCCCGATGTGCTTGACGTGGCTATCCCCCCCACCCGATCCGACATTCTGCATCAGTGCGATATCATGGAGGACGCTGCCATTGGTTACGGCTTCAACAGTCTGCCTAAGACCCTCCCCATGAAGTCTGCCACCGTCGGTAAGCCCCAGCTCATCAACAAGGTGTCCGACATTGTTCGACGAGAGGTGGCCATGAGCGGCTGGGCCGAGGTGATGCCTCTGACCCTGTGCTCGCACGACGAGAACTTTGCCTTCCTCAACCGAAAGGACGAGGGCCAGGCCGTGCACCTTGCCAACCCCAAAACACAGGAGTACCAGGTGATCCGAACCTCGCTTCTCCCCGGTATTCTCAAGACTATCAGAGAGAACAAGAAGCACTCGCTGCCCATTAAGGTGTTTGAGACCGGTGATGTTGTTTTCAAGGACGAGTCCCTCGAGCGAAAGTCGTACAACCAGCGAAACTTCGGAGCCGTCTACTCCGGAAAGACCTCCGGTTTCGAGACTGTGCACGGCCTTCTTGGCCGACTGATGCAGATGCTGCGAGTTTCGTGGATCGAGAACCCCAAGGAGTCCACTTCCCGAGGCTACTGGATCGAGGAGTCGCACTCTGAGACCTTCTTCCCCGGCCGAGGCGCCACCATCCACCTGCGAACCAAGGACGGAGCCGAGGCCAAGGTAATTGGAGAGATGGGCATTCTGCATCCCAATGTCCTGGCCAAGTTTGAGATTCCTTATGCTTCCTCCAGCATCGAGTTCAACATTGAACCTTTCATGTAGGGGGAGTATAGAGAGTAATAGATTATGATTGATGTACAGATTCACAAACAGACGAACCAAGCGAGGAAGGGGTGATAATCCAACCGAGTGTAGATGTGAGCGCATATGAGTCGTTGGTAGCTGGGGGGAAACCTACGATATGCTACGATAGGTCATTATAAGGTGGTATAGAGATGTATTAAATAGCTATGTTACATTTTATTTGCTTCGCTTTGTCCAGCCTTGATTTTGGTGAAGACTGCAATTCTTTTCCGTTATGGTCTAGTTCTTCTTCATCTTCATCCAGGCCTCGAAGCCAATACCGCCAAAGACAGCGGCTACACCAGCCCACTGGCCGAGAGTCAGCCGGTGGTTGAACCAGACAACGGACAGCAGCATGGAAAACATCTTTCGGGTCACATTGACGGTCACCAGCACGACAGAACCAAACTTCTCGAGGGTCTGGAAGATGAAGACCTGGCCCACAGCTCCACAGAGACCGAACAGAACGATGTCTCGCATGATTTCGGGATGCAGTCGGATGAAAGCGATCGCAGTATCTAGCTGAGGACGAGAGAAGGTCAGCAGAGACACAGTGGTGAAAACACCAGTGAGCAGGTTGAGGCCACACATAACATGGGGCCCTGTAATATCTGCATTCTTTCGGAAGATTTGGTCCTGGGTGGAGTTGGTCAGTCCGTCAAGCAGCATACTAATACCAAGAAGACCCAGACCGTAGAGCTGGTGCTCAGATCCGGCACCAGAGGCCTTCTTCGGAGCAGCATGGAAGATGGTGAACATGGAGACACCAATAGTTACAAGAACAACCACAGCGTACTTGTAGGCCGGGAACTTGCGTCGGTAAAGAGTCACTTGTAGTGCCATGAGTGGGATCAGCTTGCAACTCTTGGCCAGAATGGAGGTAAGGTAGTCGACGTATTTGAGAGCAGTGTAGGACAAGGGAGAGGCCAAAGACTGACTGAGAGCCACCAACGACAGCTGTTTGAGTGTGTACATGCTGTCGAAGACCGTGGTGTTCTTCTTTAGACCCTTGGCTGCTCTGCGGCTCTGTTTATACTGCAGGTAGGCGTATCCCACTGCAGCGGCCAGAAACGACTGGACTGTGTTGATGACGAGAGATGCTCGGAAGATTTTGTTGTCGGGACCGTATGGTGTGGTGGCAATTCGTTCCTGGAGCACTGCCCACGTCAGAAACGACGCGTAGATGCCCGAGACACATATGATGAGATCGATGATGTGTCCCTTGGTTGATTTGGTGGTTTCGGGTTTCTTTTCGGTGAGTTCAACGGTCTCTGTGACCTCGATATTTTCACTCAGATCTGCGATGGCAGCCTGGTTTCTTTTTCTGAGCTCTGACATGCTTTTTCAGGTTGTAAGAGGCCGGTGGGGAGTATGGAGAGTATGAGTACATGTACTTACGTGTTCTGCATGATCTTGCATGGAGAAGTGATGTAACCGACACCTAATGGGGAATGAGCACGTGACGGTGCTTGGAGTTGGAGATTTGGGCGATATTTTCAAGGGTGGTTCAAGACCTTGCGTGGCATTTATGGGACTGGTTATGCTCCATGAGAACGGGGATGGTGACTATGATCGTTGTTTAGCCTGACACTTGGGACATGATACTAATTATACTTGTACAGTAGTTGGGAAAGGGTGTGAAATTTCAAGCACACACATTTCAGTACAGTACTTGAAAAAATTACAGAGAGGAGATATGAGAAGGTGTGTGTAAATGATTTGATCTCTTTCTACCCATCGACATACTCAGTTTGTTCTTGAGAGCCAGCCACCCCATCTTTTATCCCAATTTCAGCACTGGAGCACTTCTTTTTCAGCGCTTTCCACTTCTCTTCTTACATACAGTCATCGTTGGGAGAGTTGGGAGAGGCTATTGTTTGGCAGTGTGTGAGTGGTAATTGAGCATCATACAAGTATGTTCAGAGTACAATGAAAAAGAGTCCCTCGGCCGGCCGCATTTTGTGCAAAGACATATTTTCGACACATGAAATAGTATATAAAGACCCGATTTCCCCCCTCATGCACCCCACCAGTTTGGCTACAGTGACAGGAGAGTGTTTGCCACCTTTCACTTGCGCCCATAATCCACCAACCTCACACATCCTCGCTCGGGTTTGACTTTTGCTCTGCATATTTTCTGTAACTGGGCTTGTATAGCACACTCTCATCGTCATATAACCACCACCACCTCTTGCACCACACACCGCCATCACCAGACCATGGTATTTACGCAAGAGCCGTTTGACCCCATCACGGTCAAGCCCAACGAAAAAAAACGGGTGGCGTACTTCTACGACTCGGATGTCGGCAACTACGCCTACGGCGCCGGCCACCCCATGAAGCCCCACAGAATACGAATGGCCCACTCGCTCATCATGAACTACGGTCTCTACAAGCACATGGAGATCTACCGGGCCAAGCCTGCCACCAAGCAGGAAATGTGCCAGTTCCACACGGACGAGTACGTCGATTTCCTGTCGCGCGTCACTCCGGACAACATGGAGCACTTTGCTAAGGAGCAGGCAAAGTTCAACGTCGGAGACGATTGTCCCGTTTTCGACGGTCTGTTTGAATTCTGCGGAATTTCCGGCGGAGGATCTATGGAGGGAGCCGCCCGGCTTAACAGAGGCAAGTGTGATATTGCCATCAACTGGGCCGGAGGACTCCATCACGCAAAGAAATCCGAGGCGTCCGGATTCTGCTACCTCAACGACATTGTGCTGGGCATCATCGAGCTGCTCAGATACCACCCCCGAGTCCTGTACATTGATATCGACGTGCACCACGGAGACGGAGTTGAGGAGGCTTTTTACACCACGGACCGAGTCATGACGTGCTCGTTCCACAAGTACGGAGAGTTTTTCCCCGGTACAGGTGAGCTGCGGGACATCGGAGCCGGAAAGGGCAAAAACTACGCAGTCAACTTCCCGTTGCGAGACGGAATCGACGACACAAACTACAAAAACGTGTTCCAGCCCGTCATCAAGGCCATCATGGAGTGGTACCAGCCCACTGTCGTTGTCCTGCAATGCGGTGGTGACTCGCTGTCGGGTGACCGTCTTGGATGTTTCAACCTGTCCATGCAGGGTCATGCCAACTGCGTCAACTACGTCAAGTCCTTTGGTTTGCCGGTTCTGGTGGTCGGAGGAGGAGGCTACACAATGCGAAATGTGTCAAGGACGTGGACTTTTGAGACCGGTCTGCTTCTCAACAAGATGGTGGGCCCGGATATCCCCTACAACGATTACTACGAATACTACGGACCCGACTATAAGCTCGAGGTGCGACCTTCTAACATGCAGAATGCCAACTCTCCCGAGTACCTGGACAAGATTCTCACCCAGGTGCTTGTCAACCTTGGTCGAACCAAGTTTGCACCTTCTGTGCAGATGACCGATGTGCCCCGAGACGCTCCTGATGATGGAGATGAAGAGGAGGACTCGGCCAAGGCCAAGGACACTAAGGGCGGCTCCCAGATGGCCATTGACGAGCAGATTGAGCACCCCAACGAGTTTTACGACGACGATAACCTCGAGGGTGGAGATGCCAAGGACATCAACAACTTCAAGGACAAGGATGTCGCCATGGAGGACTAATTTGTATTATATGTAGAAGAATAAATTTATTGTGACTAGCTATCAAACGTTGGACGGGCACATATCATATGATAATTGTATAGAAATAACACACAGGAGTATGGAGACATTAGTTCAAGACTTGTGGATGATGCGATAACATGTTTGTGTAGAAGATAAATTCAAACTAATACAGTATGGAGAATGCAATGGTTGACTATCAAAGTCGACTCTGTTTTCTTTTCAAATGCCAATCAAACCTGTACCCACCTTGTTTCTGTAGTCCTCATACTCCTGGCCAAAGAAGGAGACGAGAAACTGCTCTTCAAAGTCGATTCGTTCCCGGAAAAAGGCCCAGAGAACTACAAAGAAGGCCGCAAAGCCCACAGAGTTGAACAGCAGCATCTGAGTGCCCAAGGCCCAGTAGAAGAAGCCAAAGTAGGACGGGTGACGCAGCAGAGAGTAGATACCTGTGGTTACAAGTGTATGCTCCTGGGTCTTTCTCTGGACGATTCTGTGGGAGAAGTTTGTGGCTCCGTGGATCATTGCTAGCGAGCGAGCCAGCTGCCCAATGATCATTACCACGATTCCGCAGGCGCTGATGATACGCACATCGCTTCGGTTCTGTAGGTTGGGGAAGAAGTAGTACTCGATCAGCGACTCTGCGAGCGAAACAACATGCGCAATGTGGTAGGCTGCTCCATTTCGAAACAGGTAGCTCTCATAGGATACCTTGGGGGTGTTGTAGCGCGCTGTGATGTAGTATTCCAGAAAGTGGAAGAGAGCCAGAGAACCCAGGTAGAAGGGCAGTTGGTAGAAGTCGACGTAGAAGGCAGCTAGGAAACAGGAGCCCATGACAATTCCGAGTAACATTGCTGACAACGCAATCCAGTCCAGAGGATTGTCTGTAGGAAAGTAATCAGGCACGTGATCTGGGCGCAGTGATTCTCTGTGGATCTTGAATCTGCCTGAGGAGCCACTTGAAGCGATTGGCGTGTCGTAGACGAGGTCAGGAATTTGTTCCTGGTCAATATCTTGTGATTTCCTCTCTGTTTCCTTGATGATGGTGTCCCACACGTCTCCTCCTCCATCTTCATAGACCGTAGAGTCGATGGTAGGTTGGTCTTTGGGTGGAATCATCTTGTCGAGTAGTTGACTTGGTGTGGCGGTGGGGTTGCCGTCTGCGGTCGTGGCATGGTCCATTATATAGCTGTTGCGATTCTCCCCTCGCGCATATGTCGCTCTTTTTTTGTTTCCGTCTTGTGTCAGGATCTGATCCGAGAAGGGACAGCTCAATAGCTCTAGTACAATATCAGTGCAAGGCAAAGTTTCAGTATGCGCGACTCTCAACCTTGCACCACGCATACCAGAGCGAAGTGCTTGATATTGACGTTGCCTAATTAGCACACACCGCATTGCACCAAACACACAATGGCAACACCTCGACAGTCATTATCGGCCGACGAGGGCATGGTTTCGAGCACAGCACTGGAGCTGCTGCTGGCAGAAGTGGTCCCTGCAGCTCTCCGAGTGTCGCAAGAATTGACAGAGCCGGAAGAGGGCTCCAAAATGGCTCCGTTTGGATACTTGGTGGACTCGGAAAGCCACTTGGACAACGTGTACTTCCGGGTGGAGGGATACGGATACCGTGTGGGACGGGGCATCGCCGAGAGCTTCTCCAACGAACGACCACACTTTGCAGATACGCTGGACATGATGAAGTTCATCTGCAAAGACGTGTGGCTGTTGCTGTACAACAAGCAGGTGGACCATCTCAAAACCAACCACAGAGGCACGTTTGTGTTTGTGGAGAACCAATTTCGAGGCTGTCAACGCATGAGTGCCAAGGGAGGCCAGGTCGAGACCATGAAGGGGGCTACTCCGTACCTGTGGTTCCCCGTGGGTGTCATTAGAGGAGTTCTGGCCGCTCTGGGAATCCAGGCCGACGTGACGTTTGAGACCACTCAGTTGCCGGTGGTCTACTTCAACATTCACGTTGTGCAGTGATACAACATGGGTACAAGTTAACAAGGGTATAAGCATGGGACGGTAACTATACATTGAATGGAAAGAAAGCTATAAGTTATAGACAAGCAAGGCACGATAGATAAATATGTGATTAGACCTTAGACGTAAGGCTACGAAGAACACCACTCGGGAGCGCTTTCTGGATACACAATGATCCGCGACGTGTCAAACGCCTCAATGTGTAGCTCGATGAGAGCTCGACCTCCTCGAGATCCCGCGTATCGTCGGTATTCTTCACTGACACTGGCCAAGTTCCATCCCTGCAGTCGTCGCAGACAGCCCACGATTGTTCCTGTACGATGGCGGCCCATTCCACAGCACACCAGCAAAGGATACGAGTCTCTGTCCATGATGATTTGCAGGGCTGCCACGATGGACGACTCCGTTAGCTGATCCCAAGGGTTGGTTCCTTCGGTGACCAGTCCCAGGTGGTGCACGACAATCTCGTGGTCGTCTGCGAATGCCAGAAAGTTGTCGCTGGGGTCCTCGACGGCCAGCCACAGAATCGTTCTGAGACGTAGCTTCTCAAGGAATGGGAAAGAGATGGGCTCGGGCTGTCCAGACCGGTACAGGTTTCGCTCCACTGGCCCAAAGTTGAGCGGGGGCACCACCTTAATGGGCGGCGGCTTGACGATGGTCTTCATGCGTGGGCTGGGAGGGTCGGTGTCTTCTCCAGAAGCAACCTGCTGTTCCTGTTGCTGATCGTTGACGTTGATTTCGGGAGTATTTGTGTTGTCTGTGGTGGAGAGCCGAGGATCGGAGGACTCCTGCAGAGCGGAATTGCTCGCATCGGACACAGAGCCAGGCTCCTGATCCGCCTTTTGGTCCTGCTGGTGACGTTCCAGCTCTTCCACAATGCTGGTTCGGTGCATATGGGAAGGGTTTCGGACGAGCCCCGGCACCGCAAGGGGGATGTTGCTATCGAACGGCGGGGCGGCTAGCACGGCATTTTGTTGTATAGGCGACGAAAACGGCGTGGATGGCATTAGGTGTCCGCTGTGCTGTTTTGGTGCTGTTCTGGTATGAATGGCTGTAGCCAGGTTAAGGTTGAAGGTGTTCACCAACTGCATGCATCTAAACCTGGGAGATGAGAGAATACCTTACAGTACCAACTGCCCTCTTACGGTTTGGCAGTAGCTGTGAGGAGGAACATCCATCGTAGACAGAGGGCTGTTTATATATAGAGGAATTGCCCAATGATGATATATCGCGTGCTGTATGTGGAACAGATGTGTGGAACCAAATGTCCAATCGAAGGCAACACCTTTGTTCAGCTTGACAGACCCCATAATAACTGCTGTGTGCCGTATATATACAAACTGTACACACACTTGGGTGGTCTCCCTCTACTAACTGCGCAATTGTCAGCTGCAAAAACCCACGTTGTTCACAATGTTCACATTGTTCTTGGCGTTTTTCAATTTAACTCAAATGATTATATAACCGACCCTTTTCCCTGTCCGGTGGCGACTGTGGAGTGGCAAATATCCTGTGCGGGTGTGTGTCTGCTCCATGAAGGGCCAAAAATAGCTCTGCTTTTTGTTCTGACCGATTGAAACAAGCAGGCTGTCGAATATGGAGATAATTTAGATATTGAGAGTCTTTGATTGCCGGAGCAACGCAAACCACGGAAGTAAACATCAAGTAGGATGGAAAGGAGGGAGTAGCGGGCTAGCAAGGGCGGTCAGCAGTGTTAATGCCGCCACGAGCAAAATGCACTCCTCATAATCGTGCCACGTGACCTTCTCATCCACATACACGCCCCCCCCCACACCCAGCATCTCTACTTGTAGACCCTGGACTCAAGTGTAACCTTGGGTTGCCTTGTTGGCTTGGGACACGGAATTAGAGCAAGAAACGCACATACTGTAGCCGGTGTGCACGCAACACACATGTATATAAGACCGTGCGTGTTGTAACTACCATTACGTCACTGGCGGGTGTGTAAGAATGCAGTGATATGGATGAATGAAGAGACGATGGAGCGTAACAGATTATATATATCTATACCAGTCTGGCGGGGTCACACCACCCGCGGCTTGGCACCCAAAGTCATTGATACTATACCTTTGTACCATGGCCTCTCAGGTCTAGCCACTCCCAATGCACCAAACCTGTGTCCCTCCTGCATAGCCCCAACCCACAGTCATAACAGCTCATCAACTACGTTGGTTGTAATAAGCACACTTCACCGGTCTGCCTACAAAACCACGACACAGCATACCTCTTAGCTGAGCGAGCAATTGCAGGCGGTGCACACACGACATCCACAACATGACGCACAAAGAGGCTCCGCCGGGAGCATATCCTCCGGGCACCCAGCTCACGGTGGGATCGCATGCCGTGACCATCAAAAAATACATCTCCGAGGGCGGCTTTGCGCATGTGTATACGTGCGACATTTCGCCCGACTTTCGCGGCTCCAGCGTGGCCTGTCTGAAGCGGGTTGCCGTCCCCGACAAGCCCAGTTTGAATCTGCTTCGATGCGAGGTGGACGCCATGGTGAGTAGCATTAGGGGGGTGATGAAAGCAGAATGTGGGCAGCGTGGGTTGGAACATCGTGGGTAGGGTCAGCGATGGCGATTACCGTGAATGAGTGATGAAGGGGTGACAAACGTCTGAGTAAATGAACCGCTGAACGACCGAGTGGTTTTTTAATGACAAGAACTGCTTCAGATGCCTGGATAACGACCACGGACCGACAATGGGGGTTACAAGAACGATGGTATTTGGAACACAACCGCTGCCACCAACTGTTGCCACTACACAACGCTGTTTCCATCCGCTCTCACTCAACGCACCACACACAACGCTGTCACCAACATATCTGTTACACTACATACTAACCCAGAAACGACTGGCAGGAAACGAATACATTGTGCAGTACATCGACTCGCACGCAGCCCGCAACTCCAACGGCCCCGGCTACGAGGTCTTCCTGCTCATGGAGTACTGCTCACGAAACGGCCTGATTGACTTTATGAACGAGCGGCTACGAGAGCGGCTGTCTGAGGCCGAAGTGCTCACCATCGGCAGCAACATTGCCGAGGCCGTCTTCTGCATGCACTATCTGGACCAACCGCTACTGCATCGAGATCTCAAGATTGAAAATGTTCTTATCAGCGGCGACGGCAAGTTCAAGCTGTGTGACTTTGGATCCGTTTCCCCAGTGCTGCGGCCACCACGAAACCAGATGGAGTTCCGCATTCTGGACGACGATATCCAGCGACACACAACCGTTCAGTACCGAGCGCCCGAGATGATTGACATTATGCGGGGCTTCCCCATTGACGAAAAGTCCGACATTTGGGCTCTGGGAGTCTTCTTTTACAAGCTGTGCTACTACATCACACCCTTTGAACAGCAGGGTCAGCTGGCGGTGCTCAACGCGCAGTTTTCGTTCCCGCAACAGCCACACTACTCGGATGGCCTGAAACACCTCATCAGCGTGCTTCTACGAGAAGACCCCCGAAACCGGCCAAACGTTTACCAGACCATCCAGGAGCTGTGTCGACTGCGCAACGTGCCTGTGCCCGAACACATCACACAGACGTACTACAAACGCAAGGAGGAGCGAAGGCTGGCGTTAGAACAGTGTCAGCCTATGGGACAGCCTGCAGGATCTGTGCAGCAGCCCTCTTCTTCGGCTATTCCTTCTCCTCCAGTCCAGCCTTCTCCTCCCCTGCTGGCCCAACAAGCCTCGGCTGTGGTTGGAGCTGGAGCTGGAGCTGTTCCAGTGCAGGCATCTTCACAGCTGGAGGTCCCCGCGGGACATTCTCGGAATGCAAGCCAAAGCAGTCTGGAGGCGTTTGATCCCGATGAGGCCGCAGCCCGGTACCCTACAGTGGAGGAAATCACGCGGTCGTTGGAAAGCAACAATCTGTGGGATATGCCACCGTCGCGAGGCGTGTCTGAGCATGCTTCTGCACGAGCCACCCGGGACAATTCGTACGACATTTCTCGAAACTCAGTGCCTCCTGCTACTTCAGCCCCCGCACCCGTGCCGTCCATGCCTGTTCCTCCGGTACAAGACACACCCCAACTGTCTCCCCAGACGGCACCCGCTTCTCTTTCCAACAACATCAACATCAACAGCAACAGCAACAGCAACAACAACGACGTCTCTGCGCCTGTGAACATTCCATCGTTCAAAGCCAAGAGTGCATCTCCCCCTGTCCAGTCATACAAATCCAACAATCCATACCTTGAGGATGCGGCAGCCAAGTACTCCGCTGCCGCCTCTGCCGAATCGTCTACCCACCTGGCAGGAGTTACTGTGTCTTCCGAATCGTCCGATGACGGAGGATACTACCAGCCGAAGGTTGATCGAAGTTATCGGGATGAGTTTTCTGCCCCAGTGTCATCTGCAGCGACACCTATGGCTGTTCCGGTGGCTACTGCTTCTGCTGCTGCTGCTAAACCTCCCAAGCCTCTGCCCCAAATTCCGGTTCAAGCTTCGCCCACCAACACCATGCCTCCTCCTCGAAAACCTGCCCGGCCAAACTCCCTGTACATGCGACAAAACTCGTCACGTGCGTCCATCGTGTCCGATCATGGAGGTGAGGACGTGCCCCAGTTCCAGTACACGGACTACTCAGGTACTGCCCCCACTGTAGCTACCGGGAAGCCGCTCAACGACCACGACGAGCTGCAGGCCATTCTCACCGGTCTTTCGGAGCACGAAACCACCGTAGTGTTGGACGACCGCACACACCACCACATTGACTCGTCTGTGGACTTTCTGCAGGACCAGCAGCATCGCGAGGGCAGCAGCAGCTGGAAGCTGTTCCGCAGCCTCAGCAGCGGCTCCAAACAGGACCTGTCGTCACCCCAGGGTTCCCACGACCATAGACGACGGCGCAGCATCAACAAGATGCTCCACCGACACCACCGACACAAGCGAGAGAGCCAGGAGTACGGCGGCAACACGGACACCGACGAAGACAGTGCCGACGAACATATGCCCACCATGGAAAAGGCCTTCAATCTGAATGTACCCAAGCGCAACAATCGGTGGAGCAAGTCGTTTGAGTCGCTGAGCAAGCAGGAGGGCGTGTCTGACGACGAGGATCACCTGCCCGAGCGACGGTCACGCCGGTCCATGGACGAGCGCCATTCACGACACGACACTTCTGCTACTTCAAGGAGCAGAGACGGAGGTCGAAAGTCACTAGACGCGCAGCGGTTCGAGATGCGCCAAGAGGAGCTGCGAGCCCATGCCAAGGCCAATGTTGCTAATGCGGCTGGTGGCTCGTCTTCTTCTTCTTCGGCCGCTCAGGCTGCTGCCCCAAGCTGCCGCTTCCAAAGCTGCCACCTCCCCCCCAGTGACCCGAAAAAGTCTGGATCTCAGCCGAGTGGAGTCGCGGGTGGACGAAGACAGCGGCAGTAGTCGATCACGTGAGCGGGAGCATCACAAACACAAGCGGTTCTCGCGAAGCGGCTCGATCCAGGGTCGGATTCATGCTCTTATCAACCGACGACCCTCGCCTCCCCGAAAAACCGCCTCTGGGTACGGCAAGTACACCGAGAGTGAGTCTGACGGTGGCGGCGAAGATGGGGGACTAGCCCCAACAAAATCGGTGCCTGCGCGTGTTAACACGGCTCCTGCTCGAAGTGCACCTCCCATTCGAGTGTCGACTGACGAGCGAGCTCCTCCGCCGCGACCTTCGCCCAAGCCAGTGCATCTGCAGTCGCCCAAGTTGTCGACTGCTCCTGATAAGCCTGATCTGCCCCCTCGAAAGCCCGTCCGAGTCATGACCGAGGACGATGACTGGAAGGCCAATTTTAATGAGAAGTATCCTTCGTTAGGATGAAGATTGAGGATGACACGAAACAATCATATAGAGCATAAACCGATTATTAATGACGAGCGTAGGGAATCAATGATGGAGGTGAATTGCAGTTTTAGCGTGAGCTTGCTGACCATGAAGGGATTTTAGCACCATTAGAACCCGTAAACATGCCATCTCGGGGGACTGACATTATCTCTTCCCATGGTATACTCGTATTTAGCATATGTTTGCTTATATTTGTGATATATTAGTAGATAAATATTAGATACATTACATGTTGTACACCGATGTTAGATTGTTGACATCGTCTAGACGTCTTTCACAACAGACTGATCTTCCTGATCTTCTTCGGCTGTGATGTCTTCAGTCTCTTCAATCACCTCTGCTTCAACTTCCTCCTCTTCTGAAATGGCCTGAACACCATGGACACCCACTTGATACACACAAGTAAACCTGTCATGGCCCCAGTTTTCAACAAACTCGAAAATGGTCTCCTCAGTCTGGATTTCGAGGTTGCGGATGTTCTGGGGCACTGGGTACCATGAATTGGCATTCTCGGCAGGGTCGAATTCGTACTGGCCGACCAGAATGTAGTCCCAAGGAATGTTGTAAGGGCGGTACGCTTCAGACGCAGTGTTGATCTGGTCTCTGAGCTTGGAGTCGTCTACCTTGATCCAGATATTGAAGAACCGCGGGGCTGAACCCAGGAACATGTCGTCGGCTGCCACTGCGTGTCGTAGAGAGAACGAAGTGGGCACCATTTTGGCGGCCAGCTTGACTGCCAGTTGGCCCCTTCGTCCATTGAAAGGCCAGCAGCTTCCTCCAGACATGTCCCCAATGAGAGCCACCCAGGGTCTTCGGACGAGAGGCTTTCCAATGCCCATAGTAGAGAGAGATCTTCGGAATGCCCAGTACACGGGGTTACTTCCACTCCAGGGATCATAGAGAGCAGTGGTGCGTTCTGTATCTATTCGAGCCCCGTTGATCAGCGAGGCAAAGTTAATGATTTTCTCTGCAACCCCCTCTTCTCTAGGTGTTCGAGATGTGGAAGTTTTGTTGGCCTCAACCTGAGCCACCTCACTCTCGATATGGCGGATGTTTGACTGAATGTGGTCCACCTCCGATTTGACTTGGCCAACCTCTGACTTGACTTGTGCGACTTCTGTTTCCACCTTTCCAACCTTGGCATCCACATGGCTCTTCACCTGTCCAATCTCTTCATTTAGAACTGTTTTGAGCTCGTCGGGGTTAACAAACAGAGACTCCAAGTCCAATTCAGCCACCTTTTGAGCCACAGCTTTGGAAATGAGAGCAGAGAAGTCAACCGTGTCGTTAGTGGCATGTTTAGAGGAAGAAACAATCTCCAGAACTTCGGCCTTGATTTCTGGAACAATAGAGGCAATGTAATCTTCAAATTGGTGTTTGGTATCGATGAATAAATCAGGCCGGTTCTCTGGCACAGCCTTCTCAATGGCCTCAGTGACTAGCTGAGTGATATGTTTGGAGTCCAGCTTCCTTTGTTTCTCCAGATCAGCAGCCAATCTTGTCAAGTCTCCATCAATTCGTTCAACAGTGCCTCCCAGAATAGCCAGAGCAGGCGTGGTATCCATTTCATTCGACTTGATGGCATTGATTGCCTCTCGTTGTCTGACGAGCTGCTGCTTGAGCGATTCCAGCTCCGAAACACACTTCTTCTGAGTATCGGAGAAGGCGCTGTTGTCGTCCAGAAGAAGCCGGGTATCTTTTGTGATTTTCTCCATGGACTTTCCCAGCTTTCGTGCCTCCACATCAATTCCTCCAAGCGCCTTCTCCACGGACTCCACCTTTGAGGGAAGCTCCTTAATGACCACCTTGTTGATTGAGATCCATTCAGAAGAGCTATCTGAATCCGAACCAACGCGAGACAGCTCAGATTCGAGTCTCTGTAGTCGGCTAGACAGCTCGGAGATGTCTTGTGGTGGTTCGACCGGAGGCTCGAATGCTGGGATCTTGTTGTTGTTGCCGATACCAGGTAACGAAACATGCGTAGCGACGTAGTAGAAGAATGCCGCAGCCAGGAGAGCCTTGACGGCAGGAGTGACGCCCTTGCGCAACGCGTCCCCCGTGTACTCGGCCCCTTTTAAGGCCAGTTCTTGAATTGTGTTCACGAGAGATGCTTTGTCTTCCTGCTGTAGCCCATGTTCCTCCTCTTCAGAGATGTCCATCTCCGTGAGCATCTGGGTCACCTTTTCGGGATCTGATTGCAGCAAATCGAACAAGGCCTGCTCCTCACTGTAGTCATAAAAATCCTGATGTCGCTTGGATCCGTCTAACGACAGTTCGGACGAGTTGTGTGGTTGCCTGGGGCTTCTATTTCCTTCCAGAGTCGACGTTTGAGGGTCGTGTTTTTCGGTCTCTGTTTGCCATTGCACGCTCTTACGCGACTTGAGGCCACCAGCGTGTCTGTCTCTACTCTTGGATCGTAACGGCGTATTTGAGAACATTTTCCAAGGGCATGCTATTGTATCGTATGTGCTGTGAAATATATTTTGGAAACGCGTTTACCATCTCGCGTATGCAGGAAATGCACATGTTGATGTCATGTGATCGGGAGGATCTATATAGGGAAAACAGAAGAAGTCCGTGAGTGAGAAGTACGAGAAGCGCGTGAAAAAATCAATGAACAGGTGGGTGCCGATTTCCTGAATTTTGCGTGGAATTTTTTGGGGCCAGTTATTAACAAATTAACCGGAGTTTGTTGACTTATTAGTTGGAAATTTACTTGGTGCCTTCATGGTGATCCAGCATCCAGCATCGTAGTGCGTATTTGGAATAGAACGCGTCATGGGCCAATGGCGGATAAAGGAACCATGTATAACAACAGAAACTAAAGAGCGTTCATCTGGAGACTCGTTTTCCACTTCAGTAGCACGACAAGTCCGTTTTGTTATGTTGTCCACCACTACTTATACTTGTACTTGTAGCTACAGCATCTCCTCTCCTCATCCCACTGATCTCGAAGGAGTACCCCATATTTTGGCACACTAACAGCTGCAACGATGATTCATACAAGCCATAAAGGCTACCAAACACAACTGGAGCCTTCTGCTAGTATGTCCCCCCGCATAAACTGTCTTATATACGACTTTCATAGCTATCGTCATCTGTTTTGTTTCACTCGTCTCACTGGGAAGTTGGAAGTTAGTGGGATGCAAACAGGCTGGTACAAGTTGCGTATTATACTGCTGTAGGACGCCTAAAGCACATCAGATGCGTACACACGGCATAGGAACTGCCTGCGGGCTTATCGGCGGCATCGTAGCGCTCCAATTTGACCCTTTTCTTCCCCGCCTTCAACGGGTCGCACTTCTTGCCCCTGTGCATTCCCAAACAGCACTGGCTGAGAGGTTAACTCGAGGCGAGTGCGAAATTGCCATCAAGTGACCAAGCCACAATGTAACAAGGAGATCGGCTGTATACACGTGTGAGATGGATGGAGTCGTTACACGGACGGACGACGTCGGGACACGACAACGACTGGATTCGCATTGTGGCCCTTCATCTCATGCGCCACATCGTTTCCGTTTCATCTCCACGATATCCACTTCACTGCATCTTTTCATGCACACACCCGAGTAACCGCCCTGAGTCATGTACGAGTATGTCATCATCACTCGGATACAACTGGCGCACGGCACAAGGTTTGTTCGGTTGTTATTAATTAGGGATGGCATCATTGGAGAGGAGTGATAAGCCACAGCCCGCAGCAACAACGATGGTAAACAGAGCATGTCACGTGTTATCGATCGATTATCGTAGTCCGAGCACTTGGCGGCCCATATATCGACACTTTGGCCCCCCCCACGCAAGGTGGTTGTATCTGTTCTTGGACGTGACACGGGCTTGTTGCTCAGGAATAACTTTACTAAAAAACTGCAGTGCATTGTTTGAGGTAACGTGACCTAACATCATCTCGTTTTACCCGTTTGGGAAGCCAAAATTTTAGGGGAAAGATAAGTGGTTGATAAGGAAGAGCGCTCCCACATTCTCAAGCAAGGACAGCAAATGGCACAGTGAAGATTCGCAACTACTTCTACACAGACACAAATGCTACACGAGACTCATCCTTCGCCCGACTATACCAGTATGGGCTCTCAAAGTCGACGCCAGTCTCACAACGGAGGATCGGTTCTGGAGTTGCGACCCACGCTTTCCGGCTCCAGTGGAATCATTGATGAATTCGACGCGTCCGCCAAAAAACATAACAACAAGAAGAGCCGCGCGCTAAGACGCCGTCGGTGGCGAGTGGGTCTGATTCTGCTGGGATTGGTGGTGCTTTTGTGGGTGGCTTCTGGCTTTCTGGTCAACTCGATCTTCTCCACAGGAGAGTACCCCAAGCCCTACTTCCTCACATATATGAACACTGCGGTTTTCAGCGTTTATTTGATTCCCACCATGTTCCGCAAGGTGCGCGGCAACAAAACAGCGACCCCCGAGTACTCGGTCATTGATGAAAACTCGGACGAGTCGCCCAAACTCACTCCGTTCAAGTCCGTGGAACAACTCACAGGACAGGACGAGGACGAGCTACTGAGCACCAAACAGACGGCCATTCTCTCGCTCCAGTTTTGCATACTCTGGTTCTTCTCCAACTTCCTCACAAACGCCTCTCTCAAATACACTAGCGTCAGCTCGCAGACAATTCTGTCATGCACGTCAAGCTTTTTCACCCTGGTGATTGGATCTGCATTCGGCGTCGAGGCCTTCACAGCCACCAAGCTTCTGGCCCTGGTGTTCAGCATGTGCGGCGTGTTTCTCGTCTCCAAGGCCGATTCCGTCGCTACTCAGACCAGAATGGGTGTCCAGACCAGCGACATTGTTTTTGGGGATCTTCTGGCGCTGGCTGGAGCGGTGGTTTACGGGTTCTACATGACACTGCTCAAGGTTAAGGTCGGGGACGAGTCTCGAATCAACACAAAGATGTTTTTGGGCTTTGTGGGTCTGTTCAACATTCTCCTGTTGTGGCCCACCATCCCTCTTTTGGACTACCTTGGAGTGGAGAAGTTTGGTCTGCCCCAAACGGAGAAAGTGTGGCTCATAGTGCTGGCCAACGCCGCTGCTACTCTGGTGTCCGACTTTTTCTGGGTGCTGGCCATGCTCATGACCTCGCCGCTGGTGGTCACCGTCGGCCTAGGGGCCACCGTGCCTCTGGCCATGGCAGGCGACCTGTTTATCAAACGGTCGCTGCCCTCACTAACATACGTTTTTGGCGCTATTATTCTGTGTCTGTCCTTTGTCGTCATCAATAGACAAGACGAGGACGAGTTGATGGACGACGATGAAGAGTAGTGCTAGCATGATTGCATTTATTTATTAATTTTATGACCTGAAACCTGAGGTGGTTGCAAGTACCAGCACACTGTAGATCGAACGAACTTGCGGGACATAGCCTTCAAGCTTGATAATGATAGAGATAAGAAACAAAGTGTATCGAAATGAGAGTCCTGCCAAGAAGCATATCGCACGAGTCGTGTGATCGAGATGCCTCGATTGTGCTCTCAATGCAGGGGTTAACGAGTGAGTTGAATACTCATGTCGAACACGCAGTGTTACCTGGAAGTTGATATAGAAGTGTTACCGGAGTAACAACAACAGGCATGGAGCTCTTTAGTAGATGGGCACGTGCCACTTGCCCCTTGGAAACAACATTTAAATCCCAATTTTTTTACTTGTAGCAACACAATCGCTATAGTTCCACTCTGCTTATCAAAATCATATCTCATTGGTAAATAGTCTACATGTCTAAACTACCAGCCTACCACAAAGGAGTAAGACCCTCCCAGTTGCCCTGCTTTCGTCGGTTCCAGTAGTTGTTGGGACCCTTGGTAAGCAGGTACAGATCGCCCTGCTCGTTGACTCCGTCCAAACCAGACGACTTTTCGAAAAAGGTGGGCTTGTACGTCTTACCCGAGTCCTGTAGCACCTTTCGTCGCTCCCGCTGCTTCTCCTCCAGCTCCTGTTTGCCGGCCTCGGCCTTGTCGGTCTGGCCAGCCTCGTACTCCTTCTGGTCGGGTCGGAACCGCGAGTCGTAAGGGGAAGCGTGTCCTTTTTCGATGGGGGTGACCTCGTTGAGACCGGCGGTGAACTCGGTGAAACCCCACTTCTTGGTGTGGTTGTTGACGAGGTTGCCGACCTTCCAGATGGTCTTCTTCTGACCCTTGGCGTTGTTGAGGGTGATCTGCTCGGTCCACTTACCGGAGGCGAAGCAGGGCAGGTTAGAACCATTAGCTGAAACAGCCTTGATGTTGAGCTCTTCGCTTCGACCGGAGAACATTCCTCCGGCCTTGAACTCGACAATGGCCTTCTCTCCGGTGGAAGAGAAGATGGTGAAGTCGCCAACAGGCTCGGTGTACTTCTCACCAGCCATGATGTTTCGCAGGTACGTGGTGGGGTTGCTCCAGTGGAAAACCTCGCCGGACTGTCGGAACTTAACGACGATAGGGCCCAGGTAGTTAATTTCCATCGACTTACCCCAGAACTTCTGCACGGGCTCAGACGAGTGGGCCACAGACCAGCCATGCTCGGAGTCTACATGCAGAGCCATAACGGGAGGGTGATGACACACTTTTTCAGAGATGAGTCTGTAACCGAGATCGGGTCGAACCAGCTCATAGGTCTCTCCAAGAAGAGGGTTGAAAGGCTTTCGGAGAGCTCGCTCCTTAGCTCGCATGGAGGCGAGGTAGGAGACAGCCCAGGTGGCCACGTAGATGATTCGCTCTCCGTCATTGGCAGGCACGTTTTCAGCCTCGTCCAGCAGCTGGGGGTACTCGAACATCTCGGCGAATCTCTGTAGAGCAGAAATAGGCTCGTTGGTGGTGATGGGGACGGCCATGGAGCCCATATCCTTGCCGACACTCTTCTTGAGGATACCCAACATGGAAGGGGGGGTGGAAGCAGCATCAGGAAGAGTGACTCGGTGCTTGACCGGCTGAACCTCATGCAGTGGGTACAGATCATCAGCGTCATCAGCATCATGGACAACAGGAGCAACATGGTGTCCCTCGTCCTCCTCGTCTGTGGAGTCGTGCTCAGCTCCGTCGTCATCGTCGTCAACAGCGTCGTCGTCCAGGAACACAACTCCGTCCTTGTCGGGGTTCTCCTCAGCGTCGTAGAAAGTGTCATGCTCGGACATGATGGAGCCGTTAAAGGACGCTCGCTTGGCCATGGGCTGTGAGTACATGGCGCTCTCATGAGCAACATGGGACACCACGTCGGTGAACTCGAGATACAGCGCTGCTAGGCGCGCATTGAGGTCCTTGGTCACGTTGGAAGCGCCGGGCTCCTGAGCAGCCACATCGGAAATATCCTTGGTCTCTCGTAGCTTGGCCACAAGCTGAGCAAACTTCTCCTGGTCAGGTGCGGTCACAGCAGCGACTGCGGGAACAGGTTCGTCAGCAGCTCCTCCGCTCTTGCCCTTTCTGATCCGCTCAAAGGTGTCGACCCAGATCTGCCAGTCGGCGTCGTTGAGGGCCTTGAGGTTCCACACCTCCATACCCGAGTCCACAAAGATGAGTCTCTGGGCCTTGGAGGCAGAGATGGCACACAAGGTCAGGGGCAGAGAGCCTCGCAACGAGTTGGACTTGGGGTCTGTGTAGTAATTGAGAATGGCCAGCTTGAGATCCAGAACAAAGTACCGTCGGGTGTATCCCTGGAGCTTCTTTCGTCGCTTTTTGAGCAGGATACCGGATACGGCGGTCTCGGAGACAAGGGTATGGGGAGCATTGTTAGCCGCATGTCCCTCTTCCATGGCCTGGACAGTGAAATGGACGGTTTTGGGTGTGGTTTTGGAGAAGGTGTTGTCGAACACAAGGGCGTAGATGCCTCCCTTTCCCTTGGGGACCTTGTAGACTCCCTCGGACTGTTCGTTGGCGTTGCACTTTTTGAGCGGCAGAACAGGGGACAATCCGCTTGATTCAAGTCGTTTTTCGATGGTTCCCGAGTGGGGAGCCGAGATGGAGGCTCGTCGGCCGGCATTGTGTCCTTCAGCCTCGATTTCGACCTGCAAGTTGTTGCTCCGCTCCTTCTCGAAGATGCCCACGTTGATGGACTTTTTCAGGGGGTGAACTTTGAAGGTGATGGCGGAGCCCTCGGGGGCAGTGACCCACTTGATGACAAACGACCGCGAGGCCACTTCGATGGTTTCCATGGCGAGACGGGTTGCAATATGGATTCGGTGGTTAGTTTGAAGGAGCGATTATGTCCTCGACATTATATTGCGGGTTTCAAAGTCTAATTACTGGTTTGCATGGCACATGCTGTTTGCAGGTGATAAACTGGGGATGTGGTGGGGGCTTAGTTAGAGACCATGTGTTGAGTGACGGGCCCTGTGGGATGAACAGTACCACGACTGTACTGCCGTTGCAGGCGAAGTGGCTTCTACATTTTAGCCAGGGCGATTACACTCACAATGTGACTACTGGAGCTGTACTTATTCCCCACCATCCCGCCAACAAGTGCCATAGTCCAACGAATACGGCCCTCGTGTTCGGGGCTTGTCAGGCTCGGTAACCCAACAAAGCAACTCTATTTGAGCGGGGGTACACCGAAGAGTCTCTTTTTGGCTTTTTGTCTGAATGTGAATATCAGGAACATAAAAGTGACGTAATTCACACGTCTACGACTTGATACAATGACATGGGGTGGGTTCACAATGCAACTGTCAGCGAACCCACCATTGTCTCACCCGAACACGCAAGGGGCCTCTCTTCTCCACACCTGCAGAAGCGGCTCGAAATAAAGAGATGATAATAATCGACACGGGAATAAATATTAGACGTGCTGTAAATCCGATTCTCTCAACTCCGACTGGAGCTGCATGCAATGGATCGACCTCTGAGCAGCCCGTTAGCTTAGACTGCTGCTGTCTGAGGAAGTGTCCACACAGCCATACAGAAAAGCATATATTCTGGGAAATGGCTTGTGGCTCTTTTCCCCGCAGACCAGGGCATGTGAGACTACAATTGTAGGACTCACTCAGACCATGGAGTTGATGCGAGCAAGCCGCGATTCCACCACCGCAAGCGTCTTGTTGACGCTCTCCAGACGGGCCTCTGCATCCCGGATCTGTGCAGATATGCTAGACACCGCCACCAGGTCCTTGGTGGTTTCCTGGTAGTGTTTTAGAGCTGTGTTAGTGGGAATGAGGGCCCAAGGTCCGATTGGACAATGCCCCATAACGGGTAAGTCATGTCGTATCTTATCGTATCGTATCGTGCTTGCCACAATCACGGTTAGCATTCGATAATTGGTCTGCACGGGCCGCATTGTTGCAAAGGGCGTCGCCATGGTGTCCCTCACTGAATAACCCTGCTCTTGATTGTAAACCACCCCCATGGTACAGTATTGTCAGAAACCACACAACCAAGCCTCTGTCCATGCATCACACCACACTCACATATGCTTAGGCCATGTAACACGGTGGAGAGCACCACCTGGGACTCGTGGATGGCGCGGATTTTCCAGGCTGTTGTGTCGATGGCCGGGTTCAGCGTGTTCTGAACCACCGTGTCCATGTCGCTGCGTAGTGACGCCAAGGCTTCCTCGTTTTCGAGAGACATTGTGTGTGCTAGTAAGTAGAGACAGGAATGATGAATTCGAGTGGTAAATTAATTAGAGATCGCGTACGTAGTGCTGTTAAGCCCTTACCCATGTCGTGCACCATCGCTGCTATCTGATGTTGGGGAGAACAGGAGATAGATATGGAAAATGACTCACGACTGAATAGAAAATGAATATCAGTTGCGACTCTGTGGTTTCATACACAATAACGCAGTTTTGTTGCATTGTTCCATGACCGGCCTTATCGTCGCTTTAGTTAGCTTTACTTGATCTTTGGTCAGCTTACTTGAATCTACAAGCAAGTAGTTTGGACCCACGCACCATAGGAGCCTTTGATCAGTACTCGTTACGACACCTAACAACTGCTTTAAAACAGCTTTGACAGTATTAATACATCCAAAATTCGCTATATACATTATTCCTGGACCTCGAGATCCTTGATGGACTCCTCTCTAAAATGGTCCTCCAGAGCCTCCAACACTGCATCCAGCTTCTTGCCCGACATGACCACGTCCAAGTTACCGCTGTACCCACATCGATGGTCCGTGACTCGGTTCTGATGGAAGTTGTATGTTCGGATCTTGTCAGATCGGTCGGTGGCAGACACCTGGCTGGTTCTTGCGTTCTTGCTCTTTGCAGCCTGTTCGCGTCGCTTCTGTTCAGCCAGACGGCCTCGGAGAATCATAAAGGCCATCTCCTTGTTCTGGCGTTGTGACCGCGAGTTCTGCATCACAACCATTGTCTTGGTGGGGATATGAACCAGTCGAACGGCCGACTCGGTCTTGTTAACATGCTGTCCTCCGGCTCCCTGAGCTCGCATGACATCGATTCGCACCTCGCCAGGAGCAAACTGAATGTCATCAGCAGCAACGGAACTCTCTGATATCTGGGGCAAAACGATAACAGCGGCAGCAGATGTGTGGACTCGTCCAGAAGACTCGGTGACAGGAACCCGCTGGACTCGATGAACTCCTCCCTCATGCTGAAGCATGTTGTAACTTCCCTCTCCGTCTACTGAAAGGATGACTTCAGTAATGCCACCCTTGTCGTTACGAGTCACGTTAGTAATCTGGTACGGCCAGCCCATCTCGTCGGCATAGCCAGTGTACATGTTCAGCAGGTTGTCGGTAAACAAACAGGCCTCTTCTCCTCCAATACCAGGGCGCATCTCGATGATACAGCCGATGTCGCCGTAAGGATGTGTGGGCAGAAGCAAAGTCTCGAGCTTCTTGATAGCCTTCTCAGCCTCAGCCTCGACGGTGGGGATCTCATCTTCAGCATCCTTTTTCAGCTCGGGATCATCGCACATGCTCATGAGCTCGTCGTACTGCACAATCGAGTTTCTGTACGAGTCCAGCTCGTGCGTCACCTGACCAAGCAAGTTGATTTTCGCAATGAGCTTCTTGTCCTTGAACTGGTCCTCGTTAGGGCTCGCCTGAAGAGCCTCGTACTCCTTGTTCATACTCTCTGCCTTGCCAAGCAGGATCGGATGCAGTTTTCGGACCGATGCTGGGTTAGTGGGGCTGTCTTGGGGTGTGGGAAGACACGTAAAAGAACACACTCACTGATGCTGGTGGTGTGGAACAGCCGGACAGACCGCTGCGCCATCCATGGTGCTTTCAACGCCCATCGCAGTTGCATGTTGGTATGATGAATATTCAGAGGTGAAATTTATAAACTTAAAAGTGAGAGAAAGAGAAGCGGGCAAGGAGGGAGTCGTGAAGTTGGTATTCGAGTTGACATATAGAATAGATATATATTGGGTTCGTGTTAGGTACTATTTTTCATTAGATTTCACTTTCAAGCTGTCTATTTCGTGGAGTAAAGAGGGAGTTGGGGGTTTCACGAAAGACTCCACAATATAGTAAGTATCAAGAAGCTTTCCCAACTAAAGCTGAGTACATCAAGGGCATGTTCAAATACCGATATCATTACATTATTGGCTGTTGGTTGGCCGGAGAACACTATCAATTGATTCACTAGCGATTAAGTGATCAGAAATTTTTAAGATCTTGTAATTACCACATCCAAGGAGCAAAATATGAAGTCCTCTTTATTCACACCATTGATCTAATTAACTCCGGCTGACTGCATAATCATGCACACCATTCCAGGTTCCTTAGCCTCCTCCACGCCACACCATGAACAGCTGGGAAGAAGCACTTTCAGTAGCTCTCGATAAAAGAGACGAGGGCGACCACTCAATGGCCGAGGTCTATCGGGCCTGTGAGTATCACACGTGGCCACATCGACCCTGGTACTTCTGCTAACACAGTCCACACAGCCGCTACCAGAGCAGTAGCCACCCCGTCCAGTTCGTCAGAGTGAGTATATCACTTTGATGAGACAGCTTCTCTGAAGTAACTAACACAGAAATAATGAGGAAGGCACGCATGACGTGAATCCGCGACTCAACAATCTCATGCAACTGAACGTGACCCATCGAACCAACGCCGAACGACTGGAGAAACATAACCGGGAGCTGGAAACGGCCCTTGCAAAGAAGACAGAAGAACACAAGGAGCAGGCAAAAGCGTTGTTACTGTTGCAGGACGACATGCTGGCAAACCAGATCCAACTGAATGTCCTGGAACAGAAAACCGAGGCTCTGCAACAGGAGAACGAAACTCTTGTTCAGAGACTGGTAGCCAAGGCTGCTGCTGATGCCGACAAGATGAACGATGCCAATGCGTTTCTCGAGAGGTGAGTATAGGAGGGCTTTTATGACGGTGTTGGGAGCTATTGGCGGTGGCGCGTGACGCTAGCAAACCGACAACGACGTTCCGGCCGCGTATATGATGTGATGATGACTACGTGACAGCTGCTACGGTGCATTCGATTGTTCGTCTACACGTACTCGTCTACCAACAATACTAATATACACTTATTTACTAACCCAGCCTTAATATCCACCCTTCGACAAAAACGCCTTGATGGCACTTCTGTCCACGGTCGAAATGTAATATGTTCCTCCTGCAGCCGTCCAGGAGACGGAGCCCGAGTAAAAGTCCAACTTTTGTACCTTCAAAATGTTGACAGGCGACTCAATGTTATGTTCGGAAATGACATGGCCTACTGGCACAAACGACTTGAGCGAAACAATCTTGCATCCCTCCTTGAGATCCAAAAACATGTCTAGCAAATGCGCGTTGAGAGTGCCGTCAAATGCATAGTTATTTACCAGCAATACATCTGCGCGAGAGATGGCCGAATGCACCTCGTCGTTATGCACAAAACTACTCGCCACCAAATGAATGTCTCCGGTCTTGATTCCAAACATCTTGGCCCGACTGTAAAGCTCTATTTTCTGCTTTTCTGCCAGACTCGAAGCGTTGGTCATCACTTCGCATCCCCAACTCTCGCAGCCCACCTCCAAAGCAGCCTGTAATGTGCAGTTTCCCACTCCCGATCCAAGGTCCACAAACACAGAACTGGGCTGCAAGTCTGTCTTCTGGAACACTGTGGACATGAATGGGGGCATGAGTTCGCCGTAGACGTTGTTGGAAAATGCCTTGTAGTCCCGTAGGCTTTTAGATTCCGGCGACACGATTCGGCTGTACACCTGGTTGAGTAGAAAGTATGCTAGGTCCTGAGGTACTGCAGTGAGCTGTTTGAGGTTGGCCAGAATGGCGCCCTCGGCTCGCTGTGTCTTCACCACCTCGTCAAACTCCTTCATGGAAGTCTTCATGCCTTCCAGATCGCCTCCCTCGTACGATCGTCTGAACCGTCTCATGATGCAGTCATCCATGACCGGATGTTTGATTTCCTCCGACGCGCCCTTGTCCACGAAATGCAGAGCTGTCATTTCCATAATGCTGAGAATCTCTCGCACGGGCTCAAACTCGCCGGGGACCTTGGGTTTGATGAGACTGTAGTCCTCGACGAAGTCACATGACAGTGCCCCCAGTTTCACCCGGTCACTGAGCGACTTGTCGGTCGACACGGGCTCGTAAATGTCCGTCATGCTCAAGTTGCCCGATTCGGAGGCGTTAGTGATGTGGATGGAGGTGGCGAGTTCGGCCGATCCAAAGCCAGCTGTCACAATATCTCGGGGCACGAGTTCATAGAGCCCCGGAGTTGAGAGAGAAGAGCTCACTTCACGCTCACTTTCTTCAGTGTCTACCTCGGACAACGAGCTCTTCGACAGCTGGTAAATGTTTGGCGTCTTTCGTCGACTTTTTCGAGGCGTCGAAGGCTTGGCTGCTGCTGTTGCTGCTGCTGCTGCTGTGGCGGGTGGAGGAGCCGTCTTACTAGGAGACGGCGATTTGGAAACCGACGTAACCACTGGCTTGCGGGTTTTGACCTTGGTCACTTTGCGTTTGACATCGGAAGACTTTGCTGTAGGGCCGCCGTTCTTCTTTCCGAGATGCGAGAAGAACATGATGCAAAAAAGATGGAGCGGAGCGAAGTGGATCGAGTATGATATAATTAAAGGCGAGATAGATCATGGTTCCGACTTTGGGAGAGACATGTCAAAAAGCTTAACCTAAAATTAAAGAATTTTAATTTTAGACACACTCCACACGGGACTCGAACCCGCAGTCTTCCGCTTAGGAGGCGGACGCCTTACCATTTGGCCAGTGGAGCCGGACTTGCTCCTCCCAAAACTCTACTTTTGCTAACATCTGTGGACACAGTCACGTGATCATAAAAGTTTTTGGAACGTCTCTAAAGGGTTCTGGGGATAAGACACTTACATATTAACGGCACCAGTCTATTATGTAAGAGGATTTCCACCCTCAACAGTTGCTTTATTGACTCTAGACCCTCTCACATGCTGAATATATGACGTTTTTGTTTTTGACGTTTTTTGGGATCCTCCCAGAGCTGTCATACCAGTGGGCGCTCGAAAAGTGTCATTGTGGCGCGCAAAGAAGGCAGGTGGAGTAGTTGGTCACTTAATTGTGGATAATAACACTAGAACATATATCTCGCCGTTCTTTTTAGCTCTTATTTGATACAAATAGTATCACTAATCAAAGGCTGAAATGAGCGTCTTTTCGTGACTGATGACGGACATCAATTCTGAGCTGAAATGCCTGATAAATGTCAATTGGAGTGATTGAGGGGTTTTTGTGTTACAGTAACCTGAGAAGCCCTTTACTTTACAATTACGTACCTACAGTAATGGTACTCGTACGCTCATACTAAACCGCCGAAATGATTATCCCGTGTTGGTTGGGGTTGGAGGTCATCTCCATTGTGAGTACAGTGCATGAGACATGTTTATGATGATGAGATGCCAAGTACGAGCAGAATGAGAGAGATGTCACGGGGAGATACAGTAGCTTGGTGGCGATGAGGGATATTGTTTTGTTTGCTGTCTCCTTCTGGTTTTCATCAATTGTTACTGTACTTCGACATTCCCCTTCCTGTCATGTCTATTTGTTTATGTTTGGCTGAATCAGGATTAAATTTACAGTGCTTGAATTCTGCAAACTTGTCAAAACTACTAAACTTCTGAAGCTCACCACAGGTGGACCCACAACAGCACCCAGTCGACAATATGGGGGTTGGCGAGTGAGTACAAAATGCGCAATCAAACCAATTACCAATGACTTTTACTGACTCAGCTTCTGGCAAGAAATCGAAGACTGTCGGGGAGCATACGAGACCCCCGAGTCTGGAGGAATCTCCCTAGAAGGATTTGGCAAGAAGTTTTACGAGAAACATGGTCGAGAACCGATTCTGGCCGTCGATCTGTACCTCACTTTTTTCCAGAACAGGGAAGCCATTGGGGGTAACAAAACCGCCCCCGTCGTCATGAACATGGCCGAATCTCAAAAGATCCAAAAGGCGTCCTTCTTCAACATCTGTTCCAACTTTCTGGAGGCCGGCATCAAGATCGTGCTTGTTTGTGATGGAAAAGACAAGCCTGCTGTCAAGCGACTCAAGAAACGGCCGAACTACACCAAGGAACAGGCTGAAATTACGGCTTTCAGAGAGATCGCTGCGTCACTAAGAATTCCAGTGGTGGATGCAGCTGGAGAAGGAGAGGCCCAGTGTGCTCATATGCAGAGGCATGGACCGGCTGACTTTGCATACACGGAGGACTCGGATGTGATTATTTTTGGAGCTCGAAAGATTGTCCGGAAGCTGAAGAAGACGAAAGAGAAGGCCAAGGGTAAGAATCCTTCTGAAGACAAGGACAGCGACAAGGAAAAGGACAAGAACGCTACCAAGTCTAAACAGAATGTGGATGGACGGTTTGCTATCTACGAGATGCCTGACGACCACAAGTGGGCTTCTCCATCCAAGCTGCTGTGTTACGCTATTTTACGAGGAGGAGATTACAGCACTGGAGGCAAATTCATTGCGGACGCATATGCTGGAGCTATTGCTCAGGGAGGAGATTGGGCCGAGAGGTTATACGAGATATCCAAACTTGATCCAAATAGCAACGTTGTTTTCGAGAGGCCAAAGAAGGAGAAACAGCTGCGCCTATGGGCCAAAGATCTGCAAGCAGAAATCGTCCAACCTCCTGTGCCAATAATGTCCAAGGATGGATCGAAGCTGCTCAAGAAGACTATCGTTCCCAGGAGTGACCTGTTCAAAAACATGGATAGGAACATTGGTAACAACGCTGTGGTTGTTGCTCCTGAGCTGGCAAACATTGAATCTTATGCTACTCCTAAGATTGTGAAGAGATATAACTTCACCACAGTTCCCGAGTTCACTCTTGATCACAAATTTTTCAGAGACTATGGTAAGGAGCTGGGTTGGATCACTAAAGAAGGTGACGATACTCTGTGGTTCAAACGAATGGCTCGTCCTCAAATGGTTCGTTATCTGAAGGATAACAACCACAGCAAGTATTTCAGGTTTGTCAACCAGCGTGACAAGTCATGCGATAAAGACGTCTATCTCATTGAGTACTGCCCCTACTACATTGTACAGTACCCCAATCACAAGTGCAGTCATTGTGGAGAAGATGCATGTCGTCGTATAAAGAGCTCTGTATCTGCCAGCATTCTGATGCAGAGCCAGTACGATTACAAGCAGGTCTATGTCGACCATTTGACCAAGCCAAGAGCAAAAAAGCCTCGAGCTAATAAGAAACACGCCAAGTCGTCTTCCTCGTCCTCCTGCGCCTCTATCACTTCATTCTTCACCGTCACTAAACCACTTGAGACTGCTTCTCCTCACAAGCATAATGAGACGACCATGCCACAGGCGATTTCTGATTCGGACGACATCATCATTGCCGACGAACCGTTTGCGCCAGTGATTGTATCTAGTCCCGAGGAGATTATGATCACAGATGAGAAGCCGGCTTCATATGATGGAAAGTTCGGTTATGGAGACGACTTCGACTGGGACTTAGCCATGGGAAAGACTTCTACCAGCAGTAAACCAGCCACAAAACAATCTGCGCTTCCTGGCTTGACCCGATCTGCTGCTGCTCTTTCACGGAAGCCAGCAAACAAAGTCGCCAAGAAGAAATCAGCTGGTGCAAGTCCCACGAAGGCCTCAAAGGCTAGAAAACAATCAACGCTCAGCTTCCTGTCTTCGAAAACATCGACGGTGGAAGGAGTTGGAAATGCCCCAGACAACCTGGGGGCTACCATAGTTCTCTCGGACACTGAAGAGTCGACCGAAGAAGATGTGCCAACAACAGTAAATCTCGATAGTTCACCTGTGAAGATTCAGAGAGCCACTCGAATTGGCACACGGGACTCTGACAATCAGTTCTCCCAGAACCTCCAAACCTTTACATCTTCCAATGATGGTTACTCTCAGCCTCTGCAGTCCTTTGCTTTTCCACCAGAACCGGAGTTGATTGAGTTGTCGGATTGATCGGTGGCTGCCTTTAGTCTTAACACATGCTGACGTTTACATGGCTCTTTTCAATCTCACTATGCATTGACTGTTGTCAGCCTGACTACTATTTCATCAGCTACAAGTACAAGTACACCGTCTGTCTGATGAAACTGTCGGAATGACTGATACGATCTCCACTTGTAACCATATACACATACTAACTAACTGATATCAATACATGACACTAACCTGTACTTGTAATCACCACCGATATCGCCCACCTCAACGCTTGCGTAATCGCACCTGTCACTGCACTGCCAAAAGCTGCGGTCTAGACCCTAATGTACGATAAAAAACGTGTTGATCAGATACGCTGGAGGGGAACTGTATGGCATGACGTCATAGCTCTCTTTTACCATGCATTTTTCACGCTCTTCACGCTGTCACTTTCCACATACAGTTCAATAATATTGCTTACAACTAAACTCAATCTGCTGTAGCTACGAGATGGGGGGCTACTATACGAAAAGAATACAGCAATGTGAACAAAAATCAATTCTCATACTTACAGTAAACAGTACATCGCCAATTTGACAGCATCATTGTTAGTCTACAAACTGGTCTTCGCCTAATAAAAAAGGTAGTAACGCTGCTATAATTTAGCATCCGTTTCAAATCTTAACTAGTGTTAGTAGGTGGATAAGGGGGGAACGAATGTCCGCTAGTCAAGTTTCTTGACTGGAACAAATTGTTTGAATACTCACGAGGAGCCCTTGGTGACAGGCCATTGGTACAGCTCGGTGCCGTTTCGCACGTAGCCTCGGTCTCGGAGCCACTGCTTGAGTCGCTCGGGGCCACGAGAGCCGTAGGCGTACTTCTCGGGCACAATGCTCTTGTCCTCGTCAATCTTGTGCAGCAGATCGGTGAAAATCTTCCAGGAAATGTCCAGCTCGTCGTTTCGCACAAAGTTGGTGTGGTCACCCTTGAGGCAGTCCAGAATGAGAGACTCGTAAGCCTCAGGGATTCGCACGTCCGAGTATCGTCGGTTGTAGGTCAGATCCAGGTCGGTGACAATGTTCTTGGCAGTAAGGCCAGGCAGCTTGGAGTTCATCTTCATGTAGATGGACTCGGAGGGCTGGATTCGGATGACGAGCTCATTTCGAGGCAGATGGTCCACAACGCCCTTGGTCACGTCTCGGAACTGCACTCGGATCTCGACCTTGCCCTCGTCCAGAGCCTTACCGGCTCGGAGGATGAAAGGAACACCCTCCCATCTGTCGTTGTGGATCTGGAGATGGAGAGCAGCAAAGGTCACAGCTCGGGAGTCATCGGGAACGCCATCGTCATCGGTGTATCCGGGCTTCTTTCCGTCTTCAGAGGGGCCGTACTGGCCGAGAATGACGTCGTCAATGTTGAGAATGTCGACACATCGGAGCACCTTGACCTTCTCATCTCGAATGTCCTCGGCGCCGAAAGTGACGGGTCGCTCCATGGCTAGAATGGACAGAACCTGCAACAGATGGTTCTGAATAACGTCTCGGATGATTCCAATGTCGTTGAAGTATCCACCTCGGCCCTCAGTGCCAAAGGGCTCCTTGAAGGAGATCTGGACGTTGGAAATGGTGTTCTTGTCCCACACGGCGGACAGGAACTGGTTGCCAAATCGCAGAATGTTGAGGTTCTTGACCATCTCCTTTCCGAGGTAGTGGTCGATTCGGAAGATCTCAGACTCCTTCCAGAGAGGAGCAAGGCCGTCCTGGAGCTCTCGTGACGAGGCCAGGTCGTGGCCAAAGGGCTTCTCGATGATGATTCGGGCCTTGCCCTCGCCGGGGTAGACATACTTCTTCAGACCGTTGGCAGCCTCAAGGAAGACGCTGGGGGGCAGAGCCAGGTAGAAAAGACGGTAGTGGGGCTCGGGCTTCTTCTTCTCAAACTCCTCAATCTTTTCATTCAGTCGCTGGTAGCCCTCGGCACCGTCGTAAGGGCCCTGGACGTAGCAGGTGTTCTCAAGGAACTTCTTGGCCTGCTCCTTGGACTGGTCGTCGGGGGTCTTGAAGTAGTGGCTGATTCGCTCGTGGTACTCCTCCTGAGTCATTTTCGACCGTGCGTAGCCGATGATTTCAACATTTTTGGGCAGCAGGCCGTTTCGGTAAAGGCCGAAGAGGGCGGGGAACTGGGGTTAGCTTTTGAAGACGGGTTGATATCAGGTTTCTGACATTTTTGAATTGAGTTTTGGGCACACTTGCTAGACGCCTTATTCGGAGCAGAAGTCTGTTGGGACTTGCTGCTGTTTTTCCGCTTTTATTGCTCGGATAGAGTGGGAGAGCGTAAAGACCACCTGTGCAAGGAACACGGTGGAATAAGCTGTGCCTTGCCACGGAACAATTGACTCTCACATACGCACGCACATCTGGGTGTCATGGTGATGGCGGTGTATGGTGGCAAAAGTTGGGGGTTCTGGGCTCAACAAGTCAACAAGTCAACGACTCGGCTAGCCAAGACCCATTGGGGCTCTCAACGAGTCAATTGAGTGGTCCAGAGCACAATCAGGTCCGTCGAATGTTCTCAGACTCTCCTACTCTTCAATTGACCTCAGTCTGGTTCAATACTCACGGTCTTCTTCTTAGCGAGGTCGCCGGAGGCTCCAAGAACCACAATGGTGGTTCCGTCGCCGAACTTGGGTAAGGTGCCAGTCATGGTGATGTATGTATGGTGAGTGTCTTGTGAGTGTGTATGTGTGTGTGTGTGTGGAGTGTGTGAGGATGCCTGGGCAAAAAAAAAAAGATTGGTGTTATATCGGTCCTTGGGGGTGCAGCAACCTTGGATATATATGCAGAGGGTGGTAAAAAACGCTTTCCTTTGTTAGCACGTCAGGGTAGTTTGGCAACGTTGGCACCCGAACTCTAAGCAGTGTGAAAGAGAAGCTGGACGGAGGGGGGTTGTTACTAACTAGTTGCACGTGTGCTACTGAGCTGTGGGAGGTTGAGGGTTACATTGGGGGTTGAGGGGACTTGGGAGGGGGGAAATGTGCTAAGAGAATGGCCCACCAGCGTGACTGGTGAACTATCGCACCCACAGTACGATACCTCGCCCGCCCCTCTTCCACCTAGGTTTCAAACCATTAAACTCGGCTCTGTTGCTGTGCTATGAAATAATGTAGCGGTCCAGACGTAGGGCTTATGCACGGGGCTGACTCACGTCACACAACAGAGTGCGACTATCTGATGGCGAAGAGGGGCTTGTCTGTCAATGAGTCAGTGGTTGTGGCGGGCAATACCGGCATTTGACGAAAACAACCGGCGCGACAAGGCGAGCCGAAACAACAAACATGAAATAAAGTCTACAAGTACCCCACAAAAAAGGCGACCGACCATGTTGCAATTGCTCAGTCTTTCTCGGTTGTACGATACAATAGACTCGCACACTCTACGTACAATACTGTATCTTGTGGCCGTTCTGCTCGCTCCTGCTGCTGTACTCTGGCACACCTCGACCCCCCACTGCCTTAGTAATACTCCGATAAGCTCATACATTAGCTGGTCTGTAGTGTTACCCACCGAGAACAGACAGACTGACTGGCCATGTACGAGCTCAGCCATTAGTGTAGCTCTGACTGCGGGCGATAATACCAGCCATTGACGGCCTCGAACCAACACTCGGTGCTCTCCTCCTGATCACCGCAGCCACTCCCCGGCATTCCAATATGCCCCTTTTGGCAGATTAACACGCATCCCCACAACCGAGGCTCCAGCCGCATGAACCTAGTCATACTTGCCACTCTATTTGGGCCAGCATGAAAGTTGGCGCTACTGCCAGTGCGACGCTTTGTAGGGACTGACGGGAGTAGCGGCGGGCTATTGCGTCATGTCGCTCAGATATGACAAGCCACAAAGTCAAGCCACACGCCATAATAAGCCCCATTGCGCCACCGTGCCACGGAGCCTAACTCCCCCGGCCTTTTGTTGAGCCTCTTTCGCCACGAGCTACTGCTCGACAGATGGGCCATTGGGGCGCCCACATACGTCTCCTTGGTACGACAACGTCAAACTTCAGCCGCCAGAGCGTGGCGCATGGGGAGAATGGAGGGCACGCAGTGATTCGATGTCGGGTCTCGTTATCAGATCTGACTAAGCAGCGATCGGCAGAGCGGATTCGGTCACCGATATTACCACCACCCATGCAGAACCGAGCAACCGACACCGATATTTTTGCTACACGTGTGCCCAATATGGTACAATAAATGCGGTACTTGTAAGAAAATTGTTGACCTGACGTCATATTGTCCCATTGTCAACAGCGACTATTGCGAGTACGAGTAGTACGAGCGATGAGGAGCATGTGGGAAGACGCCTAGAGAAGAGATATGTGCATTCCATAAACGGTCCCGGATATATAAAGCCTTGTTGGTACCGGCACTTGTACGTACCACTCATTTTCCTGTTCGTACGATACTTATTTACTTGCGCCCAACCTTTCCACGTCCCGCACTTTCACCGACACAGCACTCTTGCAGACCCCCCTATTCAGACTGCAATAAGGCCTCCGAAGATGATCTCTGTCCCTTATTTATGATTAGAGTGGAACGTACCTAATTTGAAGAGGATCATTAGGAGGATCCGACCACTTCAGTGTAGGAAGCGGTGCAGACGCTCCAGACTTTCCAGTTCCGTTCTGCCGAGTTTTCTGAGTCTACGACTGCTTTTATTTTCCAAAAACACCAACCACAGCACTTGGAAAAGACACATGCCCAAAGCCCCCCCCCCCCACACCCGTCTAAGACAACAACACAGCATAATCGGCCAGCCATAATACCTCTTGATAATACCCGTATCGGGGTATAGTGGGACCTAAAAGATAGATGGACACCCCAGCTCCAACCATATATATAATCCGTGGTGCAGTATCAGGCCCTTGATCATCTCCGCATTTACCCCGTACAGCCGTGCATCAATACACACATATTAAACACATTCAACAGGCACACATCCAAACCGGCACTTCTCCAATAGGCGCCCCCTTTCCTTCGGTACGACTTGTTGAAATGCCCTCGATCCTCATCATCAACCCCAATTCGTCGCAGTCCGTGACCCACGGACTCAAGGACATTCTTGACCCGCCCCACGACTTCACCTTCAAGTTTTTCACCTGTCCTTCCACCGGCCCAGACTCCATCAACGACTACACCACAGGCACCTTGTCGGCAGCAGCATGTCTTCCAGCTTTACTTCCAGTGCTCGACCAGCACGATGGATTCCTGGTGGCGTGTTTTTCCGACCATGCGCTCGTCAACATTCTTCGTGAACACACGAATCGGCCAGTTATGGGCATCTTCCAGGCCGCCATTCTGCACTCTCTCAGTCTCAATATGAGCGTGGGACTGCCAGATACAGGCAAGTTTGCCATTGTCACAACCGGCAGTCAGTGGGAACCTGTACTGGATCAGGCTGTGGGCCGTTACGTGCCTGCAAACACCTTTGTGGGCACATTTGGCACCGGGCTGGGAGTGCTGGAACTGCATCAGGCTGACACCTCGCTGGTCAACGAGAGAATCGCACAGGCCACCCTGGCGGCTCTAGACAAGGGGGCCACGGTCATCTGTCTGGGGTGCGCTGGTATGGCAGGCATGGAGGACGTGATCAGCTCGGTGGCTCCCCATGTCAAGGTTGTGGATGGAGTGGTTGCAGGCTGCGAGATTCTCGTTGGTCTCGTGAGAACCTACTATGATTAGCCGCAGTTCGGAGCTACGAAAACTACCCTGGTAGCAAAAAACAAAAACAAAAAACAAGTACTATTTATGCCTTAATATCAAGTGAAACAGCAGGCAGCAAGCAATATATCAGTAATCAGAAAAATAGTGACACATGTGTTTCACGCACTTGTACGAGTAGGTACCTGTATTACAACTTAGACCAGCCTAACCTCATTGAGAAGAAAGAGTGGAGATCTCAACACTATCGAGCCTCTAATATGAATAATTAATTTAGTCTATGCAATATTCTTTTTGAGCTGGTTCAACTTGAAAAGAGCTCCAATGAGAGTCGATTCAATCTGCTCAATTTCTCTGGCAGTCACACCTTCGAGTTCACTTAGGTGGTCAACAGCCTGATCGGTTTGAAGTGCCAGATCATCCAACCCTCCAACACACCGGCCAACCTCCACGTCTCGTATCTGAGACTCGACTTTGACAAGCTCCTGCAGACGAGGAGAAGATCTTCTAAGTGGCGAGGACTTGACTGGTGAAGCTGACAGTCGTCTGGACTTGTTGCGCCGAGGACCATCTTCAAACTCCAGCGAATCTGTTCTTCGTTTAGTGGGAGACATGTTGGGAGATACAGAGGGACTGGCGTCGCTCCTAGATGATGACTTTCGGCCTGCTCGTGTGGGCTTCTCAAGTTTCTGGCCGTGATAGAACACCTCCTGGCGAGTAGACACGAACTTGAAGAGCAGCATATTCATGACGGATTCGTCCAGAACGATCTGGGTGTCGTTGCCAAGCAACTCGTTCCAAAACGCAACCAAGGGAGCCTGTTTCTTCTTTAGTTCATCCTGGTACTCCTCGAACCAAGATGGGAAGATCTGGGTGACAAGCAGGTCCAAATACACTTTTGTTGTTAACATGGGCCCGTTCCGTAGCTTCCGCACAATGCTATCGCACAGAAACTTCCTGTGCTGTTCCGGAGTAGTTGAAATGGCCTGGATCACGACAGGCGCAAATCTGTAGAAGAAATAGGGCATGGAATGGTCTGGTAGAGTGTTCAGACACGTTCTGACGGCGTTGACAATCTCCGGTGTCGCCAGCTTGGAAGAAACTGCACCCAGATGCATGAAGTCCTTGGGAATGTCGGTTGTGAGAGATCGGAACATGGGTGAAGAAGTTCCTCGAGGCTTCTTGTCGATCAGCTCAATACCGAGAAGACATACCTGGGGCTGTAGCGACTCATCAATGATCTGCAGAAGAGGTTCAATGAGCACTTCCTGAGTAGACCCAAGGAAGGCATCCTTCCGAATCATCTCTGTAGCCGATTTGAGAATGGAAAACCATGTGTCCGGGTACGCAGGTCTGTTGGGGGAAGCCAGAATGGTGTAGATCCCCTTGGGAGACAGATTAGACATCTCCGGACCGTTGATATCTTCCCCGGTGTGGTCCAGAACAATCTTGTAAAGCGACTCGTGCCTGTGGGCGACCTTGGCTATGCTCTGGGTGAACTGGAACCGTCGAGCAGCGGTAGACAGCTGTGAATAGATATACTGGAGGTACTTCTTCGCCTCGGAGGGGATCTCTTCGGCGTCCACAAGTGTCTCGAACATGTATGCTGCGGGCGTAGTACCTTCAATGACCTTATCGATGCAGTGCGGAAGCCCTGCCACCGCGAAAACCGAGCTATAGAAAGCTTTATGGTCCAGAGGAGTCTTAGAGGTCATGTGACGATGTAGTTTGCAGGCTGACATGACAAAGCCAGACGTTTCCGGGCTGGGATGGATTTCCCTGGCGGCAGAGTGCGAGATGTTGTTCACCAGTGCCGACCAGACGGCCAGAAAACTGGGCCCAGAAGTATCCAAGGGAATTGTTTTGACAACGTCGATGATTTTGTCGTAGTTGGCCTTGACCCATCTGGGCGACAAAGATGTGAGGAGCTGACGAATGCTGGTGCTGAAAACTGGCTCTCTGTCCTTCTGGACCTTTTGGTCGTATCTCAAGAGGCACGCCAAAGAGGCACAGGCCACGTTGGCCAGAGAAGTATTGGCGCTCATAATTGCAAGAGTGGGTCGAATATAGGAGTCCCAGAGCAGTGAGTTTGCCTTCAGAGTCAACTGATTTGTTTCAAGAGGAACCAAAAGTGTGTTGAGTGTTTGGTTGAACAGAGAGAGGCACTGCTGATCCACCAGCTGGCTTCCAGTCTGGCCTAAGCTCTGGATGCACAGCAGCAGCGTATTGCCTGATCTGGTAGCAAGTGCTTGCAGACCGACAGGGTACTTGACCAAATGCTTCCGTGTGTGTGTGTGAACAACGTATCTACATGCCTTAAGAAGAGCGACATTGACAACAGACGCAGTTGCAGGCACGTTCATCCATTGAGGAAGCATGTTCCAACTATGGATGGATGACTCGGCGTCCATGGGAGCCATGAGCAGGGTCAGCCCCCAGAGCTCGTAAAGGGGGTCCTCTGCCGGACAGTCAGCCGCCGCCTGAAGAATCGTTTCGGCAAGTGTGTCCTTTGTTTTGAGCCAAGCAGGCAGTTGTGCGCCTTCGTTTCTGGCAATCTCGAGAGAGAAGGAAGAGGTGAGAATTCGGGTTGCCTTGGCTGTCAATCCCTTGCTGTTGGGTCCAGCAGCAATAATGAAATCGGACAGAACAGACAGAGCCTGGCTTCTGAGTCCAGATCGGCAATCCATGGACAAACAAAGAACTCGAGGAAGCCAGAGAGATGCATGTTGAAGAGCTCTAGCTGGGTGAACGACCGCCACAGTCTGATAGATTGACAGAACTTCGCTTGTGAGTGCCGTCGAGCTCTTTTTCTCGCTTCGAGACAGCTCTGTGTACAGCAGGGACGTTGTTTCCGGTGTAACAACGTTCTTGCACACTCGGTGGTGACTCAGAAGATGCAAGTAGCCGCCAAGGACAGATTTGGAGCAGTTGGAGTCGGAGATCTTGCTCAGACCCTGGTTCACGACCCAGTTGACAATGTCGGGGTCCACTGTTTCAGCCACATTCTGATCCACAAGAAGATAGGCCAGAAACCGCACTGCTTGGATGACTACTCGGGTGTCCAGGGCATTTTTGGACTTGTCGGCAGTCATAATGTCGTTCTTGGCGCACTCCGAGAGAACGCGGGCGTGTGATGCAAGACTCTTCATGTCGTCCTGAGAGACGTCTACTCTCAGAAAACTATTTAAACTGCTGTAGATTGAGAACCGTTGTCCTCCATCTCCAAAGCCAGAGTCATCAGGGCCTCCTAGTTGGTCGGTTTGAGTCAGCTTTCTGGTAGCGTTTGCCAGAGCACTCTTGAGGTTTTCACGAGTCATTTTCTGATCAAGAGGTTGACCATTTCTTTTCAGAATACCTCCAGTTGAAGTGGGAGTGTTGGGAGTCGATTGGAAGGTGAAAGAGACCTTCTTCTTGGGCGTGATAGCTTCTGAGCTGGGCTTGGATGTTCCGTTTGTGGTCTTGATGGGCTTGGGTTTCGTTTCGGCAGCTTCACAGGGCTCTTCCTCTTCGGTCTCCGTTCCTCGAGATCGGTCTGATTCTTCTTCGTTCTCGGTAGATGGTTCACACGATGAATTGTCGTCGACAGCCTCCGCGTCAGCGTCAGTTTTAACATCTATCTCCTCCCCCTCTGCCTCCTCAACCTCAATCTCTTCCTCCCCCTCTGCCTCGTCCTCCTCGTCCTCCGCGTCCTCCTCCCCCTCTTCAGCATCCTCGTCCTCATCCTCTTCTTTCTCTTCAGTCTCCTCCTCAACTTCCATGTCCTGATCACTGTCGCTCTCCTCCACCTCAATCACCTCAGCCACCTCCTCGACCTGTGTCTTGCGATGGGCATTTCGACTTCGGGTTCGGAAGTTGCCCACTGGGTTAGTCTTGCTCAGAATCATACTCGTGACATGTTGGCATCAACCACCACCCACCCAGATCACCAGCCACGTCTTCAGATCGAACCACCACCAGCCCAAATACGGGGTCACGTGGTTCGATCACGTGCTTTGGCCACGTGTTTTAGCCACATATCTCCCTCCCCATCTCTCTCATACTCACCCATACTCAACCAATTACCTAGCGAATTCACTGTGGAAAAAAATAACGTGGAGTGTGCAAGGCCCAAGCCTAAAAAAATCAATTAATCTGCATCGCGAGACGCGTTTTAAGGTTCTTAGTCACTTCACCAAGGGGCTGGTACGAGATACTACAAGTAGTAGTATTGCACTAACGGTGAGTATGGAGAGATGAAGAAGAAGAAGAAGTGCTTGAAAATGTTTCCAACTGTTTTCCAAAAAAGACCCTTGTCATTGTCGACTGCAAGTAGCCATTTTTCGCAAGTGTTGTCAAACTGCCCTTTTGGGAAGACTGTATTGCAAGGATGTGCTGATGTTGAACAGCCGGTAGGGCTCGTATGGGGATGTGAAAGACGTGTTTCTTGGGTCAAAAACACATCAACTCACTCAATCCTGTTGTTAAAATACTTTTGTGCCATAGTAAGAGCCTTTGGCCGTGTTGTTAAGTCGCCTATCCACTCCAGATACAGGAAATTACTAATACTGTACGTACCATTACTAATACAAGTACAAGTACTTGCACAAATGCCTTGGAGAGAGTCGAAATCAGATCAATTCAGAATCAATTGCAGAACCCTCGGGAAGCCAGCCTCTCTTTCCTAAACGCAGGCTGCCAACTGCGTTGTGCTATTGCATTGTCCGAACCCCCCACGGAACTCTGGGTTTGAGTTTTAAAGAGCCATTTAGTTGACCCGCTCAAGAATCCTAACTGTAAATAGAACGGCATATGGACCGGATCGGAGTTGGAGTATTACTTGTAGTCAGAAGAAAGGCATGAGTCTAGAAGGAGGGAAGTTGATTGATTGTTTGCTTTTTGTACAAGTGGAAGCTTCGGTAAGGCCGAGAACTCCTTTGTTCAGGAGGGTACAAGTACAAGTATGCCTTTTGTCTGTTGGAGCATCTGTTTAAGGGCTCTATAGGTAGACCGGTAGACCGGTGTAATCTTTGGCTGTTATTCTAGACGTTTTGAAACAAAGACTTCGCAAAGAGTGCAGTTTGTCGATTTGACAACCCAGGCTGAGGTATTCATGCTTGTATTTTCCCTCCATTGTATGTACCAGTACTTGTTGAACTACAAGCATCTTACTTGTACGCAGTCAAGTCTCACCGAGTACAACTGATTAATACACATTCCAAGTAGGACAAAACATTGAAAAATGATTGAGACACTAGCTAACGAGATTTTCAGAGAGGGGGACCCCAGAGAAGTGCCTTGTTCCTGAATATATGGAAATAACGAACAAATAACGATGGTGGGACTCGGGCATACCTAACCGGTTCCTATAGCTAGCTGTTTTATTTAAACGAATATCAAGTTCCGACATTGGGACTTCAATGCCCAGCTGTTCTATGGATCATTAACAACCATGGAGACTACCACTACCAACTACCCTAGTCTGTGTTTGAGATGAAAGGCTGGCCTGAAGCATAGAGAGCCATGTCGTCTCACCCCAGGAAGACATTGTTTGGTCACTCAAGTCATAAAAAACTTCAAAAGTGGACACTCCACTAGGAACCAGCCATCTAGAATCTGGTGGCTACCTTTTACACTCAACAACCCAAATCAATACGGTCGTATAGAGCAATTACTCTCCTTAACCAACCATGATAAGTTCTTCCCGAGCAACCAATGAGAAGCTGACAAACGTATACAAGATAATAGTGCCGACATTTATAAATTTTGTCGGAGAACTCTCCGTACTGCACCAGCGACCTCTTACTCATGAGTAGTCAGCTATTACAAACTTTTATGCACCAATATGACAGCCCGCTATTGTAGTGGACACTCTATTATGCACCCTGCGGAGATAACGGCGATACTTCTTTGTACCTGCACCAAATAGACCGTCAAAAGTGGGCTGTTTTCTTACTTTTCAAAGCTTGACTGAGGCGGTAAAAGCCAAGTTTTGCATCAAAGGAACTATACAAACCATTCTACTCTATCTACGACCGGGGTACGTACATCGTCTATGTACTTGTAGGTTTTTCAAAGGTAATTTCTTGATTCAGAGACCCGAAGAGGACTCAGAAAGCGAGTCCGTAACGGCCAAGGCACCAAATTCTAGAACCAGCTAGTAGCAATTGCTTCCAAAGTGCGCATCACCACTGCAACTGGACATCTCTAGTGCAGGCGGGACAGGTGCCAAAGGGTCCCTGTTCTTGCAAACGAACGCACAGCTGCACTTTTTCGCTTGCCGAACGAGGCTGAGATGTCTTACTACTAGATGGCGGAGGCACGAGACCATTATTGAGGGTGGCTAAAAGCAATAAAAGCACAAAGTTAGTCGGAGAGTTGGACAGGTCTGATTCTCCTGTATATACGCGGGAGCGGGTTGAAGGCCAAGCTTGTTTGTCGAGATGTCAATGACGAAAAGAGAAGATACAGGTCCATGGGAAAAGATACAGGTCCATGGGAAAAGATACAGGTCCATGGGAAAAAGAAAGTGTTTCTCCTCACTGTACTTCCAGATGCTTTTTCTCTGATTTCTTTCAGCTCTCTCGTTGCTCTGGACATTGAACAAAGAGCAGAAGAGGGTGCCTGTAGCTAATTGGTGGAGGTGATGGAAGAGTGCCCTCGTTATCCAGCAATTCAACATCTACGCTACATACTGGACTCGTACTAGAAGCTCCATCGATAATCAATTGTCCACCTCTGGATCAAAAGATGGTACTTGTAAAATAGGAAAACTTCTCTCTACACACACCATAACATACATCTATGATCCCCGGATCGGCCGCTCATCTTTCCACGGCTACATGACGGCCCGATAAAGTATAATACCCTTGTATGCGTCTTCTCCCGCTGCATTCTCGGTTCCCTGTAATATCTGCACTTGCTGTCTCGGCTGGCTTCTTGTCCTGTGTCACCCTGCAGTTCTATCTGCATCCCGAGCTACCTGGTTTTTGCAGCCACAGGAAACTGCGCAAACAAATAGCAGAGACAAGGAGCTCGGTGTTCGAAAAGCTACTTAGTGTGCTCGTACATTGCTCGTGTTTGACTCTAGGCGAAAATATCTTCTCTAGATCTCGCAGATCGCGTTTAGGATAGATCACCATCCAACGGGGCTAACAGATGCAATAGTTATTAGAATGGCTAGGGGGAAGCTTTGACCTCTATTGATGCAAGAAACCACGAGCCAATACGAGCCCACCTCTAGCATAGAGTATATACCAGTACATTTTAGTCCCATACACTCTGAGAGTAAGCAAACACCGCTTCCACTTGCATGTTGAGACATGGGTGCGGTATGGCGACGGTGCAAGTGGGAAACGTGGCTGTGTTAGTCCTAGACACAGTTGGATGAATCTCTACTGGCACAATCTTTCTCGTCCAAGATTTTTAAATGCATCATATGAGATTCCTTTGACCTTCAATCTGCTATACGTTTGTCTTCGACCACTCCTCAGAATAATTCAACATCTATAAGTACCAATTACCCACAAGACTACTTACAATCGAAGTGTTTAGAAACAAGCTCTCAGAAATGGTGCAATTTTTCTGCTCACCGTTGAAAGCGATTGTTTCGCTGTCTCTTGTCGCCAATCGTGCCGTATTGCTTTGGGTTCAACGGGCAGTTGGTTGCTTTTTGCAAGCAGCAGCAATAGAAACCGTTTATTGGTTTCAAAAAACTCCATCAATGCGCACTACCGAGGCCATTCTAACCAGCGGAATCTTGGGGTCTCCCCAAATTGGTCGCATTTCTTTTTCTCTCTTGCTGCCCATTAGTCGCAATGATCGGTAGCTGCTTGTACGTGTTTGGTGCTGTATCAACATGAACAAGGGTAGAAGCCTCCAATGCCGATCCCGGGCTTCCATGTAGCGTTCTATCCCAAACAGTACATACCCCGGATCAGCAGATCAGCAGATCAGCAAGATACCCTTGAGGATCCACTTGTAGATCGACAAGTGAAGGACAAGCGAAGGAGAGAGCGCCGTGCAGAACGACCAGAAAAGCGCTCAGATCAGAGAGAGAAATACGTACATGTATGCGTGTATGTGCGGAACCGCTATATTGTTTTTTTTGGATCAATAAAGGGGTTGGATGCAAGAGTTTCACTGGTAGAGTTTTGAAAAGAAGGAGTTTTCAGTCGTTTCTTTTGAATCGTCTCAACAACGTTGTATGGGAGAGGGTGGAGAGTGCTGGGTGTTGCTGCTGGGTGGAGCAGGTACCATTTGAGACTCTGGTGAGACTTCTCAAATTGGTTTTCAGCTGCTCTTCCCCTCAGAAACTGTGAATACAACTCGTGCCACTCACTTTTTCTCCCCATCTTTAACACAACTTCGTCTACCAATGAACAAGTCGCCAAACACCAGCCACAGCCTATTTTTAACATTTGTCTTTGGGGTGTTAGGCAGCCTGATAGAGTGCATATAGTCGAAACTTTGGTTTAGCGATGTGAGTTTAAAAAAAGAAGCACGGATCTGAAAACGTCAATATCGAGAAAACTTGTAGGGTAACTGGATAATTTTAGTTAATAAATCTATTCTTCAAGCCGAATAAACCACCGGGAATTGCTTCTTTCTTCGTCTAGATGTCAAGAACCATGTTGCCGAAGTAACCCTTATTGTCCTTCGGTGCGTTGATGCGCCAACTCTATCCGACCTAATACAAGTACTGCGCTTTGTTTTTCTGATATTTGCTTTTACACTTTTTGCAAGACACCTCTCCGCGCGGGAGAAATGAAACAGCATCCACAATGGGATTCATTTGAAGCCGAGACACACACCGAGGCTCAAAATCAGAGATCGCATAACATCTCGAGACATATCAGCTCACAAACTAACGGAAACCTAATGCCTCTCGTTGCACTAGAGTTAGACTGACTCGAGCGTGGAAACTGTTACTGTACTTTGGCTTGTTTCTCAAGCACTTGGCCTCCCGTCTTTGCTTTTTTACTCGCCTCCGCGGTTGACTTTGCGTTCTCTTCTCCGATGATGCACGTCTGGGACGCTCTCGCCAACTCTGGGTCGGCGAATGAATGATCAAAGAGGAAGTTGAGGCGAACGGTGGTTGACATTGCAAGGACTATCATGGAGATCTGTGGAGATGGGGGAGCCATGGGTAGGTTGAAATGGTGCTATTCGCTCCAATATGGTCGTTTTTGGCGGCTTCATCGTCTTACAAACCCATCAATTGGCCTTTTATTTCGTCTTATAGCACTCTCTCTTGTGCTTGGAGTTTGAGTTACTGAGCGGCGATTGCAGTATTTGGAGGCCATCCCGACTGCATCTCCAAGCGCTCGAGAGTATTTAAAACTCCAGCGTGCCCTCTCTGGAACGGTATGCACCAATTACTCATTTTCATTCTGCTAGCTGCTCTGGCTCTCGCCAAGCAAGTTCCCAGCCCTCTCGGGTCTCTGGATGTCACCAGAGCCTCCGACGGAGGCAAGAAGGGAACCACTAACGATGTCTGGAACATGAACTTCTCCTTTTCTCTCAAGCCTTTCGCTGACAACATCCAGCCTGGAGACTATTTCAAGTTCACAGTTGATGACAAGCTCAGCTTTGGACTAAACAACTTCAACTTCGATGTTAAGGACGCTGACGGAAACGTCATTCTCAAGATCACAAACAACGGACCAGTCTTCACCGGTACCTACACAGACTACGTGGCCACCAAGAACGACGCCATTTCAGGTGCCGTCGACATTCAGACGCTTTTCGACGCCAACAAGATCAAGACTACAGGTCCCACCACCGTAACAGTTACTCCTCAGGTTGGTGGCCCCACACTCAAAGACACTGTCACTCTTCTGGGTACTACAAACCCGGATAATGCCCTCAAGTGGGGAGAGTTGAACGGCTGTTGTCTTGTTCTCTGGCATCTTCGACTTCCCACTTCGCCCTACAACCGGGCTGAGATCACTGACACAAGATCCGATGGCAACACCGAATTTTTCGACCAGGGCACCCTCATGGCCAATACCCGTCTGATTTTTAGGTACAACCTCAATGATATGGGTGGCTTCTCCAAGCAGGAATGGGTCCTGGGTTCAAACGTGGCCAAGTACCTTACCTACACCTCGGTGACACCCAAGCAGTTCACTGCCCGCCTGGAAAACATTCCCGACAATGTTTCTGTGGAGATTCAATACTTTTCACGAATCACCAACCAGGCTTCCCTCTACAAGAACTCTTACTCATACGTTCTGTATGACAAGCCTCCTGGCGGTACTGGAGGAAATGAATGGACACGACGAGGAAACGGAGGTGGATATGCCACCAACCAGCAGCCTGGAAGCAACATCCCCAGCCTCAACGGAGGAGGATCTGGATCTGGATCTGAAAGATGTGAGTATGAGAGACGGAGAGAGATGGATTTTTGAGACATGAAACTGACATAGCCACCACTTCATCCAAGCCTACTTCGACTAGTGTGAAGACAACGAGTACAACTCCCACTGTGACTGCTACTCCCACAACTAGTACTTCATCAACGAGCGCCACCCCTACCACAAGCACCACACCTACCACGTCGGCCACTCCCCCTGCCGCTACGACTCCAAACACAAGCTCAACCCCTACAACCAGCTCTGATCTCATCACCTCTTCAGTGTTTGAGTCTTCTACCGGGTCCATTCCTCAGAGCATATCTTCCGTCGAGTCTTCTGTGGAGCCGTCATCTACTGGGCCCATTTCTGAAAGTACACCAGTGGGGCCCTCTTCTTCTGTTGAGTCGTCTCCATCGGTTGAGCCTTCTTCTGAATCTTCTGTGGGGCCCTCTACAAACGAGCCTATTCCCGAGACAACTTCTGAGGTCCCTTCTTCAGTCGAGACTGTTGAATCTACCCCTGAATCCACCACCGAGGCTTCTACGGAGTCGGTGGAGCCTTCCTCCACAGAGTCATCTACAGATCCCGTTCCCGAGTCTACCACCGTTTCCGTTACGTCAGACCCTACCTCGGAACCCTTTCCGGAGACCACTTCAAGTGATCCTGAGATTGCTCAGAACGATTCTTCGACCGTCGGACCCTCCACCACCGAGGAGTATTCAGTCGAGCCCACTCCTGATTCCACCTCTGAGGCTCCCCAATCGGCCTCTGGGACTTCTGAATCGTCTACTGAGTACACTTCGGAAGCAGTCACTCCATTTCCTACTCCTTCGTCTGAGACTACTTTCATCAACTCAACTACGAGTGAACCAGGCACCACTGAGTCCCTCTCTACCTCCGAGTTGTCTACAGAGGCCACAGTGGAGCCTTCCACGGAGTCCACTTCGGAAGCTGTCACTCCCTTGCCTACTCCTTCGTCAGAGACTAGCTTCATCAACTCGACTACGAGTGAGCTAGGTGCCTCTGAGTCTACATCGGAAACTGCAACTCCCCTACCTACTCCTTCGTCAGAGACTAGCTTCATCAACTCGACTACCAGTGAGCTAGGTAGCACAGGTTCCACTCCAGAAACTGTCACTCCCTTGCCTACTCCCTCGTCAGAGACTAGCTTCATCAACTCGACTACGAGTGAGCTAGGTGCCTCTGAGTCTACATCGGAAACTGCGACTCCCCTACCTACTCCTTCGTCAGAGACTAGCTTCATCAACTCGACTACCAGTGAGCTAGGTAGCACAGGTTCCACTTCGGAAGCTGTCACTCCCTTGCCTACTCCCTCGTCAGAGACTAGCTTCATCAACTCGACCACCAGTGAGCTAGGTACAACGGAGTCCACTTCGGAGGCTGTCACTTCCCTGCCTACCCCCTCGTCTGAGACTACTTTCATCAACTCGACTACGAGTGCGCTAGGTACCACTGAATCCACATCCGAAACTGCAACTCCCTTGCCAACCTCCTCGTCAGAAACGGATTTCGCCAATTCGACTACCAGCGAGCCAGTTATCACTACGTCTCCTCCCACCTCAGAGTCTCCCGTGACTACCGATTCTCCTTCGACGGCGAGCAATGAGTCTGTGATTCTTGATGGTTCTCTTACTTCCGTAGGGTTCCCCAACAGCACTACCGTTGTCTCTCAGAATTCGACCACTGAGCTCGAGTCTTTCACCGAGTCCTCTGTTGCGTCTTACATTACTGGGACTTCGGCTGAGCCTACTCCCGAGTCGTCTTCTGTAGATCCCTCTAGTACTGAAGCCGAGTTTTCTTCCGTCGGGCTGACCCCTGAGGCATCTTCTATCAAGGAGTCTTCTTCGGCGACATCTTCGGTGGAGCCTACTACTGAGCCTACAACCTCTACTACTGAGCCCCCCGCCGTGTTATCCAGCGTGCCGATTTCAACCTCGATGAATGTTACATTCCAGTCTTCTTCAAGCTCATCCGTTGCAGTGACTTCCCAGGAGGAATCATCTACCATTTCTTCTGCCGAACCCACCACCACAACTGGTCCCGTATTCTGCGAGCGAGATGGTAACGATGATGGCTGCATTATTCTTTCAGCTTCTAGCTCTAAGTCGTCCAGCGATGTTTCTTCGGAGACTCCTAGGGCTACCACTGCTTCCGTGTCTTCAGAGTCCTCTGGAACTGCTTCCACTGACCCTGCTGTCCCTACCACGGAATCTTCGGTCGAGGCCCCTTCTTCAATCGATACTTCTGTCCAGCCTACTTCAATGGAGACTCAAACACTGTCCTCTGAGACTTCCCAGTCTGCCACAGCCACTGAGTCTTCTACTCCTCTGACAACTGATTCAGCCTCATCTACTCACGTTTCAAGCTCTTCCTTTGCTACCCCGAACGTGAACAGCTCTGCTATTTCAGTTACTGAGTCTACCGAGTCTGCAACCGCCTCTGTCACTGATTCTACAGCCACCACAGCGGTTGTTGTAACCACCATAGAGCCTTCCAGTGCCTCTGCAGTTTCTTCAGAGTCTGCCTCTGCGTCGCTCACTTCCTCGGTACTGGCCACCCAATCTGATTTCAACTCTACCTCCAAGTCTGTAGCCTTTGCTACCACTTCGACTTTGGTTTCAGAGTCTGTTACTCAGTCTCTGACTTCCAAATCAACTCAGTCTTCCGTGCCAGTCTCCCAGTTCTCTCAGCACGTCTCTAACTCGACCATCTCAGACTCCTCTGTCATTTCTGGAACCGCCTCAGTGCCTGAGTCTGCTGCTAAGTATACCACCACCGATTTCTCGAACACCATTGGCTCTGGTACAGTGACTGAATCAAGAATAGTGTCTGATAATGCTTCTAGATCGGACGCTGCCACTGCTTCGGGTTCCAGCGTTGCTTTTTCGGGGACTGTGACTGAGGCCTCATCCACATTCTCCGAGTCTGGTCTTGCTTCGAATACCCGGCCTGCTCCCATCGTCACAACTCTGACTCAGACTGTCACTGCTTGCAGCAACAACCAGTGCTCGAAGACCACTGTCACCGTGACTACGGCAGTCCCCACCAACCATGCTACCATCACTAAGCAGACTGTGATTGACGGCAACACCATGACTGTGTCTGTTCCTGTTGAGAGTGGCTCTGGTAATGGTTCAGATGAGACTGAATCGTTGTCCTATCTTAACCCATCTCTCACCACCACTCTCACCCAGAACGTTACTGCTTGTGACCAGGAAAACTGCACGGAGATTCCAATGACCATCACTACGGTGGTTCCCACCAATGCAGCTTCTACTACCATTCAGACCGTCATTGAGGGGTACACCGTGACTGTCGTTGTTCCTTGTGACTCGGTTGCCTCTGAGGGGGCTACGGAAGCAGTTACGCCTGTTTCAACTGTGACTGTTTCTGAGTCTCGTGCTACTGGAACAGTCTCCGAACCTTCTGTTCAGTCTTTGGTTCAACCTTATGCTCCCAGATCTGGTTACCAGTCTTCTGATGATGCTTTTACACACTCTGTGCCCGCTCACTTTTCTTCTGAGTCTTCTAAATTGGCCCAGCCGTCGCAAGCTACTGTAACGGTTGCCACTTCTGGCTCAGCTGCCAGCTCTGTTGTTTCTGGTCCTCCAGTTGCTTCAGATTCAGTTGCTTCTAACTCTCCTGCTGCCTCGGCGCCTGGTTCAGACTCTCCTCCGTCCGCGGTCTCGCAGCACGGCACCCAAAAGGTTGAGTCTCAGACTCCCACACTCTCTTTCACCCAAAGCCCGTCTCAGACACGAGTTCCGCCCCCCAACCAGGCCAACTCCGCTTCGAGCACAAAAATAGCTGCATCTCTTCTTCTCCTTCCTTTGTTGGCTTTTATTTAACATTCCTCGCATATAGAATTAATAGTATTTATGATTACAACCATCATCGCCGTAGACAATTTGCTTGTACTGAATTCGTACTGCACGCTATTGTAAAGAGAATTAAAAGGCCAACAAAAGGCTGGGGCTAGTTGTACTGTTAAGAAGCCACTTTGGTGCTTATATCTCTGTAAATCCCTCCATGGTCCATTCTGCGGCTCTCCGTTCACTTGCATCTGGCTGCTTTCAAAAGTAAGACATCATGGAAGCCGTTAAAAATAACCTGAAACCACAACCTTCAACCTCTGTCGACTCTGTCGACTACCAGTACCGTACGAGAAGGGTAGCAAATTGAACAGTGTGGGTTGGGTAAGAGTGTAGAACGTACAGTGGACTTATTCGACCAAGATCAAAGTGTTTGCTAAAGGACATTGGCATCCCAGATCCCAAAATATAAGATGGCGCCGTGCAAGAGAGGCCAATAGCAATTCACGGATCAAAGTGTGAATTGTGGACATTGGCGAGTTTCTTGTGTCAATATCAAGCAAAAGGAATGTGTGAGATGCCATTGTGTGCATGAAGAATCAGCCACTCGTACTTGTTCAGGATGTGCTGAGATTTGGCTGCTTGTTGTACTGTACACTAAGCACAATGACGTTGGCATCAAGCATAGCCGCCTGATTTCCTTGTGGGAAGTGCCCGTCCGCATTCTTAACTTTGGAGGCAGTATAATAATCACCTTGCCGAGAAGAAGACAATTGTATTCACGCAGGACAATGCTTGAGTATTGCTTATTCTGCCTCTTGGTGGTGTTGGAGTTACTATTGCTGTAGAAGTTATCGGGGCTATCAATTTCATGGGAACTTCCGCTATTTGTCGAAGCACTCAGTCTGTTTTTTTGCCATCTTTCGGAATAGTCTAGCAACGGAATGGAAGGATATTGCATCTAAAAAGCACTCTCTCCTTGTCTCTCTCCCCTAGCGCTTCGCCTTGAGAAATCAGACCAGCCAACTCTAGGGCGCAAGATGCAGTCTTTGCAGAATCACGATGTAGAGGGGTTTGTTTGTTTAGGCCTGCTCGCAGTGTCGTACTTGCCCTGCAGCCTTCCACCATGAGACAAGCGAATAATATTCGCCTTATTGGTGTCTTGGTGTGTGAATGTGAAAGCAAGGAGTTGTTTTATCCGAAATTCGACCTAAATACCCCTTGTCTGTGGATCCTCAAAACTCCTCTGTGGAAAATCTATAGCTTCCAGCTATCATAGGTCTGTAGAACTAAAACGGCCGAGCTTGTCAAAAGAAGTGAGTTTGGCCGTGATCGTATTAATTCTATCCTCCCTAGAGTTATACCCGACTCCCATTACAGTATTTTGCGCTGCGAAGGTCTGTGCATGGAACCCAACCCTATTCGAGCGAGACGTGTTTAAATGGGAAGAAGTAGGGAGCATTGAGAAGACGATTGAAGTCCAGATATTCAAGGGAGGAGTGGAGAGGTGGGTAATATAATACGTAGGTTCCAAATAAATTGTCTAATCCTCTCGTTGACCTGGTACTTTGTGCACACTCTTATCTTGCTCATCTTGCAAATACGCTCCCACTGCAGATCTATGCATGGGCAAAAGACTAAATTCATTCTTGAGCCGTTCGCATGGAACATAACGATGATGGGAATAGTTTTGAGAGAGCTAGAGACAAGCGATTAGTTCTGTTTTATTTGTCGTATTTTTCTGAGTCGATTGGAGAACTCCTCGTGTCTGTGGGACAATAATTGAGCCAATAACAGCCTGTCTATAAGTTCAATTAGTCTGACACCGTACAACTTTTCCACAGCGTCACGACGACTACCTGCCTGCTTATGCTAAAGCAATATCCCTTCCGTTAAGTTTCTTTGGAAACTTCGGAATCTCGGATGTTCAAGTTTCAGAGCAATCTCGATATCAAGAATAAATAGCTGCGATGGTCGCAGAGATGTAGATATCAACCAACTACAAGATGCTCTTCTTCTCGACGTTATTGACCGTCTTGATGGCGACAATTGCCCTTGCCAAACAGGTAGCCTCTCCTCTCAAGACCTTCGATCTTCACAGAGCTGGTGATCCGAACAACAAGGAAGGTCATTACTGGGACCGGTGGGAACTGGACTTCACTTTTGCTCTCCAGCCCATGCAGGACAATGTTCAGCCCGGTGACTACTTTCAGTTTACTCTTGACAAACGTTTCTGGCTGGGTGACAAGCCCTATGACTTTGATGTTGTGGATCCCAACGGAAACCCCATCTACCATGTGAAGAACGACGGCTTCCTGTTCACCTGCACATACTCCGACTATGTTGCCGATAAGAACTGGGAGATCAACGGTACCATGCGTCTGACTGCCACTGCCGAGCGAAACGAAATCAAGGAGGCCGGATGGAACTCTTTCCACGTTGACACCGGCAATGGCACTGGTTTCGATGACTCCATCAACATTGTCCCTGAGCTGGATGTCACCCAAGGCCGAAAGTGGGGAGCACGTTTTGGTGATGATGAGTACATCTGGTATATTCAGCTTCCCAAGTCTCCTTACCATACTCTCAGGCTTGTCGATACTCTTCGAGATGACTCTCTTGCCTTCCCTGACATGGACACTCTGTGGGACGGCATGAGAGTAAACCTTGGTTACAATATGGATGAGTTCTGGAACACCGACAAGTGGGTGGAGGTCCCTAAGGAAGAGAGATCAAAGTACGTCACGCTCGACACAGTTGAGGGTGATACCTTCACTGCTACTCTCCATGACATTCCCGATGATGTCAACGTCCAACTTGTTTTCACCACCAAGATTGTCAAGCCCCAGACAGCGTACTGGAATCATTTCGGCTGGGAGATGTGGATGGATGCTAGTGGAGGTGAAGGACCTGGAAATTCCATCAAGGGTGACACCTGGGGTGCTGGAAACCACAACCAAGACGGAAGTGACTTCGATGGTGACGGAGAGGGCGATGGAAAAAGTACCACTCTGATCACCTCCACTTTATTCACCAATACAACTACCCCGGGGTCCACCATTATCACCTTCTCCACTGAGCCCACCTCTGCGGTTATCACGACTTCTGAAACTGCCCCCTTGACGGAGTCTGTGGTACCCTCCACCGAGCCTGGCCTCACTACCGTCTCTACCGACTTCCCCAGCCCGGATAGCTCTATTGTGGAGTCCACTACCCCTGTGTTGACAACTTCATCCCCCATCACCTCATCCCTCACCTCATCGTTCAAATCCACTACCGAGCCAACCTCTGAGACTACTCCAGAGTCCACAAGCGTCCCGGAGACAACCATTGTGAACTCCACCAGCGTTTCCGATATTACTAGCGAGTCCACCAGTTCAATCCCTGAGACTACCGTTGAATCCACAACTCCTAGCTCTACCACCCGTCGGTCCACCCAGGTCCACCCCACCGCTACTCTCGTGCCCTCAACTTCTGAGTCTCCGTCTTCTGAGGTATCTACCACCCGTCAATCCACTCAGGTCCACCCCACCGCTACTCTCGTGCCATCGATCTCTGAATCTGCTTCTATGATCTCTAGTGCTCCCGGCGTCAACTCCACCGTGCCTGTTACTGATTCTTCAGTGCCCTCAGCTTCTGAGTCTCCTTCTTCTGAGGTATCTACCACCCGTCAATCCACTCAGGTCCACCCCACCGCTACTCTCGTGCCATCGATCTCTGAATCTGCTTCTGTGATCTCTAGTGCTCCCGGCGTCAACTCCACCGTGCCTGTTACTGATTCTTCAGTGCCCTCAGCTTCTGAGTCTCCTTCTTCTGAGGTATCTACCACCCGTCAATCCACTCAGGTCCACCCCACCGCTACTCTCGTGCCATCGATCTCTGAATCTGCTTCTGTGATCTCTAGTGCTCCCGGCGTCAACTCCACCGTGCCTGTTACTGATTCTTCAGTGCCCTCAGCTTCTGAGTCTCCTTCTTCTGAGGTATCTACCACCCGTCAATCCACTCAGGTCCACCCCACCGCTACTCTCGTGCCCTCAACTTCTGAGTCTCCGTCTTCTGAGGTATCTACCACCCGTCAATCCACTCAGGTCCACCCCACCGCTACTCTCGTGCCATCGATCTCTGAATCTGCTTCTATGATCTCTAGTGCTCCCGGCGTCAACTCCACCGTGCCTGTTACTGATTCTTCAGTGCCCTCAGCTTCTGAGTCTTCTTCTTCTGAGGTATCTACCACACCAAGCGTCAACTCCACTGTCCCTGTTACTGAGTCTCCCGTGCACTCCACCAAGCCCATTTCTGAGTCTCTTATTCCCTCCTCGAACCATTGTGTCTCCACCGTCACTCTGAATACAACAAACCCTGGTGGTGAGCCCGAGACCACTGTCGCTACCGTTACAACCCAGGACTGCAACCCCAAGCCTTTCTCTTCTGTTAGTGTGACAGGTTGTGTTGAAACTTCCATCCTGACTACCACCAACCCGGCCGGAAAGCCTGAGACAGTTACCACCACAGTTACAAGGGACCACTGCGAATCTCCCGCTCCTTCTTCAGAGTGTGTATCAACCGTTACCCTTAGCACAACTAACAGTGAGGGAACTCCAGTGACAACTACCGAGGTTACCACCCTCGACTTTTGTCCTTCCGTGGCCCTTGAGACCACTATGACAGTGCCTACTAAGGTTACCACCACCGTCACCCAGACTGTTTCTGTCTGCGACGACAGTAAGTGCTCCGAGACTCCCATTACTATCACCACCGTCGTTCCTTCCAACCCTAAAACCACTGTCATTACCACAGAGATTGACCACAAGACTGTGACTATCACTGTTCCTTGCGACCCCGAGATTCCTGCTTCCAATACTGAGTCCGCGACTGAGCCTGCATCCAAGCCTGTTTCTGAGACACTCTCCAAGCCTGAGCACTCTTCCAACGAGCCCCAGACTGAGGTTCCTCAGACTGGATCTCCTGCTGTGTCTCCTTCTCCTGCACCCACCAAGCCTGCCGAGACCGAGTCTTCAACCCCCGAGCAGCCCTTGTGGCCTTCCGAACTTGTCACCAAGACCTCTGGAACGGTGGTTATTGTTATTCCTGGGCAAGTCTCTTCGAAGTCTTCTCCTGCAGAGTCCATCACGTCTACCGTCATTCAGACTGTTTCCTACTGTGACGACTCCCGCTGTTCTAAGACTCCCGTCACTTTAACCACTGTGGTTCCTACCAACCCTGCCTCCACTACCATTCAGACTGTCATTGACAACAAGTCTCTCACCGTGGTTGTTCCTTGTGAGGAGACACCCACTTCTAACAAGCCCACAGTATCTGAGGTCCCTAGCAAGCCTAGTCCATTTCCCGAGGCTCCTGGTAAGCCCATCCCTGAGGCTCCTGAAACCACAGGGACCCCCTCCACGCAGCTAGAGACACCCGCTTCAACTCTGGTTCCCGTTCCTCAGCCTGAGGGCTCCAAGCCAGCTCAATCCCAACCTCAGCAGCCGCAGAAGCCCGAGGCTACCACTCCCGTCCAGGCATCTTCCGGCTCTACCAACAAGCTTGCCTTGTCTGCTATAGTTCTTCCTCTTCTGACCCTGTTCTTTTAGCTTGGTCTTTACTTAATGATGTCATTTTAGGACTAGTTGATTGTACAGGACTCGAGCTGTAGTGGCACAGTAGTGTAACTGATTAGTTCAATGTAGTAAGATGTTTTGTTTATATGTTGATCAACTCAACAAACAGCTCGTTCAATGAAGAAGCGAAGTAATATGTGCGAGTACCCCAAAGCGAGGAAAACACCTCACAGGGCTACCAATACACCTCATACAAAATTTGAGACTAGTTTACATACATTAATACTGTCATATTATTCAATGTAACTCTTTAAAGACATTTTATCTCTTTGGCAATTAGAAGTTATTTTCTAGGGTGTTTTTTTCTCCAATATTTCTCCAATATTTTTTTATTCTAATGATTCATTACAGCTATATACCTAGTAAGCCGGGTTATTGGCGTTCAATAAATCATACACTTCTGAATCTTTGCGATGTGCGCTGCGGGGCGCTGTCGGTTGGTTTGTCGACGCTTCGTCTAGTTGATGTCATTTTCGTGGTCTCGTGGTAGTGAATCATGGCTAACAGATCAAGAAATCATATCAATCGGTTCATGTCTTATCCAGACTCGAGGTTGGTGTAGTTTGTTCTCATAATAGATGTTGTTTTTTTTTTATTCTAATGATTCATTACAGCTATAATAATGTTTTTTTTTTATTCTGATGAATTCTGAGCTGAACTACTGACTAAATCGGATCCGGTTTCTGACAAACAAAAAGTTTGGGCGTCTGGTGTAGTTGGTTATCACATGCGCTTAGCATGCGCGAGGTCCCCGGTTCGATTCCGGTGTCGTCCATTTTTTAGATTCTCTTGTTCACTGAGCTAACTTCTCTGCCTTCTTGTGTTTTTCCTTTTCCTGCTCGTCTCATCATGCATTGCCACCATTACACAGCTTGCTATTGCATAACATTGTATTTTGATTCGGGGATAACAGCTTCAAGTTTAGTGGTCGCCGCCGAGAAGAAGAACATATCTGATTCAGCCGATTCCGTTCCTGGAAAAAGTAACTGCATCATCGAAGCGCGTATTGTACAAGTATCAACCAGCTTCAAAGACGACGGAGAGTCTTGTCTTTTTCTCTCGACAGACACTCGAAAGACGCACTGTGACCCAATGTATTATCGATCTTGTGCATACGACAAGTGATCCATGTCAGAGAATCTAAGACCAAGCCAGATAATATACTGACCCATAGAATGACGTAATTACCCCATAAAGTCGATTGTTTATGCGCTAACATGGCTTGTCTTTTCTTGGGGGGGGTGAAAATTGGGCTAAATTAGTTCCATTCGCTCCAGTTGACGAAACCTACTTTCTTTGTTAAGCGACAGACGGGTAGGCCGGCATCTATGCACGGCACCAAGGCCGAGCGTAAGTCGTTTTCTGAGCCCGATCGGGGAGATCATTTGACGCTGTGTTTGACGACATTGCGGCCTTTCGCCGGCTTTCCAGCTTTAGGCGGTTTAATTCCACAAACTTCAAGCCACAGTGGCTACAAGTTTTTTCCACCTGGCTAGTTTAGGCGACTTTGAAAAAAGTGCGAAGGCAAACGGAAAACGTCTCTTTCGTGGGGACCTGATTTATGCGTGTTGCGAAACGCACAAGATGCAGATTTTGCCATTGCCGCGGCCGCTGGGCCGTCAGCTTGCTCTGGATGTCGAAAAACCCTCACTTTTCCCCTCCCCGAACTCCACATCCGGACTGTATCGTGCTTTTGGTTTTTTTTTTCACTCGATGAGAAGCAGCCAATTCTAAGTGGCTGACGCAGTCTCAAAAAAAAGCCAGCAAGCTTAGTTTGTATAAGAACTGACTTTAGCGTCCATTTGTAAAGCATGATAGAGCAAGATAGCGTGGTATGAGAATGGCGAATCGGGGTCCAATGACGAAAGAAAAGACTGCGTTCGACTCGCTCTTGCGTGGAGAGTACAGAAATGTTGTCAGAATGCTAATCGCAGCTCTACCCATAGACATATGGCCAAAGTCATGCTAATTGCATGGTCGAAACAGAAACAAGGCTGTAGACACCGATAACTAATGGATACAGACCCCCTGAAGGACCTGGAAGCAAGCCGAAGAGGTATTTCGGGACTCTTGGCGTCACGTGACCCGCTCTTTGTTTCTCCGTTTTGCCTCTTTCTGGCCGTCTGCACCTCGCTTACTACGCCCTGCATGAGGTTCAGCAATCGCGATGAGTGTGGGGTATAGGGTCTATTTGGCTTGGGATTACGCTACAGAAATTGCTCCAGTCTATAGATCGGGGTCTTCTGGTTCGGTTTTCCTTTTCAAATTTCCTCCAGCTGTCTTTATCGGCTCGGAAATTGACATTTTGGGGGTTCGGAACAAGGTTGGCAAAAAAATACTGACCGATGAACCATAAAGAAGTCTCTAACGGTTTGTATGTGTGGAAGAAGGTCAGAAATAACGATAAGGAGGTATCTGGGGTTCTTAAAACCTGTCACTTTGGGCTCCGACTGATTTTATGGCGTTTTTTATCGGTTATTTATGAGGTGCAAAACACCCCTCCTGGATAAGCTCACGGTGATAATAATGGATAGCATTTCATGATACCGTATTAGGCTGCTGTTGGATAGACTTTTTGCAAGCCACAATCTGTGGCGGCAGGCAGTGAGAGAAAGAGGGACGCGGTCAGTACAAGAAGGCCTGCTGTTGTCTTCTCTTCCTCTCCAGCTACTCTACCGCCAAATGAATTCCCACGACACTGAATTTCTGGAGAAGGACCCCAACATTGGCTCCTACAGCCCTCCTACCGACGGGTCTTCTCTGGAGGCCTCAGATCGGCCATTGTGGGATCATGAGGTGAAGCAGGAGGAAGAAAACGATTTCAAGTACCGGTCGTGCTCGTGGCAGAAGACGGCATCGCTGCTGTTTGCCGAGTACATTGTGCTGGCCATCATGTCTTTCCCCTGGTCCTACTCGGTGCTGGGGTTGGTGCCTGGAATCATCATCACCGTCGGCATGGCGCTCATGGTCTACTACACGGGCCTCACACTTATGGAGTACGTGCTGCGTAACCCCGATCTCAAGGACATTTGCGAGATTGGCCAGCATCTATTTGGCTCCCGTGTGGCTTGGTGGCTGACTCTGTGTGGTTTCTTGCTTAACAACACCTTCATCCAGGGCCTGCACGTGCTTGTGGGAGCTGAGTGGCTCAACACCATCTCCAACCACGCTACCTGTACCATTGTGTGGGCCGTGATTATTGCGGTGGTCTCTGCTGTCCTTACTCTGCCACGTACGCTATCTGGCTTCACCTACTTTGCTATCTTCTCGGCACTTACTATGTTCGCCTCGGTGATTATGACCATGGCATTTGCAGGCACCCAGGCACACCCCGATAAGTATATCGACTCTCAACCCGTCACCTGGTCCTGTTGGCCCAAGAAGGGCACCACCTATGTGGAAGGCATGACCGCCTTTCTCAACATTGCTTTCACTTTCATTGGCCAGGTGTGCTATCCCTCTTTCATGGCCGAAATGAAGGACCCTCGAGAATTCAAGAAGGTGCTGACCGCTGTCACTGTCTGCGAAATCCTGCTCTACACCATCACAGGTTGCATCATGTATGTGTACATTGGAAACGAGTACATGACTGCCCCTGCCTACGGATCGCTCACTGAGCCCTACAAGAAGATCGCCTTCACCTTTTGTGTGCCCACTATTCTCTTTGCTGGAGTTTTGTACTCTGCAGTCACCTCTCGAATGGTGTTCGACAAGATTTTCGATAAAGATAGCGTTCACCGAACCCACAACACTGTCAAGGGCTGGGCAACGTGGATTGGAGTCATCTCCACCACGTGGGTGATTGCCTTCATCATCGCAGAAGTGATTCCCTTCTTCTCTTCTCTTCTGTCACTGATGTCTTCCATGTTTGGAGCCTGGTTTGGCTTCATCTTCTGGGGTGTCGCCTACCTGCGAATGAAGAAGGAAGGTCGGGGAAAGGAATGGTTCAAGATTCTCAGTCCGTGGGAGAAGTTCAAGGTCTGTATCAACGTCTGTCTCATTGGAATCGGACTGTACATCTTTGGACCTGGAATCTACGTCACCATTCAGGGCATTATTGATTCATATGCTGCCGGAACCGTTGGAGGAGTGTTTACTTGTGCAGACACTGGTTTGTAAACTATTTATCGTGCCATACTCGTACCGCTTGTGCTTGTATGACCATATCAAAATATTTATATAGCAGAAGATCGCATTTGATTTGATACTTGAGAAATGGACAGGTGTAGCCCCGCAGATTCTTGTAGTGCCATGTATCCTACTCGTATTTAATGTGCTTAATTGAGCCAATTACTTGTGATCGTAATCGTACTCGTACTGGTAGTATCATCTTTTCGCTGGCGAATTCTTGTCATCTGGGATATGGACCCAAGTGTCCATACTTCTATCTCAAAACAGTCCCTTTAAAACAACATTTTTGTATGTGATTGGGTGGATTTTTTTATATCAAAATGATATCCTCGTTGAGCTCATTGCAGTGTACTACATTCAGTGACCCACTTAGCGATATTTACATCAGATCACCATCTCCCAGACTCCCCTTTCACCTCCGGTCCAGACCATAATAAGCTTTAGATAATGTCACCGGTTTTTACAGGATAATAAAGTTGACCTCTGGAAGACGACAGAAGGGAGTTACTTGCAATGAGACGATACCATTACGAACGACAACCGCAGTTGGAGGCACGGCTGGCGGTTTGGAGTTGGAAGGTCACGTGACCCTCCTCAAACCACGCACACATGACGCAATTCGCTCTACATACATGACGCCAGCTGTTGCATGGATTGTGAGATGTCACGTGCTTTGGGGGGTTGGGGGGGAGGTCAGTGATTGCACACAAGTTGGAGTTCAATTACCTTTGTGTCGGAGGTCATGGTTGATTTTAACTGGCCCTCGAGACGCGTGGTTAATAGCTGAGTCATTAATGATGTTGATTTGAGCCTGAATAGAGAGAGAGAGAGAGAGAGAGAGAGAGAGAGAGAAAGCGAAAGAAGATAAGGTTGGTCGGAGGTTGGAGTGAAATGTTAGGGGAGGAACCAGATGGCGTGTAGAAGAGGTTATGAGCACGATATGAGAAATCAAAAGAGTGGAATCATTTGGTCACGTGACTTATACTCGCTGTTTCCGAGGAGGCTCGTATCTGAGCTCTTCAAGCTGTGGCTTGAGATGCATTTCATATCGCTGATAACATTGAACTTTAGCGAATATGCATTATAATATATTAGCAGTGACTGATCTCACATCTGTCACTGTCACAACTTTACACACAACCACATCATGAGACTCGCTATTCTGGAAACCGACACACCCGTTCCCGCGGCCTTTTCCCAGTACGGTTCTTACGGAGATATTTTCCGGGCTCTGCTTGAGCGGGGAGGCGTTCCTTCGGACGTGGAAATGAGCTACTACGACGTGGTCAAGGACCAGGACTACCCTCCCATCACTGATGTTGACGCGATTCTTATCACTGGCTCCAAGTTTGATGCCCACAGTGATCTGCCGTGGATTCTCAAGCTCACCGAGTTCACCAAGATGGCCTTGGATCACAAGAAGAAGATCATTGGTATCTGTTTTGGCCACCAGATTCTCGCTCGAGCTCTGGGAGTCAATGGAGAGCGAAACCCCAAGGGCTGGGAGGTGGCTAGCACTGAGATTCAGCTGACAGAGGTGGGCAAGAAGGTCTTCCACAAGCTGAGCAAGGAGCATGACGGAACTCTGCGAATCATGCAGATGCATCAGGATATTGTTCCCCGGGTTCCCGAGGGTGCAGAGCTCCTGGGCTCGTCGCCAGTGTGCAAGGTCCAGGGCCTCTACAAGAAGGAGTCTTATATTTCGCTGCAGGGCCATCCCGAGTTTGTGCCCGGCATTGTGGACAAGATTCTAGATGTCCGAGAGCAGGCTGGCGTCTTCACTGACGAGCAGATGAAAGAGTACAGAAAGCTGGCAGAGAAGAGACAGGATGGAGATGCCATTGCCAGGGTTCTGGTGGACTTTCTGTATGTTTAGTGTGTGACGCTGAACCATACACAACGTTGATCGCATTAGACGACCACTTTCAATGAAGCTGGCCTATTCATCTAGCTATAGATTAATGAATAGAATGAATCATGGAGTTAGAGAGTGGTTGCCGTAGCAGACTTTCCAGGCAAGTGGATAGTACTTCACCCACAACACATTGATACCACGTCGCTCTAAGAAGTCATGGGATGTTTAGAACTGATAATACACCCTCAATTTGATCTCCCTTCTGGTGATAAGTGAATGTTTCATATTATATGTCCGTCTGTACACTGTATAGCTGATTGGATATCGATCTCGGCTACCAGTCGGCAGCTAACTCGCTAGTGCGCATTAGACCAACGTGTTGCGGGGTCGTTCAGCGAGTGTTTGTGGATATGTATAGAGAAGAAGGAGCTCATTTTGTACTGGCAAGATGCAATTACGGTTGATTTTGACGGCATTTGCCTCTTTGGCAATTGCAGACTACACTCCTGTGCGAGTTCCATGTCCCTCCACCAATCTTACGCGTCCTGCCATTGGACTGAATCCTGACGAATCTGCTTACATTGAGCAGCGACATACCAAGACCAGAGAAAGCCTCAAGACATTTCTGAAGACTCTAGAAAGTTCCTCTTTTGATGTTGATGCCTTTCTGAATGAGAGGTCTCCCAAGATCGCCGTTGCAATTGCTGGAGGAGGAGTAAGAGCTTCTCTGTTTGGAGCCGGAGTTTTGGCTGGTCTGGATGGTCGAGTTTCCCAAAACGGTACCGGGGGTCTGCTTCAGGCAACAGACTACATTTCTGGTCTTTCTGGGGGCTCCTGGCTTGTTGGACTGCTCTGTTTGTCTGACTGGATAGCCGCTGACCAGCTAGTTGGAATGAGCGAGAAAATGAAGTTCCCAGGCATGCTTGACACTTTTGGCATGATGCTCAAGATTCTCACAGACACCATGGCTAAGAAAAAGGCCGGCTACCAGACATCCGTGGTTGATCAGTGGGGCAGACTGTTCCATTTTGTGACTGCCGAAGCTGGTTTGAACTACACGGATCCGACATGGAGTGGAATTCGCAACCTGAGCTCGTTCCTGGACTTCTCCATGCCCTTTCCTATAATCACCTCAACTTCTTTATTTCCAGGAACCTCGTTTGACGTCACCCATATCGACTATATCAACCCCATGGTTGAAATGACACCCTTCGAGTTCGGAAGCTGGGACAGAAACTTCCGTTACTTCGCTGACACTGTGTTTCTGGGCACGGAGATGGAAGACGCGAAGCCCCTGAATCAGTGTGTGCGTAATTACGACAATCACGGTCTATTCCTGGGTTCTTCAGGTGGAATCTTCAATGCTGACGTGATCGGCGGATTTGAAATGAAAGGCTTACATGCGATATTTTTGTCTGGAGTCTTGGAGTATCTTGATCTTGTCAACGAAGGTGAGTTCCGAGTAGGACTTATTCAGAACCCCTTCTACAAGATGGCACATCTAGTCTCCAACCAGACAATCTCCAGGTTCATGTACTTGTGCGATGGAGGGTTTGAGAAGCAACAAAACATTCCTTTGCTTCCTTTTCTTCAGCCTGAACGAGAAATAGATCTTCTCTTTGCCACTGATCCATCAACAGATACTATGGATGGTCATGGATGGCCCAATGGAGCTTCTCTGAGACACACAAAGGAGAAGAGTGACCTGGAGTTTGGCAAAGGAATTTACCCTGAAATTCCCGAGGAGGACGAGTACTTGAGCAGAAACTTGTCCATGCAACCTGCCTTCTTTGGCTGCGATATCGCTTCTCTGAAACAGTACAACAATACGCAACGGTATGCCCCTGTGATTGTCAACATTCCCATGGGAAACCTGACGTATGCTTCGAATTTCTCGACTGGTAAGTTCTTTTACACTCATGAAGAAACCCAGGGAACCTATTTGAATGCCTACAATATGGCCACTAGGTCCAACTTGACCGAGGACGAGAATTGGAACGTGTGTCTAGGGTGCGTATCACTGTTGCGCGAATTTCAGAGACGGTCCAGTGAAATCCCCGACCAATGTCAGACCTGCTTCAACCGCTACTGTTTTAACTAAGCCCACCTGGATAGATGCAGCCATGCCCCCTGGTTCAAATAGCTCATTATTTCATCAATATTGGCACTATGTTGGCTTTAGTGACATGGTACAGTACTGTAGTCTCAAGTACATACTATAGTAGTGAGTAGAGATGAATGGGTGTTACAAGTATGCCTACAAGTAGAGTACTTGTACATAATCTCATCATTGAGTGAGACATGATAGCAGTCTGAAGCCGTACATGTAGCCCTGATTGATTCTCATCCTTCGAGATTTGAAGATAAAAAGGACATGGTATCATTTCCGCTCGTGCCCGTAACCCCGTATATTCACCCCAGACCATTTTAGACTGCCCTTCAAGGGTCATCTAACTTCAACTATCTCCAGCTAGCTCCAATACAGCCGCCGTTGCAACCCCACATCCAGCAATATGCACATATACACGTGTAGTTGCAGATTGCGAGGACTCTCAAGAACACCCTCATGAGATTCTCCCGCTTCACTTTCGTCCTCGTTGCCCTCACTGCCTCTGCCTCGCTCACAGACGACATCTATGCCGTTCTGGACTACGCCGGCGATCTGCTGGGTCCTGGAAAAGCCAGATTTTCGGCAGCCATCTCTCAGATCATGCAGAACCCGCTGGTAATCCGGGTTATTGACGATCTGAACAACTCGAACCACACCACTGAGGCGAATGAAGAGCTTTTGGATCATGTCCAAGAGGCCATGACAGGTCTGTTTGGTACAGCAAATACTACGGAGCTGGTTTCCGAATTCTCCAAACGCTCTTCCACCAAGTTTGACAATGCTGAAGTGAACGAGATCATCATGAAAGCGAACCAACTTGTCGGAGACCATCTCGAGTGGGTCGTGCCTAGTCTGGTGGAAGATCAACGACTTCAGAATAGAACAGTCCCATTCCAGCAGGCTGTGGAGGTCCTCAAGGAGCAGAACCAGGAGCATCCCATGATGCAGAATGGAGACCAGGGGGGGTTTTTGGGCCTGGTGTCCCGACTCTCTCCTGAAGCCCTGTCTCAAGTGTCACTCAAACCAGCCCCATCTCGAACCCATCCGGCCAAGATGTCAGCGACACCAATCTCCAAGCTATCTATGGCTGCCCTTCCAACAACTCCAGGTGCTGGGGGAAACTACGACTCCACACCCCAAGCAACCATCACCTCGCAACCCCAAGCCAATGGTATCAAGACCATGAGATCTCACCTTCTGTCTGTCGTCCTTGCTTTCGTAATTGCCGTCTCCCTTCAATAAATCACGTGAACGAAACGAACAGTAGAATCGTAAGCACGAGTACGAGTACAGCACGAGGACACTGTACAGCCCCCACGCTGCTATCGCACATATTTGGACACTAAAACGGACATAAATTCCACCCCCTGCCGTTTCTGGGACTAATAAACGCCCTGCTTCCGCTGTCTTAAGTTACTGTACGATACTGTGTGCTTGTGGGTGGTCTGAAAACACCCTTTGCGGGTATACCAAAAGTAGCAATCATGTTGCTCTCTCTATATTAATTGCCGCACATTGGCCTCAAAATCTTACCCCTTCTGTCCCATCTTGGTTTCCGTGGCCAAACAAAAGAGGGCAATCTGTTGTACATCGTACATCGTAATCGTACTCGGCACGTACATACAAAGAGCGCACACATCTAAAACATGGGTCTCACAAGTAGCCAAAATTAGCTGTCTTGGACGCGGTCTAAATAGGGTTGGGGGCGAGGTAATGTCATATGGTACACGTCGTTGCTGCCGCTATCGAGAGGGCGGGGAGAGGGTGTTGGGGGTTAGTTGCGGGGATTATACAAGTACAAGTAATTTTCTGGTTTCCATTACGTCCAAACACGTCCTCAAACCCTTATATCGTCCCACATGGTGTCTTCATTTATGGTTGGAAATACGCTCGGCAGAAACACCCTATCTGTCTCGACTATTCAGTTGACGGGAGTGATAGCGGGCTTTCAGTGGGCATATTTGGAGGGTTTTTTTTTCATCCACTTGAATTTTTATGCGTTTACAGCCCATTGGGTGAACTTGGGCGTCAAAATATCATCTTTTGGGCCGGTTACAAGCCCCATTCGCTCCTTCACTCCAGCCCTAATCCCACGTGCCATATGCACCAAAAATAAACAGAATGCACACCCAAATTGCACTCCCACATAAACAGGCTCAAAATAGGACGGGTAATAAAAATAAAGGCCAAAAATAGCCAACCATAGTATAATAATTAATATCGGGAAAGAAAAAAAAGGCGGACAAGACACACCGCATAATTATACCTGTCGAGTGGATCAGCCGGTTGCGGAGTGCCCCAAACAGGAATAATAATAGATAGACAGGTCCCTCCTCTACGCAGGGCCAACACGGAACCCAGCTCCCACAGCTCACGTGATGACCTAACGTTTATACCACTACCTCTGTCTGAGACCATCATCACATACAAACCTCGTAACCCAGCAACCGTACTCAGCAACCGCACCTACCGCCATGATGGATGGACCCGGAGTACAGCGAACGTCGTCGCGTTACAGATCCAAGTCGAGATCGAGAAGCGCGTCGGGCAACACAAACACAAACACAAGCACCCAAAACCACAATCCCTTCACCCAAAGCCCTCTGGCTTCCCCCACAATTCCAGACTTTGACTGGGGCCAGACGATCCAACAGCAGCATCTGCAGCAGCTTCAGCAAGCTCAGTCGCAGGCGCCGTTGCAACCTCCTTTTGACGGCGGCTTCCCAGGCAACAGTGCCCATTCCAGTCCTCAGAATGGCTTCTTGAACAGTGTGCCTAATGGGTTTCCAAACAGCCCTCAGAATGGCTTCTTGAATAGCCCCCAAAACGGCTTCTTGAATAGCCCCTACGGGTCTCCTATGGTTAATGGTGTGCCTACGAATGGGAATGGAAAAGGTCACCCCAATGGCACTTCTTCTCCATCTAGAAACCCGTTCCTGTCCTCTCCGTCTGCCGCCCCCCAGGTCGATCTTGGCCGAACCCGATCCAGATATAGGAAGCAGGCAAGTCCGAATGTGAACATGGTCGGCGCCCTACCTCCAATTCCTGCTCTTCAGAAGAAACCCAGTATTCAGGGTCTGCAACATAAACCCAGCTTACCGGGTCTGCAGCACAAGTCCAGTCGTTCTCGACTCAAGGTGAACACTGACTGGTCCGATTCAGACTCAGATACTCCCAAGAGTGCCGGATCCGGATCACGTGTGATTGCCCCCAGTACTGCCATGGCCACGCGAGACTCGCTCAAGGTCCAGGTCGAATACATGTCTGAAGAGCCTCGCCTGATGACTATCAAGAACACAGCTACGGTGGACTACCTGCTACAGCTCTGCCAGGTAAAGTGGAGTACGGAGTCGCTGGGTGGCAGCCTTGTTTATGAGGTCTGGGGTGAGGGCATGATTCGAGAAATGCGTCCTGAGGAGGAGTTGAAGAAAACGGTCGACTCTTGGCCTCGAAATGCACAAAACTGCATCAAGGTAGTCGATAAGAGCCTCACTCCCCGTCTTCCAGCGAGCCAGGGACCTGTGGAGACCGAAGTCATGTCCAAGGTTCAGTATTATCGAGATCTGAGCTCCTGGAAGTCCGTCTACTTGTACATGTCTGCCAACCTGGGTCTGATTCTGTCCAAGAAAGAGTCTGATGCCAAATTGGGATACATGGAGAGCGCCAAGAACTACAATAAAGAGGGCCAGACTAGCAGCAGCGTTCCCAACCTGAAATTCAAGCACAAAGACGCCCGAATCATCGGCCTCAGCAACTTCAAGATCTACCATTACACTGAGAACAAGAAGAAGTCTGTCAAGCCTCCAAAACAGTTCACTCTGGTTCTCAAGAGTCTGCAGAACCTCGAGTTCTTTGAAAACCGACTCGATTCCATCTTTGTCATTTCTACTAACGACGTCAGCCTCGTGCATTCCATTATCAGAATTGTCAATATCGCCTCCAGACCTGTCAACCCAATCATGCCCAGAGAAGACGAGCCTTTGTCGCATCTGCAAAACCGTCTGGCTCCACGAATGGCTGCACCAAACACAATGTTCAACAAGAATTCGCTGTTGGACAATGCACGGCTGAAGAGCACACGTTCGAACACCCGGTCGCCGACCATGTCACCAAATCTCTCCCCCAACATTTCGCCTCAACAGAGCCCATGGGATGAACGCACATTTAACAGCGGTGGCTTGTTGTCTGAACAGAAGTTCCCTCGCGAGAAGATCTTCAAGCAAACCAACCATATTAACCCTCTGGCCAAGGACAAGGATATCATCAAGCAGGACAGTCTGTTGGGTCGGGCCATGACCATGAAGAGAGTCTAACTCGTGGTTTATATTCCGTATTGTATTTTTACCATGTATTTTTACCATGTATTTCTACCATGTATTTTTACAAAACTATAGTATCTACCAGTGTTTAGTCTCCATGAGCGTCTGCCAAAACTGTGACTCCAACCTCGGTCATTTCTCGAAGATAGATTGTGTCAGATGGTCGAATGGCTTGAGGTCAAGTTCACACACCTCGACGACTTTGGGAGATGGCAAGGTCTTCTGATTGACGGCTGTGTCGCATGTTGTCGTAGCACTGAGTGTCATCTGTCTCGGCTGGCAATGTTGAGATACTGCTGATACAATTACAATTACTCGTACTAACAGACCAATCGCAAACACGTTTATTACGCCATCTCAGTCCGCCTGACTGAATCATCACTCCGGAAAATATTTTCAACCCGGCCTTTTGAGTATGTCACAGTGTCGATCGTTGCACTAGCCATGCTTTTTTCAAGGGTCGTCGTTGCATTTGAAATAAAGATAAGGTCAAGTCTAAGTGATTTGGAATGTTTTCTTTTTCCACCTTTTCCGAATACCGAAGCCACACATGTTCCACTTGAGAGAGAATACGAATCACGACCGTTCAGTTACATACACCATTAAAACCCTTCCCCGGCGCCCTGTTCTTCCCCCGTTCTTCCTCCTATCACTTGTTCTTACGACTACTCATACTGTACACCCCTCATATTACCCTTCCGAGCCCTTATCGCCACTCATCGTGCTTCCTATTACTAGTCTCTGCATCAGGGAAAGATCGACACTCTCGGGTGTTAAGCTCAGAGTATGATGGTCGGTCGATCCAGTTGATCCCCCTGAGGATGTCGTGTGCGGAATAGGAGAGGTGAGTAGAAGAGATAATATCGAGTTGTTTGCTCGAAATGTCCCCCAAGAGGCCCATATGAGCAATAATACTCCTCATTATATGTACCCTTTTACCCTGCATTCTCACTCTGTACCTGCTTTGACTCAGAGTTGGAATGAGACACTAGGCGGCTGCTTCAGGCACACCAGGAGTACAGTATGTACGAGTACATGTACGGGATAGGTGTGAGATTATGGAAGTATGAGCCAAAACACCGTTCTTGGACTGTTAACAGCTGTGGCTGTGTATCTTTTGTAACGGACTTCATCACAAGCCTACCCCTTTGAGCTGAGATCTCACGCCTTCGAAGAGAATGAGTCCAATAGAGAGCATCTGATCCAAGTCTGACCATTGAAACGTTGATGTAACTACATTTCTCACAGGTTCGATGATCTTTTAATGATTACTTGGTAGTTACTACAGTTCTACTTACAATAGTCACTACAAAGTATCTACGAGTCTTTAGGTACTCGTACAAGTACAGCAGTGTGTTTGTTCGCAAAGAATCTATTATAAGCAAAAGTGTTAGAAGAAAGGCTGGGCCGCCGAAGTGTCAGCTTAGGCAGAGACGGGGTGGGCAGAAAGAAGAGACTTGACAGAGTCGGTAGCGCCGGTAAGAGCAGCGAGGTCGGTGAGGCCGGGAAGACCGCCAAGGAGCTGGAGAAGGTCGGAGACGCTCTTCAGAAGACCATCAACGGCCTGGACAAGAGGAACAACGAGGTAGTCGACAAGACCACCGACAAGCAGAGTCACCAGGTCCTCGACAACCAGGAGGAGGCCGTGAATGACGGGGTTGGCGGCAATCTTGGCAATGATGGTGACAAGAGAGCCAACAAGAGGAATCTTGCCAAGGTCAGCCAGCAGCTTGTCAACACCAGCATTGAGAGAGTTGAAGGTGGTGGTCAGGACCTGGATCTCGGTGGGTCGGTCTCCAGGAGGCTTGATGAGAACGTTGACGGTTCCAGAGACGAGAGAGAGAACAGTCTCAACGTCGGCATCGATGTCCTCAATTCCGTTCCAGAGCTGTCGACCAACGAGCTCGTTGGAAGCAGGAGCGGGAGCCGGAGCAGCAAGAGCAGCGGAGGCCAGGGCGGCAACAGTGATGATTCGAGTGGAGACCATTGTGGTAGAGTGTCTAAGAGAAGAGAAGTGGAGGTGGTTGCTGTTGTGAGTGTCAGAAGCTGATGACGGTTGAACTGGAGCTACCTTCCCCTATTTATATCTTTTTCAACGACTCTACATCCACTACATGGTACTTGCACGCTCTGTATCTCATGTTGGAGAGTCCAGTTAAAGTTGACGCTAATGCACAGACCTCTACCAGGTAGGTGGGTGTCGATATACTGACGATCTGGAGATCTGTGGGGGGAAACCAATCAAGGGTTAGGTCTGATCGGCGAACTTCTCAACCTCCGTAAAAGCCCATACTCCGTGTTTTGCGTTCTGCGTCTTGTACTGGGATCTTCGCTCGACACTGAAGACACACAAGTATCACTCTCCCAAATGGGGTCACATACAATAGACCGCCAAGCTCATCTTTCAGGCACACATTCCGTACTATACTGTTTCCGGGTCCATTCTTTGTCACGCACAACTCGAGTACTTTTCGTCATCCTTATCTCTGCAATGTGGCTGGAGATAAGCCTCCTTGGTAGGGGAAACTAAAAGTTGAAAAACGCAAAGTTCAGAGCAGCAGACCCATTACTCAATTGTGAGGGAGGTTGAAAGTGGGTATCTCTTAGTGGTGACAGACCTTTTAGTCTTGTTTGTCGTGTCGATGGTCTAATTTCTCTGTCACGTTTCGTAAGCCTTGTACACTAGCTCGTCATACGAGTCTCGGCAGCACGATTCATGTGCGAGTAAACGGTTCGGTAGTAGATCTTTGACGGTTGGTGGTTCAAATTCCACATATCGGATGTTTACATGTTCTAGCAAGTGCTTACTTTGGCATCGGCCAGGCCTCTCCGACTCTTCCCGAACAGCTATTCACGCATGCCTGCTACGCTCTTGTAGCTCGAGGGGTCGAGAAATAATAGAGGCGCAGTTATACATTGGTTTGTACAGCGCGTGAGTTTGAGCTGAAAGGGACGCTGTCAATTGTAATCGGAGACCCAAGTCAAAGAGTAAGCACAAGTCTGTGCGGATCCTTCCGTATCATGTTCGCACCAAACTCTTCGAGTAGCATCCATATGTCCATCTCAACTTGATCTCAATTGGAGAATTCACCATGAATTTCTTTTTCAAGACCCTGAGTTTGCTTTTCCATGAAGTCCTCCGAATACACAGTACTCGTACAGTACATACTCGTACACCAACGCGCCATCTCCACCAAACCAACCATCGACTCTACATGAGAGCTGCATCCACGCACCTCCACCTGATCTGCTTTGAGAGACCAGATAGCCCTGCAAGAGCCCAAACAGGCCAAAACTCGACGAGTGTAGGGCCTCGGCGTACCTAGCCGGCTTCTAGAATTGGGACTAGCAAAGGGCTTTTCAAATCCCCCAAAGTTTTAAAAAGCAAACTGCCTCGAGTTGCAACTCGAAAAGTGTGTACTCCCAGGCTAGAGCAGCATGTAATTGAGGGCGCGACAAAACGAACAATAGAGAGGCTGAGACTTTGTTTTTTTAAGAAAATTGGCAACAATTTGAAAAGTCTCACTGCCAATAACTTCGAAGGATCCAGTTTTCCAAAATTATATCGAATTTTAATGGAGTCGAATTATCAACTTTTCAAAACCACCCCCAACCCACCTGAAACTCTATGCACGATGAGTGTCTTGGAAAGGTGGAGAAGAGACCCTGCACTGACCGGAACCTATCCGAACTAAGTCTATAGCTATCTCGTCCAATTGGAAGTGGCAAGGACAAAAGAAAGGTCGTCTGCTTTGTGTTCACAATACGGCTTTGTGCAGCGGACAGCTGAAAGTCTCGCCCGCGGTCTCCAGCGGTGGAACGTCACCAGGTACGTCCAAGAGTGGGTCTCACAGGACTGTTTGGGGAATGTGTCATGGTGTGTCATGAGATATACGCACGTTTTCGTGACGTTTGGTCGCTGCTATTGGTCCCATGTCACTATCACATGTCTTCACGTGGAGTCTTAGCTGTACAGCATTGTGTGTTATTCTGTTGCCATTGTGTCTGCACGCTGGTGTCTCACCCTTCAACGGTTATCAGTACGAAATGAATCTGCGATAGCCCACGACAGAAAGACATCCTTGCTTGTAGATTATATTGGCGAATGATATTTGCAGGTGTCAGCGACGTTTTTCACAGATGGATGTTATACCGGTTATTATGGCAATAATAATTGCGCATTTATGACGTTCATTTCTTGTGGAAATGCTTCTCAATACGTGAGCTTGTGTACATGCTGTACTTGAAGTTTGGAGTGTACTAGATAACACCGCACTTGTAGCTACAGCTGGAAAAAGAGCGATGCTGGTAAATCAATGAAACCCATCCCCTCGTAAACCTCTTCTTCATCTCCACCCTCCACCACGGACAAGGTCTAATAACTCCCCGCTATAATAGACCAGGAACACTATTGCTCCACCTACACCCACCCACCCTCACTGGTGAACGATAACAGTTCGAGACATACGAAGCAGCCAGATAACAATGAGTCATGTCATAGTTGAGCATGGGACAAAAGACGTTAATTCAACCTGGATGGCGAAGTCTGGTAGTCCTACAGATCTGCCGGTTCGTCCTGTTGCTACATTTGCGTCCACATCTGTGTCTACATGAAGGATCCGTTGGTGGGCATAAAAGAACGATATTGAATGTGGGTGGGTCCATTCTATTGCTGCTGATCATTGGTACGTACTTGATGGTTTCATCAATCCTCCACTTCCCATCGTCATATCTGTCTCACCTTCCTGTTTAAAGTCTTCTTATCACTCAAGACAACTTCACCTCCAAGTGCTCACCTCCTAACTGCTCAAAGCTCAATGGACCCGTTCACTATCAACATCGAAAAGCTCTACCAGTCGCCAACACCAGCTTTCCATACCACAATCGTGCGAGACGGACGACATCTCCATTATCCAGTCGCTAGCACCCCTCGAGGATGTCCTGACTGGCTGAACCCAGGATGGATCCCCACGCAGTCGAAGAGACACAAACGGAGAGAAATACAGCGAAGTCTTCCAGACACAAACGAAACTGGCGAGAAAGATACCATAGATACCACCGATACCCTCTCAGATGCTGACTACCCTCGGTACAGCTACAACTACCGATACACGTTTCCGAAATACGCTCACGACCCAATTACTGCTCGACGCAACAGAAACCGTGTTCAGGAGTACTTGAAGCGGTGGGTGTAGCCTCTACTGTACAAGCATGTTGTCCTGCTGGTCCCATAGTCGTAATAAACAACACAAACGTATGTACGATAGTGTGTGCACCACTGGCGGAAGGCACACACAACTACAGATGCAAGAACAGCAACGAAACAGAGTTGCACATACCCAGTCCACCAAGAACAACCGTCTACCCATTTATTTATGTTGGTAATTCGAATCTCGTATATATTAAATGATACAAACATGCTAGTCCCGCACGCTGCGCAAACTAGCACCATCTACAGTAAGTTAGTTAGGCTTAGGCCCAGATGAGGAAAGACAAAAGCAGCACGACCAGAGAGATCATGGGAGAAATGGAGGAGGCGCCGTTAGCCTGGGTGATACCAGACGAGTGAGAAGAAGAACCGCCATTGTTGTCGTTTCCTCCGTTGCCGCCGTTGTTACCGCCATTGTTTCCGCCGTTGTTACCGCCATTGTTACCACCGTTGCCGCCGCTGGCGCCAGTAGGCTGAGCAGGAGGACCAGTGTAAGTCTGGGGGTTGAAGAAGGCTGTTTCGGTGTGGGTGACGGTCTCTCCGTCGGACTGTGTTCCCCAGACGGGCAGGAAGACCGGGGGAGCAGAGGGAGCCTGGTAGGCGGGGGTGTTCTGCACCTGGGTGTTCTGGGGCTCGGGAGTGGGGGCAGGAGCCCAGGTTGCGGACTCGTCACCTTCGCAAGACCAGATGGTCTGGGTTACGGTTGCGTCCACAATCTTGTAGACAGTGGACTTGGCGTGCTCGCACTTGCCGTCGGAGCAGGAGGTGACGGTGACAATCTCGGTGGACTCGATGGCGGTGGTTGAAACCACGGTGGAGAAGGGAACGGCCGTGGGGGTGACGACAATCTCGGTGATGTAGGCGGACAATCGGGTATCACTGGGTCGCACAACCACAGACACGGTGGAGAGGGCAGGGGTGGCTGAGGGGGTGACGACAATGTTGGTGATGTAAGCGGACAGTCGGGTGTCACTGGGTCGCACAACAACAGCCATGGTGGAAACTCCTTGGCCAGAGTCGCCCTCGGAAGTGGCAGTTGCAGACGCAGACGCAGAAGCAGAAGCAGACGCAGAAGCAGAAGCAGACGCAGAAGAATCAGAAGAAGCACCAGCAGAAGAAGCACCAGAAGAAGAAGCACCAGAAGAAGCACCAGCAGAAGACGAGGCAGTGGCAGCCGCGGACTCAGCAGAGGACTCGGCAGAGGCAACTCCCTCGCTGGAGCCGTCCTTAAGCTCGACAATGTCGCTGCTGGACACTCCGTACTTAGCCTTGCCCATCATAATCTTCTGAGCGTCACGGTCGTAGACTACGTAGGCAGACCGCAGGAACGAGGCACCGAGGACGACCGAGTCGGAAATGGAATGCGAGTCGGTGTTGGAGGTGACGAGAATGCCGCAGGCCTGCTCGCCGTCGGTGGTGATTTTAGAGCCGTCGGGGTTCTCAAGAGGCTTCATGAGGTCGGCCAGCTCGACGGTCAGCTTGTTGCCAGAGAAGACAAAGTCAATGGAGCCCTGGGGCACGTTGGAGCACTTTGTGTAGTAGCCGGCTCGCAGGGAGTTGGACACGCCGGAGAACTGGGCGAGAATGGCGTCGACCATTTCCTGGGGCAGGTTGCACAGGGTGGTTCCCGAGTCGAGCAGAGCGGGAGTGGAGGAGCCGACGGACTTGCCGCCCACGGTGATGCTGTCCAGACCCACGTTGTACTCTCGGGACCGGCCCTGTCCTCCGGGGTTGAGGTTGACGATGGGCACGGTGAAGAGGTCGCCGTCCACCTTGGCCCGGTCGTAGCCTCCAAACAGAATCGAGCCCTTGAGGGCGTCCTTGTCGTTGAGCCAGAGGGAGAAGGCCGACGACTTGGTAACGCCATCCATCATCAGCGCCAGTGGCAAGTTGGCGTAGGCTACGGGGTTGTCGGTGTACAGAGACTGCTCGTTCTCAATGGGGCCGATTCCCAGCACGGCCTGTCCGTCGGACGCCGAGTCGGCAACGGCAAAAGTGAAGTCGTTGAGGGTGGTTCCACCTAGTCCGAGGTTGTCGGTTCCGTAGAAACCCTTGGACTCGGAGCCATCGCTGTACTTGATGTCGAAGGGGATGGACTCGTTTTTGTGGTATGTGGACGATTTGCTCGTGTCGAAAACGCCGCTCTGGGTGCAGTCAATGCCCTGGCTGAAGATTCCTCCTCCTCCGCAGTTGACGTTCTGTCCTAGCACCCACATGTCGGACGAGCCGGTGTCGAGCAGCAGCTTGATTTGCTGGCCGGGCGTGCCCACAGACACGGTGGCCTCGTAGTAGGCAAACTTCTGGACCAGGTCCTGCTCCACGGTTTTTCGCTTGGTCAGGTGGTTTTGTGACTGGTGCCGGGGGTCGGTGGTATCGTGGCCCTGGAGGTCGAGCAGTAGCTGGGCGGTGGCCGGGACCGCCAGCAGCGACAGCAATAGAGATTTCATAACGAGTGTGGTGGGTACGAGTAGTCGATGGGGGCCGTGAGCACGAATCTAAAGGGTCCAGCTCTTATAAACAGGTGAGGGGGCCGGAGCGCCAGGGGGTCGCAAGGTTCGAAGCAAGGTTCGCCGGTGGTGCAAGGGTTGTGTGGGGGGGGTGGCTGACAGCGGGTGTTTGGAGGGCTGTGAGGAGGTGGTAAAGACGAAAATAGGGCCTTTTTGATGTGAAAAATAAATCTACTGCATCCGTTTCCCAATATTTCCCCCACATCTCCAGATATACACACCCTGTTGTGTTGTTTATGTTATGCACATTCGCTTGTTAAAGTTATAGTGGGGCGGAGAATACTGACTTTTGGGTTGAATGTGAGGTGTATGGAAATATACATGTTGGAGATGGGAACGAATTGACAGTGACACCAACACCACCACCCTCCGCGGCCTCCTGGAGCGGAAAAGGAACAGCAGCTTCAGCTCCGTTTTACCGGCATAATTTTCAGCCGTACCATCGCACTACTGTACTTTAGCGGTAGTTTGCGACCTACAATAGCTCCACCTTTGCCGGCCAGTGACTAGAGTCCGGATTGCCCACCAATAAAGTTGCTGGTGTCGGTCAACAAGAATGTTAGGTGAGACATGTGCTCTGGAGGTATGTAGAGGGCCAAGGGGCTGTGAATCTGGAGTTGGTACTGCTGAGTAGGGGCCCTGTAGACTGGTCCCGTTACCGCCCCTCTGGTTGGTTGTTTTTTTGCCCGTATTATCTGCCATTTGGCCGTCCATATTATCTTCTTTTTCTATACCCATGTCGATCTCGACGATCCCAGCAGCTGGTCTGCACCGCTGTATTATTGGGCAAGTGCGCTGTACAAGTGGAAGCGGCCCTCTTCGCACGGTTCGGACGGTGGTCACGTCCACGGGTTGCCATATTAACCAAGTCTAAGGACCAGCTTTTCACTCACACTCGTGCTCTTTTCTAACCCTACCAAGGTGAAACAAAAACAAAGACGCATTGTACATTAGTCTAGCCCAAAAAAACAAGTGGGGGAAGGTCAAAGTGGGTTAGACTTCCCCGAATCCGTTTGCAGAAGAGTTCAGGCCTTTTTGAGCGATTTGCGCAATACGAGACGAGCATCCGGGGAGAAAAACGGTATCGTTTGAGATGCGCAAGCATCCCGGTCGTGTCTACTCGCGCCATACCACCTGTTTGTCCTCTTTGACGCTCACATCTTCTCTGCCCCGGGCTTTTGTGTCTTGAAGCCCATGTCCCGCGCCTCTTTGTTGCCCCGCCATTTTGCCATATTGCTACAGGACATGCCGGAATGAGACAAACAGCAAAAATAGAACGACACTTGGTGCATGTTGAAAAAAAGGTCCGTGACGAGAGAGCGGGACGAAAAAAATGAGCAAACTTAGGTCACGTGGCTGGAGCGACGCGGAGAAGCAACAATTTGGCGATGACTGAGCGATCCTCGGTGTTGATTTGAGCTCACAGCGCGGCTCATTGTACCTGTAGCCAGGTACGTCAGAAGCTACAGTATGTACTCGGTCGCTAAACCGCTCGCTAATGCAGTGCGCGTCCCAGAGTCGGCTAAAGTGGATGCGGAGTTTTTTTCTGCATTACAGAAGAAAGAAGAAATTGGAGGAAATTGGAGGAAATTGGCAAAAATTAAGACTGGTGACGGATATCAAGGCTGTTGACAATGAAAACTTCATGATACTGGCAGAGCAGCAGTATGAGTGTTCTGGTATTGCTGCCCTGCCTGTCCCCCCGAAAATACACTCATAACTCCACCAACTTGCTGTTATTGTACAAGAGACATCCACCGAATGAGGAAGTTATAGAGTGTGAAGAATTGACTCGCCATTCCGGCAGATATGTGAGACGCCCATTCATGGACTTGACAGTATCTTCGGTGAGTACCCGTGAAAGTACAGTACGAGTACATGGAGGCAGTATGAATTAATGCACTTCTGACACGACCCACAAGAACGCTGAATACCTGAACAATAGTGCTGAAGCTGGAGATTAACCAAACTGTCGACACGAAGACTTCTGGCAAAACGCTACAAGTATATTTCCACTCTCTCTCCGTTCACAGACCCAAACACGAGGTGAGCGTAACAAGCACAGTAGTGTTCCGTGGAAGACCAACCGGTGAGACATGGATGAGAAGTGATGCTATAAACATGAACTACTTGTACGAGTATTTGTACGAGAGTTGATGTACAAGCTACTTGTAGGTTCGTAATAGCATCTAAACTGTGAGCATATACAAGTACATCCTGTACTTGTACACAGGATGGTACTTGTACAAGAACCATACGGATAATTGTGGTATAAATGTGGACACAGGATCATCAAAAAGGGTCACCGACTTGAGTGTGAATTGAGAAGTTGTCAAGCGGGATTGTTCTGGTCTGGTAGCCACAGATGAAGGGTTGTATACCATGCTATACAAGAGCGAACGGGACACTTGTATCAATCAGAGTATAGTCTGTCTAAGAAGTATGGGTTCTGTGGTCACCAACGATTCTCAGATGTCATTTCCATGCACACAACTACAAGTAATTATCTTTATCAACTCACCATGCCCGTTTCTTTCTAACGACTACAAGTATCGTACAGTATGAGTAGTCCGCATACCGAGTCCCCACAGACATCATAGTAGATAGTTTTAGCTGAAATGGAAACTGAAAGTAATACTACTGACTGCCCCGCCATTTGCATTCAACATTTCACCCTTCTGTATCTACTATGATGTCAGTGTTTCTCAGATCTACCTCCTCCTAGTCCTTGCGATCAGCCGCCTGCATGAACCTTCAAAATTTTCACTGTTGATTCTGAATGAATATCAGCTCGGAAGGGAAACAGAACTGCAATCTGCTTGCTCGTAAAGATCAGATTGTTCCCTCGTTATTAACGCTCCGTCCCTCGGGTATTACTGTGTATTAATCATCTACAGGTAGCTTTCATGTCCTGGTCTTAGGCCAGTCGTTTCCGCATAAAATGGGTTAAAAGTTTTATTTTTACAGATTCGAAAATCGCGCTTACTGCTGAGCACGGATCTCCTGGATCTTGGCCTGGACACGGGCGTCTCGCTCGGCCTTGGTGAGCTTCTTCTGCTTGTACTTCTTGGACTCAGCAGCGTACTCGGCCTTGGTCTTCTTGGCGGTAGGCTTGTGGTCGGGGTCAGCTCGGATCTGCTCGTGGGCAGCCTGGAGGATCTCCTCGACGGAGTCAGCGTCAACCTCGTCGTCGAGGTAAGACTGGAAGATCTGTCGGAATCGCTCCTCATCATCATCGGCAAGCTCCTCCATGTACTCGGAAACGTGGCCAGCGAAGATGTACTTTCGCAGGGTCTCGGAGTCGAGCTCCTCGGACTCGATATCCCAACCGGGGAATCGAGAAGCGGAGTGGGGGACGTAAAGTCCACCATCGGAAGCACCCTTGAGAACACCGAAGCACTTGGCACCGGTGGTGGTTCGGGTCATACCGACATCAAGGAAGACCTTGAAGGGTCGAGGACCGTCCTCAACGGCCTCGGTGAGCTCAAACTCACCCTCAACCTCCTCAACTCCCTTGTAGGTCTCGTCGAGGCCGAGCTTCTTGAGAGCTCGTCGAGCAACAAGAAGACCGACGGCGTAGGCAGCGGCCCAGTTGGTAAGACCGTGCTTGACACCGTATCGGGGAAGCTCGTGAGCGTAGGCGGCAGTGAAAACAATGTCACCCTTGAGCTGGGAAGAGACAATCTGGGCGATGATGTCCTTGTTGGTGAATCGCACAACAAGTCGGTACTTGGGGGTGTTGTACTTGGCCTTGTGCTGGGTCACGAGTCGCTTTCGAGCATAGTAGTCGGTCTTACCTTCTCGTCGTCGACGGAAGGGGGTCTGGAACCGAGAGTGGTAGGCAGAGGTCTTGACAATCTTGTTGAACGACATTGTTGATGAAGACTGATGAGATGAGACGGGATTTTTCACCATTATAAAAAATAGACCTTGGGAGTTTCCAAGCCTGTGACTGTTTTCCCAAAAGGGAAAAGTCATGTGATCAGAGTGGATTTTGAACCTTAATTTATAGGAGAGGGGTCAATGATGAAAAAATGAGGGGAATATGATGATAAAAGGATACAGAGTCGATTGAATGGCGATAGATAATCAAGAGGTTTAGTGGTATTTTTATTTTTATTTTTATTTTTATTTTTATTTTATATCATTGAAACTATTTCTTTTGGCTCCTTATTTCACCCCTATGTGACATTTCAGTATCTCAAATATCGTATAAAATCGCCAAAAATGGAATATTTGAAAATAACCCACAATATAACCACATAAATATGTTCATCGGATCTTTACGCTTGAGAGAAGAAAAAATCGGACTCCATCGAACCCCCTGAAGACTTCAGAAAAAACCGAGATACTTTTTGTCTTCTACCCCCACCCATTTGTGCTGCATGACGCTGTTGTGTGTCACGGGTCCAAACCTCTTGTTAGGAGTTGTAGTACACTCTTTTTTATACAAAAAAAAAAAAAACAAAAACAAAAAAACCCATATTAATTTATTACTATTTATTTCTTATTCTTTTATTTATATAAATTTGATTTATTATTTATTCATATTTATATTATTCTATCAATTTATAATGTACAAGTTCATGTACTCAGAAGATGCTGTGGACTCACTGGGTAGTATATCTCAACAAGTATGACATCTGTGGCACGAGGAGTACAGCATATATAAATTATAACTAGATGATCGCTTTAAAAATAGTACTACTGTTGCAGAACTGTACTCGTTTTCATTCCATGGTGTGCGACTATCTTGTTAATGGATTGATTGTGGGTCTACCATACGTGCAACCGAGTACAAGGAATCAACAGACGAATTTTAGGGCAATCTGAGAGCCCAAGGAGCTTGAAATTGGATTAAACGTATCAATGTTACTCCGAAGATGTTTTTTTCCTTCCCCATAGCATCCATTGTATACGCCAGGTGGGCATATAAAGATCTGTGCTGTTACTTTAGTGTTGGACATGCCAGTTGACGACTTCAAGTGGATTGCTGATACAGGCCCCTGGACTTCCGATATTCATATAGTGGTCAACTATCTTTCTTATTCTCTTTTTGTCCACACCACCAGGTATTTCTAGTACACCATATTGATCATTGTACGTCAGGCTACTTGTAGCTTGGAGAAGTGTCCACGAATCCTTGTAACGATGCCCGGACCAACAATGGAGTACAGGGAGGATATAATGTTGATAATCTAGATGCTCTTCTGACCCGTGCCCATTCCCAAATTTCGACACTTGCCCAGGTTTTTTTTTTTTTTTTCTGCATATACATTCATTTCATTATAAGGTACTTGTATCGCTGTTGCTTTTCTTCCGTTATCTCAACTACTGTAATTAACAAAGGGACTATATGGTTAAGTGTATACTTAGCTTTTTACTTTCCACTCCCCGAATGTCAACGAACTATTGTATTAGTGATATACAAGAGGAAAAAACAAGCAAAAATGACAAAAATGATTCAATCACCCGAATAACAATGACGCTATTTTTTATTTTTTTTCTTCTTGATTTGTGTAACTAATTGCACGCTCCATCGATATCTCCGCCACCTGCATGGCCCTGCATAGAGTTCTCTACGCCAATATGGATCTGTGGACGTGATTCCGCCGCCACCACACATGGAATATCGACATCTGGAACTCGCCAGCCATCTGTTTGACTCATGCATCTTTGACGAGGCTCTCAGCGTGCTCGAGACGGGTCTGCTCCGAACCCCCGTCGAGCTGCCAACGTCCAAAGAAACAGCCATTCTCATGACTCTCGCGGCGTATCCTCTCTCGCACCTAGGAGGGGAGACCGTCAAGACTATGACGTACAACAGCGTTCATCGGGGAACACGCGACTGTCAGAAGACGCCTGGAGCACGCGCCACCGCCCTTCTGAGACGCTTGCTGGAGTTCTCCAAGGGATCGGGACCAGCCCAAGAACGCATGAAACTTGTGCTACGATCATCTCTCATTGACCATATCGAAGAGGAGGGCGAGCAATCGAACACTACGTCAACACAAGCGAAGGAAACTCGGACAAGCACATTGGAGCATAAAGGTTGGGACGATGTGGCACAGGTACCTGTCGATCGTTCAAAACACGAAGGAATGGATTCGAATCTGCTGAGAGACATGGTGCCTCACAATGAAAATCTGAAGAAACTCTCTGATCATCTACGTCCATTGTTGTCGTACACAAGAACCTCTTTGTGGTTATCGCTGTGGACAGTCTATGGGTACTACTTGGCATGCAGTGGGTCCCCCAGTGCGCCACATCTGAGTGCCTGGGCAACCGTTCGACCTCTCTTGCATGTGATCCAGGACATTGTCGAGGCTGACCCTTTCATTTTGCTCAGTTTCTACGATTCCCACGGCAGCATGTCCGAAATCTGCAACCGAATCCTACCAGGCAAGGGACGACCCATCACTCCTCTGTTCATTGGAGATGTAGATTTCGGTCCCAATTTCGATCCCGAGACAATTGACCATCTTAGGGAGGTTGCATTTGTGGAGAGTATGGTCATACGAGAAAAATGGGTCGAAATTCTGCGGAGTAACGTCGAATTTTTTGGCGCAGAGCCGAAGGCTGAGTGGTACCTGCTCGACAGATTCACTACCTTTACTGCTACTCATCATCAGGTGATTCCCCAGGTCTACCCCTGTGTCTACCTACCAGATTACTACACTGTCTTCATTTTTCATAAGTACATCAAACGGTGCACTCAACGGGCAGGACATGTCGTCAATGCTGGGCAGTTTTTGGAACGAGTTTCTAAAGGAGAGGAGAAGGAGTTGTACGATGATGCTATGGATTTACTAGAGGTGGCGTTAAGTGACAGCCCTGATCGTGGCTTGTTGGAAGGAGGAGCTTCAAAGATTTACTCTCCAGTGCTTTACGCCTTTTATGGTCATGCTCAATTGTGGGTGAAATTGGCCCTTCAGATCGGTTCTGACACTTTTTCGCCAAAAGATGTCCTGGAGTATCTTCGGAAGGGGAGGACGACGCGTTTCCAGGTGTTGTCCTCGTACAACGAGAAGAATGAAAAGGCGCCAGTTCTTTGTAAGCAGGAGGAGGATGTTCTTACTGCCATTGTCAAAGCCAAGTTGATCCTCAATAAGTATTTGTGAATATGGCTGTTATTTATATGTTAATGAAATGATTGAATTCCGGTAGGGGCACTGCACAGATATACCGAAAATGGTCCCAGGGTGGTGTCATTGGCGACAGATTCACGTTGGTCTTACAGTACATACTCTGCTCCTCTATCTGCGTATTACCATATCATGAAGAACGTGACAGAAACCAAATGAAAATAATTCTGACCACGACTAATGTCATATAAATATAATTGGTATCAGCTAATCTCATTAAAGCTGTTTTTGTTAGATCACCATCAGTGAATCGGCTTGTTTCAATGCCAAAGATTCTGTTTTCTTTATTCTAGGGAAATACATTTCATCTACTTGAGGCTAAAGGCAATGTTATACCCGCAAATCGGATTCGGATTCGACATCGGTTGTTCAGAAGAGCGCATGACATTCGTGTTCGCTTGTTCACGTTTTATTTCTGTTCCATCTCTTGACCGGATTAATCATCTGAATTCAGTTTTGGAAGTCCACTTTGCCTGTATAGGCATGTAACGATTCAGAAGCTAGTCATAAGGTGTTATGATTAGTCATGTGCCTTGGCACGTGACTGGACGATGATGACGTCCGGAGGACGTCATGAGTGTGTCATTATGGATGAATACTTGGTATCGCGTGGCTAGGTCACGTGGATAGTGACGTGCTTTACAGAGTTAGGGTTGAGATGCCTGTATATATAGCCACCACTCGCAAGTATGTAAGTTAAGTTATGTTTATACGACTTCCGGAGCTCGTACTATTGGTGTACTGTTCTGTAGAGTAGGACGAGCGGTTCCCGCTCGTACCTAGGGATATCTTGAGGATTGACCCATCACCGATCCGTTACAAGGCATAAACCTGCCTTCGTGGCCAAGTGGTAAGGCGCAGCACTAGTAATGCTGAGATCATCAGTTCAAATCTGGTCGAAGGCATGTATCTTTTTATATTTGCAAGCAGTTCTGCACAAGATTTTTTGACGTGCTCTTCGAAGCCTTTGACATACTCGGAGGAACTTCGTCTAGACCCATCGTGACACACTAATAAATGAGACACCTACAAGTAGGGTCAACATCTTGAGACTGTATTGAACAGTAGAATGTCCTAATTTTTATGACCGATCACTTCATGCAAATTCCGTGCCGGAGATACAAACTAGATATTGCTCTAGTCCCAAACAAGACACTGAGGCCCGAGGTATCCAAAACAGAGCCAATTGGTGACTCTGCGACGCCCCGTCAGGACATGAAAGTTGAGGAAGAAATTTTGGGCTGCAGGACGCTTATATGGAGAAATTGACTCGGTAGGGTAACTGGGCTAGTAGGGTAAGAAGACTTGGGAGGAGGTTTTGGAGAGTGGTTAGAAGGGGGAATAAGGAGATGTTGGGTGGATTTGATAGATGGGTCTGGGTGTGTTGTTGTTATTGTTGTTGTTGTTGTTGTTTGGGGTGGTTTGGGCCGCTTCTGAGTCTCATTCATTGGGCCGTATTTTTGGGACCGATTGGCGGGTGACGTGAATATTTAAATTATTTGCGATGTTGTTGGTAGTTTTGTTGGGGTCTGAGATGTGTCGGGGGGTGGAACCGATGATGTGAGTGAGTGTTTCGATGTTTGGATACAGGGTGTGACGCGGGGGGGGGGGGTATTTCAGGCGTGTCATTTTGGTCGGCATTTCTTCAGACGAGTTATATCACAGTAGGCGATTACGAGCAAGAGTATTATCGTGGACACTGGTATGCATGGTGAATTGACGTCCTATACTCTGCAATCAGACATGAACTGTCACAAAAAATAAGAAGTGAAATGTTTACAGAAGCCGCCAGAAGACGCATGGACTCATCTGGAAGCTGGGTCGGACCACATGATACCCCCCAATATTACTCCAAGTCATGCGCACCGCACGCCCACACATGCCACACAGGCCGCCGATATTATCACAAGCGTCGGCTTCGGCTCATCTGACCGCAAGTGTAGGCAAGAGCACGTGCATATTGAACCAACCTGACGAAGCACGTATGTGCGAATGTACAAGGCCTGTCAGATTGAGAGTAGACCTGTACCAAGGGTAAAATGACTGGAAGACGCGGAGACAAGCCCGAAGATGGCCCAAAAGATAGACCGTGGCCACCAGCGTACGCACACATCTGCGAGAGTGACACCATCACGCTGGTAATCCCGACTCTCTATCCACAGAATGGCGTACAGAGGCCATTAGCAAAAGTACGGCATTGTACCAGCCTAAACATAGGTATTGTCTTGTACTATCCAACCGTGCATACAAACGCAAGGTACCCGACTACCCAGCTACCCTGGTAAAAGCCGTATGAACAGGTGAGCGTCAAGGGGTACCGACGAGAACTGGTATGTATCGTATAGAGCACAATGGCCTCCAGAGCGGCGACCTAACCCGCTTGAAAGGACCAGCCTCTACAGTAAGACATACTGTAACCGGAATTCGTATTGCACCGTATATACCGTACGATACTGTAGTTATCGTGGTCAAAAATAGATCGTGCTCTGTACGGTACACATCCCAAAATCACATGATTGCGTCGAAATCCCAACAATATGCTCACCAAGCTGCCCTGTTTGGTAGAACCAGGAATCTCTCACGTTTCCGGCGATGGCCCTGTACGGGTGAGACACAGCACACATTAGAATGAGACAAATGAGATATTGAGATGTACAAGTACCGTATGTACTTGTAGAATGGTCATGTGGCCAGAGGCTATACAACGGAACCCGACCACAACCCAGCTGACACATTTATCATAGCGCAATGCTATACTTGCACGGTATGTATCTATAATATACTCCGTTGGTACATCCCCGTTGGCAGGTGTCATTTGAGCCTGGCCCTTGTGGATGACTGAACAATAACAACAAAGGTCGCCATGCAACGACGCACAAGCCAGCGCCTATTTTTACTCACTAGCCACAATGGGCTGAAATTACGTGGCTTTAGGTTCTCATAAATGGCAAACAAGCAATTCAATGTGAATGCACGAAGGCATGCGGTTGGCACGCTTGTGGGAGCAAGCTGTTGACATGCCTTGCTTCAAATTGTCATTTGGAATGTGGGGGTGGGTGGACGCGTGTCTGGGTCTACAGCATCCCATCACGTGTTGTTGGGAGCGGCAACGGTGACGTCATGCGCCAACATTCATTCACAGTTGAAAATGGCCGCTGGGGTGCTCATCTGCAATACTAACCGTGCCAAGGTATTTCTAAAACTCGCCATATGGTTTGAGCTCGTGCAACCTGGGGGCTTTACCCTATCTCCTATTTGCTCTCACCTATTTACCTCTATTTTCGCTCTGGCCCTTTTCTGCTCTAATAGCAAGAATGCAGGGTCGCGTTTTGCCAACATGCAGCTACTGGCTATGATACATTGTAACTCTTGTGGTCCGACTCTGCACATCCACGCACGCGTGCGCAGAACAACAAGGCATCACCCACGTCGACTTACGCGGGGGAGAAGGATATGGCGCGAAGGGGGCATTCCAGAGAGTAAACAAGGTGGCTGATGGGCTGAAAATCCACCGCAAAACACAGACTCTGGGGTCTCCAGGTAGGGAAAAACAACCTCCAAAACAAAGTCCCAGATTGACTCACATTATATTGCCGTATTTTCCGAAAGGAACCAGGGCTAGGGCTTTGGTATTCACTTGGCAAAAGTCCCCCCCCCCAAAAAAAAAAAAAAAAAAACTATTCATAGCAAAAACACAAGACCAGAATAGGTCTATCAAACAAGCGAGGGAGGGAGAGAAAATCTGACATGTCGGCGACTGGTCAAAAGTGCCTTTTTTGCAGACTTTTCAGTGTATCGTAGCTGTCCCCTCATCTGTGTCCAGGGACTTTCCTGCCTCTTACGGCAAATTACAATCGGGGATCCATGCTCACTTTTGTTGTCCTGATGATCTCCCGTTATTTCGCCGCTCCTCTGGAAACCATCCGCCCGCAAATCCCCTCTGCCCATCTTGACAATGCACAATGCATCATTCTCAGCCTGCATGAATGCGAAAGATGGCAATATTGGTGGAGGAGGCGACGGCGGTAAACAATGGAGATAGAGACCACAAAAGAGACCTGGAGACCCAAAATGGACTCACGACAACTCCCCCACTCCCCCACTCCCCATCTCCCCCTGGGCATCAGTTGCCCATCGGTATCTCAACTGTCGCACTAGTTAGCGCAACCATCACATACTTTAGACGCCAAACAATGGGACAACTCATCGCGCCGAACTATGGGCAGATTTTAACTCGCACAACATTACCCCAACTCTAAAAGGTAACCTCGACCGGAAAACGGGAAGACAGGATCAGCAACCGTGATCGACAGAATCTTCAGGGCACTACAGTTGATAGACATAGGTTATGTTGGTAGGTCTAGACGGGCCTCGGGGAATTGACCCCACCAGTTGCAAGTCACGTGCCCCTGATACAGCTAGTTTAGCACATCTGCCCACTACGTCTGGACGCACCATGGTGGTGCCAGTCGCGTGAACTCAAACACCCACTAGCCTCGGGAAGGATTCAGTTAAATCCGCACCTTATTTCCAACACAAAGAAGCGGTTGGCGGACAAAGAACATGTCCTTTCTGGGGCACTGTACATTCCAGGACTCTGTTCAAGGTCAAATATACAAAACACAGATAGAGAAACATAGACAGCTGCGGCCTTATAAATACCTGGGCGCACTTCTCTCTTTTTCCCTCCTCATCACACATTCGTTCACCACTAAGTCACTCGTTCAAAATGAAGTACTCCGCCGTTCTCCTTGCCTCCGTCGCCTCTGCCGCCGCTGTCTACCCCAACTCCACTCTCTCCGAGTCTGGTCCCCTGACTACCGTCGTCTCCACCGTCGACGTCCAGTCCACCGTCACCGTTACTGACACTGACTGCGACGAGGGTGTTGAGTGCCACCCCGTCACCACCACCATCACCGACTGTGAGGAGGAGTGTGTCACCCCCGCCCCCACTGCCACCACCGTCACCGTCACCGTCTGTGAGGAGGAGGTCTGCAAGACCGTTGTCACCGTCACCGACTGCCCCGTCGAGACCGAGACCGCCACCGTCACCGTGTGCGAGACCGAGACCGTCACCGTCTGTGATGAGGACATCTGCCACACCAAGACTGTCACCCTCTCCACCGAGGTCACCCTGACCCCCACCCCCGCTCCTCAGACCACCACCCCCGCTGTCGAGCCCAAGCCTACCCCTGAGGTCCCTGAGGTCAAGCCCGAGCCTACCCCCGAGGTCCCCGAGGTCAAGCCCGAGCCTACCCCCGCTCCCCCTGCCCCCAAGCCCGAGCCTGAGGTCCCCGAGGTCAAGCCCGAGCCTACCCCTGAGGTCCCCGAGGTCAAGCCTGAGCCTACCCCCGCCCCCCCTGCCTCCAAGCCCGAGCCTGAGGTCCCTGAGGTCAAGCCCGAGCCTACCCCCGCTCCCCCTGCCCCCAAGCCCGAGCCCGTCCCTGAGCCTACCCCCGAGGTCCCCCAGGTCCAGCCCGAGCCTTCCACCCCTGAGCAGGCCAACGCTGCCACCAACCTCAAGGCTTCTGTCTTTGCTCTCGGTGCCGTCGCCGTCGCTGCTCTTCTCTAAGTTTTTTGATCAATGATCCAATGGCTTTCACATACCCCCCCACGCCTATAATTAAAACACAGAGAAATATAATCTAACTTAATAAATATTACGGAGAATCTTTCGAGTGTTCAGCAGAAATATAGCCATTGTAACAAAAGCCGGCTATCGACCGCTTTATCGAAGAATATTTCCCGCCCCCCAGTGGCCAAACGATATCGGTTCCTGGGGAAGTCTATTGCATGTATATTTGAGTTTACCCGTATGCATGAGGTTGTCTTTGTCTTTAATTCAGAGCAAAAATAAACGGGTCGTAGACAGAGGTCTCTTCGGGACTGTTAATGCGCACCTGTCTGTCTTTTTTGGGACATGTACAAAGAGTCCGTATAAGTGGGTGACAAGGGATCCGTTCCCAAAATGGATCCAATATCCACCTGTGCTGTCAGCGTTGCTATATTTGGCAATCCAGTCAGGTACGTGCCTGGGCTAAGATACACATGCGCACGGCATTTCCCACACTATGAACTTTACTTTTGTTGACCTGGCCCGAACCATATGGGTCGGCTTAGTCTCTCCACAGTTCGAGTTCGAGTTCGAGTACGATACACGGTATGTATGTACTGTGCCATGTATGTTCGTACTGTGAAATGTTCTGTAGGTCTGTCGCTAATGTTCCGGAAAGAGCAGCATGTGAAAGGTATGGCAAGCAGTGATGCGTCATGGCGTGATAACGAAAGAGAGAGAGCAGGGTTGAGTCCAGATTGGCAGGGTCCGGTTGGTTGTTTGATTAGAATTCTGAGACCAACTGTTGCTGACAAAGAGTTCTTGGTATTGGTGGTTTGGAGTGCATCTGAAGATTGGAGTGGAGACGGGACTGGAGGGGTGTTTTTGCGTTGAGGGGTTTCGATCCGGTGACTATGTGGTCAGAGAGTTTGGTGTATGGAAATTATCACACCTTGTGCTTGGTTGGGATTGGTGGACATTTACTGTTGCACGGCTGTGAAGATCATACTTGAGTTATGTATGTTTAGCGGACTTGGTACGACGTAGTGTGATGTTGGAGATACTGCATTACCTTTACTAGATGACAGGTCCTTATATAGATATATCGTGGGTTACACACAGACATGAAGAGGGTGGTATACAGTACATGTGAAATTTCACAATGACTTATCACTGTGATTACTATCATCAAAGGGGATATCAACATGTACGTATGTACTCGTTGGTACTCGGACAAAATGCGGGCGTACTATACTATACATTGCAAAGTCATAGGTGTAGTATCCACCATACCGTACGATAAGACGTTCGAGTTCTGGAATCAATGATCTGCTATATTTCCCTCCCTATATATTACTGTATCGTACTCCACTCACTACAATTGTAGCTACCGTTAATCATAATATATAATACCTATAATGCAGAGTATGCAGAAATGTTCTTGCCTGAATCTCAATCTCTCTCTCACTTGCCGTGAGACCCGACCACGGTCGAATTGGACGGCGGGTCTTGCATTGGAGTCGCTGGGGCCCCCACTTGCTGTCTCAGGTGCGTTTCCATCAGATTGGCGTTTCTCGTTGTACATTTGAACACGGCGTTTGCCACGTCTCCAACCAGGGGAATGAATCCAATACCACATCCGATAGCGAGGTTGAGAATCATCTGAGCCTCCAGAGCTGGGGGCAAACCTTCAGTCAGCTGCTTCTTGGCCTTCTGCACCAGTCTGTATCCCAGGTAGAAGACGAAGAGGTCTCCCACGACTGGAACCAGACCAATGAGGGTGGCCCATCCTACTCCAAAGCCACACATGTCAAAGATCCAATCCAGCTGGTACGACCAACTGAGGAACGACTTGAGCACCTTTTCATCCTTCTTCTGCAGACCCTGGGGCAGAGTTCGCTTGATCTTCTTCTTCTTGGGCTTGACTTTCTCGTTGGCTCCAGGAGGAGGAGGGATTTCCTCGTAGTAGTGGTAGGGGTGAGCAGGTTCGAGGTTGGTCTTGATTGCGCCGTTGAGGTGCGACGTGACGTACTTCTTTCCATAGTGTTTGGCAATGAACGACATTGTGGTGATGTGGAGGAAAAGGAGGCTTGGAGGTTGGGAAAAAGTCGGTTGCTGCTTGCTCAAGTGTCGATGATAACGGTGCAACTTTAACGGTCTGGTGGTGGATGGCCGATATTGGCAGGTGGAGGTGGTCAAAGTGCGAAGGCAGTGAAATGGAGGTACTTGTAGAAGACTGGTACAGGACCCGATTGCAGTATATATATAGCACCCTGAATCAGTCACCTGAGCCTGTACACCGCCCCCCCGAAGCGCTCTGAGTTTTAGGGTCCACCTCGCATGTGCAACTGAAATGAAACCGTGATGTGGAGTAGCAAGCGAGCCTTTAGACTAGTGTATACTGGGTGCTTGAGTGGGTTCCGAGAGGCAAAAAAGTAGGCGAAGCAGGCAATTGAGTATTGCAAACAATTACTAAGCCGACTTTAGATATTGGCCACCAGTTTGTCTCAAGCACAAGTGGACTGGCTGCTGCGCCTCCAAAATGGGCATCGCCATAAACACCTGCATGTGAACTGCAAGTGCCTTGAACCATCTCTGTTTCTTCACAATACAATAAAGTGCTGATTCAGAAAACACCACCACAGGACATGGACTGGACCAAGTCATTCACCATCAGCAGTGCCAAGCCTGGGCGACCGGTGCGATTGTCGGGAGTGGAGAAAACGGCTTTACAGGCGGCGTTCGACGAACATGCAGAAGACGGAGTCATATCGGCGTTTGATGTGCCACTCGTGATAATGGACCTGGGTTGGTCTGTGGAGGAGTTTTCGGGCACGGACAACCTTGACGAATGCGTGAATATACTCAAACCGCATTTTCTCAACGATGTGATCACCTTCGACGACTTCAGTGACGGCTTTTCACGCATGATCACGCGCCAGGTGCTGGATCCGGGGTTTGTGTCTGAAGGAGAGGGCTCAGGGGACGACCAGGGAGGGTTTCTCGCGGAGGAAATCGCTGACATTGAAGACGACGCATCGAGTGAAGGCGGCGGAGGTTTTGTGGCCAGTGACGAAGACGAGGGAGGTGGGTTTGTGGCCAGTGAAGAAGAGGGCGATGAAGGAGGAGGGTTCTTTGTTGCCAGTGATGGAGGGACAGGTGGAATAATTGAGCCGATTGAAGAGAAACCGAAAAAGAAGAAGAGGAAGAAGAACAATGTTTTTGTAGAAGATGTGCCTCTGGCGTTCTCATGGTTCACAAAGTCAGACACGATTAACACTGCTGATCTACGACGAATAGCCAAGTTGGTGAAAGATAACGCCAGTGAGAAGGATTTCAAAGACATGATGGAGGTGGCTGGAGCTGTCGGCGGCAAGATTGATATTCAAGCATTTGAGGGGTTACTGAAGAAGCTCTAAAAGTCCAGAAGAGAGACCCAGATCAGACGCAAGCATATGCGATGACCTCTTGGCGAGCGTTTATTTATATGTAACGAAAGATACGAATTACCTAATGACCATACAAGTAGTGAGTATATAGTGCAACCATTACAATCGTTATAACCATTGTTCATCAGATCACGATTTGTCGTCCAAATCAGCTTTCACGTTCTACGAGTACACAACAGTCCTTTCTGACCACTACAAGCAGACACTTTTCAAGCGTCCTCATTCTCGAGCGCGTCACATTGTGTCTCTTTTCATTCTAACAATTATCAATTTTTTGATTTGAACCCCTTTTAAATGATATGCTTGGATCGGAAGTAAGATCTGAGGTAGATGATCTGCCAGACGCCGAGAGCAATGAGAGCCAAGGTGATGCCGACGGAGAAGAACTTGACTCGTCGGTTAGTGGACTCGTTGGTGTCTCGCAGCCTGATCTCTCGCATCTTGAGGTAGTTCATTTCCTTGTCCACCTCATCGACGATCTCCTCGATCTTTCGCAGCTGCACCTCTGCGGGCTTGAGCTTTTCGGAGGCCTGGATCTGCTCCCAGTCTCGGGCGTTGGCTCCAATGGCGACCGACAGATCAATCTCCTTGGTCTTTCCGAGATCCTGGTGCGAGTTGGCCACGTTGTGGAAGCACACGTCCAGAGCAGTGTCCTGATGAGAGCTAAAGGTGGTGATCTCTCGGCCCAGAACATTCTTGATTCGGGTGTACTCGTTTCCATGTGCGTCTCGAACGACCACGCTCAGCTGCTGGCCGTCAGCGTACTTGGGAGACTCGACAGTGACGACAACGAGCTCGCCGTTCTTGACAAAGTCTCGCACACAAAAGGGCAGCTCGTTCTTGTCCTTGGCAGGCAGCACAAACCGCAGGGCGGCCACGGCGTTGATGAGGAGCAGCAGGGTCAGCACGCTCACGATGGATTTCATGGTTGGCGTTCGGTCTGTGTATGTGTTGAGTTGAAAAGGTAGGAAGGTGGAGTGCACTTAGCGTGTGATAGTTACGTGTTAACTTTACGCGTGTTCAGGGTTGTGGTAGGTGGTAACTTTGTGGTCCTTAAAAGCGGTATAGCTGGTGGCTAGAAAGTATATAAGGGTGGCTAGGGGCCCTGTTCAGACTGTGGATTTGCAGTGAGGTCTGGGCCAGTCGAAAAGAGTCCTTATAACGTCCACTGCGCACGGCTCTCAATCTGAGATCAAGCGAAAAGACCCTTTCAAAACTCCGAACCTTGATTGCGCCCACGAAGCAGTTGGAGACTCATAGCAATGAGAGGGAGAGCAGCGCACCGTCACGTGACGAATATGATGGGGGGTTGGGGTTGGGGGATGGGTTGTGACAGCCTCCGAACCGACGAAACACGTCTAGGTCTCTATTTATACCCCAATTCACGTGATCCTCCTCTTCCAACAGAACTTAATCCATCTCTTCAGACAAGATCGTTGGCGCATACAGTAATATGATCGTGTGCCGGGGTCGAGTTGGGAGAGACACGCACGGCAAGTGAGGTGGAAGGATTAATAAGCGGGTCAACAGGTGCCCAAAAAACACCAAAGCCAACTAGGTTCATTCATTTGGCTGCTGCTTCACATCTTGTGGTACTACATTGTAGTTCGGCTATGGCTTCGTTCCATTTCTCGGTCAGATTATGACTGCACTATAGCTACAGGTACTTGTAGTATATCAAGCATAGTGACCACCGACAGACAGCGCAGCATGTCGATCCTCTGTATCAGTTTGGAGAGATGATCGCTATCGGAACAACTATGTACACTGTACGAGGCGAGTGTGCGAGTGAGAGTACGACTAAAAGTACGACTGAAAGTACGACTGAAAGTACGATTGAAAGTACGACTGAAAAATTCAAGTGTCAGCACAAGTTCCGGTATCGTACTGTATCCAGCTACAGCACATCGCGGTATAGTATACATACTGTACACTGCAATATTGCAATGTTTGTAGTGGTCTAACTCGCCTATCTAAGAAGTCATCGGTCAATATATATACCGTATGTACTTCTCTTCGGCCAGTACTCGTATTTGTACAAGTACCATTGTTCTGTTCTGCAATCACTGGTGCAACTTCATGTGTTGTCAGGTCCGGATTAGCCTTCAATTTAAATTATCTGGAGACTGCAAGCTGTCAATGTCAGGGGTTGAATGTGGGATTATAATTAGTGTGCCGGGAGTGCAATTCCTGTACACGACCCCAGCAGTCTCATGTCCTTGAAAGTGAGCTTTTTGTGTTTGTTTCCATCCCAACTGGTGGTTTCGTAGGTCGCTCTTTTCACGTCCCCCCTTGCACGAGGCTGGCTCATCACCTTTCCCTACAGCCTAAACCCGCCCTACCTGTATGTATCAATATACCGTTTGCTGGCTGTACAGTGAGAGATATTGCGGGCGAGAGAGACGCCGAAAGAGGCGGATGTTGAGTCTTTTTGAAACCGTGGCAGTCTATAATCAGCCGTGGGGCGGAAAATGCCGCTACCAGACTGCCACCCACTGGCACTACCGTCTCAAAGTGGCCTATAGCCCGCCTTATATATATAACCACAACTGGCTGACATGTGCAAGGGTGCATGAAGGGTGCGTGGGTGGGACAAGTGCTTGTATGAGGTTGGTATTTTTGTATTCTTGGGACTTGCTGCATCCCCCTATTTGACGCTCTTGTAGAAATGCTTCCGGGTGGAAAAACACCACGACAAAAGGCGCTGAGGATTTTCAAGAAGCTTGTGTCCCTCATTTTATGTCCACTGACACATGTCTACACTAAGTCCACCTTTTTCCAATCATCTGTTTACCTCTTTCCCACCTAAGGTTGGTTTCAAACCATACTATTTTTAGCGCACATTTAAGAGAGAGGCTACCTGTATGTATGTACTGTAGCTCCACTAATAGCTTCATTCTGTAGACATCTTCAGACGGACAGCTTTCCCGACACACGCAAGCCACCAAGATGAACGTGCCTCCGCTGTCTTCCGCCGCGGTGCCAATATCGACCTCGGCGCTGCTCGGCACCCTACACCAGCAGTACAACTCCGCAGATCGTTCGCTTCGAATCGATTCCACCTCGGTGCTCGTCCTTGACGGCCACATTGACATCGATTTCCTCAACTCCGTGTGGGAGCACGCCTGGAAGCGTTCCGAAGATCAGAGTATTTTTATTGGGTGAGTACAACTGACGGAACGAGCCACGGCTCTGGCAGAGGAACTACATCATGAGCGAACGTCTTCATGACCATACGTCCTGCGTCCTGAATTTCAATGCTACTGCCTCAACGCAACAAAGCTGTTTGGATGCAAGAAGCATTACTTCTCCCTGATGCTACCTCCAAACCACCTATTGAATGCCACTAACACAGATCATCGATACCGTCAGCCCCCTCTTCTTTCCTGGCATGTCTGCAAGAGTTCCCCAACATCCCGCCCCAGACAGCCACGGCCCTCAACGTGCTGGAGCCGTTTCTGACGGCCCAGACACCTGAAAACGTCGACACACTGCTGCACAATGGCCTGTCTGTCTGCGTCTCTCTGGACGCCGACGGAAACGTGTGCAAAACTCGAATCATGCTGTCAGACCTGCCCCTGTCCTCGGTCAAAATGCTGACACACCTGCCTCACGAAAAGGACAACCGGGCCTTCACCGTTTTCTACAATCTACTATTGGCCGCCACCGACTCAGAAATCGACCACTTGTCCCTCAAACCAGCAGACGAATACAATCTTCTCAAGCCCTCAGGAACATTCACTCTTCCAGAGTACATGCAGCACACAGACGACCATGCCTTGGCCACAGACTGGAGAGACTCGCTCAAACAGTGTGGAATCAGGGGCCAGAACCTCAGATCTATTCTCTCTACACTGTCTGGTCTGCTGCTACTAGGACAAGGCAACGAGTTTGATAAACTAGAAGGAACTGCTTTGATTGGCGTGTCTCCTGATACTCTCGAGCAACACTCCACAGATGAGGTGATTGCGTCGACTTATGTGGCCCTTATCAAAACTGTAGTTGGACTTCTCAACCAGTTTCTGGAGGGTATGGATATGGCACCTGTCGGAGACTCTGGATCGCCTGAAGACGATATTGTGGCGCTCGTCAACATTGTCGAGTGCGGGCCTTCCGAGCGATCTGTCATTCTGCGATCTGTTTTTGACGACTCGGTTGGTATTTCTAAAGAGCTGGTCGACGAAGGCTTCAGAGTAGTTAAAACACCTCAAAACGTCACAAAGGTGCTCTCCACCTGGAATAGCGAAAAGATCCACAACCTGCAACAGATGCAGCGGCTTCTAATCCCTAATTTCCGCTTCTTCCTCGACGAAAATCTCTCTGTTCTTGCTCGAGACGACTTTGCCGAGCACATATTGGACGTGACTTCGTTGCTGACCACCTCGCGAATCTGGAACATTATCAACGTGGCCGTCAACACAACCGCCAAGGGTGAGATTCTGGAAAAGTGGACTGGAGCTACCGTCTCTCTGCAGGTACGAAACTGGGCCCTTGTGGAGTGGATCCGAAAACGGTCTGGTAGAGACTACACGGCCGACTTTGCATTTGACGAGCTGGCCGACAGGTACGCAACTCTGCATTTTCCCTCGGACTACATGATTCTGCAGGGCTGGGTGGCAGACACGTTTGGATGGGGCCCTGCGGACTTTGCTGTGGGACAACATCGAGCGTGGTTGAGTGAACCGGCATGGAATCACCTGGAGGAGGCCATTGGACAGGGAATGGGTGGCCACGGATACGACCAGCACCAAGCTTCTTACATGGACCAGATGGGCGGCCATGGAATGAACATGCCCAACATTGTCAATCCTGCCATGGCCAACATGGGCAACTATGGAGGCGGTCTTACTGAGCGAGAAATGCATACCCACGAGGCAGATCTTCACCCCGCGGAGCCCAACATCACCACTATGGTTCCTGACGGAGGCCTTCCAGGGGGTCCTTATGGTTCTGATGATCCTGATTATCCCCACCCCAGCTATGAGAACCAGGGTCTTATGGATCCCAGCAAGTACAGAGACGCACAAGAATTTGGAATTGATCCTGAATATCTTGTTGGAACGACAGACACTGTTGTTGTCAAGACTTCAGGTTACCGACGAATGTGGGTTGCGTTTGTGTGGCTGCTCACCTTCTGGATCCCCTCTCCTCTTCTCAAGTGGATTGGTCGAATGAAACGACCCGATGTGCGAATGGCGTGGCGAGAAAAACTTGTTATTTTCGCCTTCATTTTCCTGATCAACGCGGGTATTGTCTTCTACATGATCTTCCTACAGCGAATCATTTGTTCCAACTTTGACAAGGCTTGGAACGTCAAGGAGCTGCATACTCACCAGGGAGAGAATGATTACTACGTTGGTATTAGAGGTTCTGTTTATGATATGACCAAGTTCTACAGACAGCAGCATTCTGATAATGGCATGAAGACCAATCCCGACGACATGATGTACTTTGCTGGCCAGGATCTCACCGACTACTTCCCTCCTCCTCTCACTGTCGCCTGTCAGGGACTTGTTGAGGACGAGGATGTGTGGATGAGGTATAACAACACTGTTAACATGATTCCCCAGGCTATTCATTACTCTGGTTCGTGGAAGGTCCCTGCCGAGGGGCAGGCTCTGCATCAATACACCTGGTACAATGACAAGTTTGGCCCTAAGATCAAGCAGTATTACAAGGGAGATCTTGTGGTTGCCAAGAAGGATGTGGAGAAGCAGGGTACACAACAGCAGCGAATGTGGATCATGATGGGTGATCAGATATTTGATTTTACAAACTACTTCTATACCCTGACCATCAACGACCCCTCTCTGTCTCCTCTGTACAAGAAGTATGATTTTTTGGCTCCCGAAGTCAAGGATATGATTCAGAACAATGCTGGAACCGACGTCAAAGACCTTTGGAAGGACTTGGATCTTCCGGACGCTGATAAAATGACCCACATGAGTTGTTTCAACAACGCTTTTTACCACGGAAAGCTGGATTTCAGAGACTCCGCACGGTGTCAGGCTGCCAATTACATTCTTCTGGCCATGGCTTGTCTTCTTTCGTCCGTCACTGTCATCAAGTTCGTTTCTGCTGTTCGTTTTGGCTCATCCAGACAGCCCTCCATGCAGGATAAGTTTGTGGTTTGCCAGGTTCCTGCCTACACTGAGGACGAAGATGCCCTCCGTGCCGCCATTGACTCTCTTACCTGCCTCAAGTATGACAACCGACGAAAGCTGCTTTTTGTTATTTGTGACGGTATGATTGTGGGTAATGGTAACGACAAGACCACTCCTCAGATTGTCCTTGACATCTTTGGCGTCGATCCCAAGGTTAATCCACCTGCTCTTGCTTTTCACTCTGTCGGTGAGGGTTCTCAGCAGCTCAATTATGGAAAGGTGTATTCTGGACTGTACGAGTTTGAGGGTAACATTGCTCCGTATGTTGTTGTTGTGAAGGTCGGCAAGGAATCTGAGACTTCCAAGCCTGGTAACCGAGGTAAGCGAGACTCGCAGGTCATGCTCATGAAGTTCTTCAACAAGGTGCATTACCAAGCCCCCATGTCTCCTCTGGAGCTCGAAATCTTCCGACACATCAATAACATTATTGGTGTCGACCCTGAGCTCTATGAGTACATTATGATGGTTGATGCTGATACATCTGTTTCTGAAGACTCCCTGAACCGAATGGTTTCATGCTGTGCAGACGATTCTCGAATTGCCGGTATCTGTGGCGAAACGTCTCTTCAAAACGAGCAAAAATCGTGGACAACGATGATCCAGGTGTACGAATATTACATTTCGCATCATCTGGCCAAGGCTTTTGAGTCTCTGTTTGGTTCTGTCACCTGTCTTCCTGGATGTTTCTGTATGTACAGACTTCGAACTGCCGATCGAGGACGTCCTCTGATTATTTCCAACGATGTGATCAGAGAGTACGCCGAAAACAACGTCGACACGTTGCACAAGAAGAACTTGTTCTCTCTCGGAGAAGATCGATACCTGACCACCCTCATGTCCAAGTACTTTCCTAAAATGCGATACAAGTTCACACCAGACGCCCATGCCCAAACTGCTGCCCCCGAGTCCATTGCCATTCTTCTGTCTCAGCGACGACGATGGATCAACTCCACTGTTCACAATCTGATGGAGCTGCTTCGACTCAGCCATCTATGTGGTTTCTGTTTCTTTGGCATGCGATTTGTGGTGTTCATCGATCTGATCGGTACTCTCATGCTGCCCTCTGTGTGCATCTACCTCGTCTATCTCATCTATCTGTTGGCATCTCATACCGGAGCCATTCCCATCATTTCTCTTGCCATGATTGGAGGAGTTTACGGTCTGCAGGCCCTGATTTTCATCATCAACAGAAAGTGGGAGCATGTTGGCTGGATGATTATCTACGTGGCAGCCTACCCAATCCACTCCTTCCTGCTGCCCATCTACGCCTTCTGGAACATGGATAATTTCTCTTGGGGTAATACTCGAGTGGTTGTGGGTGAGAAGGGAGGCAAGCAGCTTGTTTCAGTTGCCGATGCGGGCTTTGATCCAGCTTCCGTGCCTCTCGAAACCTGGTCGGACTACGCTCACCGAGTTGGTGTTCCCGGAGCCGAGAGACGTATTGTTCTCAACTCCAGATACGGAATGAAGCGGTCTGAAATCTACCGAAACGACGACGAGTACGAAGAGTATATGGATGAGTTTGGCTACGACATGCAGACTTTTGCCGATGAACAGGCCCGGTTCAACCACGAGCCAGAGAAGGCCTACCACTCTCGAACAACTTCTCTCATGTCTGGTTTCGGAGGCGATTTTGATGAGGGCAGTGTTATGCCTGCTCAGTCGACTCACACGGGCCGAAAGGCGCGTCCCAAGTCCGTCATCAGTCACTACGCCATGTACCCATCTGTCGGTAACCGTGGATCATACTATGATCCCATGGCCGACAAGCGAAAGACCATGACTCGATCCACCTCAACTCCTATGTCTCTGATGAGTGGCCGGTCGTCCGTCATGCTTGGCCATGAGCGGTCTCGATCTTTGGGTGACGCTCTGGGTGCTGATTTGGATGACCACCAGAAATTGACCATTTCTAACGCCGTCAAGGAGACTCTGGCGGCTGCCAACTTGGACACCGTGACGCGACGGCAGCTGCGAGAGGCCGTGGAGGACCGAATGGGAGTCACCTTCAGCGCCGAACGGGCTGGATACGTGGACACCGTCATTGATGAGGAGCTTGAGCGAATGGAGGAGTGATAATCAAGCGAGTTTTGCATAAGTGTAAGTTATATAAGTTATTATGAATTGTTGGTGTGAGAAGTGGGTGTAGTGAGATACGTGTACTGGTAGTTGAATTGGGATTATCTGTGGTCCAAAAAAAGTCCAAAAAAGTGTAGCTGAAAAAATCTCCCGGGGGCGAGTCGAACGCCCGATCTCAAGATTACAATTTATACCATTACAGTCTCGCGCCTTAAACCAGCTTGGCCACCGGGAGCGGAATTTGAAATTCTAGACAAGGTAGGGTCCACTATCCAAATTTGGTAATTTTTTCCGGGCGAGGCTTTGAGTTGTTTTGGAACATCCTATATCAAAACGTGAGTGTCAATTTGTTACCAAGGGCCGATAGAAGTCCCCACAAAAGCCTAATGTGGGTTGCGACACGATATGGTGAACACATGCTGTCATGTTAGGTCATGCTTTCATGTTAGGCCTGTTCTGTGATGTAGGACGGTCGTTGGGTTGTCCAGGTTGACTGGGGACAATTGGTTTTAAATGAATAACATGTGGATATAGTTACTCTTGTATCTGTAGGGTCTCTAATACACAAAAGTCTTATAAATATATGATATAATGCTCTACATCCGACACTGGCTGGCTGAAACCGCCTACCGCTCTAATTCAAACCACGCTGCTTTCTGCCCACGTACTCCCCCAGGCAAGAAGCAAAGGCCCTGTTGGTCTCCAAGCTCTGTTTGTTTCTAGGCACATGGTCCTTGATGTATCTCTCCGCGTCTTTTGCCAGCTGGGGGTAGTTTTTCTCATTGGCCAAGTGGTCACAAGCAACTTGTAGAGCTAGGCCTGGGATTCCCATGGGACATGCTAGTAGTTCGGACATGAGAGCAGCACAGGAAACAAACAGTGGGCCTTCAATCGGTTTCCAGTTGCTGAAGTAGTTTGTAAAGACAAAGTCCGACCCCGTATCGACTCCCTCGCGCTCAAACATGGTACAGATTCTAGCTTTGAGAGCCACCCAGGAATCAGACTTCAGTCTTGTAACGTGTTGTCGCATGCCCTCAGGGACTAACTCCGCCAGAACCAAGATTGAAAAGTCAATCAGACCATGCTGGTCGAGCTGAGGCATGGACTCCTTGACCTCTTCCCATACCAACTGCAAGTACAGCAGGACCGGCACGTTGGTAAACCTGCTACCGTAGTGCCGCGGTTGTAGAGGACCTCGTTTCGTTGTTTTAAGAAAAGCCTCTGCCATTTCTTTGGGATCAGAAGGAGGACCATCAACGGGGCCCGGAGAGGCCGCAGCGTCCTTGATCATCAGAGTAAGGATATCGTCCGAAAGAGCCTCTCTGCTCTCATTGGAAGAGGCATTAAGAAGACGGTTGACACGAGCCTCATGGGCGACTTCGAAGCTTTCACTGACCATGGTCGAGGAGTATAATGAGAGTGATTGGAGGGTGTAACCAGAGCTCGTCAATAGTTATAACTCCGAGGCTGAGGGGTTATCTCCATTACAGTTTCAGGTTTTCAGTTATATTTCTCAGAGATGTCATCTGGTGGTTCAGTAGTTAAACACGCAGAAACAGAGAAAATATGAGGTGAAGACGAAGGATCTTTAAGTAGGAAGAGTCTAGACTTAAGCATTCTGACTCGGAACGAGACCAGCAATAGTGCTAAAATCGAAAAGACCAAGTTGAGATAATTACAGGATAAGCTTTATATAAAACTTTAATGAACTGAAATCGAATTGTGACGGCCATAATTAGAAAGTTTTTAACTTCAGGGCGTCTGGTGTAGTTGGTTATCACATGCGCTTAGCATGCGCGAGGTCCCCGGTTCGATTCCGGTGTCGTCCATTTTTTGCATACATTAATATGCGGCTAAGCACGCCGGTATCGGTAGGTTAGTTTTTGTCGCATGAAATATACGAGTAAGTACGGTGCAAGTAGGTTTACTTCTACTGCAGATGAGTATGTACTGGTATGAGACCAGTATGGGGGATACACAATACGAATGAGCATTATCTGATGTACACACACTGTAGCGCACAGAGAGAAAGAGATATTCGATTCGGAAACACTGCTCTTGTTCCAATGTCAATGTCACTCTTCAGATCCTGTATGTAATTACATACTGTACCGATATCAGATCTATCCAGGAGTACATTCTGTTGACAGCTTCTGTTGGCTGTGTCTTCTCTACAAGTAACAACCTTTGTCGGCTTAATTCAAGTGGAATCCCGACTGTTCGGTACTCATACAGTACATACTCGTACAGGGCTTTTGACTACCTACTGTTACGAGAGCAGTTGATACACTGTGTTCATTGGTATGGTCACCTATTGGGGACATCTGCAATTTCAAAACACGACCACTGGTCGACACCGCGTTTTGTTTTGGTTCCGTGGCTAACGTTAGTGCAACTTTGGCACCTCCCTCTTTGTTGCAGAGTTGCAGAGAACGAGACTGAGCAAAAGTTATGGTTCGTACTTGCACTGCTACGTGCGGTTAAGTTAGAGTTGCGCCTTTGCCTAACACCATGTGGGCCAATCTGATAAACTAGCGCTTTGAAAAGAGATCAATTGAGTTTGCACATGATACTACCGCCTGTACGATATTGTTTTTTTCTTTTTTCCTTGTTTCAGTAGCTATGACTCAAGAATGTGACAAGTGGTACGAGAGTGACAGTAGTGGTGGTGCTATGAGTGAGGGATTCGCAGCTTGTATGAGTACAGTACATTCAGTGTCTATAAGGAGTATAGGCTACAAGTACCGGTACAAGTACAGGATATGAGTTGGTATATTGAGACCTCGGCATTGCCAATCCGTCAAAGGATCGCTCGACTACTCACATTGAACGATTCGGTTTGCAACTCAATTTGTTCAATGTGATCAATTTGGTCGGCCTCAGCCACTTCCAAGGTTCCGAAACTACTTTGCAAGAGAAGAGTGTACTGAAAGATCAGAAAATGGGTACACTTACAGGCATTAATTAAGAGTTATCATTACGTCGTTACATAGGCACCACCGTGCTAGCAGGCCAGATTAGATGTTACTGGGCATCTTAGATGAGAGCAGCAACGAGGGCAGCACCGGCAACACCGACGGCGTAAGAGGCCTTGGAGCCAGCGTTGGCCTGGGGGGGAGCAGAGCCGGAGGAAGAGGCCTGGGCAGCGCCGGAAGAGGCAGCGGGCTTGGACTCGGCAGCAGCAGAGGAGGCAGCGGGCTTCTCAGCGGTCTTGGAGGCGGCAGAAGAGGCAGCGGCAGAAGAGGCGGGCTTGGACTCAGCGGCAGAAGAGGCGGGAGCAGCAGAAGAAGCGGGCTTGGACTCAGCGGCAGAAGAGGCGGGGGCGGGGGCGGAGGTCTCGGCGGGGGCGGAGGTCTCGGCGGCGGCGGAGGTCTCGGCGGCAGCAGAAGACTGGGGAGCAGCAGAGGACTGGGGAGCAGCAGAGGTCTCAGCAGCGGCAGAAGACTGAGGAGCAGCGGAGGACTCAGCAGCGGCGGAGGAAGCGGGGGCAGCGGAGGAGGCGGCGGAGGCGTTCTGCTGCTTGGGCTGAGTGGGGAATCCACAGAAGGCAAGAGGGGGCTCGAGGAACTTGCCGTAGTCGCTCCAGAGGGTAGAGCCACAGTCCAGGCAGGGGTCAAGGGCAGACTGGAAAGGAGTTCCGTTGTCACACAGACAGTCCTTGTCGTAAGAGTCGCCCTGGGCGCACTTTCGGGCGTCCAGAATCATGTTACCACAGGTGGCATGGCACTGGTAGGTGGCAGTGTCCTGGGGAGAGGGGGCGGCAACAGCGGCGGTGGCCAGGATGGCGGCAATGGCGGCAACGGAGAACTTGGACATTGTGAATGGGGATTAACGAGTGAAGACGGTTGATTGTGAGTTGATGGGAGGAGAAAGAGGTGGTTTATATATTAGCTGGAACCGGGGCATCAGAGGTGCCAAGAAAGACCGACGGCAGCCCCGAAATTATCATTTCCATCAGAGTTTGGTATGCTGCAGACCACTAGAGTTAGCATTTTTCACCAGCCTATTTTGGACAAAATTATCTGATGGGCGTACATGTACTGTGGCAATCCTGTAGCTGAATGTGCACAAGATATGTATGGGGAGTTGGAAAGCAAAGCATTTCTTGCCACCTCTTTCAAGCCCCGTCAATGAAGTGATTCGAACTGCTCAGTTATCTCCAAAAGCGGTCCTTCCAAGCCAAAGTTGTTTTGTGGTCTCTCCAAATGTCGCATTTCGGTACAAAACCTACTCCGTGTAGGTCTGGGACTACTAGGAGTCTAGGAGTCTAGGCCACACTCTATTCTATAGGCTTGGCGGAATTGGGGAGACAGCTCTTTGTCCGAAGATTATCTAGATAATCATCAGAGTTTGCGGTTGCACCAGAGTTTCGGGGCCGCATGTTTGTCCACATGGCGCCGACGTCCAGAACGGGAGGAATGTTTGCACTTTCCTTTTTAGTCTTGGGGAGGTGGTGCGAATGCTCGGGTCTCATTTGGAAACATGGCTGCCAACACGCTGTACGACACATGGTGTACAGTATGGACGTGCCTCTTTCTAGCTTTCTTCTCTGGCATCGAAAATGCCGTAGCATAGCTCTCCAGCTACAATGGTGCATCAGCCACTAACGCACATACAGCAGCAGTGTGAGTGTGTACACGGCATGCACCACGAATTGGTCTGGATTCTTTCCCCCCTGAGCCGTGTCAGGAATGGAATGACGCCAAGAGGTAGACGAGCGAGAGGTCTTGGACAGTACTGTCAACGAGACGTTGGTACGCGACGGTCTATACTGCACGGGTCTCGTACACCCCATGGATCGCCACCAGCCACGGTTGCTCACTGTCCCCAGCCGCATCAAGACCCTTCATTACTCACTTGGTAGAGGTAGGCGCTCCCAACAACCGAAACGAGTCAAACTTAGTTGTGATAGTAGCAAACACAAAAAAATGTCGGAGAAATAGAATTTGCTCCGAAACCTGGAGAGCGAAGACATTCAGAGGAAACATCTCGGTGGCAAGGGCACGTCTTCGCCATGCATAATACGATACAAGTCATTATAGTGTACATATGATATTATCATCTCATTCAACGAGCATACGACAGCTTTCCGACATGAGTCACACGAGAGAAGAGAGCGGTCGAATAGGTAGCATGGAGCGCCAGACCGTGCGGGTAGAAGCACAAGTACAAGTAGAGACAAATGATATCCACAGCAAAAGTGCACACTCCAAAGGGATTCGAATGACATCGGTTTCGTAACTCAGCGAGTGCTATCGCGTCATCAGTGGGTACTAGCGTTGGATTAGTCAGCACCACATGGAGATTGGAATGAATATTAACAGGAATTGCTTTTTGAAAACGGAAATCAAACCCCCGGATCCTGATCTACATACGGATGGTTTTGTTTAGCGTCTACCATGTCTACCAGTCCAGTTATACGTGTCATGGCACCCCACATCTTCGGCCTGCATGTCTGTAGAAATTTATCCTGCAGATCATCACCAACGCAACTGCACAGAACACGATATAGGTACAAGTACACCAGGCACACTACACAGAAAGAAGATAGACGTTCGTTCGAACCGACACATACGACGCTTGAACATACGCACCTAGACGATTCACACGACTCCAAATGTACGACTTTGAAGACGAGGCGAAAAAGGTGATCGGTCTTCGAGATACCCTTGTGAAGCACGCCGAAGACGCCAAGCTGTTGACGATGGACGCTGCCGACCTGCCACCGGCTTTGGCGCAGTTTCAACAGCGATACAAGCGGTTTGTGATCGAAAGGCGGCTGCAGAGGGACAGAGATACCACTCGAGACAAGCTACAGATGGCAAAACATGGGCGATTCGACCTGTTGAATGACGAGTTTTTAAGCGAGAAGGCCAAGGACGAAGATAATGACAAGCTGAGAGCTGCCTTTGACTTGTCAGGGGTCCAGAGCAAACTGGTTCTCCAAGTGGAGGCGGCTGGAGGAGGTAATGTGGTTACTCCAAGTGCTGCCATGACAAATGTTTCTGGCCCAAGTACCTGTACCACAGGAGTCACGGTTGCCTCTTCTGCTACACCAGCTGCTACTAGCGATGTGAGAAGTGGAAATGCTGCCTCTGCCCCAGCTCCCCCTGCCACATCGTCATTTACTCAGGCAGATCAGCCCATGTACGGAGACGACGACTGTATGATTGTTCGAGAGGCTACTGCAACCAAGGTTATTTCTCTGCCATCGTCACCAACACCCAGTCCAAAGGCTCCCACTACCCAGTCTCCTCAGCAGCAGCCTCAGTACTCAGACCATGCTCCTGATGGGGAAGTGAGGGAACAGGACGACCTGGACGACCAGGACGACCCGGAGGAAGACGGAGATGTGCCTCCGAAGAAGAAACGGTTGTCGAAGAAACAGCGCGAGAAGCGAAAGCAGTTGCAGCAGCAACAATTCATGCTGCAGTATCAACTCCGGCAACAGCTGATGGGCCAGATGAACCCTTCATTGTACGACCCAAACAACCCATCGCAGCCTCCTCTACCCAAGCAGCCTCAACCCCCGGCTCCAGGAGAGCCTCAGACGCAAGCATCACAGGGACAGAATATAGGTCAGCAACAGTTCCCCTTCACATTCCCTCCTTTCAACCCCGCCTATAAATTCAACATGCCTGGGATGCCTCCTATGCCACCGATGCCTCCAGGAATGCCACCAATGCCTTTCTGGCCAAGCAATTTCTCCCCTCCTCCGCAGCCTCAGCCACAGCCTCAGCCACAACAGCAGCCACAGCAGCAGCAGCAACGGCAGAGAAAGACTCCTGACCCAAATGACGTTTACGGACAGCCAAGTTACACCGACAACTAATGGATATACTTGTTCTGAATATTTATTGATACATGAAAAGCGAGCGAGAATGGAAGAAGCTCCCGGCTCTGGTGATTTATTAAAACCATCTCATTTTATCCAATCATTGGACGTTTAGACTGCGGGACCCAACAGATTCTTGCTACTACAGTATGTAGTAGCTAATACAATACAATACGGTTTTAGTGGAAGTTCAGTCGTAGCAAGGCCGATGAGCGATATAATGCAGAGCTATTAATTAAGTGATTAATGGTCATGTCGCAGTTGACTGGACGACAATTAACTGTTCAATAACGTATATGCCTCTGCGTGAGAGATAGCACTTTTCGAGGTATGCAAGACACGATTCAGTAAGTACCGTGCCTGGTACTCGTACGTCCATGACATGATTCAAAACGGCAGAAATAAGCGTTAATTCCAGACGGGTCCCTACTGACCCTTGGCATGCCATGCAAAATACCCAGAAGGGAAGTGTCTCCATGTTGAGAAATACTGCCGAAATTCTTGCCGAGAAGTTGGTGGACATTATTGAGCTGGTGTAAGACCAAGACATGCAACTCATTTGTTCCCAGCAACTTAGAGACATCCGTGTACGTTTGAGGTCGTCATCAAAGTTGGAGTACGAGAAGCGAACCTGACGGGGTCAAATGAGTTTGCGATGCACTGGAGAGTTTTTTTTTGAGTTGGAAAAAGTTGGTGAATCCTTCCGTGGCAGCGTATAGTGAGAGCTTGTGGGCTGTACGATATTATGTTGCAGTCTCCGTCAAGTTGACGGAAGACTCGGTATAAAAACTTCATAGCCTTCCTCTTCGGGAGCTATCGGTGTTATCATACATGGACGAGCACTAAAGGAGTCTGCCAAGGGTACAACGATAGGGCATCAATGCCGTTTCAGAGCCAAAAAGTCAATTGAGACACGCCTTGCGAGTTTACTGTCGGTATACCCGAGAACTATAGTCTGGATGTATGTACAGGACGTAGCACGTGTCCCGGTGGTATCTATAGCTGGTGGTATAACTAGAACATGCTATAGAGTAACTACTTCAGATACTGTCAGTAGGTCATGAATAATGACTGAAATACCAACCCCCCATTGACTAGACTGTCTTGGAAACGGCTCAATCCCGACCGTAAACAAACAAATGTCTCACTCTCCACGTTGCTATTCCCATTTGGGCTGCGATCTTTATCAGATCATGTATGCATGCAAGAAAATGCAAACTCTACTGCATTTGTGACGCGCTGCAAGGGTGTTCGAATGTAAGTGTAATGTGCTCGATCAGATTAAAGAGACGCAAGAATAAATGGTAGGATCCTATTTATAGATTAAGGAGATTTGTAATGAGTTAGTCACCTCACACACGACAATAAACTGCCGTTGATCAACATGATCTTCACAGACTTATGCTCGCGAGGCTGAAAATGCGAGATTCGAAGGTTCGACACTGTATAGTTCCAGAAACGGAGATCAACACAGACGGAGGCTGGCTAGAAGCTCCGATGTAGTCACATGACGTTGATCTGTGTATTAATTTCCCCATCGAGTCTCTTGACTCTCCGTCACTTGCAAGATTAAGTCTGCTGGCAGCTCTCATGTTCCCATTTCATGTCATTATCAATATCATTATCTATAGTGGTCGATCTACTTGAAGAATTTGCCGACCTTTTTCAACTTCTTGATTCCACTCTTCTTCTTCTTCTTTTCCTCTTCCGGAGCCTCGGGAGTGTCTACTGCAGCAGCAACAGAAGACGCGTCAGGCACAGCAGGCGACACAGACCTGGGTTTGGGCATGTTGCTGACCCCAGTGCTGGTAGCTGTGGGCAAAGGAGGACCTCCAGCCCTGTTAGCTGACTGGGCAGCCTGCGCAGGAGCAACAGGTTTGTTGATTCCATCGGGCTCCATGAGAAATGCGGGAGCTCGAGTCTTCTTGGGCTCGTCTTGCTTCAGGCGCAGCTTGTCTCGAGGAGCACGCAATCGCGAAAGAGACGCCAAAAACGAGCCGGGAGTCACAATATCGTTTCCTCCCAGGAAAATGCTCTTGCTGTTGTACTGCTCGTTCAGCTCGTAGACAGATCGAGCCTCAGACATGGTGAAACCACCGGCCACAAACACAAAAATACGCTGTCGGGGAGCCTGGAACTGAGCGGACTTCGCCCAGGCTGCTCTCTGACGAGGGTTACGTAACGAAGCTTTCGCAGACATATCTACCTCGTCGTCAAGGGGCTCATCTTTGGTGTAGGGAAAAATGGAGGCGGGAAGAGTACCCTGAATGAGCTGATCGACTACGTTTTTCAGTCCAGGAACAAACCGAGATGTCTCGTAGACATCACCGGTAGCTCCCGAGTGGAAGGTGGTGGGTTTGGGGGTCTTCTTGGCGGTCTTTTTGTTCAGATCTGGCTTTGTAACTCGTCCTTCAAGAAGAGTCAGGTTTCGAATCACCTCCAGATCAATATCTTTGAGACCAGCATGCTTCTCGAGCTTCTCCAGGTCTCCCTCAACCAGTCCGCCTCGATAAAGGCAGTACAGTAGCACCAAACGGACTTTGTCCTTCTGAGCCACCTCATCGGAAGCAATCATCTCGACAAACTCGTCGGTGAGAGTCTTGGGTTTTCGTCCATCTGCTGTAACTCCAGTCGCACACGTCTGTTCAATGTTGGCAACGTCCATGAGATTGGACTTTTGCAGCAGATCCATACACTGGCCCGCCATGGACAGATGCAAAGAGAACCGTTCCTTCATTTCCGCAAACATGGGAAGACCCGCGACCATATCCTGGAGATCTGAAACAGACGCCTGAGTGGACTGGTCGGCCAAATGGGGGTGGTCCTTCTTCAGTTTCTCCAGTCGCGCAGTAAACAGCTCAATGGCTTGCTGCATGTGTAAGTGACGTAGAGAGACCCACTCAGTGTCTTTGTCCGTGAGTTTTCCAGACGTCTTGATGGTCTCTCCCTTTTCCATTCGCTCGTACTTGTACACATTGCCCTCCACAATGTTAAGCAGATCATAGGCCATTGCCTGGTAGGTGAATTCATGAACCAGGGGAGAAATAACGTCCATGGTTCGGTCAGTGATGAGAAATACCGATCGAGGACGTGACTCGTCAATCACAGGGAAGTCTGAATTAGTTCGAGCGTACTCATCGAGAACCTGATGGAACGCCGAGGCAATCATGTAAGGAAGAACAGATGTTTCGTTCAGAGGAGCATCGGGTTTGTAGAATCGAACAATGGGATACTCTCCGAATGCTGTGCAAAGGCCAACAAGCTGTCCAGCGACCTGGGAGACGTAGTTCTGCACCAGATCAAAGCAGTTTTGGTTGTAGAAGATCTCCAGGCTCTGCGGCTGCTTGAAGGAGAAAATGCATTGTTCGAGGGGATAGTGGTCAATGTATAGGACCTGGAGAGTTCGGAGATGGCCTCCAACTCGCTGGTTTTTAATTCGTCGCATGATATCTGCCATATTGGGGTCTGGAAGCAGAAAAACGTGTGCTGCAGCATATCGGTTGGGCACCCGGGTGAAGTCTGCGTTCATGCAGTCTATAGACAGAGCTGTGGGTCGAATAATGTACATGGCGTCAATGTAGTTCTGGGTCGCTCGTTTCTGCTCGAGCTTTTCGACCGTGGCGACGTTTCGATCGAGAATCTCGTGTTCGTCGAGAACTTGGGCCACGATCTTGGCTGCGTCCACGTCCATCACTAGACATTTGTATTTCGATGGGGGTTGCACCGAGTCGATAGCATTGGTGATTACTAGGTTAGTTCGGGTCGGAAGCGACTAACCAGAAGTCGGAAGTAGACTGCTACTCATGAGAGATAGGAGTCATATAGTTGTTGATTTCAGGGGTAGACAGTAAATGAACGGTTATAGCCAGATGTAGGCGACAACAGATTCACATGCACTCAGCTATCAAACGCTCCTTGCTGAATGAACGAAGCAGTTCATATGCTCTCACTTTCTGAATGGCGCTGTCACGTCCACTTCTGAATGATCTGACATGTTGAGAGGTGCAAATGAGATCTACAGATAATGCCGACAGACTGAATTGATGTGACCCGAGTGATCTGTTACCATCGCATGTCATCGATTCACCTCATTCTTCAGATTCGGGCATTGGTCAAAGCCGCACAACATCAACATGTGATCATAACAATGGTCCGAGTCAACATCTGTACATTGTATGTGATCCTAAGAAAGTGGCAAGAACGTCGCAAGTCCTCAAACCACTTTCCGAAACAAATCTATCTCACAGATGACCCTATTAAGGCCCATATTCTTTCACCTCCTCTCAAAGTCCATGCCTCCACCACTCACCCCTCTTCTGACGATCAAGCAAGTTGTCGGACATGTTGGCTTGTCGTTGTCGATCTGGATGTCGGATTGGGTCGTCAAGTCACTGCTAGTAAGAGTCTGTGTCGTTCTGTGCTCTCAAGGCTGTGGTTGCAAAAGTTCGGTGCCACGCACTACGTGTACTCGTTCCTCGTGTAACTCGTTTACGAACTTGCCTATGTTAAGTACGGACGATACACTAAGGTTAAACTTCTCCGGAATATAAGGGGTGGACTTAAGGTGGTTTGGCTGGAGTTAAGCGGCATTTGATAGGGTTCGGAAGAGGCCAATGACAGTGTCTGGAGGCGGTATTTCCGAGTCTGGGCTTAGTCAGGCAGAGTGGTCTTTCCCTATTAGTCACCCGGTTCATTTCCGGAGTTAAGATCACATGATTGCTGTATCTCTTCCGCTTGATCCGGCGTTGCATCACACAACCGATATTACCCCCCTGTATGCACTCTCCCCCCGCATGATGGAGGCTGTGTTTTTGAGGTGAGAGAAGACTACACGTGTATTAAGACGGTTGATTACTAATATATTCTCACTGGAGAGCGTGTCGGTATGCTTTTGCATGTGCCTGTATCTGACTCATTATCTTCCACACATCCTTTACCATACCAGTGGTATACCATTATAAAGTGTGTCAGGAATGTGTCAGAAAACTGTCATTTGAAGTTTGTCCTGTTTAGTGGAACTTTTAGACGAATACGGTGAAGGTAGACAAACGCGTGTACCATTGTAAATGTCGATGATAACAGGTTATGAGTAGAAAACATGGCTATCAGAAGGCAATCACGGAGACCGATATGTCCATTGCCTATTTCGTTCCCTATCTCAGCCATCTTCTCGTACACAGTTCTCTAAGCACCTAATACAGCATACCTATCAATGCTGTATCGACATTCACTGTGACCATCCTCTTACAAATAATGTACTATACCCTTCATCCTCATATCATACAAATACATATTAAATCTATCTACCAGATTACTCTTCATCCTCGTCCTCCTCATCTTCCTCTTCACTCTCGGGAAGATCCATCACCGTATAACTGACCGGGTCGTACTCGGCTCGAGTATTGTCTCTGAGAATGCTCTCCTCAGCCGTGATATCTCGCAGAGTCAGATCAATGGCGGCAATGTTGTGTTCCTTAATCTGTGACCGCAGCGACTTGAGCACTCGTCGTCGCTTGAGGTTGGTCTTACCCTGCACAGGCACGTAGTGGGCAACCGATCCAGGCTTGTCCAGATCGACGTCGATGACAATCTCCTCGAACTGGCTGGCATTCATCTGAAGATCCATATCATAGTCTCGCTTGTGTTCGAACCGGTACACGTGTTTGTCGTCGGCCACGTGCTCGTCGGTCGAGTCCAGTTGTCGCTTGAGGTCCTTGGACTCCTCGTCCTTGGTCAGGAACATGCTCATCCACTCGTCCGTCTCCAGCGTCATTGGTCGGAACAGCGACACAGACATCTTGGGGTCGGGCGATCCATCGGGCAGTGGGGGCACTCCGACGGCAGATCCCACCATCTTCATGGTCAGGAAAGTGAGATCGAAAATCTGCGAGTTGGGCAGAATGGGGAACGACTCCACGGCCGTGAGATGGGGTTTTTTGGGGTGCTTGAGCGTCTTGATGTCCGTGTTGGCAGCCTCGAAAGTCGCCTCGACCGCTCGTAGCTGTGACTCGGGGTCCTGGAAGCTCTCCTCCAGAGTCTTTTGTGCCAGTCGACGCTGCGAAGCACTGAGCGTCTCGAGTTTTCGGCCGCCGGAAACCTCGCTAGAGATGTACTCGGTTCGTCGCAGGAATGCCACGCCGGGCTGTGACTTGTTGCCGGTGGATTGGGGCTCCTTCAGAAGAACCAAATCTCGAGGATCCAGCTCGGGAAGATTCTCCAGAGGCAGCAGACCGGATTCGTCGTCCTGCTCAAACACACCTCGAATCTCCGTCAGATCCAGGGGCATTCCCAGATCGTTGTCCACATTGATTTGCGGACTTTCTCGTCGTTGCATGTCGGACAGAATGTTAATTCCCAGAGATGTCAGCTTTTCCGGAGGCACGGGTATGTTGAGCATTTTGGGAGGCAGCTCCGGAGGAGGCAGCTCATTCTGATACCGCACTCGCACCAGATAGTCTTGTCTTCGGGACATGTTTGTGTGGTGGTGGTGTTTATACGGCGTGCCCAGGCGTCAGCTGTGTTGGTGATGTTGGGAGAGAAGGTGAAGAATTTAAGGTTTATCGATGAGCAATTTGAGACCGATATAGAAGGCGATGAGATCGAGTAGAAAGTGAGATTTTTTTACATAGTATGACCTCCATACTGTTTTTATTGATGTGAAAATTCTCAGCCTAATACAGCAACTATTCAACGAATTAGAACGACATTATTTTAAGTAGTGTTCTCCAACTAGCAACTCTATTTGCTTTACTTGAATATTCCTCTCTTCTCTTGAACAGGGGAAAGTTTTTAAACTGCACCGCTAGGCCATCCCTCACAGATATCTAAGACAAACGAATCAGATTCCCAGACTCGCCAATTCTGGACAATTCGATTGATACCACTTTTTCCAGAAGTTTGTGACATCTCAGCTTGGATACAAACCTATCTGCCCAATGACTACCATATTGAATGCCGATACAGACGCTCTGTCGTTCGGAAAGCTGGCAAAAGATCTCCGGAAAGACAGCCGATCTGTGAAAAATCGGGTCCAGTCGATTTTCCACGACTCGAAGCATGTCAAACGAGTGTCTGAGTCGTTCAGCCTTCCTCTGGTGGCCAATGAACGGTGTGGAAGATGGTACATTGCCCCTGATGACATTGCGGAGAGTGTCTACTTCAAGTCGACCGACGGACATACCAATGTGCATAGCTTCTCTACTCGACGACTCAATCTGCATCTTCTGGACTTTGTCAGAACCCATGGAGGAGCTGTAATTGTGGATTCGACTCGAAGAGGCAAGCCCATTCCCGATGCTCTATCCAAGACTATTCCCCAATGGTGCAGAGTGATCAATCTGGCTGTGTTTGGCTCTGATGCCCCTCCTCTGACCACCAGTCCGATCATAGTGGGCAAATCTGAACATTATGAGATTGAAAAGAAGGTAGATGGCTGGGTGGATCAGTTTCGTAAGACCGGAGTTGACATTGAGAAGCTGAAACAGACTCTGGATAAGCCTGTGAAACCAATCTGGGTCACTCCAAAGGATATGTTACATTCTGAGCCACCCGTCTACACAGATTTCTACCCTCTGGTGCTATGTACGGCCTCGGAGATGGTCCAGGATGGAACAGATAGAAGGAACGGATACATTTACGTCCAAGGAGCAGCTGATGATCACGAGGAATGGGCTGAAAAGCTCACGCCAACACTATTATGGACTCATAAAGAGGTTCTAGGAGACATGAGCAAGACTGATACCGAACTTCTGGAATATGTCAACTCACTGGAGGATTTCAAAGACAAGGGGGATACTGCGGTGACTATCGAACCAACAGGATTATCTTTTGGAGCGTCTGAAACACCGGAGTCGTATAATGCAGTCATCTCAGTTGCCAAAACAGTTCCAAAACACAACAAGGTGCTTCACAAGCCATTGGGCGAAGGAAAGAAGGGCGCTAAGGAGCTGCGAACAGCGCTAGAACCCATCTCCAAATTTTACAAGGACTTCGTGGGTCAAAAAGTGTTTGTAATGGCAGACTCAGATGACCTATCTGTCTGTATCATCCTCACATTGTTCTGTCTGTACTTCAACGAGGACGGGTCTATCAAGGAGGGAAAGGGAAACATGTCCAAGGAGGTGATAAGGAGACGATTGGTGTACATGATTCAACAGTGCAAGACCATCAATCCATCTCGAGCTACTCTGAACGCTGTCAATTCGTTTCTGATGGGTTAACCTATATGTATATGTATATAATAAATAATTGGATTTAATCGTCGCACATGATCTTCTGACTGCTCTCCAGCTCACTGACGTCTGTAGTGTATCCCAAAAGCTCTTCCAACACAGCAGCCTTTGAGCACTGTCTTGTAAGCTTCTCTACCGTCACCTTCAGACCCTTGTGGGTCTTTTTAGGACTGCCCTTTTGGACTTGCTGCTGCATTTTTTTAGGGCTAGGACTTCCGAAAGAAGACAGCTTCTTGAGAGGCGACTCAGAGGGTCCAGTGGATGTCCTGTGTTTGACAGGGCTGTCAACCATACGGCGTTTTCTAGACAGTCCTCTTTGGGTGGCGTTTTTGTCTCCCATCATATCCACCATGTTTCCTCGACTGTCGAAGTGACGCATCTCATGGAACACTCGGCTTCCTCCAACAATGTACCGATCAACCTCCATGATTTTGGACGCCACAGCAGAGTCCCACAACCAGTCGATAGAGACCACTGGGATCATCCATTTCTGTGCATTCCGCACCTTGCGAGCATGAGGCGACGCAGCCACAAGCACACTGCCTGTTTTCTCGCCGAAAACGGGCTTGTATCGGGCTCCTAACATGGAAATGAGCTTTTCAATATGCATCAGCTCTACTCCATCAAAGCCGGAAATGGAAATATTGACGTTGGAGAACGCAACCAGATCCTTTTCAGGCACATAGGAAGACCATATATCACTAGTCCACTTTTTGTAGAATATGGAACGCTCCACCAGCCAGAATGTCGAGATGGGCGTGGTACATGAAGCTGCCAGAAGATCGTATCGATCTGAAGGAATCTCAGGATGCACAATAATATTGGTTGCCGTGGTTTCCGAAGAAGCCAGCGTAGCTCCATGTGAAACCACTGTCTGTTGAAGCTTCTCAAGCTGCTTCTTGATGAACCCAACAAACAAAATCGAATGACCAGCAAAGATGCCTGTTGAGTGACGCGATCTGCCATTCTCACGTGATGACGACGTGTCTTGCTCCTCCTCGTCGAAAAACGGTGCTTCTATCCCTGCACGCGACTCGGTGATACTGTTATGACTATCCCACAGACCAGCCTTGAGCACCTTTGGTCTTCGAAACTGTTGCCGCGCAACCTCCTCCGACACTCGAGCCACCTCCCTCCACGGTTCCGGATGCATATCTTTAAACCACGCTGTGTCTGAGTTCTCGACTCCTTCCTTGGCAGGGTGGAAGTCGCTGGTATCCAACATGGCTCCTCTCTTGATGCAATGTTCGATCCAAATAGGATGAACGACAGGAATGCTTTTTCTCATGGCAAAGTCGTATTTTTTGCCCTGTGCTTTGGGAGTCACCAAAATGTTGGTCACGAGTGTCTTGACGTTTCCGTCAAATATGCCTCCATTCTCCTCTATCGTGTCAATCATCGGTTGTCGCTCCTCAATGTTAGACACGCTCAGGTTTTTGTTGAAGAATACAGGCATGCGGAATTCGCGTATCACGTTATCCAGATCGATGGTCTCGGCCGCGATCCAACGCGCATGGAGCTTTTCGATGAACTGGGGATGTAGGAAAGTCATATCCAGTCGCTGGTGTGAAGCAAACAGATACTTTTCACTGTCCTGGTTTCCGACCAGCAGAAAGTGGGCGTCAGGTGTCAGATTGTCCTGGATCTCACCCTTCATGGCGCGACACTTGGCCACAATGGACGACTTGAGGTCGCCGTCTACGCCAGTGCAACAGAAGACGTATCCTGCTAGCATGGGTTGGTGATGTGAATCTATATCGAAATGGCGTTTAGAGTTGAGATATTGTAGAGACATGCATTGAGTTCGGCAGGAATGGGAATAGGGAAAAAGAAAACACGGTCACGTGATAAAATGTATTAGTCGTCTGACGGGACCGTGAACGACAACAAGATGTTTTCTTTTTTAATGTTGAGACACTATTTGTACTGTACAGGTACCGGCAGTTACCGTAACTACAAGTACTGTACGGCACTTATTGGCTAATTCTAATTACTGTACACTGTACTTGTATGTACCTCAGTTTGAGCCTTAGTATCATAACACTGGATACGTATATCTGGTTTAATAATTCTGTTACAGACATGATAACCCTACAGGCAGGAAACTGGTATAGTCATTGATACACTGTCAAAGTTTCTGGATAATCCATTCCCTATATATCACGTTAGAGAGGTATATGAATGAACATGAGTTGTTAAACATTAGTAACTTACATTACTTAGGAACTTAGTTGATTCATTAGAAGAATTTCTGAGGCTACAAGTCACCCTGAGTATATTTTTTTTTTCATTGCTGGATATTAGTTTTCTTTATCATATCAAAATTTTCTTCATATCAGTATTATTACCCGTAAAACAATCTCAATAAGTCATTCTCTCCTCAAATGTCGTGGTGTGCGCCATAAGAACGACGTATTTATAATGCGCTAGACGAAGTAGATTTCTGAAACTAGCATATATATTGAGAGTCCCTTCCATTTCACACATTCACCTACAGGTATTAGTACGAGTACTACTTGCTGTTGTACAAGGACGTACTTGAAGACTGGCCTTTTATCACGCTTATATAATCCGAACCTTGATCTGGGATTTTAGTGGTGGGATGCAGGTCTTGCAAGTGTCTTCTCAACCCCCCGAAAAATGCTACGGAGCTGCGGACGAGCTGGAAAACCACTACGACGGCTCGCCGCCGTCCAGACAAGAGGCTACCGAGATCCCTACCACGTGTCCTGGCACTTCAACTTCAAGCCCGAGGCCGTGGAGCCTCCGACGGGTCACCGGCTAACCGACAATCTCAGCATTGCGCTCAACAAGCGGAACAAGAAGGAGAATGGCACCGGAGCTCTCAAACTTGCGCTGGAGATCTGCGAGACCAGCGGACCCGAGGCCATCACACCCATTCTGTACGGCCAATTGCTGGAGAATGTGTACGAGGAGGTGAGAGGTATTCCCATTTCCAAGCTACGAACATACAACACTGCCCGTCTGCAGGTGCTGGAGAGTCTGTCGCACTTTGTGCCTGGCCTCAACGCCCGTCATTACACATATCTCATCAAGCTGGCTCACCTGACGCGACGCCCAAAGCAGGTACAGGACGCATGGGAGCAGGCCATGCTCAACGAGTGCGACAAGACATCTGCTCTGTACAACGCGTACCTCAAGGCTCGAACCGATGCCTCCCCCCGGCTCCGAGGTAACAGTGACATGCCCGATCTGGCAGGTGCCAAGTTCTGGGCGACCAACAAGGACGTGTCCGATTCTAGAGCTCATGCGCTTGATCCCATCGAATTCATGAACGAGATGCGAGACCGGGGTATCGAGCCCACTCGAATCACATACGCCATTGCTCTCAACCACTATGGTCAGCAGAACAACTTACCTATGGCGGTGAGCATCTGTGAGAACCTGTGGGGAGTGGGATTCAACAGTGGAAAGTTGGAGGGACCTCGAGTACCCCACACTTCGATAATGCACCCGACTCCATTCACTCTCATCTCTATCATTGACGCATTCGGTCTGAATGACCGTCTAGTCGAAGGAAAGGCATATTGTGAAACTATTGCTGATATCTACGGCATTCGACTTGACAGTCAGTTGGCTCAGGGATACTGGACCCATCTAATGAGACATGCTCTGTACACTGGTATCCCTCACGGACAAAGCTCAAAGGAAATGTGCAACTCTGTGTGGTCCAATATTGTTGAGTTCGACTACCCTCCTTCTCCCGCGCAGTATTCTCTTCGAATCAGAGACTTGCTCGCCAGAGACCGTCTTGAAGACCTCCAAACTCTGATGCACTACGCTCTGAGCGTGGATAAGGTTGGAGAAATGGCGGCCGTTGTCTCCACATATATTGGTCTTCTCCTGAGACGATACACAACCACAGGCAACTTCCCCAAGGCCATTGAGGTGGCTAGAACGTTCCAGGAGCACACTCAGATGCAGGAATTTATCAGCACCAAGATTCACGAGCTTGAACAGCAGTACAAGATGGCTGGAAATGTGCCTGTTGGTGGAGAGGAGGGTAACGAGCTGGACATTTTGGACAGTGCGTTGGTGCAGGAGTTGAAGTACATTCCTGAAGATGAGGAAGACGAGGAGAACTTTTTGCAGTTGTAGACTAGATAGAACTGCCAGGTTATTACGAATGGAGTATATAGTATGAATGAATGATTTTATGTCTACAAAACTACAATAGTTCCAATGATTCAATGCAATAAAACAATGTACGTGTGTTAGATAACTTCTATACCTCCTCTAGGCTCTCACCAGCTCATTAAACCACATGTATCTGGACAAAGTAATCCATCCGTATCGGAACCACTTCATCTGACTCACATGAGCCTTTACCATGGCCTTTCGAGCATCCTGGTACGCCTTGTAATCTGCGGCGGTGGAAACTCGAGAGTTTGAGGGAAGTATAGACCGCAACAAAGTGGTGACAAATCCGTCAATGACTGCAGTGTATTTGCGGTACACGGGCACAGACTCCAGAGTCCACACAGTGACTCCAGGGTTTTCTTTGGCGTAGTAAAGTGCTCCATAGTAGACTGATCTATGGTTGATATGGCCCGAAACACCCTCGGCGTCGAACGTGACAATAGTCTGAGTGGTGGGTACAACTTCCTCAATCACTCCGGCAACCATGGTTCTATCCCATTCGTTTTCCATACCATCCTGCAGCTCTGGGCGGTCCAGGACGTGAACTTTTTCAGCCGACACCCCGAAGATGGCCGCTGACTCAACAAGTTCTGATTTTCGAATTTCGCCCAGTCCCTCGTCGTTTCCAGTAGAAAGACACAGAATAGACACTTTGTTTTTGTGTTCTTTGCGCGTCAGAAGGTCGAGGGTAGGGCCGAAAAACATGGCCTCGTCGTCGGGATGCGCAATGAGAAGAGTGATATGATTGTCGATGATGGTGGGCTCAGCGTGGTTCTTGTTGAGTCGCTTAGTCAGCCACGAGGGCGTCCACCACAAAAACCCAATGATGAGCACAATTAGTCCTACTCGCATAGTTGGTGATGGTGTTGAAGATGGTGAGAGATAATGCGGACCATGAATCAGAGTTTAGTAGGGAACAAAGCTGGGACGACGCGATTTGAGGGTGGTTGTAGATGTAAATACTTGTAAAGTAGGATTCAAACAAAGCGTTTTATTTATGAGGACTCAATTGAGTTATTTCTGTAGTCTTACTCATACTTTTGGCGAGAACTACCAGAGTAGAAGATCCCCTTTCGCTGTGTTGTGTTCAGTCACACTACTTACACACTCTCAAGTAACTACACACAGACAATACTGTACTAAATGAACGTGCGAGTCATCTTCAAACCATCCAGTAAATACAGTATTTACATCTATACTCTGCTTCCGTACAGTAACATTGAGACAGCTTCAAGTCACCTCTCCTGATTACATAATCAAACACACCACGCGCCAATTTTATATTTCACCTACAGTCACGTGAATGAAACTTACCTCCCAGGATAGCAAAAGGTTCCTCTACCTAGCCCGTCTCGCATGTCTCCGTATACACACTGTTGTTATACCAACTGTCATGTCGTTGTAATTTGTGCTGCTTTTGGCTACTTTTCCGTCGTTTACGGCTACTCGCCCCTCCGTATACGGCTTCGTAGGTGTCAACGAGGCATGTTTTTGAGCATAGAAGCCGAAAAGACACATCACCGTGAGACAGGCCGCGTAAGATACATACCAGAGGCACTGGCGTCTGCCCCTCGCCGTTGACAGATGATATATCGTTTGTGTATGATTATGAGGACTGAAAAACCTACAAGCATTACTGTACATACTTGTAGGACTACTTGTAGATGTCAATACCAGAATAACAGGATCTAGCTGGTCCAATAATGGCGATACAGGATTTTTGAAAACACCATGGAATTTGTCACCCGACCAGGAACCTACCCATATGGAACTGGTTTGGTTGTTCGACGACTGTATTCCGTATACAGCCGTCGAACAACCAGATCAAACCATCTCAAGCGCGCGCAACTGGTTCTCCGCCAACCACTCTCGTATTAAGGTTCTCGTCAGGATAACTTCCAAACCTAGATCTGACACGACACGTATCCACTCACGAATATTATACACTATGTGAATCTATTGGTTGTCTTTAATTTTATGCTGAGACAAGTCCGAACCAATGACTTGGGGGTTTAGTAGGTCATCAGATCATCAACAATTTGATCAATCAATGGCCGTGTTTCAATTAATTTTGCGAAACCGGACTCGTACTTCGTAATCAACACCAGAGAATGTCAGTTACACCCTAGCGCAATTAAATAGCAGCATCAACGTAGCCCTCCTTGGCGGCCATCTCGTAGTAGCCGTAGATTGTGGTCACGGCCATGAGGATACCGGTTCCGGAGCTGAGGGCTCCGAGCAGGTCGGAGGCGACTGACAGAGCGCCAATGGTGGCTCCTCCAAAAGCTGCAGCGGTGGGGATGATTCGCTTGAGCTCCTTGTAGGCAGAAGTCTCTCGTCGGCCAGCAATCACCAGACCCTGCTCCTTGAACTGCTTGGCCACATCTCGGGGAGAAGAGCCGGAAATCTCAATCCAGGTGGCAGAGAAGACGGCACATACGCCCAGAACAAAGGCAATGTAGATGACGGTCTTGACGGGGTCAGCCAGTGCCTCCTTGGCGTTGAAGGGGGGCTGCATGTAATAGGCGATACCGGAGACGGGGAAGAGCTGCTGCATGCCCTCTCGGCCGTCCCACACACCGAGCAGCCGGACGAGCACGTTCGTGGGGAACTTCTTGAACAGCATCTGGGAGATGATGAAGATGTTGGAGGTCAGGGCGGACTGCAGCATGATGGGCAGGTTGGAGGTGTAGAAGAGCTTGATGGGGAAGACGCCGTAGGGGCCTCGCTGCTTGGATGACTTGACGGGGATGTCGACTCGGAAGCCCTGGAGGTAGATGACGGCAGCGAAAATGGCCACAGTAGTCACCAGCTGAGACATGTTAGGCAGATCCTGTCGGGTGAAAGCCTCAATGATGGCTCGCTTCTTGTCCTTTCGGGTGAAGAGTAGGTGCACAAACGCGACAATGGCGCCCTCAAACTCGTAGCCCCGGCCCTTGTTGACAGTGGTGGGGGCAAAAGCCTTCCAGAAGATCTGCTCACAGATGTTGGTGGCAATGAAGAGCGAGATACCGGATCCGAGACCGTAACCCTTCTGCAGCAGCTCATCGAGCAGAATAACAACAAGGGCGGCAAGAACAAGCTGGAAGATGAGAAGCAGACAGACACCGACACCGAGATCCTTGGGGGGACCGTACATGCCAGTCAAGACGTAGACGGTGGCCTGACCAAGCGAGAGGATGATGGCAAACAGTTTCTGGGCGGTCTGGTAAAGCTCTCGATCGGACTTGAGGTCCATGTTGACCTCGATCAGCTGGGTTCCTCCAAGCAGCTGGAACACCATTCCGGACGACACAATGGGGGTGATACCGAGCTCCATCAGAGAGCCTCGGTTGGAAGCAAGCATCATTCGCAGCCAGTACAGCGCGTCGGATTTGTCTGACGAGTTGATACCGTACAGAGGGATCTCACTCATGACCAGGAAAATCATGAGGGTCACGGCGGTCCACATGATCTTCTGGTTGAAGGGCACCTTTCGCTCGGGCGCCTGGACCTCGGGCAAGAAGGGCGTGAACGGTTTCACCAGGTCGAGAAATCTTACACCGGCCATGTTGTGTGTTTGTGGTAGTGTAGGGGGATGGTGTGTGTGAGGTGTACAAGATGTGGATAGACCAAAGCACTATGCTGGGTTATACCTGTCCCAACTCTGTTTGGGACACGTAATGTAAAGTGGGTTGGGACCATGGAAAAAAGAGGTAGGGTAAGCCGAGGAGGAGTGGAGTGTAGTTGGGATTGTAGGGGTCTCTGCGAAAATCCGAAAAGTGCATCTTGTTTGTCTGTGATTTGCGAGTCCAGTCGTATATATATCTTCCCGATTACCCGCCCATTCACAGCTTTCAACCCCCCGTTCCAGAGATCGACAGACGAAGCAAAAACCAGTCATTTGCATCAAAGTTGCGACGCGTATCTCGAAAAAAGGGTGGACGTGGCAAGTGGGCATGTCACACGGCCTGTGTCACTGATGACGTGTTCAAAGTGTATATAAGGACCTTCTAATCCCCCCGTCAATCGCGCTTTTGACCGATCCACCCCCTCTCCCCTCTCCTAGCTCCTCTACGCCACCTGCACCACGTTCGTTAAGTCGATGAGCTGTCACCTACGAGTACAGTAACTCTGTGAGCATGTGCAGCCCGGGGTATGCAGGGTTGTCTCGTAGAAGGTGCGTGTACTGAAACGCAAGTGAGACCGAAGGAATGAGGTTGTACAGCTTGTGCAGAGATTGTGTGGCGGTGAATGGAGCCGCTTTCCCACCTGCTTCAGACTGCAAAACTACTGGCAACTAACTCACGTGCTTATTTACCAGTTCTAGTAAGCAACATGCTTATTTACCTGGGCTGTCAAAAAGAGCATACTGTGACAGATTGTGGAGACTTCCAGAAGTTGAAACGAAAAGGGAAATTGAAGCATGCCCTTGTAGATCCCAATAAGAAGTGTACTCGTCCTTGCACTTGTCGTCACGTGGTCAGTTAGGTGAGATCGAGGGATGGGGTCAATATACAACTGTCACGTGACCAGTATGATAGGTCCTTTGTGTGGTACAAATACACATTGTATCATCAAGTAAAGTCCTCTTTTTTTAATTTTTTTTTATTTTTTTTTTCACTCATGGCTCTTCCAGACTCCTACGGAAGACTGTTACTGTAGCCGCACTTGACTGAAAAGTGGGCTACTTGTAGGTGGAGCAATGTTGTCTGATGAGATGGTGGTTCAGTAACGGCAAATGTCGTGGAGTAGACAGGCGTTTAGTTCTGGGGATGGGAGGCCCGCCATGTTATTCGATTTTTCTCTTCTTTCTTTTTGTTTGGTTCTTAAATGGTAGAGGTAGAGCCAAGTATTAGGTCAAGTAAACGATCAAGTAAGATCCTAGATTTTGTAAGCATTTTACCTGCTAGAAAGATCCTGCTAATTCCACTACCAGGGGGAAGCAATGGTAAGTAAAACTAAGTAATGAGATCACAATGCCATACTTTGTCGATCCATCTCAAAAACTGTCTCGAAATACTCGCATTGCGTCGTTTTGATTGTTCTTCGCCATCGTCTTTTTCTACCTCCTGCTCCTGCTCCCAATGCGTTGGAGTGTATAAAAGTACGTCTCACACAGTCTGATACATACGGCATCACTCTCAAACATGTCATGGAAATACGCACTAGGTCAGTACATAAAGAGTCCTGAAAAATTCCCCAACGATGTGACTCTCGACACACCAGACTTTGTCGTGATCAAAGATGCGTTCCCGAAATCACATATCCATTACCTGGTGTTACCCAAGGCTGTCAAGCCCGATACCCATCCTCTAAAGGCGTTTGAAGACGACAACCTGTACGAAAAAACTCGTGCCATGGTGGAAAAAGTTGAGAAAATGGTTGCTGTCGAGTTCATTCGTACAAAGGGATACTCCAAGGACGTGAAGATCCAGTCAGGCATCCACTCGGTGCCCAGCATGAATCATGTCCATGTCCATGTTATGACGACAGATCTGTCTTCTCCCCGGCTCAAGAACCGCACACACTTCAACTCGTTCAGGACTGGCTTTTTTGTGCCATTCAGAACGATCCCGGATCTGAAAGTCCCAAGTCTTGACGCCTGGATGGTCTCACAGGAGAAACTCATCAAGGGGGACATTGTGGTGGATGGAGAGAACTTTGGGAACAAGTTTGCAAAGGCCAAGAGAAGACTGGATGAGGATTTCCACAAAGCCACGATTCACGGTATTCCAGAGGAGGTGGAGGATGATGATTATAGGGTGATGGAGATGATCTCTTAAGAGACAAGTGGCCATAGATAACGAAGGACATTCATATGGAAATTGATGACATTATAACGAAAGCATGCTCATGATACAAGTAGCAACCAGGTCGTTTTCTCTCAGTACGATCTCGATGGAGTGTAATAGTTGACAACGTAGCTGAACATGGCAACATCGTGATAAACTCATTATCAGTATACATCATATGCCACAGCCGAAACATAATAGTGCTTTGGCACTACAGGCAAACTACACTCTCACTTGCGATTAAATGCTTAACTAGTCTACTACAACTTCTCGTACTCGAGCTTACCCTCCAGCTTCTTGTTCTCGGACACCTTTCTGCAGGCCTTGAGCAGATCGTTCTGAACAATGTAGTCCCGATCGTCTCGGATGGCAAAGAAGCCAGCCTCGGTGACCACGTTTCGGATATCTGCTCCGTTGAAACCGTCGCTCATCTTGACCAGGGCCTCGTAATCGATTTCGCCCTGCTTCTGAACGCCAGCAGCGTGGATCTTAAACACCTCCAGACGGCCGGCCTCGTTGGGCAGTGGGATCTCGATCTTTCGGTCCAGACGGCCTGCTCGCAGCAGGGCGGGGTCCAGAGTATCGGGCCGGTTGGTGGCCATGATGACCTTGGTCTTTCCGAGATAGTCGAAACCGTCCATCTGGTTCAGCAGCTCCATGAGCGTTCGCTGGATTTCTCGGTCGGAGGAGGTTCCCTCGGAAAATCGACGTCCTCCAATGGCGTCCACCTCGTCCATGAAGATGATACAGGGCTCGTGTTCCTTGGCGTATCCGAACATTTCTCGAATCAGACGGGCAGACTCTCCAATGTACTTGTCGACGATAGCTGAGGCGGGCGAGAAGATGAAGTTTGCGCCAATAGTGGCGGCCACGGCCTTGGCCAGCAGGGTCTTTCCTGTTCCGGGAGGGCCGTACAGAAGCACACCCTTGGGAGGCTTGATTCCGACTCGCAAAAACAGCTCGGGGTTCTTCAGAGGCAGCTCAATGACCTCTCTGAGTTCACGGATCTGCTCGTTGAGGCCACCGATACCGGAGAAGGTCAGCTCTCCAGGCTCAAACGTGGTCATGTTGTAGACAAGAGGATCGACCTCTCGGGGAAGAATTCGCATGATAGTCAAAGTGGTCATATCCAGAGACACACGCACACCCTGCAGCAGCTTCTCCTTCTTGATGCTGGACCGACAGCCCACAATGTATCGGGGGCCGTTGGAGGCTTTGACGATGAACCGCTCCTCATCCAGCTGCTTAAGAACCTCGCCAATCAGCTGGCCTACCGACTGTAGCGCCTTGATGTCGTCCTCGGTCTTGTCGAATTTGCGCTCGAGGTCTCTGATGCCCAGTCGCAAGTCCTTGAGCTTGACCTCGTACTCTCGATGCTCCTTGAGTTTTCTCTTGAACGACTCGATCGCCTTTTCCCGCTCGGGATCTGTGGGTGTGGCAGCCACCTCGGGCGCCTCCTGGTTGAGAGCTGCGAGCAGCGGGTCGTTTTCCATGTTGTGTGTGTTGTGGTGTGTTGTACTGATGTAGTAACTGGAGCGTTGAGGTTCTAATATGTGAAGTGGTGATGCACCTCCCAATATTAGTGTTTGGTAGAAGAGTGGCGTATGGTGGCGAGGTGAGTGAAGGTGAGAGTACAGTAATGACAAATATAGACAGAATATCGGGGAATAAATGATCATCAATCGCTTTTATATTCCTCACTTATTGCTCTCAATATCCCCATTACTCCACAACTACTCTAAAACCTCGTATTCTGACACCTTCCACAGGATTACGTGAGGTAACAGAGTCTGGATGGGTATGGGTGGACCCATTCGCTCTTGGTGGTTATGCAACCACAGATCTAGTAGAGGTACCCGTAGTTGATGTGCTGTAATATAGACACAATGACAAATCCATAAATAAAGTGAGAAACCCCATTGAGGAGAAAGAGGTGTACATCTAATTATTGATTACATAAGCGTATAAGTAACTTAACCAAATTGTCACATTACTTCACCCAACAGTTGAACTATCTTTCATTTTACTTCAGAATGACTTTGAATATAGGTCTATCCAACTCTACCAATATAGATCCCACATATAATCTGAAAAGTGCATTCTTCTTGTAATTTCTCAGACAATCTGCTTCCATCATTATCTTATCGATAGGATATCTCCACATCTTGTTACAGACACCGCCATCCCCGTCAAATAAACTCCGATGCAAGCTCCATGTGCAGTGAAATTTATTAGCATTGAAAAGAAGCACATAAAAGATCACATAAAGCACACACCACCACCACTCTGTGCTAAATCTCCTCTGCTACAATGGGAGCCGACTTCAAAGTGTTCATTCTGTGCGGCCAGGGCAAAAACATGGCACCTCTCTCGTCCGTGAGAGCGTCTGGAGTGCCCAAGGCCCTTCTTCCCATGGCCAACGTGCCTGTGATCGACTACACCCTCAAATGGTGTGAGACCATCCCCAACCCCAAGGTGTTTGTGTGCTGTTCTACAGCTGACGAGGCGGAGATTTCCGCCTACGTGGACTCTTTCAAGGCTGAGCACTCCACCTCAGTTGTGGCTTCCAACGTGACTATCTGTTCCAAGACCGATGCGAAGTCTGGAGACTTCATTCTGGAGCTGACTCGAGGGGAACCCTCTGATTTCATTGTGGTTGGCTGCGATTTTATCACAGACATTCCCGCCAGCTCGCTGGTCGACACCTACCGAAGCCGAGACTCGGACTCGCTTCTCACAGCCTTCTACTACCCCAATACCCTGGAGAACGTGGACAAGAAGTCATTGCTCAAGGACGTGACGGTGCACTCATCGCTGGACTCGCGAACCCCGCGGCTGCTGGACTCGTATTCGCGTGACTACATTGAGAACAAGAAGACCATGCCCATCCGCCGATCCATGCTGTGGCACTTCCCTAAGTCTTTGGTCTCCACACAGCTGCTCAATGCGTCCGTCTACTTCTGCACTGCCGACGTGTGTAGAGTCATCACCGAGACTCAGGCTGCCCCTGAGGAGGATTCCACAGACGAAGATCCCGACACCCGATCTTCGTCGCCTGTCAGACAAGAACAGGAGGAGGCACACACCATTCTGGCCAAAGGCCGACAGTGGGACCGAGTGGTTCGAGACATTGCCCGACGGTCGTGGGCACATGCGAAGCCGCTCAAGTCTGTGTCTCTGTGCGTTCTGGACTCCAATACCTTTGCACGAGCAAACAACCTGTCTGCATACATGGAAATGAACCGAGTGATTCTGAAGGCAAGAGCCAAGGCCAACGCCACTGCCCAGAAGCCCGCTCCAGCTGTTAAGGGAGCTGCCACTGTTGGTGTCGACTCTCTGGTCGGCGAAGAGACCCAGCTGGGCGAGCGAACCAGTATAAAGCGATCTGTGGTTGGAAACAACTGCACCATCGGCAAACGATGTCGAATCAACGGCTGTGTCATCTTTGACGGTGCTTTCATTGCCGATGACGTTACTCTGGAGAACTGTCTGGTCGGAACTAAGACCACAGTCGGTACCAAGGCCAAACTCACGGGCTGCAATGTTGAAGGAGGATACAAGGTGGAGGCTGGCAAGGTGGCCAAGAACGAAACCATGCTACAGCTGTCCCTGGAGGGTTTGATGGAGTCCGACGAATACACTGACGACCATGACGAAGATGACGATGATGACGATGACAGCGAAATGGGCGACTCGGACGATTGGTCCGTCAGCGGAGGAGACGACTACGATGATGATGATGGGCTCTTCGATCGGTCTTAGAAAGACAAGTATAGCTAATGTATGTTGGATAGAGTATGGAGTAATTACAGACTTGATCTAGAATCACAGAACATTTTCACGTTCTGAAATGTTCCGCACTCGTATGTGATGTTCAAGTATAGTTGTATCTTGTACAATTATCTACAGTCACCGAATCCGCCACAGGTAATATACATAATTGTCATCATTCATTATTCATTACTGTTCTGATACATACAGTATCATGCGATAGGGTCGCTAGCACTTTCTATGAGTACAAATATTCCTTCGTGGTGCTGCTCTAAACTGAGATTAAACAAATGCTTCATCTCCTAGCCTCTTCCTCAGAATTTCAATCTCTTTATCGAGATCCTTCACAGACATCTCTAAAGGCCCCAGTTCGTCGTACTTTCGCCTCTGCTTGGCCTCCAGCATCATGTTCTCCACCATAAACCTCTGTTCCTCCATGACCACCAGCTGTTGCTGAAGTGCCTTGTAGTTGGCAGGAGGACGGGGTTTAGCTGGCTCGGGGGCTGTAGCTTCACTACCCAGCACCTTGGGAAGCGTTTTCAAGGGCAGCATCTTCTCTTGTAGAAATGACACCGCAGCTGTGTATATCTGTTGCTGTATTCGCTCTTCTGTAGGAGACAGTCCCTCCAGTGCTCCTACTCTTCTAGCAGCCGAATCTAGCTGCGAAAAGGTATCGAGAAGACGCTTACGCAGCTTGGACGCTGCCAAAATGTCCTTGGGATGCATACCGGCCATCTTTTTGGACGCAATCGTCTCCTCCAGCTCCTTTTGGAACCGAGGCATCATGTTTTCGATGGAAGTGGTCAGATGGGTCATGGTGTTGTACAGCTTAAGCAGCTCGCTGGGATCGGAGTTGACATCCCGCTGAAAGTTACGTCTACCAAAGACTGTATTCTTGCAAGTCATGCAGATCCGTATGGGTTCGCAATCTGTTGGAATGGTGTCGCTGAACTCCTCTTTCATATCGAGACTGTTGATTAAAATGTTCACACCAACAGGAAGAGAACATTGTGTGGATGTCTGTCCACACACCACCTTTCCGCACACCCTGCAATGATGAGGGCGGATCAGAAAGGTGAATTTGACCTGGCATTCCGGACAATTGGGCTGTGTTGAGTCTTCCTGCCATGGTACTGAGGCTGTGACAGCCGCCTTAGGTTTCCACCAGGGTCCCGAGCTCTCGTTCTCTATGCTTTCTTCCGCAAGTCGTCTCAGTCTGTTTTCCAGCTTATTGACGGACAGCTCCTGGATGTCGATTTTCGCCTGGCGTTTTTTCTTGAACTCTTGCGTCAGATCTCTTTCAGTACCTGTCGTGTCATTGTACCCTTCTCTGCCCGTGTAGCAAGTCTTGCACACCCAACACCAGATACCGCCCTTTGGTTGGTGGTGAGCATCTCGGCTCAACTTCATTCTGTAGCGACTGTGGCCGTGGCAGAAGATGTTTCCACAATGTCGGCAGTGCCTTGAGCCGTTCCTGGCTCCCAGCTTGCGTTTGCAGTCCGGATAGTGGCATGTTTGGCCCGGTCCGGGGTGCTTCCAGTGCCGTCTGGTCACCATTTCGTCGGTGGGTCGCGGTTTCGTGTGTGGTTTCTCGCTGGACGCCCGTGTCTTGCCCTTTACCTTGCCATCACCGTGTACGTCGTCAATGTGCCGATTCAGTTGCATCAGCGTCAACATTGTCTCCTCGCAAATCGGACATGTCAGCGAAGTGGCTGAGTGTGATTCGGGGCCTGGGGACGCCGTGGAGACGACCGGCGGGGTCGGCGGGGGTGGCGGAGTGGGAGCGGCGCTTGTTTGCACCACCTTGGGCTCCTTCACCGGCTCCACCTTGGTTCCGATCACTCGTTTTTTGCGCATGCTGAAATAGAGTGTACTTGTGGGTGGTGCGTGATAAGCTGAGTAATATGGCGGGGTTGCATGTGAGGGTCGGCAGGTTAGGGAGTTGTTGAAAAGGTAGGGCAGGTTTTGAGGTTTAGTGATTACGTGGAGTGCGGATATGTGTTTTGATTTTGTATATCTAGTCTACTGGTGGAGTTGTGACCGATGCTGTGGTGTAGACGGCTAACAAACTTGGGTAAGCATTGCACCTAATTTAGTTGAAAGAAAGTCAAGGATAGCGTTTATTTACTGTAGCAACAAGGTGAAACTGGAGTTGCGGAAAGATAGGGCTTCCGAAGAAAAGAAAGAAGGGATTTGATATGGAGAAGTCTTTAATCACCTTTCATTTGACAGATCTACACCTGCACAGTGGTACAAGTATACTGTACGGATACCCTAACGATGACTCTCTACATCCCCCCCCCCCCCCCCCCCCCCATCTCAGTCGATTCCAGTAGTACACTCGTATGTACTGCACACCAAAACAGTAAATATTGTTGCCTCTAACTCTGACAGTACTACAAGTACCGTACGGTACTTAACACTGGTACTGTATACAGTAAATGTACTCAACCTCGTCCAGTAGCACTTGTATGTCGTTAGTTGGTGGGTCGTTATCCCCTCAAGATCGAATTCAAACGCTCTGGGGTGATTTAAACCCGATTTAAACCGTCTCGGCCTGATCTGAAACATGCGATGGGATGCAGTTCGGGCATAAGTGGTTGTGTGTGACCACTTTGAAGACCACTCTGAAACCATTTCTGGTTTCTAGAGTCGTAAACAACAGAGACAGAGATACGATTCTGTATAGTACGGCTCTCAAAACACGTCTATAAGCCACTAGTTGGCTAGTTTCCGCTGACGTGTGACAGGACAGATAGAACAAGAACGAGTACATACGAATATACGGCTGTTTTTGGTTCTTGCACCATCTTTCTGATTATTACAGGATATGCAATAAAAAGTGATGGTACAACCCGGCTCGGTAACCACAGCCTCATACTGTAGAGCCTCATATCTGTTATACACAGTCTTTCATACAAGCTCTCTTTTATGAATCACCCTTGTCAGTCAGCTATGGGTGTCGGGCGCATGAGGAGTAGTAGCTCAGATGGGTGACAGTTAATGCACAAGTTGTAGAGCAGAAAAACCCCTGGCAACGACGTAAATACCACCTGAAAGAAATAAAACGAGTTTTCCATGTCGAATATTCACCCGGGAACCACCCTCTTATATACACACTCTCCCCACACCCTTCAGAACAACCACACCACTGTGACCCCCACATGCATGAAAGCACGCATCTTTTGCTAAATTCAAAGCTGTACACAAGCCATACTAACGACCATCTAACGACCCGTCAACAGCACAATGATCACGGTCACGCCCGGGGAGTTGGCAACCATCGACGACGCTCTCACCGACCTGCTGCTGGAGCGCGTATTCTACTGGGCCGAGGTCCGCAAGGCCTCCGTGCACTACAAGCCGTTACGCGGCATTTCAGATCGTCATATCCACGACCTGGTGCGCTCCATTGCCGCCTGCGAGACCGGAGCTGCGGCTAATCTGGCGGTGAAGAAGGCCACCAACGCGTTTCTGGAGCTCAAGGAGGTCAGAGGATACCGAGGACGGCTTAGTCCACTGGCTTACGAAGAGTTCCAAAGACACACAGTTCGATACCTGACCATCTACAAGGCGTCGTGCGGGTTTGAAATCAACGTGTCCATGCGTTACAAGTGCCGCTCCAACCGAGGAGAGTCCTGTGTCATCTCCAGAGTCAGATACAACCGGGGAGACGAGATTGTCGGTCTGTCTGGTTGTCTGGCCAAGATGACCAAGGACGAAGAGCTGGCCCTTGCCAACGACTTTTCTGTGCTCCACTCCTCACGAAGAGGCGGAAACTGTCTCATGCTAGGCCCTGCTCGATTTGTCAACCACGACTGTAGTGCCAACGCTCGGTTTGTTCCTGTTCCTTCAGGCATGGTGATCCAGGCTGTCAAGCCCATCAATGTGGGCGACGAAATCACTGTCAAATACGCAGAAAATTATTTCGGACGCAGAAACAAGGAGTGTCTGTGCCAGACATGCGAGGAGAACTCCAGAGGCCTGTATGGAAGCCCACAGGAGTCTAGTGAGGAGGAGAGCGACGACGACATGGATGAGCTAACAAAAATTGAACTGCAACGGAGAAAGAAACGGCAAGAGCAGAGAGAGGGAGGGACCCCCGAACTCAGAGAGGGAGGTCGAGGCTCGTCAGAATCATCTAGAGAAACTTCGGAAGAAGCTATTGAGATCTCCACCAGCAAGAACTGGCCATTGATCCCTAAAATCGAGTCTCACACAGCAGATAGTACCCCTCTCCCTGTACCTGTTGGAGAAGTGTCTGAAGCCACTGTCACTGAGGTGTCCACTGTTGTTCCTGCTCAAGAGGCTATTCCTGTTAATGAATCAACAACAGCTTTGTCGCAGTCGTCAAATGAGTTTCAGGACCCAACGATCGACCCCATTTTGAATGGGGCCAGTGCTGAAATCAGGTTCCCGTCTCTACCCAGCCCAGATACCACCACATCACCCGAATCACAAGTTCCGCCGTTCATTCAACCAAAAAGTGCCCGACGAAACCACCACTATCTTGGCATGCACAACACGGACGAACGAGTGCGGTTCAACGACCGACTGTCGGTTCTAGACGAGAGAGGCGGAAGTGAGGATATGGAGAGCTGCCTGGTGAGCGGCAGTGAGTCGCGAGACGATAGCACTGCTATGTCGCGAGATGAGGAGTCTTCTCGTGACGACGGTGACGGTTCTCGTTCCAAACGGTCCAAACGACATGTACGGGCTCAGCGCAAGAACTCAGGATCATGGTCTTTCAGCCAGGAAGATCTCAGCTTTGACAGACTGTGCAAGGCTGCTCGGGAACAGGCCTATGATCCTTCCAGGTATGCTCTGACGGGGGTGTATGGCTTCTCCGTTTCTGGGGCAACGCAGACGTGCGTGTCTTGTTGTTCAGTCTACAATCTCACTGACGGGCCCAAGACACTTGGCCACTTTTGTCCTCGGTGCCACAGACATGCTGCTATCCACAGCTTTGCCTGGCCGTATACTAACCATAAGCATGCCCTTCCCCTGTGTCTGCTAATGATGCGGCCTCCAAAGAAGCTTGAGGACGAGGACTGGGGTCTCTCCAAGCCACAGGTGGCTCAGCAGTTTGGTGCCAAAAATCGTAAGATTTTCGAGGAGGACGGTTCGTTGGTGCAGAAGAAGCGCAAGTCGCTGGCCTGGTCGTGGGAGTACACCAAAGAGGAGCCTGCCCAGGAAATCACCAGTATGCGCATTGAGGACATGAGTCCGAAGGAGCTGAAGAAGTGGAGTCAGGCCGGTCGACAGACACGGTCTGGACGGGTTTCTATGCTGCCGGAGAAACCCAAGCGGTCGAGAAAGTCGGCTCCTGAGCCTGTTGAGATGCGGGACAATGTGGCTCAGCTTTCACGAGAGGAACGAGCTTGGAAGAGAGCTCGAAGGGGAACCGTGGGACATGAGAAAGTGGAAGTAAATACTCCGACAGTAGAAACTCCGTCAACAGGCACCCCGAAGGTGAAGAAGCTACATTGGAAGCAAAAGCTGGCAATGGAGAGGAGACAGAAGGAGGCGGAGGCGGCTGAGGTGGCTGAAACCAGAGTTGCGGACGGTGTTGATGCATCTACTCCTAGTCCTGCTGGGTCCACGCCGACTCCTAGAGGAAGAGGTAGACCCCGAAAGTCTTCTCGGGAAGAAGAAATCCCTCCCGAGAAGACACCTGAGGCGAAGAGACCTAGTCCAGCAGCAACTAAGACTCCATCGATGTCTCCAAAAGTGAAGAAGGAGCCTCTCAGTATGTCGTTTTCAATGTCTCCAACGAGCCGGTCAGGACGGGTTCGAAACCCCACGGAAAAAGCATTGCAGTTGATGGAACAGGGAGAGTATGTGATTTGAAGAGGAGAAAAGGGGAATTACTAATGGTCGGATGGGTTGGATATGTATTTGTACTGTAAATTTATTATGAGTTATGGCTATTTGGCATACAAGTACAAGTATGGTGATCTTGTTTAGGTGGTGTAAAACTTGTGCGTCTGAAAGTTTAAAAAATAAATACTAGTACATACTTGTACTTACTACTTGTAGTAGAGAGACTCAACAAAACTCAGTAACATTGATTGTAGTTTTGAGTGTCTCTTATGAGAAGTACAAGGAGTACTCAAAAATGAATTTCTGTCATACTGTATACTCAAATATTTGCACATGTACAAGTACAAGTACGTTTCTCACACACTCTCTCTTTATACAAGCTTATTATATACGTTAGCGTTCCTCTATCTATCAATGCTCAAACTTGAGACTCGGCCAGAAGAGCCTCTCCATCTTCTCGAGTGGACCGGTTGTTGGTCTGCTGCTGGTTGGGAGACACATCGGGGAAGTCCCACAGTTTGTAGTAGTCCACCGCATGGCCTCCAATGGCTCCTCCACCCTTACCAGCTTCAAACACTGCCAGGAGGTCAAACTTGCCATTAGGGAACCAGAAGTCGAAGCAGTTAGTTCCGGCGCCCGAGTCGGTGGGGTTCTTCTCCTTCCACGACCGATTGTCCCGATGCTTGATGGCTTCACCTGCAGTAGCCACAAACTGATCGACTCCAAGCAGTTTGAGCACCGAGGAAAAGCAGGGCGACTTTGCAGCGTGTCCATGGGCGTTCATAACGGACTTGGCTGATGCTGTGGCGGCAGAGTGGTCTAGAGGGACCGACGAGTAGTCATCAGCACCCATGTAGCCGTACTTTTGCAGGTTGACGGCTTCGGAGGTGGTGAGTGACCTGCAGATCTGGAAAATCTGCACAAAGGACAGGAACGTGATCCAGATGAGTTGCAGTGAGATCCAGATGACAAGGTAGAACTCCAGGGGATCCCATCGCTTGATTTCAAGCAGCTCTCCAAAGTAGGCACTGTTGAGAGCCAACCAGAGAGGAATGCCAATCTGCAGAAACAGCACGTAGAGCACAAACATGCGGTGGTTTCGGACTCCAATGGCGTTCCACACCCAGGGGCAAAAGTGATCGAACCGGGCCACGACTCGTTTCGATTGTCTACAGAACTTTGACCGCAGCGGCTTTCGCACGTAGGTAACGAAACAAAAGTGTCGCGTGTCAAACTCGCCCCGCTCAATGAGCGTCTCGATGACCTCCTTCTGCTCGGTGATGCCAGAAAGCTTGGGGATATATCCGGGGTCCATGGACATGCATCTGAAGAAGCAGTACATGGCCAGACCAAATATGGAGGCGAAGAAAAAGTTGAGAATGGGGTGGGAGGCAAAAGTAGCCGGAAGGACGGAAGTTAGGTACTTGACTGTCACCCAGAAGGCCGAGCCCGTGAATATACCTGCCTGGAAGGGTGATTTCAGTAGAGCAGCATGTCCGTTGTAAAGAGACGGTAGCACAAGTGTCTTTAGCAGTTTAATAGATCCGAACAGGGTCGCCACGGTGAGAATGATCCCAAAAATGGGGCCACAGAAGGTGCACAGCACCAGGCCCAATAAAATGAGAATGAAGGGGGTGAAGAAACACAAGAGATTAGTGGTTCGGGCGTCGAAGTATTTTGTTTTTTGGCTACCGTCGGGGAACCGTCCACAGTCGTCGAGAGCGCCCTCCAGCTGTGCGGTGGTGTTCATTTCAGCGGCCATGACATGGGGAGTTTTTCCGTCACTGCTTTTGGCGTACATGTCGGATCCTTCTTCGATGAGACGGGCAAGCGAGTTTCGCGAGCCGTTGACAATACCCCAATGTAATGGCAGAAAGCCCTGGGTGTCTGTGATCTTCACGTCCGAGCCCCATCTCAGCAGCACGTCTACCGACAGAGCGTCTCCCTGGTAGGCTGCCCAATGCAGAGCGGTTCGCCCATTTGGGTCCTGGCAATCGACAGGAAGGCCCTGATGCAACAGGTAAACCAGCAGCATGACGTTGGACGAATGGGTGGCGAGATGCAGAGCGTTGTAGCCTTGGACGTCTGATCTCAGCGGATCGGCTCCGTTCTGGATCAGGTAGTGTACAATGTACACCAGTCCCCGGCGACAAGCCCAGTGTAGTGGCGTGCCATTCAGCTGGCCTCCTTTGGCGTCCACCACCGCTCCCTGTTCTACCAGATACTGGCACGTGCTGATTCGGTTGTTGACTGCCGCCCAATGGAGAGCAGTCACTCCATCCTCAGCGGTGTCCAGAACCGAATAGCTGCCCGATTCACATAGCCGCTTGACCTCGGCGGTGTTGCCGTCTCGGGCTGCCACCACCAGCGGGTTTTCCTCCTCTTCCACGTCACTGGTGGCCTCTTCGGCGTTGGTAGTCGACTCCACTTTGCCACTGGCGGTCACTCCTTCGGTCTGGGTGCTCGGGGCGCTTTTGGACGCCACCGAGAGGCCCGAGATGGTCTGTAGTTCTGCGTCGGTGCTCATGGCGTGTGAGCAAGCTGGTTGAGAAGAACTTGGTGGGTGTGGGTGAGGTGTACAGGTGTGTACAGCCTACTTACGCGTCTGAGCCTGTACGTGTGTGCAGTGTATTTGCGCTATGTCCCAACACCACCTTAATCCACAGGCAAGGGCAGAATAATCGCCAGGCAGACGAAGGCAAAATAAGACAAAGTGAAGCAGCTTAGAGTGGTCTTGCCTGGTACATGGAGCTGTAAAAAATAGAGATAGTTGGAGGGCGGCAGTCCGTCACGTGACGCGCCATGAGCTCCCGCTCCGCTTAGCCGCTTCATGCACAGCCACGACTCAGCCTCCAACTAGTAGTCTCGACTCTTGTACTGCACCTCCCACATTGCCGGCTTGGCACCTCCTCGTCTGTAACGCTCGCCAGGGGCATGCAATCAGATTAAATTTTCATTTGGCTCTGTTGGCAAAAAAAGTTCACTAAAATCACGGATTTACGCACCGAGAAAAAGCAAGTTGCAAGGGTCTAAATAAATCACTGTCCCCGAGACCGGGCTGTACGTACAGGTAGATTGATCTGGCGAGCACTACTGTAGCAAGAAGGGGCATTAGTGTTGGTACCTGAGCTGCTAATTATACAGCATGTAGCTAGCTACAGACTGTAAATACAAGCCTGTACATACGATAGGTGTACGAGAGCGCCCTGTCGTCACAGCAACCACTTCCATGCAAAGACCATACAGCACAACGCCGTGTATGCACCGTATGAACTGAAGCTCATCCGGAGTACGGGTTGTACAGTCCGTGATACAACAAAAGTAAATACCAGCCATTTAGTAATAGCGTGAGGTATTTAGAACCAAGTGGTAACGTGTACACTGGTACATTCTGGTCATTGGGACATTCTCATCCCTCGTCCACCAGCCTCTCTAAAAGTGTGCGACATTTGATAGAGCACATAGAAGAGGCATTTCAAATCATTAGCAGGGTTCAAAAACAGGAGGGTTCACCAGGTCCGTCCACTTTGCTTTCCAATACAGTTCGAGACATCGTGTGACTGCAGCTACCGCGTACCTACATACTGTCCTTCTTGTAGTAGCTCGGACACATTCTTTGATCAATCGTTTTTTAGCCGTGTCTACAGTGTTCTAATTGGCCCTCTACTTGAGTCTAGTAAGAATGTCATCGACCTCTGCTGTCATGTCCTTCACCATAGACTTGACTCTCACTAGGCCAGGTTTGAGAGAGCCCAATTTGCCTCCTTCCTTTTGCGAAAGATTGCCCACTAACGCCACAGCTCGGTAGATCATCTCCACCTCTGTATCTTTGTCCAGAATGCGCTGCAGACAGGCCATCAGCTTCTCGTTCTTGACCATAATGGGAGGAGCAGGATCCCACTCGGACAGCATGGCTAGAGCACCCATAGCCGCTAGACGTCCAGCTTCATCAGATAGATCTGTCAGAGCAACCAGTAGATTGAGACGCGAGTTGGCTGCCTTACTTCCGTCAAGATACTTCTCGGCACAGTAGGGCGAAAGCGATAGGTTGCAGACCAGCTCCACGGCACTTCGTTGCACCATGGGGTTCTGCGAAGTCATCATGTTTTCAATCTTCTCCCATCCGTGGCTGATAATCACCTTTCGGGTGGTATCGTCAAAAGAGGCGAGATTGGTTAGAGCTAGGGCAGACTCGAATGAATCCAAAAGAGGGAGGGGCGAAAAGTCGTTGTCTATGTTGGCCAACAGAGGAATGACAGCCACCGAGGCTGAGATTTTGGCGCCGAAAACAAGACTAGGATTGGTAGAAACCAGTAGCTTGGCCAGCCCCGAGGTGATGAATACCTTGGAGGCGGGCTCCAGCTGCGCGTCAGTGTCGCAAAGTATGTACAGAAGCGTAGCCACCGCTCCTTGCTGCGTCAGAACGCCTCTCAGACTCTTTTGCTCGGCCAGGGATGTCAGAATAGTACCTGCTACAGAACGAGCATTGGGTTTCAGCTTGTTAACTAGAGCTGACAGAATAGCTGGGATTTTCAAGTCTACGAGAATCTTGCAACGTTTGTCAGTCTGTTTGGTAATCTGTGCAAGCTCCTCTTCTTTCTCCTGGACAGCCTCGGCATACTTCTTCAAGTCAGCCACTTTCTTTTGATCAGGAGACAGACGAGGAGGATAGACTGCCAAGTTGGCAAACACAGACAGGGCTCCGTAGACCAGCGACGAGTCGTTGGACTTGAGACACTCCACGAGCTGTTTGAGCAGCTCGTCGTTCACAATGATGCCCATTCGCACATTCTGGTCCAGAGAGGTATACGCGAGACCCTCCACAGCCTGTTTTCTGAGATCCTTGTCGGGAACAGACTGCTCAAAAATGGACGATAGCGACTCCAGGGTCGAAAGTAGCTCCTCCTGCTGGGGCTCGCTTCCCTTGGGCTTGGGATCCTTTGGCTTGAAGCTCAGCTTGGTGAGAATGGTGGCAGTGTACAATTTGATTTTTTGCGAAACAGTTGCTTGCAGCAATTGCACGAGGTCCTTCTCGAACTTTGCGCCAATCATCTCTCGGCACTGTTTCGAAACACAGGCTGAAGACAGACAGTCTAGAATGGCGAGCATGGTAGGTTCGGAATGTGTCATCGAAGGGGTCATTTTGAACTGCTGCATCCATTCCGAAGCGAAGATATCGGCTGCTCGGCCGCTATCAATCGAGAAGAGTACTGACAGTAGTGAAAAGGCAGTAATGACGCTATCTGTGGTTTCTGCAAGCAGAAAGTTCTCAATCTGAAAGCCCAATTCCTTCTCAGCCTCGGCGGGAAACACCTCAAATAGACGCGCAATGATCATAACTGCCAGTGCAGTTGTCCGATCTTCCGTCTCCAAACTGGAAACATAACTGGGAGCGATTTCCACCAGTTTCTTGAACGTGGCTTTGTCGAATGGCTTCTTTTGCATGCAAATCACCTGAAGATAAAAGTCCGGATTTGTTTTGAGCAGCGACAACGAGTCGTCAATAACCGTGTCCTGTGGAATGTCGAGCTTGGCTACAGCTCCAAACTGTCCGTGTTCAGCACATGTTTGTAGACACTGCTTGGGGTCCTCTTTGACGGCCTTGGCGAATGCTTCTGGGGAGATTTTCGTCAGATCGGGTTTCTCAGCGCTCACAATTGCCTTGAGCTCTTTCAATTGGTCGGCTGCGCTCTCCAATGCGAGCTTTTCTGTCTTGTTGGTCACTTCGTCCATTGTATGTGGGTTATGTGGGTACTGGTAGGGTGTGTGATGATGCGAGATGTGAGATGTGAGGATATGTGCATGCAGGCGTTTCTTGATGGTGCAGCAAGCAGCACTTCCGGGAATGATCTAAAGCAAACAAAGGTTAAGAGTCAAAGCACGTGATCCACAGTCAGTGATACTGCTCAAGTGCTTAGAATGCCAAGAATATCGCTCTATTTGTGGTTAGATGACTCCTCCTAAACACGCATCTCAATGTCAACTGATTTCAATAAAGTTTCAGAAATAGAGCATTGTTAAGGTTCAGATACGGATGAGAACATGCAGCAAGGTAAGAAAAAAAATATAGCCCTCAAAAGGAAGCCGTAAAAGGTGTGTCAGTGTGGTGGGTAGCCAACAAAGAGAGCAAGAAGGGCAAATAAGGCAAAAAAGAGAGGACGACAGGACTCGAACCCGCAGCCTTTGGAGGACGTCGTTCAGAAGAACCGAAATCCAATGCGCTACCATTACGCCACGTCCTCACTTGAGATGTTGTCAGAAAGTGTGTTCGGCCGTTTTATATGGCAAAAGATCGAAAATCCCCCGGCGAGAAAAGCCCCCAAACGGCCAATACAGGAGATAACAGTGCTTTAGCCACAGCTTTATAGCATTTTTGACTTATAGAAGTTTGAGACATTGAGAAAAGGAAGAAGAAAGCCCCCATGACGAGAAGTCATACATGATTACTAAGCTTGAACAGAGCAGCCTGACGAAATGGAATAACATTGCAGTAGAGTTGACGAAGGCACGATCTCGGTTGTTGGAAACTGTCAGTAACCACTAAAGAAGATTGCTTGGTTTGCGACAAGTGCTTAACGCGATTTTTCAATGAGTTTCATGAGAATGTTCCTCCATCTGCCTACAGGAGGCTTTCAGTAAAGGTCATCAAAATAGCTAACTAAGATTTTCATCATACTACACACAAGAAGACGACTCTATCAGGTGGCTTTCACTGAATTCTCAATAGTGAAACACATGTAGAACTGTCAACACGAATCCAAGTCACGCATAGGACCCAAAATACTCTTACATTTCGAGCAACCACCGCCTCTATTATTCGCCTCCCTCATTCCGCCTCCTCTGGTCTTGGGAACCTTATATGGAAAGGGTAGTACAAGGCGGTGGTGCCTTCACAGAGAACATGTCAGCTGTTTGAGAATAGCCAGAGAATCATGCAATAGCTAGTACGGATTAGTCACGTGGTAAAGACGTTTGTATGTGTTTATTTGTCTCGTTCTTGTCCCGTAACACCCATTTTGCTCCAGGCTGCCGCCTCAGCGGCACGTGACCTCAAACTTACCCTTCCGAAAGGCCTAGAAGTTTTGGGAGGTGTGTAAACGTTTACCTTTGGGGTGGGAAATTATTACAGATCAAGTGAAAACACCTTACAGTGCATCACATAGCCAACTACACACAACACAAGATGGCCCAGCAACAGACAATGCCCATGCCTGACATGTCCAATGCCATTGTGGCTCAGGACGAAATGGGACGGCCTTTCATTATTGTCAGAGAGTGAGTACAAACGACACGAGAGGAGGAAGCTGAAGGTGGCAAGACACAGTCTAGGACACGCTAACATAGCCAAGGAAAGAAGAAGCGCGCACACGGAATTGAGGCCGTCAAGAGCCACATCCTGGCCGCTCGAACCGTGTCGGATATCGTCAAGACCTCCCTGGGTCCCCGAGGACTGGACAAGATTCTCATTTCTCCTGATGGAGACATCACCATCACCAACGACGGAGCCACCATCATGAGCCAGATGGAGATTGAGCACCAGATTGCACGACTTCTGGTCGAGCTCAGTCGGTCTCAGGATGACGAGATCGGAGACGGAACCACCGGTGTTGTGGTTCTGGCCGGAGCTCTGCTTGACCAGGCCTACGAGCTTATCGAGAAGGGTATCCACCCCATTCGAATTGCCAACGGTTTCGACCAGGCCTCCAAGGTTGCCGTGGAGCGACTCGAGCAGATTGCCGACACCGTGCCTGTATCTGACGTTGACAAGTCGACTCTCATCAAGGCCGCCAAGACCTCCCTGGGCTCCAAGATTGTGTCCAAGGCCCACGATCTCTTCACAAACATTGCCGTGGACGCTGTTCTGGCTGTGGCCGACCTCGACCGAAAGGACGTGGACTTTGAGCTCATTAAGGTCGATGGCAAGGTCGGAGGATCCCTCGAAGACACCAAGTTTGTGCGAGGAGTGGTTCTGGACAAGGACATGTCGCACCCCCAGATGCCCCGAGACATCACCGACGTCAAGATTGCCATTCTGACGTGCCCCTTCGAGCCCCCCAAGCCCAAGACCAAGCACAAGCTCGATATTAGCTCCGTCGACGAGTTCCGAAAGCTGCAGGCATACGAGCAGAAGACCTTTGAGGACATGGTGGCCAAGGTCAAGGCTACTGGTGCCAATCTGGTCATCTGCCAGTGGGGATTTGACGACGAGGCTAACCATCTGCTGCTTCAGAACGGTATTGCTGCCGTTAGATGGGTTGGAGGACCTGAGATTGAGCTGCTGGCCATTGCCACCGGCGCCCGAATCGTGCCCCGATTCGAGGATCTGTCTGCCGCTAAGCTCGGCCACGCTGGACGAGTGCGAGAGCTCGAGTTCGGAACCACCCGAGACCGAATGCTGGTTGTCGAGGAGTGTGCCAACCCCCGAGCCGTGACTGTCTTTGTGCGAGGCTCTAACAAGATGATTGTAGATGAGGCCAAGCGAGCTCTGCACGACGCCATCTGTGTGGTTCGAAACCTGGTGCGAGACAACCGAGTTGTTTACGGAGGAGGAGCTGCCGAAATTGCATGTGCCATTGCCGTTGCCGAGAAGGCCGACCACATGACCGGAATCGATCAGTACGCCTTCCGAGCCTTTGCCAACGCGTTGGAGGCCATCCCTACAGCTCTGGCTGACAACTCGGGCCTTTCTTCTATTGAGAGTCTGGCTTCTGTCAAGTCGCGCCAGGTCAAGGAGGGCAACTCCCGACTGGGCATTGACTGCCTCAACACTGGCAACAACGACATGCGAGAGAACTTTGTGGTGGATCCTCTGATTGGAAAGCGACAGCAGCTGCTGCTGGCCACCCAGCTGACCCGAATGATTCTCAAGATCAACGATGTCATTGTCACCGGCACTGATGATTATTAAACGGAGAGGGGCGAGTAGGAAGGACGATATCATGAGTATAAAATAGGATTATTGATAGAGGTTTGAATTAGTGAGAGTAATGAGAGGGGTATGACAGAATGAGGGAGCTGGTGACAGTACTGTTCTCACAGCACACAACACTTCGATCTCATACACATGTACTTGTACGAATTGAAGGTACAGTAAACTTCGAGATGGTATTAGATGTCTTACTATACAAGCGAACAGAGAGAGTAGAGTCTACACTACTTGTAGTAACATATAACCAAAGCGACATTGTTTGTAATATTTTTATATTGTGTCTAACACAATACTGCCTCTTATGTGAAGAGCTTCCAGCTCGTCGTTATTATTGGTGCTTTTTATTGTACTGTACTTACTTTCTTCGCATGGGTCAATTGGGTCGCACTATTCTCCTTTTACGATACTCCACTGGGCGGTAATGAGAACCAAGAGCAACATCTGGGAGAAAAGAGCTAATAAATCAAGCAAAGATAGTACCAAGAGCACCATAAAGCGTTTTCAGTCAATAATACTCCTTCTACAAGCAGTTCTTAGATGATCTTTTTTTTTCTTCCCCACGTACTATTTTCGTCCAGCATGTTTGACTACACTGCACAACTTAATATGTCGACACCTAACACTATCATCCATCACCACCACACACAGCGCAAGATGGATCTCACTATCGACCCGTCGTTACGGGTGTGGGTTTTGTTCCCCATTTTCTTTGTCATGATTCTCGTCGGAGTGCTTCGACACTACGCCACGATTCTGCTCAATCCGACGCCCAAAAACGGAGACGCCATGACCATCCGACAGCAGCAGTTTCTCATGTACGGATCCAACCTGCGACTCAACGGCGTCAATCTGAGCCACACGGCTTTCCAGAAGCGCCAGAGCTACTTTGTCGAGCAGTTCAAGGCCGGCAAATACCTCGCTGACCCCGAAAATGACGGCAACAACAACCCCTCGCAGATGCTCAACGATCCAGGCCAGTTCGAGAAGGTCATGGACTCCATGAAGGGCCAGGCCATGATGGTGATCCCGCAGACCCTTATGATGGGCTGGGTGAACTCATTCTTTGCTGGCTTCATTCTCATGAAGCTGCCCTTCCCTCTCACCATCCGGTTCAAGGCCATGCTGCAGTCCGGTGTCAACACCCAGGATCTCGACGTCCGATGGGTCTCGTCACTGTCGTGGTACTTTCTCAATCTGATGGGTCTCAATTCCATCTACGCGCTGATTCTGGGAGGCCAGAACCAGGCCGGAGGCGTCCAGGCCATGGGAGCCGGCCAGGCTGGTGCCATGCAACCCGGAATTGTGTACGCCAACGTGTACAAGGGCGAGGCTGAGAACCTGGCTCTCGCCAACCCCAAGAGCATTCTCGTGGGCGTGGAGGATAGAGTGATTAAGCAGTTTAGCTAAATGATTATATGATAGATGACACCTTAGAAGCAAGGGTGACAAGAGCTGCAACTCGAGAGTAACTACAAATATGGACGTAACGAGTTTCAATTGGTCATGATTAATTGTTTACAGTATTGCTCATTGCATTTACAACTCCAACTAGTAGTTTCCGTTCATTATTTGTCTAGCAATAAACACCCTGCTCAACTCCGAGGGGAGCGTCATGTCCGTAGGCTCCCTGCCAACTCACAGGCTGGGTCCACTTCATCTCAGATCCTCCCAGTAACCTGATCACAGCATCAGCCAGCTGATGTGCATCTCCAAAGTTGTCTCCTTCGTAGGCAAAGAAGACCAGTCCCAGAGCAGGACCCTTGACCAGTGATCTAAAGTAGCCTGATCCTGGCAACACCGCAGGCACTTCTTTGACCTTGGGGCCATCCAGCGACAGGGTCTGGAATCGAGTGGCAAGGTCGGATGTGTAGTATTCGATTTTGGGTGCGCCCACTTGTTCTCTGAGTCCTGCGTCTGACGATCCAAGCACAATGACGTTGGTGTACTTTTTGGTCAGCTCTTCCAGCTGGGCAGAAAAGGCCTGTTTGAAGTCCGCAATTGGTGGAGAGCGAATCTGAATCACGTCTGTGTCGAGTTTCTCGGATCGGTAGAGCTCAATGGCCGTGGCAACGTGTCCAGATTCAACCTGCTGGCCTTCAACATGATCCACTGGGGAGGCGAATGGATGGAGGTACGAGTCGTCGAGCCTGGAGACGAGAGAAAAGTCTAGCGAGTGAATCAGCAGATCAACGGTCAGCTGGGGAATGTTGCCGCAGGACACCGAGGGAATGATGAGGTTCATGTGTGGTTGTTAGAGTGGTGGCAAATGCTGGTATTTCTACTGTACTAAGACGTTTAACCTAAGGCAAGATGTACTGCACTCTGTTCGCAGTCTTGATATAAAATTTGACAAAAGTTTGATTTCCAGAAGCAGGAAATGGGTCTTCCTATGGTGTCAAAACACAGTAAATTTGAACATCTTTTTTGCTACAAGTATATCATTTGAGCCCCAGTCTGACAAACACCCACTAGCTGCAATTTCTACTGCTTGCATACTACTACATCCCCCAGTATTTACATCTTTAGTTCACCAACAACCTGCAGCTATCATATGCACAACTCTATATTAAATTTTACGCCTTAGCAATATCGAGGCAGACAGACATCTCTCTACACCCATCTAACCATGTCCGATTCGACCGATACTCCCGCGCCTCCCGTCCATGTCGAGTCCGACACTCCCACTATCTTCTGCGTGGGAATGGCCGGCAGCGGCAAGACAACTTTTATGCAGCGGCTCAACTCGCACCTTCATTCTACGGCCAAGGACGGCAAGAAGCCGTATGTGATAAACCTGGACCCCGCTGTGCTCAAGGTGCCGTTTCACACCAACATAGACATCCGAGACTCGGTAAAGTACAAAAAAGTCATGGAAAACTACAATCTGGGCCCTAACGGAGCCATCATGACCTCTCTCAACTTGTTTTCCACCAAGATCGACCAGGTGCTGGGTCTCATTGAGAAGCGAGACTCTGACGGATCCATCTCCAACATTCTTGTCGACACCCCAGGTCAGATTGAGTGTTTCATTTGGTCCGCATCAGGAACCATCATCACCGATTCGCTAGCCACAACCTTCCCCACAGTGCTGGCATACATTGTTGATACTCCCCGAGCCACCTCACCCGCAACCTTCATGTCCAACATGCTATACGCATGCTCGATTTTGTACAAGACCAAGCTGCCCATGATCATTGTTTTCAATAAGTGCGACGTGGCAGAAGCTGCGACCCTCAAGGAATGGATGCGGGACTTTGAAAAGTTTCAGGAGGTGCTGCGAAATGACCCTGAGTTGTCGGGCGAAGGAGAGAACTCCAGTGGCTACATGGGCTCGCTCATGAACTCGCTGTCACTCATGCTGGAGGAGTTCTACAACCATCTGGATGTGGTGTCTGTCAGTTCTTACACAGGAGAAGGCTTTGACGACTTCATGGAGGCCGTGGGACACAAGGTCAAGGAATACAAGGAGGACTATGCTGAAGAGCGAAAGCGAGTAGTCGCACAGCGAGAGGAGGACAAGAAGAAGCAGAAGGCAAAGGACCTCACTCGGCTCATGAACGATATGGGTATCGAGGAGCCCAAGGGAGATAACCCCAGAGACGAGGTTGGAAAGCCCGACAGAATCGATACTCTATCAGATATGGACACTGACGAGGATGATGACGACGAGGATACAGGTATGGTCGATCGAGACGATGACGAACCTGGTGCCGAGGCTGCCGGTCCGGGTCTGGATGCAGCAGACGAGGCTGTTCATGAACGGTACAAGGCAGCCCTGGCTGTGGCTCAGCAGGAGGCCAAGGATCAGAAGACTCTTGATAGGCTGGAGGGATACATGAAGGGCCAGAAGAAATGAATGGTGCTGTACAAGTAGATACATTGGAAAATAGGATAATAACGATGATATGGTATAAATACCAGAGTGTATACAATGGTCCTGTATCAAAAACGTACTTCCACCACTCTTGGCAATACCTCTTACGAATACCCTACAAGTACACAGTAATACATCTATAATCTAATCAAATTCGTTATTCATCTTCTTTTTGGTTCGCCTTTTTGGGTCCAAAAATCAGGTTAGGCTTGTTGTCTGCCAGGTAAAAGATGGCCTTGGCAAACTCAGAGTTGCACCAGGCAAACCAAGGACGGGAAAACTTGGTAGAGTCATGTACATCAATGGACTCGTGCATCAGTCCCAAGCCGGCGGTGGTGGTCTTCAGTAGGTTGAGCGAGTCGAGAATCTCGTCATCACTCATGGCGGTACGAATAGCCATGGTATGGGACATGGGCCAGGCATTTCTGATACCAACATGGGGACCTCCAATACCGGAAAACGCTCGTCCAGTCAGATAGTAAGGGTTGCCCTGCTTGGACAGAATCATCTTTCGTGTGTTCTTGTACACCTCGTTGTCCTTGTCCACGAAACCCAAAACAGGAAGAGAGAGTAGAGAGGGAATGTTCGCGTCGTCCATATTGGTGATGGCTCCAAATCCGTCGATCTCGTAAGCAAACACCTTGCCAAACTTGGGATGCTTATATACGGCGTGTTTCCAAATGGACTCTTCGATCTGGTTGCCCCAATCCAGCACCTCTTTCGCCAGATCGTCTCTGTCAAGCGCAGCAAAAATCTTGGCGGCTCGTTTGAGCTCCACGGCAATGTGGGCGTTGGCAGGAATGAAGAACTGGAAGATTGTGGCATCATCCGAGGGTCTGAAAGCCGAACGAATGAGTCCAGTTCCATCAGCAACGGGGTTACCAATACCATTTAGGTTGAGAGTCTCGGTTCCAAGATCTGTGTGTCGCTTGAAAGAGTATCTGGTCTTGAGAATATTGCCATGCTCGTTGTAGGTAGGCTGAGACTGGTCTTCTAGCACTCGGGTCAGCTTGGCAATAGCTCTGTACCAGGCTCCGTCGTTCCCAGAGAATGTGTCGTCAACTTCTTCCTTGTCGTCCTTGATTTCCTCGTAGTAGTCGTTGGATAGCGTCAGAAACGAGGCCAGAGAGTCGAGCTCATACTTGCACTCAAACACGACATTGTGGTCCACAGGAGGCGACACTTTATCTTCTCCTGCATTGAATTGCGGCCTGATTCGCGACGCTCGTGGAGGCTGGAATGCGTTGCAGTATGGGAACATTTGAATGTAGGAGGCCTGGGTATTGATGGCTCCCTTGTACAGCTGTTGGATGTGTGGGTCGGTGGAAATGAAGCGTTTGTAAGGTGACAATTGCCAAGCGGAGTCTCTGAGCCACTCAGCGTTGATGTCTCCAGTCACGACAAAAGTCTGTGCAGACGCCTCTTCCGACTGGCGTCTGTGCCACCGGATAGTGGTGTCGAGGGTGTTGGGGAAGGCGTTTTCAAACAATCTGGCGAGATCTGGGTCAGCCATTTTGGCAGTGAACTCCTCAATTGTTTTCTCAACCTCATCCGAATGAAATGTACGACACTTCTTGCTCGGTCGCATGAACGGCAACCGTAGAGGACCGTCGCTGAAGGGTTCATGTTTAGTCTGAGAGTACGCCTCGTAATCGGGGCAGGAGCCTCTGGCCTTCCAGGCAGCTTCAAACTCGCGATCTTGGGGGAGAAGCGGGCGTCGTTTTGTGTCTAGAAAATGCGGGTCCTCCTCCTCTCGCGCGTCTTTAGGCGAAGACAGATCTGGGTCGGTGGTTTGGTCTCCTAGTTGAAGAAGAGTGTTGAGCACGAAACCTGCGACTACAAGCCACAGAACGAGCGCCAGCACTGTTTTTGGACGGTGGTACCAGGCCATGGTTTGAGCGTTTGTGTGTGTATGTGTTTCTGGTCGTTGTTGGTGTTCTGCCAGAGTGGTTGTGGATGTGTGTGTTGTAATGCCAGATGTTGTCTTGCGTGTGTCAACTAAACTCTCGGGTAATGCACGCTGTACTTAACCTTGCAGGGCATGTGACGATAGTGGAGGAGGTAGCGGAGGGGTGCAAGATGGAGTACCTGCGAAATCGTAGCAGTTTTCGCTGTATGTGAATGTTTGTTTTGTTTGGAACGAAACCATTGTCTTATGGTGTTTCTACTTGAGCATTTCAGCCACAAATCAACTCACCTCTTGTCCACTGCAACTCGCCCACTCAAGCCAAAGTGAAATTAGGTGAGAGAGATTTATGTGATGTGATACAAACAAGCTCCGTCATCTGTGATGTTGATGGAGTCTGAAAACGCCTGTGTACGAGTATGCCCCGCAGATTGTTTTGCAACCCAAGAGGTTTCTGCATTTTCTTAGTAAGCCGATACTAGCTGTAGGCATCTGTGGGCTTCTCATACAGACGTCCATACACTTGTCGCTGATGTATACTACAGTAATCTCACTTGAACACTACAAGTAGGTCTGACGTCTGCACACCTGTATTCCCGTGCTTGATAGGAACGGCACAAAACATACTTTGCAACACACTTCGAAGGACCCACCACCTATTTAACCTGTCGTCAACTCACCTCTATTTGTCCTGCCTGAATGCTACTGGTGGAGTTTATACGAGTGTCGACAAACGTTGACGATAGTAGATCAGTATGTACACACAGCACGACTATTCTCCAGGAATTGCTGTGGGTACAAGTAATATGAGACATTTCCGCGAGACTGCCACATTGTTCCAAGTTTCCAAGATGAAATTTCGGACATTACGATATCCGCATTTGTCAGGGAAGTCCTCTACAGCTCGTCGTACTACAAGTGAGTACCTCTATAGCTCAAGTGAGTACGACAGGCAAGGAGGTACCCATACAAGTATTCAACACGAATGATATTTGGCTCCGAAAGGTCAAATGTCATTCAATCACTGATACTGATCATAAACACGTCTGTAAGGCCTAACTGTGCCCATAGTTTCTGTAGCATGGATCTGGCTCATATTGCTAATGAGAACCGTGCTAAGTAAACTATAACTAAAATGTGAACTATAATTACTTACTGTACGCAGATTTCATGTGTGAATATCTCAAAACATCTACAGTAGTGGCAACAGGGAATTATTTGTAAAAATTTCTTGAGAAAATGTTGGTATTATCTTGATCATGACTTAAATGATGCCCTTAGCTCATTCGGGACGTTGAAATAGGTACTCCAAGCAATTATTTTTCTTCAACTATACCCTAACAAAAGTCAACTAAATGCACGAATCAGAAGCGGATCATGTGCAGCCTTGAAATATCCCTTCAAACGCACCGTACATTCTTTCCTATCCAGCCCGCACGATAGATGTACCAAACCTACAAGTAGCAAGCGCAATCGTCGATGTACCAGACTCGCATAACCCCATACTTCCAGCTCGCACCTGAGACTGCTGTCTAACTCATTCCACGTTGTACTGTACACGGTAATCCACTGTCCAGCTCAAGACACTAAGATAAGGCACATGACAAAAAATGTTCGTCAAGGAGTCTCTAGACCAATTACCATGTCTCTAAAAGCGCGGAGGCCCCCAATAAACCACTCGAAACCAGCTGAATCCAATTCTGAGACTCCCCATCTCATGACGTCATATATCACATGACCGCAGACAGCAGCCGTGTGCAATTAGCTCAGCGTTTGGGTCCAGATGATACTGTTAGCCAAAGAGAGAGAGTGAGAGTGGTTGCTATCGGGGAGGCCATAGTAGCATTCATTCCAGCATGTAAAGTGTTCAGAGGACAAGATAAAGAAGCTGGGGATCGCGCTGTATTTATATATTGTCGCCAACGCTTTGGGTCGCTTGCTCCGAAACTCCAACAAGTAGGAGACACTTAATTCCCCTTGGCCCCCAAACACACAACCATGCACACGACAAGGCACAGGATAGCAAGTGAGCAGCCAGAACTGGTGTTTAATATTATTATGTACATCCACATATGAGTAAGAGCGGAGCATCTGCCACCTGAGAAGGGGACTCCGTAGTAGGCACCTGACTTGTACGCTTACTAATACCAGCTCTCTATGGACACCGCTTTTAATTGCACTATTTTAATCGCTTCTATCTCCCCCTGACCACATCTCTACTGCATTCTGATTGTTCTTTACACCATCTGGCCCCTCCCCCCACAGATCATATCTGCATGCACTCACATACAACTGGCCAACAACTCAATCACAATCTCACACCTCAGCACAGTACGAGTACAACTACACAACACAGCACACACACAATGGAAGTGGTAGCAGCAGCCATGGCTCTGGACGATAAGCGCGACGTGTCGCCGTCGTCGTCGCCTGCCAAAGATAACCCGCTGCATCAGCCGTTATCAGAGCTTTTTTCCGACCTTTTACAACAACATCTGCCCGCCAAAACCCGACGTCTTCTGGGACCTCAGAAATGGAACCAGCTGGAGACAGACGACAAGGAGCTCATTGAAAAGCGACGCAAAGAGATTGTCAACGACTTGGAGACGCACTTTGCCGCCAAGAAGGACGAGTTCCAGACACTGTTGGAATCAATCGTGGCCGGCCAAGAGTCGTCAGAAGAGGATAAGGGGACGCAGGAGGAGCCGCTGGACATTAATAACACGGCAGCAATCAACGCGTTGGAGCAGTCGCGGCGCAACTCGCTGACTAAGCCACTCAAGTCGTCCCTCAAGGCCGACGGAGACGCTACCAAGAAGAAGGTCATGTTTGAAGACAAGGACGAGGATAAGGAGGATGAGGAGAAGGAGAACAATAAAGGACAGGCAAAGGACGCCCCAGAAGACGATAAGAACGACAAACCGACTTCATCATCCGTCAAGTTCAATGAAAACTCGTTTTCGGAACCGTTTCCAGAACTGCCCAAGGGTGCACCCACGCATCCAGACGCCAAAGATCCGGATTACATCCGTCCCACCGCAGATACAGGCGTACCCACCGTTAGAGAAGACGTAATGGCAGCCCTGTACTCGTCGCCACAAAAACCCACGCTTCTGGGTCCTCAACTTGACTTGCCTGCGTCCAGCTACAAGGAGAAAAAGAAGTCCTTGGGGCCCAAGCCTAGGCTGTATGGACAGCACGATAATTCCAACGGAGACTCTGAAGACATGTTCAACTTTGATGAAGAGCTCCCTGAAGACGATCAGGACGTTGATCATCATAACAAGCCAGACACAGCTACTTCTGCCACCCATCGTCGGGCCTCGGTAGGCGGAGATGCCTCGGATCTTCCAGACAAGCTCAAAAAGGAGTACCTCTCTTACTTTGGACCCATCGAGGAGGATGTGGAGAATGTTACTGAAGACTCTGTCACTGCCCATTCACGTATCCAGATGTCTTCTACAGCTCCCACCGCTCCCATGGTCGTAGGATCACTTGGAAAGCGTCCCCAGTCTGTCTCAAAGTACGGCTCCGACACCTCCTCCACTGGAGCGTTCGACATGTGGGTTCACGAGGAGGATAATGGCGACGATAGGTCGTTTCTGGGCAAGAACTCGTTCAATCCTCGAATTGGTGAGATTCCCGAGGAGGAAGCATCGTTCTCTGAAATTGTCGGTTCTCCCCACGCAAAGTCGTCTGCCATGGCCGTTGGATCTGTTCCTTACATCCAGAACCCTCTGTCCAACTCTTACAAGCCCAACAGAGGTATCGGGCAGGCATCTGTGTCTCGATTCCCGTCGGGAACGTCTTTTTCGGGCGTTGGGCTCACGGAAAAACAGCAACAGCGAATCGAAAGTGAACCTGCTGCTGCGGGTAACCGTCGGCTGACTCTGGAGGAGCGCGATGACATCGACGTGAGTCATTCGTTGGATGAGGAAATCAAGATCAACGAGATCCGGGAGTTGGCTCCTGGTAAGATGAGTTTCTCGCAGCGAATGATGTACGAGAAGGATGGTCGGGACACTCAGAAGATTAGCAGTAGTCCTTACATGTAGTCTGACGAAGGATCATGTTTTTGGGGGTGGTCTTCAATAGTTTCGGCTTAATTTGCTAGCGACACGTAATCAGATATCGATAGACGGTGGTTGAAATAGCTCTAGGCTGTATCTAGATATAGATTAATGAATTGCATCATTTATGGTAGTGAGCGTGTGAACTGTAGTCGACGTACTCGATCCCAACGACAGTCTTACCTGGATGTCCCTGTTTCACATGACCGAGTCCGCTGGGTATGTTTTCTAGACCAGAGTAGCAGTGAATTTTGGGTGGTTTCAGCTCGTGGATGAGTTGTTCAATCTTTAGTGTCACTTGACGGCCATAGTCTTCGTTTTCGTGTACTTTTTTGAGATTGAGACTCCTGACAGAGACTGTATCTGAGTGTAACGAAGCGTTTAAGCAGACCATTTGAGGTATGAAGTGGTCGGAGTGCTTGCACAGTTCCAACGCTTGAAGGACCAGAGACGCTGACTCCTTCCCTATACAGTCAATTGCGTAAACTATTGGCTCAGTGATTGCACTTAGGATATCTTCTGCGGTCAGGATTTTGTTTCTGTTGAGAACAAGATCAGCTCCAAATGATTTGACATACGTGTGTGACCTTTCAGAAGCTATACTGACCACCCTGAGTCCTTTTCTCTTGGCCAGCTGAAGAAGAAACACTCCTGTGCAACTAGCTCCTCCCCAGATGAGCACTGTACCAGAGCCAGCTTTCAATCCATCTAGAGCAACATAAGCACTAATCAAAGGCACTCCATAACCAATTGCTTCACTGAAATCCATTCCGCCCACATCGGCTGCCAAATGTTCAGGACATACAGTGAACTCCTGGAAAGTCGACGTACGCAGATCGCGGTAGTTTGTGCTCACCAGCAGGACTCTGGAGCCAACTCCAAACTTCTTCACAGCATCTCCTATTGTCACCACAACCCCCACAGACTCCCGCCCATTGATCCAGGGGTATCCATGTATGCCAAAGCCGTATTCGACCGATTTCCAGTCAACGGGATTGACTCCCACTAGCAAATTTCTGACGACAATTTCGTGTGGCATAGGGACAGGGATCGGCACATGATTCACCTCGTAGTGATGTTTTTCCGTCACTACCAGACATCTTCCCTTGTCTTCTCGTAGTCGTTTTATCCCCCTCTGTCGCATGTTCGCTACAGGTGCAGGATGACGGGTCGAGTCCAAACGTGACTCAAATATACTTAGGGTGACTCAAAAACGAGTCATCGCGGAGAAAGTAGAGTTACCCGAAAATGCACCGAGGTCAACAACCCCACAAAAATTTTATAAGACCGTCTACTACCCTCCAATCAGCCTCTTCCTCCTATTTACAACCTTGCGCCGTCTCTCAACCATGAAAATCGGCGGTCTGTGGAAAAAATTCCCCGTTCATTACGTGTTTGGAGCAAACACCGATGTCGGCAAGACAATCTTCTCGACTGCTTTGCTGCGACACCTGGCCAATGAAAACTCGCTCTACATCAAACCCATTTCGACGGGCGATCTCAACGAGGCCGACGATGGTCATGTCAACAGATATGTGTCTCAGATCAACTCACATTGTTTGTCTCAACTGAGTACTCCCTGCAGTCCTCACCTGGCTCTTCAGCTGGAATCAAAAGTGAGAGATACTACCGAAGAGCCCCATGTCAATGACCAGGTTGTCCTGTCCAAACTCAACGATACTTTGCATTCTCACATTTCCAAAGTCCGTACAGGCTACGGTCTCATCGAGACTGCAGGAGGTGTTCTTTCTCCAACCCTCAACGGCTCTCTCCAGGCTGATCTGTATCGAAGTATGCGTTTCCCTGCTATTCTCGTTGGAGACGCTCGTCTGGGCGGTCTATCTGCCACAATTTCTTCTCTCGAATCTCTCAAATCGCGAGGTTTCGATGTAGACGCCATTGCCATGTTCACCTCTCCCGACGACCCGTACAAGAACGCCGAATACCTTCCACAGTACCTGAAGGGTGTTCTTGGAGAAACCAAGGTTATTTCAATTCCTTCTTCTCTGCCCCCTCCTCGTGGTCTGGACACTGATATTCGAGATGAGCTTGAAATGATGGACAACTACTACTTTAGACTGACTGATTCCGGTGCCTTTGGCGAAATCCAGGAGATTATCGACACAAACCATGCTGAGCGAGTCTCTACCCTTGATTCTATTCCCGAACGAGCTCTTAGTTCTGTCTGGTATCCCTTCTCTCAACACAGAGAAATCACCCGAGATACAATCACCACTATCGATTCTGCCTACGGAGACTTCTTTGCCACTGCTAAGCCCAACGAAGAAAGTATGCTGAGACCCTCGTTCGATGGAAGTGCCTCCTGGTGGACCCAGTCGCTCGGACACGGAGACCACCAGCTTGCCCAGACAGCAGCATATGCTGCCGGACGATACGGCCACGTAATCTTTGCTAACACTGCTCACGAACCCGCTGTCAAGCTTGCCGAAACCATTCTCGACTACTCCCAGAACCCCCGTCTTTCCAAGTGCTTCTATACCGATAATGGATCTACTGGAACCGAGGTGGCTGTCAAGATGGCTCTGAATGCGTACATTAAGCGAAAGAAGAGCGAGTCTAGTAAGCCCCGTGAGATTGGAATTCTTGGTCTCAAGGGCTCATATCATGGAGACACTATTGGTTGTCTTGACATGTCCGAGCCCTCCATCTACAATGAAAAGGTGCCCTGGTACACTGGTCGAGGCCATTGGCTGGATTACCCTACTGTTGCTATGCGAGATGGCAAGTGGACTGTTTCTGTTCCTGAGTCTCTCAAGTCCGAGCTTGGATGCTGTGAGCAGTCCTTTGATTCTTTGACGGACGTGTTTGCTATTCGAAACAACAAAAAGTACAGAGAGTACATTGAGAAGGAGGTGAAGCGACTGTTGGATTCTGGTCGAGAGTTTGGAGCTGTCATGATGGAGCCTGTGATTCTTGGAGCTGGAGGAATGAACCTCGTGGATCCTGAATTCCAGAGAGCTCTGGTTGACGTTGCTCGAAACTCAGATATCTTCAAAGAGACCCATGTGGACAGTGATACCACCTGGTCTGGTCTTCCTGTGATCTACGACGAGGTTTTCACCGGCTTGTACCGACTCGGCACTTTCACTGCTGCTCAGCTTCTTCAGGTCTTCCCCGATATCTCTGTTCATGCCAAGATCCTCACTGGAGGTATTTTGCCTATGTCTGTCACACTGGCCTCCGAGTCCATCTACGATTCCTTCCTGAGCGACTCCAAGGCTGACGCTCTTTTGCATGGTCACTCGTACACCGCTCATCCCATTGGCTGCTCTGTTGCCATTAACACTCTAGGACGTCTTAAGACCATGGAGCAGGACTCGGAGGGTCCCTGGGCCCCCTTCAAGCAGGATTGGAAGAGCTCCAAGGTCACCGAGACTTGGTCTTGTTGGTCCGAGGACCTGTTGAACCACGTGTCGGCTTCTGAAAAGATCTCCGGTGCCTTCGCTATCGGATCTGTGCTGGCCATAACCTTCAAGGACGAGTCTGGAGGAGGATACGCTTCTACTGCCTCTGTGGAGTTGCAAAAGTACTTGGCCAAGGGACAAGGAGCCGACGACTGGAATGTACATGCCCGAGTTCTTGGAAATGTGCTCTACCTCATGGCTTCTCAGTCCTCCAAGCCTCAGGAGCTCGAAGCCATTCAACAGAGAGTGAGAACTTACTTTCAGTAACTACAAACGAGTAATAAAAGTGAATAAACAATGAATGACGCGTCAATGCCCAATCAGATCATCGTAAATACTGAAGATATGTGCAAGGCGATGTCCAATAGTCGTAATATACCGCGCATAGTCGTAATATACAACCCATACTCGTAATATACAGCGCTTCTGTATTTATAGCTCTTGTAGTCTTACAAGAGTGCAAGTATAAGTATCCATTACTAACGCTGTTTTCGTATGGGTACAATTTATATAGTCTACAGCGAGAGGCCACCAGTTCTATCATTTTATATACAAGACGCCTCTTGAAACTTCCAGTACTTCTAACATCTCCACTCATCATTACCATCATCTCTATTACTCCCTCTATGCTATGTACAATGCTATATGGTTCCATCATTTTTCCGTCTTATTTTGCTCTGGAGTCTTATCCGGCCCCATCCCGGTCTTCTTTTCCGCCCTGCTTAAATACAAGTAATCAGCAAGCCCCTCACTACTTTGGGTCAGTCCATAGTGACTGAGACGTCTCAACAAGTCAGCTAGGGCTCCTGCCTGACCCTTGGGCAGTTTATGTTCGTCGCTCAGAAACTCCGATGCTTCCTCTAGATGTTTGTTCCACTTGGAGCTCATGATAGCTCCCAGAAGCGGTAGATGTGGTTTCTGGTCAAACAGCTTGGCCGCCTGCTCCATGTTCCACTGGGAGCTCAGAAACAGCGCTATGATGGACGACGGGCTTCGCTGCACTCTAAGAGCCATGCTGTCGCCTTTGTTAATGTCGTTCCCTGCGGTCCATGCCAGATCCAGCGCAGGATCGTCGTACTCTATGCATTTGAGGGTCCCGGCAAACAGTGACTTGTGCACCACCTGTGTTTGTTGGTTGGTGATCAGTTTCGATTCCAGAGCCTCGGCCGTCTCATTTTCCTTCCCGTCTCCAAGCACCCATGCTTGCGTATTGCGCACATGGGCTCTCCATAGTCCCACTTGATCCTCGGTCGGATCCAGACCTTCGTTGACCAGCTGCCAGTCCACAGGACACTCAAATAGTAAGGTGAGATGCGACTGCCGCAGCCGGGCCGTGTATGTGTCGATAAAACGGGTTTCCTTGGACACGCCCGCGAAGTACGTGTCTTTAGCCGTTGGTCGTGAAAAATCTTTTTGTCGCGTGCGCAGTTGGTTCCGTGTACGCTGTGTGCCCTCCTCTATCCGCCGCTGCTGCTGGGCCAACGTCCCACTCACGGCTATCGAAGCGATCCGCTTGCCGACACTGTGGGGCTGTAGCACCTCCAGTTTACTCATGGCAGTTTTGCTGGACAGGAGAAAATGCTCGTTTTGGTGATAACTTCAGACGCTGAAATTTCATGCATGTCTGAACTTTGCTGGACGTGGGGCGTCGAGTATGTTTAGTTGAGTTTACTGAGAAAATTAAGTAGAGCTGAATATGGGGCGAAAATGATAGGGGGCTGGTAGAAAGCTCAGAGCTTGAGATTTTGATACAGATCTTCTACTAAATTATCATATACTTGAAGTGCATCTCTAAAATACAATCATTAATCATTAAATAGTCGCACCGTACTCGTGGGTGGACAGTAGTGGGGTCCTCTGTTCCAAGACGTGATCTCGTTCTCAGTTAACTGAGGTAAGAGTACTGGTAACTGTACACCATCCAGACTCCACAAAGCATACTCAGCAACATCTACCTCCTCTATTCCCGCTTCATGACGTCAATCTTGTTCTCCCATTGCTTCACCAGAGGATGCACTCCCTCATATGTAGGAGCAGCATCAGTGGTCCAATACTGTCTGTCGAAGATCCTCGTGCTGCTGAGTTCTTTGCGGGCCTGCTTCTCCTCCTCAACAAGACCCTTTCCCTGCAAATAGCCGAAAATACGCCCGATAGAGAGCCCCAGCTGGCCTCCAATGGGGTATCCTGCGTTGAAGCCCTCCTGCAGACTTTCGTCTTTGGCCTTTGTGACTCCAGCAAGGTAGCCTGCCTGTGAGTGGTCGCGCTTCACTCGTGTGATCTCGCTGGGCGTTTCTCTCACTTCCTCGTCATCCCAGATGTCGGACATGTCGTTGTTGCTCTGTTTAGAGAAAGATGTCAGTTCAATGCCATTTTTATGTGCAGGCTCCCTTACAAATCAGCATGCATGTTGAGTTTATTTGGAATTTTTGGCTGGTCTTTTAAGGACCAGAGTTTTAAGTAAAGTGTAAGTAAAGTGTAGTTAGGAATGTAGGTAACAGTGGAGGTTTGCTAGGGCGATAGGATGGGTTTTTTTATCCATCAATCTCACCAGTGGGCCACTTCAACCTCACAAGCTAGGTCTCTCATTCTAGTCTAAAGCAGCTCTCGATTTTGCTGTTGTAGGTACTTGTGGGACCGCACTTTCGGTGACGCTTTCTTAACACCCTACTGTACCTCTCCCAACTAGACTTATCCACTGATCGGTTGCTACAATGAACGAAACAACATAAGGACCTATCTTGCTCAAATATCATCACTCAAGAAGCCTGAAATCTTTTATCATATCGTCTCGACTCTATTATTCCAGAACATACTCCATCTCCCCGCCACTTCTAACATGTCGTCCATAAAATATACCAAGCAACCTCTTCCAACCTACAGGTACAGTAGCTCCACTGCACCCAATCTCCCTTGCACTTCATGCATGCATGCTCATCTTCCCCACATCAACATGTCGCACGCCCAGGTTCTCAAACACGTCCGAGCCGTGAGTATAGAACCCCAAAAGGCCCCAATTGGCCTGTTACACGTTACTAACGCAGGTATGGGGAGATTTCCTCCAGCTCAGTGGCCTAGAGCCCACGCTGTTGTCTCAGGTGAGTATGGGAGAGTGAGAGATGGTACTGGTACGTTCGGTGAGTTTTCGGGGAAGAGGCCCTGGGCTATGGTTGATTGTAACTCAGAGATAGTCTACAGACACATTCCCTAGTTCCAAGTTTGTGATCATCGAATCTCTACATGAGATGTTCGAGCTATCTTTAAAATACAGACGGAATATGACTTCAGTTGCGTACCAGCCATATCAATAATACCGAAGTCACACCGAATTTGCAGCCAGTACTTCAATGGCCCTCAGGTAACCGCCAAATTCCACGCCACCCCCTCTGTCCGCCATTAACACAGCTTTCCATCGACTCTGCTGAACGCGGAAAGGTCCGACTCGGCCTCACCGTCGCCAAGGAGCACACCAACCGGCTTCAAATCCTTCACGGAGGCACAATTGCGTCTCTGGTTGATCTCGGAGGCTCCATGGCCGTCGCTTCTTCCGGAGCTTTCGCTACCGGCGTGTCTACCGACATCAACGTCTCCTACATTGGCTCCGGAGGCAAGATTGGCAACAAGATCATCATGGACTGTTTGTTGGATAACATGGGCCGATCCCTGGCCTACACCTCCGTTGACTTCTACAACGCCTCGGATCTATCTCTGTTTGCTCGAGGACGACACACAAAGTACATCAAGCACGCCCTCAAGGACCCTCGGAATGTCGAGTTTTGAGCATTCACAACAATTGCCGTGACATCTACATTATAGATCTATACATTTGTGAGTTATTTAAAAAAAAAAACAACCAGAGTCAACTGTATGTCTAAGAGTGGTCCATATCGTTCCTTTATTTTTATTTTTATTTTTATTTTTTTTAAAAAAACAACAAAACACAACCTTGCAAACAACGTGTTTTTACAGCGGCTTAAATTACAGCACTGAAAGCACGGGGGTGGATAAAGGTTGTAAATGACGTATATTCCTTGTATTTTAAATCGCATCTTCAACTTTTATACCTCTTGGACTCACCACACCCCTAGACAACCACCTTTTGTTTCGATAATTAAGCGCATTTTTTTATTCTAATGATTCATTACAGCTATATACCTACTAGTAGTAAGCCGGGTTATTGGCATTCAATAAATCATACACTTCTGAATCTTTGCTTTTTTTTTATTCTAATGATTGCTTTTATTTTATTCTAATGATTCGCTTTTTTTTCGCATAAAAACATCATCGTTCATATTATGGACCCCACTTTTTCTGAATTTTTAAAGTGTTGATGTGGTGGCTCAATGGTAGAGCTTTCGACTCCAGTCAACTATGGTTGTAATCGAAGGGTTGCAGGTTCAATTCCTGTCCATGTCATGTAAATGACAGTGGAGGAAAATAAGCCGGTTTGATTCCGGTAGCTTCTCTAAGCTGATCAACACATTTTTTAGTACACCGATTAGAGCAGATGATATTATTATTGCAATCTGACATTGGATCCCTTGTTTTTGCCAGAGTCACCCCAGCTTAAAAACTACCTACTACAGGGTACTTTGATCCATCACCAAACTTTTTTTGCATTTGCTGTGTGATCCCCCACACTCTTGTATGCTGTCTTACTCTGCTTCTGCATGCTGTCGTTTATAAGAAGCCGTGAATCCGGAGTGCTGCCTCCCTGGGAGCTTAAGGAAGCTCTATATGAAGAGTCTCTGAAGAATTACACGGCCGAACCTCATGCTACATTCCCCAAGGTTCATGTTGGAGCTGTCAACTCGTTATCGGTGGAAAACGTGGACCAGAGATACCTGCTTAGTGGAGGCGCCGATTCCAGTATTCGTTTGTGGGATCTGGAATTGGACGCTCGCAAGGATTGGAAGAGTCTTAATTCGAACGATGGAGTGGAGTACTCGCAGTTGGCGTCGATTGACCGTCAGAAGGGACACAAGTACGGAGTTTCCCACGTCCAATGGTGGCCTCATGATTCGGGGCTGTTTGTGACGACTTCATTTGACGGAACAGCCAAGGTCTGGGACACAAACTCGATGCAGGAAGCGTACAAGTTCGATCTGGGAACGCGTATATACAGCGCGGACATCAGCAGCGTGGGAGAACATGCTATGGTTGCTACGGCTGCTGACCATCCATTTGTGCGGTTATTGGACCTGCGAACCACGGCAGCAGCTCAGATTCTCAAGGGCCATGATGGGAAAGTTCTGACCACCAAATGGTCCCCGACTCATGGATCTCTGATTGCGACAGGAGGCACTGATGGAAGTGTGCGGTTGTGGGACGTTCGACGCAGTGACTCGTGTGTGCTCATGATGGACCATACTCTGACGCCAACAGCGCAGAGTAACCCGCTCAGAAGAGGAGTAGATAAGCGTCTCAGTCACCCCAGAGCCCACAGAGCTGCTACCAACGGTCTCTGTTGGATGCCTGACGGCTCCACATTGTTGTCTTTTGGTAATGACGAAAAGCTGCGATTGTGGGACTTGTTACCAGCCGAGGGAATGAACAAACTGGTCAACTATGGTCCGTTCCTGCGAAACAAGTTTCTCCAGACAATTAACCCCTGCCTCATGTTCCAGAATCACGAGACCCACAAGGTCATGGTCCCCAGTGACTCGGGCGAGATCTTCATGTATCAAGTTGAAGACGGCAAGATGGTTTGTCGGTTGAGTCGGGGCCATGATGTTGCACGGTCAGCGTGTGTGACCGGAAGAGGATACGGATATGAAGATTACTTTTCGGGATCCTTGGACGGAAAGATTACGAGATGGTCACCTCATTATGAGAGGCCGACAGTGGCTTTGGATGGCAAGAAGAAGAGGGGTGTGTTGGATGATATCCATGATGAAATGAAGGCGAATGAGCGGGAAATGGGCGAGCAATGAGTGAACACTAGCAAATGAATGCCCAAGTGGGTGCCAATGTGATGCTCCATTTGAACTCTTCATCCATTTATATCCATTTCTATGACCTGCGATTCTTGGATTTTTTTGTTTTCCAGAAAGTAGCACAGGTGTACTCTTGGACAAGTTGCAGTGGAAATATCCTCCAAGAGATCCATTGGACCTGCTTCGATCGTGCTCCCAAACCGCGTCTCTGCGTATGGAAATATTCAGCAGATCCGCGGGTGGGTATAGACGCCGCCTGGGACATAAAGCACTGCTTCAAGTTGCAGTAAATAGTGGTAGTTTCCCATTGACAGAAAGTGCGACTTTTGATCCCTTCCTTTCGCTGCATCCCACAGAGTCGCTCTATGGTCTTGTCACCATTTGTATACGATCTACACAATCCGTGCCGTTTTTCGTGTGGTGTACAGTCATCAGATCCTCAGCTAATACAAATACATCAATAAATTACATCTAGTCCTCCGATTCCCTTAAATCAAAGTAGTCTTCACCTTGACCAGTCCTCCTCGGTACCGTCTCAAACTCTTCTGCTTGGCAGAGGTATGTTGCAATCGTCTGTATGCCTCCTGAACGTGGCACGCCAATATTGGACGTGCCTCCTCATCGGGTCCATCGAACAACGAGTGCGACATCTTTTGCTTTTTTCGTGGCTGGTCCCCGTTAGACCGCTCCACCTCCTCTTGCTCCTCCTTCACCTTGAGAGCCTCTTCTGTGATACTGGCGATGATTTCAAACGTCAAGAAACCCAGAATATCAATGATATCGTCATGCGGTCGTGTGTCTGTCAGAGCACCGATTCCCGCCCAGTCTCGAAACCGCTTGGCCTTTCTATAAGTAAACGATGCCTGTCTGCATTCCGACCAGTGAACGTACTCCTCTCGCGTCATGTCCTTTGTACGCTCGTCGGCGGTCTTGAGACGCTCGATTGTTGCACTGTTAGCCTCTGCCTCGTCGTCTTCTTCGTCGTCTCCGTCCTGTAGCGGCTGTTCCGAGAACATAAACTGCAGTTCCCATGGCAACTTCACCTTGGACCTTTTGGCTGTAGCAAGAGGTGCCTGACCTGGTGGGGCGTTTGGTGGTGCTCCGGGACCCCCGGGGGCCCCTCCAGGGGCAGCCCCTTCGGCTCCAGCGCCTCCGTTCTCCAAAATGTCCGTCCCTTCAAGTCCTCCAGCTTCTTGATCTTTGGCGTTCTTACGCACATCCTTCCAGGTCAGATACGTCTTGAGACGCGAAACCTTGGCGGCGTCATGACGGATGAGAAAAATGAAGTCCTCCGTGGCCATGGACCGAGCTCCACGCTTCTGGGCAAGAATGGTCGCCTGGAGCAGCATCTCAATCACCTGAGACCGCACAATGTCCTCGACCAACGACGTAGTTTCCGTGGGTGGGTCGTTGGTCTCGCCAATGACGAACATCATCTGCTGGATCTCGATCCGGTACTTGTACTTGTCTTTTTCGGCCATGGTGGTGTTGTGCGGAGATGATCTTGACTGTATGAGCGTGGAAGTCATGCTGGGATTGGGGTTAGGGTTCTAGATAGAGCTACCTACGAATACTCGGAGGCAATACGTGTTGGAGGTGAGCTTAGAAAAGATTGGCAGATCCTGTTCGAGTCTAGCTTCCATCTTTTCCCCTTTTGTGTTGATTTCGTTCTCCTGGAGTTCTTAAATGCGGGGTTTTGATGGGATGTTCAGTTCCTATCCATGTTATCAACTACTGTACTTGTAAGAGTCTATGGTCCAAGTAAAGCCAAGTCTATGGGGAGTATGGAATGTGCTAGGTTAAAGGTGATGTATGCATGTTTTTGTTATTTGATATTTTTCAGATGAATTTAACAGTCAAAAAATGTCGTATGGAATTTCTCTTTATCCCAGAAATGTCTCTATACGTGATTTATACTTGATGTCTTGTACGAGGATATTTTTCTTCTTACCTAACAAAGTTCAATATCAGACTGCATCAAGAAAGGCATCTGTTTTGTCATCACCACTTACACCGACATGTTCAAACGGCGTCGACGCGAGGAAGGTGGCGGCGATGAAGAGGAAAAGCCGCGACCGTCACTCAAATTCAACCCTATGGCTTTCCAGTCTCAGACGTCTCGGTCTGTCTCTATAGACGAGGGCGAGGATGACGACATGGACAGAGGAACGAACAGCATGGGTGGCATGATGGGTAACAGCATGGGAGGAATGATGGCTGGGATGGGAATGGGCATGGCTGGAATGATGGGATTGGGCGACGTGGAAACTGGCGCTGCATCGCAATCCCCTGAGCCAATGCCTTCAGTGACGGACTATATCAAACAACAAAACGAAAAGAAGCTGGAAAACAGGACAGACTCGCATTCACGATTCAAGCCGTATGGAATTGGAGCTTCTCTGCTCGCAAAAATGGGTTATAAGGCTGGCCAGGGTCTAGGAAAAGATGGCCAGGGTATTACTCGACCCATTGAACAACAGGGTAGTGTGAGAGGACAAGGCCTGGGTGCTCAGACAGCATTCACAAAGAGCAGAGACAAGGAGGATGAGGAGATCGATTCGGACTCTGATTCTGATGTCGACAATGTCGTAGACACTCCTGTGACGTTCAAGAAGAGCAAGCCAAAAAGCATCTACAAGACTGTGGAGGAGCTGAGAGAGTCTGGCATTGTCATAGACGAAGATGTGCTCAAAAAGGCGATTGACATGCGACCTGAGGGCTATGAAAGTGTACCTTCGGTTGCCATCACCTCGCTTGAGTCTTTGAGACTTGAACTGGAGCGTCTGCAGACGGAAAATGAACATCTACGAACCCGTCATGTGTTTGTGTCTGAGCAGATAGCAGGAGTGAAAGAAGACTTGGAGAACATGACAAATGAGGAAACAGAATCAGAAGAGCAGCTGACGAGGTTGCAGAAATGCATGGACCTGATGACTACTAATCCTGACAGTCTAGATACGTTATTGGAGTGCTACTCTACTTTGCTACAAAGTGACCCAACAGACATGTGGTTGAGTGTGGTGGGTCCGGTGTATAATCATGTGACTACTTCTTGGAATGTTTCCCAGCAACCAAGCTTCCTTTTGGACAAGATCATAGAGTCTCCTGCAGAGCTCCGTGTGGTTCTGCTGGCTCGAGTTTGGCTCCCCAAGGTGAGTTCTGAGCTTATCAACAACTGGGACTCTAACCTGGCCATTTCTTTGCTTGAGTCTTGGGGTCCTGTTCTTCCTGACTTTGTGAGAACCGTCTTCATTCATCGAGTGGTGGTTCCGAAGCTGAACACCATCATTGTCTGGAACCAGAAATCCCACGATTTGTCATTCTTACGTCAATGGTGGCCGTTCCTGTCATTTACAGACAAGAACGTTGTTCAGAACCGTCTTCAGACTGTAATTGGTCAGGCTCTTCGAAGCTGGAACGCCCAGAACGCGCCGCCTGGTCTTCCTGAAGCTTGTGTCTCCTTATCACCATTTCTGGATGTGCCTTCTTTGGTGGTCAAGAACCTGCTGCCTAATTTGTCTCGTTTTTTACGTCGGAATCTTGTCATTAACCCTGCCGACCAAGATACACAGCCTCTTGCAGATTTTTTCCTCTGGCAAAGGGTTCTGTCTTCGGAGATGATTGGGGTGGTATTGGATTCGGAGTTTTTCCCCAAATGGAAGAAAACACTCAAACAATGGCTTGAATCGGGTTTGACTGAAGATATGAGTGTTGTTATTCAGCAGGCCGGAGCCTGGTTTTCCATCTGGCGAGATTTCTTCTCCCAGAACCTCACCGTTCCTGTCGATGTTGTTTCTCAACAATTCGAGCAGGTAGGACGCGCTCTACAAACCATTCAGAAGCTCATAGCTGTCACACGGGAAGATATTGACGCTATTTGGGCCGATATGACCGCTTCCAAGGTCGATCTCACCCCTTCAGTGCCCTCCAAGCCTGTGGCAGACACTATCAGCGTGTCTGTGACCCTGCATGATGTCATATACGAGCTCTGTGTCGCTTCTGGCTTGTTATATCGCACCACAGACCGTTTCCACGACCAGAAAGGGCTCCCTTTGTATGCCATTGAAGGGGGTAAGCAGGTGGTTATTTGTTATGTGGACAACTATGTGTTTTATGCCAAGTCAGGAGGAACTTATGAGCCTCGGTACATTGAAGAGGTGGTCAAGGAGGTGTCCGTTGTATAATATTGTACTTTAATCTATTTATTCTCTTCATTCTATCTCCATTCTCGTGTCTCATATATAGCTGACTACAAGAGCCAGCATAATCTTCTTATTTACATATATATATACATTACTTCTTGTCGCCCTTGTCGGACTCGAGGATCTCCTCAATCTTCTTGATAACAGGGGTGATCTTCTCGATGACGGGCTTGATCTGGTCGGACATCTTGTCGGCAGAGCCTCCCAGAGAGTCGACAATGGAGTCGGTGGAGTCGGCAATGTGGTCAATGACGTCCTCGGCGGCCTTGATAGCGTCAGTGATGTTCTTTCGCAGGTCCTCGGAGTCAGCAATGAGTCCGACCTTCTTGGCCACAGAGTCGACCTTGGAGGTCACGTCCTCAGCAATATCGTGCAGACCCTTGGCGGTGTCTCGCACAACCTGCTTGATCTCCTCGGCGGGGACGGAGAGCTGCTCCTTCTTCTCGGGGATCTCGACAACCTCGGAAACCTCCTCAATGACTTCAGCGGGAGACTCCTTCTTGGTGACGGCCTCCTGCACAATCTTCTCCTCTTCCTCGTCGTCTCTCAGCTGGTCAGCGTACACCTCGGGGTGTTTTCGGAAACAGTCCTGCATGCCGGAGAACTTCTCAATGCAGTCCATGCCCTTGGGCTCGGCCTTCGAGTAGACGAAGCAGGAGAAGGCCGCCTTGAACTCCTCTCCACAAGGACCGTTGGCCATGCCGCCCAGGCAAGGGCAGTCCCAGTTGATCTCGCCGGTCTCGGGGTCGTAGGCACTCTGCTGGCCTTCGGGGGCCTCACCCTCCTTCTTCTCGGCCTTGGGCTCGCTATCAACCTCCTTCTTGGCCTCGTTGAAAATGACGCCTCCAAGCATGAGGGCGGTGGAGGCTCCGAGAACGAAACCGGACCGAGAAACGGTCTTGTGGGGTCGGGCGGTGTGCATGGACCGAATATGGGCCGGTCGCACGGTTCGCAGAGATCGAATGGCGGTTCTAAACATTTCGCGGGTGGTGTAGAGGTGCTGTGTAGCAAGTATCCAGTGATGGAATCTTCGAGGCAAAGTAGCGTTCGGCCATGCATGTTCCAAGCCTGCCCATTACAAATTGTGCATGGAGAAGAGCTTGTCGGTTCGATTTGCAGTTGTGAAGTGTATACTAATTTTGCCACCGAGGTGGGAAAGAGAATAAAGGGGCAGTAACAGTGATTTTCGTGAGTTGAAGAAGCCGTTGGTTCAATTTGGCACTTGGAACACCTCCATTGCACCACTGAGATGAACTATTTCGCACGAGAAACTTCACTCAACTTTGCGAAAGTCAATATTATTCAGCCAAGCGAAATTCCCTGTGATTGACTGGTCAGAGTGTCTTACAACTTTGAAGGTGAAGGGACTTGCTTGCTTGCATAAGGGACAGACAAGGATGTATTGGATGTAATCCATCTACGTATTAGTACGAGTACTAGGATCTGGACTACTGTTTCGGAGCCATTGCGACTTCTTTGAGTGAAAACATTGGTCAAGGGACTTACTAGATCAATACCTTTAACTAGCATGAATCATGTCAAGTAAAGTCAAGTAACCTCAAGCATGGTAATCATACACAGCCCATCGCTATTGCATGCATTGTATTGATGTCGCCACTCGTTTTGTCCATCCCATTTCGTCCTTCTGAGCTGTTTTCGTTCCCTTTATCTCGCTTCCTTGTATCATTGCTACTTTACTCGATCTGCACCCTTGTTCTGTTGTTGGAGGTTGCCGTGTGAGCTGAATGTACCGAGGCATGTGAAGCCATGGAACTGACATGAGACCAAATTGACTACTTGTACTCATGCTGGTACTTGCATGAGCACTAGAACTCGGAGATGCGAGCGTTCGTGCACCTTACTAAACAATATACGGCGGCTCCTTGACTCAAACCCCTAGCCCTAGGCTTGCATTGGGCGTGCACTGGAGATGTGAGAATTGACTCAAGCGAGTTGTCCTCGACGACTTCAACACGATACGAGAACACAAGAGTCACACTACACAATGACGTATGTGACCTTCTCACCAGGAGCATTTTTAGGAGGAAACACGACATGTGATCGGAAGCAGCACGGTCTGGTCCTACTTAACCAGCCCATCACCAACATGGAGCTTTTCAAACAAGCTTGGACTTTCTGTGAACGACGAATCTGTGCAGATGGAGGAGCCAACCGACTGTTTGATGCCCTCAAGACGGACGAGGAACGTCTCAGGTTCCTACCTGACGTTATTGTGGGCGACTTTGACTCGCTGAGAGACAATGTACGACAGTGGTATGAAGATCATGGAGTGCTGGTGAAACATGACACGAGCCAGGATACGACCGATTTCATGAAGGCCGTGACTCTAGGCAACGAATTGTACCAGGTGCACGGCTTGCTGGTTCTAGGAGCTCTCGGAGGTCGTTTGGATCACACCTTCCACTCCATCTTCCATCTGTTTTTATCCCTCAAGCACCACCAGACGGTCTACCTGCTCAATGACGCCTGCGTGTCCTTTCTGCTACACCCCAATGTGCCCAACATTGTCAAGACTCCCCAGAACCTGCTTGGAAAGGCTGTGGGTATCATTCCTGTTGCTGGACCTACCAGAATCACTACCAAGGGTCTACAATGGGACGTGGAGGATTGGGAAACGTCCTTCTACACCCAGATTTCCACCTCCAACTATCTGGTTGCCGACCAGGTAACCATCGAGTCTCCTGATCCTGTTCTCTTTACCATTGAGTTCAAGTTCAACGAGCTCCATGGAGGTTAGATCTGCCATGACTTGATGACATTATATAGATGATAGATTATTTATTGGGTAGAAGCACACTATGACGGGGTGGTTTAGACAGGGGCTGTTAGATAGTTGCTTTCCCTTGGCCGCCCCTTTGACCTTTATGTTGCAGTACTTGTACAGACTGAAGTCGGGCGGTGCTACAGTAAGACTTCCACACAGCTTTCCAAGACCGACTCTGTCTAAAAAAGGTAAGCGGAGTATCTAGAGATTTTAATTGTTTCTCAACTGTTTGTAACGGACAGCGTCGATAGTTTTTGATCACATTGCCTCCTACTGTACAATCCCTTCCAAAAGAGATGGGTTGGTTGTGCTTAATAAATATTTCATCTTAATACTTAGATCCTTCAAGTACTATAGAGAGAAACCCAGACTAGGTGGCAAAAGGGATGTTCCTAGATAGAATAAACTGATTGATTAGCAGAAATTGGGCAGAAGATTCATTCGTCTTATAACCCCTTTTTTTCTAGACGACGCGAATGTATTCGAAATTATTTTTTTTCGACATTTTCGGCGATTTTCTCAGATCATTGAACACCACACCCATCGCACCCTAATGAATAATATCCCACGCACGTCTCGCGTTGCCACTGTGGCAGTGCAGCAACTGTAAGCAAGTGGGGTCTACGAACCGAGAGCAGGGTTACGTCATGGTTTATATAATATGATGATATTGCGACTCACGTGACCTTGCTACAGGGTATGTGGCTCAACATGAGTTGTTCCACGTACCTGGTACCAGCACCGAACTTATACTGCCCCTATATCGCTACAGTACAAGTCCGGTTCTTGCACCGTACTCACATTTCAGTATCGATCTTTTCAGCGTGTTAACAGTTAAAGAGGTACAGTAGGCTAGAGATGCGCCTACCGGTAGTTGCAGCATGTGAACAACATGAAGTTATACACTGGAGCGGGAGCTTTGGGCATATTGTCACGTGACAATATATATCCCGTCGCGTGATACCTGCCCATCATGTGACCACATTCTCTACAGACCTGCCCACACGCCGACACACGTCCATCTCCCCCCAGCATCAGCAACCTTCAGTCCCACTTTTTGTTGTCGGTTAAACACTCCCCCCCTTAAATAAGGTTCAGCGACGACTGTGGAACAACATGAAGCTACTGGCCATGCCCAACCTCCTTTTTCTCAACACCACCACACCCCAACACCTCCAATGAAGCTGTATTACATTGGCATTCTGCGACCAAACAAGCCTGAGGCCGTGCAGCTGGCCTCCGCCTCTGATCTCTCGTCGTACTCGTGGTTCGAGAGATCGACTGTTGGCCAGGCCTTCACTTTTCTGGCCGAGACTGTGATCCCTCGAACTGAGCCTGGACAGAGACAGTCAGTCGAGGAGAACGACTACGTGGGTCACGCCTACCTGCGAAGCGACGGACTGGGCGGTGTGATCATCACCGACCAGGAGTACCCCGTTCGAGTGGCCTACACCCTTCTCAACAAAGTGCTGGAGGAGTATCTCACTAAGCACCCCAAGGCCGAGTGGGAGAACGCCAAGGAAGCCTCTTCCAAGCTGGCCATGCCCGAGCTGGAGGACTATGTCAAGCGGTACCAGGACCCCCACCAGGCCGATGCCATCATGCGAGTGCAGCAGGAGCTGGACGAAACCAAGATTGTGCTGCACAAGACCATCGAGTCTGTGCTGGCTCGAGGCGAGCGACTGGACACCCTTGTGGACAAGTCCGAGGCTCTGTCGCAGTCATCCAAGATCTTCTTCAAGCAGGCTAAAAAGACCAACAGTTGCTGTATTCTCATGTGATTGATCCTGTCTGAGCGAGCAACAAGAAAGCCACGAAAAGAGCGCCCAAGAACACTCCACTTCCACTCAACTACAAGTACATCAATCTCTGGCTGCATCATTATGTAAAGGTAATAGATATTTATTGAGATACACGCTAAAGGGTGACGAGACGGATCAGAGATGAGTATTGGCGGCAATCTGCTGTGATAGTGGTCTGCTGTGAGACATCTGATCACAACCACTTCACCATGAATATATTATGAATCTATTTGTTTATTAGCTTATCTATTTGTTTGTTAATATCATGTTTCTGGTGATCAAAGGCACCAGAATTTTTCTGGTAGTTGTATTATGATAACTGAAGATAAGATACATAATGTAGCGTCAGCTTATCTCTTCCACGCTGATTGGAATGATATTGGTATCTCTGCGCTTGAGAAATCTATACATTTGCACGTGGTCGTGTTAATGTAGCCTCCTCTCACCCTTACTAAGGAAATGTACCTGAGACTTGTATTTGGTTGAAAACAGTTTTAATCGTACACCAAGTCTGTCATTCACTGAAAATACTGTGTATGTACCAGACTACTACGACTATTAACACTTCTATACTCATGCGCTCATTCACTATATCTACAGCTTGCTGCCCTTGAAAAGAGGCATCTCCATATGTTGGTAAACATTCTCTCCCAGAATGTCCCGAGCGGTGTCTGCCGAGTGGGTGAAGATGCTCTTGAGGTCAACCATGCTGGGGTTGAGATCCTCAATCTTGGTGGCTCCAATCAGACGCATGTTCATTTCCATCTCATCCTTGAGCAGCTGGATCAGATGGCACACGCCATCCTCTCCATATGTGCTCATAGCATACAGGAAAGGCCGTCCAATACCCACTCCTTTGGCACCCAGACACAGAGCCTTGATAACGTCAGTGGCTCGTCTTATACCTCCGTCAATGTACACCTCGATGTAATCCTGCCATCCCTTTGCCCTCAGAGCAGCCATGACTTCGACCAGCACCTCGATTGAGGGCCGGGCAAACTCCAGCTGTCGACCTCCATGGTTAGACAGCAGGATACCGTCCACCTTGTATTCCACAGCCTTGAGCGCATCTTCAGCACACTGAACACCCTTGAGAATGATGGGCATCTTGGTGATGCTCTGGAACCAGGGGATGTCCTTCCACGACAGAGAGGGGTCGATGAACGAGGAAATGGCTCGAGCAGCTCCCTGAGATCGGTCCACAGAGTCGTCGGACTGCTGAACTTGAGCTCCAGGATCTCCGAATTTGGTTCGCATGTCCTTTTCTCGTCGTCCAAGCTGAGGAGCGTCCACAGTGATGAACAGACCCTTGACTCCCCGCTTTTCGGCGTGCTGCACAATCTTTTTGGTCACCTCTCGATCCATGTTCACGTACAGCTGCATCCACTGAGTCTGTTTGTCTGTGGCGGCGTCCACAATCTCGTCGAACGAGCACGAGGCCAGAGTGGGGATCATCTGAATGACATCCATCTTGTCGGCTCCACGTGTGAGCACCACTTCTCCCTCGGGATGGCCCAATTTACCTAGAGCTGTAGCGGTGATGTAAAACGGTACGGATGACTTTGTGCCCAGCATGGTGGTGGAAATGTCCACGTTTTTGACATCTACCAGCACTCGTGGTCGGAACCAGATTTTGTGGAAGGCTCTGTGGTTTTCTCTGACAGTGATCTCGTCATCGGATCCAGAAGAGTAGTACGCCCATGCGTTGGGAGACATGGTGTGTCTAGCCACGTACTCAAAATCGAACGAGTTGAAGATCTGGCTGAGGGGAGGACGGTTCTCGTACCGCTCAAGACGCGCCTTTTCCTCTGGAGTGACTTCCTCTTCTTCTTCGGCGGCAATCTCTCCAGTCACCTCTCCCAGGTGCTTGTCCTTATCCAAGAACTTATCGACCACATCACGAGGGTGGATTGGGTCAAAAGCCTTGGTGGCGTCCTTTCCAGCGTACTTGAGAATGATAGCCTGTCCTCCAGGATGCTCAGGCAGGAACTCGGTCAGATCATAGGCCTTTCCATGCAAAATGACCCAGCAAGAGTCCTTGGAGTTGTGTTTAGCGACTGTGTTAGATGGGTCGGCAAGAATGTTTCGTTTTGTACTCACCTTCTTCGACGGAAACCATGACGTTGTTGATGTTATGGATGTGTTAGTGGAAAGATGTGGAGATCACGACAAAAACGTCCTTTTCTATTGGGTCCTGGTTTGGTGGGGTATGCACATTAGAGTTTAATAGTGTGGGGGTCAACAAGGTTAGTTACAGGGCAAGAGAAAAGCAAAGTTGGAGATGGAGATGAGGTGAAACAGGGCAGTCTTTTGGGGGGCGGATAAGACAAGCACAGAGACCAGTTGTGTGGAGTCACGTGAGCAGTATTGAGCCAAAAAACAACCTTGGATTTAGTTTTGCTTGATGAAAAGATAGCGCCCATTTTTCAGCCCACCTTGACAACACCCAGTTATGCCACCCTATATTCTGCGACCCCCATCTTACTCCAAAACGAACCTAATGAGTGTAAAATGAGCGCTGGAAAATAGCTCTCAGCTGTCAAGCTCAAAGAAACAAGCCTTGGATTGCTCACCAGGTAACGCCCGTTTAGGCTTTAACGAGAAGGGAACGGACAGTCGCCCGATGTTCCTGTCATCAGATGATGCTCAAAAAAGGGTGCTACGGTACGATTTCCGGGGCTAATTTAGTGTGTCTGGGGTATCTCGCTATAGTTGATGAAACTTGGCTTCCACACATGGACGTCGGACCCCCCACCTGACCCCCACCTGACCCCCACTTGAGCGCATACCCACTTGAGCGCATATACATGACATGAGACTTATTCCTAGGGTCTGCAAAAAAATTCCGTGCGTTAGACAAAAATCGACCGAGGAGAGGGTCGAACTCTCGATCTTACGATGACTAGATATTTCTAACAGTCGTACGCCTTAACCAACTTGGCCACTCAGTCAGTGATTATGCCCAGAAAAAGTGAATTTTCAATTTATTCGGGAAGATATCTTAAAAAGCCCGTTTTGATAGATATAAGTATGGTAGATATCTGGTTGCAATTATTAATGCTCCTTATTGTCTGTTATTTAGTTGGTAGTAAGGTATCATAAGGTTCTACAGTACAGTACTTGTAATGTGTTGTTGTAGCTAGTAGAAACCCATCAATGTTGAGAAGACACCATGAGAAGAAGGTACAGTAGCCTTGTGACTCCTTTAATTATACTTGTAGTTTTCGTTGTCCTAAATCCTACATTGCACGTGTGAGTGTCCTGTGTCTCTCTCTGGGTCATCACCATACCAGTAACGCAAGCCTCCCAGGGCAACTTGTAGTTAGCTACTACTATACAACGCTGAACATGCACATCAGCTTTGTGTATCGCACTATTTACACTACGTTGTCGGCCTTACGTTATTCAAATGTATTAGTATGCACAGTTATTAAATATTCAATAATGCTAGAGTTAGAGGGAGTCTTCATTTTTGATGGAAGGAGATGTTTCCACGGCAACAAAATGCACGTGTTCATTCTTCTCCTTATCCAGCTTCTCCTGTTCCTTGAGCTCCCGTTCCAGTTCTCGCTTTCGCATCTTCTCCATGTTCTTTTCGTCCTTCTTGGCCTGCGAGGCTTCCAGTTTCTTATCGAAGCGGTTTCGGATCCGTTCTCCGTAAAACCACACAATGATGGGGAAAGGCAGACCCAGCACCACCGCCAGAATGCCGCACATTGTGTTGGCCCAGCCGTATCCCATGGCGTCGTACATTTGTCTGCCAAACAGGGGCATGGCGAAACCAAACAACGATCTGAACAGCGAGGCGGAGGCAACATACGAGGCTGAGAACCGCGGGTTCATGTCAATCAAGTACGTCTGGATTGTCTGGAACACGTCCATGACTGCAAAAGAGAAAATACCGGTTCCAATGATGGGCATGATCCAATGGACGTGACTCTCAGCACTCCAGCCGTACCAAATGAGACCAATACATTCCAAAAAGGGAGCAGCAAAGATGCAAGGTAGTCTGAACTCGGGTTTGGGAACTCCACCATTCTGGTCTCGTAATTTAATGTAGACTTTTTGGGTGTAGACGCACCAGAACCATGTGCCTGCCAGAAAGCCGATACCCATGCCTAGGAAGGTCAGACCCATGATACCCAGTGAAAAGCCATACCGCTCGGTCCATAGAGCAGGGAAAGTCACAATCATAATGTACATGAAGCCGTAAGTGAAAGCCATGAACAGACCGAGACCCATAACAATGGGATGGGTCACAAGGATACGCAAAGGTCGGGTCATGGAAGTGTAGAGTTTGGAAGAAAGAGGTTCACTTGCAATGTCGTAGATCGTATGCAGGGCGTCATTTCCAGACTCCTTTCTCAGTTTCTTGGCCTTTCTCTGCAGCAAAACAGGAGGATAAGTTTCCGAGTAAAAAAGAAACCCACATGCTGCGACACATCCAATAAAGATACCGTCGACCCACATGACCCATCTCCACGTGTTCGTTTCTTGCACGATCCATCCTGCAGCAATAGGAGCGACAACGGGGCCTACAGTGGGTCCAATAGCGTACCAGGCCAACGCAGTACCTCGTTTTTGGGGCGAATACAGGTCTGCCAGCACACCAGCGCCCACAGAGAGTGGAGCAGCACCTCCCACGCCTGCAAAGAATCGACAGACGGCCATCTGGGCTGTATTTTGAGCCCCTCCACAACCAAGAGTGAAGGCCAGTAGCACTAGAATGGACACGTCCATGACGATTTTTCGGCCGTACATTTCCGACAAAGGCGCCACAAACAGTGGACAAATGGCCCAGGCGAGAATCATGATGGACACCATGAGCGATTGCACGACAGGCCGCGTTTCGTTGTATTCGGCAGCAATGGCAGGCACTGCAGGAGAAATGATGGAAGATGTGAGAGGAGAAACGAATGTGTAGAGTGACACAATGACAGTTGTAGCCACCTTTTTGTATGTGTGCCAGTTCTGGGGGTTTTCAGGGTCCTCGTCTCCGTCCCACGTAACCAGTTCTGGATCCACATCCAAAAACTGTGAGCCATCTCCTCCGTTTTTGAGAGGAGGAGGAGGCGCTGTAGACGGGTCGATTTTGCCGTTGATAATTGAAGAGGCACGGGACCGCACCTTTTCCTGGTAGGCACTAAGAATTGTTTCTCGGGTGATTTGCCTGGCCAGCGTGATTTCTCGACGGTCCATGTCGCCGTAAATGTGGTCTATCTGGTAGTCCGAGGCAGCTCGGGAGGCCTTGGAGGCCCTGGAAACATGCGATGAGCGGGTATCTGTTTTTGACAGCCCTATGGAGTCTTCCACAATCTGGACAATGTCCTTGTCATGGGAAGATGACGAGTGGATGGACATGTTGGGTGAGTATCGTCAGTGGTAAATGTTTCTGAGTCTGTGTCTGGGTCGTCTGCTTGTTACTGAATCTGTGTCGAGAATGTCTGTATCGAGAGCTTTTGTATGTAGCTGTCGAGCCTCTCTTCCTTCTCCTAGCCCACTTCACCTCTCGCTATCCTTCTGGATACTTATATCTTTTAGTATATTTTAGCAGATTGCAAAAAGAGTTTTTAGGAGCCAACTCTGTTAGAAACTGGCTTGCAAAAACACTACACTTTCCGTTCCAGAGTATATGCGGCTGGAAGCGTAGAGTTAGAGCGGGATGGTGTGGCGGTTGAGGAGCCTCTATCGAACCCGTCGAGCACGTATTTTCCACCATACAACCGCTATGTCGCATCCCACGCCTTTTCCCGGACTTATATCGCTCCGGGAAAACGACTTTGACATGCATCCGTTGCACTTGGATGACAAGGCTCTGGAGACAAGCTACAGGAGAGTCTAACGGAACTTTATGTTCGGTGCAGAACGGATGTTGGAGCAGTAGTTGTAATGATATGGGGACGTTTTTTGGGCGGATTGAATGAAAGGATTAATTGTGGGACCATTGAACCATCCTCCTGTTGATTTGTAAACACTTTTCAACCCTTTCCCACGCCCCATCCACACATCGCTCCCTCCTGTCTTGCTCCGAACTCTCTGCCTCCAAACCTGAACTTACCGTCCGTCCATGCATGTAATGTGGGGAACAAAACGGCTGAGGTCCGGCATTAACCGTTGGGCCGAAGACGGTGTCATGTGACTGGGTGGGAAGAGGCGTCGTCACGTGAAGTTGCAAGGGTCTCACGCAATTATCGGCCTTGTGTGTGTCTTCCTACATCATCCTCCCCCACTCATGCTTATATCCCTGCCTAAGTAACGCTCAAATTAGCCGCGCAATTGAGCCACTCCCTACAAAACCATAAGCGCTTCTCGGTGGGTAACCGAGGAGGAGTGGTGGGGATGGAAAAGAGCCAAAAAAATGCCAACTGGAGAAGATGGGGCGGCCCCACTGAGGTCAGTAAAACATGTATATCGTGTAATCACGTGATTGGCGCCGGTATGGCGAGTAAAACCCCGTTCTTGTCAGGATATAAGTTCTTTGTCTCACATTATCATCTCTGCAACATTTTTTCTGCGGAACCCAAGATGATCCGTATATTCCCCTGTTTCCGACGCTTTGAGTTTGGCAAAAAAAAAAAAAAAAAAATTGTGCGTGAAACTGTGACAAAATCGTACTTGTTGTTTTTGCACGTGCCATCAAAACACGAGGTGCGGTGGGCACAGCTGCTTCGGCGCTGGTTTCCCGCAATGTGGAAGAGCAATTGACTGATGAAACGTAAAACTCCGACATGCGATACCGCTCTGAGGTGGTCTGTTGAACATCTCTGAACAGCTTCAGTCAGCATGACAGCACTACTTATTAGTACGAGGACGAGTACATAATGTACGTACAATAGACACTAAGGAAACCGTTTTCTGTCATTTAATTCCATGGCACAACAGAGGTTCGCTTTGCCTACCAAGAAGACGAGTTCAGTTATCGGTTTCTTTGCAGTCAGTTCAAATGACGGCCCGAATCAATACGTAAACCACCCTTGTCTCCACTGGGGTGATAATACGCGAAGGAAAACGACGCTGGCAGGAAGCAGACGGCCCTTGTGCAGAGCGCAAAAGCTCCATGTTACCGTGCCAACGGATTCGCTAGCTCTAATCTCACCTTTTCAGACACACATATACAGCGCTAAGGAGGCGCTAAACATATGCTAAGGAAGTCGCACTCCGATGGAGCGCATGTCTACAAGTAGTAATGATGGGATCATTAGTGAAGTGTACTTGTAGCCCTTACCCTGAGTTGTGATACATTGTAGGTGATCTTGTAGTACTGTACTAACATGTCTCTTGATGCACTTGTTTTCCCTCTTACTCTTGAACACGAGTTCTTAAACGGCACCTTTGTTGAACTGCTTTGTAGCCACAAAGTAGCCTAGTGTCACCAATAACTGCTGGAGCTATAGTACGAGAACTCGTAGCCGATATAGCTAGGCTGTTCATAACCGAGGTAGTAGTCTACCCAACGCTCAGGGGGCTCAGCTTGGTAGACTGAGGTACTCGTTTTTGTTATTTTCAATTGTTTTGTAATAAGAAGTAATCCATTTGACAGTCTGACCTTTAGTGTAGTGTGCTTCTAACAGCCCATCTCCAGTCTCTGGAGGCCTGATTTCGTGCGCAGACACGCAGCCCTTATCATGCCTTATCGGAACCTTGTCTGAGAACGCTGAGATACTTGTAAGAGAGAGAATGAGAGTCCAAGCGAGAGAGAGAGTATTGTGACGCGTTCCAGTTGAAATCGTTTTGCTTATTTATGGCTTCATCATCATTCGACAGTTCTCCGATGGGCTTTCGAGACGTTGCACTTGTACAACATAACTTGGGGGACTATGTAAACGCAGACGACGAATGGTGGAGCAAGCAGAAGCGGCGATTTAACGAAGGAAAAATAAATAAATTCAGGTGCCATAAACAATTTGCTTGTGCGGTACTTGTGACTGTGGTTATAATAAGAGATTTACTTGTATTTATGAACTGCTGGCCCCATCCTTCTTGTACACAAGTAGTACTTTGTACAAGAACTCATTCTATGATGGATGGATACTTCCTCTCAGATACAATCAACGAGTACAGTATATAGCAACAATGACTTAAATATCGACGCTAAATGCCATTAAATTTGGAAAGGAAAATATTTAACGACTCAATAACTCAACAAACAGTCTGCCTCCCTGTTCTTGTCAACTTACGAGTGAGTAATAACAATGCAACCGCACAATGAGTGTCGGAGTAACTGAACTAGCCAAAGAAGTAGACTTTTTTGGATCGTCATTCTGCTCATATGTTCATATACTAATGTGGTATTTTTCTGTGATAGACAGTTCAACAGCTGGCGGAACTAACTTGTTGAACAGCGTCTCTCCCTCCAGCAGCAACAGCAGAGTAGGTGGTCAAGCGTCTCATCGAGCTGAGTTCAACTGCCCCCAACCGATTCTTCAATAGGAAGCTGATCTTTCTATGGGAGCTACAGAACTGATTCCTGACTTCTCCTCTCACAGCTTTGGTTGATCTGGCGTACATAAATGCCTGTCTGTATACTGTGTACATCTAGGCTATTAAAGTACAGAATTTTAGAACAGCAACTTGAATGTTATTGTATAGCGGTTCGCATCCATGGCTGGTGTGTATCCACTGCGGCGACTTCTCATTGTATAACCCGCAAGAGTGGAGCGCTTGTTGTAGTCTATTGGTCTATGTTTCTGTCTGTATAAAATCATACAAATATTACAGCTTATACATCTTACTGTACATACTGTATCGTCGTTTGTTCAGTGTCGATACTCTTTAATGTTCTACATTTCTTGTTCGAATCAATAGCAAATCACTGAATAACATTGGTTCCTGCACCTCCTGTTGATACTGACGAACAACACCTGATCTTCACATTTATATTACATCTAGCGATTGGCTGCCACTTCCTAGCTGTAGAAGTATCGTACTCTTACTAATAACAACTCTACAGTGGTTCTCACAACCAACCTGATTGCCAAATAGTTCAGAATACAGTAACTGCAACATTACCATTCACATTCTCCTCAAAAAAGTCGAGTCTATAGTGGAGACTCGTAATATACCATGAAACGCTATTACAATACTTGCACTTCGCACGATAGTCGACCGCAATGGTTCAGTGTATTCTACACACAGATCTGATGGCTCGCAGTATCACAGTTCAGGCTGGTTTTGCCAACGTGCATTCGTACAGTAGCTACTACATCAGTTTGAAGAAATCGCGCGGCACTGCGTACCTAGCAATTACTTGTAACGATCATCACGATCTCACCCCGTTCTAACCAGTGCAATTTTATTTTACTTTACATCATCGTACAACCCCTTACTCGCAGTCAACACCGCTCTTTCGCTTAATGAGAGCCTTTCGGTCAGCATCAAGGTTGAGGCTGGTGATGAGAAGCTTGGAAGCGTTGAAGTTGACGGGGACGGCAGCGCCGGAAGCCTTGTCCTTGGACACAGAGTTGACCTGGACGGAGAACTTGAGTCGGTAGACCTGAGAGACCTTACCCTCTCGGCCCTTGTAGGCACCTCGGGCGACAGTCACAGTGTCGTCCTTTCGGATGGGCAGAGATCGGATCTTGTACTTCTCTCGCAGCTCCTTGGAGAGGGGAGCAGACATGAGGATTCGTCGCTCGGCGGAAGAGGCGGAGAAGTGAGCCTTTCGGGACTTTCGTCGAGAGCTAGAGACGTCTGAGTTAGTTGTGTTCAGTTGTAGGTTGTACGGCTTCCGGGATGTACAACACGACTTTGAGGTGTTTTGAAAGACTTGAAACTGCCACATAAAAACCAAATAGCAACACTGAAATGGTGGACACAGAGCCATTGCACATTGAAGGGTATTAAGATATCGTCTCACGTCGTTTAGTGTCCTCCTTCAAATCCTAGACCTCCTTGTGTGTCACTTGTCGAATGTAGCTCTGTCGATATGGTCTCAAAGGTGTGGTCTCAAAACACCAGTAAATTCGCTGTCGTTATCCTCGCATCCTCCGCTGCCGTTCGTCCATTGCTGCTACTCACCGCAAGAAACCTTGGCCATTGTTGTTATGTGTGTCGTGACGTTATGGTCAAGATGAAAATTAAAAGCTTTGAAAAAGTGTGTGGGTGCGAGTGGTGGTGGTCCCGATTGGGAGAGTCCGGTTTAGGGTTGTATTATCTTTGGGGAGTTGGGAGGGCTCTTTTGGGAACGTCATGTGATGCGCCTAGGGTTAGCCCTAACTTTGTGTAAGGAGATATCGACGATATGTGACTTGTAGAATCAGATTGGGAGAGTGAATGGGCACTGTGAGCTGTGGGCATGATTGGTAGGTGTGAATGTCACAACTGACTGTCCTTTTAAGAGTGCAATATTTGTAAGGTGGTCCACGGGGTACAGGGATATGGCTGGGGTTTTAGAGTTCCTTTGGTTGCACAGTAATTAGTTTTTATCCCGTGAGATTGAGAATTGAACTGGTAGAGATTGAATACGAGGTAGCGCAATGTCTTATAGATCACGTGTCTCAGACCCGTGGGGATTCGAGTAAACTGACTGGACTCAAAGGTGATAAAGGGTGGTGTGGTGAGCGTTATCATGGAACTAACTAAGATTATAGGGCTTTAGTTGGGGTTTACTCCACTTGATTATTCACGTTTAGTTGATCAAACTAGTTGAGTTTAGTTGGACTGTGAAGTGTGAAGTGTGAGGAGGACTGGTCAAGATACTGCAGAACCAGGGGAATATTCCTTTAAATATATCTATTTCATAAGATACAGACTCGATTAGATCCTCAAATACAGATCACCGACAGTTGGAGGACGTCCGGTACCTGTACAAGTAACCATGTGTTGTATCTATTGTACCAGTAGAACGATCCCCTTCCACACTGTTAACACTCTAACTGAATGGAACACACCAACGGAGCTCTTTGGAACCCGATTCAAGCGACTACTTTGTATCGAAAACAGCACAAGGATTCCGGCCACTTTTTCACATTGTTTCGAGCAGTCCCTTCCGTACTCGTACATGTCTCTCTTGTGGCAAGATATGCCCTTGTGCTATGTCTTCTGTCTCGGATATCTGAACTCCGAAAGTCCGATTGGAACGCACCGGATACGACACGCTGATGAGACCAGAACTCGATCAAAAGACGCAATAGAAATTCCCAACCGACTCCCTTTTTGATGTCTGACACGACCCCATCTCAGGGGAGTCTGTCTTATCAGAACAAGTAATTTTAGTTGTGGGTGTACAATGAATTATTCACCACATCCCGACCCTGTACATACTGGGGCAGAACATGCCATAGACGCATCAGCAGCATTCTTAAATGACACCTTGTTGCGTGGACGCCAGGAGACAAGAGGAATATATAATGCAATAGAGATGGGGTTTGAACACAACAAGTCGGGGATTGGTATTATCACGTGACGTACACGTGACGGGGGGCGCTCTGTTGGCCAATACCTGGACCCACTCTATCACTTTTCAGAAACCAAACGTGCGGCTGAATCGACAGGGGCACGCTCCAATTAGTGTTGTGGGTCACGTAAAATAAGCAAGACAAAAAAGAAATCCAATCCATGGAGGAGAACCAAAGGTACAGTAATTTACTGTACAAGGTCTGTACGGGGAGTATGCACTGTATCGTATAACTAATAGTTGTCGCTCCAAGATCATTCATGATGGCACCCTTCAGAGGAACGCACAAGAGACAACTCCTGGACACTACTGTATAAACTACAAGCTCGGATCTTCGTCTCCAAAGCAACGCTTGCTGCCACAGAGAGCTATCTCTCTGCGATAGTCCGTTTCCAAATGTGGACTGACCCAAGACTGTCTACGATACATACAGTCGAGTGCAGCTTCTTCGGCTTAAACAAAAGCCGATGCCATGTCTCATGTCTTGTTGGTGAAGTACAAGTGGGACATGGGGAACACACACAACACGATTGTGGACCAGACGACCGGGGAAAAGTCACCGAAACGAAGACTTATCGCCTGTCCCCCTGTCTGAGTAAACGCCATTAGGACTACCTGCTCGTATCCGGCACGTACCAGTATCTCTTGTGCTTGTAGTGTCAGGCACAAAAGGGGCACATTCCAGCCCAATAGGGATAAAGCAGAACGCGTGCAGACCCTAACCTGGCATCTATTTGCAACCAACCCTATTCCAAACGGCCCGAGCTTAAAGTGGAGTAATCAGGCCGAGCTGCGTCAGCGTGCAGCATGGAAGAAAAAAAGACGGAAAAGACATACTATTTGTACTCTATTCGAAACGTTGCCCACAAAAACGTGCTGGCCACCGATAAAGGCGTGCCCCCGCGTTTTGTGTGGGGGGCGCAAATGCCTCTCCAGGGCTAATTCTCTCGAAATATATCCCCAAAAACCATTTACTCGGTCTCCGTTGCTCCCAGCACAGCCTAAAGCTAGTGTTTTTTAGGCTTCCAACAGACGCATTTGTGTACCGTCGATTTAGGAGTCAAATCCAACTACGGTATTGTCGCTATATACTCTACAGGTAAGGCCAGTGACTCTCTTGTACTCCTCTAGCTGTCATAAGAGATACCCTTAACGGCAGGCCCCTGAACCACACCACCGGCCCACATTGCTGCAACAACCCGTCTGTCATACACTTCACTTTGTTGCGGTCAGGCATACCCCACAAAAAAAAATACACGCCCTCCATCCGACAACACTACACTACACGACCTTCTCCTGGTACAAGTAGTACACATGCAAACTACCGCGCCTACCACTCCGAAGCAAAGCGTTCCCCAGGACCTCTCTGCCGCCGCCACCACCTCGCCCGACCTGCTGCCGTTTCCCTCGCTGGAGTCCAATCCCCTAACCCCCGGTAGATCAGATCCCCCACCTGCCAAAAAGGTGCCCACGTCAACGCGTTCCTACTCCTTTGAAGACTTGCGACCCGAAGCCCAGGAGAGTCTGATGCGAAACAACCTGGCGGAGAAAAATGACCTGCTGGAGGTCCACCCCAACGGCAATGGGACCACCAACGGACCCGGAAACGAGTTTTCCGCGTCGTCACGAACCTCGTCCATACAGTCGTTCCTGGGCAACTACGAAATGCCCCAGGTCGAGCCCCACAAGGCTGCCGGAAACAAGTCCACAGACCACTACAAGAGCAGAATGTCGCCGTGGAGATACAGAATGCGGTCGGCCATGCTGCCGCTGATCCGGTGGGAAACCCCCTACCTGGCCCAGATCCAAAAGTCGTCTCGAAACATCTGGCTGGACGTCTACTTTGCAATGACCGCCAACCTGGGAACCCACACCTTCTACGTCATCATGCTGCCGGTTCTCTTCTGGTTTGGCCAGGCTGACATGGCCCGGGGTCTCGTGTTTGTGCTGGCCTACGGAGTCTACGTGTCTGGAGTCATCAAGGACCTGCTGTGTCTGCCCCGTCCCCTGTCCCCTCCTCTCCATCGAATCACAATGTCCGGATCGGCCGCCCTGGAATACGGTTTCCCCTCCACCCACACCACTAACGCTGTTTCCGTGACCCTTCTTTTCCTCCAGAAACTCTACGAGTGCAAAGACAACCTGTCGTCCTTCTCTTTTGAGTCTCTCCGGGCCCTGTGTGTGCTCTATGGAGCCTCCATCATCTGTGGACGAATTTACTGCGGCATGCACGGCTTCCTCGACGTCATTTCGGGCTTTCTTCTGGGAGCTCTTCTGTGGTGGATCCGGTTTGCCTTTGGAGACCTCATGGACGCCACCACCACTGCCGAGGCTCCCTATGCGCTGTTGGCCATTCCCCTGGCGCTCCTGCTGGTACGAGTCCACCCCGAACCTGTGGACTCGTGTCCCTGTTTCGATGACGGAGTGGCCTTCATGGGAGTCATCATGGGCCAGGATGTCGGTATCTGGCTCTTTGGAAAAACACAGTACGCGACGTCTGTCCCCCTGCGAGGAGCTATTGCCTACAACTTCCAGGACATTGGCATCATCAAGTCTTTTCTGCGAGTCGTTGTCGGCATCATGCTGGTTCTGGTGTGGCGAGCTGTCGCCAAGCCCATGATGCACACCTACTTGCCTCCATTCTTCCGAATCATTGAGCGAGTAGGTCTGTCCATGCCACGACGTTTCTTCCTGTCTGCTTCCGAGTACAAGGATGTTCCTGGCCAGATTCCCGACTCCACCCTGATCGAGCCCCACGAGATTCCCTCTCTGATCCACAAGCTGGGCCACGCTCGAAAGGATTCTGTTGGTCCCCAGTCCACTGCCGATGTTATTGAGTCCATTGCCTACGCCGAGTACCAGCGTCAGCGACAGGACAAGAAGCTGGGTGTGGACGATGATGCTCCTTACCCCGACGCCGAGGGTGTCAGCTACCGAGGAGACAAGACCTCAAAGATGGACGAGAAGTGTGGCCACTCGCACGGACATGATCAGGACGCCGAGGACGAACTTTTTGCCTCCATTCAGCCTCCTCGAGTCCGATACGATGTCGAGGTAGTTACCAAGCTCATTGTCTACTCTGGTATCGGCTGTCTGGTCATGTTCTGCGGCGTTGTGTTCCAGGTTGTGGGTCTGGGAGTCACCGCCGAGCACCTGACACATACTGCTGCCAAGGTTGTCGGTGAAGCCACTGAAAAGATTCTCTAAGGTACAAGGGTAGAAGGAGGTCTCTGGAAAGGTCTGCAAGTATCAGATCATGAAAAAATTAGCATATTTACTGAATGAATTTATTGAAAGAAGACTCCAACACTCACAAGTGACAGTCTTTTGTTGCCAGGGTTGGATTACAATTTAGACTTCTCTATTATCGACTAGCTCGTGATATTAATGTATTGGCATAAACCATATCTTGGTGCCCTCCCCCGCGGCCTGATTGGGTGGCGGGCAGGTTTACTGAGCAGTTTGGTACGAACAAGACATTTTGGTTGAATTGAAGCACGTGGCAAGTCTTCTATATGACTCTCTCGTGCACCTCAGCTGCCCTCCAATCACCTGTTTAGTGCAGGTGATCCCATCCTACATAACCGTCCATTTCATGCATAAACCTACTTGCCCACAGCAACTTACAACCAATGCACAAATTCAGACCCATTTGGCGAACGGTGGCGGGTCGTCGAGGCACATTGAGGCCTCAGGGGGCCCGCCAGTCTCCGCTGAGTGTGTCTCTGCAGCAGCGATGGCAGCATACGCCGGTTGCCAAGAGTGAAAAGATGCGGAAGGAGCAGGATGCTTTGGAAGAGCATCAGGAACGGCTGGAGAAGGACAAGAAGATGATGGAAGAGAACAAGCAGGATGGTGAGAAGAAGGAGGAGAGCTCGTCTGGTCCGTCGAATGAGTCTGTTCTCAAGGAGGCCAAGGAGGTGGCTCAGGAGGGAGCCAAGGAAGAAAAGACTGTTAGCAAGGAGGTTGATGCAGCCCTCAAGGCTCTTAAGGAAGATGCCAAATTGGCTGCCAGTACTGCTGCCGATAAAGCCGATCCTTCGTCTCCCGAACATATCAAAAAGAAGGAGGAGGAGAAAGCTGAGAAGGCTGAGATCCATGACACCGGTGTGATTGAGACCACAGAGAAGGAGCGTCTTCTGTACTTTGACAATGTTATCATGGCCACTCCGTCCTTCATGCTGGGCGACCATTTCCCCTCATGGTTGCTGAATCGATCTGAAGAACGAGTCAAGGATGTGATTCGAAAGTATGCTATTCCCCCCGGCTTGCGAGTGGACTTCAACTCGGTCATTCTGAGACCCAAGGATGGAGGAGCCTTTGTCAGATATACTTTGCGAGAACACACGGGAAAGTACGGCACTCCTCGAGAAGCCGAGGCTGCCATCATCAACCAGCTTAAGAAGTCTGACTACCGACCGTGGTTCGACCCTTTCCGAACATGTCGCGTGTTCACAGTCAAAGGTGTGCCCTGGATTGAGGACCTGAAACGAATTCCCAACAAGACTCTCAAAATCTGGTTCGAGGGCCCCACTCTGTCTCAGGAAGAACTGTACTCTCTGTTCCGTCGATATGGATATATTGACAATATCGTCCCTCCTGATGCGGCTAGCAAGGACCCCATTGTGTTTGCCAAGGTGATCTACTCGTGCAAGGGTTCGTCGACAACCGCCAAGAACTGTCTGAACGGAATGTCTGTTAACGACAAGACCATTCTGCACATTACATTTGCCGACCATCGGACCAAGTTGTCGTATCTGAAGGACTTTATCGTCAACCATACGCGTATCTCCATTCCCATTCTGTTGGCTCTGTTAGCAACTGTTTCTCTGTGGATCTTCGACCCCATTCGAAAAGAGTCCATCAAAAGCAAGATCCAGCCCATCATCAACCTCGACAACAACATCTTCTACGTACAGACTAAGAACATTCTGAAACCCATCTGGAGCTGGCTATGGTCTTGGATCGTCATCCATCCCCGACCCACTGCCAAGAAAGCTGGCACTCAGTTGCACCAGCTGTGGCCCGAACGTTTGTCTGCCATTGAGGATGTCAAGCAGTGGCTTCAGGAGAATGTCAACACCTTCATTGTCGTTAATGGTCCTCGAGGTTCTGGAAAACAGGAGCTAGTTATGGATTACGTTCTAGCTGACCGGAAGACCAATGGAGGAGGACGTGGCAAGATTCTGTCCATTGACTGTGCCGACCTGGTCAAGGCGCGAAACGACCCCGAGTTTATCACTACCGCTGCCCATCAGCTTGGCTACTTCCCAGTGTTCCCCTGGATGAACAACATTTCTTCGTTCATTGATTTGGCCATCCAGGGCCTTACTGGTCAGAAGGGTGGTTTTTCGGAGACAACCGAGGCTCAGTTCAAGAGCATGCTCGGTATTGCTTCAGCCGCTATCGCCGACATTGCTCTGTCCAACCATAACAAGGAGGATCATGCCAAGAACCAAATTACTAGAAATAGCGACTATCTTCAGAGCCATCCCGATGCCAAGCCTGTTGTTGTCATTGAGCACTTTTTGGCCCGAACAGACCGAAACCAGTTTGTGTACAAGCATCTGGCTGAGTGGGCAGCTTCGTTGATCCAGTCTAACACTGCCCATGTCATCTTCATCACCTCCGACGTGACTTTCCAGAAGGTGTTGTCGGCTGCTCTACCCAACCAAATCTTTAAGACGGTGCATGCAGGAGACGCCTCTGCGCAGTCGGCCCGAGACTTTGTGAAGCAGCAAATGGACGAGTTCAAGAAGGCGATTGAGGCTGCTCGTCATCTGGTTGAGGAGAACAAGCATCAGAAGGAACGGGTGGAGGCACTGGTGGATGAGGAGCCCTCCCTTGAAGAGATGCTTCAGCACCACCGAACCGAGCTAGAATACGAGCGAGAGAAACGGGAGCGAGAGGGAAAGATTGACGATACTCTGGACGAGATTATCAAGGAAGAAAAGGTGATTGAGGAGCGAGATCGAGCCGAGTGGGACGCCACGTCTGCTGCTCAGCGAGAAGACGAAAAAGTGTCTCCTTTCGATCCCGATGAGTCCACTGCTGGCGTCGAGGCCGAGAAGGAAGAGAACAAGACTGACGGTGATGGAGAGCCTGCTACTAAAGACAATGGCAAGTCAGACGAACAGAACAAGAACGACACTATCACCAGCTGGAAGGCTCTGATTCCCCCTGGAACCGACGAGGCTACACTTGCGGAAATCCCGATTCCTGATCTCACAGATCTCGACGAAGCTCTCAGTCCTCTGGGAGGCCGAATGACCGATCTGCAGGCTTTCATCCGACGACTCAAGTCAGGGGACACTCCCCGAGAGGCTCTGCGAGGAATGATCACTCAGTCCGCTACTGAAATCGTGCAAATGTTCCTCATGAAGGACAATGCTCAGTGGACCAAGGAACAGGTGTGGTGCCTGATGAAGAAGGTGTGCAAGGACAGTGGCAACGGCGTGTCCATTGCCGACCTCATGGTCACTGAGCCCATGTTTAAGGGAGCTCTCAAGCCCCAAGGAGAGTCGGGAGAATCCACTATCGGAGCTCTCGAACGAAGTGAAATGGTTACCGTGGTCACTAGAGACGGAAAGCCCACCTACATCAAGGCAGGCAAGCCTCTGTACCGAGCTGCGTTCCAGTACATTTTGTCCGACAAAACCTTCTCTGCCATGATTGAGACCGGTTTCCTGGAGAGCCAGATGAAGCTCCAGAACGACAAAATCGTAAAGTACGAGGAGGAGCTGCGGCTGCTAGCCAAGTTTCCTTCAAAGTGGGGAGACGACGTCAACATCCGAGTGAGATACCTAATTGACAAGATGGCGGCATGCCAGCAGAAGATTCAGAAATTTGAGATCCAGCTGGCAGAGACTAAGAAGACCTTTGCCAAGAATGAACAGCCCAAGAGCTGGTGGAAGTGGTAAAACGGTGATATAATTGAATAGCATTGATATAAGGAATTGTCTGTACAGTAGTATTCGCTCTGTACTTACTACACTTAGCAATATTGCCATGAATAAAAATATACATTATCGCCATAGATTATAGCTTACCCTGGGCATGAGTCAGAAACTCTGCCGTACAAACCTCATATACGATTCGCCTTCTAATCGTAGGCATATCCTCCTGTGAGTAGTTGAGAGGGGCGTTTCGCGCCATGAGCTCGATGTTCTGACACGTGAACACACCACAGTCAACTCCATTAAACTGCTGGGGGGACTCTGCTCGAGGCACAATCTCGTACTCGTCAAACATACCCCCCGAACCTGGATGCATCTTCTCGGCCTCCTGACGAAGATAGTCCTTGATGATGTGCAGGTTTCTAGTTCCGTCTCCGTTAAGGGAGTCGTGCTGTCGAATCTGCTTATTGACGTTATCCAAAACGGCCAAACACCAATGGTTGTTGTTCAAGTTGAGAGGGAAAAAGACGTAATCGGCCTTTGTTACGTCGATTCCGGCTCTCTTGGCCCATCGGGCAACCCCAGAGTAGCCCTTTTCCTGCAGGTTTTTGAAGAACTGCGTAACCATGCACCCAATGACTGGCAACTTTCCCTCTGCCTTCTTGGACCGCTCGGTGATCATGGCGAAGTAAAAGTTGATCACGTTGTCGTTGAGCCATCGGCCGTCCTTGAGCTTGTGGATATCGTCGCCCTTGAGATCAATTCGGAACTTGTCGATGATCACATTGTGAGGCGAAGACCGCCACAGGTCGTCGACCTGTTTGAGCTGCTCGGACGTCAGGTCCAAAAACGCTCCGGGTGCCTTCTTACTTCGCACCGGTCGGCCCTCGGCCTGGGCCTTTTGTCGCTCAATCTGTTCCTGGATCTGCTGTCGTCGGGCCTCCAGCACCTCGTAGGATTCCTTGAAGTCCATCCGAGAAGCCTCCTGCAGTGATTGCTCCAGCTCAGCCTGGTGTTGTCGGTACAGTTGGGCAGCGTGTCTCTGCCTGGCATCCTCCACCTCATCATCATGGTCAACAGCACCGGATTTGTTGCTCCAAGCAGAGAAAACAGACTGAGTTCGATCCTGAGACTCCAGATGAGACGCATCAAACGATGTTTCAGGCACAACCGTAGGGGGAGGCTTGTAGTTTCCGGAAAAGGCGTTGTAAAGACGCTCGGTGAACTTCTTGTTGGGCTTCTGGCCGACAACAGGGCCTTCGAGAGGTCTCTGCAGAAATGTGGTACCATAGGAAGGCACTCTGTTTGGCTTGAGAACGTTTTCGGCCGCTACAGTAGAAGCCGCAGTTCGCTTGGGCAGCTTCATGGGAGTGAAGGACTGGTTGGAGGCGTCGATAGACTCAAATTCGTCTTGCAGCGACTTGCTGGGTTTGAAATGAGGTGAGGAAGCGGCAAAGGAGCCGTTGAAATGCAGCGAATCGTCGTAACTGTTGTTGGACGACCTCAGGTGCGCCTGTGGTGGCTCCTGGACCGATGTGCTTGCCTTGGCGGCTCTCATTTGCTCGGGAGCAGCCTTGGAATAATAGTCGTCGTATTGATGGTCCACAAAGGCTCCAGGGACTCGACTAGGGTACTGTTCCACCTGTCGAGATCCGATAATCTCCAGTTCCACGTCCTGGCCCTCTTCATGGGCGTTTTGGGCCAGGTAGTGGTTCAGTCTGGCGTCTGATTCTGCGAACTCGCCCTGATTCGTGTTGGGATTCGACACCCTGCGTCGTTTGGTGTCGGAGGTATATACTGCATTGTATGCAAAGGCCACACTGGCTCTGAGCGCGAAAAACAGCAGACTGGTGCCTCTCCACAGGTTCTTGCACGCCTCCAGAGCAATATGTTTGACTGTATCCATGGTGGGATGATCGACAATGGGATCAAAGTGGTTTTGTACAGCCAGCAGCGAGTTATCTTCGGGCTGGTAGTACAGAGACTGAGGTGGCGGTTTTGAATGTCCTGTTTCTCCTATCACGTTGAATGCCTCGAGATAGGACCGTTTCTGGTTAGCCGTCAGAGAGCCGTGTAGAGGTAGATCGAGAGCGCCTTTGTTGCCCGAAAAGGTCCGCTCTTGTACCTGCTGGCGCGGAAAGTCGTCTCTATAGCTGACAAGGCTCTTATTGGGGGTAAAGACGCGGTCTGGGCGGTTAGTGGAGGGGTTGAAGGGGTCGTCGTGGTGAGAGTTGCTATCTTTGCGCAGACTGTCGTAGTGGCTTGTTTTGCGCGTTCCGTTGTATCGTGGTTGTTGGGGATCGAATTTCGGCAGGTTCCCCGAGTACAGCGACGTCATTATGGAAAGGCAGGCCGTCTCACAGGAAAGGGTGTGATTTTTTTGTTTGGATAAATAATGGATTTAAGTTGAGGTGCATCTTCATCTACACTTGAAAAGAGTTTTGATGGGAGGTTCCAAGTAATGATGGGAGGAAGACCGCTTTGCAGTCTAGAGAAGAATTGCCTGGAAGTAAGGCTTATGGTATATACCGCATGGGGATATTCTGTTTCTAAGACACTAATTCGGTATAATTGGAGATTTAGAAAGTATGGTAGCCTGTACAACTACAATGTCTAGCAACACATCAATCTAGTAGAGCCTGTTACTGTTCATGCTTGGTCTCGGCTACTCGGTACTGGTAGCGGAACAAGCACGGTTCATCTTATTACATGCCGTGGAAGTCATAATTATGGCACATGATTCCCTGCAATTAATATGATGTACCAGTATCAATCACACGACGCACTACGTAACGCACTATGTACATTTACGCTGTGTTCGTAAGCTACTGATAGATCTACTCGTACCGGTACTTGTACAATGGCTACTGTATGTACAGCACAAGTCTGTTTCAGGTTTTTCTCCAGTATAGGTAATCATAAATAATATTCAGTTGGGTCGTTCCTTTGGGATCATCTCCGTTAATTCAAGCTAATCCATCACCCCCGTCTACTTGGCCTCAGTCATCTCAGCAACATGTTCCTCTCGAAGATGTCGCTCACAGTCACGGAAGATTTCGGCTTGCTTGGCAATCTCGCCCAGCTTACCAATCACGTGCTGGTTGCCGTGCACAAAGCCGTAGATATGGTACTCCACGCCAATATCTTTGCAGTACTCAAGCACGTACCGCTGTGCCCTTCGCAAGTTGTGTCGGGGCATTCGAGGGAACAGGTGGTGGATGGCCTGGAACTGCAGACCTCCATGCAAGAAGTCGAGCCAGGCAGGACAATCCACGTCCATAGTGGTTCGCAGTTGTCGCTGGGCAAAGGACTCCGACAGACCCAGGTCCTGGGTGGACATAGCAAAGTGCGACAGAGTGATTTGCACATGAACAGGCATAGTAGCAACGTGCGACACAATTACATACATCCATCGCTGGCCGGCAGTGGGAATGCTCTTGTACACAATGAGGTAGAAGAACCAGTACGCGAAGAAGGAGAGTCCCATGAGCTCGTACCATCGGAACCACGCAGCCTTACCGTGTCGAGGGCCTCTTCCAAGAAGCACATGGCCCCATGACAGAGCGTAAAGGTTGAATCGACCCAGGCACAAAATGGGGTAGTAGGTCATGTGCTGCAAGGGAATGAGGTATCGAGCGAAGATGTCGTACTTGAGCACACAGTTATAGTAGGTGGACTTGACTGACGAGAAGAATCGGTTGGATACAGCAAATACGGGAAGATGCTGGATATCGGGGTCGTGCACAGGGTCGTTGGTAATAATGTGATGCACGTTGTGGTTTCGCTTCCACCAGCCCAAAGACAGACCTCCAATCCAAGCGGCAATGGTCATTCCGATCCAGTTGTCCATCTGGTAGCCATGGGTGATACCAATGTGGCCGGCATCATGAGCAATGAAGACTAGCTGGTGCCAGCCCATGCCCAGACAAATGGCGGAGAGGAACATGGACTTGTCAAACAGGTACCATGACAGACTGAACATGGTAGAGATTCGAAGAAAGTCACTGAAGTAGCCTCTGTAATTGGGTTCAAACAAGCCAGCGTCCTCGACACGCTTGTACAGGGCCTTGTACTTTGTTCCAATCTCCGTCTGGGTGTTGTAGTCGAGAGAGGGAAAGATTTCAAGGTCATGCTGGAGCTGTCTGTTCTCGTCCTCCTCGATGAGCTTAAGTCTTTCCGCCTTGAGAATTTGTTCGTTCGTAAAAATGGGCGCGGGTTTCTGAGTCACTGCCTCCTGTGATGAGCTGGATGCGCTGCTGGACAGCGAAATGCCCTCATCTGCAGCAATACTGCCCCGTTTTCGAAACACTCCTCCCTGGATAGGTGGCAGAAAGTTTTCCCAGATTTTTTCGCCAGTGATTCCAATCTGGTAGGCGCCCATGGTGGCCAGGGCCTCGTCGCTGTGGTATGCGTTGATTTCGTCGGTGGCGTCCCGTCCAACCACGTGGAAAATGGCCATGTCTCCTCCAGGGTGACGATCGAGCCAGTTGTCCAGCTTGAGCACCTTGCCGTTGTAGATGACAATGTGGTGGCCGTCGGCGATGAGCGCCTCAATTTCCGACCGCGGAAGCACCTCTTTGCGGGTCTTGTAGGACATGGTGTGTGGTGAGAGTCTGGACTGCTCGTTCAGGTACACAGTAATACTGATGATGCCAACCTCTGAAGTGTACACCCGCCCTTTGCACTTTATTTTTGCGTTAAGGTCCAGGATGCAAGGGAGGATGCGATTTTGGGGGCAAGTTGGAGTGCAGGCGTTGGTGTTTATAAAACGGTCTATTTATTCGGCTGTGTCTGCTGGTTCGATTGCGTCGTTTCACTACTCACCATCTCCTTCGGCCTCCAGTTGACATATGTCCGTATAATTATTCGGCTCAGCATGTACACGCGTAAGGTTCACATGGTGGTTCGACCGCGGGGTTGTTCGACTTTGAACAGGGGGATTTTGGAGAAAAGGAATATGACAAAAGAGGGACATTGATGGGGGAAGTTGGAAATGAGGTGTTCTTTTTATTCTCGGTTTTAATTGGATTATTTGTTACTATTAAGGACTTCGCTGACACATCATCTAACAGGCGTTTATTGGCTCGCAGGTGTCACGTGTTGAGGGAGTTTCATACCGAACACACAGAACATAGTAAATTAGTACATACCATAAAGAGGTTGGTTGGGGGACACAAATGGGGAAGTTGTCTGGAATGTTCAGGGGGGGGAGGGGCTATAGTGTGTGTTAGCTGGTTTTCCGGTACCATGTGTAAGTGATGCTTGTAATATGATGTCTTATGGATGGCCCGATGGTAAAACAAAGATGCTATCAATTTTAAAGAAATAATAGTTGACAGTGTTGAATTCCACTTGAGAGTCTACACAATCCTCAGCTGTGCGTAAACCCTCAACAAGACCTTGCGCTCCTCCTCACTCGGGCTCGTCCCGAAACGCCAACCAACCCCACCACCTATCCGTCTGCATCGATTGCCAAGCCAGCTGTTTCTTGCGACATGTCGCCGATCGATGAGATCTTCAAGGACCCTATAGTAGAGTGTGTAATTGTAGACACAGTATGTACTCTAGCGTAATATTCTATTATTATGGCATGTCTATGATCTGCCACTCGATAGCTTTAGATACAGTAATTATTGAAACACATTCGTCAGAGATTCTGCTAAACCATGCACTCCACGACCGTACAGGATGTATGTTCGCACCAATAATGACCAAGGAACCGAATGGCAGCTTTGTACATACTGCCTCTACGCCTCTAGGATGCTCTCATTGGGCTGGTGCGAACCACAGTCTGGGACAAGCGGCCAAAAGTAGGCGTGCAGTATGCGCAGCAACCCGTGAGCCGCACCGGTGTATGTACTACACCTTCCACAGGACGCGATGCTAGCACTAATGGCTATCTCTAGGTCCCCCGTTATATCAAATCGTCTCCAATCGAGCATTATTACCACCCTGCGTTAATATCATATGGAACACAATGCCATCTCCTGTCTCACACTCATAATTATTGCACAACGGCACGTTCAGACCGCACTGACACCACCACCACACAGTACAGCAGTATATCCAATCACAGCAGCTACAAGACATTAAACACCGACATCCAGCCCCCAGCAATCATGTTACAAGCATCTCCACCTCATTGACTTCTCTTTCACACGTGTCAAATATTTATATCAATGGCTCCTCTCCTTGTTACCCACCCATTTAACCTACAATTAAACTTCACTAATATGCACTCCTCTCAACGGGGCTGGTTCGCTCATCGCCAATATGGAAGCTCTGGAAAAACCCAATCGCCATTGAACCACACACCCCACCCCATGTCTTATACCTGCGCCATGCGCTTGTCACAAGGTGCTGGTGGCCAGCGGCCCAAAACGGAAACATCAGGGGCTCTCGGACGGTCAGATATTACTTCTATCCTAGTAATATTGTCCCAAACGGTTGAGAACAAAGACCCTGCTCGTATTCTGCGAAGGGTCGGATGACCCAGCCCTGAAGGAAAGTGAAGAGCAGTATATATACTGACGATGGACTACCATGAAAAACCAACAGTCTTCGTTCGTCCACTCTCTTTCACTCGCTTACAGCACGGCATAGTCCCTACGCTCTACATTCTTTACACCCTGGCTCTACGCCTATACATTCATTAAATCGTTGCTCACTACACCCACTATCGTCACTCATTTGACAACCACATTCTTTAACACAAATTCCACTGTTACACACTCCCTTTAAACATGAAATTTACCACTCTCATTGCCCTGCTGGCTGCTGTGTCTGCTGCCCCTGTTCATCGTCAGGCCCACCCTAATGATAACAACCTCCTCCACAAGCGAGAACCCCGAGTCGTTATTCGAACCCACACTGCTGACGCTGTCATAGTCACTAACACTGTCATGGCCCCCGCCGTTACTGTCACCGCTGGCCAGGAACCTGCTCCTGCCCCCGCTCCCCAGCCCGAGCCTACCCCCGCTCCTGCTCCCGCCCCTGCTCCTTCCCCTGCCCCTGCTCCTGGACCTGAATCTCAGGTTCCTCCTGCTCCTGCTCCTCAACCTACTGAGCCCGCCCCTGCCCCTCAGCCCAACCCCGTTGAGTCCTCTCCTGCTCCCCAGCCCACTTCCCAAGCCCCTCCTGCCCCTCCTGCCCCTCAGACTACCTCTGACGCTGCCCCCTCTCCCCAGCCTGCCCCTACCACCTTTTCCACTTCTGTTATCGAGCCCTCTTCCACCTCTTCTTCTGCTGCGGAGGCCACTCCCACTTTCACGCCCAACGGAATTCTGCCCTACTCGCTCACCTACTCGCCCTACAACGACGACTCGTCCTGCAAGACTATGGACGAGGTCATGAAGGACCTCAAGGAGATCGTCGCCAAGGGTATCAAGGTGATCCGTGTCTACGGCACTGACTGCGGCTCTGTCCAGACCATTGAACCTGCCGCTAAGCAGCTTGGTCTCAAGATCAACCAGGGTTTCTGGATCGGACCAGACGGAGTCGACTCCATTGACTCTGGTGTCCAGGAGTTCATTAACTGGGTCCAGCAGAACCAGGCCTGGGGTATGATTGACTCTATCACTGTTGGAAATGAGGCTATCATTGCCGGCTACGTCAGCCCCCAGCAACTCCTTGGAAAGATCGGCCAGGTCAAGAGTCAGCTCAAGGCTGCTGGATACCAGGGACAGGTCACCACCGCCGAGCCTGCTGTCTCCTACACCACCCACCCCGAGCTGTGCACTGGCCCTGAGCTCGACTACGTTGGGATCAACTCTCACGCCTACTTCAACCCCCAACAGTCTCCTGAGACCGCCGGCCAGTTTGCTCTGGACGAGATGGCTCTTACTCAGAAGACTTGTAACAACAAGGTTGTTTTTGTCACCGAGACAGGCTACCCTTCTGCTGGTAACACCAACGGCAACAATGTTCCTACTCCCCAGAACCAGGAAATTGCCATCAACTCTTTGCTCAAGGCCCTCAATGGCTACGGCACCTTTTTCACCATGTACAACGACTTCTGGAAGGCCCCCGGTCCTTACAACGTTGAGCAGCATTTTGGTATCATTAACATTCTTCAGTAAGTGCCTTTGACCACCTACACCATGGTAAGTATTCCGCTTACAACACTTTTTGCATACCGGTATAAAAAGGCCGGTCTTTCCATATTCTAATTTATTTCTTGTATTACTTCTTTTGTTGTAGACAGAGCACAGTATCAACCTGTATTGTAGTGCCTTATGGTGACTCTTCGTTGAAAGCCGCATCCCGACATCGCCATTACCGACATTGCCATACCCCCGACATCGCTATACACAATGATGACATGTTATGAATCACCAAGACACCATCTAAAATGACGCATCTACCCCACCAAATAACGTCCTGCGATATCGCTTGCCGTGTTCCGCGCCCGTGTCACTCCATTGTTCTGTTATCACAACCATGACTGAACTTTCATGTAGAGTCATCTCTAAAATTAAATTACTCATCCCAAGGACCCAAGCGCCCACATGTGTATAGCAGCAAGTCGAGCCTTCTAATGAGTCAGGTCGCGGGTCGCATGATTGTCTCTAACTATCTTCAGCTGGTCTTCGTTGTACCTTTTTGGTCTTCAAAATCCGCTTTCCCTCTTTTTTTCTGTTCGATTCTACACCGCAACTCGCGACCAGGCTGGACAGCCAATCGACACTTTGGTCCTGTATCACCTCATCCCTGATAACCTTAATTTACTATCAATGGAACCTTATGCTCTCCATCTGGAAGTAATTATGTCTCGTATGTATTAACCGAAATGTAACTGAGACGTTGGAATTGGTTGGAAGCAAGCATGGCATGTTCTCGTATATAATTAGAGAAGCAATGGCAAAGAAATCGGAACAATACTAATATGATAATGAAAATAACAAGGACAAATGATAAGACTATTCCTTCCAAATACTTGTAGAGCCCCCTGACTCACATCCAAACATCACCAACTTCGGTTCTGCTCTCCTCAACTAATTACTTTCTCTCACCACAATACTATACAACAAATAACTGTCTTCAAACGTAGTCCAGCTCAACCCCGAGTAATCACCGAGTCTTTATCCTGGAGCTCCCATCTTTCCACGCCCTATCGGCTCCGATTCGCAGCTCTTTCGAACGCCTGTACATCCGACTCCTTCCACTTTCTTCCACCAAACTTTAGGATGACTCACAGCGATGAGCCTTGACAACGACCAATAGACGCCCATCGGAGGTCGTAAACATTGCCCGTAAATTTCCGGTGGTGTTTTTTTTTTTTTTTAATGCCACGTTAGCAGAGCATTCACTCATCCCCGACTAACAGGTCACTGGAACACTACCATTACCACAGTACCATCTCGCCCTATAATAATATGATACAATGCATTTAAATATTACGTCTCTTTGTCTGACGAGCGTCATCTTCATCAAACGATCGCTTGAGGACTGCTCTGCTGAACTCGCTCTCGCCGAAAACGGGAGACGCAGCGGGGGTGTAAACAGTCACGGGAGAGACTTCCTCATATCCGTTAGTGGGGGGGTTGAGCTCCTCCTCAGGCATGTCCAGGAGAGCGTTCTCGAACAGAAGCTCACTCCATTGGGCGTAAACGTCGCCGGCAACAAAGGTCTTCCAGTCGAGAGCCTTGAGAAAGTCCAACATGTTAGTAGAAAGCTCCGAGGCCTGGAGCCCCGAAATCTTGGCCCATGCTCGGGCGCTAAAATTCCGGTCCTGCAGAAACTTGTCGGCCACCATGAGGGAGGAGAGGAAGCACCGCCGGGGACAGGAGAGAATGTTCACCTTGCCGGCGGGGTTCTTGGGCTCAGAGGAACGATTACGGGAAAGCGCAATGATCTGAGGCTTGAGCTGCACAAGGTAGTAGAGAGCCACGTGCAGTGTGGAGAAGGAGGAGCGGGAGCGCCGCAGAACCTCCTGAATAAACCGCTTGAGTGAAATCGATCTGACCGAGGACGAGCCGCCAGGGAACTGGCCCTGGATCTCGCCCACTCGGGAGGTGGCAGGCCAGATAGTCTCGAGGATCCACACGGCCGACTCGACGAGCCGCGAAATGAACTGCTCTTTTCGCGAGTCGTTGAGGGTCGAGAGCACCCGGTTGATGCTGGGGGGCTCGATGGTGGCGATGGGCTCCTTCTTGTCGAGGAGCACCCCAGGGGTTGTGTTGATGGAGACACAAGTCGAAGGACAAGTGAAGGTGGAGTCAGTAGGTGAGGCCATGATGCAAAATATAAATAGAAGAGTTGGTGAGAGTGTTGTTGAAACTGGTGTAGCTGGTGTAGTAGCTGTTGTACGTTGTTGTAGATGAGCAGCGACACGAATGTGTGACCACTAGCTCTGCCACGCCCAAGGAAGAAGGTCCGGGGACTTTAGACTAGATATAGTTACTATCTGATGCGATAGTGACTCTTATCAAGACTAGGTTTTCCCGAGCGAGATCGGTGGCGTGCTTGAGGCAGAGGAAGCTGTGTGAAGGCTGTGGGTGTGGAGTGACTCTGATAATGGGCTTTATGCACGCTGTGCAGACCGAGTCGGTTAGTCACTGAGCTTAAATGTGTGGTGACTCACAGCAGCTGAGCGGGTGTTGGGAAGAAGTTAATTTAGTGGGACCTTGGGAAAAAGTAGGACTCAGAAAATTGACTGGGAAATGAGGGGGACAAATAAAAACCAAAGAGATGTTCTTGTCCTTGTCGTCTGTGTGCTTTGCCGGCTGTGCTTTCGCAGGCAGAACAGTGGGATGTCGGTCACGTGTTCTTCCTTGTTAACTTCAAGCGTCCGAGTTCTCTAAACCACCACAATGGTGATAAAAACGGACATTTTTCTGGCGTAGCGGGTTCGGTGTAGGGTGTGTAAGGTCGTTGGAGAAGGTAGGAGGGGTTTCAAAGTGTGTCTATGCGACGGGCGTGGTGTGGTGATGGCTCAGGTTGAGTTGAGCTCGAATGTGAGTCAGAGGCGTGACAAGGACTGGGTGTTGTGAGGCAAACTAATGTAACACAGGTGGCGACTGTTGTTGTTGATGACGTGGCTTTATGAGTCCAGGCGCTGTTGCGTCAGTTCCGTGACAATGCAAAGAGAATCTGGAAGCCAGACGATTATGGGGGAGAGAAAAGGGTCGTGTTGCGACGTGTGTTCTTGCTAACCTTCAGGTGTAGCCCTATGAGAGAGTGCTGGGATTTTTTCCACAGCCGCATAACTCATGTGCCCTAACCCCAATCTCCCAAACGGGGGTCTACGGAATCAAACGGCACGTTAGTGGGGAGTGGATACCCGCGCTAAAGACCGGGGCTGGGGCAGGACAGGCCGGGCAGATCTTCAACTCCGTGTTCCAAGCTTTCTGGTGGTCGATCTCGCGCTCAAATGGCTCCATTCACGCTATTCTACAGCCCCTCCCTCCACACACGGCACTGACTTGCTCACATTTCACAGCGAAAAACTAACTTTATTTTGCAACCGCCGTTTGGCTGACCAGTCCAGACAGAGCCTTTCACTTCGTCTGCAAGAGGCGCTTGGGAGAGGCACCAAGTAGGGTAAGACATTATTTCGGAGTTAGACAGGCACGGAATGCCCGCGGTAGCACGCCACCACCACGCCACATCACGAGTACCGAATACTTGTACCGAATCTCGACCAATTGTAGCGCCCGAACATGTCGTCCTGTCTGCACTTGTATCGAACACTTCTTCTCCAGAAGCCGCATGTCTTTGACACGCCTTGACTTGCCTTCTTGTCATATTACAAGTCTTGGCAGTGTTACTGTAGATGAATGCGATAATTCCAGACAGGAACATCTAGTGTAGAGCCGCAAGTGGAGTCACAAGGAGACACTCGGGGCTTTGTGTGTATAACTGGTCATGTTGACTTGTTAATGGGCGTGTCAGTACGAGTACTGGCCTGTCTATTACCCCCTCTGCTGTTGCTGTGTTCTGCTACAGTCAAATCTTGGCCATGTATTTCCAGCAATCAGATTACAGTTGCCGACGCCAGTATGATGAGATATGACGAATAGTTGCCATTGAAGTGGTGGCAGGACACCATGGTGTGTTTGATAGCACGTTGCTCATGGAGTGGTACTTGTATCTTGTACTGTACGCACTTTGCTCACGTTATTCCTGCTCGTCTCTCATCCTTTCACTCCACGTCCACGTAAACTCAACCATTCATATTCATCTCTAAAAGTTGGCGAATTGGCGTCGTTTCGCGACTCAGCTGGAAGCAGCTCTCGTATAATATAAAGCAGAAGTTGTCCAAACGCGACTAATGATAACACTTGACGTTGGATGTGCAGATGGACGGCTACAGACTGGTCTGCTAGGATCCTATCCGCACTCCACCCTCTCTCCACATGACGTGTCCTTGTCAATGATGCTCAGATCTGGGGACCCACCTGTATAACGAACATATGCATCTGGCGAAGAGTCGGGAAAAAAAGGACCGGCACATGGCCCAAGAGCCGTTGCCGTCTGGGGGCGCATCTGGGGCGCGTGTCAGACCAACCACATAAAAAGAAAAGACAACTCTGGGCATGTGACCAAAGTGCGATCCGGCCATACCGGCCATGAGCATGTACACTGCATCGTAGTTCGCTAGTGTGCCGTCCGAACCACCTCTGACTCGATTTTATATCCACTAAATTAGCCGCTTTTGTTGAGACTTAAACTAATTGCAGCACGAGTTGGGGAGGGACATCGTGCCTCAGTCAGAATTGAGTCGGTATGAAAGAATGTAGGTACAAGTGTTGTACGGGTACGAGTGTCTGGGTCGGGAATGGCGTGCTGGACGGGGCAGAGTGATGCTCACTTACTCGGAAATAATATCTGTCCATGGACCGTCATACTTGTACAAGTACCAGCCACCCCTATAGACTCCCATATACTGTCTATTCAACTCTCCCAACCAACCGATTGCTTACTCATGCAGCCATATACCTGCCAGCTCCTCATAACCTGTGGCGATTCAAAGCATCAAATCTCAAACACGTACTACAACCAACATTCCATAAAAAGCCGATACATTTCACCCACTATAGTCCCTCTATATACATACGTCCCCCCCCAACTTCTTGTTCTACCACCATCCCTTCTTCTCCGTGTTCTTCTTGGCCATCTCAGCCTCAGCAATGTCCACAGCTCGAAGGATGGCCTCCTCTCGGGCCAACAGCTTCTTCTCGGCAGCGACCATGTGTCGTTGCTGAGGTCGCTCGTAAACAAGATCGGCCACCTCCTTGGTCACGTGGCCGGGGTTACCTCCTGGCATGACGGGGTTGTGTCCCTGAGATGCCAGCTTGGTGTATCCTCTCTCCTTGACAATGAGATCCTGCTGCTCTTGTTCGGTCAGCGAGCCAGTGAGAAAGCCCTTGAGTCGGATCCGGGCTCTGTAGAAGGGACTGAAGACGTTTTCGTAGCCGTTATCCCACTTCATGAAAAACACTCCATAGCCTAACACAGACACCGTCAGCACCTTGCCGGTCAGCTTGATGCCTCGCATGAACCCTTCTGACGTGTTGACTCGTCTCAGCTTCTTGAATTGGCCTGGGTACTTTTCGCTTGGTGGCCGCGGGTCGTATTTGATCTGACGCATGACCGCTCGGGCCTGTTCGTACTTGGACGCATCCTTGGGCGTTTTGGACCAGCCTCGGGGCTCGGTGGGCGCCAGATATTCACTGGGGTAGCCCTGAGGAGGCCGGGCCTCCGTGGGATCGAACGGGTTGAACGGAGCTCGCGGTTTGGGGTTGCTCATGGTGTGGTTGTTGAGACGTTGCACACTGAAAATCCACTGCAGAAACACCGGATGCAAATATTACCTTCGGAGTTTGATGGTGGAATGCATGATAGTGGGGGTGGAAGGTGACTACAGTAAAGGTAAGGGAAGCTAGCCAGAATGTAAGAAAAAAAGGGGAGTAACTTGTCTAAGACACATGGTCCAGTTTTTGACAATTACTTACACGAACAGCACTTTCCCTCCCTCTGTCGCTCTCTCTCACGTTATCATCACTCCTGTTCCGGCAGCACAGTTGAACCGCAGTTGGAGCGTTCACTGTCTGTCGTCGGGTTCATTGAGGGAGTCAGAGTAGAACGAGAGACACGTGGGAACGTGTCAGATCAATGCCGGGCAAACACACCCCACAGAAGCAACACAGCTCGCAATATCTCTCCCTGGAAGATTTACTTTCATATAACCGTAGTCATTGTAAATCGATAGAAGCCATGGCAGTCCACCTTGACCAGAGTACTGTACGCGAAGTCTTACGTCCACAGCAAGGAAGCACTTGCAAATGAATGATCCCTTTAAAGAGAAAGGACTTATTCAATACAAATGACAAGCACTCTTGTTTCGGAGGACTCCAGAAGTACAACAGACACATCCAGACCATGAAGACACATACCTTGAACCATCCACCTCGAACCACCCACCATGTCCAGAGACAACATGAAGACAACTCATACAACCAGTAATCTCCATAGAAACGAGGCACAAACTACTTTCATAGACCAAAGCAATTATCACATGCGATACTTCCAAGCGTGGATAATGCAATCTCTACTGATAGAGCTACTTGTACTGTAGTTACAAATGTCGATCGAGAACGGGAGTCAATATAATCGATACATGTGTGTATGTCCTCCTTATTGTTATATTTCCCAGTGCCAGTCACCTTTTTACCCCCATACTGACCAAACATTCAGTGGACATTCCACCCAACAAGCAACGACCTAATGGCACCATTTCACTGCGACTACAAGTACTCATACCTCGATCATTACTCACCATGTCTACTTCCACGCACACATCAATTAAAAACATTGTATACAATAAAAATCTCAATCTATTATGCTAAATAATTCTCGTTTCCTGCTGGGGAGCATCCCTGGAGTCAAACGAGGCACCCGAAGGCAAAGAATCTCGGAAAGAGTCACGCATGTTGTGGCGACTATGGTTGTTATGGTGCAGTTGCTGCTGCATGCTCAGATCATCGCTACTCTTGGTCTCAACGCCCAGCATTGAGTTGCTATCATCGTTGTCTCGGATCTCCTCCTCAAAAGGCAGATCGTGGCCCTCCTGGGCAGCGTTACCGAGGGCGTTGAACTCGTTGTCACCATGCAGACCGTCCTGGTTAGGCATAAAGTAGGCTCGGTCGTCCTTGGCGGGGTGGTATCGCTTGTCGGGGTTCTTGGACAAGATGGCAATGGTACAAGTGACAATAACAATGATCAACAACACCAGCGAAAAGGCGGCGTTAAGAATGAAGAAAATGACGCCCATGACCGACGACACTGACGCCGGCTGACCGTAGATGCGCGAAAAGAATGTGAATAGAAAAGAGTTGATCAGAGTCACAAGCGAAATGGCAATGTTGAGTGCGTTAGTTCGCTTGTCCATGTACGGCTTTCGCCAGCACAGCAGAGCAAAGTAGAAGAGCTCAATGATAAAGATGGCCATTGCCTGGGTCTTACCAGACTGCTGGCCATAAGCAATGAAAATAGCCTTGACAAAAGTGTAGGCCAGCTGCAGCACACAGTACCAGTAGTGGTTGGCGTTAAAGTGCAGATACATGAAGCCGTATCGATTGAGAATTCGGGGGTTGCCGAACAGCAGGTAAGCAGGGGTGTTGTGTTCTCGAATCGACTTTCGAGCAAAGTAGACGACCCGGAAACACACAAAGCAGAGAACACCGAGGGTCAGCACCAGGAAGAAGCAGGCCAGAACAATGACGGCAGCAGAGTCTCGAGTGTAGAACTCCCACAGAGAGAAGACGAGTAGCTGGGGGCAGAAAAGCAGCAGGGTTCGCGAAAGAGCTCCCTTCAGCAACAGTCTCTCCGAGCTGGCGTAGTAGTCGTGTCTGTATCCGTCCTGGTCATGCTCCTTCTGCTGGGAGTTGTCTCCATAGTACATGTTGGGGGCGGCTTCTCCTCCTCGCTTTCGCTGCAGACACAGCTGGAAGAGCTTGAAGACGCCGAAACAGATACCCAGCAGAATGCCAAACAGCACAAAGAAGGTGAAGGACGTGATGGTTCCCGAGGTCTGCTCGATGTGAGCGTCGTAGATGACTCGCAGAATACCTCTGAGCACCAGCAGGGTGGAAGAGGACTCGGGCGAGATATCCTCGAGCTGAGCTCGCTTGGAGAGCAGGTTCATGACGTGGTCAGGTGCCAGGTCACGGGCTCGAACACCAGAGGGATGGTAGCTGACCAGGTTACGAGTGTACCGGTCAGTGTTTCTGTACACGTTGGAGGCGGCGTCGTAGGTGGCCATGAACATGTGGTTGACGACCTTTCCGAGCACGGGGTTAAGTCGAGTGACGCGCTCGACGAACAGGTTTCGTCGCTGGACCAGAATGGAAATGGTCTTGTGGGTCAAGTAGAGAGTGGGGTTGCCGCCCGTTGACTGGATATACCATCTGAAAATCTTCTGCATGAAGGTGATTCGAATGAGACCGACAGACCAGGCAACGTTTTGGGCCCATGCTGCAGCCATGGGGGGCACTCGGGGCACGGCCTGCATGGTCAGAATGACGGTGGCCTGGAAGTAGTTGAAGAGAGAGACGGAGTTTGCTGCAATATGGGAGGCAGTGATGGAGTTTCCAAAGGTGGCAGCAAACGCAGCCACCAGCAGCCCGAGACCGGAAATGCAGGCGGTGACCCATTTGACGGCAGTGTGCTCTACGGTTTTGCCGTTGGTCATTTGGATGACGATACAGGCGACACGTTTGTCCGTGTCCAGCATGTATACACTTCCCACAATCATGAGATCGATATCGGGGAAGGTGAATCCCACTCCGGGAATCTGGTCCACATCGTGCTTGGACAGTGTGGCAGTGGACTCCAGGTCAATGTTTCCGGGGTACATGGGACACAGCTGTTGCAGCTTGTCGTTCGTGCAGGGGTCTACCTTGACGGAGTAGGCCATGAATCCGTAGGCCCACACGTCCAGGGTGGCGTAGACCCGGCCGGAAATGTCAGTCTTGGCCCGGATATTGTAGTCGACGGTTCTGTTGTCGGGAAAGAACTTGACGTCGAAAAAGTCGGCTGTGAAGGACGAGTTTTGCATGCAGGTGACGAGCGTGTCGGCCGACAGCTGACGCTCCTTAGCTAGCACCAGCGTCGCCAGCCAACATAGCAGTATGGCGGCGATTCTCATTGCGGCTGCCGTTTTCTAGCGAGGGAATGGGGTTGGTGGGTGGTGTTGGAAAAGGTGGTGAACAAGCGTCGGTTGGGTTGCAAATAGATTCTCTTCACTGTCTAAGGTTGCCGCAGCATGAGCGTTTTAACCTAACATAACAGAGGAGTCCCGGCAACCAGGCAAACCCAGTGTATAAAAATAGGGGTGGTGGGGATGTGGTTATGTAGAGATGGTTTTACCGGGCCATTAAGGGGTTGTGGGACCGGATATGGTGATGGGGGTTCATATAAGGGCGTCCGTGCGGACTCGTCGCAGCTCCCCCATCGCCCGTCAGTGCCCATTAGTCTTACATTAGACCATGCTTGGGCTGGGTCTTTAGACCTAACACAGTAGTAGGTTCGCAAGCGCCAAACTCTATCGTGTGGAGCCTACTTTGTTATTGCTGGTGAATGTTTGGCGAGACGAGGCTTAGTGGAGGCTAAAACAGGGGTCTTTTCAGGCGTGGCAGTATTATTTGCGGAGGTGTGGGTCGGTATTTGCAGCGCTTGAGCGGTCGTGCATTATCTGTGCGCGATACTGGGGGACATGACTGGCCATGTCGTCCAAATACCTATACTATTGCTTCCAGGCACGTCCCACCAACTAATTATAGATCGCCGGAATGTTCAGTCTTCAAGGTCATAAAGGCGAGTTAGAGTAGGGCTTCGGGCAAGAACTGAAATGTGGCTATACGTGTGGACAATGGATACAGGCCATGTTGAAATACCACCACAGCTACAAGAAGTTACAAGTAGTACTCGTTACACCGAAGGCTGGACTTGGCGCCAGCAGGAACTCCACAGATCCAAGGTACCCTGAACTGCACTCATCCCAATACGACTCCTTTCTCCGCCTGTTCTGACGCCTTGTGCATGTGGGACCTATATTTGGCCGTTGGTCTAGAGTGCCCTGGACTACCGGACTACCGGTGCCCTGGTAACCGAGACAAATAGAAATACCGTACGTACATGGCCAGCAACTCGTCACCAATAACTCAGCTCATCGTCTATCGCCCCGTCCCCTCTCCCCTCACTTGCTCCGCTTGTATTGCTGTATTGCTCAGGTTAGCGTGGCAGTTCTATTTTTACATTTCGGGGTAAAAAAATTTGCTGGCTCCTGACGAATTTCTCCACCAAAGCAAGCAAAGACTGAGTCTGAGCCAGAGCCTAAGCCGTCAATAGTTGGGCCTTGAACAGGGCGTTGCCCCAATGGATCAAAATGGTTCTTTATTGGGAAGACATCATGCCACGCCATCAAGAAGAGAGTCCATGGGTTGAGGTCAATTCATACAAGGTGATGAGGCCGTACTATTGTACAGTAACCTTCGAGCATGGTACGAGTACTTGTACGACTACATACACTACAGTAGCTGGCACTACAGTTAGACCTTGCTATTGGCGATATATCGTGCTACTGATGGTGTACGGTATGTACGAGCAGCACCAATATAGGAGCGAGACCCATGTGTTCTTGCGCTGAAACCGTTCAGTTTATACCGCCATTACCGCACGCACACTGTATAAAGGTGGACTTTTTCTTTTGGCCCGCCGCCGGCTTTGCCAACGACGAAATTGCACATGACTGTGACCCCCTGTTTAATGCCTCATTCATGGATGAAAAGACATTTATACAGCAATAATAGCGACGAGAAAAATATGGTGCACAGAAATAATTGCGCCTCAATACGAGTACTTGTACCGTACGAGTACAGTAATTTTTTTTGTCGAAAACAGGGCATACTATGTCACAGTTGATTAGCAAGCAAATGGGGGGTTGGTGGACACGATCATATTTAGCGCGGTCCATATTGAGCACACCAGTGTGAGTCTTGTATCTAATTACTACAAGTACTGTACGTAGAGTAACTTATTCCCACAGTCGGCCACTGTCTCACCCACAACCGGGTAACCGCACTACCCCCCTTCATTGTACGACAGCACCGGGTAACTCTTATTGTCTGTTGTCTGTTAATATCAACCCAAATCCGACGTTTCTAGACGTGTGTCGGCTGTCTTGTCACGTGGACCCTGCAGGAGGAGATGTGGAAAGAAGTTAGCACAATCAAAGGCAGCAGGCGGTGTTTTGGGCCCCTGACAGAGCCCATGCAATGGGGTACGCGTGCCTGAAACTGCCCTATTCCACACGAGATCTCATCGGCACGCCAATCACATGTGTTTCTGCCTTCATTCCGCCGCCAGATAGTCCCGTTCCCCTCAACCATATTTCGGAGCTGAGATTTGCAATTTACGGTTTTAGTTGGGAGCCAACCTACCTGTGAGCTATATTTAGATGGTCCCAACTGGGCACAGATCGGCGCTGATAGCCCTGGTATGTCTTCATTTCCGGCAGGAATGGTGCGCGGAAATGAGCGTGAAATGTGGTGGGGGGCCCGCGGACGAGACAGAAACCCCCCACCGGCGGCTCTGCTGGTGTCGGAGAGGGGATCGCGCCCACAGCAAACATGGAGCCTCTGCCATAAAAAATCCAGGCCCTACGTGCCTACTCCATACTGTACTTGTCAGCACAAGGGTATGCACATTCACCACGTTGCGCGTGCATGGATTACTAAGTGGTGCCTGTGTGTGTGTGTCGCCACCTTTGTTGCAACAAGGCAATTCTGAAACGTTAAGGGCGTCAAGGCCAAGACACAACCCAAAGAGACCCTGGCCAATCCCAAAGGAGAAGGACGGGGTGTTTGCCTGAGATAGCTAAGATAGATGGGGCGTGTTTGGGGGACGACGCAATGGCGGTCTAAACGGTGTCGGCAGCCATCTCCCGTTTGCCTGCTTCCTTCTGTAGACCCATTTACGCTGTACAACCACGCACCAGCCATGCGCCAAATCAATTAACAGCCGTCGACACTGTATAGTTGGCACCTGAAAGGGAGAGAGACTGACCCTCACTCCCACCCACCCAGGACGACAGGGCTTGCGCTACTTGCGAGGAAGGAGTAATTAGCACGGAGCTGTCGCGTGGCTGAACCGACACAAATGAGCCAAACCAAACGCTCGTCTTCGTCCCTACAAAATACACTCGTCTTGCTTCTCTACGGCCCTTTTTTGCTGGGAATTTCAGCCGGCCACGTCGGCTCATTCCAGGAACGCAAATTTTACTTTGAGCCGGCACGGGAAACGCAAATAGCACGCGCCCAAAGTTGCGCAGGAGGGTGGTCGCAGTTAAGGGGGAAGGGCTTCTAGAAGTAGAGCCGTCGAGTAGACAGCATGTGTAGCGGTCTTTGCGGCGAAAACAGGCCGCTGAAACACCCAAAGACACAAAAGAGAGACAAAATACAAACTAGCAAGTGTGATAATCCTACCCTCGAGGGTCTGCTTCCGCCCGCCTGTCTCGTTGTATCACCTCAACCATCTCGGTTGCGCGTCTAAGGTTCAAAAGCTTTGTGCGTCTAAACTAGTTTCAGTTTGCTCCTTGGGAATTTCGGATATGGTGTGCCTTTATTCCCATCTCTTGAGATTTTCTTTCCTTTCACGACTCTGATTCTTCACTGTTGCACTTGTCGCGGGCAATTTGAAATTCGTGGTTAAGTGAGTATTCCGACGGAGGAGGACACGGCGAGGACTTTGGCAGCGGATTCAGAGGTCCCAGAACCTCGCATCACCGTCGTTGTCGTCGCTGCTATTTTGGGAACCACGCTCGACTCGCTTATCAGGAGAAGTCGCGATATCACTATCGTGATAGAGTGGCATGTGGTGGATGGCGGTAATTCGACAACCTGAGAGCGGTGTCTAGTACCATGGCAGTTAAGGCAGCAACAGCTCCAGTAGCCCCAGCAACTCCACCATCTCTCCAAAAGCCCTGTCGACAACTTCAACGTGGGTGCTTTTTTTAGCACAGCCCCGAACATTACTAACGCAGTGTCATACGACTACAACTACGACTACCAGCAACCGGGCCAGCAGGGCGGTGACGGCCAGCACAACGGCCAGAACCAGCAGCACCCCGGTCAGCAGGAATATTATGACGACTACTACGACGACGGATACGGCAACCAGTACGGTGCCCAGGAGGGCTACCAGGAGGGTGTGGACCAGCACGGCAACCCCTACCAGCACGACCCCCACGCCGGTGTCGCCGCCGCTACCTCTGGCGGCTACCGAAACGTGAAGGACGACGGCTCTGAGACCTTCTCTGACTTCACCGAACAGAATGGCCAGGGTTACAACCAGTACAACCAGGGTTACAACCAGGGCCAGTACAACCAGGGCTACCAGGGCCAGTACAACCAGGGCTACGGTGGCTACGACCAGTATGGCCAGTACAACGACGCTTCCCAGATTTCCTTCCGGTCGTCTGGCGCTTCCACCCCCATCTACGGCCTCGACTACGCTGCTTCCCAGCAGGGCATTGGCGCCGGCTCCGGACACTCCCGAGAGCCCTACCCTGCCTGGTCTGCCGACAACCAGGTCCCTGTGACCAAGGAGGAGATTGAGGATGTCTTCATCGACCTCACCAACAAATTTGGTTTCCAGCGAGACTCCATGCGAAACATGTACGACTTCCTCATGGTTCTGCTCGACTCTCGATCGTCTCGAATGACCCCCAACCAGGCTCTGCTCTCTCTGCACGCCGACTACATTGGAGGTGACAACGCCAACTACCGAAAGTGGTACTTTGCTGCTCAGTTGGATCTCGACGACGACATTGGATTCCGAAACATGAAGCTCGGAAAGACCAACAAGCGAACCCGAAAGGCTCGAAAGAAGTTCCGAAAGGAGATGCAGGACCCTGACGCTGATCCTGCCAAGACTCTGGAGGAGATTGAGGGTGACAACTCCCTCGAGGCTGCCGAGTACCGATGGAAGACCAAGATGAACGCTCTGTCTCCTCTGGAGCGAGTGCGACACATTGCTCTTTGGCTGCTCTGTTGGGGTGAGGCCAACCAGGTTCGATTCACCCCCGAGTGCCTCTGTTTCATCTTCAAGTGTGCCGACGACTACTACACCTCCGCCGAGTGCCAGCAGCGAGTTGAGCCCGTTGAGGAGGGTGACTACCTTAACCGAATTATCACCCCTCTCTACCGGTTCATCCGAGGCCAGGGTTACGAGATTTTCGACGGTAAGTTTGTCAAGCGAGAGCGAGACCACAACAAGGTCATTGGTTACGATGATGTCAACCAGCTCTTCTGGTACCCCGAAGGTATTGAGCGAATCACCTTCGAGGACGAGTCTCGACTCGTTGACGTGCCTCAGTCCGAGCGATACATGAAACTCGGTGACGTTATCTGGGACAAGGTCTTCTTCAAGACATACAAGGAGACCCGATCCTGGTTCCACGTGTTCGTCAACTTCAACCGAATCTGGATTATCCACGTCACCTTCTACTGGTACTACGCCTCCTTCAACTCTCCCACTCTCTACATGAAGAACTACGTCCCCACTCTTGACAACCATCCTCCTCCTGCCTGTAAGTGGGGAGCTGGTGCCATTGGTGGTGTGATTGCCACCGGTCTGCAGATTATCGCTACTCTTTCCGAGTGGGCCTTTGTGCCTCGAAAGTGGGCCGGTGCTCAGCATCTTACTCGACGTCTCATGTTTTTGATTGGTATCCTCATTGTCAACCTGGTTGCTCCGGTTTACGTCCTTGGTGTGGTTGGTACCACCCATGAGTCGACCTCTGCTCTGGCTGTTGGTATTGTTGGATTCATCATCTCGATCTTCACCTTTATCTTCTTCTCCATCATGCCTCTGGGTGGCCTATTCACCTCGTACATGAAGAAGAGCACTCGTCGATATGTTGCATCTCAGACCTTCACCAACTCGTACCCTCGACTCGAGTTCCACGACAAGATTATGTCTTATCTTCTGTGGGTCTGTGTCTTTGGTGCCAAGCTCTCCGAGTCCTACTACTTCCTGATTCTGTCTCTGCGAGATCCCATTCGAGATCTTTCTCAGATGAAGATGCGATGTTTCGGAGAGAAGTGGTTTGGTGTAGAGTACCATGACGCTCTCTGTAAGGTGCAGCCTCAGATTACTCTCGGCCTCATGTACGCTACCGATCTGATTCTTTTCTTCCTCGATACCTACCTCTGGTACATTATCTGCAACACCATTTTCTCGGTCGCTCGATCCTTCTATCTGGGTATTTCCATTTGGACTCCTTGGAGAAACATTTTCTCCCGACTGCCCAAGCGAATTTACTCTAAGATTCTTGCCACCACTGATATGGAGATTAAGTACAAGCCTAAGGTGTTGATTTCTCAGATCTGGAACGCCATTGTCATTTCCATGTACCGAGAGCATCTGCTGGCTATTGAGCACGTGCAGAAGCTTCTCTACCACCAGGTTCCCTCTGAGGTTGAGGGTAAGCGAACTCTTCGAGCTCCTACCTTCTTCATCACCCAGGACGATCATGCCTTTGAGACCGAGTTCTTCCCCCGAAACTCTGAGGCTGAGCGACGAATCTCCTTCTTCGCCCAGTCCCTGTCTACTCCCATCCCCGAGCCACTCCCCGTTGACAACATGCCTACTTTCTCTGTTCTTGTGCCCCACTACTCTGAAAAGATTCTCCTGTCTCTGCGTGAGATTATCCGAGAAGACGATCAGTTCTCTCGAGTCACTCTTCTTGAGTACTTGAAGCAGCTGCATCCCGTCGAGTGGGACTGTTTCGTTAAGGACACCAAGATTCTGGCTGAGGAGACTGCCGGCTTTGGCGAGGGTTCTAATGACGACCTGGCTGAGAAGGACTCTGACGAGGTGAAGGCCAAGATTGATGATCTGCCCTTCTACTGTATTGGTTTCAAGTCTGCTGCTCCCGAGTACACTCTTCGAACTCGAATCTGGGCTTCTCTCCGATCCCAGACTCTGTACCGAACTGTGTCCGGTTTCATGAACTACTCTCGAGCCATCAAGCTGCTGTACCGAGTCGAGAATCCCGAGGTCGTGCAGATGTTTGGCGGTAACACCGAGAAGCTGGAGCGAGAGCTCGAGCGAATGGCCCGACGAAAGTTCAAGTTCATTGTGTCCATGCAGCGACTTACCAAGTTCAAGCCTGATGAGATGGAGAACACCGAGTTCCTCCTGCGTGCCTACCCCGATCTGCAGATTGCCTACCTTGACGAGGAGCCTCCTCTCAACGAGGGCGAGGAGCCTCGACTTTTCTCTGCTCTGATTGATGGTCACTGTGAGATTCTCGAGAACGGCCGACGACGACCTAAGTTCCGAATTCAGCTTTCCGGTAACCCCATTCTTGGTGATGGTAAGTCTGATAACCAGAACCACGCTCTGATTTTCCACCGAGGTGAGTACATCCAGCTGATCGATGCTAACCAGGATAACTACCTGGAGGAGTGTCTTAAGATCCGATCCGTGCTTGCTGAGTTCGAGGAGCTCAACGTCGAGAACGTCAACATGTCGCCCTACACTCCTGGTGTCAACAACAAGACCCCCTGTCCCGTTGCCATTCTTGGTGCCCGAGAGTACATTTTCTCTGAGAACATTGGTATTCTTGGTGATATTGCCGCCGGTAAGGAACAGACGTTCGGTACCCTGTTTGCCCGAACTCTTGCTCAGATTGGTGGTAAGCTCCATTACGGTCATCCTGATTTCCTAAACTCGATTTTCATGTGTACACGAGGTGGTGTTTCCAAGGCTCAGAAGGGTCTGCATCTTAACGAGGATATTTACGCAGGTATGAATGCTCTGTTGCGAGGTGGTCGAATCAAGCACTGTGAGTACTACCAGTGTGGTAAGGGTCGAGATCTTGGTTTTGGATCCATTCTGAACTTCACAACCAAGATTGGTACTGGTATGGGTGAGCAGATGCTTTCTCGAGAGTACTACTACCTTGGTACTCAGCTGCCTCTTGATCGATTCCTGTCTTTCTTCTACGCCCATCCTGGATTCCATATCAATAACTTGCTCATTATCACCTCTGTGCAGATGTTCATGATTGTTATGATGTCCATTGGTCCTCTTGCTCACGAGACTAAGGAGACTATCTGTTGGTACGACAAGGACAAGCCCATCACTGATCCTCAGACTCCTGTTGGTTGCTACAACCTCAAGCCCGTCCTGGATTGGATTCGACGATGTGTTCTTTCTATCTTCATTGTTTTCTTCATCTCTTTCGTCCCCCTTGTTGTTCAGGAGCTTACCGAGCGTGGTGTGTTCCGAGCTGCTTTCCGATTTGCCCGACATTTCATGTCTCTTTCGCCTCTGTTCGAAGTGTTTGTTTGTCAGGTGTATGCCAACTCTTTCATCAACGATTTGGCCTTTGGAGGTGCTCGATATATTGCCACCGGTCGAGGTTTCGCCACTGCTCGCCTTCCCTTCAGTGTGCTCTACTCTCGTTTTGCAGGTGACTCCATTTACCTTGGTGCTCGATCTACGCTCATGCTTCTGTTTGGTACCATTGCCATGTGGCAGGCTGCTCTTCTGTGGTTCTGGGTGACTCTGATTGCCATGTGCATCTCACCCTTCGTCTTCAACCCTCATCAGTTTGCCTGGACCGACTTCTTCATTGACTACCGTGACTTCATTCGATGGCTGTCTCGAGGTAACGCCAAGTGGCACAAGAACTCTTGGATTGGTTACGTTCGATTGACCCGAACTCGAATCACCGGTTACAAGAGGAAGGTGCTTGGCGATGAGTCTGAGAAGGGTGCCGGAGATCTGTCTCGAGCTGGAATCTCCAACGTGTTCATCACCGAGATTTTCCTGCCCCTGATTGTCGCTGCCTTCTGCTTCTGTGGTTTCACATTCATTAATGCTCAGACTGGTGTTGCCGAGCCCGTGATTGTCAACTCCATTCTGCGAATTGTCATTTGCGCCATTGGCCCCATTGTCATTAACGCCGGTCTTCTTCTGGTGCTTGTGTGTATCTCTTGTTGTGCTGGTCCCATGCTTGGTCTGTGTTGCAAGAAGACTGGTCCCGTCATGGCTGGTATTGCCCACGGTATTGCCGTTATCATTCATCTCATCTTCTTCGAGCTCATGTGGTTCTTTGAGGGATGGTCTTTCGTCAAGGGTCTGTGTGGTACTGTTACTGCGATTGCCATCATGCGACTTATCTTCAACATTCTGACCATTCTCTGTCTTACCCGAGAATTCAAGCATGACCATGCCAACCAGGCCTGGTGGACTGGTAAGTGGTACGGCGCTGGTCTTGGATGGGCTTCTATTTCCCAGCCCTTCCGAGAGTTTGTCTGTAAGCTCATTGAGATGTCACTGTTTGCTGGTGACTTCTACCTGGGCCACTGGCTGCTCTTCTTCCAGCTTCCTGTGCTCTGTGTGCCTTACATCGACAAGTGGCACTCCATGATGCTCTTCTGGCTGCGACCCTCTCGACAGATCCGACCTCCGATTTTCTCTCTGAAGCAGAACCAGCTCAGAAAGCGAATTGTTAAGAAGTATGCTACCCTCTACTTCATCATTCTGATCATCTTCCTTGTCGTGCTGATTGCTCCTGCTGTTGCTGGCCCCACTATGAGCATGGACTCTCTCGAGTCTCTGGCCGGTGGCAAGGCTGATAACGACTCCATTCAGGACACTAACATTCTGAAGGGTCTTATCCAGGTGCGATCTCAGAACCAGAACGATACTGGACGGTGCAGCACTGGTAACGGTACTGAGTGTCTCCTGCCTACTACTGGCTCTTGGTCTACCCATGTGTGGTGGACTTTCACCCCCTCCCACACCACATCCTACTCGACCAAGCCATAGACGGCGTGATAGGTGGATTGGAAATATTTTATTGATTATTGAATAGAGAATAAATGTATGGATATTATGGTAACTCATGACTTTTAGTGTGACATCATTGACAACAAAGTACCGATAGCATTTAATTGTAGAGGTCGAAGGCATGTGTGTAGACTTTTAATAGACATTGGTGTACTTGTGGGTCTGTTTTTTCGCTTGTATTCAACTTGTATTGCCCTAAGGTCAATGTTATTTATGGTGATGATCTCTGATGTCGCAATCATGTCAAATCTTTGTTCATGTTGACGCCTCTAGTATCGGTTTTAACAGGTTTGGCGGAGGTTTGTATCTATATCTTCTGTGTAATTAATGGGAATCTATCTGTTTTGTCGTAACTGTGCTGTTTGGAGAAACTGGCAGTCTTGTCAGGTTGCTGCAATGATACGGCAGTGTCGTTTATCGGACTATTCTTCAAAAAAAGGAAAAAAGAAAATAGATGCGGGGACGTCACGATAAGTTGATTATTCCTATCTCACACCAACAATCAACTCCGGTGATATATTTTGGTGTCTAACACGAGCTTGGAACTCTGCCTGTCAGTGGCTTGGTCTTACTTTGGCTATTCAGTGGCTATCGCGTAATGCAGTGATGCTACTGTACACCCGAATGATATGGTAGTTGAAGGTGGAGGACTACTGTACATGGTGGTTGCAGATTTAGTTGTTTGGAAACCTGGGGACCATATCATCAACCGAATATGCCTCAATTACTGTTGTTGTTGTCATAACATCAAGGTCCTCTCATTTACTCTCTCTCTCTCTCTCTCCCTCGTCTAGTCGAAGGTTGTGTGGCTTAAGCACGACAGAGATAGGGTCTGATGAGACGGACTGGTAATTACAGCCACCGAAGCCACGTAATGGGGGTGAATCTAGTGGCTAACGATATATAACGTCTATATAAAGACATTGTCAGCTCAATTGACATGTACGCTTCTTATCATGTCGAGCAAAAACGGAACTGGACACACTGACACTTCTGGGGTGGACAAGGAGGAGCTCATCTCCCGATTTGAGCACCTCAACAACCTCGAGCCTTCTGAATGGGCCGAAAAGATTCTTTCTCGTCCACCTCTGGGTCGAGACGCCGTCAAAGTCGTGATATCTGGAGCTGGACTCGCAGGTATCACCACTGGCATCATTCTGTCCAACAAAGTTGACAACATTGATCTGACGATTCTGGAGCGAAGCCCCGAGTCTGGCGGTGTTTGGTTCGACAATCATTATCCAGGCGTCGCCTGCGATGTCCCTTCTCACGCGTACCAGCTTTCGTTTGACCCCAAGAAGGACTGGAATCGGGCCTACGCCAAAGGACCCGACATCAAACGGTACTGGCAATCTCGAGCCAAGAAGTACGGTCTGGAGAACAAGATCAAGTTCCGCCACAACATTGACGAGGCCAAATGGGACGAAAAGACTCATCAGTGGGTTCTCCAGGTGGAAGAACTGGAAGCCAGGAAGAAGAGTGAGATTCGAACAGACATCTTCATCTCGTCTTCGGGTTCCCTTAACAACCCCCGATACCCTCCCCACCAGCCGGGCTTTGACTCGTTCCAGGGAATCAAGTTCCATCCTCAGAAGTGGCCTGAAGGGCTAGACTTGACTGGTAAACGGGTTGCACTGATTGGAAATGGAGCTACTGGAGTCCAGATCCTTCCTCAGATTGCCGAGAAGGCTGCTCATGTCGACCACTACGCCAAGTCCGCCACCTGGATTGGACACACTCTGTATGGCAAGGGCGTGCCTGGATACGTGGATTACACCGATGAAGAAATTAAGGCGATCGAGACAGACGAGGAATACCACAAGTTTCGAAAGGCTCTCCATACCGAGATTGGAGGCAAGTACAATTACTTCTTCTACGGAACTCCAGCCTTCAGAGAGGGTATCAAAGAGCTCCTTGCTATTGCGTGGCTGCGAGTTGGTAAAGATCCCGAGCTGTTCAAGAAGGTCATTCCCCTCTACACCCCGGGTCCGAGACGTCTTCTGCCTGCTCCTGGCTATCTGGAGGCTCTGACAAGATCCAATGTTGACTATCATCTGGGAGAGGTCAAGGAGTTCACCAAGGACGGAGTGATTGGCTTTGATGGCGTTGAACGGAAGGTAGACGTTGTCATTGCTGCCACTGGATACATCAAGTCCAATGGACAGGGATTCACCCCCAACTTTGACATCATTGGTCAAGACGGATACACTCTGAGAGAACACTTTTCTCCTCTCGAGTCCAAGCTGGGTTACTCGGCCTCATACCTTGGTCTATCTGCTCCAGGCTTCCCCAATTTCTTCTACACGCTCTCTGTCAACTCGTACATTCCCGAGACTACTGCTCCTGTGACCGCCGAAGTCCAGGCCTCGTACATTGCTCGAGTGATTCGAAAGAAGCAGCTTGAGAAGATCTTGTCCATCGTGCCGTCTCTGGAAGCTACCAAGGCGTTCAATCGACGTCTTGCCGAGCTGTCCGAAGCCGTCTCTCTTACCAAGGGAACAGGTATTTACAGCGAGAGAACTCGAGATGGAGACAGTCGATTGAAGATTGCCTGGCCCGGATCTGTGTCTCATGCTGTGGCTGTTCTGCGTGAGCCTCGCTGGGAAGACTACGACTATGAGTACGAGGACAATGATGATCCGTTTGCGTACTTTGGGTCTGGCAAGACCTGGATTGATGATCACGAGGGCGACAGGACGTTTTACTTGTCTGAGCCGGGCTCAATCACTGCCCGTAATCTCCACGAGGGTTGGATTTCCGTACCCTCAGACGGTCCTCCCAGTGCCCCTCATTCAAAGTGATTAGATGTGTATGTACTGTACGAGTACACTAATAACCGAGTAATTGATAGACAAATAATGGGATTGTAGTAACTGAGGTGAAAGTAGTTTCGCCAAAAAGATGGCCCGAGAACCAACAATAATCCGAACAATTGACCGAGTATAGACTGGCAAAGCCCTGCAGCTGGAGAAAATACACCATACCATAACAATGTTTGTAGCTACTGTAGCACCATCATTGTGCGTGTACTAAGCGAGACCTTCATAACATACTAACACTTCTATCAATATGGTTGAGTGACTCCTGTCTCAAAAACGTATTAAACGTGGCATACCGTGCCGTACCAGTTATGTACGAAGCGGGGAACGGAGATTGATAATATGTTTTTCCAACGGAACAAATCGGCTGCAGCCAGTCTTTATGGTGAGACTTTTTAGTGTGGCTCCGAAAAGCGGAAAGTGAACTCTACACGCCTTGGGGGTTTGGGAACAGGTGGGGTAAGCGATATCGGCGGCCAGGGAGAGACACAACAGGGAGAAGACGGAGAGTCCGAGTTTTTGGCCGTTCAATTTCGTCCTCTATCAAACACGCCCGCAAGAACTAATACTAGTACCGGCTCACCGACGCCGGATCTGTTGCACGTGCTTATACACGGCACTTCGCCTTATCGCTTGTCGCGGTGTGCTACACTGGTGCTTATCTCCAACGTCAACCTTACCTCTATTAACACTCGGTCTCTCAAGTGCGAGCCGTTGAAGATTGAGCCAGACATGCGAGAATGGGGCAGTTGGATGCGTTATAAGGGACAGCCTGGATTGTACCAGTAGATATAGCACTCTGTACACGGCGGTTGTGTTCAAACTGCCCAGCTTCCCCGCCACGGCTATCAGGGAGGTCACTTGGGTTCCCCTCTCAAATGACCCCTCCTACAGTAACGCCATGGACAGCGCCAGGTCAGGATCCGTTGCTTCATGTGGATCTAGAGCAGGTGAGATGGGGTAACACTGGCACAACAGAACAGATTGTGGAAGTGGAAGTGGAAGTGGACACTTTGGAACCGGTAGGTGAGAGCACATGGATATTTACTCGCTCCATACAAACATTCCATGTCGCCCAACCACCCCAGATTCATATACCGAACACCAATCTTCACGTCACATCCAGCGGCAATCGATGTGCTCAATATCCGTGGTCCAACAAGTGCAAGGGGCGCGCTAAGGTTCTGGCACCTCTACAGCAGGGCAACGGAAAGTTTCATGGAGGAAACGGCATTGGGACCCCGACCCCGAACCCCCCCCCCCACACCAGCGCTTAAATTGGCGGTTTCGCTGCATGTTGAGTCACAACACCTGTGCCGTAGCGGGTTTACGGTCAGAGTAGTATGTCGAAACAAGTGGGGGACTTTCTGGTCTATATATACTTGTATGTACCCCCCAGTTCTGCCATGTCGTAACTCTACTACAAGGTACAGATCAAACCCGACCCATTTAAAGTCGTGACTATTAACCGCACAAAAGAGACTACAGCCTATAGTGTGCATATAACGACATATAAAGATACCGGTGCACCCCAACTTCCCAACTCTTGTTTCTCCAACATCTCGTACAACACCAAAAGCACGACTACAAAGATGACCTCCGACAACAAGCCTCTCGCCAAGGACCTCTCCCACCTGCTCTCCACCGAGGCCAAGTCCCGAAAGGAGTCCAACCTCAAGGCCGCCTTTGTGTACAAGGCCGACCCCTCCATTGCCTTCCTCGGAGGAGGACTGCCTCTGCCCTCCTTCTTCCCCTTTGACAACGTGACCGTCGATACCCCCAAGCCTCCCTTCAAGAACACCATCATCGCCGACGTGAACTCTCTCAAGGAGGACGAGCTCACCAAGGTCCATGTCCCCAAGGACCCCTCTCGAGCCGGCAAGACCGATCTGCCTCTCGCACAGACCCTGCAGTACGGTCTGTCTGGCGGCGCCCAGTCTCTGATCGACTTCATCAAGGAGCACACCACCATGATCCACAACATTCCTTACAAGAACTGGGACATTTGTGCCACCACCGGAAACACCAATGCCTGGGACTCCGTGCTACGAACCTTCACCAACCCCGGTGACTCCATTCTGTGTGAGGAGTTCTCCTTCTCCTCCGCCATCGAGTGTGCCCACGGCCAGCAGATCAAGGTCATCCCCGCCAAGGTTGATTTGGAGGGTCTCCTCCCCGACGCTCTGGACGAACAGCTCAACAACTGGGTCGGAGCCAAGCCTAAGCTGCTCTACACTATCCCCACCGGCCAGAACCCCACCGGAGGAAACATGCCTGCCGACCGACGAGAGGCCGTCTACAAGGTGTGCCAGAAGCACGACATTCTCATCATCGAGGACGAGCCCTACTACTTCCTGCAGATGGACGAGTTCAAGCAGGATCAGGCTGCCCGAAACTACGAGCAGCTTGAGGACCACGACACCTTCCTCAAGTCTCTGGTTGCTTCCTACCTCAACTTTGATACCGACGGACGAGTTCTGCGACTCGACTCCTACTCCAAGGTTCTGGCTCCTGGAACCCGATTCGGCTGGATCGTCGCCCAGGACACCTTCATTGAGCGATTCCTGCGACTGCACGAGGTCTCCATCCAGTTCCCCTGCGGTTTCACCCAGTCCATTCTCTACGGCATGCTGTCCCGATGGGGCCAGACCGGCTACCTTGACTGGCTCATCAACCTCAAGAAGGAATACTCCATCAAGCGCGACGGCGCCATGGACGCCATGGAGAAGTACATGCCCAAGGAGATTGCTGAGTGGATCGCTCCTACTGCTGGTATGTTCTTCTGGTTCCAGATTGACGGCTCCAAGCACCCCGAGTTTGCCTCCAAGTTCAACTCTGACCCCGCCAAGCTCGAGCTCTACCTCTACGAGCAGGGTGTGAAGAACAAGGCCCTGCTGATCCCCGGCCAGTGGTTCCGATCCGAGGATGTCACTGAGCCTCCTCAGAAGCCTCTCCCCGTGACTGAGGCGGAAAAGTCTCTGCTCTTTTTCCGGGGCACCTACGCCGCAGTCCCCACTGAGACTGTCGATGACGGTGTCAAGCGATTCGCCGAAGTCGTCAAGCGAGAGTTCCAGCTTTAATTGGGTGATAAAAGTGTTTTATATATAGATGTGTATAGTTAGAACGGAGCAGGTAATGGTTTATATGGAAGTGTAGGTGAGTTTCATTTACTGTATCGCATTTTGGCTGTGGCTTGCAACGAACCATGGTAACGAGTAGACTCAATCTAAGATTAGACCTGATAACCTCAGAGGTGTTCTCCTTAACGGTTTGAATGACTCGGCTCGAATATATTCCGTAATGTCATAAGTACACTAGCAAATATAACTGTCTGGTGCTTGGCGTAAGTTGCGTGGTCTTACCATCCTAACGTTGTCATACCAATTCGCTAGGACCTGAGCCCTCGCTTTGTCTATCCAGCTATTCACTATATACCATTAATATATATTTTCCTTCGTCGTTTCCGTTACTGTACCATACATGTGGGAGAGAGACCGAGTAATGCAAGAAACAGGCCGTCGTCTCCGTGAGTGTGCAATCTATAGTTATGCTGCCTCCACCTGTGGCTGGGCAGATGGAGACCGAGACTGCGACTGCTGCGACTGCGACTTGGTCTGTGACTGCTGCGACTGCACCGACGGCGTGCTATTGTTAGGTTGCGCCTTGAGCTGCTGTATGTTTTGCTGCTCCTTGTTGTACTGCTGGATTCGCTTGTTCATCTCCTGCCGCTGTTTGTCCTGCCATCGGGCCCACTTTGCGTGCTCGTGCATCTTGAATCCAAAGATTGTGGGGACGTGTCTCTCGTTGGTCTTGGTGGGAAGCAGTTGGGGGAAGGCCTGCAAAATCATGGCCGGGAAGGACGTTCCAAAGTAGGCGCCGTCAATGTTGGCGTGGCGGGTGGACTTGGGGATGTATAGGTCCTCGCACTTGGTGCAGTACAGCTTGACGGACGACTGGCCAGCCACGTCGTACAAACCCACGGGCAGCAGCGGGTTGAAGTAACAGTTGACACGGGGACACTTGCCAAAGTGGGCCAGCTTGTATTTCTCCATCATTTTTGTGAGGCCACGGGGGGTCAGAATGTACCGGGCATGGATGAGCCCGTAGAGATGTTTGGCATCGGCATCAATCTCCTGACGAACGGGGTCCTGGAACGAGTCCAGATCCAGCGCGTCTGTGATGAGCTCGGCGGCGTATTGTAGATGGGACACCTCAGTCGAGAGACCCGTGAGATTGAATCTGTCGGTGATGAAATCCTCGTCCACCTCGCAGAAGTACTCGTTTCCCTTGGCCCGCAGGAACCAGTCGACCCAGTACTCCTCGGATAGACCCGACTCGGAGCCGTCAGTGTAGTAGTCCACCTTTTGGTCGATGCTTTTGTCTCCCATAGTGGCGTTGGTGTGTGTATTCAGGTGGAGAGAGATGTCGTGAGAATTTTGGGTTATTGGAGTTGGGAGAGGACGGAGAGCACCTTGGAGATGAGCGATTAGCAGTAGATAGCGGTATGGACGGTTGTTAGGGTCATGGTTGAAGGTGTAAGATCAGAAATAGAGATTTTTTTAATCACCTTGTGTGTCTTCTTTCACCTCCTCCTATACTGTCTCTACCCCTATAGCTGCCATATCCATATTTGCATCTTGTCACGGCATACAAGTGAGAGTTCTACAATATGATGTAGTCATACTGTCAATCCAGTTTGTGCCAAGGCTTGTGTATTACTGTATTATTAGCAGTAAACCGAATGAGAAAGTAGCGACAGACTGAACTGATTGTAAGACTAATGCTTACGAATGGGTATTCAGCACCAACCGCTGCTTAGTCATATTCAGTTTTCCTATCAATACCGATCCTCAATTCGTTCATGCTGTACTGTACTTACTGAAACTGAAGAAACCCACCTCCCGACGCACACTCCACACGCACAATTGCAACACAGCATACTCTTAACCTTGATTCATCTGATACAGTAGTAACTACACCAACAGACATAGCAGGCAATCACGTCAGCACCGTCCACGACAACACCAGCTACAATGTACATTGTAAAGCCCTCGTGGCTTTGTCATTCCGGTGAGTAGCAACTCTTCAGTTTCGTGACACACACATTTCCACACGACTAACCCAGATGACCAGAAAAAATTCGAGGTGTACTCCGTCACGGTATCCCCAGACAACCAGAGAGTCGCGACAGGAGGCCAGGACGGCAAGGTACGTATTTGGAGCGCACAAAGCATTCGCGACTCGGCCAAGGGCGACAATGAGAGCTCTGACACACCCTCGAATCTCTCCGGAGCCCCTGCGCCGGGCGCCAAACAGCTGTGTTCTATGGCTACTCACAATGGTGCAGTGACAGTCGTGCGTTTCTCGCCAGATGGACGGTATCTGGCGACTGGATCCGACGATCGGGTGGTGCTGGTGTGGGAACGTGACTCCACCAAGGTGCCCAGAAAGGAGTTTGGAAGCTCTGGGGAAGCCGATACAGAGTCGTGGATCGTGCGGAAACGTCTGGCTGCACACGACAACGATATCCAGGACCTGGCATGGGCCCCCGACTCGTCCATTCTCGTCACTGTTGGTCTGGACTCGGGTGTCATTGTGTGGAGCGGCACCACTTTCGAGAAAATCCAACGACTGGATGCCCACAATTCCCACGTCAAGGGCATTACGTTCGATCCTGCCAACAAATTCTTTGCTACTGCTTCTGACGACCGAACAGTGCAAATCTTCCGATACAACCGTGCCTCTGCCACCGACGTGACCTTCTCCACCGAAGCTACAATTACCAGTCCCTTTAAGCAATCGCCTCTGTCTACATACTTTCGACGGTGCTCGTGGTCACCCGATGGAAACCACATTGCCGCAGCCAACGCGACTAACGGCCCCGTTTCTGTAGTCGCCATCATCAACAGAGGTACCTGGGACTCCGACATTTCTCTGATTGGTCATGAGGCTCCTTGCGAAGTCGCTGCGTTCTGTCCTCGAATTTTTGCTCGAACCAAGGAAGCAGCCGAGAAAAAGGACAAGAAGTCCAGCAGCGAAAAGGACAAGGAATCGGACGTGATAGACGTGGATGCGGAACCCAAGGTGCCCGAAAGTGTGCCCATCACCGTCATTGCTTCTGCTGGCCAGGACAAAACCCTGACCATCTGGAATACCAGTAACCCGCGGCCCGTGGTTGTGTGCCACGACATGGCGCTCAAGACCATCACCGACCTGGCATGGTCCCAGGATGGTATGTCACTGTTTGCCACGTCGCTGGATGGCTCTATTTCATACGTCCAGTTTGAGGAGGGCGAGCTGGGCTACGTGGTGTCCATGGAGGAGAACGAGAGCCGACTCACGCGATACGGAGGCGGCAAGGAGGCTGCTCAGATCCCTGAATCAGTTGAGCAGCTGGTCCTTGAAGAAAAGGTTGAGGCCAAGGAGGTCAAGGATAGCGAAAAGCGAATGGAAGAGCTGATGGGAGCAGCAGGGGCAGGCTCTAAGGCCATTGCTTCAGGAGCCACAGTGATTCCCTCGCCAGCAAGTACAGTTGCAGCAGCAGCGGCGGCTCCTGTCACTACCACAGCGCGTGCTACCACACCTCTTACTGCAGCTACCTCCAACCCTTCTACACCAGCCAAACCCGCCAAGCAAAAGGTGACCATCACCAAGGATGGTCGAAAACGAGTGGCCCCACAGCTTCTGACCACAACGTCTTCTTCGGTGCAGGGCACTCTTCCTGCCGCCACCACTTCCAGTGCTGCAGTTCCCGTTGCCTCGGCCACAGCAGAGACTATTCCCGTGAATGACTTCTCGAAGCCTTCCTACGCGCTTCCCAAGGGCGGGGTTTCGACTCTGGTGATTGGTAGCAAGCGACGATCAGACGACCTCGAGGATGGTAGCAACGGAATTCAGACTGCCCTCAAGAAGACACGCCCTGATGACGATGTTCCCGAGTACATTGCGCCCGTTGTTGTCTCGCCTGCTACAACCACTTCACAGGTTCGCCTGGGAGCTCCCAAGGTGCGAAACCTGCTCATGCGATCCATGACTGTTCGAGATGCGGAAAAACCCCGCATGGCCAACGAAAGCGTGTCTCTGGCGAACGGAGAGAACACCTCCAGCAGCAGTGCTCCCCATTCTTTCAACTTTGAGGTCAGAAACGGCTCTGGAAACGATCAGACGCCCACCAAGGTCAGCGTCACCCGAAACTCACAGGTGGTATTTGTGGACTTTGTGCCTTACTACGTGCATCTCATTGCTGGTAACGGCTGCTACTTCTGGGCCACTAGTGCTGAGGACGGCTCTATTGTGGTGTACTCGCCCAATGGACGACGGATGCTGCCCCCTCTAGTGACTGGAGCCCCTCTGTCTTTTCTGGAGTCTCAAAACGAGTATCTGCTCGCTATCTCATCAGTGGGTATGCTATATCTATGGAACGTGGTGGATAAAAAGGCAGTGTTCCCTCCCGTGTCACTGGCACCTATTCTCGACTCCGGCAGTCGATACGAAGACGGTGGAGTGCTCCGGGGGCCTCACGTGACCCAATGTGGTGTTACCGGCTCTGGACGAGTCATCATCACTCTGTCGACGGGTTGTGGATACACCTATGACGAGGGTCTCAGGTCTTGGTGTCGTCTGAGCGAGCCGTGGTGGGCCACTGGCTCCCAGTACTGGTCTGCTACCCAACTACTGGGTGACGAGTCTGCGAAGAGCCGATGGGTTCTTGCGGTGGAAGAGAGAACGGCCGAGGAGGCCCAGAGACGAGCTGGAGGCCGTGGTCGGTACCTCAAGCAGCTTACTCGAGCGACTCTCAACCGTGAGGGCTACGAGGGCATGGAGGGAGTTGTTAGCATTGCTCATTTGGAGAACCGAATCGCTGCTGCCGAAATGCTCGAGAGTAAGCATGAGCTACGAACCTTCATCATCATGTACGCGCGTCGTATTGCAGAGGAGGGTCTTCGGTCACGTGTGGATGAACTCTGTCGCGAGCTTCTTGGCCCTGGAAAGTCTCAGGACTCCACCTGGAGCCCCACGGTGTGTGGTCTAGACAAGCATGAGCTTCTCAAGGAGGTTGTGTTGAAGATTGGCAAATACCGGGAGTCTCAGCGAGTGGCTGTTGTTTACGGCCAGGCAATTGGGTTGCTCGAAGACGAGGTGCTGGGCGTTGCTTCTTCCTCCAAGAGTGCTGCTTCCAAGGGATCTAAGGACAAGGAAGACAACGAGGAGGAGGATGGGGATCACGACATGACCGACTTCAAGGATGCCATGAGCGAGCAATGATGGTTTGAGGTGGAATGCTGATTTTCATGTATTAGAAAAGATGTATTATAGTGCAGATTGATATACAAGTAGTGACTAATGTATTACGGCTTGTTTAGGACTCGTACATACCAGTACCGGTTCCGGTGCCGTAGTTATCGAGTGGTTTGTGGTTTTGGATTTCAAGGCAACCACATTACTTTTTCAGAGTATGGCGAGCTACTAAGTAACTCACGAACAAGTAGTTAGGGGGCGGATCAGTGCAGGGGTACTTAGTATAAATGGGGTTTATAGATGCTTTATAACAACGGGTCAGGGGAGGGAAAGACCGAACTGATACTCGCAACTCGTACGAGTATGTGCCACTATGTGCCGTACAGTATTCATCAATGTACGGCACATCCACGTGTTTACTCGGAGAAGATATAATAATCGTCAAAGGATGAGGTCAAAGTGTAATATGGTATAAGAAGCCGAGCTGCCGGTGGTGCTGAAAAAAATAAATAGATGTCGTATATTAGGTAGGGTGGCTGCCAAACGTGGTCCGGGTAATTAGTGCCAAGACATTGGTGTGGTTGGGACTACAGCCTGGGGCTCAGGAGCGGTGTGGAGGGGGATGCCCAGCCTTTAATATCTACAAGCCTGTCGGTGTTGGACCTCGAGGTGTGATTTATCCCGTGCCGGCGAGTTAATCCAAAGCCGTTTGAGACTTTGCGGATGTGAAATTCTAACCTAAGGGTGGTGCATGGTTGGGTCTTGTGTGTGGGCATTCACGCATTGAGGAATGCTGTTTAGGGGGGTGAGGGGAGATATAAATAGATGGACCAGGGGGGGTTTGTCTGTTATCAGTGAATGTGAAATCAACCCCCAAGGTGGTTGCTTGGTATAACCACGGCTTGTAAATGCACGGCTCTACTTGTACTTGTAGTAGAACGAAACGGTATTAGTTGCTTTGTTGCAGGCCGATCTTTTCATTGATACAGTATAGGTTTTTCCGCTCAATGAAGATCGTCGTGGTTTTGTGGGGCAGCAATTCGGCGTTCATTTAGGAAGTGTAAGTACGGGAGCACCGATTGTTAGCTGTAAGGAGGTTATTATCCATTTGTCATATCGAACAGTCAATAGGTTGATGAAGATCAATCGGGCTACTTGTACAAGTACATAGTGTACTCGCAGCTCACCCTACAAGCGATACCTTGTAATTACTCGTTCAGTACAATATGTACTCATACTCGCTCGTGCGTGGCGTGTAGACCTCTTCGTACATCATTAGGACAGTTAGGCGAGCTGTAGTTCACGAGACTAGGTTGTCCATTAGCAGTGTGTGGATGAAGCCCACTAACGCGAAACTAATTGCTCAGATACGTGCTCAGCCCTAGGGCTCCTTTGGCGAGCCCGATTTATCACATAACCCGTTTAGGACGGCGGTGTCGTATTCTGTGGATATGCAAAACATCAGCTGCTTGTCTCCGAGTGCATATCTCTTGTTTGTCTTGTTTGCGATTGCTGTCTGTCGCCTAAACTCAAGAGTGTCTCAACTATGTTTTGATCGAGGACCCTGAGCTCCGAAGCCAGGGATGACAGGCCACCCCACCACAGCTGCAAATATTCTGTTAGCGGCATGGTCTGATACCTGGATTGCGGAATAGGGGTCCTCCATTTAACATGGTAACTGCACTCATGCTCTCGTGATAACTGCACAGGGCCTAAACACCCCACCTCCGCAAGCATTTCCGCTTGAGGCGTACTCGTACGAGTCCGATACAGTGGCAACGAGTTTGTATCTGACTTTCGCTGGTCAGCTCCGCACCGTCGCCTCCTAACAAGACCAACCACTTCCCTCTTGGGTAGTGATAATGCGTTAGCTTTTTGTTAGTCGAACTTTCACTGCGGACATGGCAAAAACCTTCGATGGCAGGGGGGTCTTAACGCCGCAGTAGAGGCCGTCTCCCTAAGAAAAAATGGTAAAAAACGCCAAAAAATGGGGAGCAAAACAATTTGCATAATTCATACTCAACGTGATCCAAACGATGATATAGATGATGGATACAAGGAGCAACACCGTGTCTTTAGCAAAGCGGTACAGCCAGACCAGAACCAAAACTCACTGCATCCAAAAGGTTCTCTCGCTGGTTGTTTCGCTCAGCCTCCTACCGCCAACCCTACAGCCTCTGCTCTGTGTAGACACCCCGCGAGGCCCACTGCGGTCGGGGTGTGGTGCAGCTCAAAGTTTTAGTGAGCTCGAGAGGGAAAAAAAAAAGGAAGAGAAAAAAAAGTGTGCTGCGAGCAACTGCCGCGATCGACATGAGGGGAATGTGTCTAGGCAGACATGGCAGCTTGGCGATGTGCCGCAATGGTCGACACAGGCCCGCGATGGGCTTCAATATGCTTTTAACGGGAGCCAGCAGAATCTGACAGCGTTATTTCTCTAATTATATCTTATATACCGTCTTTTCTTTGTATGGGAGATGGTTGTGTATGGACAAGCGCCTACAGCACAAGCGCACATAATTAGTTAATTACACCACAGACTAGCTCAAGACACGCGAAAGAGAGATTCCACGACAAGGTCTCCGGGGCTCTACGCGGTCTTCTTTCGGCTACCTCCCCGTTGCTTCCTTCGCCGCTTGGGCGCAAGGGATTGGACGTTAAAACACTCTTACAGAAATGGAAGGAAGAACAAGAAAGTCCCAAAGTTAGGAGGCGTATGGATGAATGCAGAAAAACGAAAAGTTGGAGATACAACTATCGTAGATGGTCCGGGAAATGGATCCAGACTAAGAGGGGAGCTAAGGGAGACAAAGAGCGTATTGTATAGCCCACATCCTCACGTGACAGTGTTTATCTCCCCGACTGTCATACACTGTTGTGACATATCCCCCAGCTACAAGTAGCTTATATTCTGACTGGTATCCACAATGAGGTCTCTTGTCTAGTCCAACAACCAAAGCCTATCCGTATTAATCCTTGCTAGAACCTATTAAACGCACTCTGGAAACTTTACTGGCGTCTAAATGAAGTCTAATTATCGACCTCCGTTCTCTTTAAATAAAAACCCACAGGGCTCCCTGTCGGGCCACTGAACCGAGTACTAGTCCGATATACGAGAGCACAGTCGTCCCCTCGCCTGCCATGACGATTCTGCCCGCAAACCGAATGCCCAGGATCTTCGACTCCGCCCTGGGCCGCTCCTTCTCTTCCACAACATGTCCCCAGTTCTTCGACCAGATGCTCACCAACAAGACATTCACCGAATGCTTTCCCATGTCCTTTTACCTGCAATCGTCGTCGTCCTACGTGGCCACCATTCGATCCGCTACTAACAACACAAAACCGCTGGAGGATATTCTCGACACCTCGTGCAATGGCATCTCCTCCTTCTCAGACTGCACCGCCATCATGAATGATCTGGCACAGCGAATGATGCAGAACGCGACCTGTGGTCTCGACCATCAGCGAAACAACTCCAACGTGGTCCAGGCATACTCCAACCTCGTTGCATACCCGGTCGTATACCAAACCACCTGTCTGAAGACAGACGTCAGCAACTCGCCTGCTGGAGTGCCTACCTCACCTCAGAACAATGGGACCGAGTACTGCTACATCAACGCTCTGTACAACGAGGAGCTCGCCTCTGAAAGCTTTCTGTACCTGCTGGCTCTCGGTACTTCGTTCCCTACAGGACCTGGATATGGATCACCAAGTTGCTCCGACTGCACGCGACAAGTGATGCAAATCTACCATACCTTCACGGGCGACTCGAAACAACCCATTCGACAGACATACGAGGGAGCCGCGCGAGTCATTGATCAAAACTGTTCGGCCGGCTTTGCCCCCCCAGACCTGCTTGAGACGGAAGAGAAAAACAACAGTAAAGCTAACGCTGGCGTTAGAACTGCACATCCTACTAGCATCGTCAACATGCTCATTCTGTCTCTGTTTCTCAGTGCCGTTTTCACTATTCTTTGATCGGGCACTACAGAGATGGATGGTACCAGATACCATATTACTGACACAACCGGACACCTCTTGCATTTACCATTTACTACCTGCCATTTTAACACGCAACACTCTGCATATCAGCAGTCGGAGGAACCGAAAAACACAACAAAAATTCTGCATTCCACGAATCGCTTCACTAACGGGGTTCCTTTACTGAAAGAATCGGACCAGCATCCTTCTTCAAGGTGTACATATTTTTTTATTTGGGTATACATCCACGGACATAGACTAATGAAAAAAAAAACAAAAAAAAAACAAGATAGATCTAAAAAACGCTATCAACTGTCGCTTGACGCTTTTTGCTTTTGTCGGGACACGTCAGTGCCATCGCTGTAGTACAGTAATATTGAATTGATCTTCGTGTTCAAGCATCCCCGATCGTAGAGGGACACGCCTTTCATTTTCCTGTTTGGGGGAGTCTTGCCGATCGTGTTCCGACGGCATCGGAGTTTGAGTTGCATCCGCTGGCTGCCATCAGCGGCGGACAACTGCGTGCGATTACAAGCCACTCCGTATTTTTATTCAAATCATCATGTCTCTCTCAAGGAAGGGGGGTTTGAAGGGGCGACGGGAAGGCTATAAACAAAGCAGCCGCCCTGTCGTCGCAGAACACCGAGCCCTGCCTATCTGTTCACTAGAAGCTTTTACACTGCCTAGAACAGGTACAGCGGCATAATATCTCAAGACCTGCGGTACTTGTGTACACCAGAAGCACAAAGCCCACACCAATCTCGACTGTATTATTTTAATGCGAGATGCGAGATGCGAGATACGAGCTCACAATGTACTGGTACAAAGAGTCTTGTGGCAAGAGATGTCTGGGTGAGTTATAGAACACAATGACGACCTCGGTTCAGATCACGTGCAGAAACTACAGTATAGCTCTAGTATGTCTTGACTTCTACGTCTACGGGTACTACAAAAGTATTGCACTTTTTTAACGCGAGTATCCACTGCTATTCCAACTTCGATAGGAGTAACTGCTTCTACAGGTACTGTACTTGCACAGTAGCTTACTGGAGCTCGTGAATAAGAGGCAACACCCATCGATCTGGTATAATCCACTCACCCTCATATCTATCAATAACAATGAACTATAGCAGTATACCTTTTAATTAGGCCGTCTTGGGCTTGACCTTGTTGCTGCGAAGCATGCCAATGACTCCGACAACCAGAGCCACAAAAATGGTGACAATCAGATCCATGGCAGCGTCACAGATCATCAGCCATGCACTAACGCTGACAGACCCAAGAGGAGCAGAAGAGAAGGATAGGATGTACTCAATTGGGTAGGGAAAGGCGTTTTTAGGGAGCCAGAAGATAGCTGCCTTTCTGTGCTTGATTCGCAGGAACATCTTCATCCCGGTAGTTGACAGGAAGATGGCCGACGAGATGATTGTGAAGAACCGGGCCTTAGAGGCCGTCAGCAAGTTGTTGATGTCTTCAATCTCCACCTTGAGCTTTCCGTACTCTCGATCCAACTTTGCCCATTTTGCAAACTGGTCCTGTGAGCTGGTATTTGATCTCTGGGTATGCACCTCAATTGCTCTCAACTGAGCTTCTTTTCTTCTTCGTAGCTGCTTGGATGGTACGATTCTCGTAATGATTTCCCACAACTGAGTTAGCGACAAGTTTTTGGGGCACTCCCACTCCTTAAGCACTCACAAATTCCTGAATGGCCGGCTTGCCCAGCTTGCTGATGACCTTGGCGTAGAGCACCACAAACGCCACTAGCAAGAGCAGTCCAGCGGCAGGGGCTCGATCGATCGGCACAAATTCGCCAGCAGTGGTCCCCACGGGGGCCACAAATTCGGCATCCACAATGATCGCCTCGTCCATGTCGTTTGTTGTGTGTATGTGAATCGAGAATGCAGTCGTGAGGGCTCACTAATGTTGTGTGCTTACTACGCCCATTAGAGTTCACTATTTTTCTCTGTGACTTGGAGGTTGGGAGGTTCTTGTATCTGAGAGTTGGAGCAGCGGTTCGAAAATTTAAACAGGACCACCAAGCTCGACGAAAGCGCGCGTTTACCCGTTCACCATCATCTGTGGTGGCATTACCTGACTTGTTGACATCTGGAACCGACAGACATAGAAACTGCACACGACAGGGACACTGCGACGCTCTTTACCATCTGCCACGACCGCCGTCCCCTCACTCTACAGCCACCCCAACACGGAGGGTTTTATATGGAGGACAAACTACTCGAATACAACATGACAGACCCTTCTTCCGAGAGCGAGGAGGTCGAGACCTGGATCTCGCATTACTGTTCGTCGACCGGCCACGATTACTTTGTGGAGGTGTTTGAGGATTTCATCGAAGATGACTTCAACCTGACCGGCCTCATGTTCCTAGTGCCCTACTACAAGGAGGCGTTGGAGATGATTCTGGATCTCGAGCCCGAAGACCCGCTCAAGGTGCCATCCATCCCAATGTTTGAACACTCGGCCGAACTGCTCTATGGCCTCATACACGCTCGATTCCTACTCACCAAGACGGGACTGCAGATTATGGCCAAAAAATATGACGAGGCCCAGTTTGGCACTTGCCCACGATACTACTGCGACGGAACACGCCTGTTGCCCACAGGCCGACACGACCTGCCCGGATACGAGTCTGTGCGGCTCTACTGCCCGTGCTGCTGTGACGTCTACGTGCCGCCCAACTCTCGATACCTCAACGTCGACGGAGCCTTTTTCGGCACCTCCTTCGTGGGACTCTTCCTCAAGATGTTCCCCGAGGTCGAGCGCAACTGCATTCCCCTGCGTAAAAACATATACGAGCTCAAGCTCTTTGGCTTCCGCATCAACGAGATGAGCTACAGCGGCCCGAGGATGAAGTGGCTGCGACAGTACCCAGAGGACCCCAGTGTTCTGGATGAAGAGGACAAACTACCCCCACCACGAACCGACGAAAAGGATGATGATGGAGATGTAAAGCTGGAGACGGACCAGGAGAACCGGGCATGAGCATAAAGGTGGAACATGTATTTAATGACTATGAGACGACAGCCGAGAGTAAGGGTTCTAGTAGTCTGTTCAAGCACATCAGTTGACTACTTTTAGCGGCCGCCAAGTCTCTCTTAACTTTACCGTTTGATTACAACGACTTGCTATAACAGCTACAATCCATGGCAGTAAGGAGATGAGTCACATTCGACAATCTCCCCTCCCCTTAGCTCGTCGCATGTAATACAATTGGTTATAAATAATTACTGAAAATGAAATATATATATTGTTATTGATAAAAAAATACGTCAATTACCGTTTATGGTAGAATCAACAAGTACTTGTGGAGTAGTTCTCCTCCATGTCCCTCATGCAAATATATCCAAGCCTCTCTTGCTCTCCCTCCATAGCCCCTGGAAACTAAATCCAAATCTCCTTGGTAATGTTCTGTCGCTTCTGACACTCGTATACGGCAGGAACAGTACCGGAGGAAAAGTAGCAGTACATGTTCTTGATGTATTCGGGGGAGCTTCCGTCAGGAACAAAAGGGCTCTCTCGGTACTCGTATCGCAGGTAGTCCTCTCGACCAGTCTTGTTGTTGACAATGTACTGGATGGCATTGTGCCAGAAGGTGGCGTTCAAGGGAGCAGACTTGGGCCACTTGTGGTCGGGATCATAGACGTCTCGTGCGGAGTACTCAAAGATCCAGTCCAACTTGTCGTCGGGCTTTCGAGGAGGGTAGGTGATATGAGGGAAAGTGGTGGAGTTGGAGAGCTCGGGCTTGTCGATATCGTACTCAAAAGTCTTGTTGAGCTGGGCGTAGTAGTTGATAGAGTTGACAATCTCAAAGGTCTTGGTGTCGACCTCGTAGTATCTCCATGATGGGTTGTAGTTGTGAAGAGGAGTGACGGACTGAGAGATCCAGCCCACAGTCAGAGCATTCTCCAGACTGTTGTCGGTTCCGTTTCCTGCGTAGTAGACATTGAACTGGTCTTCATGGGTGTGTCCAAAGAAGAGGGCAACAATGGTCTCGGGGGCAAAACGGTCCACAATCTGTCGAATGACCTCAGTCTGATGAGGCATGGCGTTTCCGGTTCCTCCCCCAGTAGGGACATGAGCCATGATCCACACTCGAATACCCTTCTTCTCAGCGTCAACAAGCTCGTCAACAAGCCACTTCATGAGTCCGGAGGTATCAGGGTCGGTCATGTTCCAGTAATTGTAGTAGTTGGGTTGGTACCACAAGTTGGAGTCAAGAGAAATAACTCGAAGGCCTCTCTTGGTGTTAACAGCATAAGATCCATAAGTATGGATAGCTTCGGCCTGGGTCTCTTCATCTATCCAACCGTAGTCCTTCCACAGATCAGCCGACAATTGGGCGTTCCAGATGAACTCTCCAAGGAAACCAGATCGGTTCTGCGCCTGCTGGGCGTAAGGAAAAGAGTCGTGGTTGCCAAAAGTAGAGTAGATGGGAATGTCCCCAAGGTACTTTTTCATGTTGTAGTAGACATCTTCCTCGGACTCAATGATCTTGGCCAAAGAGAACCAGCTGTCAATGTCGTGAGATACCATATCTCCGGTGAAGATGCCAAACTCGAAAGACAGGTTTTGTCCAATCTTGGCCACATTGGCAAGAGAGTCTTCCAGGAGAATCTGGGGGATGTCACAGTCGTAAGATCCATACTTCTGAGCAGGAAGAACAATATCGGTGTAGTTGGCCTTGTAAGCAGGGCCGTTGTGAAGAGCGTCCACGCAGCACATGTGGTAGCCTCCAGTACAGTTTGCTTCTCCTCCAACCTGGTATCGGAGATCGACATGGAAGTCCGACAGATGGACTACATTGAAGGTCTCGCCGTCAGACTTGGGGAGAGATAGGTTCTTAGGCTTCTCAGGCCACCATCCGGTCAGGTTGTACTTGGGAGTGGGAGGCAAGGGACACGACTTTCGGACTTGGTAGTAGCACAGGTACTCTCCATCAATACCGGTGGGATCGATGAGAGTCAGAACATTGGCGATATGGGCACCCTTTGAGGCGACTCCAAAGTTGAAGCCCTGGTATTCGACGGTACAGAACTCCTCCCAGTGGTACTTTTCACACAGCTTGATGAGAATCTCGGGAATCACTTTGTCGTTCTGCAGAGCAATGGTCTTTCCGAGCTGGAGAGCAGAAAGACACTTGCCGCACTTGTCCAGATGGGTTGAGTTGTAGAGCTCAGCAATGGCGTTGACTCCGTACTCGACGAGCTCATCATGACCCTTGTAGTGGGTGTCTGGGACCTTGATGAGCGAGCCAGCTAGAGCCAAACCAGCAGAAAGCAGCAGCTGAAGTTTCATAATGGGGGGTTTCTGGAAACTCTTGGCAGATCTTGGCGCCCCAGATCTCTCCCAGGCACAAGTATTTATATACACAGCCGGCACGTCTTTGTTCTACTAGCTAGGTTTGATGAGAGCCGTCTGCTGAAGCTGACACCTGGTGGGCACTACTCTCTTTAGCCATATTAAGCGACCAAGAGCGATTAGGTATTAAATTGGTATGTCTTCTATGGTTCGTAAAGAGAAATTTACCTTCAAATTGGCATGTCATCCTTAATCTTCTTGCAGTTGTCTTAGACCACCTATTGATACTGAGGGGCTCTTATAAGGGTCCAGTTGAGTAGGGGGACTTGTGAACTACTTCCTGGAACATAAGCAAAGATCTATGTAGAATATCGTCGTCTGAAATCGGCCAAGAACACGAAACAACGCCTTTCACGTCCCCTGCTTCCGAGACTCTATCTCCGCATTCCACACTTCATTCCGTGTCTGAATATGCAAATCATGCTCATCCCCGAAACTCCGAAACGTTGTGTGGGAGACAGACAGCCCGCAAGAGCCAATGATCTGACATCGTGCCTTTCTATACGGGTTTTACGACGCCGGCTCATGCTAAAGAGATGCCAGCCAGCCAACCTCATCTTGCGCATTTGTCTTCGGGGAGCTTACCCTTATTGCGTGTGTGACATGATGAGCGGCCATTGATAGATGTGTGTATAGCTATTGGTCAGCTGAACTCCCCAGTGGCACCGCTTCTCAATATCGGTTAGTATGACAAGGTGGGCAGGTTGATAACTACGTACAGTATCTCGTCTGTCTCAGTCCGAGCCACGGATAAGCCCTTCGATAGAGTGCATGGGGAGTTCAATGTTCGCATGCAACAGATGCCGAAAACAGCCTCCTATAGGACCCGAGACGAGTAAAAATAAACGGCGATTTAGCATTTTTTAGAATGGAGGTGCGCCTTGAATGATCAGGGAAGCATCTTCGCTGCTTTTACATCTCCCATACCTTCCCTTGGCATCAGCTTAGTGAGTCGTTATCTCGTCTTGGCGCTCGTTATCAGTGCATGTTGTTACGTTTTTCAAGTGGCTGGTTCTGGACACGGGGTGTACGGCGCTGGTAGAGTTTGGTGTCCCCCACGTGCTCACTGGAAGATGGGGGGAGACGATGTTTCAGATGTGCAATGAATTTCGCTTGTAGTGGGTCACCACGTGATCTACAAGAATTACTGGGCCGTGTTGTATATATTATTATTATTATTATTACTGCAATACTGTTTCATGAGATACCTACCAAAGCAGATCCACTTGAGGGGGAACATAGCCGTGGAAGGTGGGCATTGGCGAGTTTGCCTGCCATGTTTTGGAGCTGGGTGGTTGCTGAGAGCCAGGAATGCCGTTTTGGTCGATAGCAGACACCAAAGAAGAAGCCCCGTTACTATAGGTGGCCGCCTGGGCCAGCCCAAGCTGAAAGTTTTCGAGATCGTAAACCACGTAAGCCGATCGCAGAAAGGAGTCTCCTAGAATGATGTTGCTGGTGCCTGTTTCGTCGTCGGCGTTTGGGGCCACGAGAAAGCGGCACATAGGGATGCCATCTGGAGAGATGACGGCCGATCCATCTTGTTTCTTGATGGGGTCTAGCAGGGAGGAAATGGGCACGCGGATCTTTGATCCTTGGAATGAGTACTCAAGATACTCGCCCACGCTTCCTGAAGAACAGCTGGCGACTCTGTAACCCGTTTTGGTGTCTTGTTTGACCTGGAACCGGTCTGCCAGAGTAGCGTAGGCAGACGGGGGGAGAAAAGTCAGTGTGGCTCCAGAGTCCAATAGGGCAGCAGAAGTAACCTCGAGCACGTTAAGAGGCACTCCTCCGACCAGATCAACTGAGTCAAGAGTGATGAAGAACGAGACGGGATCGGGGTGGTTTTCGGGATGGAAATTGATGAGAGGGTGAAGAGTGATGGGGCTCTGGATCTTGGAAGCGTCTACGCCTCCGAATATGATGGTGCCCGAAGTGGCCTCTAACGAGTCTAGGTAGAGGGAATAGGAGGGGGTGTTGATGTATCCCTCTTCAGCCAGTCGATAAGGTAAGTTAGAATAGGTGAACCTGGGCGCTTCAGGATGACCAGGAATGGCATCATTGGAAGCTTGGAGCCCCTTGAGGCCGATTCCGAACACATTGGTTGTGGAAGTGGTCCCTGAGGCGACCCCAAAGGTGTAGTCTGTGAGAGTCAGACCGTTGAAGTTGAGAGTATCTTTACCCCACAGACCGTATGCAGAAGTGGAATCTCCGTAAGAGATGAAGAAGTACTCGTTGATGAGGGAAAAGGTGGAGGAGATCATTCGGTTGAAAACGTTGTTGGTTTGCCCACACGATCCACCTCTACTGGTGAAGAGAGGACTCAGACACTCATTGTTGTTGGGAGAAGGGACCCACAGGTCTGAAGATCCAGTATCGAGCGACAATGCAAACGGTTGTGGAGGAGAGCCAATGCTGACACTCACCTGGTAGTAGTAACCCATGTTTTCCAAAGGAGTGTCATGATGTGGTGATGGTGAGCCAGCAGCATCAGTTTGGGGTTCACTCCACTTGTTGGATATACCCTTGACCACGTCAAAGGACATCTCCAGAGCCTTGGGGGCCGACCTCTTCATCAGAGTTGGCATCCCCAGGGCCATGTCAAGCATACCTACCAGAGGTAGTAGATGGAGGACCTTCATTGTAGATGTGTGTGGAGCCAGTCCTTAGTGTTTTCCCTGACGGAAAAGCCATGTTTATGTAGACCTTGATAGTGGTGTGAACTCCACATTATTATTATTATTATTATTATTATCACGCTCCTCGTATCTGGTGTTCGTAATGTAGGGCTGGCCACAGGCATGTCATAATATTCCTATATGCGTCGTGAATTCATGGGTCTAGTGGCATAATTATTTTCGAGATGGGAGGTCTGCACAAGGAGGTGTGAAAACCCATCTTTGTGCGGGTCCAACCGCCTGTTTCACTTGTGCGTCAAGGTGCAGGTGGGCTGGTATACTCCTCCTTGTTAGGCTGGCGATAAGTGTGGGTTTAGCTTTAGATGGAGATCCCTGTCCGAATTGAGCACGTTTTTGGGACAACTACGAGTCTGGGCGTGCAAGGGTGCGGAGCCGAGTTGATATGGGTGTTTACCCGCTCCATGTGGCGTTTATCGTGCACACCCACATCCGCCGTCGTAGTGGGGTGCAGGAGGAGTGCCCAACACATGTAAAGAACGAAGTTTAGTGGTGTAGACAGACATTCTATACCTAAGGGACTGTTTCCCCCATAGTGGCACGAACCAGGTCTTTAGTGAAATTCTCATCAATCTGACTATATCTGTGCCTGTTTCATAAGTTTCCACCTCGTTTCATAGTTCCCGACAGGGTTCACTGGTGGACACATCCAAGGTTGGCTGGTTTGGGTTTTCCGAGAACAGCTTTTGGCCGTTGGCTGCCACAGAATAATATCACGTTTTGTGGCCCTTGCTAGGGTCCTTTCGACTAATTCATGTCATTCCGATCTAATAAGTGCTGGAATATTACTTTTGTGCAGACAGAGCTGTCTTTAGGCCTATCACATCACTGCAGGTAAGCTACGTCCAACCTACAAGATCCAGTGTGACCAACTTGTAGCGGACGAAGTTAGCGGTGTTCAGATTCAGGGGTAGGAGTGGAAGGCATGTGAAACCTGTTTGGAGGCTCGAGGGTTTTGTGTTTGGCATGGAGCCGTCGGGAATGGTATCAAACTACTCGTCGTTTGTAGCCGAATCATAATGTCTCTGACTCAGCAACTACACCACTCGTCTGTCTATCAAAAATAATACATCTATGCAACACTCATCTACTAAACAGTAGCAGCAACCCCTCCAATGAAACCAAGTAGGGTGAAGATGTTTCGAATGTAGTGGTGGACGATCCACATCTTCAACAGCGCCTTAACGTTCGGGCCCTTGACCTTGTCAGCACTGGCAGCAAACAGCTTTGTCAGAGTGGGCCACATGGCGAATCGTGTGTAGGGCAGCAACGCGAAGACCAGAGCTGCTGAGTAAGCCAGCTGTCGGCTGTTGGTGGGGTTAATGTCCTTCTCCAGGTAAGCAGCAGTAGCAAATGATGCCGAGCTCATGAGTGTCAGGGCAGGAAAGACCACCTGTCCCACATGATAGATGAGCTCGAACAAATTGTATGCGTCGCTAGTAGACATTCGATCCAGCATGGGCTTCACGTACAGGGTGGTGAAGAACTGTCCTCCAGCCAGCAATCCAGACAAAACGATGCCGGAGTGCTTCAGCAATTGGGGGGTGTTAGAGGCAGTCATTGTAGAGGGTGGAGTTGCGCAGTTGAATGAGTTAATGGAGCTCGGGAAGAAACATTTCAAATGGGTACCGATTGAAATTTATATTTCCCCAGCTTTCCCAAATCAAGCTTTCATCCTGTGGCAAAAGTCGGAGACTGTACATGAGAGACGTAACGGCTGCATCATGATTGCGGAGTGAGATGATACTTGCGGTGTTGTAGTGGTGACTAGGCGTCAGACGAATCTTCAGCGGTTTGGGTAGCTCTGTCACTCGATCCAGTGTTTTTCGGCCCTCTGTTTTCTTTTCAGCCGAGTTTCTGTCCCCAATTCGTGGTCCACCTCTGATCCATCGGCTTTAACTTATCGGCTTTAAGAGGCTTGAGTTTATTGTTCACTGCGTAGCAATGTTTGCCTACTGCGGTGGTGTGCGGTGCCACAGGTACGCGAGAATGGTGCAGCAGACATGCGATGGGGGATATTGCACAGGGAATTTTTTGAGCGCTCGAAAACGGGGGTTGGAGTTGTGAGTGAGCTCTTCTTGAGAGTATCTGAGTCAACAAGTTTCGTCGTCGCGTCGTTTCGCGTTGTAAACCATATGTAATAATGTCCCGTTAGTACAACGTCCCGTTAGTTGACTTTGCTGGCTTTCCTTAATCGTGTTTTCGCCCCTCCTCACCGGAACTTGAAAGGTGGCCGCTGGTTTCAGAAATTTGGGACCAATGACGGCAAACACGGAGAATGTTTCAGTTGGTTTTGGAACCCCCCAAATCCTTTTAAGATCCTCATAATGCTCACTGTGTACATGGGTGTGAAGCTTGCCAGGGAAAGAGAGAGCCCATGGAAGGGGTATGTTGCTTAGTCACAACTAGCAAAGTTGTAAATCTGTCAGTGGTGTCGAGGGAAGAGAATGGTGTACTTTCTCACGCACAACAGCTGGTACATTTTTGATATGGTGGTATCTTATGGGAACATCAAGGATAAGTGCCTGTATGATGCTCTCTCTCTCTAAGATGACATCTAGCTACTTGTACTACTCGTCCCAGTACATGCCCATATATAATATTTCGGTACAAGTTGAAAAGCAAAGCCATGGAAGCCGTATATCAATGAAAGATCACCGTTTTATCATAACTGACCAGCGATCGTTTTAATAGCACCTTCGCTTCCGAGAAAAAGTAATGTCGAACAGATCACTTGCTACACACCTGCCTAAAAGGGACTGAGAGAAAGTGACAGGGCATTAGACTAGAAAATAGACCGACAGGGTACATTAGCTTGGGTTGAAAATCACTCCACCTTTGATATAAGGAGGTATGATGGTCTGTCGACGGGTTGTTCTGGGTCACGTGGCCATCAACGGCCCGAGCGCAAGCTGCAATAGTTGCGTCATGTTCGAGGCAACATGTCTCAAACTTTTTCGCTGTCATCTGTAATGTAGAGATCGTCCTGTATCATCGAAAAAACTACTCCCGTTCCTCCCGCAATCGCCACCTTCGAAAAAGGATAGTGCCATGGCAATTATGGGGTGATAAACGTCCGATTTTTGGACCATTTAGAGCCCAATTGTCGTATCTACCGCCATACTCTGCACCCGGGAGACTTCTTAGACCATGTTGTTCCCGGCTAACGAAACACAAATCGAGTCTAGAGCCGTACATCCTGCTAGCTAACTTTTTACTTAGCTTTCTTAAGTAAACTGTATTGAGTACTGTACCGATATCAGGTTTGAACATCAGACCACATCTCATACAGCGCATACCACAACGATACTGATGTGTGCTTGACGTTTGTGAAGCCATGTTCCTTGAGTGTAAAGGGGCGCTTCGATGCCCAGCAACGAAGCTCATGCCACTACGCATGATATCTCCGTCTATTGTAAGGGTCCTTGCTCTATCTCTCACTCTATCAGCTTCCATAAACTTTACTTAGCCTTTTACTTATGCGTCCCTCATGGATAATGCCAATCTCGCGTGACTTTTGTGTTAGAATTTTAGGGTCCAGAGTCACCCAAAAAGACAAAAATAATAGGCCACGGGAATTCGCAAAAAAAAAGCAAAAAGATTCAGACTCAACAAAAGCACTTCTTACGTAAACCTGCCATTTAACCGGAAAAGATGAATCTCCGGGGCCCCACGGGATGACTCAAATCTCAGCGTTACTTTTTGCAGGAGGTCTCAATTTACTTCACGACAGAGACCCTTCATTTCAGGCACCCCTTGGGGGTAAGCTGTATAGCTTTGGCTACGAGGCAGGCGGCTGTTTAATGAACATGAAACAAGGAAGAGATTAGATGAGTGAGGGGTAGACACTCCTGTTACGACATACGGGATATGAAAAGCAGATCTGCTACGCCCTACAAGTATGTCTTTGTCTGCTCGTAGACTCACTCGTACATACGTCCTGGTACACAGGCTGCGTAGATCTGCTAATATGAGGCCCAGAAGCTCCTTCACCAAGGCCTAAAACAGAAAAATGATGTGAAATGATCAATGTGGGCCGTTATCCGGTCTGATTTATCTGGCTTCGCGAAAAAAGAAACACCCGAGAAGCAATCATTCGTGAAGTGGACGAGTTGAGAGCAAGAATCAAAGAACCGGCTCAGAGTCACGCCACTGGGATTTCCCAGGGGTGGCAAGTTCAAATCCGTAAATAATGGACGTCAACTCGTGCTATACGCCCATTCTTTTCTTGTTCAGTTGTCTGAAATGGATGTTTTACAGCTCTAGTACTTGAGCAAGGCTTACGGTAAACCGGAAAAACTGACGCCCGGGCTAACATGAACCAATAGCGAAGGACAGCAGCAGAGGTAGACAAAAGCAATTAACTGACGCCATGTTTTCTGCAATCTCCCTTTCAGGAGCCTTGTTTAGCGAGGTGCTGTATTGAAGCGCCGTGTGAGAACCAATCAACATGGTGATGGCCAGGGGGGGAGCGTGCATCGAGTGTCAGGGAAGAACATAACCATCTGTCTTTGCCAGACCTACTTGTAGTAAACATGTGGCTGTTAACTTTTTTCGCCCAGCACATGGCTGATATTCTCACATTGTTTGACTCACCGTGTGGTATCCCGGGACTAATGGTCACTATTAGCTAATTAAAATATACTGTTTTTGTCTCCAGCCTCCTGACACTTCCTTCCCAAACCCAGTACAGTAGCCACAATGTACTTGGTCTAGTGTCTCTCTTTAGTCTGGCCCGAGAAACGACGCCCGCTTAGCGAGGGAATCGTACGTTGTTTGTTTGGTATGAGGACGTGCTGCTTCATCTCCATGTCACATTTGCCGAGATCTTCGTGCGGAGAAGGAGGCGTGAGACGCACCGCTAGGCGATATGAGGCTTGGTCCATCAGGCCATTTCCTTTTTCACAACTGAGACATCCCAGGCACCCGGTAGATGGTAGACTTGTAGTTTGGTGAACATTTTCGTGGTGGAGTTTGCTACGCGATGTCCAACTTGCTTACTTTTCTCGACTTGGCGAGGTTCCGGTACATACCCGGACTTGTTTGTTTTTGGAAAAGCCACAGGTGGGTAGCATCTATGATAATTGGCTCCCACAGGAGGGTCGCGTAGGCACATGGCAGTCGGGCCACGATTATCTGGGGCATGAACAGACATAAGGTTTGGACAGCTCCAAGCACAACGGGATCAAGGTTTTAGCGATGCGTGTGACGTGCATATTCGATGCTCTCCAGCGAGAAGTGGACTGATGTTTCACAGACATGTAGCACCACACACACATAAGACCATTTATGTTCAGGCTTCCAGAGGGTATATGTACAAGCGATATCCGGGAAAGCTGGAGAAGCAGAAAAACACTACTCTCTCTACAATACGTTCCGCAACGCCCCTCCTCTCCCCTCGGGCTTGCCTGTACAATACCACTGCAAAACCTCTCCTCTCACACCAAAAATGGACTCGGCAGAATTCTACCCAGAGTACAACGCTCTGAACAACCATGACTCTTTTCCAGACTGGGAAGAAGATTTGCCAGTAACGGAATTCAACCAGAAGAATCTGTCTGAATACACACGGTTCCAGAACCGCAAGTTCGAGGCCGAGACGGCGGAGTGGGAGCGTCATCTGCGCGCCTTCCACAATACCCCTACCTCGTCTCCCACCTATCTCTATTTCTGCATGATGATTTCCTTTACCATGCTGGTCGGTCTTCGGTCGTACCTGGGCATTGCTCTGGGGCTGCTGGAGGTGGCCATTGTCTACATTGCCGCTCGTTACCAGTTGTGAGCAGGGTTTCACAAGAAAAGGAAGGGCTACAACACACAAAGCTACGAACAGCTTGTTATTTATTTGCATCACAGTACTAACTATTTAATGAAAAGGATTGGTTGATTTCGAAATTATGGCATTGTAGACAAGGGTGCTTTGGTTTCGTGCGTACCATGGGAATTGCGCTTTGGACATGATTTATCGTCGGTTGCAAGTTCGAGTACTGGGCCCGAGGGGCTCCACTTTTCGAATACTGTTATCCCTGTCTCAACTCTGAGTAATACAGTGTCTGCTGATCCCATAGCCGATGGGCAAATTTCAAGAATCAGATGATTATTTTGGCTTTTTGCCCGTTTGAGTTCACTTTAGGCCAAACTATCTGTCACAAGGCACACTAGAGCAATCTCACATGCGGACGCGCTGTCACAAGGGGGGCTCTTGTCCATGTGCAGGTGGTGTATGTGGGCATGTGTGAGAGCTGCTTGGTTGTTATTATAAATTTTTGATGAGCGTTGGTGGGGCTGGCTCATCTCTGGTATGATACCGTTCTTGAGTTGTGCCCATGATACACGCAGTGCCCCCCTCCCCCCAAAGAAATTTAACTCAAGGTACCTCTACTGTACATAGTCTTTTGTGGTTCAACGGCGGTATGAGGCTCCTCCTTGGAGGTGGGGGCCGGCTTTGCCAGGCAAACTTGTTCATTTTTGTAGTTCGTCAGGGATTCTACAAAAAGTCCCTTGGTTGCTTTTTCGTTTTCCAACGGCCACGTCTGCAATGTATAGGTATAGGGGCGGCAAGACTGGAAACGAAAAAGAAAAAAAAATACAAGCCATGCTGGATAATACGAGGTGCGTTACCTAAGCAGAGCCACCGCGATGATAGGGGGATTGTTGAGTGCCCCGTAATATCCAGTGGAAGCCCTTTTTGAACATTCCTCTACGGTACTTGCAACCGTCTTGAGTTTCCATGTCGCTCCGTTTTTTGTTTTGTAGATGTTAATCCCACCCGTATCAAGGGCTGGCAATACCATGGCTGTCAAAACAGTACACGATACACAAAGAACAGCAGCTAAAGAATACGGGGAAGTGAATATTGGAGTTTCTTTCGGCTACAAACTTCGTTATTTTGACCATACTAGACATTCAATTTCACCATATCCCTTCAACAGATGGAGGCAGTGTCGAGACGAAGCGCCCATAAGAGGCGGCGGCCACAAAACACGTTTCAAGTCTTCGCATCTTATTGAATGGTTTGAAAGTGATTAGAGATGGTGTATTTAATATTGGATCTCAAGTGTTGGAGCCCCGCTCGGTAAAATTGAATCCTCGGAGCACTCGCCCGATAGCAGTATCTTACGATGCATGCTTGTGGGGCGAACTACGAGTAGCTTAGTATGTACAGGTGCAGAAGCACAGTCGTACGAGTACTGTAGGGCCTTGTAGCATCGATTGAAGACTTTGCAGCTTGTTTCTGAAAATAAATGTCCACTTTCAATTTGTTTTTATACAATCTCAGCTACAAGTCCGGTATCGGTTTTCAGGACAAAGGATAAGCTGCGCTCTTGGCGCGTGGGGGTTGAGCAGAGAAGCCAGTCGAGACGGGATATGCCAGATGCGCTGGATACGTTGAATACGCTGAATACGCTGGCACAAACTCGCATGTTTTAGGTGTATGTAGACGTCAAAGATGGGCTATTGTAGCGGCTTCTACCTGTTACAACTCTGTACCGTATGTATAGTTTGAGACTGAGAGCCCTTTTGACCGTTTGACCTCATTCGGTGACTCGATAATAAATAAACAGTAGATAATAAGCATACATTATGAGAATACCACTCTGCAATGGTACAGGTATTTGTACTCGTATTGTTTTGGTTGCTTCGACAGCAGTATACCTCCGGTAGGTGTGTTGGAGCAAGTATGAGTGTGAACTATGCTAGAAGTTGCCGCAAACTTGCTCAGTCTAGGTCCTGTTGACTGTGGGAGTACTAAACACTTGTACAATACAACTGTCTAACCCTCTCTGCTTGTACTTGAAGCACCCGTCGTCTATCTTAGTCCGTATTAATGTTGTCAGCCTGCCTTACTGGGCCAGCTAGTGCCTTCCCTGAGATGTTAGTTTGGTTTATCATAGTGAAAGCGCAGTATGTACCAGAGAAAAGTGGCCTGACAATGATTGATCTCCCATTGGCAATAGGTTCCAAGTTTTCTTACGGAATGTCATATGTCTTTGCTCATGCCTCGTGACCAGGGTTTTTCCAGTATGTAAATACTGTATATATCGCACGTGCGTTATGGCGCCCTTGACTGATATCATTCTGCGGAATATGAGCTCTCACAGAAATGTCCAAATGACCGGAATCCCGTGAAACCTCACTAATATAATATGTAATATGTTTCTCCACGGAAGGCAACCCTCGCCCCGGAGGTGCCATAGTTATACGACACTCTAATAGCACCCTATAACACTGATTGGGTGCTATAATTTCAAAGCGTCTATAATACGGGCAAGTCTCATCATTCACTGGGGAACATTGGTCTAGCCCAGTATCACCCCCACACAAACTGGAACTGCAAGTAGACTGTAGGGACTCCGGTAGTCGTCACTATGGGTGTTCATGGGAGAGCTCGAATTCTACCGTGTATATCGATAAACGTTGTTAGGATCCTCGGACTGGTGATGTACTTACTGTACTGTGTGCACTACAAGTAGTATCACCAACCTACACATGAGATGAGAGAGGGGCAAAAGTGCATTACCTTCATCACTCCAACAGCACCGAACCTCAGTATGACTTCTTGCGTACGCCGCAGTCGTTCAACTGAGCCATTGGTCTTGTCTGTTAACAGCTTTGTGCGTTACTGGAAACCAGTTGAAAGGTCAGACTGGGCCAGATACTCTTATTATGGGCCGGAGTACTGTCGACTGATTGCAACTCCTTTCATCTACTCCACCTGGCCGGATCATATCAAGCCACTATCACGTGGGTGTTTTGGTACACATCCATACAACGAATTACCTGCAACTGTCTCACACATTTTCTACTGAATGCCTCTCAGTACATGTACATGCTGCACCGATGCATAGAGGTATCTGTAACGAAGATGCTGGGTCTTTTGATCTCTTGTTCACGACATTGACATATATGAGTCCCTGACGCTTGGGAGTAATGTAATTGAGACTTGCATTGTATTTGTACTCACTTGATATACCAATACACGCATTCACTGAGTATTATCTGTCACAAACAATAGCTACAGTAGCGTCAGCATCAGACACTGTATGCTTACAATATCTAGTACATACTTCAGTAATCGCGCAGCCCGTCATTCGACACAATTGCGTCAGGATACCGTTGTGTGAAGTATTCATGCTTAAATGCCTCGAAGTCTGAAATTTACATTCGAGTATACGGTTCTACACTAAATCAATCTACACTAAACCAAAGTGAATCAGAATCTAGATGGTTATGCTTTTATATATATACTTAAACAAGAGCTGTTGTTGGGTCTCCTTAGATGAGAGCGGCGGCGAAGGCAGCTCCAACGGCCAGAGCGGCGGCAGCACCGTTGTAAGAAGCTCCGTTGGCCTGCTCAATGGGGGTGGAGGCAGAGGGGGTAGCCTGGGGAGCAACAGTGGCAGCGGGGGTGGTGGCAGCGGGCTGAGTCTCAGCGGGCTTGGACTCAGCGGGCTTGGACTCGGCGGGCTTGGACTCGGCGGGCTTGGACTCGGCGGGCTTGGACTCGGCGGGCTTGGACTCGGCGGGCTTGGACTCAACAGCAGCGGAAGAGGGAGTGGGCTTGGCCTCGGCGGTGGACTGGTGGCACTTGTCATCCTCACAAGAGGTGATGGTGACGACGGCGGTGGAGTTGACGACGACGGCGCCAGTCTTGGTGACAACGTCGGAGGCGGAGCCAGAGGCCTCAGCGGACTCGGCGGCGGAAGAGGAAGCCTCGGCGGAGGTGGCCTCAGCGGAAGAAGCAGCTCCAGTAGCGGAGGACTTCTCCTCGGCGGAAGAGGAGGCCTCAGCAGAGGAGGAAGCCTCAGCAGAAGAGGAGGCAGCGGCAGAAGAGGAAGCGGCGGAAGAGGAAGCCTTGGTGGAGGAGGAGGCAGCAGAAGAAGAAGACTGCTTGGAGCCTCCGACAGAGGCACCCTGCTCCTTACAAGAGGACTCGAAGGCCTGCTTGGCCTTGTCGGCGTCGCCGTTGGGGCACTTCTTCTCGAGGCAGTCGTTGACGGACTCGCCGAGCTTGGAGCAGATGCAGCCGACCTTGTTGAGAGCATCACACTCGGAGTTCTTGGTCACCTCGGACACACAGGCCAGGAGACAGGCGGGGGGAGCAGCAAAGGCCACAGAGGCGGCAGCAGCGAGGGCGACGACGGAGAACTTCATTTTGTGTTGGTGGGGGTATTTGTGTTTGAAGAAATATAAATAACGAGTGTGGGTATTAGTGCGGTGTTGTTGTGATGATCGAAGATGGAGAAAAAGGAGAGAGGAGACAGACCCAAACGTCAGAGGCTATATTGGGGAGTGTCTTCCAAAACACAGCAAAAGTCTAATTTGGGAAATGCCTCGAGCGGGATGCTTCTATTTATAAACCGGTTATCAGAAGGACGAAACACGGGCTGGAGACAAGATATCGGAAATATGAAAAGACAGATTCGGTCACAACGTCACCCTTAATAACCCCACATCTTCAACTCGTTTAATCGACCCACCAATGTCGGTTTTATGGATGTTTGTTGGTGTGTCCATCCATGTCTCGTCTTGAAACCTAGAAATCTTAGCTGCCCCATTTTTAGAAGAACGCCTCTCTCTCCCCAAAGGAACACCCACAGTGAAGGGGTAAACGACACGCCAACACGTCGGAGGCCCAAACTTGCCAGACTAACACGAGACCGCGTGAGTCGCTAGTGGCTGGTGTGGCGGTGCCAACGGAGCGACGCATAGATTATAGTGCGATCGCTTTGCTTCTGAACTAGTTTGCGGCTGTAATACTAGCCTCATTCTCCAACCTCCTAACTCATAATCACAGCCTTCCGCACCCATGGGACTTTTCAACCACCTTCACAACTGCTGTCGGGCAGTCATAACATTGCTGTCGAAATATGCAAAACACTCCCAAAGAAGGAGCAGCCCTAAACCTGAAATGTGTCCATGCAGGATAACAGAAAACAGGACATGAACCTTGTGTGGAATGTAGACGGTGAAGAGACGAGGAGGTTGGTGGGTGAAGTGGGTTGTCACGTGCCTGTCACGTGAATTAGAAGTGCGGTTGTTCTTGTACGAGTGCGAGTACATGCTTGTAACTTGTGATATCACGCGTGTTAGATGTGCAGTAGCTACACGATTGTACCGTATTTATTGTACAACGATGACAGAAGTCCCTTTCCTGGACTCAGTTACTGCTGACTAATTTTCATAATCTGATGAAAGAAGAGTTAAATACATCGTTGACCACGTCCCTGTGGCAGAGTAGCGTGTCTGTCTTTTCTTTGCTGACTTCAGTGATAGCTACTGTTCTTGTAGCTGTACTCATACTTGTCCTTATATAACATCAATATCCAATACTGGGTCACCCCACGTCAAAGTGGACCAGGCCTGCATGAGCCGCTTCGCTTAAATGTGTAGAGATTTCGGTGATTTCGTGATAAAAAAAAAGACAAAAAAAAACAACCAGGGTAAATCCGTGCAGTCTTCAGTCAAATATAAATAAGTGTAACAGCTGGCACCTCTGGACTCCCTCACCACATGAGCTCCTTGTCTCTTCATATCACCCCACAATTAACTTTAATCTCGGATAAGGACCTCCGGTTCGGATCAACTTCCCAGATGGTGACTGAAAAACTTGTCGCTGCTCTCTGACACACTACACCATGATCACCATTCTAGGAGCTGGCGTCATTGGTCTCTCCACGGCCCTGGTTCTGGCTGAGAACGGCCACAAGGTGAAAATTGTGGCTGCAGATCTTCCTGATGTCGCCGGAAGCGATGGAGCCCCAGCCTCCTACGCTTCAGCATGGGCTGGGGCCCATTTCCGACCGTTCCCAGCGAAAAATGAAGGCGAAAAACGCCTGGCTACATACACGTTTGCCACTCAAAAGTTCATGAACAAGCTGGCAGCAACACGTCCTGAGTCTTCTGTCCAGATCATTGAAGGTGTGGATTGGTTGGATGAACCTGACCAATTTTACCAAAAGTACAAGGGGCAAGGCATTCCCGAGTTCCACGTTTACGAACGAAACAAGACAGCTCAGCACGACGACGTGGATCCCTTCGCTACAGTCCCTGAGTGTGTCAATTGGATAGCCACTTACAAGGCCTGGAGTGTCAATGCTCCCATGTACATCCAATGGCTGTATCGAGAGCTTTTGTTTGTGTACGGAGTTGAATTTGAGCGACGACGAGTGTCATCTCTCAAGGAGTTGTTTGTTCCTGGCGTTTCTGTCGTCGTCAACTGTTCTGGAAACGGTCTGCAATACGACGGCTCTCACGACCCGCACTGTTTCCCAATTCGGGGCCAGACTCTGCTTGTTCGTGCACCCAGCGCCCACAAATACAACAATTCCACCATTACTCACCAGGGCAAAGACGGAAACTGGACTTTTATCATCCCTCGTGGTCTGAATGGGGGCTGGATTCTTGGAGGCACCAAGCAGGTCAAGGAGAGTGATCCCAAGCCCCGTGAAGCCGACACCCAGGCTGTCATTGCGCGGGGGAAACTCATATTTCCTGAGCTTCTGTCCAGTAATGGCGAGTTTGATGTGAAGCGAGAGAACGTCGGTCTTCGTCCTGCTCGAGAGGGAGGTTCTAGAGTCGAGACTGAGAGAGTGAGTGAAGGAGCAGTTGTCCATGGCTATGGATGTGGTGGCAGCGGCTATGAAATGTCGTATGGCATGGCTCTAGATATCGCTCGACTGGTCGAAGGTGTGCTGAGAAGGGACAGCAAGTTGTAAGAGAAGGAGAGCAAGTGTGAGTCCCGTGTGAGAGGTGAGAAGTGATTATGGCCTATGCGAGCATCTTGAGCAAGAACGAATACCACAGGAGTATCACTTTGGCGCCCCTGAATGGATGAAGTCCACACTCTGGCCAGTTTCTGCCTTCAAGCCAATACTGCTATTGGTATTTCTTCAAAGTCTCCATCGTGAAAGCAAATACACCAGGGATACGATTCACACATGTCGTGTGACCCCCCATAATACAGTCATAAGTAATAACGGATCCCCAAAGACTTACTCGCTGGAATACACCCAATCAAGAAGCCAAGATTGGTTTCATGGCGTTTATGACCCCACTTTTTCTAAGACCCCAGTTCATTTAAACCAAGACAGTGACTCGGAGAAGACTCAATCTGGCCCTTCGGAGTATCGTATCGTATATGTGTCTCAAAGACGTGATCGACGGCGTCTATTGTGCAACTAGCCCACCGTTTTGTGTCTAAATATCGTGCACGTGTTTCGTTTGAGGATCTATAATGCACTTCTTGCTCACCTTCGTTCCTTGTCTGGAAGATGTGACCCTCAACATTGGTTGAGACGGTGTTTTGTAGGTTGTGGCTTGACTCCTTGTGGTTGAAGGGTCGCTGTAGTGGTTATGAAGGCTTTCATGAACTCGATTGTGGTTGGGTATAGAGCTTTGCAGGCAGCTAGCTGTGTCTTGTGACCAGATTCCCCTTGTCGTGCTATCTTTACTGGAATACGGTGAGTTGTTTCACGGCTATACTATCGCCTGCGCCTGGTCTTAGCCACTCCATTATGGCGTTACTGGGCCACGAATCAGCCACATATCACGACATTGTGTGTATTCTCCTTTGAGTTAACCGCTGAACCAAGAGTCTATGATAACAACTTACTGTGGGTACAAAGAGAAGACTTTTTCTGTTCTGATTTGAACTTTTGAGCAAAGTTGCCTTTGAAGGCTGCATCGAGATGTGGTTGTAGTGGTGCAACCTCAAAAGGTGGTTATCTTTAGTACAAGTACGAGTATGCCTAATCGGCTACTTCTTGGCACCTTCTTTTATGACTTCCAGATGTAGGTACGGTGTACGGATGTATTAGACGAGGTGTAAGTTATGCAGCAATGCGAGGCATGAAAAGAAAAAGAAAATGCGATGAGGTAAGATTCTCCGCCCGGCACATTGTTCATAAGAATCTCGATGGATCGGCTCTAACATTAGTACATACGGGTACGGTTTATATTGGACGGTAGAGTTTGGAAAACTTGATGTATACCGTAGTATCGCTCATTCGGGCAAGAGTACGAGTACCTACTGTACTGGTAGTGATTGATCGGCCTACTGGTAGCTGGCTGCTTCTGACAAGACTGCAGTTTTTGGGCTTACACGTACCGGCACCCTTATGTATGGTGCTGCTTTTTTAGTGCAGAGAAGTGATCAACCCGAGGTGCTGGATACCTGGAAGGGCAGAATCTGGTTCTGTCAATGCTATTCTGGACTACAAGTAGTAATTCCATTTATACTGTACCAGCCCCACACGGTCGTGTGAACTCGCTGTCAGCTTCCTCACTCAACTTAAGAATACGAGTGACTACTGTATGTACTGTACGAGTAGCAATATTATGGCTAACAGACAGTCTAACCATTGTCTATCTACTCGCTTTATGTGTATATACCTCAAGTAGTACGCCAAGATTCTAGGGAGCGGAAATGAACCGTGGTTGACAAGCGACGGGTGCCAAGGCTTTGGTGGCGCCAACCAGAGAATATTACCCGTTATCACGCCATACACCTGAAACTGCACTGATCGAGCATCGCCATTCGCTGTCTGTAATGTACCGCACCTCCCCTGGATCCATGCTAATGCGTGGTTCTAGCGCATTCCACCAATGATATACGACGCATAAAACAGATGCGAGTAGAGCTTCAGCGAAAACCACCGACCATCCATTTCCAGTTGACTGGGTTCACTTCTCTCGGCTAGCGATGAGAGTTTAGAATACGCGCGCTAACGAAAAAATCTTCATGTCGGAGTGGGTGCCTGTCAAGTTCCACTGCACCTAAAAAAAAAAACCACACGAACACTTTTTGCCCATGTTGACCGTCCAACATGTATGTTTGGCTAGGCTGAAACACCCCCACCATGTATCATTATGTATCGTGTGGTCCTGCGTATGTACGTAAGGTCCACCTTGTACTGGTGCTTGTAGCCCGGCCCGGACCCGTCTCGGCTCGGTAGTACTGAACAGAACCCTATGGTGGGCCGTTTACCCTACCGCTTCATGTGTAAGCATCAATTTTTTTTCTTCTCCATCTCGCCTTTGCGTTTTTCGCCACTGGCTGAGACACTTGAGAGACGTCTGCGTGCGACCACCACAGCTCTTGCCTGTGTCCCGCCTCGATCTGGATATCCCGCTCAAACTCCATTCACAAAAGTGCTATGGTCTGAAACCCAGATCTGACACAGTTCGCTAATCTGGTGCTTAAAGTGGAAGTCTAAGACAGTCGACAACGAAGTGTCTGGCCCGAAATTGGTTGTTATCAGCTGTAGCAAGATAGCGGCGGTGATAAGGTGTAGTAGATAGGCGGTAGAGATAAGTGTATGGGCGATAGGAGATATGGCGGGACGTGGGCACGCGTGTCAATGGACGAACTCGTACCCCTGAGGTAAGCGAATACTACCTTGAGTGTGCCCGTTCCATGCAACCAGAAGGTGTGCATTGGCACCACCGATTGTTGCTTGCGCTTGAGACAATTACCTTGTGTTCAGACAAGCCACAAAACGTTCGGCAAGCCACAGAAAAGTCATAACTCGAATGTGGCGTTGAGTGAGGGGAGACACCAAGATAGTCCATGTCGGAAGCCGTCCGTGTGGCATTTTGGTGCGGGCAATCTCCCTCCCACAATCTCACATTTTTCCACATCAGCATATTATCTGACCCCGCCGCATCGCATACACCCCTTGTAGCCTTATCAGTCATCGTTCCTGCACACTATGACGTCAATGTTTGGGGGGGAGAGGGGAACCGGTGCACAATGAGCAACAATACAGGCCTCCGAGCGCAGATAGTGAGCCGCTTCAGTGGTGGCTAAGTAGAGCGCTTGAGTGTGTAGTACTTGCCTACAACAAAATCGCACCCAAAAGCCGACATACGCCACACCAGCCAAACGCCGACCGTGTCTCCAAGTAGAGGGTTTTTGGTGGCACAAATCGCAAAAGCAAGCGTGTCCATGAAGAGTCTGGCTGCCTCAACAAAATCAAAAAAAAAATCAAAAAAAAAAAAAAATCAAACAAGAGAAAGAAGGACTAAACCACTTTGCGATTTCTCGCCATCTTTCTTTGCGAGCTGGCCGTCTTGGTACATAGAGTTGCCGTGAGTTGGGCTGTCATTTTGCTCTTTTCGCATCTGTCTTTTTTTCTTGTCTCTCTTGAATCACAGCCGTAGGCTTCTGGATTTAAGCAATTTCCAAAAGTGGGAGAGAAGAACGGCGTAGAAACACGCACACCAACAATGGCATGTTGCCGTTCGCAAAAAAACCACGACCGCTGGTAAGCCCCTTTGATCAGCCGCAAAACCCGTTGCCTCCAGCCCACATAAACCAGCTTTTCGGTGACGTCACTGAAATGAACTCGTTAGAGTTCAATCTCAGTCTCAAAGTTACCAACAGACAAAGTGTATACAAAGAATAAGACTGCGCATTTGCACAAGTCACGTGCAGGAGTCTGTGGGAATTTTGGGGCCAAAAAATACCGTCTCGAGAACTATGGGGCACTCTTTGGTTTCCCCCGAATTTTACGCATTTTTGCATGTTTCTGCAAATTTTTCACGCCTCCCCCATTCACCCCTCACTTGTTCTTGGTGGCATATCTAAGTTTATGTGGCTTATCAACTCATGCATCTGGTGCAAAGGCTATCAATATTTGAATTTAGCTTGTTTTCAGATGAATTGAAGGGTTTATAACCATGAGAGAGGACTCTTTTCCATAAGAGAGAGAGCTCGCAACAAATCTCTTCTCTTCTCCGACTCACACACTACCTCCCATGAGTTATACTCCCTCCGAAAATTCGGTGACCAAGCCCGAACATGACGATCTCCATAACGACGTCAAGGGCTACACCCACGATCAAGAACATGCAACCACAGATTTCAGCGATGGACCGGCCGCGGAAATAGCCGATGACGGAGTGAAGCGAGGTCTTAAGACCCGTCATCTCAGTATGATGGCCCTGGCCGGTATCATTGGCCCCGGTCTGCTCATTGGATCTGGTGGTGCTCTGACCTCTGGAGGTCCTGCTTCCCTGATTATCGGTTTCGGCTGTATCGGAATCATTGCCTTCTCTATCATGCAGTCTCTTGGTGAAATGACTACCCTGTACCCTACTGGTGGAGCATTCACCAAGCTGGGAGATCGATTTGTGGACGAGGCTGCCGGAGCTGCAGTCGGCTGGAACTACTTCATCATCTGGGCCTGTGTCCTTTCCAACGAGTACAATGCTCTGACTTCCATTCTGTACTTCTGGTCGGAAAAAGTCCCAATTTGGGGCTACTTCCTGCTTTTCTGGTTCTTCTTCCTTGGCTTTCAGCTGCTGGGTGTAGAAATCTTTGGTGAGGCCGAGTTCTGGCTGGGTCTCATCAAGATTGTCGGCCTGGTTGCCTTCTTCATCTTTGCCATCGTTTACGCTGCGGGAGGAGTCGGACGACTCGATAACGGGGACGGAACAACGCGCGCTCTGGGATTCCACTACTGGCACGACCCTGGAGCATTCCCTAACGGCTTTCGAGGTGTTGCTCAGGTCTTCGTCTTCTGCTCCACCTTCTACGCTGGAGTTGAGTCTGTCGCCGTGGCTGCTACCGAGACCCGAAACCCTTCCGTTGCTGTGCCCCGAGCCATTCGACAGGTTTTCTGGCGTATTATCTTTGTTTACCTGGGCTCCGCCTTCTTCTTCGGACTGGTCTGCTCCTCCAAGGCTACCCAGCTTGTTTCTGCTGACGCCAAGGCTCTTCAGTCTCCTATGACCGTGGCTATTCAGACTGCAGGATGGCACGGAGGCGTTCATCTGATCAACGCCTTCATTCTGGTTACCTGTCTGTCTGCCGTCAACTCCTCCATCTACATTGGCTCTCGAACCGTGCTGTTCATGGCCAAGGACAAGAAGGCCCCCAAGTTCCTCGCCTACACCAACAAGCGAGGTGTGCCCGTTTTCGCCATCATCTTCACCAACGCCTTTGCCGCTCTGTCGCTGATGAACATCTCCACCGGTGCTGGTAAGGCTTACGGCTACATTGTCAACCTGTCCGGTGTCTCCACCTTCCTGGTTTGGGGCTCCATTTCCTTCATCCATCTGCGATTCCGAGCCGGATGGGCTGCTCAGGGCTACTCTCCTGAAGACCTGCCCTACCGAGCCATGTTCTTCCCTTACAATGCTTGGTTCGGTCTTGTTGCCAACGTTTTCCTGGCTCTGGTGCAGGGATGGACCACTCTTTCGCCCTTCGATGCAGGCAACTTTGTCGACGCGTACATTCTGCTGCCTCTGTTCTTCGTCATCTTCTTCCTCTACAAGATTATCTACAAGACCCGATGGGTTCGAGCTAACGAGATGGACGTCATCTCTGGCCGACGAAAGGATCTGGATACCAAGGTCGATGAGGAGCAGATGATCGACGGAGTCATGACTCCCAAGAAGAAGACCGTCTGGAAAAAGGTCTGTGAAAATTTCTAAATTCAGGCCCGTGGCCTCCCCCCATAGTTTTATTTATTTGCATTTTCAGACTCAAAACAAAAAGTAGACTAGACCTATTGACCTATTGCTACAAGTACGGTAGCTACTTGTAGTAGGTACAGTATAGAGATAAACGTCAAGATACAGTAAACCAACGCCAAACACTTGTAGCAACAGACTCAGGGACCAAAAGTGAATCGTTATAGTATGCATAAAGAGATCCTAGCTCGTACTCGTACCTTGTATCTCACTTCCTTCCGCTGCAAGCCACAGTTTCAAAAAGTGTGGCTTGCTGAGGTCTATCCAAGATAAACAGAGAAGAAGCACCACTGACACATGTCGTCGGTGCAGGCTGGAAGACTCTTTGCGACCGTTGGCACTTTAAACCCCACATTTCTGAGTCCCCGTGCTTTTTTCTTTTCTGTAGCACTTCTCGGCGGATGTGCGATACACTCTCCGGGTGTGGCTGAAGACCCAAAGATAAGACTTGACACTAGGACTGAACAGAAGACTGATACGAACTAGAGGTTTTGTTATCTATGACCCATTCATAGAGTAGTAATCAAGGGTTGTACACAAGCCTTCTGTTCGATATCCCATTGTGTTTGAATCCTTGTCTCTAGTCTACAACAAGTATGTGGCCTTGTGCTTTGCGTATCTATGACACGGCTTTTGCTCCCAGCGGCTTGCTAGGTTGGTAGAGCCGTGCCACTAGAGCTTGCGTGTGATTCAGCGGACATCTGGGTTCGTTTCGTTTGGTGCATTTACAGCAATCCAGCGAAGTACTCTCCCATCCTTGTCTGAACGTGACCATATTGAGTTTCATCGTGGAGGTATATACCATAGAGAAGATACAAGTTGTACCATGAAGGAGACTGTTTGCGTTGTTAATATTGATACCTGTACGTGTAAGAACGAATGAAGCAGACGTTGCTACCCGAATATCTTTCAATATTCGTAGAGCCCAAGTACAAGTATACCCAAGTACAAGTACGCAGTACACTCTGATGTGTGTCCTGTCACCAGAACCTCACCCTTCGTAAACCATACACGTGACCAGGACTACGAAAGGCCGCTTTTTGCTCTCTCTCTCTCTCTCTCTCTCTCTGGAGATCAAGTCAAGAAAGAAAAAAAAGGCCAGATGTATTCCCTCTCTTTCATCACATCGCACCTCAGTATGCTTCCTAAAAGAATCGCACATAGCAATGCTCTCAAACAGGTCATCGACACTCAAAAATGCTCATGCGACAAAAATAAATATATCTGGCAAATCGTCGAACCCAGACAGCCAATTTGACATTGTCAGAATTCTATTTTAACACCTATCTCATCTTCTTTCTTCAACAGGTGACCTCCCCGCATGCACTTCCCAAACGAGCTTATCCGCCGATATCGTATGACGGAACATCCAAAAGAAGGCATCCGAGAGCTTAACCGAGTACTTGCACTTGTACCCCGCAAAATTCGATATCCCCATACGATACAGATTTTCGTCATCAGGGGATACAGAAATGCCGATACCGGAAGGAAAATTATATCTTTAGGGTCCCCAAGTTCCAAGGAGTACAAATATGTAAAAAAATCTGCAAAAGCTCCTCTGAAATGTCCATTGATGACACCTCTCTACTACCCCACAAAGTCGATCTCATGTACGCTAAACTCAAGGCTCTCTCGAGACATCCGCTTCTTCTGAGGTAAAAGCGCTCGATGTATATAGAACAAATGAGTTGAGTGCAAGTAGTGCTTCTTTCATCTTCACGGTCGTCACATCTCACACATCACACGCAAAATGAAACACTTCGCCAAAACGAATCTCGTCAATCTCTACCTCGAATCTCTCCTGGCTAGCAACCCGCAACTGGGTCTAGTGGAAGATCAGAGAATCATTTATTACAAGAAGAAAAAGTCGGACAAGGTCCGAGTTATTTCGGGCGGCGGATCGGGCCATGAGCCCAGCTGGAGCGGTCTTGTGGGCTCGGGACTACTAGATGCTGCTGTCTGTGGAGACATTTTTGCATCTCCTTCGGCCAGACAGGTTATGGCCGGTATCAGAGCCTCGGAACCCGACAGTGGCGTTATTCTGGCAATCACAAACTACACGGGCGACAAGCTGCACTTTGGACTGGCCCAAGAGAAGTTCCAGGCCGAGTCTGGAGGCATGCAGGTGGCAGTCATCCCTGTGACTGATGATGTCGCTCTCGGACGAACCCGGTCCTCAAAGGTCGGAAGACGGGGACTGGCGGGAAACCTGCTTGTTCTCAAGTCCATGGGAGCCTGTGCTGAGGCTGGAGGTTCCTTTGATCACGTCTCCAATGTAGGACGGGCAGTGAACGACGGACTGGTCACGGTGGGATGTTCTCTGGACCACTGCAGTGTTCCTGGTCGAACAGACGTGGACTTTCATATCCCTCATGACAAGGCTGTACTTGGAATGGGTATTCACAACGAACGAGGACTTGTTGAGGTCGACATTCCCGAACGGCCTGAAGATCTCATCAAACAGATGTTGACTCTTTTGCTAGACCCCAACGACAAGGAGCGAGCCTTTGTGTCCTTCAAGGAGAAGGACGAGGTTATTCTGCTGGTCAACAACTTTGGTGGGCTGTCTAATCTCGAGAATGGAGCCCTAACTCAAGTGGCCCTGTCTGTTCTGGAGCAGGATTATAACATTGTTCCCTGTCGAGTCCTGTCTGGAGCCTTTGAGACGTCGCTAGACGGCCCAGGCTTTTCAATCACTCTTTACAACCCTTCATACTCTGCAACTCTCGTTGAAAAATTATCTAGCAAACAGCTTCTAGAGCTCATCGATGCTCCAACTGATGCTCCTGCTTGGCCAAGGGTCGGTGTCAACGAGCCCAAGAAACAGAAGGTGCTCTCCAAGCAGGAGGAGCTAGCGGCCAAGGACTGCGAAGAGTCGCCTTATGACGAGCTTGTTTCGCGTATTTGCAAACATGTCATTTCAATCGAGCCTTCTCTCACCACCTGGGATACTGTAATGGGTGATGGAGACTGCGGTATGGCAGCCAAAGACGCGGCACTTCACATTCAAAAGGAGTGGAATTCCCGCAAGCAGTCTTCTTTAAAGGGAACTCTTAATCTCCTCTCGTCCTGCCTGGATGACATGGGTGGCTCTCTGGGAGCCATTCTGGGCATCTTTGTTAGTGCTCTCATCTACAACCTGCAAAAGGAAGGAGTTGAACAGGCTCCAAAGGCGGTTGGATTGGCTTCAAAATCTCTCCAGACACACACACAGGCTCGCAAGGGTGACCGAACGGTCATGGACTCTCTGATTCCCTTCTGTGAAGTCTACGCCTCGTCTGGAAGTCTTCAACATGCAGCCAAAGCCGCTCAGGAGGGAGCAGAAAGCACAAAGACCCTCAAAGCTCAGTATGGACGAGCCAGTTATGTTTCAAAGACCGCAGATGTTCCCGATCCCGGAGCCTGGCTGTTTGCCGCAGTTGTTGACCAGCTTTCCAAGTAGACGCGACACCAGCAAACCAAGCAATTTTGATATATTTGATGAATACGAAGTTATTAACTAAACGTCTAAGTAGTCCCAGGTAAACCAAGTAATCCCAACTGTATACACATCCTCCCACCTGCATCAAAGATCACGAAGTCTAATCGAAATTATTTTGAAATTTTCATCAAGCACACCACACCACAAGAAGACATGTCAGAAGTGAGTATGAGCGAGTCAAGAGCGCCAATTTGGATCCCACAATAACTAACCGAGCTCAAGAGAAAGACTCCTGAGGAGCACAAGGCCAAGAAGAAGGCCAAACAGCAGGAGTTTGAGTCCACCCTCACACCCAACCAAGAGAGCGAGCTCCAGACCACGACTCCCAAGGAGGCTCAGCTTTCTGTGACTCTGGTTGTGCCCTCCACTTGCATTTCAGAGACTGTTGTCAAGTCTTACCAACAAGCTGTCCACACTGCTTACCAGATTGCTCGAGCTGCGGTGGCCTACAACGTGGACGAGATTGTCATCTACGAACCCTCAGAGCGGCCCGACATCAAGCAGGAGAAGACCAAAAAGTCCGAGACTAGCTCGTTTGGAAAGCCCAAGATTGTCTTCAACTCTGACGCATCTAACGACCACAAGCCCGAGCTGTCCGAGCGAGCTGTGACACTGGCTTCTCTGCTGCAGTTTTTCGTCACCCCCGATTACCTGCGAAAGTCCATTTTCACCCCGGAAACCACTACAACCAACTTTGAGTACGCCAAGAAGCTGCCCAAGCTGCTGCTACCGTTCATGGAGTCGCGAGACGCCCGATACAAGGAGGGCATGTCGATCCCAATGATCCTCAACAAGAACGTCAAGAGCAAGATCTCCAAACAAAAGAGAAACGTCAAGAAGGCTGAGGCCAAGGGTATCGAGCTGCAGCCACCAACCGTTGATGGTGCCACTCCTTACATCAACATTGGCGCTGCAGAGCCCCACGAGCTCGAATATGGCCAGACCGTTCCTGTGGGCGTCAGAGTGACTGTGGATACCAAGGAGAACAAGGTTGTGTCAGCCACAGAGGCTTACGGACAAGATACCGGGTACTCTGTTCGTGTGGCCACCGACTTCTCTCACATCTTCACCATGCCCTCTACTCCCGAGGGATACGACTACACCGTGTGGTGTCCTGGTGGAGAGTTCCGACAGAGCGAGCTTGCACCGGAAACACAGCCCAAGCCCATTCTGGCCCTGCCCCGAACTGTCAAGCGGCCTCTGTTTGTGTTTGGACAGTGGGATCACGTCGAGGACGCCGTCAAGCACGACACTGCGCTTGGAGTGTCTGGAGCCAAGGAGCTGTTCGATAGTAAAGTGGATTTCAAGAGACCTGTTCGAGTGGAAGACGGAGTTTTTGTTGCTCTTGATCGGCTGGCATAGGAGGATGCGAGTATGGCTACTTGCACGATAGTACAAGTTTCTACGCGCGTACATGTGGTATGGGTGCATATAATGTATATTAATAACATAGATCGGTTAACAGTGAGTTACATGAAGGATGCAAGTTGATGGAGTAGAAATGGTAGGGACCCTAAGGGTTATACGACTTCTCGAGGATTAGAACACAGTGCCATCGCTCTGAATCTCAATAGGAGGCCCGCCGTTGGATCGCTTTTCCTTGGCAATTTCACGACCAGCCTTCCAAGTGCCAGCCTCCAAAAGTTGGGGCAACACAAGAGGCGTTTCCAGCATAGCATTGACCATGGGAAGAAGGGCATCCAGGAAGCCAACGGTAAGAGCTCTCCACTCGACAATCACGTCAGAGGAGGGCTCAAACTTGGGAAGGTCATTGGCACCACTAAGCGATTGTTTCAGTGCCTCAGGCTTGAGAGTCAGAACCCCGAAATCGACCAGAAGACCTCCGTTTCGGTACTCGGGTAGACCAGTAAGTTGCTCTTCTCCCACAAACTTGAGGCCTCCATACTCCTTCATGGGGACCAGAATGGAGTACGTCAGCCACTGGGTGAGTTTGTGGAAAGGCGTGACAGATCCAGCTTCGTCTCCTGAAGGGTTGGGGAGAGAGGAACATACCCAAGCGTCTCCCAGAGCCTTACCGTTTATCTTGAGTCGTCCCGCAGGCCAAATGGGACCCAGGCCCTTCATCAGCGCCTCCCAGAGAGTTGCTATCTCGATGGGCTCTTCTGTGCTCTTGAGGTAAGTGATGAGATGACCTGGGCGAGCAGAGGGTCCAAAGAGCTCAGGAGAAGCGATGAGAGCCTTTCCTAGCCGGACGAGCAGATTGTACCGTCCCTCAAGGCCGTCCATCGGGTTCGTCTTGCTTACTTGGAAGCCATCACTGAGCTGGCTGAGGGTGAGCCTTTCTAGGCCGGGACCCGTCACAATATCGGGATCACCAAAGATTCCCGCGGCGAACATGTCGAGGGAGGCAATTGCGATTCCCTCGGATCGCCCTGTCTGCTCTCCGGAGCCTTCTGTGTACTTCCAGGTGGGCCCTGCTCCGGCATCCAGAAGCACAGACACCACAAACAGATCGACCAGTCTAGCTGCAACCTCGTCCTTGGAGACTCCTTTTTTCTCCCAGGACTCAATGAGGGGCTCCAGGCGTTTGTGACCCACGTCAAAGTGTTGCCATCGTCCGTGAGGGGGGATTCTGGAGGCGTCCGACTGGTAGTCTCGTTCAATGAGTTTATGGACGTACTCTGCCACGGCAGGTAGCTTTTCAAAGTCCGCGGTGAAGTTGGTGAGCTTGTCGACCTTGGCCTGGTTGAACACGGCTGTCGACCTATCTCTCACCGAGGGTAGTGTAAGTAGGTAGTCCATGATGGGGCGAACGAGTCAAGATGTGTGTGAGGAAGGTGTATGAGTTGGGGAACGTTGGGAAGTCAAGTAACAACGCACTGTAACGCACACGATAGTCACGATAATGCTTTCCTTTGAAGTGGCAATATTATCCGCCAATCAAGTTGTTGTGATGGTCAGAATGCAGGATGGCTCGCAATGAGAGATAAGGCACTGGATGCATTGCGTGCATAACTCTTATGCCGTCGGGCTCTCCGGAGGGGAAGAGGAGGTCATGTGGCTTCCAGGAGATGTACAAAGATGCAATTGACTTGCTGGAAGTTTTTTGTGACAATTGGGATCGATAAAGATGTGAAAGAAGCCTCTCTTACCCACAAAAGTCGCCACTAGGTCCCGGATCATCTCTCCTCAAGACAACAGGGTTCTGTCGTCTAACCACGTTGTCGCTTTTTGGGCTTATCGGTGGAACTTTATCTTGGTCCATTGATCCCCTTGGGGCTGGGGGCTGGGGGTAGAGTGCTTACAGTGGATGCGTGTTTGCTTCGTTTATATGGCGATTAAAAAGCGCATGGAGCTCCACAAGACCACTTGAATGGTCACACGCAGCAATCCAAGTTGAATGGTTCCTCAGACACGTGTTTCACCCTCGTACGGACGGATATTGCCACAATACATGAACTGCATTAAGTTCACCGGAGAAGTGATAAGCACTCGGTACATAAAGCAATGTGCCCGCCTGCCTAAAAGACCCACGTTATCTTACTCACGTTTACACCGTAAACCCTCCCCCCAGTTCTTTTCACAATGGTATACACCTCAGAACAAGCAGTATTGCAGACCAAACTGGCGCAGCTTCGCGACCGGAAACTCAACTCGCGGGAAACCCGACAGCTGGTGGCGGAAATCTCAGGCTCGTTTGCGGCCGAAGTCCTGGCCAAGGTCTTCCAGCGAAAAGACCCCGAAGAGAAGGACAGATCCAACACGGTCACCTCGGACCTGGGGCATGCAGTGGTGGTTCCCCAACTCAAACCCACCGATAGTGAGTATGTGATTGCTCCCGTTCTCAGATCCGGACAGGCCATGCTGGATCCCTTTCTGGCCCAGCTGCCCGCCCAAGACGACCCTGCAGTCTACCATCTGGGACTGTACCGAGAGGAGTCGACGCTGAGTCCCGTGGAGTACTACAACAAGCTGCCTCCTCCCTTGCCCACGGCCACCACCAAGATCAGCCACGCGTTTGTGCTGGATCCAGTGATTGCTACTGGAGGCACTGCCAAGGCCGTGGTGGAAATTCTCAAGGAGTGGGGCGTGGAACATATTGTCATCGTGTCGCTGATTGCATCCAAACAGGGCATTGAGAAGCTTTCGAAGCTCGAGGGCGTGGAGGTATACGTGGTCAAGGGAGATGAGGGCCTCACCGATCAGGGCTTCCTGGTTCCTGGAATCGGAGACATTGGAGATCGTCTTTTCGCCACAAAGAAGGTCAAATATTAGACGAATCGTCTTATATCAATCTCTCCCTACTGTACAGTAGCGAGTCGAATGTCTTCTGGATGTCTTCTAATTCCTGTTCAGACACAGACCAACTGACAAAGCTGTGACAAGCCTCCCACAGTGGTCACAGTGGTACGCACTGTGATTGATGGCCTGCACACATTGCACGCATCTAATGTAATGTAGTTTTATGTTCAATTTATACACTGATATTCAAAGTACATACTGATATGTGCGATACATGTACGAGTACATGGATTGTGTGGAATCTGTGTGATAGGTGCGTATTCAACACACGATACTGATACATATTACCTCATACTCATACTCCCACAACCCTCCTTACGTTTACAGTATACTCGCGGTTGCGAGGAGGGACCAAATGGTAGATAGACGATGGATACGTTATATAGTCACGTGATGCGTATTGTTTGCCGCTTGTGTTTACACTGAAACACAATGGGAAACACATCCGTTGCTCCATGTGGTCACACCACCTATAACCGTCCGTGTGGGGATATCCGGGTCACTGACGTAGGCTAATGCCTCATCACCGAGTCTCATATACGCTAACGGCGTGTCTTACCACTTCGGGATGTGGATAAAAAAGAGTACAGTAAAATTGAGTATTATCACAGCGAAGAGTGACACTTTTTTGCTTGAATCGATTCACAAAAGCAAACGATTTGTACTGGAGCGTTTCCATCTTTTCATCCAGCCTCCATTAGTCACAGTCGGTTCGTATATCCGTTTCGTTTCCATGGTGGGGGGTGCTAAATGGAACCTTATACGCTCCAGATGCTAATGTGAGGAAGTGTTTATCTGGCGATGATGATGTGGTGGCTGGAAGATATCGTGAATATCAAATGATCTGACTAGGAGCAATTATATTATATGTTAAAACTCCAAATATTCCGCCTACAATACCGTCCACACCCCCTCTCAAATTTACCCGCAGTAGATCAGAGTTTGGGAGATAAGAGTCAGGATAATTTTGTGGTAAGAATATGTAGGGTAGAAATATAGCGTATATACCGTGCGCTTTACCGTCTCCAACCCCACCTCTCTTCTTCCCACCGCATACACACACATCCACACAACCATGACCAAGACTCAGACCGTTGGTGTGCTTGCTCTTCAGGGAGCTTTCGCCGAGCACTGTCGACATCTCGAAAAGGCCGCTGCCAAGCTCCACAAGGATGTTGAGGTTATCGAGGTCCGAACCCCCACCGAGCTGGAGAAGTGCGAGGGTCTGGTGATTCCCGGAGGCGAGTCCACCGCCATTTCTCTGGTGGCCCAGCGATCCGCCGGTATGCTGGATGCTCTGCGAAAGTTTGTCACTGTGGACAAGAAACCCACCTGGGGCACCTGTGCTGGTCTGATTCTCATCTCCTCCGGTATCTACGACCACAAGACCGAGAAGCAGACTCTGGCCGGCACCCCCGAGATTGACGCACACGGAAACAAGGTCGCTGACCAGACCGTTTCTGCTCTCTTTGGAGGCCTGGACGTGGTGGTGTCTCGAAACTACTTTGGCCGACAGCTGGGCTCCTTCATCGCCCCTCTCAAGCTTAGCAACTTTGGAGTCTCCTCTACAATCACCGACAAGGAGGCTGTTTTCGACGCCGTTTTCATTCGAGCTCCTGTAGTTTTCAAGACTCTCAACGACGACGTCAAGGTTCTGGCTGAGGTTGAGGATCCCTCTGATCCCACCAAGAAGCTCATTGTGGCTGTCGAGCAGGGCCACATGATGGGCACCTCTTTCCACCCCGAGCTCAGTGACGACACTCGAATTCACGAGATCTGGCTCAGCAAGTTTTTGTAAGAAGCTGAAGAAAAGAGCAAGATGGACTACGATAGGGAGCATGATAGATAGGAAATGACTTGTATAGTATGGGATGGGATTATCAGCTGTATGCGGTAAGTAGTGTGAGCTGTAGAGCAGAGTGATATGGTATACCCCAAAAGTTGCACTTCACGTCTTATCAGATGCTTGCATGGTCTGCTGCCCTATCAAGGGTGTTCATTCGGATAGAGCCATATAGTTCTTACGAGAGCGTAGATGAATGGCGCCTGGAGAGTATCTATTTAATAAGCAGATTACAGATACGTACGGCTGCGTCCATCATCGTACTGTACTGACCCTAACCAGCCCTTTACGCCAGCTACACAGTTACCTCCAGCTCATCCAATACTTTGTACATGGATCTTGCGTGATATGAATATGTACTAGTAGCCACCGGTATCGTACTTCAGGTACACCGATATTGAACCAGCAGCGAGCTCAAGATCCAGAAGCATATTTCTAGATCAAATATATCGAAGCAAATTGTTCGACACACAACATTCTACCTCCGTTCCAAGTCACGTCGTTAGAACACACATCATTAATTCAGCCGTAATATCCTTCCAACAACTACAAACTACAAACACCCTTGAGATCCCAACTACAGTCTACAATTATACCTGCTACTGAATAAATACATGTTATTGTAGATAAGTTACCACCTGACATCAATAATACATGTGCAATTTTTTATACCAAGTTTTGGGGTCAACAAGCTTAAGCGGCAATGGTGACCTCAACATCCACACCAGGCTCGATGTTGATAGAGGTGATCTTCTTGACAACCTCAGCAGGGGAGTGGAGATCGATGAGTCGCTTGTGGATTCGCATCTCAAAGTGATCCCAGGTCTTGGAACCCTCACCGTTAGGGGTCTTTCGGGTGGTGATGTTAAGAACCTTGGTGGGGAGTCGGACGGGGCCCTTGACGCCAACGTTGGAGTTCTTAGCTCGAGAGATGATGTCAGCGGAGACTGTGTTAGTATTTCATCGTTTGGAGAGAGGTTCCCGGTCCTGGAACTGTCGTCATTTCCAGTTACGTAATTGGGTATCTTAAGTGCTGCCATTCTCATATCTCGTCGCGCCCATTTTCACTCACCGTTCTCAAGAGACTTCATCTTGGTGGAAGTCAGAGTGATTCTGATCTTTCGGAGCTGCTGGGGAGCTTCAGCGTCGGCCTTATCCTTGTTGAATGACATTTTGGCGTGTATCGTCGTGGGATGAGAGTCTCGTAGTCAAACACTTCAAAATCAAAATTCACACTGAGTGGGAGGTTTGAAATCTGCAAGGTTCAGATGTGACTGTTTTTTCCCCCAAAGTGGGATAAGTCATGTGACCACTCAACTTTATTCGACTCTAGGAACCGGAGGACACTACAGTACAGTTGGGAGTAGTCTACGGGCGCGCACGTGATCACCGTCGTACTATGGCCAGCTACAAGTGTCCATTCCGCAAATATCATCGTGAGTATTTTACAATTGAGGTTACAATTAAGGCCGGGTTGGTAGGGACAATACACAGTATTACTGAATCTGAATACAAGTACGAGTACATACTGGTACAGTATATACTTGTAGCTTGATTTGGAATGGCAGTGCTTACTGTAGGAGTATCGGTGGTAGAAAAGACATACTTGGTGTCTTAGACACTGATACTGTCCTCATATACCCCTAAAGGTTCTCCGACCAACAGCCGGTATCAAGAACTCATCTCTCAGACTATATAGACTACACCACACGGCACATAGAGTTGTCAGCAAGGTACAGTATGTACCGTTGTAGGATGTTCTGTGCAGCGAGTCATAGGAGCCAGAGACGAGGGTGAAGTGGAGAGAAGTACAGGTACGAGTACGATACATGTAGGAGTACGATACAATACATATTTCTTCAAGACAGGTGAACGTGTCACATGCCAGCCAGCTACCACATTCCCAATATTTGACAGGTCTTATCGCCTTTGTAACCTGGTGGAATGTCAGATAGCGCACATTCTTTCTAAGGCACTAAGTGGGGTTCTGCGCAAGTATGGCATTCTTAGGTGCACCATTGGAGTGAGACCCTGCCAATGGGACCAATGTACGTACAGTACGATACGAAGTGATGCTGCAATGGTATGATAGTGATACGACTATACGACCAAGAGTGTCTGCCACAAGTCGAATTGCCATTGACAAGTAGTCTTGGTGCTCTTCTATCTACAAGTAGCCAGCACCTTCTTCGGTCATTTTCGTCTGGTTGGTGCCGTCGCGTTTTCTCGCGTTTTAGGTCTCATCGTGCTGCCTGGCCCTCAAAAGACCCTCCACTAAAGAGGGCGGCTTCGTAGCTATTTAGGTGGGTATTACGTGATGGAAAACAAATAAGACATTCTGATGACCTAATTGTCCGAATTAATCACTCTATTGGCCCAGATATGTATATAAATACACCCCTCAGCCTCCTCTTTCCTCCTACATTGCGCATGGCTGGGGATGCAGGTCAGCCGGGTAACTCGCGTGGGACGCGTAACTAATTAACAAGGTGTAGTAATTTAAATGCATAGGACTCCCCAATAGAGCGAGTGGCAGAGCTACAAGACGACTGAAGCACACAAACACCGGTACAAAGATGAGCTTGGAGGATCGATATGGAAGGTACGAGAGCGGGGACGAAAGCGACATTATCGACATTCATTCAGACGACGACGAAGCTGAAGAAGAGGAGGAGGAAGACGACGATTTCCAAGCGGGACCTCAAGACACACCTTCTCGACCTCCGCGAAGTAACAAAACACCCATGCACACGGTCACAAAACGCATTGTGGCTCTTACTCCCGGCAAGCGACACTACCAGTACATTTCGCCGTCGTGTTCAGACAACATTGACCCCATTCGATGTGCATCCATGTCGCCTGACCCGTTTGCTGAGGAAAACAACAAGAGCTCCGAGGTGATTGCGCGGGCGCCCCTGAGCGGTCTCAATATCACAAACGAATCTCCCCAGTCTCCATCACGGGGAGGGAAAGAAGTGGTTGAAGGCACAGAGGAGGCAGACCAGACTGTTGGAGAAGAGACATATATCGATGAAGACCACTCAGGAGATGTCACTCTAGTCCAGGAGGGCCAAGAAGACAAACAAAACGATAGTCTACGAAAAATATACTCGGAAGAGCACCGACTGTTGCATTCCGAGCCGTGTCTCACTCGAAAGCGGTCTCCTTCGGCAATTAGAATCCTCACAGCACACACACATCCCCAAAACTCGCCTTCCGAACGAGTTGTCTATTCATGGTCAGATACCTCGCCCGACGACTCTCGATTTCAATACAAGGATTCATCGCCCTACTCGGTAGACCTCAAAAACTCCACTCCGCCTACCCAGGCAGAGTACCCCGAAGACTCGGACAAGGAGAACGTGTCCTGCGCAGCTCCCGGAGGAAGTGTTCGTCTAGTGGCAGGGATGGGAAGCGAAATCTGTGAGGCAGACAGCCCGACTCAACCACGAACTAAAAGGCGCAAGAACGAAGGACTCAAGTTTGGAGACAGACAACAGCTGTCGGAGGAGGAGCGTCTGAGACAGACACTGGAGCGGGTCAAGCATAACGCGGCGGAGGAGCTGGCAGAGGTCCACGCAGAGAACGAGGCGCGAATATCGCAGCTGGAAACCGACAAGCAGGGTCTCTATCTGGTTATCGAGGCTCTCCGAAATGAAGTCGCTTCCCAGAAGGAAGTCATTGCTAACCTGAGAGCACAGGCTGAGTTCTGAACACACCTCCAACCCAAACTGACTTCAAAACGCGCGCCATATGTAAATTATATTTATTCTTAGCTATCACCCATGTATGGGTCTGTAGATACTGTTGATACGAACATGCTGTACAAGTGCACTCATAATAACTATTAGTTGCACTGTTAGATGAACGACATGGTATGGCATCTAATTATGCTCCACAGCTACGATACTTGTACCTGTTTGTGACACTTGAGATACGATATCCACACTAGATTTTTTGACACCAGTTCCATCTCGGGAAACAATCAACTATCACTGTATACACAAGATTTGTACCAACTTCAGTTGACTACAGTATGTACATACAAGTGCAGTAGCTACTATGTTGGCTACACCAAAACACATCTCTGTTATTATATCAGGACAAGGTGTGCATCTGGCCATCTACAGTATGTACATACTCGTACCCACAATGTCCATACACACTATGCCATACGAAACACTATTTATAGTACAAGTACGGTTCCACATAAAATAATTAAGTCAGTTAACTTCTATCACTAATATACATCATGACACATTAAAATAAATAACCTGTCTGCTACTCCACTTACTCCTCTTCACTACTGGAACCACTGTCATCGTCAGACGAATCATCAAAGTGGCCGTTGGTGGGAGGAGGGGTAGCAGAACCGCCCTCAGCCTCATCAAACTGTCGCAGCTTCTTCTGAATCTGCTCAATCTGCTGTGCCTGCTCACTCTCAGACATGGGCTTGGACTTTTTCCGCTGACCAGGATAGACAGAAGAAGAAGGTCGGGAGGAAGACGTACTCTTGCCTCCTGAAGATGATTTCTTCTTGCTGTCGTCCTTGACAACATAGTTGTACAGCTTCATCAGCGTGTGGGGGTCGAGCTGGTCCATGTCCAGCTCAATCTCATCCTGACCCTCACTCTTAAGCTGGGGCATCGACTCGTGAATGAGATTGATGACATGCTGAAGCTGCTTCTCCTTGAGCTGGGGAATTCGCTCACTGAGTTCCTTCTTCATCTCGTAGGAGACAACCACTCCGCCGGAATCGGACGACCGCGAACCCTTTCGCTTAGAACTGGACTTCGATCGCTTGGACGAGCCTCGCCGTCGAGACCGCTTCATCTCTCGAGCAGCGTCCTTCTTCATCTTGGTGAGTTCCTGCTTCATTCTCTCAATCTGCTCTTCCAAAAATGCAATGGCAGGGTTAGTGATAGAAGAGGCGAGGTCCTCATCCGAAGAGTACTCGTCGTAGTCAGAGGAGTCGTCCATCGTTGGGGGAGGAGAAGGAGGGGGGATGGGCTTCTCAGCCCACTTTTTGTCGAAGATGGCTTCGAGTCTCTTGCCCATCTTGTTGACGGGAGTGCCATCAGGGTTGAACCGGTAACAGTTCTTGAAAATGAGGCGCACGTCGCTCTCAAACTCGTCCGCAGTCTCGTAGGCGTTGTTGTTCATCTTTTCCTGCACAGTGGACAGGTCCATGGGCTCCTTGATGATCTTGAAGTACGAGGGGCAGTTGAGAGCCACGGGGTCCACTGGGAGAAGGAAGGGGAACGAGTACTCCTCATGTTTTTTGCTGGTTAGTTCCTTAAGCACCTGGTTGCAGAATCGGAGCTCAATAGCGTGCTTCTTCTTGCGGGGCTTAATATTGGTGTAAGGGAGGTCTTTTGGCTTCGGGGGATGAATTTCCCGCTTCGGTCGCCCGTCGATAGCAGACTCCCGTCGAATAGTGGGGACGCCACTGGGTTGTAGTGCGTAGGTCTCTTCACTGCCAGCAGTCATAGATCCTCGAGGAGTCCGGGTGCTGGAACCGCCACCCAAAGACTTCTTCTTCTTTTGGGGCTCTGTTGGGGCGTCGGCACTGGGGAAGTTGAACATGTGACGTTCAAACGATGTGAAGAGTGACTTGGCCATGCTGGAAATGAAAGAATCGGCGCCATTGAAAGTCAGGCAGTTGTCGACAATCCGCTGAACGTCGGCAATCATATCTTCTTTCGTGCCGTACTCGCCGTTGTTGAGCTTCTTCTCCATGGTGCCAAGATCCATGGGATGCTTGATTACCTCAAAGTATGTTGGGATGTTGAGCTTGACGGGGTCCACGGGGTGGATGAACGGTGCGGCATCCTTGAGCCGCTTCACGGCCTTGAGAGATGATGCCGCATACTTGACTTGGTGCTTTGGCATTTCCACCACAGGTTTGTCGGACTCGACAATGGAGGAGGAAGGAGTGGGCAGAGAGGCTGCCTCAGAGTGAGCGGATTCGTCCTGCTGCCCCTTGGTATCTTCCGTCTTGACCTCAGGCTTGGTCTCTTCGGTAGGCTTGTCATCAGAATCCTTAACCTCCGACTCGTCTGACTTGGGCGCCTCGTCGGGCTTGGACTCGGTGGCGTCCTTGGAGTCAGTGGGTTTTGGCTCCTCTGTGTCCATGGCGTCGGTGTCCTCCACACGAGGACGCTTGATGTCGTCCTTCTCCACGTCGTCGCCGGGTCGCTTCACGTCCACATCTGAAGCGTTGACTGTGGGGGTCGTCTCCATAGTAGTCATATGTACAGTAGATATATTAATTAAAATATATCTATCTCTGGTTAGTAACAGTTCAATAGAGGGTGGGGCCGCAAGTGCATTTAAGTAGAAACATCACCATCATATCCGGTGGCGTATCATCTGGTCATATGACAACGACTGCACCTTAGTAATAGTGACGATGTGTATGGGTGGCGACATGAACCGTAAACTTGATGCAAGTGACGAGTAGAACGAAGGGTGCGAGCTAGGCGCTGCAACAGAGAACACAGCTGTGGGGTTGCAGTGACGTGGATACGACACATCTACAACGACGACACCGTCATAGATAGATTGCTTTCATCACATTCATCACATCCATCACCTTCATCACCACTACCACCTCCATCATCATCACCATCATAAACATCAACAGCAACGCCTTCATGCACCAGCAATAACAACACCATCGTCAGGTCCTGCATCAGCGACATCACCATCACACATAACACACGACATCACCATCAAGCGCATGTCGTGTGCATACCAACGCAATAGGATTTCTTTGTCTGTACTCACTCTTTGTTCTTTGTACCCACCAAACTGACCAATGAGAGTCAGTGTTTTCGTGTTACGGTAGGGTAAAGCGCGAAATGTATGAACAAATTCAGTCCGATGAAAGGAATTTTGAAATTTTGGGAGCCCGAGGGCTTAAGTACTTTGCCACGGTTAGCATTCTTCCCAGCACAAACGCAAGTTAAGGTTTGGGCTAGGGCACACTACTGCTTTTGTCTAAATATACAAGCAAGGCTATAGGGACACGGTGGCAAGAGTGACGAGAGAAGGGGAGCTACGGCTAGACTGCTGGGCGCACACCTTGAGTCTACAAGGCTAGTATGTCCCTGTGCGAAGAGGGACTCTCAGAGATATCACCTTGTTCAACGCAACAACAAGCGACGGCGGGGGAAGATGGCGGTCGAAAGTGGAACGACTAGTCACAGTGAGACGTAGAAGTGTAGAGAAAAATTTGTCGCATTAGCAGCAGTCGATGGTTAAGGAATGTGAAGACAGGTGCCCACAACATGCTGCAGTGTAAGAGAGAAAACAGGAGTAAAATTGTCCCGAAATGGCACCCCAAAGCTTAAAATGACTCTTGCAAAGCAAGTTGGGGCAAAATTTTGGGTGGCGAAAAAAAGGGAGCGAAAGGCAACCATAGTGGGTCGGGGAGGAGGTGAGGGGGTCACAAAATTGTAGGGGTCCCAAAATGGGCCTGTGGGAAATGCCGCAAATGGGGAAAAAACCACCGCACAACCAACAGACTGGTCGCACGCCCACGCCAGACCCGTCTGTGTCGCCCGGCATTGCCCTCTGGTGACACGCCTGTGAGCTGCTGGGTAAATTTTCGGTTTTAGTTAGGGTCAAGTCAGCCGGAGGGGGCGTGGCGCCGTGTTTGTCCCCTAGACAGATGGACAGTCAAACTCCTCAAAAGCAGAGTCGCGGCAACTGTTGCGGTGAGTCCGAGCTGGCTGTGAGCTCACGAGAGTGTCGGCATCGCGGGTTCACAGGTTGTGGCGGGAAACTGGTGTTGCTGAAAATGCCGCATTATTGCCAACATTGGAGTATGCGCGAGGCAAACCTTTCGGACTGGGTGTGAAGAGAAGGCTACACTAGTCTTTGTTTGGGACCAAGGGAGTTACCCGGCCTCCGGCTGACGGGTGCAGGAGACGCCAAAGTTTATTAGTGCGTTGTGAGTCTGCGCAGACCAGGATGTGTGCTTGAGAGAGAAAATGAGTGGATGAGAGGAGAGATACAGGGTGCGTGTGCGTGTTTGTGCGTGTTTGTGCGTGTTTGTGTGTGTTTGTGTGTGTTTGTGTGTGTTTGTGTGTGTTTGTGTGTGTTTGTGTGTGTTTGTGTGTGTTTGTGTGTGTTTGTGTGTGTTTGTGCGTGTGAACGTTCGTGCGTGCGTGTGTGTGTGTGTTCACGTGATTTGTGTTAGAGTGAAAGCCACCTTAGCAAGGAAGACACGTTCTGGGGATCTGTTGTTCGGCGCGGTGAGTGCAGAGGATCTTGATGGAAGCATCGTGGTGACAGTGTCAGTGAGAAGAAACAGATAGCATGTGGAAGTTCGTACGTACTGGTACAAGTATTTCACTTGTACTGGATCTCTTTCGTACTGGATCTCGTTCGTACTGTATCTCGTTCGTACTGTGTCTCGTTCGTGTCTCGTTCGTACAGTATCTCGGTTAGTTGTTGGCTGCTCCGAAACACCAAAAGTAGATTCCAGTATTTATTTTATCTTTATTTTATTTATTTTCATTCCGCTGAAATAATAAGACGAGCTCGAGTCAGCATATGGAGGGGGCTGGATAGGGCTGGATATCGATATTATCTCAGCTGCTCCTTCACACAAGCGTGTCTCACACAGCCCGCTTTTCTGGTTCTCGGCACGGCTTGTTAGTCGAACTCTGCCCCTGAACAATGTGCTTTGCGTGCAGCAAAGGTGATGAGGCGTGATGGATGCAAGCGGTGCCGCGAGTTAGACCAGTGGAGGGAGGAGATTACTGAACGTACAGCACAATGAAGCCCCCGACCGGCATATGTCCACGCATCAGGAGATGTGCTGATGGGTCGGTACAAGTAGACGGCGTGCTTTTAAACAACAGTTGTGGAATGTCCAATCGAGCTTCGGTGGATAGCTGAGTCTTGTGGGACCCCTCACTTGAAGAAGAAGCCGTATAGTTATTGGCTAATGCACAGTGTGCCCGACAGCAACACCAGATTACTTTTTCTCATCACATCCATTTGACTTGCTACAGCTCAACTGCTAAGACCATGTGCAGGACATGCACCGAAGGGGACCCTTTAAGGGGAGCCCGAACCCTGGGTTGCCCGGTTGGGAATGGACTGTGATCCAAGTGGACGCCAAAACGACAGGTCCTGATAGCGTGGACGGCTGTGTGGAGCTAGCTCCGGCCTCTAAGCGAGCATAGAAATGGCTGTTATCTGTGGCTCTTGCGCCAACCACAGTCCCATAGTCTTATCGAGCTCGAAACCCTGAAGCCCCGACCCCGAAACCCACACAGTTTCACATTTACACCTAAATTCGGACACCCCTTCTCCCTCCCCCCATATTACACTCACACTCTCTTCCTTCGCCCCACACGATATGGAATAATGGACGAAGCGTTTCATTTGCAGCCCCACACCCACGTCTCGTCCAAAAAGGTGGTCGACGTGGGTGGCATCCGCACCATGGTCTACGGCCTCGAAGAGCTGCCCAAACGGTGCAAGGCCGTCGGAGTGCTTTACCTGGCCCATCCCAGGCTGCAGAACTACATGTACACCGAATATCTGGCCCACGAACTGCTCTCTCGGTGTCGCGAGGCAGCTGTGGACCGGTCGCCCGAGGCCGACCAACGAGACCTGCCTGCCACCAACACCGGGATCGAGGCTCTCAAGGCATCCCGACCGCATGTGACAAGAACCGATTCACACACCTCGCGACGGCACTCGTACACGCCCTGGACAAACTACATTGCCGTGACGTTCGATCTGCGAAACCACGGCTCGCGAACTCTCACGGCCCAACGGTCTCTTGATTGGGAGGCAGGAAACGACACCCATGCCGTGGATATGATGTCCATCATCGACGGCTCCACAGACAACCTGCTGCTGGTCATGCAGTATCTGCCAGCAGTGCTGGACGCACAGCTCCGCAACGTGGCACCCAAATGGTACAACATTGTGTCTGGAGTGTCACTGGGAGGCCACATTGCCTGGCGATCTGTGGCCCGCAACAAGGACCAGGACATTTTTGCCATTGCACCAATAATCGGATCGCCCAGCATGCGCACGCTATTCGAGGACCGGCTGGACCAGCACCGGCAAAAGACAGGCTCCCTCAAAAACACCAACCCTCAGTGCCAATACCTGATTCCCGAGCCATTAAAGGACATCATTGCCCGTGACGACGCACGGGTATTTGACATGTCTACAGACACACATGTCTTCATTGCCACCGGTGAGGACGATGCGTTGGTCAAGGACTCATACTCGCATGAGTGGATCGAGCATTTCAAAAAGAATGGCGGTAGCCCCGAGTACGTGTGCCAGGAGGGCGTGGGCCACGTTTGCACAAACTACATGGTGACGCGCTTAGCAGAGTGGATTGTGCGGATTACCAGCGGGTGAGTGACAGTTGGTGCGTGTTGAACAACGCGTAGTGGGAGAGGTGATTCTGGCTATTCGCATTTTTTTCTTTTTCGTCCCCGCAATCGACCAATAACTAATACTAGCAAACCTGGTAGCAAGGTCTAGGTCCGCATAATCGAATATTCAGGGTGCACATCGAGGGGAAGACACAAAAACAACGACGACATTACGATTGAGGCGAACATTGGAAAAATGGTGGGCTCTCTAATCCACAGAACGAGTAATATATCATTGCATGTGCTATACCTTTTAGGTGACCTGGTGTACCGTAGTATGTGTATGACTGTGTACTATATTGATACTACAGTAGGCATGAGTTGTATTTTATCGGGTGAAATCTTTAACTATAGTTCAGGTTGTACTTCGTTCTTTAGTCGGCCTTTGTATGTAAATACTTAGAACTGTACGTACTATAACAACAGGACGGTACCCGTATGAAGGGGTACAAGATAAAAGAGTAAGATATGGATGCCGAAAGTTCTAGTCGCTCGAAATAAATCTCCTAATCCATTTTTTTACTCGCGCTGCTTTGATGGTTATAAATCACTATATTTATTTATCCCAGCACCACTGCTCCTCCCGCTCTGCTCACGTGACTCCAGGGTAAAATGTGCACCTGGTGAAAATTCAAAAATCTGCAGCACCATAACCAGAGACGAAACACAACATGATCCGGCGACTAATTCCAGGACTGACCTCCGGGCTACGACGGGGCTTTGCCTCCGAGGCCTCCGGAGCTGCCAAGCAGGCCACCGTCGACACACTGCCCGGCGCAGCAAAGTTGCCCGAGTTCGTTCTCACCTCGGTGCGACAGTTTCCCTCTCTTGAGCCCACACGTCTACAGCCTGTCACCTCGCAAATGCTGGGTGCTCAGGTCCACAAGGATCTGCTGTGGAGAGCCGTGGTCTACGAGGCTGATCGACAGCGAGTAGGAGCCTCCAATCCCCCTGGTCGAGAGCAGATGGGCTACTCTACCCGAAAGCTTCACAAGCAGAAGGGAATGGGTAAGGCCCGAGTCGGTGATGCTGGTTCACCCACACGAACACAGGGAGGTTTCGCGCTCGACAGAAATGCCCCCAACAAGATGGCCACCGGACTGCCCAAGCAGGTGTACGCCTCGGCCATCCGAGCTGCCCTTACCTCACAGTACCAGGAGGGTCGACTTTTTGTAGTTGACGGCCCCTGTGAGCTGCCAGAGTCCGTCAAGGACAACACAACCTTTGGACAACAGTGGCTGCAGGGCGAGCTTGGCTTTGGTAAGAAGGAGATGACCGTTTTCCTGGTTGACACCGAGCGACCCATTCTGGACTCTGTGCTCGGAAAGGACAACCTCAAGGCCGACATTGTGCCCAAGGAGTTCATTGAGGTGCGAGACATTCTCAAGGCCCGAAACGTGGTTGTTGAGTACGACGTGCTCAAGTGGCTGGCCGCCAAGTATCCCACCCGGGATCTCTTCGGCTCCTTCAAGCCCTGGACTAATTAGTGTATATAGTATAAGCATTTTGCTGTTTGATGGCGGCGTGGTAGTCGAGGTGGTGGTTGTTGTGTGGGATACGGTACGAGTACATACTGTACCGGTACAGATGTGTAAGTACGTGCTCGACGATTGTTTTGTACGCTAGTGATATGCTGCTGGCTGGTTGCTGGTTGTCTTGCAAGAAATGAATTAATTCGATATATAAATAACTAGTGTCTGTATCGGAAATAGGGAGACCTGTCGCCCATTTCAGACAGCTCGGCACTGGTAAGATGCTCACATTCGCCCGACTCAATCTTGGCCTGCTTCCTCTTGTTGACAACGTGGTAGCCAAAGTTGAGCACAATGAGAGACACGATTCCAATGCAAACAAACATGATCTCCATACCGTGACCCAGCTTGAACTCGGGCTTGTCTTCGGCTCGGTAAATGTTGGACGCAATGGCCCCAGAGAGGTTTCCAATGCCAATCTGGATGGCCATAGCTACAGCTCGTTTGTATGTACCTGCGACGTTGTTGGACATCCACGAGACAATAGCGGGCAGAGCTGGGTACAGTCCTAGTGCGATGAAGTAGCAGCCCACGTAGACTGCAGTTGGTTTTTTGTGAGACAGGTTGAAGGCCAACAAGTAGCCAAACAGCATGAATAGCAGGTTGACGAGAATGAAGGGAGATCTCTTACCATATCTGTCCGAGAACCAAGCTTGAGTCACCGAAGCTATAGCAGCAATCACGTAGATAGGGATAGTCATGAGCTGAGCTGTGGAGGAGGTGTATCCCAGGTTGTTGACAATGGTGGGAAGGAAGAGGGAGATGCCGTAGAGAGGAACCACAACTCCGAAGTAGAGAAGCAGGTGGACGTAGACCTGGATATCGGTGAAGGCGGCCCAGACGTACTTCCAGTCACGAGAGTCGTTCTGCGCTACCAGTTCACCCCCGGCACTATTGTCGTTGCCATCATACTTGAGTCTCCACACGACAAACTCCCGCTCTTCTTCGGTGAGGAATCGAGCTGTTTCAGGGAAGTCATGGACGAAGAAGAAGGCGATGAAGGCTACCACAACCGTAGCAATTCCCTCGAGAATAAAGATCCATTGCCATCCGTGAAGTCCAGCCACGCCCTTCATTTTTCCAATACCGAAAGCCAGCAGACCAGAAAAGGCACCGGCAATGGAGGCTGCAGAGAAGAACATTGCCTGTCTAAACTGGATCTCTGATCGGCAATACCACAGAGTGAGGTAGTAGCCGACGCCAGGATAAAGACCAGCTTCAGTCACTCCGAGAAAAATTCGACAGATCAGAAGCCCATGGTAGTTCTTGACAAGCCCCATCAAAGTCATGACGATGCCCCAAGCAACCATAATGAGAGGAAGCCAGATGGAGGGTCTGAGCTTCTTGAGAATCATGTTGGATGGCACCTCAAAAGCTGAGTATGTAAAGAAAAAGACAGTGAGACACATGTTGTATTGAGGGCCAGTGAGACCGAGATCAACAGACAGACCTTCGATATTGGCGTTACCAACATTACCTCGATCCAGGAAGGACAGCAAATACAACAGAGATAGAATAGGGATGATATTCATATCCATTTTTTTAAGCAGCTTCTTCTTGTCAATGTTGGGAAACATTTCCTCAGCTGTGGTAGGCTTGCGGACTTTTTCCTCGTACACATCGATCGATGTCTTCTCCACGTGGTGGATGTCTTCTTTCTCCATTGTGTTGTCGTTTGCGGGCGAGATTTGAATAGTGAAAAGGGGACCAGGCTGTTGCTTTCCGTGCAAATAACTCTGGACTTGTTTTATTAGCTTAATATCTGGCCCTTGGAGGCTTTTAATAGCTTCTTCTCGTGTGCCCCCACATAACGAGGTACGAAACAGACTTCAAAATAAGCTCGTAAGATTGCTGGTTTAAAGCATGTCAAAATGTGGGGTAACCCCCTCAACACCGGACAAGCAATAATGGTGCACCGGGACAAACAGCGTTGCCTTGGAAAATGCACGCCAAGTGAAAAAAATCGCCTTTATGAAGTTGTGCGATTTGGCAACCCGCTCAGAGTATGCAGAAAGTGGGGCGAAATATTTCCTTGTGAACGAAAACGAGCATAGCGCGCGGCAGAAACAGCACGGCAATTTCAGTTTGCTCGTTAGCCGTCTTCTGCGGCGGCAAAAGACAAATCCTATTACACACCATTGAACGCCCTACAGGGAGGAGTAGTCCGTTGCTAATGTCCCTGACTCATCCTCCCCGCACCGAGACGGTAGTGTAAGATCGACTTTGACAGGGGACTAGCCGTGTAGATACGGCAGCATTGATATAATCCAGACTCGCGCCACTAGACACAATCGAGAGGTCTAATAACTTAGTAGCATACCACCGTACAAGTACGAGCACGATGCCCCATACAGCATCTGATAGCACCAAATACATTCTACGAAACAACTAGTAGACGCATATTGCTTCCCCACTTTTCAATCTCATACCTCGACCAATAAACTCGAGTGGGTCTCTCGTAGATTGCCGGCAGTCGGATCAGAGTGTCTGGAATTCGGATTAATGGCGAGTGGGGGTCACTAAGTCCAGGAGGTGTCGCGACAGACAAAGCTCTAGATGCTTTGTAAGACAAAGCCCTCGTCTGCAAGTACGACAACAAACAGAAAGTTGGGCTGCCCTGACTCGGTAGAAGTAAGATACCGCCTTCTTCATGTCAATAATACAGTACATGTCAATAATACAGTAGATGCCCAAATCGGTGCCCACACAACAAACACCTCTACGGTCGAGCAGTCTTGACTTGTTGGGTATACTGTACCTTACGAGCACGTTTCCCGCTGGCCATTGTCATCATGTATTTACCCCTCGACAACGAACCTCAGTCCTCCCCCCCCCCCCACATCCCTGGTCGCGCTTCGTACCCTACCATCTCGGTGGCTCTTTGTTTCAAGATCAAGACTTGTATTTGTCCCGATATCGCACTAGAAGAATGTATACTTGCTCAATTGTTGGTACACCAGCCATCACGGACATATTGCACAATCGGAACTACATATCTGTCATTTCCATCCTATACTACACACGTAGTATGTCCTTCCACGCACCGATACTGAACCCCCGGATCATCTATCCCGGGTCATGGTCAAGTGGTTGTTGAGTGGAACACGCAATTCATCATGCGCCTCATATATGCACCGGTACTACGAGTGTCGTACTTGCACCGGTATCTCCACATTGTATCATACTCACCCAACGCACTCCTTGTACCTTTCCCTACAATTACACCAAAACATGTTAGATCTTTCGTATATATAAAATCAAATATTTACCATCGTCCTCCGTTTCGAAGAGAGAGGAGATTGGAAATACACTCGGCCTCACGGCTGCCGGCGTCGACCACGGGAGAGCTCACGCCATGGCGCACAGACGACGTCTTGTTGGTCACGGGCAGGTCGTAGTGCATGGACGGAAGCCGCTTCTTGAGCGTCGCAGCCAGGCTTTCCTCGGCAGTTCCAAAAGACTTGGACTTAACAGCCGATAGGGGAGAAGATGCAGATGCCTGGTTCAGTTGCGACGCGGTCCGCTGGGTCATAGGAGACGATGTGGCCAGAGGCGAGCCTCCCAGGCCAAGATTGTTGTTGGCGGGAGAGGAGGGTGTGGCAGGGACCCCAAGACGTCTTCCCGAGGACAGCGTGACACCCTTGGGCTTGCCGGCGTAGATAACAGTAGCCTTCCCACCACGCATGGACAGTCGCGGAGCACTGGGTTTCTTTTTCGCGGGAGTCTCGGGGGTATCTTCGAAAACAGAGAATGAGCTGCCGTTTGTTTTGGGGGCGACGGATGCAATTTCGGAGTCGTTTGTGGAGGAAGTGGATGCGGTGTTGTTGTTGGCGTTGGCGTTGGCGTTGGCGTTGGCGTTGGCAACAGAGTCGGCGGTGGTTGACTGTGCCAGGGGCGACTTGTTGTCTGTGATGGAAGAAGTGATTGACTTGTTGCTTACGCTGGTGCTGACGTTGGAATTGGACAGGAATGTGGAGTTACCGTCTGTCTCGTCAAAGGTAGTTTCAGCGAACGAAGAGTCGGCGAAAGAGGTGTCATCGGTCATGCTCTTGTTCATGCTCTTTCGCACGCTCTGCCGCTTGTTCTGGAACCACACCTGCACAGCCTTTTCAGTCATGTCGACTCGGCGGGCAATGTCGACGCGAATGTGCTTGGGAGGCTTCTGGTTGCGGGCAAACTCCTGCTCCAGCAGCGCGAGTTCCGTGGGAGACGTTCGGCGTCGTTTTCGGCGCGCCAGCCGTGCGTTGTCAATCTGAGGCTCGTTCGACGGGTACGAGGTGATGGAATGTGAAATAAATGCATATTGGGGTTGTTGTGTCGGCACACTGGAGGGCGTATGAGGCACCTGGGGGGTGTGGGGCTTGCCCGAAGTCTTGTGGTTCTCCTTCTCCTCGTCCGAGTAGATGTACTGGTCCGAGTTGAGGTTCTGTCGGTACATGGTGTCCGACTTTTGCATCAGGTGTGCGAAATGCGACAGTCCGGGGGGAGACGACGACTTGGGCTCTGGGGTGGACATGAGAGACACGCTAGCGTTGTTGTTGCTGTTGGCGCCGGCGCTCGTGTCGTGCGACTCTTCAGGGTCGTCCTCTCGTGGCCGCTTCTCACATTCCTTGGAGGGCGTCACTGGAGACAAGTCTGGGGTGGGCCCTGTGTTGGTGGTGGAGCAAGAAGAGGACGACGACGAGGTCTCGTGCTTGACGAAGCCGTCGGTGATTTTCGCCAGATCCATGCTGTCTATGTCCCTGTGTAGTTTCTTCCTCGGGGGCCGGGGAAAAAAGTGGTGGTGGTGTGGTCAAGATGAAGCCAGGAGCAAGTCAAGGTGGTCCAAAAAAACACTTTGCAAACGCTTTTGGTAAATTGGGTGTAAAGTGTACCTGAGGGGAGTAAGCTACGCAGCCCTAACCCAAACTAGCGTGTGAGCGCGTTGACTGCGCGACGTGTAGGTGGTGTGAGGGGGGATAAGACGTGATGGGCGCGTTGCGCGGTGGATTTGGGGCCATATTCCTGCTCTTTCGTGCCCAATTGAAGGGGGTCCCACCGCGAAAACCGCCCCAGATCGATCTGCCCTGGCTAGATTTGCACCCGTCTCAACAAGGGCTCTTCATTCCAGCTGCAGGTTGAGTTGTTGAAAGCATAATTATATTTGGGTGAAAATGCGTGTGAACCACAATGTTATGTGCCATGTGCGTAAATTGCACCGTGTCAAAGAACCGGTTGCAGCAGAGTCGCGATGCTACCGAGAGCAAACGGGTGCAAATACTGGACTGGTCCGCGTCCGAGACCTCTCTGATCCTGGTTTTGGCCGCCTTCTGCGCCCGGATCATTGTACTACAAGACCCCACTGTCCACTTGTATACATCCCCCCCCCCATTCAAAGTTTCAGTACAGCACGAAACAAGAGACTCGCACAATAATAGTGCCTGGCAGTGCATAACAGAACGTGTCGAGAGTGAAGACCAACCGTGTACGGAGCCGAGGAAAGGACATAAAGCCGGCGTTTTCGCGATATTTCGTGTTTTTGGCGTGTGTCTTGGACCTCTGATGTCACTTGGGTTGCCCTACAAGTATAATGTACAAGTAATCGTGTGCCGTTGCGGGTCTCTATCTTTTGACATGTTTGCGCCTGAAATTAATCGGATTATACATGCTAAATAGACCTTGTATGGAATGTGGGCGTTTGGGGAAGGAAAAGTGAACAATCCGGACGATTGCCGGATCGGGTCACATGACCAACCGCAGACGACACTACACATCACATCACGTGACACGCACACCCGTCTCGATTCTCTGAACATGTTTCGACTTTTGGTCCGGTCAATCTCCCGCTGCTGTTGTAAACGTGTCTGTTTGCATGCACGCGGCAATCCAAATAGCGCTACTAGACGTAATTAGCCCGGCCTATTTTTATTCCCAAACTCTGACAAACTCCACAGGCTCAGCTTGCAGGCGGGTCGATCATAAATGGTTAATTAACCAATTTATGTGCATACCATAACACGTCCCACCGTGACGATAAGCGAGGGGGACCGTCACATTGAAGGGGCACCAGGGGTATATGTAGGTGACGGAGGTGACAGAGGAGATGTGATACCGACCATAGCATGCTCGACGACAAGAGAATGGGTCCAAAGTACGAGTGCGAGTACTGTGGACGGCTAAACAGCACAGGGCGTGCACCAAGTCTAAGTAGCCACTACAAGTAGTACATCTGCATCAGTGTCGTACTTGGACGATACTTGGACTTGACAATATCCAGGACATGTGTAAATACATGTATTCTACTTGTAGCCAATCACGATCGAGAATTGAGGTGGTGGACAACAAAAGCCGCTACAATTATTATAATTAGATGCTGATTTGCCACTGACTGTATTGGCCAACATGACAGCTTCTCTCATCTCTCATCTTACCTTACTGCAGTTGCTGCATTTTCCAGCCAAAACACGTTCGCGCAGATAAACAACACACCCCCTGCGCATGTGGCATAAGCTGTCTTTCTATGAAGACGTCATCCGCAATCATCCTTCATATTTGGGATGTCAGGTAATTAATACGGGCTGGCGTTGGTTCAGGACCAATATCACGTCTGATATTATACGACAGGTGTAAAAACAATAGTATGTATCGCACTAAAGTATTTGGGTCTCTGCCATGAAGGTACCAAAACAATGTCTATTGCTTGAAATGGGCTTCACTCCGAACACGAACACCTGGACAAAAGCCATGCATCGCACTCGCCCATTCTCGCCAGAGACGCTCTCCAAACACCCGGCGTCATTCCCCAGATTGTTGATCGTCATCTGGCATATTTGAATTGAGTTTACTGCAACTGTACATATGTACTGTGTTAGGTGAAGTATCGTGAATACAATTCTTTAAGTACAGTACGTGTAGTTGCGCATGACGAGGAGCAACATAACGGGATTATCAGGGTATCCAAGGACAGAAAAAGTGCAAGATATCAATAACCAACGCCCCTGTGCACATTCAACACGTTCAATTTATCACCCAATTCTCCTCTTCCACTCCTATCTATGCCTTCAATCCCGCTGTCTCAGACGTTCAATTACGCCCATTAAGCGCCTTGTGTGTCCCTACTATATGCTACTCTAATCTCCACCTAAACAGTGGCTCCTCCACTATATAGACGGCTCTCCACCTGTCATCAAACCTACTCCAACGGCACCGCAGCTACAAATACGACTCCAATCTGGAAGTGCAAACATGATAAATATATATAACTTAGCGACGCTTCTAGCAGTTCTCCACATGGACCACCCCGCCCTTCTTCTCATCCTCGTCGGCGGCAATCTGCACAGCAGCTGAAGTCTCGGGCACCATCTGGTGGCCCCGTCTTCCAATGAGATACCAAGGCAGCGAGAACATTTCGTCGATGGACTCGAGAGACCGGCCCGAGACCTCGGGCAGGAAGAACCAGGACCACACCAGACCGACGAGAATGATCCCGGAGAAGAAGAACATGGCTCCAGTGTCGGTCATTCCCAGTCGCATGGAAGGCAGAGCCTTGGAGTTGCCGTACTGGTTGGCGAAATGGACCGTCATGATGAGACCGGACGCCAGAGATCTGTGCCGAACAGTGTAGATCTCGGCGTTGATGAGGTACTGGATGGAGTTCCAACCGAGAGCCCAGCCCACACCCGAGAGGTAGATGAAGGCAATGGCGCCGACTCCGGCATGTCGCTCGGCAGCAGACTTGATCCGCGAGGGGTCGTTGTTGGGCACCACAGCCAGGTAGATGGCCACATACAGAATGGAGATGAACTGCAGAGTGATACCCGAGTAGAGAGATCGTCGTCTGCCAATGGTATCGATTAGGAAGACGGCGCAAATAATGGAGGCGGCGAACTTGACGACTCCAAGAATGGCCGTGGCGAACATCTTCTGCTGCTGGCCGCTGACACCGATCATCTGGAAGAAGGAAGGAGCATAGATGGTAATGGCATTGGCTCCGGACCACTGGCCCAGAATCTGGATCATGAGACCAAGGAAGAGTCGGTACCGGTTGGCAGGGGTAGCCAGCAGCTCCTTGAACAGCGACCAGTATGAGGCGCCGGTCATAGCCTGCTTTTCTCGCTCAATCTGCTCTCGCACCATGAGAATCTCGCCCTGGACGTAGAGATCGTCGGCGGGAAGCTTACGGATCTTGCACAGAGTTTCAACGGCCTCTTCTTCCTTGCCGATCTTCATGAGCCATCGAGGAGACTCGTGGACAAAGATAGAGCCAATCAGCATGATACCAGAGAAGATGATCTGCAGAGTGGTGGGGATGACCCACTGGTTCCGGGAGGTGTTTGAGATGTGCAGAGTGGTACCATAGTTGGCAAAGTACGACAGCATGACTCCCAGATAGACGGAACCAGAGAAGACACAGGTTGCCAGACCTCTGACATGAGGAGGAGCAATCTCAGCCAGGTAGGTGGGACCAATGACAACAGACTGACCGATACCCATGCCGGCAACAAAACGACCAGCGTACAGTTGACCGACATTGTTGGAGGTAATCTGGACGATGACACCGACAATCCAGATGACAAGCATTTCTCTGAGAGCCCACAGTCGGCCGATACGATCGACAATGAGCATAGCGATAAGAGCTCCGGCAACAGAGCCAATCTGGACCATACTGGTGATGTTGGACAGCAAGTTAGCCTGGGCGTCCTTGGATAGACTGGGGTCATGGAGCTTGAATTTGGAGATGAAAGATGGCTGGGCAACGGTACCGGAAATGTTTCCCTCGTCGAGACCTCGGGAGGTTCCCAGAAGACCAAAGACGAAGATGGCGAACCACAGGGTTCTGTTGAGCACCTGCTTGGGCTCGTTTTTCATTGAAATCCAAAACATGGCTGGAGGAGAGAGTGACAGAGTCGATAGAGAAAGAAGAAAAAGGACTGGCTCAACTCCAGGCCATCCCTCTATATATGTCTGCCCGGACATGTCTCTCCGTTGGGCTTGCCGGGGAACAAACAACACACAGCAGCCATTGCCTTTTCGTTTTCCCCCAAATAGAGTGCAAGTTCTTGTCTGGGGTAATAAAACGGGATCCCGTTTCTGGCCTGCCTCATACAGGCCCGTGTGTTCCTGGGTGTGGTTTCAGTGCGGAAAAACTCGGCACACCGGTGAACGACAAGGTGAACTGAGCAATGGTTGAACTGATGTTGAAACTAGAGCTTTGGAGGCTCGTTTGAGACGTTTAGGAGTCGCTCTACACGACCTCCTTTCAAACCGTCATTCAACGTACAACCAGAATGACACTATGCCCACCCAATCTCTCCCCCTCCGCCCACCCTGCCGGACCTTGGCAATGCAGTGTTTTAGAAACTTGACGCGTGATGATGTGAAAACTGCGACTATCCATCTTTGTTCCCAGGCTCCGGGTTGCGCAGTAGATGCACCCTTTTGCTTCGTTCCGGTCCCCCACACGAGTCTACTTAGTAGTACGGCGCGCCCAAACCTTTCGGGCAGGAAGCTCTCAGCTGTCTAACTCTAGCTGGTCCGGAATGTACCAATTGCGTAGCAGTAGCGTAATGGGACGAATTTGGCGTGTGACAACTGCTATTAAAAGCGGTTTTTTTGGCGCCATGGCTGGTGCACATTTTTCTCGCCAAGCTGCTGTCCATGTCTTGGCGATGAGCCCAAGCTCTCCCCGCACCTGTAGTGTTTTATTCCGACGTGCTTGGCGATATGACACCACCTCAACCGCGACCCACAAGCAGACAAGCAACATAGGCTTGAGTGTGTTGCAACTAGTTTTTAATTTCTCTCCTTTTACCAACCTTGTAAACGAGCGGGATAGTCTTTTGCGGGTGATCAGGCGTATCTGACGTTCGAGAGAAGACCTACAATCCACAAGGATCTACTTGTAGGATACTCGTCCTTGTGTGGTACTACAAGTAGTAATTTGCGCGACTTGTACGTAACTAAATCATCCGTTCTATGCTATGGTAAGCCATCACCTAGCACAGCCGTTCACGAGGGCACGTACTGGATTTCCTAGCTGCTTATCCTGAAGGTTGCGAGAGGTTCCCCGCCCAAACCATCTCCGTCGCATCGTCATTGGATATTCCGAACAAGGCGGGAAAAAACAAATCTCGTTCATACATGTTGGTACATCGGCAGTTGTAGCACTGGCGCATGATGCATGAAACAATACAGGGTGGTATGACAGAAAGAGATCGTCGAGGAACCTGGCGATTTACGGTGAACTAGTTTCAGGACCCACCCTCGCTCATTCTTGGTTGCTGGAAACAGCAATCTTCAATGTCCATCTCCGCAAGCCCGGATGGGCATCTATCTACCACTTGTAGTAGTTCCTATAGCCAGGGGATGCTTAAAAGTGCTAAAAGTGGGTCTTTCAACATGTTGCTAAAAAAAAAGGAAAAAAAAAGGATTGCCAGAACGAAAAAGAGTTACGATTCGGCCGAAGGTTCTGCAGCCTTACCCCACACTACCTTGTACTTTGGCGAAACAGAAAGCTTGAGTGTATCAAACAAGATACAAACAGAGACAAAACCTTTTGCTTGATCGTCTACTACTTGTAGTACTGAGAAACTGCTTTTGGAGATAATGATGAATAACACGCTTCCGTGTGACCCACAGATCCAGCAACGCAGAACGGACAGGCATTGACACTGCTACAAGTACACACGGATATGGACTATTAGGTTGAGGGAGGGTTTTATGGAACCTGTCAAAGGAGACAGGGAGGTTCTACCATGTAGCTGCCAGTACTGGTAGGAATAATACTTCCTGACAGAATCATCTGTCCACGTGGCCAGAGGTGATAGACTTGTGCTAGACAAGAGTATGTGCCCTGTGGGCTGGAGATTGAACTTGCCATATGGCGAATGATACCCTGCACTTAGAGTAGCTCTTGTCCTCGCCCCCAACCACTCTCAACATGACAAATTTTCTCACGTAAGTTTTCGGACCCCCACATTTCAGACAAACAACGGCCATTTGTCCTCTGATTAGCCCGTGGAACGCCTGTGGACGCGAACTCTTTATTCCCCTCTTATGGCAACTACCTGTATACCTGTAGGTATACATATCCTGTAGGAGATGCGAGTCTTATCAAGCTGTGGAGACAGCCAATTTAAGAGATGTGAGTGGACGGTCATCAAACAAAGCTGCCAAACACCCTACAAGACCCCTTTCTAGATGTCCACCGGAATATGTAGATTCTCTCGTCTTATTTGTATCACCTTTAAGTCAACCTATCCAACCCATCCGAGGTATAACGCGTTTAGAAGTGAGGGTTTCCTTTAAGCGGAAAAGGTACTTGTATACTTGTACGAGCATTTGTAGCTCGTGACATGAAACCCGGGAACTCTCGGATTAACTCTCTTCGTGAGGAGACATGTCTACATTCCTACAGTATGACACATTTATCCCATCACAAACTGTGCAGATTGTATACACCTGGTGGTAACTCCATAACCAATTTTATTGCAACTTTGTGTCTTGTTTACACCTCTCTGAAGCCGCAGGCAAAGCACCATCTCAAGCCCACTTACAGCTTAGCCTGATCAAGACCCTGAACAACATCGTCCTTTCGCTGTCTCAGAAGACGCCGCAGAATCTTTCCAGAAGGGTTCTTGGGAATAGCGTCAATGACAACAACTCCTCCATACAGCCGCTTGTAGGAAGGGACCTGCTCGTCCATCCACTTCTTGATGGCGACAACATCAACCTTGGGGTCTCGGACCACCAAAAAGGCTCGAGCAGACTCGGTGGCCTTCTCCTCCTGCCACACACCAATGACTGCCACGTCCACCACGTCGGGATGAGACAGAAGAAGAGCCTCAAGCTCTGCGGGGGCCACCTGCTTGGACATGGACTTGATGAGCTCCTTGGTTCGGTCGACAATCTGGATTCGGCCGAAGTTGTCAATGACAGCCACATCGCCGGTCTTGAGCCATCGGTCCTGGTAGTGTCGTAGACCCTCGGCCTTGTAATCGACGTACTCGAATGACTCCTCGGTGGACTTGGGGTTCTTGTGGTAGCCAGACATGATCTGGGGTCCTCGTAGGTACAGTTCTCCGGAAGGGATCTTGTCTCCTCGTCGAACAGCGTCTCCCAGAGCTCGAGCGTCAGTAACCTCAAAGGCAGGCTGATCATCTCCGTTCTCATCGACAATTCGAGCCTCGGTGTTGGGCACCAGAGTTCCCACAGTCACCACATTGAGGTTGTCCCACAGAGGGTCACAGAGGCAGGCAATGGGGGCAGTCTCGGTGAGACCGTAGCCCTGGTAGATGACGATTCGTCGGTTGTTAGGCAGGGTTCCTCGGGTGTTGCCGGTGAATCGGGTCTGGACGGCATCAACCACGTTGCCTCCCAGAGGAGCAGCTCCACTGGTGATGGTCTTGAGGTTGGCTCGAATTGAGTCCAGGTACCGGTCGATGATGGGGTGCTTTGCCAGAGCGACAATGATGGGGGGAACCAACACCCAGTAGTTGACGCCGTGTTTCTTCTGGCCCTCGAGCATCTCCACAAGATCGAACTTCTTGTGGTAGACCACCTTGGCTCCCAGGAAGGGCATGTGCAGCATGAACAGAGCGAGACCGTAAATGTGGGAAGTAGGAATCACAGCAGAACAAACCGTGTCGTCATCAACGAGGTTAGGTGCATTCTTTGCTGTCTGCTGCACGTTCGAGGTCATGGCGAAATGGGTGAGCTCCACGGCCTTGGGCACTCCTCCAGAGGTTCCGGAAGACATGCCCAGGTAGGCGAGGGTTGTGTAGGCCTGCTCCTTGGAAAGATGCACAATGGGGGCGACTCGAATCAGGTTGGGTCGCACTCGTCGGTTCTGCTCCAGCAGCTCCTCAAAGACCACGACCTTGACGTGCTTGAATTTATCGCCCGCCTTGGCCACGGCTTCTCGAGCAACATCGGCCCTGGCGGCCTCGGCCACAATCAGAGCGGCGTCCACAACGTTGATCTGGTGCAGCAGATCGTTCACGTCGTAGGCTGTGGAGGCTGGGGAAATGATGGCCCCCAGATCATGGAGGGCAATGTGACAAGCCAGGTTGTCGGCGGTGTTTCCCACGTAGAAGATGACCTTGGGGTTGGCGTCTCCGTCCTTTTTCTTGCCCACGTCGTACGTGTGGAAGAACTGGGCCCGCAGCATGCCCGAGACCTTGAAGACTCGGGCCAGAGTCATGGCCTTGTCGGTGTCGTAGTCCACCACGGAGATGCGGGTGTCATCGTCTGCAAACCTGGAGGATCGCATAAAGTCCGGAATGGAGCCGTAAAAGAGCTCAGATTCGGCCATGTCGCCGAGGGGCGCCTTGTGGATGATCTGGACCATGTTTTGGGAGTGTAGCTGGTCGGTGCGACGAACTTGTGGGGTTGGATACAGCTCTGTGCGGGGCACAGATGGTATATATACTTTTGAGCCTTGTTCGAAGCTAGACTGTGTTAAGCGCCAGAGACGATGTGCGGGGTGTGCTCCTTAACCACATTTTTTGGGGAGTCCTACAACTGTGCCGAGAGTTTCGCGAAAAAACATGGCAACAAGCAAAAGTGGATGGACGGACGCATGACATGGTGCATGTAGCAGCATACTGTGACGGCATTCATTGATCTTTCACTTGCCATTCCATTGATCCTCGATGCGATGGCCAACTACCGGTACATACTGTACTTTTAATTATCCTAATTTGAACCCCACACTTATGACATGACATGTTGGCTGCGTTAGTGTGCCAAGTTCTGGAGCAGTGGCAGTGGAGACAGACACAGTACAACTACAAGCTAGGGATGCATTTGTTTCGGCCGACCAGATTGGATTTTGTTTGTGGCCACCATCCGCTCTTTCTCTTTTGTTGCGCGGCCGTTTCATGCAGGAGAGTTCAGCAACGGCTTTTGCAAGCGGGTGCGTCAAAGCCGATTACGCGATGCCGAGGCACAGACGAGCGCGGAGATAAGACGACCAGTGAGCACCAAAGTGCTGACAACGGCGACTGAAAATGTCTCCGAACCTTTCCTCTCCAACGGCTCCATCTCTCCATGTACATGTGGACAGCTGTGTGCACAAGTTGAGACCGCGCCGATCATCAGTGTCAAAGTTGGGTGACAGAAAACCGTTGGGGATGATGCAAGTGCAACAACAGATTTTAGGAAAGCGGTCCGGGGAGCCATACGCGCTGTTTGGGATGTTGATAGGGAGACATGCGCAGTCGATACTTGTTCTTGTAGTGTGAAAGAGATGTTATATACAACTACCGTATGGCAAGTGGGACACGAGTGCTTACTCACTATTATATCACCGCCACAAGATACGATCCCAGTCGGCTATAGTTCCGCTCATTGAACCTTACCGCGGAACCCGCACTTTTTCAAACTCCGAAGAGCGACTTTATGACGTGAGGCTCAACGGCGAAACATGTCCATATGAGCCAATGAAACGAGACGTGGGAAGCAACTGCGGGATACTCCGTTGCGACACCGTGGTCTTGAAGTCTGCTACACGTGTCCACAATGAATCTATCCGATATGAGAGTATGTTGATGTTGATAATTATACTGCATACATCCACTTTTTATAGGCTAAGGAACCCCACAGTGAAATAATACCCTCCGTGTGGGGTGGGGATGTACAAGTGCAACTTGTGATATATTCCTTAATACAGGTGCTGTACAAGAACGAGTACTCGTGCGAATCAGTATTGTGCTCCCTATCAATGCCAACAAGAGTGATTTCGAGTTTGCAAGTCGCAGCAGCATTGTATATCTATGTTCAAGGTCAGATATTCCAATTGCTAATTAGTCGAAACAAGTGTTCTGGGGGTGCCATTTTTCTATATTTCTCTGTTCCTGGATAGATGAAAAACTATAATAAATATATCAAGGATATATCAAGAGTAAGTATCAATAAGGCTAATAATAACCAATTGTTGTACAGTATGTGACATTGTGTTACAGAGTGTGAAATTAGTTGGAGCTTTACTCGAGGAGTGCATGATTCTGGGGGCGTGTTTGCAAGCACACTACTTGTAGCAGCAGGTAGTACAGGCTAATATTCCATGGGGTTGCAAGTAAATACTATATTGTAAGAGTGCCTTCTACAGAAGAAAGTATACCATTTTAATGTGTCTTTTTTTTCAATTGTTCTAGCCTCATTTCCAACTTTCAGACCAAGCCACACTCAACATCGTATGTACGGGTGTACTCAAAAAAACACCCTAGCTATGTCTTACTACAGTACAAGTACAAGACAAGTACATGTAAGGGAACAAGAATCAAATACTGTTCTGACGCGCGCATCTCCGATCCCCAACACTCACCTACCAGTACATACTGCACTCACTGAGTTACGTCATTGACACGGCAGAAGATAGCTAATCACAGGCTAGCTCGTGATAAAGGCTGTGTCTGACATAGCCCGGAGTTACATGTACAATTGCGACAGACTGGCCAACAGCAAAACCACTTGTGCTCTGTACTCGTACCTTCCTGAATCTGTTAATGTATAAATGAGTCCCATCGTCTGGACGTAATATGTCTGTCTACATCCACCATGCAGTCAGCATGCCGTGCCCCCACACTCTGTCCTTCTAGAAGAGCATCTCCAGAGTACAGCAGACACACATGGCGGCCAGACAGGCCATCAGACAGTCGTCCTGGCCGCCCCTCTGAGGCGATTGCTGCTGCACATAGACAGGTTGTTGCGCATACATGGGCTGTGGGGGAGGAGCGGCGTACCCGGCCTGCTGTTGCGGGTAGCCCTGGTTGTAGCCCTGCTGGTAGCCCTGCTGTGGATAGTAGCCACCCTGGTTGTTGTAGCCCTGGTTGTATCCTCCCTGCTGTTGGTAGCCCTGCTGTTGGTAGCCCTGGTCGTAGTATCCGTCGTTCCCTCGCTGGTTTCCGTAGATGGGTGGGGGTCCTGCTGGTGCCTGTGTTAGAGAGAAACATGGTGGCTTGCCATCTGGCGTGGTCGCCGCTGGTTCAGCTACTCACTCCGTATTTGTCGCTCATAATGTGGGTATCGTCTGGTGGTCAAGAGTGTACTCTTGAATTAGCTAGTGGTAATGTTGTGTCGTAGTTGTATGGAGGTCGCTCTCGTATCTCTCTGCGCGAAATGTTAGTCCGAGAGCTTAAGTCAGCACACCCGAATTAAATTGCGCACGTTTCGGAGATAGTCCGTTCCTATACATCCCCCGAGGTTGGGGGCTTGGAAAAGAGTGGTATTTTGATTCGAGGAGAAATTCTCGGACCTAAACATGGTTGCAATTATCTCCGAGGAAAACCAAAGGTAGCGGAATACTCGCCACCTGCGCCAGAAACACCCTGGGTACGATTACTAATCCCGCTCCAGACACTGTACAATGTTCAAGGTCAAAAACATCTCAGACGCACGACGATCTACTGACTGTACATGGAGGAACAGTATCTGGTACACTCCTCCTACGAACAGAGTTCAAAGCCGTTGTTGTATGGGTTCCCAGATTTACTTTTCCCAGCCCCAAATGTACTGAGGGCTGGTTGACTGGCTTACCCTACCGAGGACGGTGGACCAAAAGGAAAAATCCTCACGTTGTGGTTTTCTTCTCCAACTCAACTTCCCCGACAGCGTTTTGCCTAGGGGCGTTTGGAGGTGTCCCGGGCTGCTTTGGCGGCCTGGATCTATGGCGTCTTCAGCTGGCCCGGTTGAGGTCAAGCAATTCGCCGTTTAATCGCAGTCTCGCCCCCTAGCACAGGATTTTGATGGTTGTTTCTGTTTCAAAACCGGTCGTACATTCTCTATAAATACGGTACGAGTACACAAGGTGTTTGTTGTTAGTAGCTGTCTGCTTCAGTAGCTGTCTACTCCAGCAGCATTATTGCAGGTTGATGGTTGCACATTGTTAACAGTTGGTGAATGTTACATCATCTGGACACAACTTCTCACAGCTGCAATAATATCAAGCAATACAGACCAAGTGCATCGTTGCCAAGTCGCTTACAGTATCGTACTCGTACTTTTTGTCTGGGCTTTGTTGTTTCAACGCTCCGTCGCTTAGCGAATAACATGGCGTAGGTTGGCTATGACCCACCAGACCGCCCATTATTGCCGGTCGTGTGAGCAGCGGAGAGTGGTACAACGCTTTCGTTTTCTTCTGAGGCCCCCAAGGAGGATAAACTCGCGGTGCAGGTCCCCCCTGGGTGACTCAAGCCGTGACTCTTCGGGGGGTGACTGACTACAGACGGTGGTAGCAGATGAAGAGTAGTGTAGCGTGGCTATGGCTCAGTGACCCACCAGTCAATGCTGGCCGTACAACAACTATGGCTTCCACAAACGTCGCGTCTTGGCAACCAACAAGAGTTAGACACGCATGTACACTTGAGAGAGGCATTTCTGTCGTCGCAAGCGGTTATTACGCATGGTGACAGAATTCAATGGAAATTTTGGACTCGCTCAGGAGCTACTTGTGGGCTTAAAATAGCCCAGGACAGAGGCAACTAAAGCGGCGGCATGTAGGAGCTACAGTACAAGCCCTCGCACGACTTGTAGTACTCTAGACCACAGTCGCAGGGGCTGTGGCGGTGGAGACACCAATAGATGCTTTTTTCACCCCCTCCCGTCTACCACCACTGCACATACGGTTATTGGTATGTAGAAATACGTCACTGTGAATGAGTGTCTCAACTGGATCGACAATGTGGTTTGCCCTTTTAAGTCAAGTTGCACACGACAAGCAGAAGCTTGACAGACTCGACATAGAAGGCATGAGTGGGGTTATGGCAGAGAAAGAGAGAGAAAGAGAGAGAGAGAGAGACAGACAGAGACAGAGAGAGGGCAGTGTTGCTAAGAACCATGCACTCTGTAACCTACCCCAGCTCTGTCTGCTCTTTGGTGCGATAGTTCGCATCCCAACGATCCAATGCACGCACCAGGGACCCTTATCTATCCCATGGTTCTTGTTTACAGTACGTACCGTCGTCGGAACGTATACCGTTTTTGGGAGGAGAAATTTGCGGTCCCACTTGTAAAGTGGGTGTGTCGGGCGACCGAGGGTCCTGAACGGGGTGACATGACCGCTGTGGTGGTCCACTTTGTTTTATAAACCTGTTTTCTGCGACTTCCTGTTTTCAGACCTCCGTTTGTCGCCCTCATCCCTCCTCCTTCTCCTGTCTCTGGTTTGGCTTCACTTGCTATCTTAGAGTTGAGTTGGTCCAGTAGATTGAAAATTGAGCGAGACAAGTGAACTGTAATTAAAGTACCGTTTTTTTTTTTCCATGACACATAAAAGACAAGGACGTAGCATCCCAAGAAGTGGACCTTCACTCTTGTTCACCACTTTTTCGTCACCCCAAGCACTCGACAATCCGCCCCGATTGCCGACTGCTCAAACCCGGTTTTCCACCCTTTTATGACCCGAGAGCAACTGCTCAGAATTTCTCGCCCCGCTAAGCCCCGGTAGCAGGTCTAGGAGTATTTTACCAAAGATATATCGATAACCCGCCAACACAACCAACCTCACTCTCTCAGTCGTTACCGCGTCTCCAGTAACGTCCTAACGTCTCCCCCTAAAAGAACCCCCGTCCCTTTCACCTTTCATTCACTATGATCCTCGAACACCACGTCAACCACCAGGTTGCAGTCGACCTCGACTCCGCTGAGGCCTTTGAGGGCCCCGAAAAGCTGCTCGAAGTCTGGTTTGCGCCGAACCAGGAATCACTAGAAGGCACCAATAAGTCTCTGCGGAACGTCAGCACCGCCCAGTGGGAACAGCTGCTCAACATTGTCCAGTGCAAGGTGCTGTCGTCGGTGCACACGTCTGTGCTCGACGCCTTTGTACTGTCCGAGTCGTCCATGTTTGTTTTCCCCCACAAACTGGTGCTCAAGACCTGCGGCACCACCACTTTGCTGGTAGGAATCCCCAAGATGCTGGAGATTGCCCGAACCATTGCTGGCTTTGGAGCCAACGCCACCCCCTACCGTGTCTTCTACTCTCACAAGACCTTTAACTGTCCCGAGAAGCAGGCCCCGCCCCACAAGTCGTGGAAGGACGAGGTGTCGTACCTGGACTCGCAGTTTGACAACGGCAAGGCCTACCTCGTGGGAGACACCACCTCCGACCACCACTGGTACTGTTACGTGACGGGCCACGACGACCACGAGGAGGTGGCTGCCCACAAGGACCACGTGATTTCGTCCCACGACGAAACTATGGAGATTCTCATGACGGATCTGTTGCCCTCTCGAGCACAGCAGTTCTTCACCGACAGACTCCCCGGAGACGCAAACAACGCCGGCTTCCAGCACAAGCAGGAGCTGCTGGTGGGCGTGGAGCATGTCGTGAAGGCTGAAACAGACTCGGCCACGTCTTCCGACTCGGAGGGAGCCACTCCTGCATGTTCAGGAACTTGCAAGGCCGATCCCGGTCACGTGCTCGGCGCATACGTGTCCACCCAGTCCGGTATTGCTGACATCTACCCTCGGAACAAGGCCAGTGTCGCAGTTGATTCCTTCTGCTTCACTCCCTGTGGCTACTCTGCCAACGCCATTGTGGACTCGGGTTACTACTACACCATCCACGTGACTCCCGAGCAGCACTGCTCATACGCCTCGTTCGAGACCAACGTGCCCGCCAAGGAATACGGCATGTCCAACATTGACGTCATTGAGAAGGTGCTCAACGTTTTCCGACCTGGCAAGCTGTCTGTCACCCTTTTTGAGGCCGAGAACAACTCGCTGCAGGACTGCCACCAGTTTGCTCGGCACCTCGACGGCTACAAGCGGACTGACAAGGTCCTCTACGAGTTTGACGGCTACCAGATGGTCTACGTTTGCTTCGAGGCCATCAAGGGTCGAAAGTAGACTAGATTAGATGCTGCTAGATTAATTAATCAACCCACTGAAGATAATTGTAACAGTTGGCTGTCTTTGTACGACGGTTACAGTGGTATTACTGTAGTACAGTACGTGGATGAAGACATGGTGACATTTTTCTCTATGTTCTCTATTTTTTCTATTCTTGGGAAATATTTTTCGGTTTTTTTTTTTTTTTTCTAATGATTTTTTTTTCTAAAATATATATATATATATATATTTTATTCTAATGATTCATTACAGCTATATACCTAGTAAGCCGGGTTATTGGCGTTCAATAAATCATACACTTCTGAATCTTTGCGATGTGCGCTGCGAGGCGCTGTCGGTTGGTTTGTCGACGCTTCGTCTAGTTGATGTCATTGTCGTGGTCTCGTGGTAGTGAATTTTTTTTTTTATTCTAATGATTCATTTTTTTTTTATTCTTTCAAGCATAAATTGAATCTCCACTTTTCCAACTCCATCGTCCGCCTGGCTAGCTCAATCGGTAGAGCGTGAGACTCTTACTATTAAGTCATCTCAAGGCTGTGGGTTCAAGCCCCACGTCGGGCTTTATTTTTTGCTTCATTTACTGTGCATGTTCATTTGTCTTTCTTTTTTTGTGCCCAGGAATCTCTTGTCTTTTTTACACCTTTTTTGCTCACGTGACCTGCTATCGGTCATGCAAGTTTATGTGGATGCGTAAGTCTACCTCGGAAAGAGTTGATCAGCGTTTCACATACACGCCAGCTAGACGCGATCTGACACGACACAACAGCCCCCAGCATGTCTATCGATGAGTCGTTACAGATCATCGAGGCGCGCATTCGTGACGCGGAGTTTCTGACCCAGAAAGCTCCTGCTCTGGCTCGAGAGGAGAACCAATTTGAACTGGACACGGAGGATGAGCTGTTCAACGAGCTCATGAGAAGCGACCAGGTGGTGGACGACACCTTTGTCAACGTCGACGGGCTGTCGCTGGAGAAACAGCTTTCATTGGTGGAGGGAAAGTTCCAGCAACTGATCAAGGAGAACAAGGTGTTCCGAGACTACCTGACGTCCATAGAGCCCTACAAGCAGGACCTGGGTCTCATGAAGGCTGCACAGGCCAATGGTAGACCTTCACCAGAAGCTAAAGTGGTGGTTGATGCACTTGACCCAGACACTTTGTTGTCTTTCACTCATGCTCATGGGGTGGACGAGATCAAGAGTGTCGGAGAACTGGTTCCTGAGAGCGCTTCCAAGGTGCTGAGTGAATATTCAGAAATGGCTCTGACGGAGGACCATCTGGAGAGACTTAGCAACGACGTGGCCATACTAGCTGTGAGATCCGCCCGGGTGCTGGAGAAGTACGTGTCGGAAATGGTGATTGAGCCGAATGAGAGACTAGGGGAGTTGGACGAGAAGCGGAGAACTGAGGCAGCCAAAGCAAAGGATTAGGCGACATGAGCGGTCGTAATTCCGCCTCGGATGCCGCAGGATAACCCTCGGATCGTCCTTGGCGTTGCACTCCAGGTACTCGTCAGTAGTACAAGAACGACCTTGTTTCCTGTCTACCAGCTGATGTATTCCAGTTGCATGCACACGTGTTTCCAGCCCATGTTTCTTCAGCCGTTTCAGATCTAAGTGGCCTAACAGAACCTCATGGTTCAAGCGGGTTTTTCCGCTGTCTCCACCGACCTTCGCATTGGATTTCCTTGCTTGGACACCAGCCGCATCATTTGGCGCATTCCAAAACACTAAGCGCCATACGACATCGAAAAATGGGGGCTCTCTTGGCTGTTATAACACCCTGCTTGTCAACATGCACCAGCCAAAAAAATCCGGTCTAAAATCCCCATGCATAACTGGCCCGCCGTGTGTTTTTGGACGGTTTTATGGGTACAAGTACATCACAGACATAGCTGAAACTATGACTGTGGAGAGAAAGAAACGGTCAACTCACTCGTCCTCGTCGAGGATACCAACATCTGCCTATCATTACAAGTACTCAATAAATGCATAACCCTCCACCCGGAATTTAAATGAGGCATGGCTGTGACAGGCAGGAACGCCAAGAGGTGTCATCGCGCCTAACTCATTTGACGGATGTGGAGTCTCCATTAACTGTGGGGAAAGCGGAATCTCATTACCAAGCATCGCCAAGAGGACGAGATGTATATATCGACACTGTGGAGTCGCTGGAACGACAGTCAAAATGTCAAAAGCCAGAGATTCAGAACTGGGGGCCACCCCACCATCTCCAGATAGCCCCAGTCAGGCTCCCAGTGTCCAGGAAGTCGAACTCAAGGAAGATCATGACACGTTCATCGAGAGTCTACCGCCTATTGTAGACGAGAAGAAGGTGATTCGAAAGATTGACATGAGAATCATCCCTATTCTGTCCCTTCTCTACCTCATGTCGTTTCTAGATCGAGGCAGCATCGGTAATGCCAACATTGAGGGATTGTCTGTGGACCTGGGCCTGACCGGTGCTCAGTACAACATGTGTCTGACAGTCTTCTTCTTCACCTACTCGGTCTTTGAAGTACCCTCCAACATGATGCTTAAGAAACTAAAGCCATCCATCTGGCTGCCTACCATCATGGTTGCCTGGGGCATCGTGATGACTTTGATGGGCATTGTTCAGAACTATGGAGGACTTTTGGCTGCTCGAGTCTTTCTGGGACTCACCGAAGCCGGACTTTTCCCCGGTGTCAGTTATTACCTCACCCTGTGGTACTGTCGACGAGACATTCAGTTCCGGACAGCCATGTTCTTCTCAGCAGCGTCTGTGGCAGGTGCCTTCTCCGGACTATTGGCTTTTGCTATTGCGAAAATGGACGGCGTGGGGGGACTTGAGGGATGGAGATGGATTTTTATTCTGGAAGGCATTGCGACCGTGGTCATTGCCATCTTGGCCTTCAAGCTCGTGGTAGACTTTCCCGACACAGCCAGCTTTCTCAACGAGCAGGAACGAGAATGGGTCATTTGGAAGCTCAAATACGACACTAACAAGAGCAAAAACGCCGTCCAACCGCCTGTACTGGTTGAAGAGAACCACGACACAACCTGGGCAGAGGTCCGAAAAGCCTTCAAAGATCCTCAGCTCTACCCCCAGACACTGCTCTATGCTGCAGTGCTTGTGCCTCTCTACGGAGTGTCACTGTTCCTCCCTACCATTGTCAAGAACCTCGGATACACGTCTTCCAAAGCCCAGTTGATGACAATTCCAATCTACACTGTCGCTGCCATTGCTTCTGTCTTGCAGGCATGGGTGTCTGATAAGTTTGGTTTGCGGTCACCTCTACTGGTGGTCAACTTCTGTTGTATGTTCATCGGATACATGCTGGCCATGAACGTGTCTGCAGTAGATAACCCCTCAGCCACATATGCTGGTTGCTACTTGGTAGCTCTGGGCCTGTACCCTGGTATTCCTGGTATCATCTCCTGGCTCTCTAACAACACTTCAGGAGCTTACAAACGAGGCGTGTCTATGGGAGTGCAGATTGGTTTTGGAAACCTCTGTGGAGCCATTGCGTCTCAGATCTACCGAGCCGAGGACGCCCCACAGTTCAAACTCGGCCACGGAATCGAAGTCATGTTCATCTGTCTTGGTTTCATCTGTATCTTTGTTCTCAACATCGGCTACTACATTGTCAACAAGAGAAAGAGACGTATGATTGCCGAGGGCCAGTGTGGACACTACACGGCCGCAGAGCTTTCTCAAATGGGTGACAAGTCGCCCTACTTCATCTATGCTCACTAATTCAGTTCCTTGGGTAGTATGATAGTATGTCTATTAATGGTACTATGAAAATGCTTAAATATTTTAGATGTAGTGTCAGTAAAGTAACGCAACAAGGCAGTCACTCAACCTGCCACTTGCTTCCTTCCATGGCTGGGCTGGCCATGACAATAGACCGTCGGTTGACAGCCTTGTCCAGCTCCGGAGTATCTTCAGCCACCCGAATCAGTGACCGTCTCAACTCATCGTTCTCCATAGCCTTTGTCTCCAGAGTCATTTTGAGATCCAAAGACTGGGTTTGCTGCCGCCTCAGATCCTTGTCCAACTGCGACATGCGAGACTGCACCGACTCCAGCTCCAGATTGAGCTTGGACATTTCCGACTCCCGGGCATGCAGAGCCAGCTCGGTTTTCTCCAGTTCCTCCTTGTGTAAGATTGTCTGTTTGGCGATAGCTGTCTCGTGCTCCAGGCTCTGCAACTCCAACTTTGAGGTCAGACTCTCCACCTGCTGCTCCAGAGCGTTTACTTGGGCCTCCAGCTCAAAGTTGCGTGCCGTGAGCTCCTCTTCATTGACATGGTTGGAGTACCGAATGGCCTCCGACTGTGCCAAGTCGGGCACCTTATAGTCTTCCTCATCGTCATCATTGTTAGTCTGCGAGGACGCCTGTCGCGAGTCAGCACGTGCAGTTTCAAGCTGCTCTCTGACCCGTTCGTTCTCCTTTCGAGCTGCCGTTAGCTGCATCTGCAGATCATTGATCATGGGCATGAAGGTCTCTGCGTGGTTGGTGGACTCACAATATTCGGCGTTCTCGAGCTCAAGTTCCAGATCAGCCACCTTCTCTTGCAAGCTGGCAATCATGGAGTCCTTATCTCCATCAGCGACAACAGTTCGAGGAAGCGACTTGAGCTGTGTCTTCTGCTGGGCCAGGAGCTTTGTAACACGAGCGTCCGACTTCCGGAGCTTCTCCTCCGTCTCAGCCAGCTTTTTGCGCATCTCCACAGCGTCTCTGGACACTCTCGGGAGCGAGGAAGATCGTTCTGTGATGGACGACGATCGTGGCGGCACTTTTTTCGGATTGATGGGCGAGACTCGGGGTTTCTCAGAGCCCCTGATAGAGGCACTGGCAGCCTGGGCCATTGAAGGGCGGTTGGAAAGTCGTCGTGTAGCTGCTGTGGGGGTTGTATTGCTTGGAGACGACGTGGACGATGCTTTGCCGCTGATGGAAGACGTTTTTGAGGTTGAAGGAGTAGACGCTCGCGAGGTTCTAGCTGCAGCAGCCGAGATTGAGGGCCGCGCTTGGGTCTTCGGCGTTATCGAACGCGGCGCAGGTCCGGACGAAAGCGGTGACTTGAGTCTAAGAGGCTTGACTCCCGCTTCTGCCAGAGAGGACTTTCGTTGTGTTGATCTGGTGGGGGTGGCCACAGTAGGTGTAGTGCTGGGCTTGTTAGTGGAAGGAGTTGGGGTTGATTCTCCGGGGGCCAGGCGAGAAGGCTGGCTTCTGTTGGCCGGGGGAGAAGGCGAAGAGGAGCCTTCGGAGCTACTTCCACTTCCTCCTCTCAGGGACGAGCCTCGGGTGGGGAGGTCTCCTTTGTAGGACGGCTCAATGCCCAGTTTTCGGGCGCGAGGTTCCACGGGCGGCGAGGCTATTGTTAGTTGGGTTCTTTGACGGGACACACGATTGGAGTATTTCTCCGGAGTATCTCTCCGGGGAGCTCACGATACAGGTACAGCGGCACGGGGTGGGCCGTGCCATGTTGGTTGGAGGTCTGCTGGCTGCACTAGGACGTCTGTTTGCTTCTTCGGATTACTGTACTCCGTTCATGCCATCATAATACTCACTCTTGGCTCTGCTGGCGGCGGTGGAGCTGCTGAGTCGGGCAACCAGGTCAGACATTTTGGGCCTTCGACTGGCGAAAGAAGAGTCGTTCGCTCGCGGAGGAGGGGCGGGGGGAGTCGCGCTAGCCGTGGACGCCATTAGTGCCGCAGGTCTGTTTGGTGACGGGTGGGTAGGGGGCCAGAGATGCCAGGCTGTTTCACAATCTGCGTAGGTGGTCTGTCGCACGAAACCCTGAGCTTCTTTGTTGAAGGTACAGTTGACCAAGCGAAAGCCTATACAACGCAGGGATAGGGGTGGTGGTGATGGAGAGTCAGGGAGAGCCAGAGTCAGGGAGAGCCAGGGAGAGCCAGGGAGAGGGTGGCAGAAACGTGGCAGAAACGTGACAGAAACGTGTATATTCCTGTGTCTGTATTCATAGTGGACTCTTGTAGATCAGGGGTAGACATTTTGGACTGTATCAGGCTTATTTGGGAGACATTATAGTCGCTCTACAGTATTTTGTATGGACACCATATTAACTAATACAGCAAAAGTAAGTCAGACGTCATCAACACCGGTTGTGGTCGAGATAGTGGCATTTGGCGACGATGAGAGCGCTCAAAAGGACGAAATCAAACACTCGACTTGATCAAACACACGTACAAGACCCACCATCTCCCACAGTAGCCCCACCGTCGCGTCGGTCTACAAGCAACAAGCACTCGTACCGCAGAGCTGCTCGTATGAAGAAACGAACACACCCCGCAGAGGCTAAACGGGCTCTAAGTTGGAGCTTCTGCACCAAAGTAAAACGTTGGCCAGATGTGTTTGTCATAAGTTGCAACATGTTGTTTCAGGAGAAGATAACATGACGATGATGGTGTATATATATATACACAGAGTAGGTGACATGGACCCCGTAACAACAATCGTCTTTCAATCACCTACTTCTTTTTTTACGTACAGCTCGTATTAGTCGGTACTTGTATGTTAGTCGGTTCTCTTATGTTAGTCGGTTTGGCAGCCAAGGGTGTTTGGCTGACCCCTATTTTTTTGACCGACGCGTTTACGTGGCTAGCACGCTACGAGTAGCAGAGTGCCAGATTGACATTGGATGTCTCAGTGCACAGTATCAGACAATATCCAGCCTATGGAATTGCACTGGCGCGGTAAAACTGCTCACAGACGCGGATAATAGTCGGTATATGCACTGGAATATTATATCTCCAGTATGAGCAGATGAGCATCGTCCAATCTCTCCAGGTGTGTATGTGATCGACATGGAGATCGGCCTCCACGCTGAATTGATCTGAGACAAATGTGATCGACGAGTGTTTGCACTGTATTGTGCGATGAGTGAAGATCTCGTAAACACATCTGTCCGCTTGCACCACGAGTACGTCTGGAATACGAATACATTACGGTAGAGCTACAGTGTACAAGTAGATAAACAGTTTGCTACAGCATGAGGCGATGACAGTCACCATCTAGATAACAAGGGGGATGACAATAGCCAGACCCATGAGTGCGCTGATGGCCAGCTTGTTGCCACCGCTGGTGTTCTGGGGAGGAGGACTGGGAATGGTAGTGCTCTTGGGAGGGGTGGAAACCGCGGGAACTGGAATAATAGGGGTGTTAGGGGGAGGGGGAAGTCCAGAGTCAGCAGGAGGAGCAGGAGCAGGAGTAGGAGGGGCCTGGGGAGGAGCAGAGACCTCGACAGGAGGAGGAGACACCTCGACAGGAGGAGACACCTCGACAGGAGGAGACACTTTAACAGGAGGAGAAACAACTGTAGGCTCGATAGGAGGAGCAGCCACAATGGGGACTGTGGGGGTGAGGCTAGGAGCAGTGACAGTGGTGTCAATAACCACCGGGGTGTTGGGGGTCTCGGGAACGGCAACAGGAGCGCTGGGAGTCTCGGGAACGGCAACAGGAGTCTTGGGGACTTCACAAGCACCGGAAGTACAAATCTGGACAGTGGTAAAAGTGATAGTGCCCTTGGTGTAGGTGACAGTGGAGAGAGTGGGCCCCTCGGGCTTAGGCTGGGGCTGCTCGGGGATGCTAGAGACCTTGGGGACTTCAGAAGTGACAACCGCAGGGGTGGGGTGGCACTTTTTTTCGGTGCAAGTAACAACGGACGTGTATGTGATGGTTCCAACAGTGTAGGTCAAGACGGTGGCTTCTTCAGAGGGGGTTACGGCGGAAGAAACCACAGGAACGGCAGGGGTCTCGGGGGTAGGTTCAAGAGCAGGGGCTGGAGTCTCAGTAGGTCCAGCCTCAGTACTACACTCTTCCGTGACGGTGATAGTAGTAACTACTCCATCGGTCGTGTAGACAGTGGCATAAGTGGTGAGGGAGACGGAAGGGTCAAAAGAGGAAACAGGAGCAGGGGTAGGAACGACACTCTCGGTAGAACACTCCTCGATGATAGTCTCTGTAACAACTATGCCTGATGTAGTGTAGACAGTAGTGTAAGTGGTGTAAGTAGGGGTAGGGGTGACACACTCTTCAGTGACAGTCTTGGTGACGACTACTCCAGAAGTTGTGTAGATGGTGGTGTAGGTGGTGTAAGAGACGTCAGGGGAGGAAGTCTCGGTACAGGCAGGACAATGGGTCTTGGTCAAAGTCATGGTAGATGTGGAGTTGCTCTCGACCACCGTGACCACCTCGGTAGTGACCTCTTCGCCAGCGGATTCAGAGACGCCACTTGTAACAGCAGCATTGGCCTCAGGGAGAAGGGTCACAGCAGCCGTGGAGGTAGAGGAGATTGAAGCCAGGGTCGAGTTGGGAAAGATCTGGGCAGCAGCCAGAGAGGCCATGAGAGGCACAGACAAAACGAAGGGAAGCATAGTTGGTGAGATGTCTTGGAAACTGGGTAGCTTGGGGATATCAGGGTGACCCTTCTCTTTTATATTGTCTTTTTTTCTGCATATTCATTCTTCATGCTGACTCTACACGTCGTTGCCACGACACGTTCAGTTTTTTCCTCTCCTACTACAGTAGATGACGTCTGACGTTGACGTCTATGTGGACTGTGAAGGCTGGATGGCTGTCTGTGGGTTATCATGATATGATGAATAACGGTATCACTTGGTTCTCTGAGGTGGTGAACCAGGACGTTTGCTGAAGTGACTTCCTCTGGTGAATGTACTTGTAAGGAAGAACAGTGTATCATCGCATCAACACCAGCACTCGGATATACCTCACGGTGCAAGCAAGTCCTAGGTACACCCGTCGACGATGACAGAAGAGTGCAGGATACTATGCATGCAAAGATTGAAAATGACAGGGCGCGTCCATAAATGTACCCCTTGATGACAATGCCATCCCTGCCGTGGCGTGCGTACAAGAGCCATTAGGTCTTAGATCAGGTACATGTTAGCCGCCGGTGGTGGGCAACTTGTGTATATGAAAAGAAGAAATGAAAGAAGAGATGAAAACGTGCAAACTGTACACAGGTACAAATGAACCGCCATGTAGATACCAAACAGACCTGCACCGTTTTTGTTAAACATACCAGTGGCCCCTTGATAGAATATTCTGTTGCTGTAGTGTTCACGTGAAACATATGCCGAGACACGTGTACAAGGAAGCTGTCAGATGCACACTGTCATTCTACAGAGGAGCCCCTTTGCTGTATCATACAGAGTACATGTCTTTTATAACATGCAATATATTCAATATATCTTTTATCTTAGTGTGGGAATCACAATGCTAATATGAGAATAGACCATCGTCATTTTGGTCGAATGCTATCTACTGTGAAAGCTGGCTGGCGCATGCAATGGCGGAGCCATACACGGTGCCCTCTTCCACAGCCACAAATGTCACGTTCAGGCCCTGCTCCCTAAGTCGCTGCTGCATTCGAGGACGGAAGTTGGGGTACTTCTGCACCATGGTGCCGTCGTAGGCAATGGACGGCGACTCGCAGTCCGAACCAGTCAGCTTGTAAATGGCGGTAATGAAGGCCGATGCCAGGGCGGCAGACCGGTCGGAGGTGGCCAGAATGATGTCCTGCACGTAGTCCAGCTCTCCCGAGTCGGCGGTCTCCAAATCAGCCACTTCGGCGGTTGTCAGCTCGTAGGGCCCGACGTCTGGTCGGCTCAAGAAACCCGTCTTGGACAAGTCTCGCAGAATCAGTCTGCATATTTCGCCGAGGTATCGTCCGGAAGACAGAGACTCGAGAGGCTGGAATCCAGGGCGCTCCAGAGCCTGGTCTAGCTCCAGGTCCCAGCACGTCTTGGACACACACTGGCCAAACAGAGACGCCTCGCAGTTGACAATGTACTTGTCCTGGTCCTGCTCGGTCTTCTTGAGCTGGTCTTTAGGGATCAGGGCAGACACGTTGATGCCTGTGCCGAGAATGAGACACAGGGGAGCGTTGGAAATGTAGTTGGCTGCCACCAGAGACGCCACCGAATCATTGAGAATGGCGCCGACCTCGACGGTCTTGCCGTGAGAGGCAAAGTGGGTCTCGAACAATTCCTTGAGGTCCTGGTTGATGATTTCGTCTGCCACTCCGTAGCCCTTGCCCATGGTCTGGATCAGGCCTGAGGAGATGTGGGGCTGGAAGATGGGGAAGGACCACGACAGGCCGATGGGGATGATGGTGGCTGTGCAGTCCTTGACCAGAGGCATGATTCGCTCGACGATCCAGTCGAAAAAGTCCGAGCCCGAGTAGTTCTTGACCGTGTCGGGGATGAGGTGCTGGACCGAGTCCGTGACGGTCATCTTCTCCAGATCGACCATGGAGCCACGGAGAGTGCTGCCTCCAATGTCGATGGAGAGCACCGAGCCCGTCAGCGAGTCGTTGGGCAGCGAGCCCATCTTGGACGGCAGCATGGACGGGGCGTCTCTGTTGGCGCATGCGGGGGTGATTTCTGCCAGAAACTCGTTCACCAGAGTGTCCAGAGACGAGCGGGTGTATGTGTGGTGAATGCGGAGGTTGTCGAGAACCTTTTGGTTGAAGCGCGACGGGTTTCGAGCCACGTAGCGCTCAAAGTCGTACATGAGATGAGACTCTTTAGTCAGCAGCTCCGAGGAGACCGACACCAGAGGGCCCTTGCCGTGGCCGGGAAGGTTGGCGTTTGCGGCGGTTACAATCACAGACATTTGATGATGGTACGCCCGGTCGTCATCTCCCATGGACATATATAAATATCCTCTGCGCTCGATGTCTATCCAAGCGTGTGTTTATGCGTCTGCACCGTGTCGGGAACGGCGTCGCTAATAAATCGTGACAAGGTTGTATGCTACCTTGAAAATGCAACCTTGGTCCGGGGAAGCGCATGCGACCAAAGATGGAGGTTGACAAAAAACCAGCTGAAACAAGCAAAACTAAACCCTGTAGCAAAAGCGTTACATTGGCGTGGTCTGGGGACATCTGGGGTAGTTTGTAAAAGTGGAGATTATCACCTAATGGCGTTTGGTACCTGTTTTCTCGGTCCTCTCATACCCATCTCCACGCTCCTTGTCGCGTACTCACATTAGCCGAATTTATCCGTTCTAACGGTCCCGCCCTCATATTATTGGAATGTGTTTAATTACGTACCAGTACCAGCGCAAGTGTCTGTGCAAGTGTCAGTACATACAAGTAGCTACCAGTATTGTATTAGCCAAAGAGGAACAGCTAGCCCATGATCAGTAGCACAGGTTGACAACGCCATATAAGTCACCATCACCGTATAGTCGCCGTACCATATACGCTCATTACCACCATTACCATGACTATTATAGAATACCCCAGACAAGTACCCCGGAGGAGAGCTTGAGAGTCTGCTTCTTAGCATTAGCGCCATCGGGGTTGGTGGGCCCTTCCGCAGGGTGGTATTGACCAAGGTAACGTCACTTCGGCTTACCCCTAACTATCCCACACTAATTACTTGACAACAATGGACTAATCACGTCACAGCGGAGGGCTACCGTAACCCATGGCGAAAGCCGTCATTATTTCATTACGCTACCCATACAAATACATACAATAGATGCGGGCTACCGGCTGAACTTCTCTTCCACCCGCCAGACAGAAAAGCCAAGCCCACTAAGACTGTCGCGTTGAGCAACACTCATGTGATCCAATACCACCGTCTGAAAGCCCTCAATGCGGAAGCTTCTCATAGCACAGCAAACAAGCCCTTGCATTATCAAATCAGAGTCGCACCGCAAACTGGTCATGCCACCCACCGACGGACCAAACTCATAGATCCAAGGCAGCCACCGGGCTATGGAAGAACCCTTATTGAACAGCACCACCGAGCCCACCACCGAACCATCCTTGAGACACTGCGCCACATAGGCATCCGACTCTCTCAGCTCCTCCGGAAGGTCTTTTGCGTCTGTTTCTGCAACACTGGCTATGGAGAACCGGAGGTTGTTCTGCTGCAGCTCCTGGATCACAGCCGCATCGACTCGGAAGTCCTGCAGCCTCTGGTTCACTAGAACAACCACATTGTCTCTAAAGATCATGGCCCGGTCCACCTTCTGTAGCCACGCCAGACTCTCGGGTGTAGCACCAGCAAAGTACGCGGGAAGCACCGACCCAAACGAGGTCAGCTGAGCCGCAGAGGGGTCCTTTCTGCCCTTGGCTCTTTGTACTCGCTTGTACAGGCTCACAGCTATGCCCATTTTCCGTCTGGACGGGTCCACCATGAGTAGTGCAACCTGGGTCTTGTGAGCCGCACAGAACCCATACAGCTTTCCAGTAGACGAGTTTTTCACCACATAGCAGTCGATATCATTTAACACGGAGAACGCCTCGGTTGGCAGCTTTCGTTTCGGGAAACATAGATCCCAAAGAGGTTGCACGTTCTCTCCAGCATACGTTTCCACCATCCACGTCTTTCTGGTAGACGTAGTACTCAGTGACTTGGAACCAGACCTTTGTCTACCCCAGAAGTGAGAGAATGGGATAGTTCCCAGCGCAGGAAGCTTACCAAACATGACCTTTGCACATGTGACCTGCATTTCTGGGGTAAATTCAAACGCACAGACATACGTCTTTGTATCCGATGTATGGTTGGAGGACGCCATGTCATGGGGGCTTGAAGCAGCCACCAGTACAAACGGAATACGTCTTTGGTCACAAAGAAGCTGCACGTACTTTGTTATCGAGGTTTGATACATGTTCGAGTAGGCTGTTGTGTTGACCAGAATCACAACCGTTGCTCTGGCTATCAGCTGTTCGTGTAACTTGATAATTCCGTTTTGGGAATACGAAGTGTGCAGTGTCTTTCCAGTATGATATGAGGCAATGGTCTTTCCCAGATGTTGAAAAGTCGCTTCGCCAGGAAGCAAGCGCACGTTGGATGGGTTTCCGTTGCCGTTTGTTTGCGCTGGAGTGCATCTGCCGCTGTGAATGTCGTCGGATTCACATAACGGGGTCAGCAGTAGAATCGTGTCTGAGCGTTTCAAGGAAAAAGGAATCATGTGAAGATAGTCTCTGCCAATAGCCACACACGACTCGTACGCTCGTGCAGACAGCAGTTTGTGTTCTTGCAACAGCTCTGCCACAAACGGTCTCTCTCCCAGAATACTCTGCCAGGTGAGATTCCTGCTAGACTTCATGTGTCTAACGCGTTCAGCAGATGCCATGATGCTTTCGGGCTCCACAAGTCCGTCGAGATAGGCGCCTGATAGACCTTCCAGGGCTTGCTTTTGCAACTTGAACGAAGAGCAGCACAAAATCATGTCACAGCCAGCCAGCTTTGCTGAGACGGTTCCTTGTTTCACTCCAACCTGTTGGTAAAGAGCCTCCATCTCCAGACACTCTGAAACAATAACGTTCTTGAATCCCAGCTGTTCTCTAAGAATATCAGTGCATATCTTCCAGGACAAACAAGCATGAGCTTCGGTAGGATCCAAACCTGGAGCAGAACATCCTCCCACCATGATGGCATCACAATCCATATCGATGATCGCCTTAAACGGCACAAACGCCTGTGCCTGCATTTGGAGCTCATTATCCGAGACCACAGGCACTCCCCCCAAGATGGAGTCCAGCGAGGCTGTTCCGTAGCCCGGAAAGTGTTTTCCACAGGCCATCATGTTTTGTTTCTGCAGTCCACGAAGGAAAGCACATCCGAATTGAGACACAATTTCGTGATCGTCTCCAAAGGCACGGGTCCCCAGCAAGAAGTCCGCACTGGCCGACGTCGACTTGAGCACGTCCATACACGGTGCAAACATGAAGTTGATTCCACAGGCTAGGAGCTCCTTAGCCGCCGCCTCGGCCACCGCCTCCACTAGATCGGTGTCTTTGGAGGCTGCCAGAGCCATTTGGCATGGGAATTGGGTCACGCCTTTCAGGTTGTTGAGAATGCCGCCCTCTTGGTCGATGCAAATCGCCATGGGCTGTTCGTGACCGGCTTCATAGGCCAGCTGTTGCACGCCGCGGATGAGCTCGCGTGCCTGGTCCACCGAAGGTAAGTTTTTGATGCTCACCTGGATGGAGCCAACCTTGAAGGTGCGCACTAGCTCGGCAATGTCCTCGTCGAGCTCCGCATTACGTAATCCACAGATGAATAGCTGGCCGATTTGGTTTCGTTCCGCCTCCGATAATTCCTCCATGTTGTGATGGGGTGGGAATAGTACCGGGTGTAGCGTTGCATTAGGTTGAAATGTATTAGAGTGGGAGTGACAGTCGGCTTCCTCCCCGGTCCGGTGGGGGACTAAGGATGCGGCCCTTGCTTTTGATGGCGGGGGGACGGAATGTGCCGCTTAGCGTCTTTGCTTAATTAGTGATGGTTTTGCATGGAGCCAGAATCTAGATCAGCAATTGTAATGTGAGAGAGAGAGACTTTGGGGATGACGAAAAAACAGATGTATATATATAAAATAAAATAAAATAAAAAATTAGCCGAGAGTTTTCACACAAGTTTATTCTTCTTTCCCTCCTCCATTCAGGACTCCAGTTCACCATTCCACCATACTCCACCATTCTGTTATCGAAGTATGTTCACTTGTAACTGAGACAGGTGCTCCCCCCGCACACGTTGCAGCGGATCCCAATGTAACCCTCCAACGTTACATTGGGGGAGTGAAGGGTAGCCGCGCGATAGAGCGGTGTAGCCGTCGATCTTCTAGGTTAAAGTGCAGCTCACAAGCAACTGGGCAACAAGTTGACTTTGGCTATGAGCCCACACGCACCAGCGACGGTTTACATATAAAGAATCGCCATGGCGCGGTGAACGGACTTGACTCGCTCTTTCTGTTTTTCTTCTTTCTAACAAGGCTCTCGAAACCTCTCGCCATGTCTTCACCTGCCTCCTTCTCCTTTGACTCCATGTCCTCTAGGTCGTCATACTCCCCCAACCTGGTCAAGTTCACCAACTGCGTGCTGGTTGACGACGGACAGGAGTATGTGCAGGACCTGTGGGTCGACCTGGACCTCGGCCAGATTGTCGCTCCCGATGAGCAGCAATCTCCCCGAGTCATTGACCTGGACGGCTGCTATCTGTCGCCTGGTTTCATCGACTTGCAAATCAACGGAGCCTTCGGCTTCGACTTCTCCAAGATCCCCGAGAGCTCCGAGGAATACAAGGCCGGCATTCTGGAGATGGAAAAGACGCTTCTGATGACCGGAACCACCGCCTACTGCCCAACTCTGCCTTCCACCTACGCCAACGTCTACAAGCACGTTCTTCCTCTGCTGGCCCCCAACACCTCCCAGGGTGCCGACAACATTGGTATTCACGTCGAGGGCCCCTTCATCTCGCCCCAGAAGCCCGGCTGCCACCCCCAGGATGCCCTGCAGACCCCCCAGTCGGTCGAACACATGTACGAGACTTACGGTTCCAGGGAGAACCTCCAGAACGTCCGTGTCATCACACTGGCACCCGAGCTGCCCAACATGCAGCAGTGCATCCCTAAGCTGAAGCAGGAGAACCCCCATCTGACCATCTCCATCGGCCACACAACCTGCTCTTATGCCCATGCCAAGGAAGCCGCCCAGGGAGGAGCCTCCATGATCACCCATCTCTACAACGCCATGCTGCAACCCCACCACCGAGAAGCCGGTCTGTTTGGTCTTATCAAGACCCACGAGTGCCAGCAGCCCTCGTACGGACTGGTGGTCGACGGCATCCACGTGCATCCCTCCTACGTGGCTATTGCCTACCACACCAACCCCGAAAAGTGTTTCTTGGTCACCGATGCCATGTTTGCCATGGGTCTGGAAAATGGAATCCACCCCTGGGGCAACCAGGAGATTGAGAAGCGGGGTGGCATCCTTACTCTCAAGGGCACCAAGACCATTGCCGGGGCTGCCACCACCCTTGACGAGTGTATTCGAAACCTCGTGCACTGGGCCCAGATTCCTCTGGCCAAGGCTCTTCAGACCGTCACTGCCAACCCTGCCCGGGCCATTGGCGTCACCCACAAGGGCTACCTGCGACCTGGCTGCGACGCTGACCTGGTTGTGCTCAACGCTGCTGGAGAGATCCAGTCCGTCTTCAAGGGCGGTTACCAGGCCAAGTAGGGGAGGACGACACACGACGAGCACAGCATAAAACAGATAAATACTAACCATAGCCTTATTGTATAATAGACGATAAATGAATAATGATAGAGTGACTAATCGTGTCATGTAGAAGTACAATGCCTCCGTGATGAGTGGATAATGAATTAATATAAATAGTCTACAGGCTCGCTAGGATATCCTGCACGTTAAAGATTCTTGTACTGCTCCCAGTTAATGGAGTACACCTTGCCGTCGTACCTGGTCAGCTCAATGTCGAGATCGTCCAGCTTGGCTCGAGCTCCGGCCTTTCGCACCAGCTGCTCCAAAGTCTGTCTCTGGGTCCAGTTGTACTCCGAGGCCACATGGGGCAGGAAGGTGGCTCCGTAGTCCGAGCCTCGGTAGTCGAAAGCAATTCGGATTCCGTGTTCTCCCACGGTCCAGTCCCAGATATCGTTGGCCTTGGTGAAGTTGGAGAGCAACGTGACTTCGCACTCCAGGCTGGGCAGCTCGGACTTGCTAATGGGCGCAAACCGGGTATCGTGGAGCCCGCTTTCAATGGCGAATCGAGACAGGCCCTTTTCCAGCTCCATGGGAGCAAACGTGCCGATGCATCCCCGCAGGTCGTGCTCGCCGGAGGCCTCGACCGTGTTCCACGTCACAAACAGCGGGAACTTTTTGTGCTCCACCGATTTGACGTCGGTCGACAGCTTTTCGGCAAAGTACGTCAGCGGGCGCGGGGCGGCATTGTTCAATTTGGCCCAGAGAGCCTCAAAGGCCACGGCCGCAAACGGAGAAGGCGAGATGGCCATGATGATGCTGACTTGCAATGGCGGATGGATCTTGTGGGTTGGGGTTATTGCCAACTTGTAGGTGCGTGCAGATGTCCTGCCTCAGTTGACTCGGTTCAGTGGATCCAGTTCGGAGCCTGCAGGAGATGCGCCACTTGTTGGAGACCGTTAGTCTTTGGTCGGAAGTTCAAGGCGGATATATAGAGCTGCAGGGCAGGTCTGAGGAGGGGCGGTCACTGTGGAGGCGCAAAATGGCGGTTGCGTCAATACTCGGGTTGGGTAAAACACAGTTTGGATGACAAATCCGGATTTTCATGTAAAGTAGGATATGAGTACAAGTTACTATATAGCTCAGCTACCTTCAACGCCACCAAGCCACGGGTGGTAGTATGCTACAAGTAGGTGTAATAGTGGCTTGAGCTCAAGTGTCTGCGCTGAGTACAAGTACGTACAATACTGCGCTTCATCCCATCCGGACATCACGTGACATGACACAAGGGCCCCCCACCAGCCACATGTGCAGGGCCGTTTGGCGCCGTTGCGTTGTTGGACCCATATCCATACATTTGGGCTCTGAGTAATTTACTAGTAGCAACGGAAACTTGCACCGGCTATGGCATCCCAACATGCACGCTATGCACAGTGGCAAACCTACCTTTAGACGCGGATCTATTTTTCCCAGCTTGCCATGCTTAGATCAAGCCTTCTCCTCCGTCATTTGTCCTCCGCCACCGCAGCAATGCCCGCCGTCTCGCCCACTCTCAAGACCACCGCCTCCTCGGAGCTTCTCACCGTGGCCGCGGGCTGCTTTTGGGGAGTCGAACACATGTACAGAAAGCACTTTGCCGACAAGGGGCTTGTGGACGCCAAAGTAGGCTACTCGGGAGGAAACACGGAAGATCCTTCGTACCGAAAGGTGTGCTCGGGCACCACAGGCCACGCTGAGGCCCTGCAGGTGTCGTTCGAGCCCGCCAAGGTGTCCTACGAGCAGCTGGTGGACTTTTTCTTCAAGATCCACGACCCCACACAGGCCAACGGCCAGGGCCCCGATATCGGGTCGCAGTACCGATCTGCCATCTTCACACACTCGTCCGAGCAGCAGAAGATTGCCGAGGGCGTCAAGCAGAAGCTGCAAGACACGTGGTTCAAGGACCCCATTGCCACCGACATTGAGCCCATCCAGAACTGGTGGGACGCCGAGGACTACCATCAGGAGTACCTCTTCAAGGAGCCCGGTGGATACCAGTGCCCTACCCATTTCTACCGAAACACCCCTCAGAAGTAGACCACTGGACTACACCTACCCATCCTTCAACAGACACATGACCTGGCCAATCGGCTTTTTATTTATGAATATATGGAGTCGGCTCCCTTCAACAGATATCGAGTGTGGTAGTACTTCTTGTACTGTATGTACTTGTAGAGGTTTCGTGTATGCTTGCGACTACTTCTAGCGACAGCTATAGAACCAGTGAGACTCCTGGTGTAAACGATTTTTCATCTGATTAATAAACCTGGCAACTTGTTCTAGTCTCAGAATATCTTCTCTAGCTGATGGTGATCCCATATGGGTGGAGGGAAGGTATGAGACCACTGTATGTACTACAGCTATGCACTGTACTACAGCTATGAACGTATATCAAGGAGTTATAACTACTACTTCTCAATCTATGAGCCCTCTTTGTTCTTTCGATGATCACTGTGGACAGGTTTATACCGACGCCTACGTTCAATCCGTCCAAAGCTGTGCAAACATGGCACTGCGCACTGTGTGAGAAAAGGGTCCGCGCTGAACACCTTACAGCAACGATACTGTGGTGTTTATCCCATCGTAAAGCCTATCGAAGCGAAATTGGGACTCTCTTATCACACTTCCAATCGGTATCGTGTCATATTTTGCTCTTCTGATAGATAAATGGTGGTTTAAAAATCGGCCAAAAAATCAATGGAATTTGGATATCATTGTCCAGACTGCCTCTGAAGTTTGTTAGAACCCAGGCCCCGTGACTAAGCCGACTGATGACTCAGCCGGGGTGGCCATACCGAAGGTATGGTCACTGCAGTCACTCTCAAGAAAGGTGTATTAGAATACATGGAATACAGGGGTTTATATGTTATCCAGGGTTGCGGCGCAACCCTTTGTCCGTGATAGCAGGCTTGGCATATCGATATTAATGATAGCGTAATCCCACTGAGGGCCCACGTGGTGGCCCCTCGTCGTAGTCTCCGCTAGCGGTTCACGAGAGACTAATCAGGCGGCTATTTCTTAGCCGCTGATCCCTAACATCATCCTCCCCTAAGATGAAGTCGTGGAGCGACTTCCATCTTACACGATAAAAGCACCATGATTCGACGTCGAGATGTCCAAGACAAACATCTCCGTGAACAACAGATCTTATGGATCAGACTATCCATACAATAGGTGCAGCTCTCAGCGACCGAGAACTTACACGAGCACGTTGAACTCCTCATGACCAGAGAACAATCACAGCCGACGACATCAACCCGGGGTCAATGTCTAGAATAACAAGGCAAAACACAGCCAACTTCGCAGCTGACGGATCAACACCGACAACCACGTCGACTAGGCTTCAACAGTTCCAGTGACAGGAAACTCGCCTCGGAGAGCAGACTCTCACATCTCTAACAGACCAGAGATGGCTGTACTGTACCAACGTAACCTCAGCAATAACACTGAGCCGTTCATCCCAATCCACACCGAAATGAACAAACCGACATACGAGAAATAGAAACATCAGAAACCGTTTCGTTCCTTTCTCACCCCACCTCAAGATGATAGCATCATCTTCAATGCGACTTAACACACTCCAAGGGATCTACCAACACAGAAAGAAAGAAAAGTCTGGTCTAAACCCCTTAAACACAACCTTGACGATAACAACACGTTTTTACTCACCTCAAGAACAACACCTAAGTCAAACGTACCGAAGGTTTTGGGAAGGGAAAGCCACTACTTTTA